CCTAGGGTCTCCGAAGTTAGTCGTCATATTATTAAGGCAAGTGGGCCTGATACCACTATGCAAAACGTAGGAAGTAATAGTAAGGTAGAGCGTTTACCAAAAGAGCCACTATGACGACCAACTGGTCGTTATATCAGGTTACTAACCTAAATACCCGATATGTGCTATAAGATATACGCACCGTATTCGTACTCCGTACGTTAGGTTATAACACTAATACTCTTATTTCCGCCGAAAAAACTACCTACGGATACCTAATTTCTTAGGCTAATAATATAGAGGTTATCCTAAGAGACCCCTACCCCTAGCTAAGGGGCTTAAGTACGTAAAAATTAGAAAATACCGTAAGTTTACCTAGCTAACTAGTAAAAGGTACTATTCCGCTAAAAAAGGTAATATCTCTTATACCGAAAAAAGGACCCTTTTCTTAGGTAGAAAAGGTAGAAATACTCGCTACCTATAGAGTAATAAAGATATAGAAGATAAACTCGTTTAGTGGCTTAAAATAATAGTCCTCGGAGACTACCTCGACTTCTTCTAGCGAGACTCCTCTTAGCGAGCTACCTACTAAGCTTAAAAAGGATAGGGTTAATATCGATACTTAGTACTATAGACTATACTATATAGGGATTAAACCCTTATAGAAAACGGTAAAAATTATAGAAGATATTAATATTATAGGCCTACCTACCCCTAAAAGACCCTATAGCTATTACTAAATTAGAAAGGCCTAGCTTATATCCTATAGAACCTTAGTTTTATATAGATCTAGTAAAATAGGAGATCTCGTATACCTCGATCTAGGGGGCGGGGGTAAAATACCTAGAGGTTAGAGAGATAGCTACCGATACTAGATAATTAGTATCGATAACTTCGACGGATAGGGAGAAATATAGTTTACCTCCTATAAAGACTTCGTCTTAGACCTTATAATTAAAATAGTAAAACTATATTCTACCGAAAGGGAGATAATAATTAAGATATTTATAACCCCCGATCTCCCCCCGCTACTAGTATTAGGAAGTAAAATACTACCGCTTAGTAGACTAGAGATTAGAGCCTTCTAATTAGATTATAAAGGAGAGTTTAATAACTTCCGCCTATAAAAATAGGCTAAGGATACTAATACCCGTCTATATTTCTTAGCACTATATATATATAAGTAAAATAGTAAAGTCGAAAGAATAATACGAATAGTATAAGAACGCACTAGAGCTATTCTCGACGATATTAGACTCCTAGATATACTATAGCCCGAACTAATAAAAATAGTAATAATAACCTATAATCTTACTATCTATTTTAGTAGAAAAAGAGATAGTCTTCTAAACTAGATACTATATAAAATACAATTCGGTAGAAAACCTAATATCTTATTCCTACGGATACCTAGTAGTAAGGCTTACGTTATAAGAAGCCCCGAAGAGATTAGGGCTATAGTTAGTATATTAATAAGTAGATATTTATAGCCCCGCGCCTAGATAGATAGACTTATTAGGTATAGTAGCTACTATAGTATATAATACCGTATCTAGCGTCTAAACGTAAATAGAAATAGGGGAGAGATTATAATTTAGAGAGACGTTATTTTCGATAAAGGAGATAACTAGACCCTATATAATAATCCTAATCTCCTAGTCCTACTAGAAACCCTATAGTTAGTAAAATAGTCTAGGTTCCTATTCCTAGACTCTAGGGATCTTATAGGCCCTAAGAACCTTATAGACCCTAAAAACCCTATAAATAATATAAACCTTATAATTTCTTCCGCTAAAAAGACTCTTATAACTTCTTCCGCCGAAGAAAGCACCCCTTTTTTAGACTCTAAGGGAGATCTTAGACTTATTAACGAGAGTTCTAGTAACGAATCGGTCTTATTAGTAGACCTACTAAGACTATCTACCGAAGAACTCGCTAACCTTAATTATAAGATCTAAAATAAGGTTTTCTATACTACTATACCTCGGGTAGATAAAAAACGTATATAGGATCTAGTATAATATACTACTATCCTATATACGTAAGCTAGACTAACCCTATTATCTAAGGATCTCCTAACCTTACCCCTACTAATAACCCTAAAAAATATAGACCCTAAATAGATAGAAGACCCTAAATTAGTCCGATAAGTATATAACTTACCCTTTTAGCCTTAGTAGTATCGCGCTATAAAAATCGAGTTTAAATAACTTAGTTTAATTAAAGCTTAGGAGATAATCCCTACCCCCGTACCCGCTAAGAATATATATATCCTTACTAATAAGTAGGTATATAAACTAAAGCTCGATACGGATAGAAACCCCTTAAAATTTAAGGCTCGCTAGGTAGCGAGAGGTTTCTAATAACGGGAAGATCTAGATTATACCGAGACTTTTATTAGTATAGGTAGCTACGTTACGCTACGGATCCTTCTCGCTATAATTACGTAAAAGAAGCTTTTTATAGCCTATATTAACGTAAACGTTATATATCTTAACGCTACGTTAAAGGAGAGACTCTTAATATACTACCCCGAAGGTTTCGAAGATAATACCGATTTTTTAGAGATCTAAGGTAAAGTCTACCTTCTAAAAAAGAGTCTTTATAGTCTAAAATAGTTAGTAGTAAATTAGTTTAATATATTAGAGGACTACTTATTAACGAAAGGCTTTATATAATCTACTTCTAACCTATATCTTTATACGTAGTATAATTAAAGGGGCGCCGGTATAATTATCTATATTTTTATATACGTTAACGACCTTTTAATTATAGCTTCTATAGCGGATCTCGTTAAAACTATAAAGGAACTTATTTTAATAAAATAGTCTACGTCGGACCTCGGTAAGCTATCCTACTATCTTTTAATAAAAATAGTATATAATAAAGAGACGGGAAAATAATAATTTCGTAAAAAATATATATCGAAAGGTTTTTAAAAACCGTAACTTTAAGACCTATAATCCCTTTATCTATTATCCTAATAAAGGAAGAGACCCTTACCGCTATAAGTAAGGTAGTAAAATAGTACTAATCTAATATAGGCTCGATTAACTATACTAGTATAGTTACGTATCTAGACCTCTTACTCGTAATAAGTATACTTTCGTAGTTTACTATAAACCTAAACACTAAATACGAGGATCTAGTATAAAGAGTAATTACTTATATAGGACGTACTAGCTATTACGTAATTATATACTAATCTAGACCTAATTAGGACCTCTAGGGGTATATCGACGCCTTATACGGATTAGCCCTAGAAAGTAAAAGTAGGACTAGATATATCTTCTTCCTCGTAGGGGGTCTAATATTATAGAAATCTTAAAAGTAGACTAGTATAGTAAAATTAAGCGCCGAAGCTAAATATATAGCCCTCTTAATTACTAGCGGAGAGGTAATTTAGCTACGAAAACTACTAAAAGATCTTAATTTTTACTAAGGAAGTATAGACCTCCCTCCTATCCCTTTATATAGCGATAGCTAGTCTACAATCACGATAACGAAGAACCCTACTATTTTAGGACGTTTAAAATATATCGACGTATACTAGTACTAGATCCGCGAGTAAGTTAAAAGGGGAAAAATCAAGCTTATATATATAAAAGGGACTAAAAACATTATAGATAGACTGATAAAGCCCCTCGGGGCTCCTAAATTTATAGAGTTTATCGTAGGTTTAAACCTTAACCCCAAAATATATAGACTTTCGGCAGAATAAACCCCTATATCTTTCGTAGTATAAAACTGCGTCTTTTATAGTGCAAAACTGCTAGTTTTGCACCTTCCTACAGTCTAAAAGCTACACCTTTTGACTAAGAAACCTTATTCATCTCAGTCCCTAACAACATGATCTTACGATATGCAACGGCTGCACGTTAAGGGGGCGTGTTGAGAACCATGCCTAAGGCAGGATTCTCTCATCCGCAGGATTATCAACGCTACGCCTTTTTTGTCTTTTCTGCCGAAAAGCTCACCTTTGGGGGCCAAATTGAGGACTCCGATCCTCGGCACACAAAGGGGCATAAATAGCAGGAAAAGGCAGATATTATCTAGATCTTTAGACAATTCAATACTTCCATGAGAGATCCTATTCCTAGTATCATTTGAACCCATTGTTGAACCCTACATGCTGTATCATACCTCTGTATCTTCAACATGTGCTACCTTCGCTGAGATCTTTGTTCAAGAAGTGTGGCAAGGGTAGTGTGTCCGTCATATCCACAGTGTCTACCCAATTTCTTTATGTTGAATTGCCTCATTCTATCACGTCCGATTAAGGTATCCGTCCTGGCTCTCTATATAGGATGTCCTCATAGCACCACGGTTAATGAACGCACGGTCACGGCCAGGCCCATCCAGTGCTTAGAACAAGACCATTTCGAGACGCCAAGAGAGCAAATCAGAGGAGATGTACGTGTCAAGTGAGAGCAACAGAATACACCAGTCTGTTCATCTATCAAGTCAAACAATAGTTTTCATAGTGATCGCGTTAGGAGACTGCAACGCCTTTTAGCTTTGAAGCACAATATAGATAGTATAATATGAATGGTCCTGTCCTCTCTCACCAACATTTCACTTGGGTTAGAGGCAAACGTTCAACGTGAGCCTGGGAAGACTTTTCCTTCAAACCCAGTTCTTACTCATATCTTTTCTACATGAATGTGTTGATTTGGGAATTAATTGCATCCTTTTTCATCTAAAAAGCCTGCACCGCGCAGTTATTTGTACGAACGTCATTCTGGTATTCCGGGAAAAAGCAGAAGGGAAATTGCTGTCTTATCATAAATCGTCAACGCGTCATTGTGCTTTACTCCAGCTCTGCAGCCTTTGGCGGTGACCCTGGAGGCACTTAAGCTGGATGCCCATCCACCATACTAAACTCGTCATAAACCCCAGTCAGATTTCTCTACGACAAGCTGACTCCAGAAAAGCTCTCTAGATTGAAGCTGGATTAGCCCAAGTTCAGTCCAGTCCAGATATCGTAAGTTGATAGTGGGGGAACAATGGGCTAATAAAACTCAGTTGTGTCGATCTGCGTTACCTTGAAGGCTGCTTTCAACCTCGGTTTTGGGTTCCTTTTCCTGGGGTGGCTCTTCTCGAACAAACCAATGGAGATCCTTGGAAGCCGAGGCTGGCTTGTCCTCATAACACTCAATCATTCCTTCAAGATGAGACACATGCTTATCGTATGCAAGAGCCATGTGTCGAAGACCGGGCATCAGGTTCTAATCATAAAAGTCCTAGTCAGTAAATGTGGTTATGCGAGTATGGCAAGGCCCAAAGATGACTGACAGAAATAACTCCAAACACAGAATCCATGTTCCTCTCGTCCTCATTCACGGCCTCACGTCTCTCAAAGTACATGGTACGAGCCCAGGAAACTTCCCCTTGCGAAAGAACACAAAACGAATCACTCGTGGTGTAGATACTCGCAAAAGTCCTGACCAACTTGGGGAACAAAAGGCCGTGGAGGGGACCTTTCTCCGAAAAGGAGTTCTTCTCCTTTCCAGGAGGGCTGGAAAACTGCAGGACTCGCGTCCACATCACGTAGTTCGCGTAGAATTGACGGCGTTCCGGTGAGATCTTTTCCATTACCGCATCTAGTGGAGCCTGAGGACGCGCCCAGAGCACAGGAATGGCCTCACTGAACCAGAGGCTGTTTACAAGGGCATATTTTAGCAGGTTGGAATGGCGCGAAGTGGCGTTCCCTTCATAGCCGGTTTTCTGGTCAAAAATCATGCGGAGTATCTCAGGGATCGCCAGAGCTCGCTGGGTAGAGGTTTCATATTGGATTGTGGAATCCATTTCCATAGAAAAGTGACTTTGTTTCGGTCAAGTAAATGGTGATGGGGATGGACAAGATCGAAAAGGTCCCAAAGAGTGAGAGTTGTGAGAGATGCGGAAGGGAAGAGAAGATGGCTACGTGGGAAGAAAGTGGTGAAAAGTAAACAATGTCTCGAGGCAGATAACCTCTGAATGACCCAGGCACACCTACAGATGTATTGATTTGAATGGGATTGATTCCTAATTAGGAGAAAGTCCTTCTTGTCAATAACACACCTTTCGCAGTAAATTAGCTTCTACTCTGGAGACTTCAATATTGTTTCTGGATGTCATGCTGATTTCACTTTTATCTACATCTTGAACAGAGTGCCGACATTATCACTCACGGACTTATATAGGCTACCTCATGTCGCTCCAATGAGCCATTCCCAGAACCCGTACTATCCAAGTCATAGTTATCCAAATCTCCATCAGATCCATCACTGTCCTGAACCAGGCTGCTGGATAGACGGCCAGCAGCCTTAGAGCATTCGTTAAAATCTGTGTACTTAAGGCTGTCAAGGATGCGGCAAAGATTGGGATGTCGTTTCTTCGAATATTGAATTGCTTTCGGAAAAAGTGAATCGGGCAAGTCAAATTCTAGCTCTTGTAAAGTTGCTAGTAGGGTATCTATTCTTTTAAGAATTGTCAAATATGGACAGTAACACGATAGCTCATGTATCCATCAGCGTCCGAATGGGATGTGGGATCAAGCTCTGACCTCGAGTTAATATCGAATTCGGACAAGCTCACCGCGTGAAGAAATGGTGAATTTATCGCCTAAAGGAGGAAAAAGAAGAAGAAGGAGACCGATTCAAAACAAAGAGAGAGATATGAACTCTTTGGCTTTGCAGGTCTCATATAACACCCTCTTCCTTTCACCCTCGCTATCTTCCATTTGACTGGATATATGTAGTTGAAACATATATGCAATGGTCTTCAGAGTTATGATAATGATGTGCAGGGGTTTCGAGTCGCTCGAACATGCGAATTTAGGCACCATGAAGCTGTCTTATTGGTGTGTTGATACAATCGACACCCCGGGGTAATAGCATAGTGACGCCTCAATAGTGTCCCGAGATTAGAAGGGACGATGCTGACGTCGGGAGCAGCCGATAGCTTGCCATTTCGCATCTAGCGTAAATAGTGGATTATTTCATGACTGGGGAGACGCGTCCACTTCCTTGGTGGCGAACGAGTGATTGGAAGGAACCGTACTCCCGGACCCAGTACTCCGTATGGGGTAGCCAGGTATTGATATCGAGCGGGGCTTGGCGACTAGAGCTCATATGGGGCATCAAAGAACCTCGCTTCTGTTGATTCCCCAATAGAGGACCAATAGAGGATCGGAGATCCATGCGCGAGGCCTGTTTTAGTCGACTTCTGCGGGTGGCTTCTCGGCCTCCCGAAAGAGGCAGGAGTCCTTTGATGATGTCGACGTGGGGGCACTGGGGCCACAGAAGATGAAGTGTGTTGGCTCGAGCGCTTGGATCGACCTCGGAGGTTGATTTGAGCTCTTGATGGGGCCGCAAGCCCGATCTATGATGATCCTGCTCACAGACCACGTAGCAATCTATTTGCAGCGGAAGCAAGTTGCCTCATTTCTCAGGCGTTTCACTATATCACCTTCTCTTAGCTTTTTCCCTTTTCTCTTTGATTCGTTGTTATTCATCCAACATTCTCACTAACTGAGCTGACAAGGGTCGACGGACCGTCCAGCCGCCCCACATCATGCGGGTGATCGTCCGCCTATCCGCTGGCTTCATGTTTTGCTTAGTTCGTAGTTGGTCGGGTTGGTTTATGCGAATCATCACAAGCCCTAAGGTGGTTTCAATCTAAATCGCGAGCTGCAAGCTGATGAATCATATTGCATTACGGCCTGGGACTACACAGCTCATCGGGTACTTAACCGCTGCAATCCTCCCATCATTTTGTTCGACATCAATCCAGAATAGAAGCCTTGATCTATCCTGAGATCCCGCATTCGATACTGTCGGATTGGACACACAACATGACTGCCACAACCGTCACTAGCACTGTTCCCCGTCTGAACCATGCCTCTCTCCGGTAAGCTTCCCGCGTGCCTAGATACGTGAGATACTTGCTAATCCACGATAATAGCCTAAGTGGGCCCTATGGAGATTGGAGAGATGATCTCCAAGCTCAAGGCTATGCGGTGATCAAACATGCTATTGATCCCGAAAGGGCCCAGCAGTATCAGCGCAAGGCCCTAGACTGGCTCACCTCGTTTGATACAGCCCTCAATCTCGACGATCCCTCTACGTGGACGAATAACAACTTACCCGTTCACAGCAAAATCAATACTTTCATCGGGTATTCCGTCACCCACGAGAAGTTCATGTGGGACGCTCGCATGGAGCCTGGGATACTGGAGGCATTTGCTAAGATCTGGGGCACCGATGAACTGCTCGTCTCGTTCGATGCGCTGAATATTACTCTCCCCAACCGAAAGGACAAACCCGCGCGAGAGCCATGGCCCCACGTGGACCAGTCGCCGATGCGTCGCGGGATCCACTGCATCCAGGGCATCATCAATCTCAGCCATGCGGGTCCCGAAGATGGATCCCTCATGTTGTTTCCCAGATCCAACACGATGACCGAGGAGTTCTTCGACACGGAGACTGACCCATCTACCTGGGAACAGAAGGACATTCGCAATTTCAGTGACGACGAAATCCAGTGGTTCGAGAATCGTGGTCTGAAGCCTACCAAAGTGCTCGCGGAGCCTGGAGATCTCATTGTCTGGGATTCTCGCACAGTGCACTGGGGTGGGGAGCCAACCGTCAACAGCAACACGATCCGCACCGTGATTTATGCATCATACGCCCCCGTTGCGCTAGCCAGCGAAGAAACTTTGGCACGGAAGAAAGAAGCTTTTGAATCTCACCGGGCGACGACTCATTGGCCACACGAGAACATCGTTATACGAGACGAACTGGTGCGTCTGCCCGACGGCTCCGTCGATCCCCGCAACCGGGCCGCGCCGTTGGAAGAGCCACAGCGTACCGACCGATTGCTGCAACTGGCGGGGGTGAAATCCTACTAGAATTTAGTTGCTTGAATTGGAACACCTCTTTTTTGATCTATTTGGTTTTTTTGGTCTTGTTCTTGGAACCCCAAGCCCCCATGGCTGTGTGATTATTAAGGGGCTAATGGGCTCGGGCGTTTGCTGACAACCCCGCACTGAAAGTTCCTTGACTCGGATTGCTCACAAAGCAAATATGAAGGCATTCGAGTCTCGTCCTGCCATCGAATATCCCCGGAAGCGTGCTTCAATCGCATGTAATTTCTGTCGTCATCGGTAGGGCTTCCCTTATTGTGTTGAATCATCACTAAACGGGCCTAGCAAACGGAAATGCGATGGACAAAAGCCTACATGTGGACTCTGCACTGATGCGGGGGCGCAGTGTGTCTATCAAGAAAGTGACAGGTAGAAACGCTATATCGCTATATCTCAAAGGGTTCCTCGATAGTGACGATCCACAGGGTACAGGATATCCCGGCCGAGATCCTGGTTCGCTTGAGCCATCTGGAGACCTTGATCGAGCAACAAAAGGATGCAATCACAGAGCTATCCAACCGGATAGGCTCCCCATCTTCCCATTCGGACCAATTCAGCCATCGTTCAAATGCCTCGATGTTTTCTTCACAGCCACGATACGACTGGGACCCATCACCGGAGCATCTATACGATAAATCTTCGTTCGGTCTTTTCGCCCAGGATAACCTCTACAATCAAGAATATACATTCACCATCCCTCCAGGCCATCACACTCCGGCAGGAAGCTTATTTTCATTGGATCTAGTCAAGAATCTGGTTGGCGACTACCCTCAGGATTTCTTCAAGCAGATAGAGAAGAAGCGCCCATTCAATAGTATCCAGCTCGCAGGTGTACCGCAATCGGTGGACCAAATTGACACCTCTCGATTGCATCCCCACGTCACCAAGCCTCTGATCAATGAATTTCTGACCCACGTCCATCCATTCTTTCCGGCAATTGACCCACAGCTATTGAATAGGCTCTTCGAAACCTTTTCAGCATACAACAAAGTCAACAACATTCAAACCCCACTATATCTTGTCATCCTTGCCCTCGGAAAAGTCTCCTCCAACCCCCAAAGGATTTTCGATATCGAAGCGGAGAGAGACCTGAATGGCATGGAGTATTTTGCTCCCGCATATCACCACTTGACCAACCCATTGATAAGGTCATTGGGCGCGGATCATTTGCTGCCTTTGGCATTGCTTTACGCCTCTTTGTATCTGCGTTTCATAGGGCGTCCGATCCAAGCATGGGAAATGATTCGTGATGCATCTTGCAGTGTCTATCTTGCGATTAACGAGTGAGTTTTCTCTCTCGGGCATGATTCTGCTGCGATATTGATGAGGTTGTGTCCAGGCTGCATGATGGGAGCACATACGAAGAGCGAGCCATTGTATACCGGACTGCCTGGGGCTGTTTTATACTTGAATGGTTGGTATTTCCTCTGCGATTGTCTCCTGGCCAGCTAATAATCACTTTTACTCAAGTGATGACCTAGCGGAGTTTCATTTCCCTCCCAGTAGCATTGAAACTCTAGTCGAGAAGTTGCCCTTTCCTGGGATTTCAGAAGATAGTCGACACGCTCATACGCTGTTTCTTGCGATGTGCTCAATCCGCAAGATTCTCAACCGTGTGCACAGTACTCTTTACGCAAAACCTCACCAGGAAAATTTCCAGCCCGAGTCTTCACCTCAGTCCACAAGTGAGACGTCCAATGCGACTCCTCCAAAGCATTCGATTGCCTCCCTGAAGACAATCAGTGAGGAACTGGATCGTCAAGTGGAGAATTGGCTTGATAACATACCAGGATATGTGATGCCACCCCTAGGCAATGCCTTATCCGCCGACCACCCGTTCCAAACTCATATTCTCGCCCGGTACTATGCCACCAAATACATCATTTGCCGCCCGAGTCTTTTCTTCGCCGCCTATACCCAGAGTGGCACTGTATTGCCAGAGTTTGTTTTCGCCAATTGCAAAAAGTGCGTCGAGAGCTGTCGCCAGTTAATTTGGGCGGCAGCCCGTCTATTGAGGAGGAGAACGTACGCAACCTGGCTCAGAATGCAATCGTAAGTCTCTTTTTTTTGTTTCAAGTGCGGTATCATATTCTGCAAGATGTTTGTTTACTTACTGGTTTCACACATATCTAGCATGCTGGCTGCCATTTTCACTCTCTCGATTGCCAGAACCACGCCGTCATTAGAGGCACTTGTTCCGGACTTCGACGACCTGGTGAAGGAAGCGATCCAATGTATTGAGCCATGGGCGCACCACAGCGAAACTGCGGATACAATCCTCAGCATGTTGAAAACGATCCGCCAGAAGGTTCGGGTATCGCTTCGAGCTTAGTAGGGAACAGACCTGGCTGCACTGTAGTATATATCTGTCAATATTTTGCATTTGAATACATGTTTGTGAAACACAAGGCTCTGGAAGCCCTCCTGAAGAATCTAATCCACTCCGGGGTTATTAATTTCTTCTTCTGACCTAGGACGTCATCAGTAAGCTGCCAACTTAGCTAGATGTGATAGTTATCAAACCCAGCGGGGGACTCCGCGGAAAAGAGCTCAGACTAGACTTCACCTTACCAGAAATATGCCTCCGGCACGACTAACAAGCCAAATCAATTCCATCTAAGGTGTTCGGCTGGCAGACAAGCCGTCCGCCTGGGGTATCCAGTTGGATATCCCGCAGACTCAGGGTATCGTCACATCTATGACCCCTGCATGGATCCTCTACAAGGGATGTCGCCGAATCCCCGCTGGCCCTACCAGCCTTGACACACCCACACATCCATCTGGATCAAGTCTTTATCCATAGCACACCCGAATATGCCCAATTTCGACCTTCGGCCGGCATGTTCCAGTAGGCACTGTCCTCCATAACCAAAGCCAAACAGCAATTCAGTCACTCGGATATTCTCAGAAGAGGAGAGTGGCTCCTTGCCGAGTCTGCTGCATCAGGCGTCACTGCAATGAGAGCCTTTGTTGAGATAGATCATACAGTGTAACTGGTCTTTGTAGAGGCTGCCATTGCCCTAAAAGACCAATGGAAGGAGTCTTGCGATCTACAGATAGTCTGGTTTGCGCAAGATCCTATATTCTCCAGTGAGTACGGAGAGCAGAACGTGAAACTTCTGGAGCATGCTTTACGGGCATATTCACAAATTGATGCCATCTGGACAACGCCTTATGTTGAATCCCGTGTCGATGCCGCAAAGGAAAATATTGAATGGGCGATTGACCGTGCCCTGCGGTTAAACAAACATGTCGACTTCCATCTTGATTACAACCTCGATTCCAGCAAAGAGGCTTTGGTTTGACATGGTATAAAGTCTCTCAAACAACGAAACTGGACTGCCCAGTCAACAGACAAGCGTGTCATGCTCGGCCATTGTACACGGCCGACGCTGCCTACTGAGAGCGAATTGGCCCGACTTGCAGCTGATATTCATGAATACAAATTCCCAGTTAGCTTTGTTGGTCTACCATCTAGCGATATCTACATAGCATCGCCTCCTAGAACGAGCGAGGATTCCGAGCCATCGCACAATCACCCGAGAGGAACTTTACAAGTCATCAAGATGATTCGTGAATACGGTTGCGTGGAGGACAAAGTGAATAGAGATGTATTTTCTGGTGAACGACTCAATATTTCTCCACTTGCAGTTGTAGATTCGCAAACTTGGTATCAATTTGCACGATCTAGTTTCATAAGGACGGTCATCAAATGAAGAGGTTCTATGTACATACTGGTCAATGGATGGGAAAGCCATACAAATTGAGCTGCTAGAGGGCATAAATCAACACATTTTAGCGAGTCAAGATTTCCAGATTCGCACATGCATTGCATCCCCCATCCAGTTGGCGATAGGATTCATGGATGCAAACTCAGAGGCCTGGATCAAACATCGGGCATCATAAAGACAAAATGTTAGAGGCACTAATTAGTTGTCTTCGGTCGCAATGCATAGAATTGCACAGGCAAGAGATTGAATGACGTCGGGAAGCCCTTTTGAAGTTCTGACTTGATAATCTGCATCCCGGCGGCCTCAAAGATCTGTCGGAACTTCGCATCTGTTCTTGTGACACTGCTATCCTCACTGTCGAACATATCTTGTCCAGCGAAATGGGTAGACAGGTTCTCCTTGACCACCATAAGGCCGTCATCAGTCAGCGCCTTACGACACCGCACGGTATAATCGGTGAGCTGCGAGTCCGTGAGATGGCCCACACACCACTGGACCCAGATCAAGTCGTATTTCTTTTCGGGGGTCCAATCTTCAAGACCGCGCGTGTAGACAGACCCAATGACGCCATCTCTTTTCAATTGGCTGTCTTCCATCACCTGGGTGAACTTGGCTACCGGCTCTACCGCGTCTACCACTTGACAGACCTGGCTCAGGAAGCCTTCTGTTACGCGGCCGACACCGGCGCCGCAGTCGACACCTTGGCGGAATTTGCCCTCTGGTAGGACGCCTGGCAATAAACGCCGGATCTTGGCAAGGAAAGTTTTTGATCCCTGTAGGTCAATGCGCGAGACTGAAGGGAACTCGCCAAGCATGCTGCCCGGAGTGGCTGGGACACTGTTCCAATATTTTAGAGAAGCAGCATGGTTGATTTGGGAATCAGGTGAGGTGGTTGGGTCTGTCATGATGGCGGTATTGGCTGGCGGAAATGATCACCGGAATAATGGATCCTCAGTCAGAATCAATGGTGTTGTTCAGGAGGAGGCTGTTTCACAAGAAAATCCATATCTGATCCTTATCACGTGACCGTATAGCGACTCCGTAGATGACATCGTCTGGACGATATACATACTGCGAACGATGTGCAGTCCAACGCTTCAATGTGATTGGTTGTTCTAATCCCTGTTGTCTTGCTAAACCCAGTGCCCTGTCTTCTTGGCAATCGCACCTTAATTGACCCTAATTGGCACAAAGACATGACACACGAGACAAGGAATAGACCGAGACCGGGCTGTGCTATGATCGACAGGGATAGAAATGCCAGGGAAATTTCCGACCAAGATCAACACGCCGAAACCCTGCGAGACCCTGCGGGACTTGGGATTTAGGATTACGTGTAAGCACTGGGGCAACACACCCGTTGAAACAGCGTTGTGATTGGAAGTGGCCGGTGTAGCGTACCCAGTTGGGGGGGCGGGTGTTAGGGTGTTAACTGCCGATCGTTCATAAATCCATTTCTTCCCCTTATCTTCCCCTTCAACCATTCTTCCTACTCACCACAGTCATTCTTTTATACTGTTTTTTCGTCTTTTTTCATTATGGCAAACGGTCGCTCGTCGCAGGATGAGCGTAAGCTCGAGGGTGGCTCTCCCGCCCCTCAGGATAAGGGCCTCCACCCGGCCTTCTACATTGCGTGTGTAATTCGAATCTGGGAAGATGCTGGAACAAGTTGACTGAGCCTGGAGTTTCTAGTTTGTGGATTGCCCTGAGCTCCAGCGTCATCCTGTTCAACAAATGGGTTCTTGCGAGTGCCAAGTTCAGTATGTACCCTCCCCGGTCCCTGATCCCCTATTCGAGTCGCATCGGACTTGAGCTAACTATGATTGCTTTTAGACTTCCGTGAGTCCCTCAGCCGCCAACCGAGTTTGTACCGCGTTCGAAGATTCCAATTACTGACATGAGACCTCAGCGCTCTTTTTGACCACCTGGCACATGGTGTTCGCCACGGCCATGACCCAGATTCTCGCCCGGTTCACCACCGTGCTTGATTCGCGCCACAAGGTTCCCATGAACCCGGCCACCTACACGTGAGCAACCCCGATGATGCAAGAGCGAGCATAGTTGCATTCCAACCCGAATTTCGATTGCTGACAGATGGATTTGGGGAGTACAGACGAGCCATTGTGCCCATTGGTGTCATGTTCAGTTTGAGTCTGATTTGCGGTAACCTGGCATACCTCTACCTGAGTGTTTCTTTCATTCAGATGCTCAAGGTGCGTTTGAATTGAGGGGTTTAGCCCTCAAGATTCGACCCCCGCTCGACTACTTAGCCAGACTTTACAATCTAACACTGTGTCACTATAGGCCACCAATGCCGTCGCAACCCTCTTGGCCACCTGGGCTTTCGGTATCGCTCCCACCAACATGAAGACTCTCGGCAATGTGTCTCTCATTGTTGTCGGTGTTGTCATTGCCTCGTTCGGCGAGATCAAGTTCGAGATGGTCGGTTTCCTCATCCAGATCGCTGGTATCGTCTTCGAGGCCCTCCGTCTTGTCATGGTTCAGGGTCTGCTCAGCTCCGCTGAGTTCAAGATGGACCCCTTGGTTTCTCTGTACTACTACGCTCCCGCCTGCGCCGTGACCAACGGTATCGTCGCTCTCTTCGCTGAGCTTCCCCGTCTCACCATGGGTGATATCTACGGTCTCGGTATCGGAACCCTCATTGCCAACGCACTGGTTGCCTTCCTTCTTAACGCCTCCGTCGTCTTGCTGGTAAGTCTACACTTCGATGTGAATGGTAATTACACCGCTAATCCATGCAACAGATTGGCAAGACTTCTGCCGTTGTCCTGACCATGGCTGGTATCCTCAAGGATATCCTCCTTGTCGCCGCCTCCATGTTCATTTTCCGCGATCCCGTCACTCCCCAGCAGTTCTTCGGTTACTCTATTGCCCTGGCTGGTTTGGTGTACTACAAGCTCGGTGCTGAGAAGTGCCAGAGCCTTGCTACCGATGTGCGCCTCCAGGTCGGCGAGTTCAACCGCAGCAACCCCGCCCGCACCAAGGCCCTTCTCGTCGGTGTGCCTTGCGCTCTCGTTCTGTTCATTCTGTACAGCGGTAGCTCGTCCGCCGCCCCGGTGACGGTCTAAACATGAACGCATATATCGGCGAACTGAAGCAATCGACGGAAAGTTGGAGCACGTGGAGAAGCTTTTTTTCCACGCGAGTTTATTGTTTCACGAATTCAAGCTCGGAGAAAACCCGATGCTTATGTTAAATTTGATAAAGATCATGTCTTGTCTGGACAGGACACCACATGCATGTAAAGTTAGGGGACATAGATGATATCCGGCGGTCTAAATGGGGGAATAAGACTTATAATCAACGGTTGCATGAAAGCGATACTTTGTACTCCGTACGGAGTATCAATTAACACATTTATTGCTTGCGTATCTTCCCACCATGCGGAGTACATGTACTCCGTACAGAGTACCCCGTAGCTCTCTATATTCGGAGTAAATATAAACATCAGGAATGACGTAGCTTTTAAGCATATCGCCAGCCCCTTGCATAGCGCTTGAACAAGACTTGGGCCAAGATATCAGAGACAGCTCCACGCACTAAAATAGCTACGATATATCAAAAAGCCCCATGACATACTCCCTATGTGGGCGAGTCCTCCGCCTGGACAGCCCCTGGACCGCTTAAGGGGCGCTGTGGTGATTCATGGATATTATAGCTGATGGGCCAGGCTATCACAGTGTCATGGTGGACGGGTATCAGCTTGGATTAGTATGAGCCGCAGATGCTCTTCCAAGTCGATATCCACAACCCTAATGTTGAACCCATCCTATTCCCCTAATTGATGACAGGGGAAGTGACTCGCTCTCAGGGTGGAATCTCGAAAGTGGTAGGCATTCATTTCGAGGTGAATGAGGGAACCTTCATGAGCAAAGGGATGCAGGTGACCTCGAATGTCCGGTCTGATACATGTACTCCGTACTCCGTACTATTTCTCGAGATGTCGAGGAATGATTTATCTACAGAGGACAGGGAAATATGCGGAGTACTCATGGACGCTGCGTGTGGTTGTTGATTATGAAGGGACCTAGCAGCGGACTCCCTGGGAATGCATAGGATTGTTTTGCTGTGGCATTCCTCGCCAGCTAGCCGGCTACCTGTGTCTTCAGTTAAGACCTGGTGAGTGATGGTACTCTATTAGGACAATGTAGACTGTTTACTACAGGCTCTGTTTTCCGAATCTTGGGCTGGACTCGCCTGCTGTCAAGTGCATCGTGTATCAAGCGTCTTTGGTAGATCAATAAGTGATAGGAGAGCGTATCTATAAATAGAATAAGACAATCTCACACTCTTCATATTATAAATAGTTCCAGGCTCAGATAGCCGAGCACATCATTCGATTATAATTAGAAAAGCCTGGTGAAGGTGCGTGTTCAACGTGTCGAAATGGAAATGTGTCATTGTTGCGCGGGTGTTCGGGGCTACCAAATTGGCCAACGCCGATGTCCCAAATTCTTCTTTCGAAACACGTCGCACACTTGGCTTTTTCGAAGTTGACCAGGGATTTAGCATCAGATACTCCGAATCAAGTACTGGAAACAGCAAAAGAATAAATTTCGATCATGGCGACCACCACTAGGGGGATCGTTGTCATATCTGGCGGCAGTGCGGCGAACAATCTGGTCGACGTATTCAACGCCGTTCGTGAAGACAAGCACTGCTCTCTTAGCTACATCATTCCAATCAGTGACAATGGAGGATCTTCGTCGGAGCTGATTCGAATATTCGGCGGTCCTGGAATCGGCGACGTTCGAAGTAAGACGATCTGGATCCCCATCCCCTAACTCGCATACGTCCTGACTTTTTCACCAGGTAGATTGGTACGATTGATTCCAGATTCACCTGCAAATCCTGAGAGATCAGCAATCAAGGCATTATTCAATCATCGGCTCCCTGCCGAAGCAGGTGTTGCAACCAACGAATGGCAGTCCATCGTTGACGGCACATCGGGGCTCTGGACAGCCATCACCCCTGCAAAAAAAGAGCTGATACGCTCGTTCTTCAATGTATTAAACCTGGAGATTCTCAAACGCGCACGACCCCCATCATCGACCTTCGATTTCACCGCCGCAAGCGTGGGGAATCTGTTCTTAACGGCCGCCCGGCTGTTCAGTGGAAGTTTCGAAAGTGCTATCTACCTACTCGGAAGCATCTGTGGCGTACCCTCAGATCTTGTGCGCGTGATCCCAGCGATCAACTCCAATTTCTCACACCATATATCTGCATCACTCGCGGATGGCACTGTGATTGTCGGCCAGAACAGTATTTCTCATCCGAGTGAGGCGACAGCGCTGCAACACGCCCCTGGCTCCCGGAGACCGAGTCTGCTCCTCGCCGATGGAGATGATGTTGATTACACGGATTCCGAATTATCGGACCTGGCGACATACGAAGAGGACCATCTTCCCGGTTCCCTGGCCACTCTTCGCAACAAGAATATCAAGTTCAGTAAAACCGAGAACGAGGACTTGACTTCTAGAATCACTCGAATCTGGTACATCAACCCCTACGGGCAGGAGATCCGACCACCAGCCAACCCCCGAGTTTTGGAAGCAATAAACGATTCCCAGGCTATCATCTACAGCATTGGATCTCTTTATACATCAATCATCCCGGCAATAGTCCTCCGAGGCGTGGGAAAAAGCATCGTGTCCAGTCCGGCGCGGCACAAAATCCTCATCTTGAATGGATCACTGGATCGGGAGACCGGTCCTCCGTCCGCACCGTTCGTCGCCTCGGATTTCGTCGAGGCAATCGTCAGCGCTGGGGAAGAAAGCCGGGGACGGGGGCCGATTGGCCATTCCCAGCACCCAAGTCAGGACCCTGTGACCGCTTCATCGCAAGGGACTGTTCGCAATTACAGGGCTCTACCGTACACCAACTATGTTACTCATATTCTCCACTTGGAGGGCCCGGGGACGCCACATGTGGACCGTGAGCAGTTGACGCATATGGGTATTGAAACGCTTCGTCTCTATGGAAGAAAGATCGTAGCGAAGGATGGCGACAAGGAGACCGTCGTGGGGATGCAATATGATCCTAATGCACTTGTACAGGCTATTGAGGTGGTGCTGGGTAAGAAGGGCGATGCAATGGTTCGGGGAGGATTGGCAAATGGCCTCGGCCGACGTAATACCCTAGACCCTGCTAGAAGGGACCGATAGAATATAGATTAGCATATACCAAGAGGCGATATTTATAATATACACTGAGATCGAATTAAGTTTGCGCGTGTAAATCAATAGAAATGTGTATTCATAGATTCCGAGGGGGCCTAACTAGGCAAATGATGCTTCCTGTGGACCGGGGATAGAATGTACACAAGACAAACGCAAAGTTGAACACAATGAGAGTACGGAAACGCCATTGGTGATGCCCTGAGTGTCTTGCTTATTTGGCGAGACAAAAAAACAAAAGGAAACCACCTTTCCTCAAGCCCAGCTCGTTAACTCCGAATGCAGGTCGCTGATGCAAGATTTCGTAGAAGCCATCCGTTCCCAAACTCCGAGAAGTACATGTGTAGTGTAGAGGACGGGGAAAAAAGAGCGGAGAAAGAATCAAGTATTGAAAAACAGGGGAGAAAAAGCTGATGTGATGGTTTCAAACGGTAGGAGAGGGATCATCTCGCTTTCTCGTTTGGAAAATGATCGGAACGAGACCTCGAGACTTTCCAGAGTCACTTCGCGAGATTGGGGTCCGACAAACTGGGCATGTGCCCTTGGATTTCTTAGAAGTGTCGCCGTTCGAGTGGCGCGAACTAAACTCCAGATGATCATAAATACATCGGTGGCAGAATAAATGGCCTATGAATGAAGGATCAGTAAAAGCCCTAGCGTAAAGAAAACCAGGCCTGCAGAGTATCAAAAACATACCGCATACGGACGAAGTCCAACATTCTGGGGTTTCCAAGCAGATCGGGCACCGGTATGCGAGGAGGGGGTTGGAGTTCTGCTTAGGTTCGTTCTCGTCGGGTCCTTTTGGTCCGGAATGAATTCCGTGTTCGGAAGGATTTGCGCGCTCGAAATTGTTTGAGGGGAGGGTTGGTCGCAGACGCTTGGGGCTCGGTTCTCCCTGGACTGGTCGCTCCGCCATTGCTGTCTCTGGCTCTCTTATATTAGCAGATGAGTGAGGTACTTCAATCGAGCCTGAGTTACCTGTTAGATCCATCGCGAGGGAGATATTGTTGGCACGCGCCGAAGCTGAAGCGGAGGACTCTCCCGGTTGATTGTTGCTACGCTTAATACCACGAGAAGCAACTGGCTGTCTACCGCGGGAAAAAGGAGGCAAGTGATCAAAGGCGGTTGGCGGAGACGACGACACAGGAATAGCGGTGCGTCGCCGGGGCGTGCTGGCTGTCAGGTCAACAACCTCAGGCTCGTCGTCACTCATCTCGACTGACGGGGATTTGAGGTCTGCGTCGGAGTTGGAGGAAGGGTGAGGCGAGTTGAGAGAGATGGCGTCACCGAAGGGGAGATCAACAAAGGTAGGGACGGTAGGTGCAGGTGGTGGTGTGAAAGGCAATTCATGTGCCTGTGTAAACGAGAAGATGGTTTGAACTATCCGAGGAAACTGGGAAGTTTCAGTATCTGCAGAATTTGAGACACCGAGGGAACCAACAGGTTCCAGTTCAACAGCTTCATTGAATCCCAGTAGAGGCCTTGGAAACTCCAGCGATCGCCGCCACAGACCCCGCCACGAGAACCAGCTGGACATCTTATCGATAAGGCACGTGATGATTGTCTGAAATAAGAAGGCGGTCAAAGCGGGATCGGATAAACAAAATGCCGATCGGATGGAAGAGATGCGCGGGCGGTAGAGCGGAGATTTAATATTCCGATCGGAAATTGTTTGGGCCGGGAAATATGGCGGCAGAATACTGCGATGTGTCTGTAAGTAGAAGGCGGTCAGATAGGAAAAGGTGATTTTCCGAACTGCATGACGCCCGGATCTGGGATATTGTGATAGGCCATGATATGGAAATTACGTCTCTCGAGTTATTCTTTACTGCATTATTGCTAGCAGAAGTTTCTCTCCAAATCGCTCGTGCAGCCTTCTGGCTGTGATCGGATCTTCTAATATGACCTAACATTGTCAACATTTTTGTTCCTATGATGTTATCTTGGAGATCTTCCCGCACTCCTTGTTCCAGGGGTGGTGCTTTAAGGTCCTGTGCACGGCTAGGCTGGTCATCCCCAGTCGGAACGCAATCATGGAACATACTGCACCAGGCGCATATAAGGCTTTCCTCGACATCAGCTGAAATTGTTGATCAAACGAGAAGATCTCTCTCTGGTATGTGCTTCGCTTTGGAAAAATTAAAAAAAGAGCCGATAACTGATCGTACCCAGTTCCTTCGTCATCCAGATTCAATGAAATCGGAGTCCAACAATTAAGCGATTATGTCCATTCCCAAGTGTTCCCGAACAAAGGTCGGGTCCCGAACCCAGAACTAGTCGCACTTTCCAAGGATCATTTGGCTAGACATGAGCTCCTGGGGAAATCCCAAAGTGGCGCTGGCCCTGTTGCATTTGATCTTCCTATGCTCAAGGGCGAGACTCTGGATGAACATTTCTACAAACTCGGCATGGATTCGTCCGAGCCCTACTTGACAAACGCGAAATCATATGCAGCTCTCAACTGTCCATCCAAACCACGCAAATGGGTGAAACGTAGTGGGTGGACAAAATACCATACCGACGGCACCACTGAGCCCGTTGATGCCCCCAATGAATCAATGCTTACATTTGACACCGAGGTCATGTATAAGGATAACTCATTCGCAGTCATGGCTTGCGCAGTGAGTCCGACAGCATGGTATGCATGGCTTTCACCATGGCTGCTCGGTGAGTCGAACAATAAAACCCAGCTTATACCCTTGGGCGATCCTACCAAACCTCGCATCGTGGTTGGCCACAACATTGGTTACGACCGAGCCCGTGTCCTTGAGGAATACAACATGCAACAGTCCCAAAATTTCTTCCTTGACACTATGTCCCTTCACGTTGCGGTCAATGGCATGTGTTCACAGCAGAGACCGACTTGGATGCGACATAAAAAGAACCAGGACTTGAGGGATAAAATTGCAAATGAGCACGATTCTGTGGAGCTTGCGGCGCTTCTCGAAAATAACATGCTGAGGGAAGAAGAAGAAGAGCTTTGGGTGGGACGAAGCTCGGTCAATTCATTGCGAGACGTGGCCAAGTTTCATTGTGATGTCACCATTGACAAGGCGCAGAGAGATCTTTTTGGTGAACTTGATCGTGACTCTATCGTGGGCAGACTGGAGGAACTTCTCGACTACTGTGCGGCGGATGTTGCCATCACCCACCGTGTTTATCGGAAGGTCTTCCCCAACTTCCTCGAGACTTGTCCACATCCCGTCAGTTTCGGCGCTCTTCGACACTTGTCCTCTGTCATTTTGCCAGTCAATCAGACCTGGGGAGAGTATCTCGCTAGCGCAGAAGAAATATATCACCAGCGACTTGACGAGGTACAAAGTAAATTGCTTGAATTATGCGACGAGGCATTGAAATGCAAAGAGCAACCGGAGTTCTACACAATTGATCCTTGGCTACGACAGCTGGACTGGTCAGGCCAGGAGATCAAAATGGTGAAAGGAAAGAAAAAGGGGGACCCTCCCCGGCCGGCAGCCAGACAGAAGAAACCAGGAATGCCCAAGTGGTACAAGGATCTTTTTGTCTCCAATGCCGCAGATATCAATTTGACAGTACGAACTCGCATTGCACCTATCTTGCTCAAACTGTCATGGGACAATCACCCCCTTGTATGGTCGGATTTGCACGGATGGACGTTCCGCGTTCCGCGTGATCAGCTTCAACAGTATGAGAATCAGCCAGTCGTTATGTGTGATATGGCCGAGGAAAAGAATCTCGAGTTACGAGAGGACAACAAAGCCACATACTTCAAAATTCCCCACAAAGACGGCCCACAGGCTAGGTGTACCAATCCGCTTGGCAAAGGATATATGCAGTATTTTGAGCGCGGGATCCTTTCATCCCAGTACGAACTTGCCAAAAAAGCGCTGGATCTGAACGCCTCATGCTCATATTGGATCAGCGCCCGAGATCGCATCAAAAGCCAAATCGTGGTCTATGAAGATCAAGTGCAGAAGAGCGGACAGAAAAGCGAAACGAGCGACAACCGTGTCGGTTTCATTTTACCCCAAATTATCCCTATGGGAACCATCACTCGACGTGCTGTGGAAAATACCTGGCTGACTGCAAGTAACGCCAAAGCCAACCGAGTGGGGTCAGAGCTGAAGGCCATGATCAAAGCACCACCAGGTTACTCGTTTGTCGGAGCCGATGTTGACTCCCAAGAGTTATGGATTGCAAGTCTTGTCGGAGATGCCCCATTCCAAATCCACGGGGGAAATGCCATTGGTTTCATGTGTTTAGAAGGATCTAAAGCTGAAGGAACAGATCTCCACTCACGAAGTGCCTCAATCCTGGGTATCTCGCGTAACGATGCTAAGGTCTTCAACTACGGCCGAATCTACGGGGCTGGCGTCAAGTTTGCCGCTACCTTGCTTCGCCAGTTCAACCCTTCTTTGACCGAAAAGCAGACACAGGAGACCGCGCAAAATCTATACAAAGAGACCAAAGGAACGCGCACTTCACGGCGCCACTTGAGTGAGACACCTTTCTGGCGAGGTGGTACCGAATCTTTTGTATTCAATAAACTGGAAGAGTTTGCGGATCAGGAACGGCCCCGAACGCCGGTCTTGGGTGCTGGAATCACTGAGGCGCTCATGCGACGTTTCATCAACAAAGGCAGTTTCATGACATCTCGAATCAATTGGGCCATTCAGTCATCGGGCGTTGATTATCTTCACCTTTTGATTGTTGGCATGGACTATCTCATCCGACAATTCAATATCCAAGCTCGCTTGGCCATCACTGTTCACGATGAAATCCGTTATCTTGTCAAAAATGAGGATAGGTACCGCGCCGCGATGGCATTGCAGGTTGCCAACGTCTGGACCCGTGCCCTCTTTTCGCAGCAAGTAGGCATTGATGACCTCCCCCAGTCTTGTGCCTATTTCTCAGCTGTCGATATCGACCATGTACTTCGCAAAGAAGTCGACATGGACTGTGTCACTCCTTCGCATCCCCACAAAATTCCTCATGGTGAAACACTGGATATTACTCAGCTTCTGGAAAAAGATCAGGAGGCTTTCTTGGACCCTTCCATCATCCCACAGTCTCCTCCAAATCCCGACCAATATCCATACACCCCCCGCGAGTCCGTCATGTCCGCCCTTCAAGCCTCTAATGACATTGATTTCATCAAAGCTCAGATCACCAAGGATGACAAAGAGCTTCGTGATATCATCAAGGAGAAGATCCGTCGGACAGCTACTAGCGACAGCACTTCTCGCGCTCCTACCTCAGCCACCAAAGTTGCTGGCAAATCCACCGGCTGGTCCTCACCAAAGCCCCAGCGGGCGGTTCTGATAGATTTGGATTCAGTGTTGTATCCTGATTTCCACAGCCCCCGGGCTAATTCCCATGGGAGCAAGCAGGGCCTGGGACTCCACCGTCCTTCTTGGAAACCACGGCCTACAGCCCGCGCTTAGTGCCGGCTATTTGCTCTCATTTTCATTCTTGTATTTTTCTGACATCTTATTTTTCACTGTAATTATTGCTCTACTTACCGATCTTGACTATTTGGGCGGAGGTTGTTATATCTGGGATGGTTGGAAACCAGCATTGGGACGGCGTTATTGTATGGTGCATAGTGATGTGGTTGACGAGACAAAAGCTGTGTACTTTATATGTGTATGAATGCAGATTCTCAAATCCAACTGTGCAATGTAACGAACTGACCATTGCGTATACCAAGCCGCCATTAAATAAGGTCAGACGGGAAGAATACTCCACCTACACCCCTGTGCTCCGTGCGATATGCGACGTGGAGACATGACCCCCTGTGTCTCCTGTTTCTGCTAATTTTTCTTTTCTTCATTCTTCGATTGATTCATTCTCATGCCAATATCCTCCGTACAACTTTCTTTGCAACGGGGCTTGTCTTGGTTGTCTGCACACACGGCGGACCATCAACGCCTCCTCGACGTCATATCCCCCCACGAGTCCGATATGTTCTCACATGGACCAGTGGTGTCCCAATGAGACACGATCAAACCCGAATTCTTTGTGATCTATACTCTCTGGCAAGAGCTACTCAAAGACCGCATTGCCTTGATCCCTGCTGCGTATCGTCGAGACAAAGGGCATTCAGTTTTGGAGCCGATGAAAACCCGTCATTCCACGACCCAATTGGATGTGCGCATCTAATTGAGCCGTGAGAATGAGTGTACACTCACTCGATTATGCACACCATGGTATGGCACAATCCGAAGTTGATATCGAGGCTGGTCGCCCATCAGTTGGCTCTCAAGCATCTCCAACAGGAAGGGACAGAGAGGGGAGCTCATTCCCCGCGTTCAGTACAGCTGCAGAACGAGTGAATACCAATGAAACAACAAAACGCCGAACCAGACGCTCGAATACTGCCCGCTCATATCACCCCGAGGGATTTGCGCATGATCCCAACTGGCAGCCAGGAACCGAGCCCGGTATCGATCCGACGAAGCCGCTCCCCACGTACACGTCGGAATGGGCGTCAAATATACCCGCGGACCTGCACCGACGCTGCGAGATCACGGTGGTGGACTTTTCTCAAAATGAAATGCGACAGTATGTGCTAGACAACGACACGCTGGAAGACTTTTTGAAGCGGGAGAGAGAGCCTTGGGTGCAATGTCGCTGGATCAATGTCAACGGATTGAGCTGGGACGTGATCAAGATTCTCGGAAACCATAAAAGATTGCATCGACTTGCGATTGAAGACGTTGTTCATACAACCAATCGCACGAAGGCAGACTGGTACTCGGACCACGCTTTTGTCGTGTTGACTTTGCAGAAATTGATGAAGATCCAGGAAGTCGACTCCGATTCGGAAGATGAGGACGGAGCTTCGGTGAGTCGATGGAAGTCTAGGGACCGGAAGAGCTCGGTTTCCAGTGACAAGAGCTCGGTTTCGTTGAAGCTACCTACGAAACGGAATGTTGTTATGGCCGCGTTAAAGGACATTTTCAGATTCAGATCATCCGCGCGCCCAGAGCGCAAAGCGAAGGCGACATTATCGAGTGTCCGACCTGGCCTCGGACGGGGTGGTTCCAAACACACTTCTCATTTCGGGGATGTTGGTACCATCACAGAAACGACTGCAAGGAGTCTCCAACGGTATCGCGGTGGTCCCAACGAAGATCGGATTGAGTTCATGGAACGTCATGCTGCGCTTGCTGCTAAAGGACTGTGTGTTACTTTGGAGCAAGTTGCGATCTTCCTCCATGCCGATAATACGGTGACTTCTTTCTTCGAAACCAGCGCGGATGACGTTGAAGCCCCAATTGTCAGGCGTCTCAATTCACCTGAAACTATACTTCGACAGTCGTGCGATGCCAGCATGCTCTTGCAAGCCATTCTTGATGCCGTGATCGATCTTGCAATCCCAGTCACTATGGCCTATCAAGATGCCATCGGAGACCTCGAGCTGGAGGTCCTGACTGATCCAGACATTGAGCAATCCAAATCGTTGTATATCTTAACATCTGAGATCGCTATTCTACGGAACTCCATGCAGCCCATTGTGGCAGTGATCAATGCTCTCCGTGACCACCGATCCGAACCCGTTGGCACGCCTGGACTTGGTGTATTGCGAAATCCTCTTAGCCCGTCTACGGCTCCTGCGGAGACAGCTGAGCCCCGCCCTTATTTTGGGCTTGTGACTCCGAATTTGAAAAGCCTTGGAGGCACCAGTGTTACGATCAGTTCCATGTGCCATACATACTTGGGTGACGCCCTGGATCACTGCATTACTATCGTTGAAGGGTACGATCAAATGCGGCGCAACGCTGATAACATGATAGACCTCATTTTCAACACCATTGGTAGGTTTTTCTTGTATTCCACGCAGAACCCCAACTAACGTGCTGCGTAGGTGCCTACCAGAACGAGAGTATGAAGCAGCTCACACTTGTAACTTGCCTTTATCTTCCCATGACAGTCTTGACGGTACGTACGCTTTCAATGCCTCTAATCCATTGAGGTTTGTTGCTGACAGCATTCCAAGGGTTATTTCGGAATGAACTTCAAGACTTTTGATGCGATCGAACATAATGAATCGTACGTTCCTTTGTCTCCTTGATGAATGCAATGCTGACCTTCACAGATATTTCTGGCAGATCGCGGTACCGTTCGTCTTGGCCACAACTATTATCCTGATGTAAGTGCTAATTTAATATCATTGGAAAAGACTGGCACTAATCTATATTTTAGGCGTGACAAAATCAAGCGCTACGCTGTGATGCTCGCTCAGAGACGTTTGATTGTTAGCTCGAGGAAGCAGAGACGGCAAAGGAAAAAGTGAATCATACGCGAGTCTCGGGTTATTTTTATACTCCTTGTACCAAGGTGTTATTCAATACAGGCGTTTAGCTTGAGCGTCTTTCTATTTGTACACATATTCTTTGTATATACCTTGTTGGTTCTTGTATTGATATTTTTTTAACTGAACATCACTTCTGTAATCCCTGGCAACAAAACTCGAGACAACTGTTTTTCTATCTGTAATGTACAAAGAAGTCACCGACGGTCTTGATTGTCTATAGATACATATCATACACAGTTCGAATGTCATCAGTCAAGAGACCTCCGTCGATAAGCCGAGTAGGCCTTCCACGGAAGTCGCCAGTCTGATTTAAGTAACTCCGGGCTGAAAATATCAAAGTCTTGCTTTTCCAAGCGATCCAACCACAAACGTGTGCCAACCGCCGGCAGGAAGACACCAAACGCCCGGTTGATCTCATCAAGAGGCGACTCGCCGCTTCGAGCACTCGAAGAGACATCGTATTCATGTCCCTCTTCGCCCTCATGCTCGAAGTCATGGCCAACATCCTCTCCCGCCTTCAGATTACTCAACATCTGCTGCACGGTGATTAAATGATCACTTGCGCGCGTCGCAACGGTGAAGACCGCATCCCGGAGGCCCTCGGCTTGAGCTCCGTACCGGAGGACATCCTCCTCCTTCACGCCTGCCTGTGCCATAACATCCAGAGGCAGCATCACAGCGCCCTGCTTCGTACCCCCACCAATGGCGTTCGCAGCCCCGCCAGGGGGTGCCTGAGCAGCCGGTGCGGGGAATGCAACAAACGGCAATCCACGCAACACAGCTGTAATTCCCACTGCCTTTCCAATATGGGATGCAACATGGTCGGCAGTTACCGAAGCCATGGGCAACGCAGATAGAGTGAGGTACATGAGCGTCGAGTATGTGTTCTCGGAGTAGGACTCGAGCGCCGCGATATTTGGGTATGGATCGTTGGTTAAGGTTTGCTCTCGCGAGTTAATTATACGAGTCAACCAGCCCTTGCTTATCCGCGCGCGGCCCTGCGTACGTTCATGGAGCTCGGAGATGGCGGATGCAAGCAAAATAGCAACGGGTTCTTTTGGTGGTGTTCCGGCCAGGATTTTCGTTACGGCGTCGCGCCAGAATTGGAGTCGCATCAGTCCGATTGTGGGAGAAGAAGTTGTGTCGGGGATCATGGAGAGGGAGACATTTAATGCGCGCAGCGCTATATAGAATGATTGGGCATGTCGCGGGATGAAGGTGCTCAGTGTGTAGGAGGGTCGGTCATACTTTCTGATAGTGAGAAACCTCCTGTTAGCAATCAGAAATATATAGATCTTCGACGTTTTAATGCGCTCGAAGGATCAGATATGAATGCAAGGTGTGGCATACGAGAGTAAAGCAACACAGTATTTGTGAGCGCCTTGGACCTCTTCCGCGGTCAGCGATGCCGCAGCAAATGGTGTCCTGCTGAAGTGTCGTTTTTGTGATTGAACGGTTCGAATATTGAATCGGCAGGCTCTGCTTGCCTGGAAAGGGCTCCTTGGCCCGAGGAAAGACATTATGTGGAAAGCTGTCGTAGTTGCGGCTCCGGGGAAAAGGTTTGGCGATGTAATGCGGCGAAAGGCATTGGCCGAGCACCAATCTTTGTCAGCGCGTGGATTGGGCGCTGGAGGTGTGCATAGAACAAGAAAAAAATAGAGGAAAATATCAGAAAATCATGTCAAATGAGATGCATCCCAAGAACGAAAATGAAAAATAATCCAGGGCCTGCGTTGTAGTGGCCTCGCATTCTGTAAATCTGTAAACCGCTGACGTCGATCCGCCTGACTTCGCGTTTCTCGGCGCGTCTCCTCGACTCAACTTTTTCATCTTCGCCATCAAAAGACTCAATGTTACAGCGAATATGAGTGAGGATGATGAGAAACGACCAGCAAAGAGACAGCGTTTCTTCACAGATCCTCCAGAATCGCCTTTACCGACTAAGGCCCGAGAAACGGACGCGTCCTTATCTGGTCATTGCCCGAAGAGCGAGGAACACCACGATCCTCGGACGGATCATGACGCCACGCTAGAGCTCCGGTCTCTCGAACGCATTCCCGAAAGCTCCCCTGGCTTGGATAACGAGATCGAGCAGCAGGATACACAGATCCGAACGGCTGGCCCGGATTTACCTGCTGTATCTAGTGCCTCACAGCCCCAGAATGGCGCAGGCCGGCAGAAAATAGAGGAAGTGACTACCAGTACCACCATATCACACACCGTTGCAGATGGGTTTGATGTCGACCTTTTTACCAGCATTGTGGGGGAGCAGTTGTCCGCAGATTCCATCAGGACCATCCAGTCGGCCGCTTCCAATAACATCGAACGGGCTGTCAACATATACTTCGACGGATCGTGGAGGAAACCCGGGCGTTTAAGTGGCGGCGTTTCTGTCAGAAATCGACAAACTCCTGTCCAGGTAAACCTTAGTCCTGAACTCCCGATAGGCAGTGAATCGGTTCTGCGAAATCAGCCACCCGCACGATATGTTGGCGCCTTTGGTGTGGGAGGATGGGCAACCAGGAGTGGCCTAGCATTTCTCAAGCATGGGGATCCCGTAAATATTGAACGTGCACGCTCACAGCCAACAATGAAACGTGGTCGAGGAGGCAAGGCATTTGTCAACCAGAAAAGCGACGTTCTGACTCGATTTACAAACACCTCGGGCCAAGAAATTGGAAGGCTTCCGCACGAGACGGCTGAATGGGTTTCTACGCTGATTGATCAGAAGATCTGTCGGTTTGAAGGAGTCTGTGTGTTTGTACCCGATAGGGTGCGAGTCAATGATACCATATACTTGCAACTTCGGGTTTACATGCGCAAAGAAGCCTTCCAGAGTGGTGCGTTCGCTGCTTTGAATGTTAATGACAACAGGTCCACTGGACTGTTTGAAGAGAAAGAGAGCACCGAGGAAAAGACTCTACGACTGAGGCAAGTCGCTCTTGTAAAGCTGTTTCAGGAGATCAATCTCCATCCTACGTCGACCAACCCCACCACAGAAAAGCACAAGAGAGATGGCATTTTGCGTGCCGCTGAAATTGCAGAGCAATACGACGGCATGAAGAAAGAAAAGGACAAATCCAAATCAACCAAGGATCCCAATGATTCATCTGCAGAAGAGGAGACCGAAGAACTAGAAGAGGATCAGCTCGACACGCTATATCGGAAGGCGCAGTCATTTGATTTCAACATGCCAGCAGCAGATCCAGCACCCACGTTCACGCTTAATCTGCGTAAATATCAACAACAAGCTCTTCATTGGATGCTGTCAAAAGAGAGAGACTCCAAAGATACCCGAGACAAGTCAATGCATCCTTTGTGGGAACAATACACTTGGCCCATAAAAGATGTGGACGATAAAGAGTTACCACAAGTTCAGAACATTGACCACTTTTATGTCAATCCTTATTCGGGAGACCTCAGTGTTGACTTCCCTGCTCAGGAGCAACAATGCCGGGGCGGAATCCTGGCTGATGAAATGGGACTTGGGAAAACTATCGAGATGCTCAGTCTGGTGCATTCACACAGAGCTGAGCCGGATCCGCAGATTATGAATGGCCTTAGCTCTGTGAATGACCTTGCCAGAATGCCCAACTCTACTGGAGTGATTCCCGCACCGTATACCACTCTAGTCGTTGCACCTACATCGCTAATCTCCCAATGGGAAAGCGAGGCACTTAAAGCGGGAACATTGAGAGTTCTTGTTTACTATGGGTCAGACAAGGCTGTCAATTTGAGGGATTTATGTTGCGAATCCAAATATGCATCGGCTCCCCAGGTAATTGTCACCAGCTATGGTGTAGTCCTTTCAGAATTCCGCCAGCTCGCCCTCCAATCTGCCTTTGGGCCCAGTGCAAATGGAGGCTTGTTCTCTGTAGAATTCTTCCGCGTCATACTCGATGAGGCTCATGTGATCAAGAATCGGCGTTCTAAATCTGCTAGGTCATGCTGTGAGTTGAAGGCAACCCATCGATGGGCACTGACTGGCACGCCGATTGTCAATCGTCTGGAGGATCTCTTCAGTCTGGTGCGCTTCCTAAGAGTTGAACCATGGAGCAATTTTTCCTTTTGGAAGACGTTCATCACCGTGCCGTTTGAATCTAAAGAATATGTACGCGCCCTCAACGTCGTCCAAAGTGTACTGGAACCTCTTGTTCTTCGGCGAACCAAATCGATGAAAACTCCAGAAGGCGAGCCATTAGTTCCCTTGCCCAAAAAGACAGTCACAATTGAGGAGGTGGAGCTACCGAAGCGAGAACGGGAAATTTACGACTGCATATTTACACGAGCGAAACGAACTTACAATGACAATGTCGAGGCTGGCACACTGTTGCAGTCTTACAGCACAATCTTTGCACAAATTCTCCGTCTTCGTCAGACCTGCTGTCATCCCGTGATGACCCGCAATAAAGCCATCGTCGCAGATGAAGAGAATGCGGCAATGGCAGCTGATGCTGCGAATGAACTGAAAGACGATATGGATCTTCAGGAATTGATCAATCAATTCACGACCGAAAATAAGAATGCCGACTCTCAAGATACCCCCGGAACAATGGTCAAGTTCACTACGCATGCTCTCCGGCAGATCCAGACTGAGTCAAGTGGCGAATGCCCTATCTGTTGCGAAGAGCCTATGATCGATCCCGCGGTGACAGCGTGCTGGCACAGTGCGTGTAAGAAATGTCTCGAAGATTTCTTGCAACACCAAATGAACAAAAACGTTGAGGCAAGATGCTTCAATTGCCGTGCTCCAGTGGATGCAAAGAATACATTCGAAGTAGTACGACATCCGGTCTCAACCTCGCTGTCCTTCGCAGATGACAACGTGAGTAGCACGCCGCCAACCAGCTCTCAGCCTGCCCCACGGATCTCCCTCCGTCGTATATACCCTCTCTCTCCTTCCGCTCACACTTCGGCCAAGATCCATGCCCTCATCAATCATCTTGGACGCATCCCTCCCAATACCAAATCCGTTGTCTTTTCCCAATTTACGTCTTTCCTGGACCTTATCGGTCCACAACTTTCCCGAGTCGGAATCTCATATCTCCGCCTCGATGGCTCGATGCCCCAAAAGGCTCGCGCCGCTGTTCTAGCAGAGTTTACAAAAGCAGAAAGCTATACCGACGATGACATTGTTGATCCAGAGATCGATGCCCCCGGGAAAAGTGTACCTTCACCCAAATCTGCACCTTCACCCTCTACACCAGCTCCTACAGTCCTACTCATCTCTCTCCGCGCCGGTGGTGTGGGCCTCAACCTCACCACCGCAAGCAATGTCTTCGTGATGGATCCTTGGTGGAGTTTCGCAATCGAAGCACAGGCCATCGACCGCGTCCACCGAATGGGTCAAACACGCGATGTCAATGTGACGCGGTTCGTGGTGAAAGATTCAATCGAGGGCCGCATGCTGCGCGTGCAAGAGCGTAAAATGAATATTGCCGGCTCGCTGGGATTGAAGATCGGCGGTGATGATGGAGACGATGATAAGGGGAAGGAGAGACTTGCAGAGTTGAAAATGTTGTTCGAGTGATTCTTTGTTTAGACAGGAGATACCCTGCTTCAGCGTGGAATTGGAATGTTGTTTTTGGTTAGGTGCTAAATACCATTGATCTTGACTCAATTTATAACCCTTGGGGATTTGTGTTTTCTTCCAACTCTTCACTCCATCATACAGAGAAGGCAGGATTTGAGCCAATCGAAATACATTTCAAACATTAATACACCTGGGATTAGGAACTAGAGGACGTGTTAAATAAGATATGAAAAAAGACACACAGCAAAGACATCCGGAACTTCGTCACCACCACATCAGCTGCAAGATGTTCTCTGAACAGTGGCATTGCCTCTTAGGAGCTCGAATGATGGAGATGCTTCTTGACGCTCTCCTTAACCTTCGACATAGTCCCTTGCTTTCCGCTTTTATGTGAATCGGTCCCAGACTTATTACTGCCAGTAGGAGACTTGTTACTGTTCGCGCTATCCTTAGACTCACTCGAGAAGACTATCAAAACCGTCAGCACCAAGAACATACAACAAAAACGTAGGAAAACTCACTCTTTTCAATATCACTATTCTTACCACCCTTCTTCCCCTGCGACTCATTCTCGAATTCCTCTGCAGGCCTCGGCGCCGGACCCTGCGGGCCCTCAAGCGCCTCTTTGCTCACATCCTGGGGGCGCGGTGGGTGCGGCGCTTCACTGCTTTCACCCTCTCCAGCTTGCGAGGTGCTGCGCTGCTCCTTCTCGGTATCGTTGTTACCAGAAATCGGTTCCGTGGAGCCGCTGGAAACGGGCTGCGCGGTGCTGCGCTGCTCTTTCTCAGTGTCGTTGCTGCTGGCAAGAGATTTCGTGGACGCGCTGGAAACGGGCTGCGCGGTGCTGCGCTGCTCATTCTCAGTGCCGTTGCTGCTGGCAAGAGATTCCGTGCAGCCGCTGGAAATGGGCTGCGCGATGCTGGTTCTGGGACTAATGCTGCTGGAGGTCTCGATGCTAGCAGCGCCGCCAGTGGTAATGGTGGTGTTTAGATTGTCGGTCGACTTGGCTCCTGTGGATGGGTCTGGGTGGGTTGTGAAGATGCCTCCTTGGGGGTCTTGCCGCTTGCCATCTACGATGGGGAGTTGGATGGCAGTGTTGGCTTCTGTCGCAATTGCACCGGGTTGGTCTGCGGGGGAGTGTATTAGATATGATGACCCTGTATGGGAAGGAAAGTCTGAACTGATATAGATGATGCGGTTGAGCAGTACTTACCCTCACGATTGCCGGCATCATAGGGATCTGTGGCGAGTCCTTTGCCCTGAATACCAGAGATGGGCTCTTCGCCGTGCTGCTGTGCAGCTTGTTGAGCGCTAGTAGACGGGTTCTCGCCCCAGAGGGCAGTTGAAGCAGCCGTCGAAGCAGCGTTGACGTATTTATTGACTGTCTCCATGATTGTAGATTTGTTTAGTTCAAGATAATGATGGATGGGCAAGAAGTATGGCAAGTGGCGAGAGTTTGATATAGGAGATAAGCAAGACTAAGGACGTTGGGTATATGATGAGACGAGGTCTGGAGTATGAAGTAGAACCAGAAGCAGTCTTTGATTGAGAATGGGTATAAAAGATTAATTGAGTTGATAAGAGTATGCTAAGAAGTCTTGGATGCTCTGGGCAGCTCAAGCTTTATGAACCCACTGGGTTAGGACCCTGTTGCTCAATACGTCAGTGGTTGTTTGGCCACAGTGGCTTGCACTTGGATCCCCTGTCTTTTACGTCCCCATTGATCCCACTGATTGCTCGACGACTTGCGAATGACATTCGAATGTTAGATTCGGACTGCTGAACGAGCGGCGATCGTCTGGGCCTATGTCATAGCCTGACGTCATATACTGTGTGTCATGTGACCTTATACTTCTGGACGAAGTAGGTACTTTGTAGATCGTACATCACCAGAGATAGTAGTATACATGTATCTCGTTCAATCAGCTTGTAGCCATCTAGCCATGGTTTCTAACATGAGAATTATGAATGCAGTTATGACAAGAACGAGGTGGGACATAATCTAACGCTTGGCACGGGAAAAGACGAAGTACGTAGAACAAAGAAAGGAACGAAGACAAAGAAACTCCCGCGAAATCAAAGAAAAACAAAGTTCATGCGTGAGGTATTGAGGGAGTTGGAGTGGCGGCTCCTTCTTGAGCACCTGGATTCAAAGGTTGGCTCGAGTCGTAACCGAGACTCTTCACAATTCCAAGTCCCTTGGTCTTGCCCTCACGGAAGAGAACACGGTCTCCGGGGGCCAAGAATTCGGGACGTTGGACGAATCTGAAAGCGACTAGCGCCCGATCGCCAGTTCGAATGAAGGGTCGGTCGATGTCAATGACTGAGCAGGTCTGACTAACTGCCCCGACATGCAGCATGGCTTGATATTTAGGCTTGATGGTGGTTGCGTGAGAAAGAATCAGAACTGGTTTCGTTAGCATGCGGCGAATCAAGAGTGAATAGATGACTTACCCTCCGCGACGAATTCCCGATATACCTTTGGAACTTCGTCCAACTTCTTCAACACAACCATGCCTTTGCGGACCTCCTTTCGGCGGACGCGCTTCAAAGCAAAAGAGCCGGACTGGCCAGCAAAGCAAGCATTCACCTGGATACGTTTGCGCTCAATAGATTTGATCACTGTGGTGGTGAACTGGCCGAGCGAGTCCGGTCCAACTACGACCGTGTCTCCCGCGTGGATGACCCCAGACTTGACCACACCCGCGACGACAGTCCCTACATGGGGAACAGAGAAAGTGTCGTTGATCAAGAACTCAAACGCTCCCTCTGCGTCATATTGACCGCGGTGAGGCAGAATGTTCAGGAAGGTCCGTACTAGATCGAGGTTCTCTCCGGTGACATTGGACACCTGGAAAATAGGACATATTCGCTGGCTTACGAATTGTGTGGCCGTGTTAATAGTCTCTTCCATATCCTTGACGAATATGGGAATCTTGCGAGCGCCAGGGGATTTGAGAATCTTGGTCAGCTGCGACAAGGTTTCTTGCAGAATATGGGGTGGGCAAATGTCGATCTTGGTCACAATGACCATCACTGGCACATTAAGCGCCAAAGCAATACCGAGATGTTCCTTGCTCATTCCGATAAGACCGTTGTTGGCGGCAACCATCAACAAACAGTAGTTGGGGCTGCTGCTCAACATACCGAACACAGTGGTGCGCAGGTATCGCTCGTGACCTGCCAGATCGGAGAAGGAGATGACTTTGGCAGAGCGCTTGCCAATTTCTTCCCATGAGAGCTTCCGGCCTTGCGAATTGCCAACGATCTCACCACGGCTGTCGAAGCCCATGATCTCCAAACCGACGGAGCTGGTACGCCCACTTTCAATCTCGTGCTTGTGACGGAACAGGTTGACTCGCGCACGACCACGCCCATCGTCAAGACCACCTTTCACCAATACTCCCAGCATAGTGCTCTTACCAGCATCGACATTACCCACCACGGCTATTCGGAGCTCGGCCATCTCCTCGATGTTATCAGCGTGGTGGCGTACCAAGACCTTTCCCCAGGCGCCTTGAATCCGGTTACTATTGACCGAGGATTCCTCAGGGCCACCGACGTTATAGGTCAACAATACCCGGCAATGGGCAGGGATGGTCTCTGCCGCCTCGCACAGGCGCTGCAGTGCCGTCTTCCATTGATCGAGGTCGAAGCCCATGGACTCACCACCATCCTCCAATCCGAGATCAAGAATGGTCTCTCCATGGCCTTCGTCAATACGTGTTTGTAATATCCCAGCTAACACCTGCAGGTTGTCTTCGATGGCGTCGCCCGTACCGAGAAGGAGATCCTTCAGTTTAGCTGTTCTAGGTGTGTCCGACAGCCCGAGCTGGTCGAGGATGTCGAGCTCTGCATGATCTTCCTGATCGCGGGACACGCTCGCGGTGGAATATCCGCTGTCGCTGGGTGCGACTTGACCGGAGCGGTGGGCTTGCTGCTTCTCAGCATACTCGGCGAATTCACTCAGAGCCTAAGTGAAGGTCATGTAAGGTGGCGGAATCTCTCATCTTCATTCACGAAACATACAATTTCACCCCTTCGCCGCTCCTCATGGCTTAGTTTCCCAGTTGCAGGCATAGTGGGGAGTTGATAAGTCTAATTATGTGTGGACTGATTGTTGTGCCGCCTTTTGGGGTTAGTGACGTTATTGGTCGGTGGATCGGGATCGCCGTTACTGTTGGGTATGAAGATGTATTCGAGTGATCATAGTTTTCTTTTGTCCAGGAGATGAACAAAATGTGAAGAATGTAGAGAGGTATTTGAGTGAAGTGTAGGGTCTGGGGCACATTGTAGGGGGAAGGGGAGCTTTATCGATAAGTTCGAGTCACCGATTGAGTCATCGACCCAGAGACATCAGCCGCATCAGTTGATCCAAAGCTGGCGGACTAGATCAGAGCTCAGGCAAATCCAAATGTGACTAACAATTGCACAGCCTCTACGAAGCTCAGAGTAGTGCATATAGGGCTAGATCCATTTACTAGATCCATCTACTAGATCCAATGGAACCAGGATGATCATAAACCAGTTTGCATGGCATCGTTATCTATGTTGGCTGTATTTTGTGGTATCTCGTGTTCCTCCAAGGGTCCTTCATTGTTCACGTAGTCGCCGGACGCCATACCCTCTATTCAGGGCATATCAGGTCTCTCATGCCTGAGGGGAGATCAAGACAACCGAGTCTCCTAGATAGGTGTTAGCACCCACCGAGCATACTCGATATTCCATTCTTCCAACTCACCTCGCACGAAAAGCATCTCCTCTTGTTTCTTGATTGTCTGCATTGGGGGGAATCCAGATTAGCCCGTGGCCGTATGAATCGCCGGATTCACATGTTGCCTACCCGCACAATCTCTTCTTCGTTTTCGTCCTCTTCCACCACATAGATTGTCTCCTCCACATCGCCAAGCACCAGATTGCAGTGACTGTCGTAGGCCTGTAGAGAGATGACACAGTCAGTAGTCAGCCCGCAGATGGTCATATTGTAGGGGGGGCAGCTCACGTGAAGACGGCCCTTGAGTTCACGGTCACCGCGCAGCTTCACGAACACGGTCTCATCGAGAGAGAGACGAACGAGATCCAGGGGCTCAGAGACGGATGGACCGCCAGTATCTTCGGTGTCAGCCATGATCGAAAGGGGTGATTGAATTGTTATGGACACAGGTCCACCGGCGCAGAATCAACGAGCTTTGGCTGTGGCCTAATGGGGTTTAGCGTTGCCCGTGCCCGTGGGCCTGCTGAGTCAGCCACTACCCCGGGTTTTCGGGGGTTTGGCCTAACGGAGGTACCCACTCGATCTAGATGACAGGTATGGGGTGGAGTATAGAGAAGGTCAAAACGAACAAAACTAAAAGGCATACAACATAAACATCATATAGAATTCAAAATTCAAAATGGAAGAACTCTCTCGGGCACTGTGCAGGGTTCTCCTGCTTAGGCTGAAGCACAATCTGCAGAGTACCCCCGTCCCCCTCTCCAAAGGTCCGGGGTCGAAGCGTACCTTCCCCTCATTCGTGTCCCTGGAGACTCTGTTCTCTTTGTTGTACTTTTTCCCTGTTGGGCACTGGCAGTTGTGTCCCTCAATCCACTCATGAGGAGGGTTTTCCTTAGCGAGAGGTTCGCTTCTCTCTGGGGGTCTCCTCGCGAGCTGCTGGAGATGGAATCAGCAAGCCCAGTCAATTTCTTACACCCAGTCCGATCGGTCGCCCGAGGCGAATATCCCGTGTCGCGTCGGCCAAAACAACAGGAGTGCATCTACAAAGAAACCGAGAGATTTCCGACTACAATTCCATCCGACAATTGAGTACATGTCAACGACGAAACAGTGATCTCGCTGTACCCCGTCCTATGGAAGATGAGATCCGACTGCCTTTGCCGGAGTGGAGCTCGTCCGCAGAGGGGATACAATATCAAGAGCACTTCGTTCGAATGATCGAAAATAAACAGCCGAACCAAGTGATGGATGCGATGACCGACCCACGGTCGGCGTGGCTGGTAGGATCAATGCCGCAAAGCATATTCCTTGACGCCTTGCACCTTCTCTCCCCCGCTCATTTCGTGGAGCCATATCTACGTCCACATCATATGCTACACGAATGGGGTGTGAGAATTCAAGGCCTGAAAACATTGGCAGAGGTGTTCGATGATTTTACGAAGGGCTTGCTCACAATCATGCAATATAGAGTTGCAGCCGGGTATCCACCTCAACTAGCCGAGTACACTCACCTCTTGGCCTGTGCACGAGCAATGGGAAACGGCCCATTAGCGGAGGAGTTATGGACAGCGATGGACGGCCATGACATCCACCCGAACCTCGTGTGCTACAATCATTATATGGCAGCGAAGATCTGGGACCACTGTTACGTCGGAAAAGAATCGTATAACCTCCGCATGCTCCCATACACCTACAGAAAGCGCCGCATGGAGAGCCGGAATCCTGGATGGCGTGGTTACGCAACGGGAGCGAACAGTCTCAAGCGCATTGTGTTGGATATTTTCAGTCAAATGAGCCAGGCAGGTATCTCTGGAGATGAAGAGACATACGTCAACGTCATTCTCGCAGCCTGCCGAGTCGGCGACGGCACCGCAGCTAAAAACACCCTCAACAGCGTGTGGAATATCAATGTTGATGCCATCGTAGCCGGGGATGACTCGAAGCTGCCTGAGGTTGTGCCCTATGAACCTGGGTCTAGCCTTTATCCGACTGAGCGTCTGCTTTTCGCTGTCGCACATGCCTTTGGCACGAACAACAGCATCGATACCGCCGTGAGAACAGTTGAGTTCATAGCCTCTTCATACAAGCTTAAAATATCGGCAAAGGTGTGGTCCGAGCTGTTTGAGAGGACGTACGCCCTCTCAGTTGAACACACGCGCAGACAAGCAAATGACGGGCGAAGAGGGAGAGTACCAAGAGAGATGGTACACACTACATTTCAGAAAATGACCACATACCCGCACAATATCCCCGCGACTGTTCCAATGTACCGATATACCACCCAGACTTACAAGAGGGATGGTTACTTAGAGGCTTGCAAAACAGATATGCGTAAGGCATATGATATTCTCAGTGCAACGAGGGCAAAGAGGAAAGAGGCAAGAGATTCAATTATGCGATGGTTGCAACCAGCTTTGGATCGCATGGGATCGTCAACAGATCGAAACCAGGGACATAATAGACCTGCACCCGATCAGTCACTCTTACAATCCCCCATGCTTGCCGAAGCCATCCACAAATACGACATTCTCCGACTCGAAGTTTTCCAGCAAATTTACCTATTACAGCGCATGGCGTTTGCGATAATCGGCCAAACAGAATGGCGGGATACATCGATCAGCGTCTGGGATCTTCAGGAACGGCCCAAGCTATTGGAAGAGTGGAAAGACTTCCTACCAGAGTGTAACAGGTACATATACGACTCTGGAACACTCGAATTCTGGGGCGGAACAAAGTCCAACACCCGCTACATGAGCCGGCATGGCTTCATTCATGCACGGCGGCGGCCTGATCATCCGGACCTCTTTCATCCAGTTGAACACAAGTTTCTCGATGATAGGATATTCTGGAACCTCCTGCTTACTCAGTATCCCCAGCTGGATCAGTACAGTTCACCACTCAATCGCCTCTACTCTTTCCAAGTAGAACGCAGCGAAAACTTTGACAGGATCCTCGATCATTTCCACACGCGCATTGACTACCCGGATGATCATCCTTTGTCGGAGAAGGAGAACCCCGAAGGTGGGCTTTATGGTCGCATCCATGCGTTGGGCCTTGAGGTTGACCCTCAACGGACCATGTTCTGGGGGGATGGCAATCCTTGGAATTGCTGATTCCTTCCTTTTGTATCATTTGAGCATGTGTGCTTGATGCTGATTATAGATGATATCCATTTGAACAATTTCATGAGTAGTACAACTACTGCATTCGTTTTTTTTTTTTCGGGAGGTTTTTCATAGTAAAGCAAAATATGTTCATTAGAATCCCTTTGGGCCAATGTATGAGATATAGATGTAGAGATGAGTGTACAAGAAGGCACAAAGCCCTCGAGAAATCATATGCAGACATGAAGCGTGAGATGTCAACGCAAGGTCAAAAACGATCAGCGAAGATAATACAAGATCTGAGAATAATTGGCACAGATCCAGAACTGGCCCTTCATCTGGGGTATATGATGATCGAAAACAAAAAAAGCAAGAAAAGGGACTAAGAAATTAGACCTTCTCGCGTTTGAGATCATTAACAGTCATATACCTCCCAATGGTGATCCATCCCCAGCGGAACCAAACCATCTGACTCTTATGGCAAATCACCATAGCAGACTGCGCAGTCAACCAATCATTTACCGAGCTAACAAATAACAGGCGCGCAGGACCAGACCCAGCGGCCGCCGCATTCTTCTGCTTCGACCCCGTCAACCCACCAACAAGATTACCCCACACACCCAGAAACATAGAAAGCGGCGCATCAAGCACACCCGCATACTTGCGGAAGATCGAGGTCGTAGTCAAAGTATACAGCGTAACAGGACAAGTGAAACCCGCCTTCTCCTTCATGAGCGCGCGAATAAAGTTCACCGCACCATGATACAGCGAGCGATGATTGGGATGGTTACTGACACCATATTGATCGAAAGTAAGAATGACATCGATCGTCGCAGTAGGCGCCTTATCAATCTTGCCACCTTTCCTCTGCGCCATTTCCGGCGCGAACGCCGAAGCCAGCAATGCCGAGATCTGATCCTCGTCCCAGTCCTTGTCCATGCCGTCGGGGAAGCGGGAGGGATCGTCGACGATGAAGACGTCTGAGTCGCTGCGCAGTCCGAGCTGCTTGGCGGCTTTTTGGAGCTCTTGTTTGCGCGTTTCGCCGAGGCCGTCGGCGTCGCCGGTGCTGAGGCAGAGGATCTTGAGGTGGTTGCCGAGCTCGGGGCGGGTGAGGGCTAGGACTGTTGGGGCGAAGAACATGGCTTCGTCGTCCGGGTGGGCGATTAGGAGGCAGATGCGCTTGTTTTGGAGGCGGGGGAAGGATCGCGTGAAGGGTGAGGAGGTGGTTGAGGAGAAGGACCAGAAAACGAAGACTGCGCCTATGGCGACCGCTAAGGCGCCCCAATTGAAGGAGGACATGGTGCTTCAATTGGTGTTTGGGGTTGGGAGGTTTTGGAGATTTCGTGGGGCTCCGCGCCTCGTGGTTCCGTTTCTCCGCTTCCGAGGGGTGAGCTACCTATGTAGCTAGGTAGCTAGGTAGGGATGGGGCGGTTATGTTGCTTGCTATCTCCTGACACAGGAATTGGAGCGAGATTGGTATAATGCAATGCTTGCGATCTGGCCAAATTGGTTGCGGAAGTAGAGTACCTGGTACAATACACCGGACAATACCTGGCGAGACGTTTCCCTTTCCGTGCCTATTAACCCTATATTCCAATTTTTACCAAATTTATGGACCCTTGCTAATGAGGTTCTACACTTGTCAACAATCCCCTATGTAGTAAATACCTCTAAGCTGATATCGAAAAAGGTCAAGTATCATCTGGTGAGCTGGTGAGCTAAAGGGTATATTTACGTATTTTATTCGTAATTTATCCATTACTAGTAATCAGGTATGACCTAAATAGCCTGGACATCAACCCAGAACCGGGTGTCATCACTCAGATACTTGCTATCACTTTGAATCTGCTGATGGATATGCCATGCTGTGCACAGAGTTAGCTGGATAACACCCTTGAGACACCACATATCAGATCAAACTCACTATTAGTGTTATCCGTGTTGGAATTGTTGATTCTGGATTCTCCGTTGCGGTGGTCGCTGAACCAAATTTCGTATCTATAGCAATCCTCGCTTTTATGACAAGCCTGGATGCCCTTTGATAGGTCCGAGCTACCAGTCGTAGCATTAGCTAGGGTACAGCTATAGCTGTAATTATCGACACTTACACCATCATCGACCTGGCCGATGCTTCTACCCAGGAACTTAGGTGTAGAATATCTCAGGTTATAGTAGTTCTGCTTGAAGATATTAAATTTGGTAGCATCACCTGTTCTGCCATCACCTGGGAATATAATTGGCAATACATTAACTGGCTTTCTCTGTTTAGATTTCCGGCGTGCCATAGGCTGTATCTGAATATATATGTTACTATAGGGGTGAAGAAGTAGTGCCATAGTTTCCATGAGCTGCCAAAAAGGTATACCTGGGCCTCTCTCATGCAAATCAATGTACCTCTTTCCAGCTATATCAAGCAGCCTCACTTCACATGGTGGATTGAAAGACTGATATGACATAGAACGAAATGCATGGATGCCTATGCCGATATTGCGTTTGATGTACAGCAAGATACCCTCGACAACAAAATCTAGGGCAAACCATAACCTCTAACTATGCTCTCTACCACGATTGCGGAACCTGATACTTCTGCCAATGCTCCAGAGTGTCAGCCTCTTCGAACTTCTCAATTCCTCCCGCAACCCCATCCTCATTCACATCCCAATCACCCGATTCAACCCGGTCCGCCTAATTCAGCAATACCTTGTGAAGCTGCACACCTCGTACCGCTATTGGCAAAAATCCACTGAACTAATATACCTAATATAGCTCGTAGGATACATCTTGACTAGAAGTTAGAGAGAAATGGGACAACGGAACACTATTGCTACTGCGTACGTATTTATTAGCACCGATACCGAACGGTAGCAGCAATCTACTCTCGTTCCCAAAGCTATTCGATAGATAGTGGAGTATGGCCTCGATATATAAGCCAGCGGGAATCATCTACGCAATCCCATCTAGGAAGCACGGCCGTGTCTAGGGTGAGTAATTTGTCCCATCCGCTCGAAATAGAAGGGCTAGCTTCTCAAGTTCACAGAACATCTGGAAATTATCACGAGGCTTGGTGAATGGTTGGGATACAAACTCCACCCGGGTTTGTATCCGTATCCCTAGAGCTATATAGCGAAACTTTATGCAGCGGGGAGGAACGACCAAGAGGAAAGATCGGACAAACGAATGCTCTGTAGGCATCGAATCATCGACCATTAAGTTTGAGTATGGAAGCTGTATTTCTTCATTGCTAGTGTTTGGGGGCAGTCGGGATTCAATTGCATCGAGAAGACGAGTGAAAGCAGCGATGGCCTTTTCAAGATCCCGCTGGGTGTAGTGATGAATCAAGTATTTTAGGATTGTCGCCTGATAATGGACCCCATTTTATGTCCAGACAAGGCCTGTTTAGGTGGATTCCACTTAGGCCTTCCTCCAAGGCTCTGGGGCTTGTTAGCGTCTTCAGTCACCGACAAGCCTTGAGACACCTAACCTAAGTCCACGAGTGGATATCCAAGAGGTCATAAGATGCTTCCATTATGACCCGGTTTTGAGTAATATTACAGTCCCCGGAGTATACCGAAGTCAAGGAATATGCCGGATCAGTCACGTTGTTACCTGTTGTGCCAGTATGGGCGGATGAAGCCGGGTTTCCCAGTCAACGGTCTTGCATGTACGGAGTATTGTTCTGCGAACAACCGTTTCAATCCACCTAGTGTTTTCCGTGTTTTATGACGTATATCATACTCATAGCGATTAGTAACTTCCATGGCCGCTGCCATATGATTTGAAGAGATCGGGCGATAAATCATCAATAAATACAATATGGACGAGCAGCGTCAAATTTAGATTCAGCCAGGATATACTTGCTCTAGTTATGACAAGGTGAACTGACCTCGTCTTAGGTCTAACCCCAGATGATCTCCAATAGAAGATCTATACATTTGCATTTCTGACAACTGAGAGTCACAAAAGACTGATCGAAAGCGAATGGGTGACGGAGAGATCATATATTACTAGGGATACATCGTTCGTATTCCCTCGAAGACGATTGGAGGGTCTAATAGGGCGAAAGGAGCCGCCGCATTGTATATAAAAAGGAACTTTAGTTGGAACGTTGCCGACTCGCAAGGCCAGATCTGATAAGATTTAGTATGGCAATATAAAAGTGAATCCGAAAGTTTATATATCCGTGAGCCACAATTGGCTAAAATGAGGGTGAAGGTAGTAGTTCATTATTGGAGTATTTCCTTTGAGAATTCCATGGCATCGGCGAGCCAACTATAAAGCCAACATATATTCACTCATTTTGATAGACTAGCGCGGCCCAGAACCCATAGTTTCTTTTATTCACACCGCGAATCACATCCAAGTCACACAACACCCTTAGACCGGCAAGCACACCGGCTATTGCAACAATCGCCTCATGCCAAGGGCAAAAGTTACCCCAAGAGCAAAGCGGCGGTCTCCGATCACCTAGAACAGGCGAAGGTATGGTTTTCGCCCCATTCCGAGTGGAGGCCATTCACCGGTCGGCATTTTATATCCTGGAAATGGACCAGGAAAAAAAACAAAAGAGGATCCAGGGCCGACGGTGAACCAGGGACACGAGTCGCCATCGCGGGCCAAAACTGAGGCTAAAAGGTCTTGCGACGGGCCGAGTATAAAGTCCCGAGTGACCGACAGAAAATTTCTGCTTTCCCGCGTTTAAGCGGAGACCCGGGCATTCTCCGAACTATGTACGGAGTATTTGTCTTTTTATTATTCATTTCAGGGCAATTATCATTAGTGTTGATTTTTGGCCTCAAATTGCGCCATTTTGGTAGTGTTTAGGTAAAAAAAAAGGGGGAAGTAATTTCTAGAGGTACGATGTGCATCACCTACCTAAGTTGTTTAGGGCTGTATACACGTGTGATGAGGACGGGATGGCGTTACTTGGATGTACCATATGGCACAATGTGCGGAGCATCTTCTCCATACTCCGTACACCTTGCCGAGAGAAAAAAAAAAGGAGGCCAATTCCGCCGGAGATTAATTAAATCTAGAAAAACGATGGAAAACAAAAGGGAGATCACACACCGGCTGAAACAGATCGGAGGGGCAACCCGAGATCTCCCCGAATGAGGAAGTTCGCCAGAGACGCTTTTCCGGCTTCCCCTGTCGCAACTATTGGTTAGTCCATCCGACGAGCCACCGGTGGACGACAGCCATTGATTTGCGATCGTGACCTCCGAGCTGATGGTCACGGATATCAACCATAATGATCCTAGTTGCGACACTGGTATACTTCTTTCAGCTAGTCTAGGGGAAACGGGAAAGGGGATAGTGTGGACCTGCTTGAGTGGTAGCATAGCTAGCCCTGATACAACGTAGGTGCAGTTTATTGACCACATTCGGACACCTTGGCACATCTTACAATGTAAGCTATGTAGATCGATCCGCCATAACGCAAATCACCATTCCGATGCGCATGAGCTGACGTGCCCGGGGAAGGTAAGAAAGAGCCCCGGTGGCATCATCACAACCGAATGTTTATTTCTGTTCCAGGTCGTACAAAACACACACCGTGGCGTGATCAGTGCACTCCCTGAAGTCCGAGAAAACACCTACATGGGATGTTGCGGGTGAGCTAGGAGTGCTCGCCCGACGTACCCGCCCAATAGCCCACAATTTCTTCAAGCTCTCTCTGCATGCCCATAACGTGTCGCTAGGGAGCCTGTAGAGCCTGTACCTGAGCCCGCTGTGCGCGAAATTGATGCTTATAGGTGAATACTGGCGGTAAACTCCTGATGCTTCTGTTGTTGTTAGGTAATTAGTGTGAGCGGCGAAGATGGTGATTCGCTAGGGGAAAAACTTTGAAAGCACGGAGCATATCTTGACAGCGGAAAGGCTAGAACTTTGGGATGTTGATCGTATGTTGATATTTCGAGATGCTTCACTATTGCATCCATCTTCGATTTTTTTTTTTAATGTGATTGTCAGACGGTTGTACGGCATCTCAATTGCATAGGCCTGTGCCCCGCAAAATCCAAGGCTTGCAGTGCGGGGTACGGAGTAGACACAGGATAGGCGAGTTCCATGGCCTTAGGAATGAGTCTCCCCTACAAGTCCACTCTATCGGTGTAGTCCACTTTTATAGATCAGACGACTGAACTGTCGGGGCGGTCAGAAAAGCAAAAAAGAAAAAGAAAAAATTTTCCCGGTGGAGCTCCGCGAAGGGTCCTTTTTTTCATCGCGTTTTGCTGTCCCAATGCGGAAAGGCGGCTCCCGTTTAGGGCGGCGCTAGTCGAAGATCCTCTGGAAAGGTCGATGGCTAGTATGGTAATGGTCCGGTACGGTACTGTTTGCCCTTTACCCAGGTCTGGACACTCGGTTTGACCTTTGTCTATGCCATCATGCCACGTGATGCTTTGTTTTAACCTTGGGCACGTACCATATTCTACCCTTTGTGGTAATATATGTGAAGAAAGAAGGTATTAATAGAAAACCGGAGCTTGATGTTTTGGAGGCCTGAAAGAAGTGGACCAAACACTCCTATTATTATCATGTTTCCTCAGGTCCGCGGAGACGTTTCAGACATATATTGGGAGTCAAAGACCCAGCACGATTGATCGGGATCAATCCCCGTGTCCTCCAGCGCTAGACCTTGCCATAGCAAGCCTGATCATCCACAAAACTGGGGGGGGGGATTGCCATGACCCTTTGCTAGCTCGTTCTTTCCAGTGGATGATCCCGCCCTTGATGATGGACATCGGAGAGGACCCCCGGAGCGAAGGCCGCACCCACCTAAGCAATGCACTACAGCTCTGAGATTCAAGCCAAGTTACCCATGGCATTCGAGCGGATCGGATAAACCGGTAGGAAGGCATCAAGGCTTTGAGTCATTTACGCACGGTCGTTCCACGCCTCGAGCCAACCGTGGGATCATGTGCTCCCCTCGACTGCCCCGATAGGGTCTAGCCTGGACTCTTATAATGGTCCAAATGTTCCTTTCTTGTGATGGAAGGATGATGCCCACATTATCACCTGTGGGGTAAACAACAAGGTGTCAGGCGATCGCGGAGCATTCTGGGCGCAGGGTACTCCGTATATCGTAAAGTATGGTCCAGGTGTATAGTTGTCACTGGTGACACCTCAGCGTTTGGGCACCTTGTCTCCGCACTAGATGAGATCGTTCGACCCGGTAAGATGTGATGGGATGATGCAATGCTGAGATGAGTAGGGAGTAGAATTGCGACTTAACAGATTAGAATGATCTCAGAACAACCCAGATCTCATACCTCCAGGGCTGACACTTGGGAGGGGGAAGCTCATGTGTAATTTAAGTACCTTATTACAGAATTGAAAAGTAAGTTGACCGTCACTGTATTGTCACTCTCCACTATGACGGTGTGCCCCACTTGCTAATTCTGTTCTTGTTCCCATTTGTTCTCATTAACTGCACCGGTTCCTGGCAAGTGGGAACAGCGAGGAAAAAAAAAAAAAAAAAAAAACCAAGGAAAAATTCTATTTTTTTTTTAGTTCATTGCTTTTCCACGGATTCGGGGGATTAGCACATGATTGTTCTTGCCATTCAAAAGCGGCCGCTGCGCCCTTGACAGATGGGTTTTCTCCCGCAGATCATCTACATACTTCCAGATTATGGGTTGGATTGCTTCATCGGCTTCTCAATTATTTCACCACCGCACTGCCTCCTGAATATAACCTACTATCATACTCATATCTCTCTCAGCATCCTCTCAGAGCCAATATGCCGGGCCGTTTAATTCCAAATCTGATTCGGAACGCAAGTTCGCTACATTCCTCAGTATCGTCAACACCCATTCACTCAAACTCCTCTTCAACGATTTCCGTCAATGAGCTCCAGGGACATGGAAAGAAGCACGCCCACAACGCAGACCGCGCACGATCCCCCGAACGCCGCCTCTCCTTCTCCATGGACCACCTGATGCACCCTTTGCGAGACCACAGCAAAGAGAAGCGTCGCAGCCTCGGACGCGGAGGACGATCCAAGGAGCGCTCCGTCCATGATGTGGCTCCACCAGCGGCGAAGCTGGACGTCATGATCGAATCACCCCCACTGGTTTGCTATGGTCCTCCTGCCAACTCTACTGGCGCTCTGTTCTCGGGACGCTTGCGCATCGCAGTCTCGGAGTTGACTGGTGGAGTGACTTTGAGCCAATTCGATGTCCGCCTTATCTCCAAGATGAGCACCAAGAAGCCTGTTTCAAACCACTGCGCCAACTGCGCCACCCGCACCGAGGAGTTGACCAAGTGGAACTTCATCACTGAGGATCTTCAGCTCAGTGTAGGGGACCATGATTTCCCCTTCAGCTATCTGTTCCCGGGCCATATTCCTGCTTCTTGCAACGGCGTTCTGGGCCAGATTGAATACTTCCTGCTGGCGCATGCACAGAGCATCACTGGAGAAGAATATAGCCTCAAGCTGCCTCTGGAAATCAGTCGTTCTCTGCTTCCCGGCCCCGATAAGACCTCCATTCGCATCTTTCCCCCCACCAACCTCACTGGTCGCATCGTTTTGCCATCCGTTGTTCACCCTGTTGGCAGTTTTCCTGTGGAGATGACTTTGAGCGGCGTGGTGGATAAGGGTGAAAAGACCCAGACGCGCTGGCGTCTTAGAAAAATGATGTGGCGAATTGAGGAACAACAGAAGATTGTGTCGACCGCTTGCCACAAGCACGCTCATAAGATTGGCGGCGAGGGTAAAGGTGTTATGCACCAGGAGACTCGTGTCATCGGACACAACGAGGAGAAAACTGGCTGGAAGACCGATTTTGACACCGCTGGTGGTGAGATCACCATGCAGTTTGATGCCAACATCAACCCAGCGGCAAACGCTGTCTGTGACATGGAAGCGCCCGGCAGCTTGGAAGTCAAGCATAACCTTGTCATCGAGCTGATCGTGGCTGAGGAATTCTGCCCCAACGGCAACACCCGCCTTATTACTCCGACTGGTGCCGCACGTGTGCTTCGCATGCAGTTCCACCTCCACTTCACTCAGCGTGGTGGTCTTGGCATTAGCTGGGATGAGGAGATGCCTCCAATCTATGAGGATGTCCCCGCCAGCCCGCCCAGTTACACCAAGCCCGCTCACAGCTTCATTGACGGCTTCACCGACTCCCCGCTGCCAGATTACGAAGGTCTGGAGCGCATCGAATCTTTGCGATTAGATAGCAGTTCTACTCGCTCTTCGGACCGGTCTATCAACAGCTCTATTCACAGCCGGCTGCCGCGCTTTACTCCCGAGGATCTTGTCACGGGAGAGTCGCCTGGTGTCTCGCCCATCCCATCCCGCGCCCCTTCTCGCACCTCTTCCACCAGCTCCTCCCGCCAATAAAAAAAAACAAGCACTTCGACATGCCTCCCTTTCTTGATCATCGTTTCCAATCATGACTTGACGATTCCTATGACCAAAAAAATTCCCTCACAAAGCCTGTTTTACCATTTACGATAATCTTGTTATACTTATTTTTCCAAGCACGGATTTCAATTTTCCTTTGCCTTTTCGGTTCCCAACGAGCCTCATGATATCAATAACTGAAGGAAATCGGCCACGGCCAAACAAAGTCGGGCTGCCACACATTTTCCGGGTCCTATTTCAGCCAAGTTTACATGATACCCATTCGCTTTCATTCACCTGCGGATAATAATACCTATTTTCTGCTATTCTTTTCTTATCTTTCGGGGGTTACGGGTTCATTCGCGAATATCCCCTTATTGTTGCTTTGCTAGTCTTTGCCTTGACCATATCAGTTCATTCAAATTTTTTCTACTCTTTGATACTCAATCATTTCAGAATCATAATCTTTCAACTCGGCTGAAACTTCGTGATTATACAAATCAACGTAAATGTAACTTGCCTGCATTCGAGGTTGATGATAGTTCACGTACCAATTAGATTTCTCCAACACCGAAGAATCCATCGAACACTCAAGGTGTAGTGTCCCAACCTGCTCCTTTGGTCCTGATAGTGATTAACAATTGTATTTCATTCATCCAAGATGTACGTGAGTTGACCACCGCTTAGACCATTCTCTAAAAGCGCAAGAATCACCACCCCTTCCAAGGAACCCACGTCTCCCTCACAATATCCTGCTCATCAACAACATAGTAAGCAAAATGCATAGCAGCCGTAATACAAGCATGCTGAATATACAACATAACCTTATCTCCAACGACAAACGCATCCTCCACCTTCTCCCCCTCCTCCGACTTCGACCCCATCCTCGCAACAACTCTCCTCGTCTGGTCAGACTCCATCCACCCCAGAATCCCATGCTCCTGCGACATCCGCACAACACTCCACTGGGGCCGATCAACCACAGTCCCAAACCCGGGAAACTCACCCGTCTCCTTCGACAGCGCAATAGTCCCCGCATTGATCAGCGCCTCATTGCGCTCTGGATACACACTGCAGACATCCGCGAGGATGCGCACAGCTTGCTGTGTCGGCTCAACTAGCGAGGTTGATACTTGCTGCAGATCGTTGGTGGGGTAGTTTCCTAGGCTGTTAGTCTCATGATAGCGTTCGGGCGAATAACGACACACCGGCATGTAACTCCAGTTCCATTCCTGCGGGTAATGCGCCCTTTAATCGCTTGACCACGTGCGCTGTGGGAGTTGATCCAACTGATACGACGATCTGTCTCTCGTATCCATCTACCAGGAACTTGGCTGCTTGCACTACACCCTCGACTTCGCTCTGCAGCACGGCGGCGGCGGCATCCTCGCTGCGACATGCATATGAGTGTCCAGCGTGGCAATAGAAGCCGTAGACGCTTGCTGCAGAAGATGACTCGATGCGCTGGATGAGTTTCGGCAGCGAGGGTGAGTCAGTGGCTAGTCCTGCGCGCTGAGAACCGATGTCGATTTTGATGAAGACCGGCCAAGCCGAGGAGTGGGATTTTGAAGCGTGGGATTCTAGCAGATCTATTTGCTGCTCGCTGTCGACCATGAGGATGATCTTTAGGGATTTGGTTAGGGTGTCGAGGAAGGGGAGGGCGCTGGCTGAGATGGGGAGGCCGTAGAGACACTTTGTGGTTTTAGTTCGCTGTTTGATATTTGATATTTGTTTTTTTGGAGGTGATTGGCTGTACTGACTTCGTCTAGTTTGCCTTCTTTCACGAGATCCAATGAGCCCCTGATCTCGGCTAGGGTTGATGCGACGATTCGACGGTGGACGTCACCCAGCATCATGCGGGTGACTTCTGCGCACTGCAATCTTGATTAATCTCTAGATACGTATATGCGGTTCATATCGGAGGAAATAGGCACCTTTAGTGTCTTGACATGAGGCCGAAACGCAATTCCCAGCCTTTTCACATCCTCCAATAGGATCTGGGTGTTCCGCTCCAGCACGGGTTTACTCAGGATGAGTGCTGGGGTAGGAAGTTCGGAGACCGGACGGCCGATGTAGGAAGCGTGGTTCTGCAGGGAATAGTCCATTTCTGCGATAGACATTAGCTGCAGAAGATGACAGGGGCCCTGCAGCTGTGTTTATATGTGGGGCCCAACAAACGTGGGGGTAAATGGGGCGGGGCATGGGGCGTTGCAATGGCCCTCTTAGGAAAGGGAATTGATATAAGAGGGATTAGTAGTTGGGTATTATATTGTTGTAGTTAACTCTGGAGCTAGGAGAGTGGGATGTGGTTTTCATACTTCGACGTGCAGGAACTGGTCGCGGGAGGATGTCGGTTAACAATATATCGCCAGTGACAGTGCGATATAAGATAGTTATGGCTAACCCTAAATTTCATGTTATGATACCTCCCTGAATGTATGGACTCGTTCAATGATATTCTCTGACAAGTTACAACAAGTTGATAGTTTCGCATCGCCAGATGACGAGGACATTGCGAGGACATTGCGAGGATATGGTAGGTGGCTTCACTGGTTGCTATCCTCGTACTACCTATATTTCTGATCAGTATTGGAGCTGTGCAATGTGTTGAGTGATGACGTGGGCCATACAGAGCTAAAACTTCGTTCACGTATAATCGTATCCAAACTCATGCCTGAACGAGCATGATCGTCGAGGTAGCGTGCATATTAGACAATTGATCTGTGAAAGACTTCGTAAGCTCTTTCTTGAACACATTATAGTCTGCGGCGCTATCATATCCTTCAACCGAAGACCTGTTGCTAGGAAGCTGATGATTTCACTACTCCTAAGCGTGAGCTCTATCATTTAGAAGTTGGAACAATCTCTTGATTGGAAGCACACGAAAGGTACAGAATTCTCTCTCACACAAGGGAAATAATTAGAATCCAAAGTATTAGTTTCAGTATGATCAGGCAGAGACCCTGGGCTTGGGAAGAGGCACAAAACTCAAACAGTATCAAGAGCCGGAAGAGATATCGGCTACATCTTAGTCCCTCTTTCTTTTTCCATGGACTCCTGCGATCCCTTCATGAATGGAGCCTCGGCCAGTGCATCCGCCTGTATCTTCCAAACCATCTTACCCAGATCGACAAGATCAGCCCCAAAGCTCTCGATCAATGACTCCCCGGATGGGTCTTCCTCCCAGACCATCTTGTCATACTCTTCGTCCGAGGCGAATGTGGCAAGCTGCCAAGCTCTCTTCCACCGCGCAACTGCTTCAATAGCCTCTGTATGCTGACTCTCAATTCCAGAAGCAATCATGTAAAAGGAAGACCGCTTGGAACTAGCCTTCTTTGGCTTGAAAAGGCGAACCGACGAGAACTGTTGAAATGTCCAGATGAAGTTGACAGTGCTCCACGCTTCAAGCTTGCGAAAAGATACAATCATTGTTCCACCAGACCTGAGATGTTGAAGACCAAGGGCGAGTTGCGTGAGGGACAAACGCCTTCCTTCGCGTTTCTCTCGATAGGATGCACGCGAGTGTTGATCCAACGTCTGACCGTCGCATATGATCAAATCGAAGAACTGGTCTTCCTTGAGCTGTCGCGGCAAGAAGTTCTCCGCGTCCGGATGGCCTGCGGGAATTTGATCCACATCCATGTCTGCAGCCAGCATGGTCACATCGAGGAATACTCGCTTGACCCTGGGAGTTTCTTCCAAGCAGTTTCGATACCCGCCACAAGAGATAGGCAAGGTAAAAGCTAGAGCATGCGATCCTGGGTTCTTTTTCAAGCCTATCTCAAGGAATGCCCCAGGAGCCATGCAAAAATCGAGAATGGCAACTGGGTGTGAGGCCGGAGGTTGCAGTTGAAAGGCTTTGGTTATTCTATCAAGTTCGCAGCCTACCACTTTCATGAATTTGTAGTATCGAGTGGAGTTCTTCTGGTCAGTGTTGTTCCTTCCTCGACTGATGTTTGCAAAGTACTCATCGCCCCCCGGGGCTTCCCACGCCTATTAACAGAACAGTAAGTATCATCTCCGCTCAGGGGATATTCGGAATCGGCTTGACTAACTTGTTGTCTCACTTCATTGAGCCTTCGAAACTCAGGACTCATCTCCAACAGATAAGGCACCACCGTTTTGCGTCCCTCCTTCTGAGTATCCATACTATCTTCAGTAAGCTGGAAATCATCTTGTAGATGGCCAGCAGATGCTTCCCCCTGTGTTTTGATTTCAACTGGCTCCATGGTAGATAAAAGTGCAGCCAGGGGTTCCGGCAAGAGTGATAGAAAACAGGGCACTCTTTTGTTCTCCGTTCATGAACAGACGCAATGAAGGAAGGCAGAGATCAAAGTAGCTACGATGGAAAATTTATATCGCCAGAAGTTGTGTGCAATGGAACTACCTTTGACCTTCCATCGTTTGCTTCTACGGTTATTTGTGCACCAGGCGACATGATATTTTACATTGTTCGCAGTTCAACTTAGCCCTTATCTTGCGATTCTGTTCATTGTAATGGCCTTCAGAGATACATCAGAAGACAGATAGGCTAACGGGGGTATAATACTGTAGGACTAGGGAGCAACTATTTAGAAATAAATTTCGATTCATTGAGCTGGACGCTGTGAAAACTACCATGCGCATACCTGTATGCGTGAATACTTTAGCAAACTATTTGACAACGTACATTTCTAGAATATGACTGATGGCTGATTTTCTAAAGCTAACGACCTGGCCTGACTCCTAGTTTCACACTAAGCATGTCGCTTGTTCAACATCCTTGATAGTTCTCTGTAACAATTGTATATAAAGGACTCTTGATGCTTGCTGTATAAGTGCAGCTCCCTGATGCGAATAAGAAGAGGGAGGATTTGATCAGGGCATGTTCACACAACTGAGAGACATGGCAGCTCTTAGCTCTGCAAGATACCTAGATAGGTATACCCAACCCAACAGACATGTGGAATAGAAGAGTGTGGATGTTGATCACCAATACAAGATGAGGCTGACACAAGCTTATGCGGGCCATATGTACCCAGGTAAATCCCTCATCGATGGGATAACCCCTCCTAGGACACTGATTTACGCCTTCGCCTTCTGCTACTCATACCACACAATGGACATTATGCTGATTCAAAGCCTGCTCGAGGATACTAAAAGATCCATCGATCTTCTACAATCTAGTGGCAAAGAGACCCATCGGATTAATGCCCAAGAGAAAGCAATCAAGCTGTCCCGGGCGCTTGAGCACCCGAGAACTGCCATCTTGAAGCTATGCTATACAGTAAGATGCCCCAGACTCTATCACGATTGACCAGCCAGATAACAGAAACAATGGGAATAGCCCACCATAGTGATGGCCATCAAGGTAGCCCATGACATGGATATATTTTCTGTGTTGGCCACTGCAACTGTGCCTGTATCGTTGGATGAGCTCGCAGCTGCTAAGCCAGCCGATCCCCAGCTTGTTGGTGAGTGTGAAACCTCCAATGTTCCATATCCTCGACTGAAACACGACTAACAACTCATCTCAGAGCGTATGATGCGGCTCCTAGTTGCCAATGGCTTCGCCAATGAGCCTTCCCCACTGGAATACTTACCGACAATATTAGCCAAAGAGATGACCCAACGTACCTCAATCGCGGTGATGGAATCACTGTATGTCATCCTCCCCGACTACAGTCCATATCTAATCACATCTATAACTCGCCGCAACAAACAGTTTCCTAGAATTCCTCCCTTTGATACAGAAAATCCCCGCGTATCTCGAAGCAATCAACTACCGCAATCCAGACGACCCGATGTACGCTCCACTGCAATACACTCACGGCGTCCAGATCGATGGCTTCACGTGGCTCTGCCAGAACCCGGCCGCACTCACGAGATTCAATAGCTTCATGGAAGGCCATCGCGCGGACAGACCTCACTGGGGCGACTGGTTCCCAGTACAGGAGCAGATCCTAAACCACCCCGGACTGAGTGCCGACAAGGCTCTGATGGTAGACATTGGCGCCGGCCGAGGGCATGATCTGATTGGGTTCAGGCAACGGTTCCCCGATGCTCCGGGGAAGCTCGTGCTAGAGGATCTCCCCTCTGTCATAGATGAAGTGCGCGGGGCGCGGGATCTCGATGCTGCAGGTATCCAGACTGTGGGGTATGATTTCTTTGCGGGAATACAGCCTGTGCATGGTGAGTTGCTTCGCCGCAAAAGAAAAGACATTTCTTCATGGGAAGGCTGACACACGTAGGTGCTCGGGTTTATTATTTCAAGACTGTGTTGCATGATTGGTCTGATGAGAAGGCGAGAGTTATTCTCAGAAATCTTATACCTGCGATGAAGCGTGGATATTCGAAGATCATCTGCGAGGAACATGTGCTGCCGGACTCTAATGCTCCGGGTCTGCCTTGCATGACGGACATAGCGGTTATGGCCTTTTGTTCTGGGTTGGAGCGCACTCGGAAGCGATGGATTGACCTCTTTACGTCGGTTGGTCTGCAAGTTTCGAAATTTTGGGTGCGAGAAGGTGATGGGTTTGATATTGTTGAGGCTGAGCTGCCAGAGGTAGAGCAGTAGAATGACGCGGTTAGAATAGGTCTCTACTATGAGAATATAAGCACGAAATTATCAGCATGAGGAAGACGATATTTCTTGATGTACTGGACCCCGATTGGTTTAGCCTGCGACACGACAGGATTACTTTTACGAGGAAATTGCTTTGGCTCCGGGTCGTTGATCGAGTAATTTATCTTTTTTGTTTATTATTCTTTCGTTTCTACATAATATCTCGTATGTTCGAGTTCATGTAGAGTACAGACAAAGGAGAGCGAACAACAAAGGAAAAACGTAAGAGCGCTAAGGATGAGACAAGGATATTTCCAACTCCAGAAAGAAACGCCAACAATGTTGTACAAGGTAAAAATGACCTTGAATAAAAGTCCGGTAATGCAGTGATAGTGATGAGAAACAAAAGGGATCATAGGCCTTCGCCACGGAGCAGGCGCCGAAGGATTCCCTCGCCGGGACCAGCAATTTGGCTCTCGATTTCCTGCTGAGAAACGAAGCAGACAAGACATTGCTCGTCAAGGGCCCTATGGGGAGTCGAGGGCATGTGGCTGGATTTGGAGGGCGTGCGACGCAAATCTGTGCCGCCTGCAACAGTGCCGCCTCGGCCGCGACCCTGATACTCCCCAACTAAGCCCATTGTTTCCAAGTTGCCGAGAACATCTTTGAACTCCGTGGCAGTCAGGGGGTGAAGAATGTTGTCATTACGACACAGAGCGCAGTATGTATCAAATGCTTGCTTGATGGTGGGCGCGGAAGCACGCGACTTGGAGGGCGTGCTTGGGATCTCAAGTTGCCGACGTTTGCGCTCCAGTGCAATCAGGGCGCAGATAGCGGCCTTCTGCTGCAAGTTCAAACTCTGAAGTCTTTGAACGGTTCCCTGGCCGAAAGCTGCGGAGGTTATTCGGGCAATGTGCGCGATGCTGGCTCGGGGTGCCGTGATGACACTGTAGCTTGACATTGAGGTTGGCTTGGGAGCACTTCCTGTTTTCGAAGGTGAAGACAAGTTGGCATTTTCACCTAGTATTGGAACATTTTCGGACTCCTTAGCTTGCTTCTCCAATTTTTGGAATGTTTCCTGTTCAATGACGTCGATTGCTCGCTTCATCAACTCAAAGGCTTTGCGGAGATCGCCTGTTTGAGAGGCTACCTTCTTGGAGCAAAGCTGGATGGCGGCTGGTTGAATGAAGGGAACAAGCTTTGGGTCGGAATCTGCCCCAGGAGGGAGCAATGAGCGCAGACGATTCGTCATGACGTTGGCGATAGATGCAGCACTGTATGGTAGGAATGGTAGCAGGCGGGGTTTCAAGTTCTTCGCTTTGAGCTGTGGGAGAGATCGGTCAGTCAAATCAAGGGCATTGGCGATGCCGATCAACATCAGCTTAGAGTTGCTTTGCAATGACCACTCGAATAATGACTGCAACACCCCGGAATCGCCATTAAGTAGATGGTCAATTTCATCTAGAGTGACCAAGAAGAGATCTTGCCCTTTCTTGGATGGAATGAACATAGATTTCAAGCGATCACCCTCACTTTTCTTAAAGATATCGGTGTCCACGGAGAAATCTTGAATAAGCCTGCTGTAGACATCACGAGAGGTTCGCATGCTTGCACAGTTCACATGTGTGATTCTCACATTGGAAAGGTCAAGATCTCCACACACTTCTTGGACCATGGCACTCTTTCCGGTTCCCGGGGGACCACTGATATAGAGACATCCTCCTGACCGAGACCGCAATCCCTCTGTGATGAAAGACACCAACTTTTCCCGCTCGGCGTCGCGACCCACTAAGCGACCGGAGTTGGTGCCTTGGGCGAACAATTGTCTGGCTTGCGAATAGACGGAGTGCGCGATTGTCGGAGTGGAACTCTGTCGGGGTGTCGGAGGAAGATCGGCATGGCGGGGGGTTCGCGGCGTTATCGCCTTTGCGCCCACCTGCACTCGGTGCCTGGGTGTGATGGGGTGTCGCGGTAGATCATCTCGGAATCGCGATTTTGACGGTGTCTTGAATTCGACCTCAATTGGTTTTGTAATCTCTTCTGCGCATCCGATTAGCGCTGACTCAGGCGCCCTGCCATCCCAAATGTCAACCTACCTTCCACTGGTTTTGAAACTGTAAAATGCGAATTGATCTTGACGGGGGATTTGAACTGGTCATCGCGCAGGGTATGTTTGGAAGAAACATCCACCGACACTGTCTTATCCTCGCCATTCTCTTGATCAGGTTGGTCGACTGTTTTCTTTGCTGTTGACCTGGTTCGCCGTAATGAGGGGACTGAGACGGTATCTTTGTCGTGTTGGTGAACTCGAGGGGCGACTGTTCGGCGCTTGCTTGCGGTCCGTACCGGCAATGCTGGAGAGGCGGGTGAGGACTGGAAGATAAGAGCAGAAAGTGGGATGGTCTTACCTGCAGTTTCCACCACGCTGCGAGTGCGCTTTCCAAGAACTGTTCCTGCCATAGTGACTTGCGACACGAAAAATGGGATAGTGATGACAGGCGCAGCTTCCGTGGGAGTTTGGAGGAATGTCAAGAAAGAACGCCTGGCCCTAGTTAGGAAGTGTAATTGGCAGCTCCACTGCGCCAGGGCTTTCCACGCGCCGGACGCGTCGCGCGTGTGACTACGGTCAAGGATAGCTACCATAAAAGCAACTATAGTCAGACTTAGTCAGCCGCGTCATTGCTCACGCGGACACCTAAGGTGTCGAGGATCATCTTGTGTGGGTTTCCATTCGAAATGACGGAATTCTTTCAGCCTACGTAAAGCAGCACGTTCCTTTTTGTTGGTCCATTTTTTTTCCTATCTCTTGTCCACCTGTCTTGCGGGACGTCGTGATCTTCCAGTTTGCAGTGGTTTGCACCGCATCTCGCTCCCCACACAACCTCCGAGTACTTTACCCCAGTTCATACTACGCCTAAGCTTTCAGTGAGTTTCGAACTCAATCCTTTGCTTGAAATATCTTTCTCTGATCTGAAGCTTCTTCTCTAGGAATCCTATTCGACACACTGCCCACCATGGATAACGACGTTGTAGCTCAGTTCACTGAAATCACCGGCTCCACGCCGGAGCTGGCTATACAATATCTGCAGATCACAGAGTTTCAGATTGAGCAAGCCATGCAGCTTTACTTTGAAAATGGAGGCGCATCCTTGACTGGCGAACCTTCTCAACCTTCCCGCCAGTCTGGCATCCCAGCCGATTCCGATGTGGTGAATATTGACTCGGACACTGATGATGATACCCCACAACGCTCTACCCGCCCAACATTCGATGATGACGAAGCTATGGCTCGACGCCTCCAGGAGGAAATGTATGGTGGTCCTGGAGGTCCAGTGAATGAGGATGAAGTGAGAGCGCCGATGGCGCGGACAACTGAGACTTTGGTGGGGCCAGGTGCCGACTTTGACAGTGGTGAAGATATGCATGCCGATATCCTCAGTCAACTGAGAGCTCGTCAAAGAGGAGGTGAGTTTTAGCTTTGCTTCCGGATCGCACAAACACTTGAACTAATATCTTATCCCAGGCCGACCCGGAATCTTCAACCAACGAGAGTCATCTTCCATATGGACGGGTGGCGATGAAACTCGTCGCGAAGAACTGTCTGCCGCGACCGGGGGTGCATCGGAGGCGTCCTCCAAGTCCAATATGCTCGCCGAGATGTACCGCCCTCCCTTCGAGATCATGTCACGATTGCCGTGGGATGTAGCGCGCGATGAGGGAAAAGAAACCGAAAAATGGCTGCTGGTCAATATCCAAGATGCCTCAATTTTCGATTGCCAGGTGCTCAACCGCGATTTGTGGAAAGACAGCGGAGTGCAAGAAACTGTCAAGGAACATTTCATTTTCCTACAATACTCAAAGGATGACCCTCGCGCGTCTTCCTATCTCCAATACTACTTCCAGGGAAGCGACGTCTCCGATAATTACCCCCACATTGCTATCGTCGACCCTCGAACTGGTGAACAAATGAAGATCTGGTCTGGACCGCCTCTGATCAAAGCCGCCGATTTTCTCATGCAACTTCACGAGTTCCTCGATCGCTATAGTTTGAACCATAATGTGCGCAACCCTGTCGCCAAACGGAAATCTGACAAGAAAGACAAAAACATTGATGCGATGACCGAGGAAGAGATGATGGAGATGGCAATGAGAAACAGTCTCGGCGGTGCGGCTGAAACTAGTCAGACTGTCGAAGACCCTGATGATTTGACCCGCAGCGCAGAGAATATCAAGGGCAAGGGCCGAGCGACTGAGGAGGAAGATGTCAGCATGGAAGAACCCGAGCCAGCCGCCGAAGCCTCTCCATTCGCGTCCATTCCAAGCAACCAACCACACACTGAACCAGCTGCGGACCCGGCCACAACTACGCGCATCCAGTTCCGACACCCATCTGGCCGAGTCATCCGGCGCTTCGCGCTGTCAGACCCTGTCCAGAGAATTTATGAATGGCTCAAGGCCGATCCTCCCTTGGAAGACAAGGCTGGTGTGGAGTTTGACCTGAACAGCATGGGACGCAATCTCATTGATCAAATCAACACCAGCATTGCGGATGCAGGACTAAAGAACGGCACAGTGATGATTGGATACCTGGAAGCGTAATCCTCTTTATCGATCTTCTAGTCTTAACCTCACGCTATAATATTCCCTGAGTTTCTGCAAGGCGTTGATGGAAATGAATTGGATCTTATGGGATCCCACCTTTGTTCCCAGGCTGGCATTTGCCATTTTCAGGGATATCCCCGGCCGGCAATTTATCTGACTCACTAGTTGTCACCAACTTTTGACGCTTAGATTTGGGAGCACACATAGAATACCAAAACTTGCCTGTAAGGCATGCAATGAATCACGACAATTCAAATAGGAGCTTCCCCCTCTCTCTTCTGGGAAGAGAAGTAAAATACTTGACACCACGAGAGAGAATTCTAACCATATGCATATGGTTGTAGTGGGTTATCGTTGGCCAGGGTTTGACCCACACTAGCACGCTTTTACGATGCGGGTTTGAATTAGATGCAATTGCACCCACAAGAAAGGAACAACGCAATAAGTCTTCAGACTCTAAAACCTTTAATATGATGGCTCTATGTTTATGGGTTAGGTGACAGGCAGAACCCATAGGGGTGTTCCCAAAGGGGAAACCGGGTGTATGCATTAAGTGTAGCAAATGATGTCACGGGTTTTCCATACCCTAGTTCTGTTCGATCATCTCCCTCAAACAACTAACTTCAGGGGCAATCAGATATCTGTGTAGATTCAAAATAAGCAGAGGACTTCATTCTCATGCTTACAAGTCGCTCACTCTCTATGTCTTGTTTGTGACCCTGTCCCCTATATAACCCAGCTTGTCGCATCCCGAATCATACAACATACATACATGCTGGTAGCTTCACACATGGATCCTTCCCTTGAAAGGCCCAACATGAATCAATCTTCCTAGACAATGAAGTTGAAACCGTATCCTCGAATTATAACGTACTTGGCTCACAAGTTGCCGAATAATAAATCAGAAATCTCAGTGGCAAAAGGGTGGATTCTGGCAAAATCGAGAACCTGGGTAGATTTTCATCGCAACTCTCCTAACTCCTCGAAACCGAGTCCAATTGAGAAGTTGAGATCTCTTCAGCCCGAAACTGGATGCGAAGAGACTGCCATTGGACTCGAAAAGCCACTGCCACACCGCCCTGAGATAAGCGGCGGCAAAATAAGCCCCCGCGTTGATCAACAAGCAAGGGCCGGTTCTCACGACGTTGATATGCCCCTGCGAGGACCCCGGAATGAGACAGCTTGGCGTGAATGCATACCGTAAGTCACAGACCTGTCTTTAAGCCCATCATCTCCCTCACCCTGCCTTCTCCCATTGCACAATCGCCTTTGTTTACCAGCTGACGTCTTATCAATTGGCTAGCACCCAAACTAACGACGCCGCCATCTCTTCTCTTCGTTCATCCTTTTCAACCCTGGCCTGCAAGTCTTCGGAGATCCATCCTGCAGGTCTTATCTAATCGAATCAGATTGATCTGATTACACGTGCGTCGTCGCATCCAAAGTGACCCTCCTGACTGCATAATCAAGCACGCTCAGGTACAGCCCAACCCCACTCCAGCCTTGTGACGTTCGAGTGCATGTTGTGAATCTTGCGAGACTAACTGGTCATAACTAGGCTAAGACTCGATTCATGTCCTTCGTCGTTCTCACTCAAGTGGAATAAATCGCCAAAATGCCGGGTCCAATTGATCCGGAAACCATCTACACCAAGCAGACATGCATCGGTGGGTTTCCCCATTGTTGGGCCCAGTCCCGAGGTTTATATCTTTACTGACTGATTTATTTTTCTGAAGGTGGTGGAAGTTTCGGCAAGGTGTTCAAGGGGTAAGTCAAGCATCTTCCTACCTAATACTTCGCTTCAAAATATAACTGACTCGACTTGGGAAATCATAGTGTGGATAGACGCACTGGAGAATCAGTGGCAATCAAAATCATCGATGTCGAGAACGCCGAGGATGATGTCGATGATATCATCAAGGAGATTGCTATCTTGTCGGAGCTGAAGTCGCCGTATGTCACCAAGTACCATGGCTCATACTTGAAGGGATCCAATTTGTGGATCATTATGGAGTTCTGCTCTGGTGGCAGTTGTCACGGTCTTCTGCGGCCGGGTCCAATTCATGAGGAGTACATTGCCATCATTCTGAGGGAATTATTGCGCGGGCTGGACTATCTGCATAGCGACCAAAAGTTGCACCGAGACATTAAAGGTATGAAGACTGGAATTAGTATCATGGCAAGGTGCGACAAATAACAATATTATTTGCAGCTGCAAATGTTCTTCTCAGCGCAAATGGCCAAGTCAAATTGGCGGACTTTGGCGTGTCCGGACAACTGTCGGCGACAATGACGAAGAAAAACACATTTGTGGGTACGCCGTTCTGGATGGCCCCCGAGGTGATCAGGCAATCTGGGTATGATTACAAGGCCGATATTTGGTCATTGGGTATCACCGCAATTGAGCTGGCAATGGGCGATCCTCCGTATGCCGATATTCACCCGATGAAAGTGCTGTTCTTGATCCCTAAGAACCCACCCCCTACATTGGCGGGCGAGTTCAGTAAGCCTTTCAAACAGTTTGTGGAACTGTGCTTGCGTCGGGACCCCAAGGAACGGCCATCAGCCAAGGAGCTACTTGAGCATCCATTTGTGAAGCGTGCCAAAAGAACAACCTACCTCACAGAACTCATTGAACGTGCGGAGCGTTGGCAGATAACTCATCGGGGCCAAGATGACGAGGATGGAGAAGATGAATATGATGATAGAGAACCCAATCAAACCGCGAACGAACGAATCCAGGAAAGGGAAGACCTTTGGGACTTTGGTACCGTTCGCCCTGTGGGAAAAGCATCTGCAATCCCTTCGCGGCCAATGAAAGGCCCCAGCACAACCCCAACCCCTAACGAGACAGAGGAGTGGGATTTGTGTGATGCGACAGCCCGAAACCCTGGAGCGTCACAACCCCAATCACAAGCTCACACAACCTCAGCAAACCCAGCTACAAATAATTCTCCTACCAAAACCCCTCTTCCTCCTTCTGCACCATCTTCCCCTCTCAAGCAGCGTCCCTCTCAAACCCCTCTTCCTCCACGCAAAGTTGTATCTCCAGTCCCTAGTAGACCCGTGGCAGACAACCCACCCGCGAGAGGATTGAATGAACAATACACACAGGCAGCGACGCAATACGCTGGAGCCCCTGTTGCTGCTTCTTCGCCCAAGCCTAGCTCCAACCTGGGCTCTCCTAGGCAACCTTCAAATACACCTCTTTACGATCAATACGATCACTACCGCACCCCATCTGGTCAAATTGTGCGCAAGACAACTCCTCTTTCTCGCAACGTCCCCGATCCTCCGGGACATCATCAGTCCCCGCGTATCCCGCAAGCAGCCCTTCCGCGCCAGATAGAGCCATTGCAACAGGCCAAGCCAGCATCCGGCCTGAAGTCCAAGCGTGCAGCAGCAAACATGGACGAGCGTGCTATCCTCCACCGCTCAACCCCTCCCACGCCCACCTCTAACGATTCCAACCAATTCCCACGCCCTCTTCCTGAGGCTGAGCGGCCAACCGCTTGTGGATCTGTCATTCTCCCCGCCCTCCGTGCAGCCATGGATCGCCGCCGCAACAACCTCGTCCGGCTCGAACCAGGACGCAGCCCCAACGATTCTCCCGCCACCCCAGAAGAAGAGAAGGAATTTGACCGCAGCGTGCGCATCCACCGTGGTCTGGAAAAGGTCGCCGAAGACATCGCCCGAGCGTTCAACAACCTCCACCACTGGGACATGGAAGGCCCTGTCGACATGGGCGGCGGGGTTGATGCTGTTCTCGACGCGTTCCTCGAGGAGGTCCTCGTCCGGGTGCGTGCTCCAGACGCGTAATTTTGAAAGCGACTGGCTTTGTTTTGAGTAGAAATGGGTCTGTTCGATGGAGTTTCTAGGGTTGGTACTTGGCATTGTTTCACCCCATGCCTTGTTCCTTTCTTGAACCGCGCTCTCTTTCTTTCTTTTTGTATGTTATCTGTAAGAGTCTACCAACGGAACTCTCGTCTCTACTTCTTATTTCACGGTCTGGCTTGTTTCATCATAAGTCCTATTATTGAAAGTTTACTTACCTTTCAGAACTCAGGGCGCCTTCTTTCAGAAGCAACTTGCTGGTGAGTCTGTGCATTAAAATAAAGATTGCTGGCCTGGAAGCCTAATGACTCTAGTACAGTCTAGTTGATTATATTCATTATCTCATTTTTCAAGATCAACTGGAAGTAGATGTTCTTGGTGCCTGATTTCCCTGTGGTAAACACGACAAAAGCAGAAGTCTGATATGCCCCAAGGATTGCTACTCATAACCACATGCATTTTTCCTGCCTCCAATGAGATTATGACTTGGACCAAAAAGGAAATACTTGGTACAGACCAGGAAGCAACATCTCTACAAAAATCAAGGTCGGAAGATTGCACAAAAGGGACTATCAAGGTATATTCAGTTATAACGCCAGACGACATGTCTAGGCTGGATATCTAGGAGCTTCGTGTGCTTCTCCAATGCAACTCTCTCATTCCTCCGCTGATCTTGAAAGCCGGTATATAAGGAGCGGAAGACAAAAAAGAACAAAAAGAAACATTGGGCATAGAAGAAGTCGTTTCGAGTATTCTGACAAAACTATGCTGAAAGGAAAAAATACAGAAAAAGTATACACCGTATATATAGCGATGTAGCACATCCAGTGCTGGAGTAGGTGTGGGGAAGGGAGATATTGTCACAAATTTCATGGCTCTTGGTGCTTCGAGATAGCAGGGTCTATTTCGCAAGTCGGGACGGTGGTCAGGGTTGAGCGGGTATCTGAATTGGAAACATCTCATGCGAAGACATCTGTGCATGCAATATTAACACAAATAGGCACTCTCCATTGATTATGATGGTGCCGAGGGTCCTTCTGTCGCAATGCCATTGAAGAATCCTCGCGTTTGGTTGGAAGTTCAATTTCGTATTCTTGGAGCTTGATCAGAGTGTCATCCTCTTTGAGAATATTTGCCCAAGTGTCCTCATTATCATATTGCTCGAGTCATATACATTCAGAGAAGTTGGAACCGCCCAGGTTTGATAGAGCTTCAGACTATCCCTATCCAATCCTTCGACAACAGATGGAAGCAAATGTGCCGGCGTGTTGTTGCTGGTGATTGGAGAATTCTGAACATTTTACCAGACTGTTATAGTCTGGACAAAGATTCAGCCCGAAGCGAAGTCACTCAATAGAAATACAAGAAGGGTGACGAGTCTTGTTCAAGATTATACACCATTACCCCTTTGGGGTCTTTCAGCTAGGTCTATACCGCGTATGTAGGTAAACGTGAGCTTTTTCAGGGTGTTAGGTCACAATGATTGACGGATGAGATACTCGGGGTGTTCAGATAAGAACCGGTCACCAAGGGCGCCAGCGAAGAAATCGGTTGTTCTAGGAGGGTCGGAACAGCCAGTCCGTTTCCGGTGTGGGTATCAAGTAGTTGGTAATGTTGAACTCATTCGTATTGGAAGCGTGGCCACCATCAACTACCGACCCATTTGAGGGTGTGGGGCCAGCGTCGGTCAATCCATGAATTGACATTGGGTTTGGCACTGCTTCTGGGATCTCTAGATGAGCTTGGGCAGTAGCCAACTCAGGCGCTCGAGCAGGAGGAACACGGGGAACATTGAAGAAGCCAAAAACATCAAGGTACTCCAGTTCGTTGGGCGCGAAGTTGCGACTGGGGACTACTGGCAGGGACGAACGGGGCGGAAGGATCTTTCCGATGCCATTGTCGGCTGGTGATTCACGTGGCTGGCGCGAGATCAAAAAGTCCAGGTCGAATGCACAGCGACGCATATCGGCGAGGATCTTGACTGTTGAGGGCGTGGATCTTTCACCATCTGTGGCGATGGATTGTTGGTATTCGTTGTACTCGTCCAGGACACGTTGAAGAATGCTACTGTATCGCTCGGCAACTTTCCAGTATTTTCCTAGCTGGAAGAGAGTATCGACGAAAAAGACGATGTCGGTACTGACTGTGTGTGCGATAGTTGAGCCGTGGACGAGGAGCAGGCGCGCGGAGACCCAAAGAGTGAAAGCAAAGGGCGGGCCCATTTTGTCTAGCATGTTGTGTTCGACAACAAACCTTGATACCGAGAGGATGTTTTCGACAGCTAGTAGACATCGCTGGCTGGCACTGTATGAGGGTGCGAAAATTGGAGACCGAGTTGTCGGGTATGCAGCCGAAGAGTGTAGACGAATCACAGCACTATGAAGGTTTGCTTGTTAGATACTTGGTTCAAAGGGATAAAGATGCGATCGACTCACGTTTGGTAAGTTGCATGTAATTGTACCCAATCGCTGTACAAAGCCCGGCCATGCTTGGGCCCACTGAAGAGTCGAGACAAGCTTTCATAGGTATATTCTGCTGGAATATTGAATTCCCACGATGTCAGCTCACTATCAAGTTTGCGATAGGTAGCCTGCCATTCTTCGACATCGGAGAGAGATCCAATGTCGACAGGTCGTTTCAAGAACAGATGAATCCGAGAGAATATTCCCAAGATCTCGACATAGAGACCGAAAGACCCAACGTTTTCTGCGTGACTTAGGTAGTCTGCACGGTCGCTAGAGCATTGGAACCGCCTTGTCTCGACGGGCTGGTTCTTCATGAAATAATCATCCTTGCAAGGCAGTTTACGGTCGATGTCTCTATCGTCCAAGGCAAAGTTGAATGCAGTCGCTATTGTGGAATATCGGTCCAAGAGATAGATCATCCAGAACAATCGGCGTCTGCTCTCATCTTCAATCCATGAATCTGGCTCCGAAAGTGTGACGGCTCTCAGAGTATAGATCGAAGGGTAGAGAGGGTTGACAAGCGAAGATTTTGTTTCCACGGCCAACCCCAACTGAACCACAGACCGGGTGATTAAAGCAAGTAGCTTCCAGCCAGGTGGACCGTTGGAAGATCCAACCAAATCAAGGGCCAGAATCACAAGTGCTTGAAGTGCCTTAACAGAAGAATTTTCCAGACCATACAAGACAACCTTTTGTTTGGAGGAATCATGGAAGCGCTTTCTATTTTGGTCATTAAGCCTAGCATCTGAAGAGAAACGCAGTGTTGTTGCCACAATCGCATACAACACCATTCGATCTGCTTCTTCCAGTGGTGTTGGGCCAAAAAAGGTATCCAAAGTTGTTCGCCGATGGAGGATCGGACACCAGGAGTTGATATGTTCAAAATACAGATCTACCAAAGCATAGAGCAAATCATATGGCGGTAGATCAAGGTCAGGGTCGGTCAGGGATTGCTCTTGGCTCGAGAAGATATTAACAGGAACCTTCAAAGATGATTCATTCGCTGTATAGTCAGGATGTACATTGTGGGCATGTACCAACGGACCGACTGGTGTCACTGGGATGCCGTGTTGCAGATGGCTATGCGAGACATTCTTCACCGAAACATCGGATGGACTGTTGGTAGATACATCTGCACGGCGTGAGGGTAGGGTGACAGAAGGCCCAGGGTCATTGAAGTAGAGGGCAGTAGCGGGGCTTGGACCATGGGCCGCTGACGGCTCTGAAGGAGAGCTATATGAAAGAGGCCCTGTGTGGGGCAGCTCACGGCACATTGAGGACTCGCCCCGTAGGATGTGCATCTCAATAAGCCGCGCTTGCGATTGGATGATTTCTTCCAATCGATCTAAGACACGAATGAGACATGTGTTGACAGGCCAGAAAACTGAATAACAACTCACCAAGTCGTTGCTCCAACTCTTTTCCATATCCAGCTCTCAACCCAGGCTTCTTTCGTTCTTTGTATTCACATAGATGGCCATTGCGGGTACACCAGCCGCAGCTTGGCTGTACTCGGTCTAGCAGTGATTTAATATTAGTTACTGAAGATTGGTCTATGATTTGTTCAGCTCATACCGCATTTGACCTTTCGTTGCTTGCAAAGTTCGCATCTTCGTATGGATTAGTCTGAGGTTCCGTACAAACACGGGGAGCCGAGGTGATTCAAGTACGCACGAGACGGTGAGGGGGCGTTTTCGCTTCAGGCCTCTGGTGCCATTCGGACCAGCATGGTCATTATTAGAATCAGAAGAATATTCTACACTCTGATCCCTATCATGGTCACCATATTGCTGATTGGAGGATATGGTCTCCTGGGCGGGAAGCGCAGTGTTCGGCATTTCGATTTAGCGAGGATAGCAATTCGCCCTATCAGGGACCGAGCATAATGCAAGTCGGCTCTTCGCGGTAAACTGTCCGACTATACTGGGGCTGCCTCGTATGTGGATATTTGGAGGGATTCCCACGGCACTCCAACAGCAATGATCCGGGAAGGTGAAAGAGGAAACCGACCTGGCCATAATCACGGGTGGCCTCAGGCAGAAACCGGGGCACCCCGCATTTCTCCGCTTTGGGAAAATCTCCTGGTTTTAGCTCTTACTTCCCTACTCCGTACGGAGTACTCTGGTCTGAATTGACGCTGGAAGATAGGTGGAAATATCTTGTTTGATTCAAAGAGGGTGGAAGCTTCATTTGAAAGGGAAAATCAGAGCCTTTGGCCGCGTGAGGACCGTTGTATAGCTACGTGAGAACCGGCCCGATGTCTATTATATATAGATCAGGAACACACAACAAGGAAATGTTATTTGCCAGTGAAACGGAGTTAGTTAGGGGATAATTATACTTTCTACTCTCAGCATCAAGCTTTATAGTCTTCTTGAGCCTTGGCCTTAAAAACGATAAGGACTAATAATCTCTTTCCATCTTATTTCATCGGATGGGATCTAGTACGGATGATAAGTTAGGATCCTCCTTGATGGCAAAACTTCCTCAAGCCTCAAGGTATCTATGAATAAACTCGCAAATCAAACTCCCTAGAGCCTTACTATTCCCAACATAGGAGCCATGTTGAATGGGGTGCGTCGCTCGGTGTATTATTGACATCTTAACCGAGCTGGTATCCTCCATTATAATGCATGGATTCTAGCCCGCAAAGCCCAGAGAGAGGAACAATTGAATATGCACAAATTTGCCTAACATCCAGGATCAACAAGTCAACAGCAAATCCCATGTGTCCACTGTCACCCCGAATTCTCCGAAGCGCCGTTTGTCCGCTCGGGACAGCAATGCACCGAGCTCCCCTCGGCATGTGGGATTCATTGAAATAGATAATCCCCCACGACTGAACGATTTCTGTTTTTATTCTCTTTGTCTATCTTCTCCTGCGGTCAATCATTGGGTCTTCCTATCCCTTTTGACTTGTTTCATTTTATAAATCATGAGTTCAACAGAGTTCCCCCGCATCAAGGAAGTCCGCACCTTCATCATTGATGGTGTGGGTTCTGGTGGTGATTACCACAATGTATGGACCAGGAGACCTTTATTGAGTGTCAAAATAGTCATACTAATTATTTCCTTCAGGTCAAGGGAGGCCACTGGCTAGTCGACAGCAACATCTCCACCCCCATGACCAAGTGGGCACAGTTCCGTGGCTCGCGAACATCCTGGGGTATCAATGTTCTGGGATCGTTCTGTGTGGAGATTGAGGCTACAGATGGCACTAAGGGCTTTGCAACTGGTTTCGGTGGTCCCCCAGCATGCTGGCTGACCCAGCAGCACTTCAATCGCTTTCTGATTGGTGCCGGTAAGGACATCATCCTAATCCGCATCATGAATCCCTTTTCTGACCAACTATATCTCAAATAGATCCCCGTGATACCAACGATCTCTTTGAGAAGATGTACCGCGCCTCCATGTTCTACGGCCGCAAGGGCCTGCCCGTCGCCGTGATTTCCGTGATTGATCTGGCCCTGTGGGATCTCCAGGGCAAGATCCGTAAGGAACCCGTCTACAAGATGATCGGAGGCGCTACCCGCTCCCGATTGAACTTCTACTGCACCGGTCCCGAGCCTGGATCCGCTAAGGCTGCTGGCTTCATCGGAGCCAAGGTGGCTTTGCCCCACGGTCCTGATGAGGGTACCGAGGGTCTCCTGAAGAACGTTGAATACCTGCGCCAGCAGCGCGAGAAAGTCGGCGCTAACTTCCCACTGCGCGTGGACTGCTACATGTCTCTGACTGTTCCCTACACAATCCAGCTGGTCAAGCGCTGCGAGGCTATTGGGCTCGACATTGATTGGTGGGAGGAGTGCCTTTCCCCCGATGACTTCGACGGCCAGGCGCTCCTCAAGCGTGCCCACCCCACCGTCACTTTCACCACAGGCGAGCACGAGTACTCTCGCTACGGTTTCCGCAAGCTGATTGAGGGCCGTAACGTTGATATCCTCCAGCCCGATGTGATGTGGGTTGGTGGAATGACCGAACTGCTCAAGGTCTCTGCCATGGCTGCCGCTTACGATCTGCCTGTGGTGCCCCACGCTTCTGGGCCCTACTCTTATCACTTTGTCGTCTCCCAGTCGAACAGCCCCTTCCAGGAATACCTTGCCAACTCAGCCGATGGACACACCGTCGAGCCTGTGTTTGGTAACTTGTTCTTGAACGAGCCTATCCCTACCAAGGGTTATCTTGATGTCTCTATCCTTGACAAGCCTGGGTTTGGTCTGGAACTCAACCCAGCTGCTCCGCTGATCCCTGCTGCTGCCATTCTGACCCCGGCTCCCCAAAAGTCCCTGCGCGCCCCCGACAACGAGGAAGCTGCTAGCAGCTCTGCATAGTTTCGAGGTTGCGGATGTGGTTACGATTCCTATTTGTTTTTATTTGCCTACTATACGAAAGTCATGTACATACATAGCCTCAATTTATTCCATCAAATGAACCTTACGGATGCAACTTGACTAGTAGAATTTGTATAGATGAGATCATAGAATAGAGAAAAGACTAACTAATCACTGTGTCCTAATGCTCCATTCCCTAATGACCAGACTTCCCCTAGGATTGTTGCGTGACGCCGCAGAGTGACATTGCCCTGGCATTACCCCTCGTGGGGTTCCCCACAACTCGGGGGGAACATCACCACGAAACCCCGAGGTGCTTCTCGAGCAATTCATTCCCTTCCACCGAGGGCAATCAGAAACACAATCGATCTCCAGATCACATCCATAATGGCATTCCCACAATTATTAGTTGGCAAAGTCGCCGCCGTTACTGGCGGTCTCACAGGCATCGGACGAGTATGTACCCCCAGGTCCCAGCAGCAAATGAAAGGCAAAACAAGCAAAGAACAAAAACATTAACTGATCCTCCAGGCCATTGCCCTTGACTATATCCGCCACGGAGCCAAAGTCTCCATCAGCCACCTAGGCGGCGCAAAAGAAGACGCACTGCTAGAAGCACTCCGCAAAGACGTGACCGAGATCGAAGCCGAAGCAGCCACGTCCCGCTTCATCACAGTAGCAGGCGATATATCGCAGCCTGAGACCGGCCAGAACTTCGTTGCAAAGACCGTCGAGGCATTCGGGCGCCTCGATGTATTCGTGAGCAATGCAGGCGTATGTCAATTCGCCGACTTCCTAGAGTAAGATCCAATTCCCCTGCACATTTCCCTTTTCTAACCTCCTCTTTCCCCAGACTCGAACCCTCTCTCCTTAATCACACAGTCTCAACAAACCTCTCAGGAGCCTTTTATGCGACACAAGCCGCAGCGCGTCAAATGGCGCTAGTGCAGTCGCCACCGGGAGGTTCAATTATCGGCGTGAGCTCCATTTCCGCTCTCGTGGGTGGTGCCCAGCAGACGCACTATACACCCACCAAGGCGGGTGTGTTGAGTCTAATGCAGTCGTGCGCGTGTGCTCTTGGTAAATATGGCATTCGGTGTAATGCGCTGCTACCGGGGACTATCCGGACGCAGCTTAATGAGGAGGATATGAAGGATCCCGTTAAGCGGAGCTACATGGAGGGTCGGATTCCGCTAGGTAGACTGGGTCAACCGCGGGATCTAGCTGGGCCAGCTGTGTTCCTGGCCTGTGAGGAATTGAGTAGTTACGTGACTGGCGCACAGCTACTAGTTGATGGAGGATTGTTTGTGAACTTGCAATAAAGCTTCCGAGACATAATCATATTTCATACACTTGACAACATGCTTCACACTTCATAAACCCCATCGCTAGATCTCTATACCGTAAGCTTTCAAAGCAACTGATCCCCACACACCTCTCTTCTGCTCCTCCGACAATCCCCTCCGTTCCAACACCTCCTCCACCACACGTCTCCATCGACCCCAAGCAACATCATTCCCACCACCACCAATATTACAAACCGGCCAATCCGAGCCAAACATAACCCTCTCCGCACCAAAGACATCAAAAACAACATCCGTCCAAGGCTGCAAGCGATCCACAACCGCCCCAAAATCCACCTCCTCCCGCCCAAGCGGCGGAAGCTCCGACAACGCCCCAGAAAGCTTCATATAAGTCGACCGACTCGCACAAGCCATCTTCGTAACAAGCTCCCTCCACTCAACAAACTCAGGCCGCCCACGCACATCCCCCTCCAACCGAAGATCCGGCTTGCAAAGATGATCTACAACACCCGTCAGCGAACCCCACCCCAAAAAACCAAAGAGAAGAAAACCTACTAATAACAATCGTAACCGGCTTCTCCCCTGTGTAAACCAACCCCATCATCTCAACCGCCTCCCTCAATTGTCCCAACCCCCCAGACCTGGCATCAACGCCCAAATCAAACACAAACCCCTCCCTCCCCAACCACCTCAACCCCTCCAGAAACCCTTCCCCGAGCATCGTCCCCGCTGCCTTGTCCTGCACCAGATACCGCACCCCCTCACCTTCCCCCACGCCTCCCCCGCCCGCCCCCGCACCTGCTCCATATACGCGTCCAGCGCCTCCGCCCCGCCGGGAACGGGCGCCCACGGCACGATCCCCAGACAGAGGTGTCTATCCTGTGGGACGTGGCCCTCGCCGGGGATGGGGGTGCCGAGGGCGATGCGCGTGAGGGAGGAGACTTCGTCCAGGGCGTGGTTCCAGCCGGATTGGGGGAGGGAGGAGATGCGGTCTGTTTCGAGGAAGATGAAGCCGCGCGGGGGGGGATTGGGCTGCGTGGCGGTATTCGGTTATGCTGTGTTGGGTGCCTAGGGGGTTGGAGGGGGTGTGCCAGGAGAGGGTCTTTAGGTGGGTTTCGGGGAAGAGGTGGATGTGGGAGTCCACGATGGGGATTTGGGTTGGGGGCATGGTTGTGGGTTTGAATTGTTCGTGTTGGTGTGGGGGATTGATATAGACTATGGGATTGATAGTTCAGAAACGTTGGATAGTATGTACAGAGCAATGGAAGAGAAGGTCCAGATCGTGAGATCCTGGGGAGAGATGGAGGGTAAATCGGGGGCCCATTCGGTGGTGTTTGCCCCGAGTCCCAGGTTGGTGGAGACGGTAGAATTGACAGAATTAATTAATGTTTTGCAAGGATCAGAGCCGTTTCGTAACCTTCAATTTCCACTCAGAGTCTACCAAGTTACACTGAAGCAGAGTAGTGCTATATAACGGAAAGAATGCCATATGCACGAGAAACGAGGGGAGTATACATACACCAAGTGGATTGACACCACGAGGGCAAAAAAAGGGAAATCCATCAGGGAACATAAGAGGAAAATAATAGGAACGGCAATGACAGGAACATAGACAAGGCGAAAAGGATGTGAACAGTCCTCCGCAGGTATACAGCAGAGGGGGATAGGGTATGTATGCATGACTAGAAAGGAGCACGAAGTAAAAGTTCAAGTGCAAAAGGACAAAAAGTGGAAAGGTAAAGCTGAAGTTTCAAATCGCAAATTCACAGGTAGTCAAATGTGGGTGGAATGTGATGCAACAATGCACAAGCTCCCCCAGACACGTCCAAGACACTGCTCCTGTTTTGGTCTATACAAAGGTTTCCTCCACACCCAAGCATCCTCAAAGCTAGTCATCCATAGGTTTGTCCTCTAGGGTGACTCGATTGGGTTCACTTTCGGCGATGCTGCTTCGGTTGCTGCTTCGGCTGCTGTCTGTACCGCTAGCCCCAACAGCCGAGCCGGTGGGGAAGCTCGACAAACTACCGAGGCCTGTCTTGCGGCTATATCGAGCAGAAGAGCGAGAGATAGAGTTACGTTTCTCGAACTCGCCGGATCCCACAGCAGGAGTGGGAGTAGGGGTTGGAGAATCATCAGAAGCTGTGTCGGGGAGAGAAGGAGCAGGGGGTGGGCTGGGAGACTCCGAGTGAATGCTGGTGGTGGGGGCAACCGAAACAGGAGACTCGGTATACGAGCCGTTGGTAACAGCCTCGGGAACTTGGGTATTGACAGTGGGGGCATTTTCAGACCCAGGCTGGGGATCGTTATTGACCGGAACATCTAAGCCAGTGCCTCGGGCAGATCTGCGATCTGATGGGCTGTTGACGTTGATCGGGAACCTGCCGGTCTCCGACGCACCACTCGAGCGGTCACGGCGATGCCGTTGGCGATTGGCGGGGCTAGTTGCCCGGCTGCGGTTGACAATGGCTCGTTGGCGGGCCTCCATCGCCGCACGACGGTTACTCTCGTCAGTACTAATGGCGCGGGGCCGGTTGGAGTTGGAGCTGGTAAGTCCAAGCGCACTCGATTGGCGCTTCAGCTCACCAAAGATGGCATCCTTGTGAGAAAACAAATCGCGGATCAGGCGGTAGCTGTGGCGTTCGTTCATCGTCAGGGTGCTCTCAATGCGAGGGCGGAGGATGCAGGGGGAAAAGGCCTGTGCCAAAGAAGTAATGTATTCTTCGTCGGCGGAGGTCAGATCAATCAGGCGTGTAAAGTGAGTCATAATGGCATCAAGCGTAGCGATATTGACGAGGCGGAGTTGTCCAAGGGTGCTCTGCAGAACCTTGATCCGTCCCTCTTCCGTGGTCTCATGTGCAGTGGTAGAATAAATTGTCTTCACGATCTCGTAAACTTGCGAAGAAACCAAGGAGTCTATCCAGGGATTAGCATAAGCACGAATCAAGCCAGCGAGAGAACAACGAACCTGGCAATTCAAGGAGATACAATCTTAGAACGCTTGCAATAACTGGAATCTCGAATTGTGGCAACACTTCGCTGTAATCGGACTTGCTGTTGTTCAAAACATGACGAAGTTTATGCGTCGTGCTTAGTTCCACTTCAGTAAGCCAGATCATTCGCCGTGCCTCGTCGCCTTCCAGTTCGGGGTAGCCTGTGACATTTGTGAGCGTGAAATTCACATATCCAATCCCGTTTTATGGGTATCTTACGGTTATCCAGGTAAGTCAGAATCGTGGTCACCAAAACGGGGACACGTTTGCGGTCGACGCGAGCTCTGGCTTCGAGATCGACACCGAAGTTTTGTTCTGATCAAAATTAGCAACGCTTCACCATGGGGGTGATAAAAAATCACTGTACCTTCAACGGAGCCATAGTAGTTCTCATATGCCTGGATCTTAGGGACGAATCCACCGGTCCGGTAGTTCTCCAGCAGATATCTCAAGTCACCAAGAGGCTGGATTGTTTCCTGGTACAGCATCATGTGGTCCACCGTGCTCTGCAGGTTGGGAATCACATTGCTGATAGCACCCGAGAAGTCAAGGACCACGGCTTTAATGGCCTTAAGGCGATCCAGCTCGCACTGCTCCATATATTTAAGCTGGCCAATAACTTCCTCTTCCAGTCGGCAGCGAATTTGGTCAAGTCTGCGGACGGCAACCTTGTATCGTTCGTCGGCCTCCGAAGCTTCTCTGCGAAGCTTCTCTGAGGGTGTCTCGTTCGGATATGGGTTGTTGAGGGGGTTCCAGCCAGCCAGCATCTCAGAGACCGATGCAATCGGCGAATCGCTGCTGTTACCATCCTCGCTTGATGCCACTGAAGCAACACGCATGAGTGTTTTCTTCTTGTCGGGGATTCCAGTGAGCTGGAAAACCTTGGGACGCCACTGATAGTTCATCTTGGAGCTGTTGGCAAATACATTGCCCATGTTGCCAACCAAACGAAGAAGACCGCCATCCACCATATCCTGTCCAATTTTCTCGACTTGGGCGAGATTGTCGGCCTCCATGTAAGTTTGAATGTATTGTGCGATATCCGCGCCGGTGGATACATTCAGATAGGTGCCAATAATAGGAACCTTCGCCTCGCCAAGTTTGATGTTATTAAGCATGTGAGTGAGGAGCTTCTTGAGGTGATCTGGCGGGAAGATCCGCTCGCCTAACTCGAGGGGGTCCTCCTCCGGCTCTTCATCAACAGGAAGAACGATTTTCGGTGGAGCTTTGACCTGAGGACTCGATTCAGGGTCCTGGAAGGCAAGCTTGTTCTCTTCTTCCAAGTCCTCGACAACACGGCACTTGTTGAAATAAGTACTGCGCAGCTTCCTCACCAGCTCCGCTTGCTTGGTATGTTCCTTGATGCGGGACTGGAGGAGATCGTGCGAATACTGAACACGCATGTCGTGTTGTTCTCCCCAGCGGCGGAAAGGTGCCACGACGAGTTCGCGGATGTTGTTCGCGATTTTCTGGTGATTTTTGGAGGCCTCGACCATCTCGGTGCGGATTCCTTCGTATGCCTGTAATGATGTTCGCGCGACGTCAGTCTTCCTGCGCACTAGTCCATCCCATGCGTCTCAGACAAACCTTTCTGACACTTGCACCATCGTCCTTGCCGAATCCCAGCGCCGTCATCTTATCCACGCTCGGGGCAATGTCTCCCATGCGGAGTCCATATTGCTCTTCTGCATCGGCACGCATAGACGCAATGGTCAAAATTTGCCGGTTCTCCACAACTCCCTGCTGCAGCTTCCCGTACAGTACTCCCAGACCCGAGGCGTAGTCCGGGGTCCAGAAGGAGTCCGAAAAACCGGGCATTATGGCGGGGGCGAATGAGCTGCTTCAGGCCGTCAGGCGGAGATACGTTACAGTCGGAGTAAGAAGGGCAGGCGATGCGGAAGATAACAGCGGTAGGTTCGTAGGTTCGCAGGGAACGGGGGTCGTAAAAGGGCGGAGGGCGCGCACAACTGAGAGTAAATCGGAGGAATCGAGGTTTAGCGGCCGCGGAAACTCTTCCGGGATTGCGATACGACTATAAACACCGAAGATAGACTGGCGGAGTTGTTTGTTCAGTCACTTTCCAGTCTTTACGCTAAAAGGTACAACGCATAGACCGAGACGCCAATGACGGAGCAGGGGAATAACACTGTGGAATGCGAGGCAGGAGGCCTGCTCTGTTAAGCGCCGGGGTCGCGGAGAGGGAAGTTACGCAAAAAAAAATGAGCGGAAGCCAGGCCGAATGAATTGCGATGCAAATCGGCAGGAAGCTGGCACCATCAAGAAAAGAAAGACCGAAATGAGAAAGATGAAGATGAAGTTGTCGATGGATTCCCAGCAGAGCGTCATGTGGCTTCGTAATATTACTGTGTACATCTGAGACCAATACCAACACAAAGCCTTTGGGCTTTCCAGCCCGACTCACTCTCTCAGGCCCTGGAACCCACAACTGGCCTTTGAATCCACTTGCTATTTTTGGGGCTGGAAAATTACGTGGTAATTGGCTGCAGACCTGGGAATTGGCTGTTTTTTTTCAGCCGTTGAAGAAAAAAAGGGGTGAGCATGGACATTGCATGTGGCTGCGAGCCCTTACAGTGGATAGCTATGGAGTACTCCAGACATTCAAATTGATTACTATCTTCAGGTACGGAGTACGGAGTACAGGAATATACCTAGGTAGGACCTATATATACATCAGGTACTCCGTATATAGCACCAGACCCTCACCCTGGCATGTTGATGGGTTTCCTGGCAACACTCCACAGACAAGCCCAGCCTGGGGGTTCGAAATGACGATCGGCATTAATATAGTATTCTATGAGTGTCAAAAGGAAAAGAACGTCCAATGTTATTAAAAGGTTATGAACGTTTCATATGCAATTCATAGACATATTATGGTATCGTGATTATCTTAAAAAAGCATAGATCATGGGAAGATGGCCATGAGAATCAAATACATGTGGGGAGATGTATCCGTCGAGAGCAGAGAAAGAAGAAAAAAAAATCCCTTAGCAGAAGAACTTGTAAGCCTTCTTCCATGCAGGCCATAGTTTTTGCTCCTGTCGCTCCTGCTCGATCAAATGCTGGATATCAAGCTCGCGACGACCGGTGACCAAATCCACCTCGGAAGTGCGAACAAACTTGGTCTTGTAGACGATCTTGTAAATGATGTAGAACAGAAGCACGACGGGCGCAGCCAGGTAGACACCGAAGAAAGCTTCAGCAATTTCGCTGGAGGACATGTCGGCGTAACCAACGGGGGCAAATCCGACCCAGAACTGGGCAATCAGGACGAGGCAGTTGAAGAGGAAGCCGATCCATGAGCCAATGATACCAGGCTGGGACTGGAAGGCCAGTTCATCCAAGCTGTGGCCCTGTTGCTTCCATGCGCGGCGGAAAAGGATGTGGGCACCGCACACGGAACCCCAAGTGAAGATGGAGGACAGACCCGAGATGGCCATCATCCAGTTGAAGGCTTCACCTTGCTTGTCCGAAGCGGCGAGGAAGCCAAGCAGACCCAAGGCAGAGGCAATAATAATTGCCGGCAAAGGACGACCCTTGCGGTCAATGTATGTCAGGAACTTGGGGGCTTGGCCCTGCTCAGCAAGAGCAGCAAGAGTACGTGAGGATCCATAAACAGAGGAGTTGCCGACAGACAAAACTGCGATCATGATAACGACGTTCATAATCGAAGGCAAGACTTTGATTCCTGCATGCTCAATGGCAATGACGAAGGGGGAAGCCTTGGCATCGGCGGAGGAAGATCCGCTGAGGAGCTTGGGATCGTCATGTGCCACGAGAAGGCCGACGACAGTCAGGGCGACAACGTAGAACAGAGCGATACGCCAGAAGACCTGCTTGACAGCAGTGGGGAGGGACTTGCGGGGATTGGCGGTTTCAGCGGCAGCGAGACCAACGAGCTCGGTTCCAGCGAAGGCGAATGCGGCATTGACAAAGACACTGCAAAGTCCCTTGAAACCATTTCGGAAGGCACCTGGGTCATTCCAGTACTTACCGCCAATGTAACCACCTTCGGGGCCACCACCGCAGTTGAGGATAATTCCGAGGATACTAAGAGCCAAGTCAGTGATCTGCATCGGTTTCAACAGCCAGGGGTGCAACTCACATGAATCCAATGACGGCAATGACCTTGATGAGGGAAAAGACGAATTCAGCTTCACCATAGCCTCGGACACCGAACATATTGATCGAGACAATCAGGACCCAGAATATGGAAACCCAAGCAGCGTTCGATATGTCTGAATTCCAATACTCGACTGTTATAGAAGCAGCGACGATTTCCAAAGGTAAGACAATCAGCCATTGAAGAGCGTAGTTCCAGCCCATAGCGAAACCCCAGGCAGGATCCACGAAACGAGTTGAATAATGGGCGAAAGAACCAGCAACGGGGAAGAGAACTGCCATTTCACCCAAGGCGTGAACTGTACAATAAAGCATGCATCCAATCAAAACGTAGGCAATAATAACGGACGCTGGACCACCAACAGACAGGACCTTTCCAGAACCGACGAAGAGACCAGTACCTAAAGAGTGTCAGTGAACTTGACCCTATGGAGAAGATGCCTAGTGATGCGGAACATACCAATAGAACCACCAATAGCAATCATCTGCAAGTGACGACCCTTCAAGCTACGCTGCAGCGGGGAGTTGGCGGTATTCTGGGCGGCAGTCTCAATATCGAAGCCAGAGCCATCAGCTCCATGACTTCCACCAGTGACAGATTGATTTGGGTCTCTTCTGAAGCTGTCCACAATTCGCTGGCCGAAGCCTCGTTTCGTATCGGAGTGTTGGCCATAGGCTGGGGGCCCTTCGCCGCCAGCCTGGACGGTGGGCTCCTCGAACTTCTTCTCCTCCATGGTGAGGATGCGCGTGCGCGTCTGTTCGATGGGAGGTTTGGCTTAGAGTAGTTGAAAAGAGGAAGTATTGGTTGCTCGATCCGATAGACTGGAACGAATCGAAAAGAAAAGCAAAGGGTTGTATAAAGTAGAAGTATGACCCGTGAGGGAGGAGGGAGCGGACAAACGTATAGCAACCTGGGGGCGGCCAGGGTATAAATACGACCAGGCCGATGTCAGATAAAAGCAATATGCGAAGGCAATTATTTTACACAGTTTTTCAGATAATCAGAATTAATCAAAATCCCACTGCTTTCATGCGCTTAGACCAAGGAACTAGACTTTGGCACTAGGTGCATTTCAGACTCCAATCTTCTGATACCCTTGGCATACTGTTACGCCCAAGTTCGAAAGTACCCATGTACGGAGTACCCAGGAAGGCAAACTACCCTACTTTTTACCTGATTTAGCTAGGATTTCCTTCCATGGAGGATGAAACATGCCGTTCGAAGCTATGCGTGTTACACATATGCTATGCACTCGCGGAAGAGGACCGCAAACCGTCGAGTTAACCAGAGCTTTTACCGGGGAATAAGCCGGTTCGGGGTCAACGTTCGCGCTGTTTCACCTTATTCTCATATTGTAATAACTGTAATAACAAAATCAAATAGAATTTAAAAAAAAGAGAGAGCGAGATTAATCGGGAGACCAGGAAGTGGAACGCTGTCTTGTCGACGCCACTACCTGGGTATTGTGTACTTATCTCTCGCGTGATTTAGCCTGACACGCCGGGACGATCTCACCTCCAACCCAGGGTATTTGATGTCTGCTCCATGAAACGAGTACTCGGTACTTATGGAGTAGCCATCTTTACCTCTAACCCTTGGTCTCGCTGACTCGTCTCGCATGAAGGGTTGGACAGTTCTGGTACCGTGCTGTACGGAGGACTCCGACCTCGAAGCTCCGGGAACAAGCCAAGCTTCTTGGGCCCAGGACGGCAGGGCCCCAGAGGCACTAAACCCAATGAGTTCATCTCTCCGCACTTTCCGATAGTCGATCTTAACCCAATCAGAGGTCGCGGGAGATAAAGGATGCTTTCCCCCAAATCCCGCATCGGGCCATTGTCTCGACATATTCTCGGCTTTAGGTGCTTCAGAAGTACGTACGGGTACATTGATCTGTCTCACATGGACTCTCTCTCTCTACAGGTATAGACCACGATTCTGTTCTTTTCGGTAATGCTGGACAGGAAGTAGCTTAGCATCCCGCCATTTGCCATTGGACCGAAGGGAAGTGTGATAACCCCTTACCTCTGGGCCCGTCGGACCCCGTTCCTGTGGCATGTGCTATGTGCGACACCACTATGCGTGCAAAGCCCTATGGCTGAGGTCGCCCCACTGAGGCTGGTTCACTGTCCTGGACAATTGACTTTCTTTGGGTATCACCTCGGGAATCGGTTCTTGGCCAAGGACGTGTGGGTGAGAAACGCACTCCAAACCGGATGCTGGGCCTGCCATCGAGAACCTACCTCGGTCGGGTTTGCCTGTTGCCTACCATGAGCTCTGATAATACCCGAGCCAAGCGGCCTGGTTTCTTGCAGATGGCACCACAGAACGTTTGGGGCGATGCTATCTACTGGCGTAAGCTGGTGAACTCTCTCTGATATGCATGGAAGCACGGGAGAAGCACATCTGGACATCGTATCTAGTCAGGGTCTGTTGGATGATACCATCAGGTGGTGCACACGATTAGAGAATTTGTGTAATGATTGGCCTACCGTCAGCGCTTCGAGCAAGACCCCTCGTATTCCTTGCTGGGCAGCGTACAGAACAATATCGACGCGGCACCTCTGGTAGGTTCAAGATTATGCTCACGTATTTCGGGGTCGAGCAATAGACTTTCATGGACCAGGCGGCGACCACCGGAGTTCCCGCCAAAAGATCCATCACATTCGGTGGCCAACATATCCGGAGTACAATATAGATCGCAAGATATTCCATGATCGGATGACATTTCGGCTCGAAAGAAGCTCTCTGGGGGCCAACCTGAAATCGGAAAACGGGCGCACCAGTCTTATCATGCATCTAGTACGAAGTACGGAGTACCCACTGCATGTCTGCATCCTGGCACGATTCACCACCGGTTTCTGAGATAGGGTATTGCACAACTCGGACCACCTGTGACCCATGCACATCGTGAGAATAGGGGGTCGGAAAGCAAAAAAAACCGCAGGGTTCTCGGTCTGAAGCTGAATACGGTTGATGCTTGAATACAAGCCACCTAAGCCTTCTCCAGCTGATGGCCCACAGTAGCCACTTTTACTGGCCACGCTCCTGCAGCAGATAGCCACGGTAACATCGGGTTGGGTTGGCATGATTTTGCTCGGCTGATTGGAGCCAAGGCCGGCTTTCGTTTAGAGCTTCAGGTCAGCTGCTGCGCCCGGTGGTCTGGTAATCCGCACTCCGTAGTCCGTAGTCCGCACGGAGTACTCCAGGCCTTTGGTTCCTGAAATCTCCCAGGATTAATAATATTTGAAGATTGAGCTCCAGGAGTAATTACCCCGCAAAGATGATCGTCCACGTTACATAACTCGATCGCGGCTCTAGGGTTCCAGGGCTAGGGAAGCCGAACACCGTGGTCCGAATAGCAGGCGACCTTTTGCCACCCTGGGAACTCCACATTACCTCATGGGCATACTCCGTACAGAGTTCGGTCTCTCATTATCAGGTGTATAAAATCGCATAGCCGAGTCGGAACTTCCTATTAAGGTCCACGTGGTTCTTGGTATCGCACGGTCTGTCTCACTCCATGGCCCAACTAGAAACCCTCTCGCGAAATGTAACTCGAATTAATTCGCAACCTAAACAAAGACCCAATGTTAACCTGGGGTTGACCGGTAGATGCATATAAAATGTGGGGGATGACAATCTGTTAGGTAACAGGTTCCACATAGCCAACGTTGGAGTCTGGGGAGTCTGGGGAAGAGCTCAAAGAAACGCTAACGTTGTGGCAAGTTGTCAAAGAAACCAATTTGGAGGGAATTTGAACTCTCCAATGCTTTCCCGGATTCGCAAATGGCCTGTTGCTGTATCTACAATCCGCCCCTGAACCCGTGTGCGCCCCTTTCTTGTCCTAGGCTAAGCCCGCCACCTTCCCAGGTTATCTTGCTCCAGACTGGCTTGCGAAAGCCTCCCATGTCGCCATGAGCTGGGTATAGTTCCCGAGGAGTTGCACAGCGTGCGGCTAAGCACAAAGTCGGTCTACATCGATGCACATCTAGACCCTGAGACTCTATCGCTCTGTATGTTGTACTCCGTACTTTGTTTCATGATCAGGTTCAATCTTGATATCAAGATCCATATTAGTACGGAGTACGTAGTAGCTGTCAATTGTCTAGTCCTTGGGGCGAAATGCGGAATAATGCAATCTCGAGCTCATGTTTTTGCATCATGATATTCACAGTGGAGAATTCCCCGGTTATCACGCGGCAGTCTCTCTCGTTTCGGTGATGTTTTGTTGTAAGAGAACAGGGCCCGATCGTGTTAATAGCCGGTTGTAAACTGTAAATAGCGCACGGTGACCGGAACTATCCGTTGATAGCCTGGAGCTTCTTCGTAGATTATCCTAGCTGAAGTGTCATCCGAAACGTGGGATAATTGACACCTGGAACGTCAGGATGATAGTGAGACCTTGTAACTCAGGCATTGATGATGCCTCCGAAGTTAGGTGTCAACCTGTTTCCGATCTGAAACATCCATGGAACCTCCGCATGTACACAATAGTGTACAACATAGAGGTGGCAATTCAAACTATCTAGATGCAGTCGGATTGATTTAAGTAATCTCTGATATAATACGCTCTAATCTATTCATATCTTACTGGGATGTCGAACGAGAACAGGAAATTGCGTACCGATCTCATCATGTGTATGGAGTATATCCCCACATGTGCAGACCCATATCAATCTCCACATGTCCTAGCAGTTAATCTTGTCACTAGGCCACCTAGCGTTGAAAGACATCAACTTACGGTCTTTGCCGATGTTCCTGAGACCGTAGGCGCACTGTCCCAGAGAAAGATATCATACAAGCCTTAGCATCATTGTCGATGTCCACTACGCGCATCGAATCACGTCCCAAACTTATTCACAGTCAGTATTGATTATTCCAAAACTCGCTCCCAGCTGCTCAAGTGTTCCGCATTAATTCAGTCCCGGATCAGGCCATTTTGAATGAAGAGATTTAGTTGCATTGGAATGAGACAAACCACTCGACTATTTTTAAGGTTGACTAAGATACCTTGTCTTGACTGGCCTTCTTAGGCCAATCATAGCACCGACTGAGCCCTAGGCACGGTACCCATCAAATATCTTGCCTTTGCTGGTCCAGTTCCTGTACCATGATTTGGCATATGCCCAGAAATCTACGCTCATTATCAATGCACAGCCTACAAAAATTGCAGGGACTCGCAATCATACAGGGGGCCAGACAAGGATAGCCAGTGGCGGTGGTAAAGAACCAAGAACAAAACGAAAAAAAAACACAAAACGGCGCAAGGATCAACTGGTCTCACTGCCTGGGTGAATATTTGTAACCGAACAGACGCGCTGCATGACCTATATACGAAGGTAAGTTTCTTGACAATCTGACATCTTCCCCCAAAAGGGGCTGGGTTGCAGCCTTGAGCATGTCCGATGTTGTAGCCAGTCAACACCTTGGTGATGAAAATCCTGCTGGGCAAGAACACAACCTAGGCAATATTGCACTGTAATACGTCATTGGCAACGGGCTGTCTCCTGTCTCCCTTCAATGATGAGCTACAAGCCCTGGGCATATCCACGACCTGGTGAAAAAAAGGATAAGCCCTAAAAGGCCGCATGAAATGGAGGTTCGTTCATTCAACGATTTGGTTCTATCTCGTTGCATTCGGTATCATTAACACACAAAGGTCTCTTTTCGTCGTGTAAAATTGGGTATCTGAAGCTCATGAGCTTGCCACGGGGCCTTCGCCGCCAGGAATCAACTATTGAAGAGGTCAGTCGAGCACTCGGGAGTTTGGTTACACGGTGGACATCTTTTACCATGCAGATGTTGTTTCCATTCAACAGGAGCTTGGGGAGTTTGATCTGGGCACCGCTGTAGTCGCTGAGAGGAAGTTAGTTCGGAGAGAAACCACAGTATTGAATGACCAGATGTTGCGCAAAGATGTCAATCAAAAAGGCGAGTTCCAATGAGAACAATGAGCACTGCTCAAACGCGTTGGACTCAAGGTCGGGTAACAAAAACGACCATAGAATGATAGGGCCAAAACCAAAGATATGAAACACTGAAACACGTACAATTCTGTCACATCTTCCATGACCATGTCTAAATCAAAATTAGTGTCTGCTGGAATTGTCACGCTTCATATATAGGGATACTCACTGACGTAGTCATCGAATCCGAGCAAGGTTCCACAGAATTCTTGATAAGGATTAGTATTCTAGCTATAATTTCATTACCACTCATTGAAATCTAGCTGACCTTTGTCGCCCTTCATGACAACCCAAATCCGGGAGCCAACACACTTATCAATGAGCTCTATCAAATCAGTTAGCGGGGTCATGGCTTTCTCGGGTCATTAGACACAAACCAAGGGGGAGAAGCTGAGAAGCCATGATCTTCGAGTACAAGAAGTATGGGCGGTTGGGAAATGTCTTTTAGGCTGCGTTTGGGTTTAGAATTGAAGGTGATCAAATACTTCGCGTGGGCAAGGTTGATATAGAAAAGGACGTGATCGTTTGTCGCTCGGCGCCTCCAATGATCCGCCCCGACCGTCTAGTCCCAATTAGGACTAGTGGCACACCCCAGTTGTTTGGAGCTCTCCGCAACATGAAATGGCATCCTGATCCGCAATATAGTGGGCGTACTCCTAAGACCTTTCTTAATTCCTCACTGACTGAGCCGGCGTTTCTTGTCTTCCACGTACGACGACTTGATCACTTTGTGGGGCTTCAGGCTGGTTCACTATGCATGCTACGCAGAATGCCAGCGCGGCCCCATATTTTAGCAAGTCGGAAGACCCGATCCTCCATTGCAAAGCTCGGCGTCCATCTCGGTAAATCCATTTCGCATTGTCCAGCTCGCCGTGGAATATGTGAATGGCGGTAAGTGCGCTCTTTTGTTTCTTGTCAATTATTCTGTTCTGAACAGGCTACAGTGGCGCCAATGCTTGCGCACGATTTGGGTCAGAGCTCCAATATGTGTCTTTACCGAATCCAAGCCCCTCATCCACTTGTCTCTCGACCCCACCTTTGAAGCGAAACTTTTCGAATACTACTCGTAAAAGTGCTAGCATATGGGATGAAGATGACGATGTTCCAGAGTCAAGCCCCGTGCAACCGGTGCCTGGTCGGCCGGTCCGTACTCGCCCCACCGCCCATCGAGACTTGGGCAGCTTAGTTCGATCGAGGGTTGCTGGATCGAAACGAATGTCTCAGCGTGCGGAATTGGAGAAAATCTTCAATTCGCTGGATCCATTTCATGTCCTGCTTGAGACTTTTATCCAATTGAAGTATAAGCACCTCGATGGTTTTCTCATGGATTGCATAGAAGCCAATCAGGCCTACAGAGCTGAATTCAACGTTCTCTCCTCAATTCTTCAGAAGCGAAGCGATGATGCGATCTCATGGATAACGAAGCAGGTCCTCGAAGTTGAAAGGATCTATCAAGAATGTATGACCGAATGGGCAACCCTGTCAAAATGCATACAGGCACGACTTCTTGCTGTGGTCCCACAAAATACGGAACGAGTTCTCCGAGCAGAGGCGACCACCCAAAAGTATATCGCTGAAGTGATACGTCTGTCGAATTCTATACTCGGATTGGACCGAATGCAGGCTGCGGTCACACAGATAGAGAGCACCGGCCGACTGATCGAGGACGATTTTTGCCGCATTGTCTTCGCTGAAACTCCAGAATGGACAAGAAAGCTCAAAAGGTTTGATCAGGATATTCGTCATTTGCAGAAATCCCTTCTTGCGGCTCAAGTTAGTATCTTACATCGCTTAATCGCCACTTCTGAGTTATCAATCGATAAATTGAGAAATACACTCAACAACAAGTATCTGAGACCTCGGGAGGCTGCACGAAGTCGAATTGATCAGATTATCACTCAAACCATTCAAATCAACGAGGCCTACACGAAGTTGCAACTGCAAATGCAATCAAAAAGCTCAAATACGCCTATCGCTGGTATCAGATATCTTTGTCTGTCACTTCAGCATAGTCCAGGCCTTCACCCAAAGGATCGATTCGTGTTTGGCCAACTTAGGGATACAATCAATCGATATCATAACATGATGCTGGTTCTTGCGCATCAATACCGTGCGTACTGGTTCAGAAGACAGATGGCCTCTCATCCTCTTCGAGAAAGCGAATTGTGGAGTTTGCGCGATCTCACAGATAGACCAGAGCTGGGGAGACTGCTCTCTGGGGATGAAGCTCGTGTCATATCCGCGCTTGCACTGAATGCCCCGCGGAAATCAAAGAAGATTTCGTATTTTCAGAAACGCGCGCATGAAATAACCCTCTATCTCCGTCGAAAATATAAAGCTCTTTGGACGCCCAGACCGGCACGCAGTCCTAAGCTACATATCTACTGGCGCCAACTTGATGCACTAGGGCCATTGAACATCACCGAACTATCCTTATGGGACCTCCATAATGAAGCTTGGTATCTTCACTACAGCCTCAGAGGGGATCATGGGAGATTGTGGGCTTGGGTCTCCGAAAAGACCATGGCACGCACTATTGACAAGTTATCCCAATGGTGTACAGAAGTACAAGCCCATCGCAACCAACTTCTACGGCTATCAATTGACTACAGACATTTGAACTGGATGCGTCTTCGATCAGAAACCATCCTACATTCAATGGGAGAACCCGCCTATCTTGCTGGAAAGTTCGAAGTCCCTAACCCAATGAGCCAGAACATCTCTCGCTTTAAAGAATGGACGCATAGTATGGGCCAGACTTGTTCTGACGCATATATGATTAAGATTGCCCAGCGAGTAAATCGAACTCAATGGGAGCACATCTATGAAAAGATGGCCCTGGTTGATGGGCCCCAAACCAGAATTCTAGGACTTGGCTCTTCAATGACAAAGAGACCCAATCGCAAACGGGGACGGCGACAGTCCAAATATTCTAGGAAGACTAGCATGAGATGGCCTTGGAAGGATCATGTGCGATATAGCAAGGCGACTCTGTGGAGCCATTCGAGACCTCCGCTAATTCTTGACAACAAGAAGAGCAAGACTCTGGGCGAAATGACCTCCAAGCCTGGGCTGCCTGTTAGTCATGGAAACCAAGAGGACAGGACCCTTATGAAAGGCAAAAAAACAAGGGAATCACCGAAGTTCAGGGCTAGCCAGCTTATGGTCGGTCCAAATGCTAATAATGGGAGCCAAAGTGGAAGCAAATCTGAACATAGTCCATCAACGAAGCTTTGGGGTAAATCCAAAGGCGTCGCCGTGGACAAACAGCGTCAATCCAACCGTTCTGCAGTTGATGTATCTGCTGATGAGGAAACTCAAAAACTAGAACAATCTTTGAAGAAAAAAGCGAAAATGAAAGCAAGAGCATTACTACAGCTGGGAGTTGAATTGCATTCAGTCCGAATAATTGCTGACGCGGCGAATATCTTGCTGGAGCTCAAAATTGGGCTCACTAAAGTGAACCCTGGACCGCGTGCACCGTCTCCCAATCGTTCCGGCGAAAGTCGAAAGAAGAGAACCCTCGCATCCACACGATCCGCCAAGCAGAGATCAAAAGCCAGCAGCTTCTTGGCAGATCGGAACTCCGGTTCTAACCCATTCCCAGACTATGTACCTCTCGCTCAAAACTATCAGGATGGTCAAAAGACAGAGAAGGTTCCTCACGGATCACCAAACAAAATTTGGGGAAAAGCCGGAAACAAGTTCGCAACAGAGCGCCAGCAAAAGCCAATCGCATTCCCATTCAAGGCACCTCTCAACCAAGGCGAAACAGATTTTCGAGAGACAAGTGCTGCTGTTCACAATTCATCGAATAATCTTTGGGGAAGAGCAGGAAAGAAGTCTACAACAGAACACCAACCAAATCAAACCCTATTCCCATCCGGGGCGCCTCCCAGTCGAGACGATGAGGATATTCGAGAGACAGAGAAGGCTGTTCTCGGATCGTTAAACAAGCTTTGGGGAGAAGTAGGGAAAAAGTTTGCAGAAGAGTGCCAGCCAAACCCAGCCCCACTCCCATCCAAGACGCCTCCCACTCAAGACGCTGAGGATGGTCGAGAGAAAACGCAGGCTGTTCACGAGTCATTAAACAAGCTCTGGGGAAAAGCCATCGGGACGTTGACAGAAGAGCACCAGCCATGCCCATCCAGTGCATCTGCCAGCCAAGACGATGACAATAGTCAAGCGAGAGAGCAAATTTTTCACGACTCATCAACCAAGCTCTCGGAAAATGCTGCAACCATCGAACCTGAGCCCAAATTTACTGGCTCATATCTTGATAACTCGAGTTCAGCAAGTCCCAGCAAAAATTCCAATCCGCACGGAGTTGCTCAGGAGGCGCAACACATGTTTAGATCCCGGTCCTCCGAGTCCGTTCCACTCCAGTCATCGATAGTACAGAGTGAATCACATTCAAGCGCCGAGATTGATGCACTGCAGAAAAGGGAAGCTGCAGAGGACGCCTTCGATGCCCTTTTTGTCAAAAGGCCACCACCAATAGTTCCAACAAGAATCAGCAATCCCTCCCCAGGCAGAACATCACGCAACGATCTCAGGGCAAACACGACGCCGGTGCGAGGACCCCATTTGCATTCGAGAGGGATCTCCCGCAGAACATACAGTAAAAACGCATATTTTTATCAAACAAAGCTCCGACAAAGTAGTACTGACAGCGGTGATCCGCTATCTGAGCAGCCAGTTGAGCATGATATGCCCTCGGTTCCAGACGCCAAACACAGCCGTGGCCCAGCATACCTTGAGGGAAACTTTTTCACAGATGAAACAGTTCCATCTTCGGAGATTGAATCCAGTGCGAAGAATTTCGCAACACCGGAGTTCTGGAGCCATAGTTCACAAAAAAGTCCGGATGGGCAGAAGCTCATCGTGCATTATTGCCGAACTCTCCAAAGTACTGAAGAAACTGTGCAGCTCTTCCATGGGAGCAAAGTCATTGGATTCGACATGGAATGGAAAGCTCAAGCATCTGCTAGGGACAGCATCCAAAGCAATGTCTCGGTGATCCAAATCGCGAATGAGGAGCGCATTGCCCTATTCCAAGTCGCGCTCTTCAAGCCTTCACACTCCCTGGCAGACTTAGTGTCTCCATCACTGAAACGCCTCATCGAGTCTCCTGATGTTATGAAAGTTGGTGTCTCGATCAAGGCAGACTGTACGCGGCTTCGCAAGTATCTCGGAATTGATGCACGGGCTACTTTCGAACTCAGTCATCTATTCAAGCTGGTAAAATACGGCAGAGACAATCCCAAACTGGTGAACAAAAGAGGTGTCAACCTCAGTGAGCAAGTGAGGGAGCATTTCGGTCTACCTCTTGAGAAAAGCGATGATGTCCGCTGTGGCGATTGGGCTCGGCCTTTGAACTATCGACAAGTACAATGTGAGTATTCGCGAGTCAACACAGTTTCTCTAAATAAATGCTAATCTTGTCATTGCTTTTATTTTAGATGCTGCTACCGATCCATATGCCTGCATTCGTCTGTTTTATGCCATGGATGCGAAACGACAAGCCATCGACCCTACGCCGCCTCGTCCTGCGTATGCTGAACTCAACCAGCCCATCATTCTCCCACTTGGGCAAAAGATCAATGACGAGGGGAATCAGCCATTGATCTGACCATGTAGATATTCATGCATTTCCTATATTTGGTCCCCAAAATACCCCCCTTTTCTTGTTTTGTTTTGCAAATGATTTCAGAGCATATGTTTGTACACGTTCATGCTGGAGATTTTGTGTATATGTCATTCTCCTTCTTTTGTTGATGCCTTGCGTCGTCAGCGTACTGTTTGTGTTTTATCTTTCCTTTTACATTGTATTACGCATTGCATATAGATTCCAAGATATTGCATGCTACAATTTTCAGGAACTTTACACTTCATGAACATGATGCTTCGAGTGAATACAGAAAATAGGGTATATATTTTTCCAAAATATGCATATAAACATGTATCGGCAACACCAACCTCTGGATCTCATGCAAATGCCAGTGGCGCCAATGAACCATATAGCTACCCCCGTAGAGGGAGCACCTTCGACAGCAAAACTTCTTGTCGGCAGAGCGGGCACTCAGGCTTTTCACGCACCCAATCCCGAACGCAAATCCAGCAAAAGACATGTCCACATGTTGTGACACTAGGATCCTTGAACGATTCCAGACATAGAGTACACTTCCTCTGCTGGCCTTCGGGAATCCACGAGACAGCACTCGGATCCTCTTCCAGATCATAGAGGGGCACAGACGCAGGGAGGAGAGGAATAGTAGACGGGTTCTGAATAGAGGTGAGAACCGCTCCGCGTTGTGAGGAAGAGTCGCCAGCCCTTGCCGTCTGATCCGCTTCTTCATTCATGCTCGCGCCTAGTTTCCGAACGTGCAGGAACCCCTGCACGGCTATCTGAAGAACAAGCAACACACCCAGAACCTCATACCCGATGCGCTGCTCATTATCCTCGATCTTCTTTGTGAATACATAACGCAGCCGCCAAAGGCGCTTGGAGAGGTGATAGTATGAGCCCGTGAAGTAGAACGTCGCAATACTCAGCGCATAGATAGGCGACAAAGATGTGATGGAGTCCAGGTGCTCAAGGAGATACTGTTGAATGCGCAATTTGGTAAAGAATGGCCGTTTAGTTGGCGTTGTGGAAAACTGAGGCTTGTTGAGCAGGCCAGCCTGCTGTGCCGCTCGAAGCTCCTCTCGGGCAACGTTGCGCTCAAGCTTGTTGCGGATTTTCTGTCGCAGCGCGGGCAGGATTCGCTGCAGTGTCCATGGTACTAGAATACTGCTTAGAATGTATCCCACGCGACGGCCGATTGACGGTAATTGGAGTGTGTCGTCTTCTAATTGAACGAGGTCACAGTATTCTTCGCCCAGGGTGCGGTTGCCGATGGCGGTTGTTAAAGAAAAGTAAAGGAGCTCGGTAAGATGTTTGATGGCGTCGGAGTGGGTATGAGCATATCGGGCGCCGCGCAGAGCTCGCACGATGCCTTGGGATTGTTGGATTAAAGTGCCTGTAAGGAATGCATCCTTCTCATGCGAGCGGATAATGTCCGGTGATGTTGCGAAGGGGTAGAAATGTGAGGTGGCTGAGCCGAGGGTTGGGTTCGGGGTTGGTAGAGAGAGATGGGAATCGTCGTCCGCCATGATGGACTATAGTGTGTTGAGAGGGATGCTTGAAGAGGGGGAACGACTGTAAAGATTATTTGCAAAATTGATGCATTGCCCAAGTCAAGTGGCAGGCTCAATTTCCCCAACTTCTGTACCTGGTGGAGCTAACAGTTTCCCCGGAGTTGTCGTTGCCTCGGTATAGAGCCAGGTCATGTGACATATTTGGAACGCCAATCACGTGGCTTATCACGTGGCATGTCACGTGCTTTTATTACTGGTGTAACATTACCGTTACATACAAGGCCAGTTGTCCCACTTGGGGTCGGTACCTGGGTACATCAGAGGTACCTGGACCGTCTAGGTTGATTGCGGGAAGCTTGAAGTGGCAAAAAGTACCGCTGTCAGTACCCCCTTTATTTTTCGGCAGCGTCGTGCCAGTGGCTCCATGACTTCAAGACCTTTGGAGACTCATGATGATGTTATTGGTACAATGTATCCATGGACATAACAGTTGATAGGCTTAAAAGAGTTCTTTTATGCCGATCTGACAACGATCATCGGTCTCTCCTGAGATGTGCTTCTAATTATACCCAATTCGACACTGCAGTGTGGAGTTCCAGACCGTCGGCGGACTGTGACTAGTCCACGGGCGTGTACTGGCCTCTCTCCGCTTATTAAACTGCCCTGAAAACGGCTTCACTGGGAAAAGTCTCAACTTCCGTTGACGTCGACTCACCCCTAGTCATTCTTTTTCGTGGATATTCTGTATCCCCACGGGGTCTCTGATTTTACCTCCTTTTTCCGTTCGCCTCCCCCCCCTCCCCTCATCAATGGAATAATGGGTGTGGATCAACATGCTCAATTGGATGCCTTTGGGCTGATCTTCCCATTACCGCTACGCATAGCTGCCCTCTTGGTTGCTGGTAAGTTGACATTCCTATCTGCGAGGGGGCTGAGACTAGATCAGCCAAGTTGACATAGGACAGGTTTTTGGGGATGGGGTATGAACCTTCAATACCTGGCAAAGGCCAACATTGTAAGAGACACCCCTCATCCAGTCGTCATAGTCCTCAAAATGCTTATCAGATTCCTTACTTTTAGGATGTCCCTGCGCTCATAAAATACCCGGCCCGCACGAATCCCTCGCATCGTCCGCACCATGCCGCCGTCTATCGCCTGGCGACATGCTTCAGCATCCCACTTGCTCTATGGTTCATCGTCTTTTGGCTAGTAACCAAGCGATCTCCTGATTTGGTGGAGGGATTGGACTGGCTCCCACAATCGGTGTTCATTATTCTCCTCATTATTCTAATCTGGCCTTTCAATCGCGCTTCCCGTTCCGGGCGAATCCGATTTCTCATCACCTTCGCGCGAATCCTCGTCGGTGGGCTGGCCGAGTCCCAGGATGGCAAGTTTGGTGACATTCTGCTGGCAGATGCTCTTACTAGCTATGCTAAGGTGATTGGGGATCTGTATGTCAGCTTCTGCATGTTCTTCACCGACGGTCTCGCTGCGACTTCCAAACCCAGCCGGGCCTGTGGACATGAAATCGTTGTTCCGATCATTATCGCTGTTCCTAGCTTGATCCGTCTTCGCCAGTGCTTAACCGAGTACGTACGTGCGCGGCGGACAGCTACGCGCAGAGAGTTGCATAGAGGAAATCAGCACTTAGCCAACGCTCTCAAGTATGCAAGTGCTCTCCCTGTGGTTTGGATGTCCTGGAAAATGCGCAACTATAATCCATTGGAACTTCGCGGATATAGCGAGGTCAGCATGAGGCGCCTTCTGTAAGTCTCTTTCATACTCTTTTGCAGGGTTGATGCCTTTTCTAACACCACCAGATTTATCGTCTCTTTGATTAACTCTGCCTACACTTTCTGGTGGGATGTCGTCAAGGATTGGGATATGACTCTGTTCTCGCCCCAGCGCCACGATAAAAGCCACCCGTATGGGCTCCGCCGGCATCGCTGTTTCTCATCTGACAAGATATATCACTACGTCATCATCGCAGATCTGGCACTGCGTTTCTCATGGCTGTGGCGAATTTTACCAGGCCTCGGCTGGGTTGCAGAAAAAGAGAGCGGAGTGTGGATGCTCATGTTCCTCGAAATTGTACGCCGCTGGATGTGGGTTTTCTTCCGGACCGAAGCCGAATGGAGTATGTATCCCCCTATGCAGTCGCCCTGCCCTTAACCCCAACCGTGTGACCTCACACACCGCTATCATGGTTTTATCTTATACGGACATATCCACTCACACGCAATCTTTGCAATAGTTCGGAACACCCAAGGCCCTGGTCCAGATGACGTTCTCCTCGGCGAATACAACCACAAACTCGTCGCGGACTAAAATTTCCTTAATCCTTTCAACTTTGATCACTTCAAGCGACCTGGAACGAGAACGAGACACATAAAGACCCCCCTCCCAACCCAACACAACGGTTGACTCCTTTGGGCATACTCCCCCCCCCCAAGCCCACTCCGCATATTCCCAACCAACCACTGCTAGAACAGCGATAGATGAGGCCCGAGACTGGCGCTTGTTTTGTTTTTGGCGTGTCTATACGCCCTTGTACGCCTATTGTTTTCTTTTGGGTTCCTTTTAATTATCCCAGTGTGGTCAACATCACACATCAGCTTCCTAGATTCCTTGGACTTGACTAGAGCCTATGACTTCGTGTGCGCATGGAATTGGTGTTCTTAAGACCTCGATGTCTGGAGGCCGTGGCAAGCATGAATCACTTTTTTTTTCTCGGAACTTCTATTTACTCTTCACTGTACCAATTGTTACACTTAGGGTTCATCAGCTTGTCTGACCTCTGGATCTGATTTGCTTGTGTTTCCTTTACATATACCACTTTCCAATTGGACGGCTTTCCCGGCTACTCCCTTTTCCCCTCAGCTTATTCTTGAGGGTTGGATAGAATAGAAACTAATTGGTATTGGTGTTTGGGCGAGGGACAAATCTGCATGATTGAAGAACTTGAGTATGCTTCTCAAGCACTGATCAAGATTCCATTGAACGATGACGATTGGAATCCGACAATGACTCTAGTCAAAGCCCCTCAAATCTACCAGGTTCTGGGGCCGGATTTACAAGTTTCACTTGTTTCATTGAGTATATATTAGTTGCAATCAAAACAATTTATCTCGAGGCCCGGAGGGCATCTAGGAGCAAGTCAACCGAGTTATCCCAGGAAAAGCCTAATATTTCCCATCCTACAAGGACACCATGTTGGAAATTACATATGGAAAGGAGAAGAAGGGCATTGTAAAGAAAAGAGTCCATTGACCTCTAGAAAAAATAATATCAGACAGACTCGTTGACTTCGTACAAATATCCTCCTCAGACAAATCGAGAGATAGGAAATAGAAACACAGCCACAGATGAATACCAGTGTAAATATCAGGGCGGACCAGCCAGATAGGCCCCTGACCTATCCGTATTTCTCTCCTGCATCTCATGCCATTTTTTTCCACAACTACGCAGGCAATTCTGCTTCAACTCAATCCTCCTCATGTCATGTCACTCATGTCGTACATGTATGTTTAACTTTTTGATATGTTCACATTCGAACAACATCAACACATTACCGTCGCCCTTTCAGAAGACTAGTCCGAAGGAGGCTCATATGGACCCCCGGAGAAGCGGATGAGGGTCAACATTGAGCATCAATCCTTTACAGGTCCTTCTTGGGGATGTGGGCCCGGGGGAGGGAGCCAGCGCGGTCGATAGCATTCTGGCGAGCCTGAGTAAGACCGTGCTGGGTGGCAATGCCCTCAATACGGTGGGTGGAGTTGATGTTCTTGACAAGGGTGAGCTGCCAGCAGGTGGCACCACCCTGGCGGGAGGTGATGGTGGAGGAAGCAAGGAAGTACTCCCAGATCTAAAAATAGCAGTTAGTACGAGAACAATAAAAGCACGCGAGATCAGTATCCGAGGGAGAGAAACTTACGCGGAACCAGCGCTTTCCGTACTTAGCCTCGACCTTGTCGCGGTTACCCATCCAGTTCCGGTACCAGCGCCAGAGGGTAGCAGAGTAGTGGACACCGATGGTGTCAACAGACTTGATCTCGAAGCCAGCGCCCTCGAGGCGATCCACAACGAAACCAAGAGGAGTACTGGCATCGGCACCGGGGAAGATGTACTTGTTCATGAACAGACCCCAGATCAGGTCCTCGTACTGCCAGGACTTGCGGAGACCAGCGATCTGCAGGAAGAAAGTACCGTTATCGTCGAGCATGTCGTAGACCTGAGACAGGAAAGTAGAGAAGTGGCGAACACCGACGTGCTCAGCCATCTCGAGACAGGTGATATGTTGGTATCCACCATCAACACGGGGGGCATCACGGTAGTCACTGCAGACAATGCGACTCTGGCTCTCCTCGATACCAGCCTTACGAAGACCATTGTTACCCCAGGCGGTCTGGTTACGACCAAGAGTGATACCAGTAACGTGAGCACCATAGTGAGCCGAGGCGTACTTAGCGAGGGTTCCCCAGCCACAGCCGAGATCGAGGACCTTGTCACCGGGCTTGACACCGATCTTCTCGCAAACAATAGCCAGCTTGTTGTCTTGGAGCTCCTCAAGGGTCTCCTCCTTGTTGATATCACTGATAATACCAGAGGTGTAGATCATGCGGGGACCGAGGAACCAGGCATAGAAATCATCACCTCGGTCGTAGTGATCACGGACCTGCTCCTCGTCTGAGAACAGGGTTAGAATTGTCAATAGAGCTCGGTAATTGAGGAATCACATACCCTGAGAACGAGTGTGGAGCAGCATCTCGGGGATGAAACCGAACAGGAAGTGCTTGAAGAGACCAGTGGTGAACTTGAAGTTGGCCCAATCGTGACGGTACTCGAGGCACTCCAGAGCATCGCCCTTGAAGTCAACCTCACCGTTGAAGTACTTTTCGTAGAAGACTTCCATGGGAATCTTGCTCTTGCCGCGGTAGGTGGCACGATCGTGCTCGCTGTGGAACTGCAGGTAGTGCTCGACGGGACGGCCACAGTACTTGGCCTTCTCGGTCTTGCGAGGAGAAACGGAGGAAGAGACAGCCCAGAAGGCCACCAGGATGGGGACAGAGGTGAAGAGAGCAAAGAAGATGGTGGTATAGAAACCTCCACCGACCTGGCGTGCCAGCCACCAGGGCACGACGATCTCCAAGGCAATCATCAAGCCATTGGAGAAGCTATCACTGCCGGGGGAATCGGCGGGAACGGGAGCATTCTTGATGGCGGGATACTGATTGTCAAAAGTAACAAATTAGCTGCTGGAATCATCAAACACGCCTCCCTATAGCTCCTAGCTCCGGACTTACCAAGGTAGTTGGCACACCGCAATCGAAGGCAGGCTTGGTCTGCTCGGGGGCAGCCGGAGTCTGGATGTACTCGAACTCCTCGGTGGAGTCCGGATGAATGGTCGTCATGGCGGCGAAGCGTCAATTGAGAAGATTGAGGAAGGAAAAGGAGAGGCCAGAGAGTAAATAAGAAGATATGGGCAGTTCCCGGGGCGGTGTGGGCTAGAACGCTAGAACCATGTACCTGGAAGTACCTGATTGGTACCTACAGTTCCGTGGACGGGTGAGCTGAGAAATCGGTACCCGCTAGGTACACACCGAGTTTACTGTTTACTTCTCGTCCATTGGTTTACAAGATTCTATTTTCCCACTGACGTCGTTGAGTAGAATCAGCCGGTGCCGGTGGGTTGACCCTGATACTACATGTACTGTATATATTACATTTGTCCATACGGAGGCACAGCTCTGGGGGTATGCAGTTCACGATCTGGGATTCCACTTTGGAAGAGTCTGGGACAGTCTACGTGGTCCCCCGACGGAAATGCATGTGCGACCTCGCCTGTCGCTTGGCAAGGGATCATCGTGAAAGTGGAGAAAAGCCTGAAACAGCAGGATCCGCGGGTGAAGGGCTATCCATTACAAGTAATACATTAAGGCTATTCCATTTCCATAACGCCGGGATCCTTCGGCTTGCCGCCAGACCCTTGAGCCAATTCCGTCATCCACGAGCCGAAACAATAGTCATATGTACTAAAATTGGTATTCTCTTGAGTGTCTCATTGTGCCGATTGCCGATGCTTACAAAGTGAGCTGGAAGTTCTCGGCCTCCTCATCTTCGGCAAAGGTAGGCAGTGATCCCTCCAATTCCTGTGAGCTTTCTCCCGGTGGATCGAAGCAGCCAGCAGCTTTGCAACGAGTCCACATTTCCGAGTCCAGCGGAGGCGGTCCATACAACTGCATGTAGGTTTCGGGAGACAACACCTCGGAGCTCATGGCATGTTGTGTCTGGGATGTATTCTCTCGCAGATTCGACGATACACTACGTCCTTTGGAATAACCAACTGTTGTCCGAGAGTTGACGGAGGCGGCGGTGTTGCGCATGGAAGAGGGATTGGACGGGACCCTGGCGTGCCTCTTGGGAATAACTAAAGACGACGCCAATGACGCCACCCGGGGCCTTGCGTTTGAAACCGCGCGAGGTGTGGCAGATGGTTGCGTTCCCGCAAGCGCGGCGGCAGCATCGCGGGCTCGAAGAGTAGATACACTGCGGGTCTGTCGTGTGGTGGCCGTGGATCTCTTTGGGGGAATGGCATGCGGCTGAGTTGGCTTTGTAGACTCGCTCTCACCATAAGTGTCAAATCCAACGCTGTCAAGCTGCTCCAGAATCATCTTATCTACCATCTTGTCGTATGCAGCTGAATCCTCCTTGAACTTGCGCTGCTTTGCTGTAAGGCCATCACTACCAATTTGTTGTTTCCCGTACACACTTTCCAAGCCCAATGCCCGATTCTGTGGTCGAAATTGTGGAAATGTGGTATCGTATGTCACGTCATCTGGAAGGTCCGGAAGATCTGCAGCTTGTGAGAAATAGGCTTCTAGATTCAGATCTTAGTCATGCTTAGCGTACCTGTCGGCTTGGGTGGCATGTATTCAATATCGGGCACATCATCCAAGACCACCTCGTTGAGGACCTTAGTCTGTGGTTGCTGTGCCACAGGAGCAGCTTTCTTGATCTTCTGGGCAGTCGAGAGTCTTCGGTTTGTTTTCGGTTGCTTGGTGGTTCCTCCAAAGGGAGCTGGGGTCTGGAGGTTGTTGGCTCTAAGATTGGTCGTTTTCATGCCCAGTGGAGCACGGTCTTTCACTATACTCGACAAAACCGATCAGTCTTTGTCGCGCGGGGATCTTCAGATTTCAATTTTTGTGAAGGTCGCGTACCCATCGGCGTAACAAACGCGTTGATTGCCGCTTTTCCATCCTGTCGGGTTCCTTTCCCTTTCCCGGTGCGGTTTCCAAATACTAGTGGGTTGTTCTCATCATTGCGCGCCTTGCCGGGGGTCTTCGGTGCTAGTTGCTTGGTTTGGTTCAAAGGCTTAGCTGCCGCGGCGGTCTGGTGCGTGTTTACCAGATTTTCCTGGTCACGAAGAGCCAACATCGTGGCGAACTGTAATTAATGCTGCTCATGCACTGCAGAGAAGCAAAAGTCACGTAGTTATCCAGGTTGAGGGTGATAAGAAGCCAGGATAAGTTCTAGAAGCAGGTGTTGTTGGGTGGTTGCCCGTGGAGACGCGGCGATCCTTGGGCGGTGATTGGCGTAGAACAGGAGGGGGGTGTGTACCTAACCATACAATCTTACGCTGTTGGTACACAGTAAGTACACGGTACTTCTCCTGTAGTGGAGCTTCTGCTTGGTGGGCTAGTACTGTCTACTTATTCCTCAGCCATCCTTTATTCCTCCCCTTCTCTCCCAAAACTCTCCCCATATCATCTTCCACACACCCATCCAAAACTCGCCCGGTTTCTCGCTGAGCGAAAGCCTGAATATCTTCCTTTGAACCTTACATATTCTTTCCCTTACTTCCTTTTCAATACCCTCAAAATGGACAAGATCAAGGAGGTAAGTTACCAAGACCCCCTGCCCGGCGGGGTAGCTTGCAAACTGTCGCTCAAAATCACATACCCCCTCGTTATATGCACATATGCATAACCCCTAGCATTCCATTATTTCCCCACAAGGAATTTGACTAACATGTCGGTATTCAGCGCATGGTTGCCCTCCGCGCCGAGGCTGACGAGGCTCATGAGCTTGTCGATGAGCTCAAGGCCAAGGTCAAGACCTTGGAACAGGAGAATTTGTCTAAGGAACAAGAGATCACATCCCTCAACCACCGTAACCAGCTCCTGGAGGAAGAGGTTGAGAAGGCTGAGGCCGCCCTGAAGGAGGCCAAGGATGCTGCCAGCCAGAGTCTCCAGCACGACACCCAGAACGAGGCCCTTCAGCGACGGGTGCAGCTCCTCGAGGAGGAGGCCGAGGAGAACGACAAGACTCTGCGGGAAACAAACGAGAAGTACGTCTAGCCACTTTTTTTTGTCACAACTAAGTACTAACGTTTTGGACACTTAGGCTCCGCCAAACCGACATCAAGGCTGGTCACTACGAGCGGAAGGTGCAGGCACTTGAGGACCAACACGCCAAGCTGGAGCAACGATACGAGGATGCGATCAAGGAGCACAGCACTGTCAAGAAGGAGCTCGACGACCTTGCATCCCAGATGGCTGATATCTAAGCTGGTACCAACCAGTGATGGATGCGGGATACTGGGAGGCATTGTGTTGGATACAAGCTCCATTCTCTCGTTTGTCATCTGCTTTTTCATACTTTGACTGTTTGTGTTACGCTGGTTTCAACTACATGGACCAGATGCAGCGCTTTGATAGCAATACCTTTGATCATGCAACATGCACTACGGTGTCCACTATTTTCCTGTATCTCCATTGCATTTTACATAATTTGTAACGCCTGATCCATAAAATTGAATAACAGATAACTGCTGAAAGCCGAGTAGATGCACATATGATGTCGTACCTCCTTTTAGAATGATTTGCTCAAGCCTCCTTCCGTGCCTTGGCTTTCTTTGATTTCACAGCACGTTGCTTGAGCATTGTTTGTCGGCGCTCCACCTTGGTCTCGTAGCGGAAGTTTCTCTTCTTTTTCCTGGCTGCCTCTGATGCTGCACTTCGGGGTCTTCTCTTCTTGGCTTTTGTGTCGTCCTCTGTCGACTCGGCTGGATATGTCTTTTTCTCTTCGGTTTCTGAGTCCTCTCCTCTGGAAGCCTTCAACAGACCCTCACGAGATGCATCCATTTCTTCGACTGTGACCGTTGTATATTTGTCCTCGTCGACATATTCGGCTTCGTAGTCCACTGCTGGAGGCTCTTCAATTCCTTCCCAACTTTCGTCCTCATTTTCGCCTTCCGTTTCACTGATATCCCCAGCAGCTTCCTTCATACGCTTCAGAACGGCTTTGTGTTCCTCAATTGCGTGTTCAAAGTTCTTCTTGCGTTCCTCGCGAATCTAGACCAATTAGCAGGCGCCTCGAAGCGAAGATCGTAGACTGTCGAACCTTTTTCCGTTCAACCTTCCTCTCCTCTTTGTATCTCTTCTCTGCATTGTCTTGCGCATGCTTGGCGCGCTGCACTTTGCGTTTGTGGAATCCAGTCAGGTATTCCTGGCGAGAATCAAGGTCGAATGTAATCTCTTCAACTTTGGGCTCGGCAACAACTTTGCGCTTTTTCAAATTAGGACCCATGGTGAATGCGATCCTAATCTCAGATATTTAAATGAAATAACAAGTAGGGTTTGGTAGGTTGTTCTGCTGAATTTGCGCCCGATGAAAAAAAAGTTGATATGAAAGCTCAAGCGGGCCCGGCCTCTCGACCGCCTCCGAGAGCCAAGTCGGACACCTCCCGCTGGCAACATCATCGCCAACCCGACCCATCCCCACGTCAAGCACAATGTATCTCAGCAGGTTTGGGCTATTGGCCCTCGGAGCAGCTGCTGTTAATGCTTTCAGAGATACCTCGCCTTTTTTCCTAGCCTCAACTTCTGAGTATGTTCGATTGCACATGTGAACGCCTCCAGTTGCGGTTAACTAACCGCTTCTTACCCAGGGTCCTGACGAACTCCGCTTATATCCAGTCTGGGGCTTCACTCCTTGAGAACCTATACTCATCTCTCACTACCTGTCCCTCCGATTATTATGTCGTTGTGTATCAGCCCGGTGTGCACAGCTCCGACTTCTCGACGCGCAAGTCGGCACCCCGCTTGGGTGCGAAGGTGCTCGGGAAAGACAGGTCGATCAGATCTAAAATGAGCGTCAACGAGGTTGCTGGCTCAATAGACCCCAAAGAGATCAAGAGCTTTTTGGAGGAGAAGTGCAAGGCCCAGACTACTGCTGTGGACGCTGTTTGTAAGTTGCTGTGATGGACCTGGCAAACCCGCAAAGAACATCGAAACTAACAATATTAAGCTGGATCGTACCCATCATACTTTGAACATGGCCCCCGAATCATCGATGTTGAATTCCCCATGCTATCGCTCGGCTCGGACCGTGCACAGCAGCTTTCTGGATTCGGTATGTATACAGTGTATCCCATGCACTTTCTTTATGTGTTCACTAACTCTGTTAAGATGGCTTCCTTGCCGATGTCGTTGATCGAATTCCTTCCTCCTCAAAGTATACCATTCTTTACATCACCTCGCCAAGAGAGTTCCCAGAGACAGACTCCGTTATCTACGAAGCCTCCGAGGATTCATACCAAGAGACAATCCACATGGGTCTGAAGCGTGACTACTCCGCCCATGGTAGTACTTCAGCCCCATCAAATAAGTCCACTTCCCTTTTCGGAGAGTATCAATACTTCACTCCAGGTATGTCTCTATCAATCCGACCCCCTTTCTATTCACTATACTCACCTCCTCTCAGGAATTTTCATGGGCCTTATGGCTACCTTCTTATTCCTCGCAATCTTGTACATTGGCATCAATGCCCTGAGCAGTCTCGAGATTCCTTATGCTGCATTTGAGAAGGACACCTCAGCTGCTGTGCAAAAGAAAGCACAGTAACTTGAAGCGATGTGAGGTTATTTTTATTTTTTTTGGAATACACCTCAATTTGCTGCAGTCTAAATTGTTTTTTGCGGGTTTCAGGGGCAATCTTCTCGTATTTGCATGTACGATATATCATATTCACCAGCTTTTTCAACTGTTAGCTTTGCCGACGTAAATACTCCGTACAGTCGCATGTTTTTAGAATCCGTCAGGTGACAGTCCCAGTCCTGCCTGAGGCACGAATCTCCTTTAGCGTTGGCGCCATTTGGCTTCCCTCGAATTCTCACTTCCGAGGGTCTTTCCGTTGGGCACCTTGTGACGCTCGCTATCCTTGCTTTGAAGAGGCACTCGTTTGTCCTGTAGAATATCCCGAGGCCTCATCCCAAGAGGATCGGTCGATTGTGGATCCGTGTCCTGCAGCTTGAGTGCACGATCAGCTGGCCAATCCTCCACGAGAGACAACTCGCAGTCGTTTTCAAAATCAGCATCAGATATCTCAGAATTGCCGTCCAATCCTCATTATTGACCTGATAAGAATCGACAATCGACCTCGTTCCCGTCGTTGGGATCGGCGCCCACTCCAAGTGACCCGCACCCTGTGGAGAACCGGCTAATCAATTGTTTACGCCGCCATGCGACTTCTACCGCAAGGGCTTGGGAAAGCCAAGCCTTCATTCCTTTTCTTACTGTTTCTGATCATTGCCATCGCTGCTCAAGTCTCTGCCATACCGGCAGATGATACATCAACGGATACTACCGATGCCGCTAAGACCACCGACGATCCCTCCACCACTCAAAGAACTTCTAGCGTGAGCGAGACCACAGCTACAGATATTGCGACAACCACCACATCCTCATCTACCTCCACTTTAACTTCCACCTCCACGTCGAGTTCTAGTACCAGCACAACGAGTTCGTCGTCTACAAGTACAAGTACAACCATGGATACAACCACCACCACATCCTCTACCTCTACCTCTACCTCCACGACTGACAGTAGTACAACAACAACATCATCATCCGTCTCCACGACAACGACATCATCAACATCCTCCTCTTCCTCCACTTCCGCCGCTGCCATAGTGACAATACCCCCCACAGCCAACGCTCCATATATGCAAGAGAGCAATGCTCCAGAAGGAACAGTGTTCATCGCTGTCGGCGCCGCGCTGGGACTGATCGGTCTAATACTCCTTGCCTGGCGCGCAATGGTCGCATGGTCTGTAAATCGCTCTGTACGGCGCGCAGCCGTAATGCATGCCTCGGAATCCAAGCGCCTGCTGCGCGGCAGCAGAAAGAAGAGATCTACCGCTTACCATGCTGCCCCGGTGGCCGACGTATCTCTCAATAAGGTCGGCACCGCCACTCGCGTAAGCTACAAGTCCAACCGGGCCCCAAGCGCGGGCAGCGGTCTTTTCTTCTCGCCCACTGCAGGCGGTCCTACCGGGTCGCATGCAAGCCTCACCGCTGCAGGAACTACGGGAAATCGTGGCTCAACATACCTGCCCGCTGGATACTACGCTGCTGCCGGTACCTCCAACCCGGCAGGCGGAGAAGCCCCATACTCGCCCACTGCTGGTCTTTCATCACCTTCCCTGCCTCCGGCCGGTGTCTACCATGATTCGCATAATCAGCGCCAGTCTTACGTGGGCGCTTCGACGAGCTCTTTGAACCTGAATCAGGCGCCGCAGGGTCGTGCTCCTAGCGCATACCTAGAGGATCTGTTTGAGAGCCATAATCCTTCTCAAAACCCTGGTTCGGGCCATCGGTAAAGGCGCGGGAATTGGCGCCTTGCACATGCTAATTGTCACATGAAGGAATGATATTGGCGAATTTTATCTTCTTGGATCTATATTGAGATTTTGTCTCCTCTTTCTTTGTCATATGCCTTACATCTATCCAGCTGTCTATTGTCGTTTTGGATTCAGTCTAGCTCGGCGTTTCACAAATCTTTTCGCATGTAGTGATTAAACTATCTCCTGTTCCTCTGCCTGATATTATCATTATTATCCCCTGTTGATATAACCCTGTTCGCAGAATTATGCATTTTTGGACATAAGTGTCACCTTTTCCCATCTACTTACTGTTCTGGTGAGCATCTGTAATATTACTATAGTAGATAACTCGTCAAAAATCATGCTCCATTGAGAAAGTGAATCATAAAATATCATGGTGCCCCAATTGCAGGCTGCATTCTAGCAAAGAATCAAGTAGTCGCTAGACCGATTTATCAAATCTCCATCTGAAGCCAAAAGAAATAGTTGTTTGAACCATGTATAAGGTATTGGGTATCTACGGGTTTAAAAGACAGCAAACTAGTCAGTGCGTTTGTAAAGCTTGGCCTTGGTGCCAGCAGATGAAGACCCGGCACAGCAGGCAGCTGCTTCCTCGGGGTGTAGAGAGGATTTGTTGAACAGCTGGCTAGATTGCGGCACGTCGAGAGCAGGGTTCTTGTTGAAGAACCCATCGGGCTTCAGCATGACGCTGATGCGCTCCATTGGCATGACGGGGAAATCTTCGATGCGGGGGTTGTGGGTAAGACCAAAGGCTGATGAGAATGTTAGCTATATAGTATAGATCAGGTCAAGGGGAAGAATGCTTACTGTGCCATAGGACGACATCTTCGTTCTCTACGTTGTCCTTGCGCTGCACCCAGGTCTCAACGCCCTCGGCACGACGGCTTTGGTTGGTGAACTCGCCTGCAGCGTATAATTCATCGTCTTGGTACTTGGTGACCCAGATTGGCTTGGTGGCGAATTCAGCACGGCGGTAGCCGGGTGCGTTCTTGCTGACTAGAAGCATTTGGCTGGGAGCTGCCATGAGTTTATATGCAACGGGCTTGTAAGTGATAGGGTTGGTGATGTTGTCGTTGCGGATCTTGAAGACGCGGTGACGGTCCACGCTGGTGTTGGCTGTGCCTGCTGTACGCATCACTGTAGGCTTGGAGACATAGCCTACAAGGTAGGGGTTCTTTTCATCTTCCGGCATGGGCACGCTATCTTCGTAGTAGATGGTGTTCTTAAACCCATCGATAGCGGGGTCAACGCGAAGCGAGAACATATGCTGGTGGAACGGAGCCATAACGCCGGGACCGACGTTGGTTCCCCAAGGGACGGTTTGCCCGTTCTCATTATCGAATGGGACGGTGGAAAGAATGCCGGTGGCGCGGACTTCCAATTCAACATTAGCGGCTTGGTCGAAGATATAGTTGAAGATGTACTCGTAATTTGCCACGGTACAGATCATCTGAAGGACCAGCTGGCGGTTACGCACAACGGTAGCAGCACCAGACCGATAGTTGGTGTGCTTGTGCTGTAAACCGTTATCTTGCTCGTGCATACAGATCACGTTCTTCAACTCTAATGGATTGCCCTTAGAGTCGTTGCGGTAGCCATTAAAGTACTTGATATGACCAAGACAGTCGCACCCAAGAGCTAGCTGGTTGGCATTCATACCAAAGCCAGTGTCGCCAACATCAAACGCCTGTTTGCGATGGTAAGGGGCACGGGGATCTAGATTCGTGTAAGTGAGATTCGGAAGGAATCGAAAATAACGGGATATAATGTAGCTTACCTCCATAGGGAACAGTCATCTCAGATACGGCCAAACGATAAAAGAGGTTTCGGTTGTCATATGTGACGTTGTAGATAACTAAGCCCTCACGAGCATTGAAACCGACCCTGAAGCGCCATTTCTGCCAGTATACGGAGTTGCCATCCACTGAATAGGAAGGGCCTTCGGGCTGTTGCACGATATAGGGTTTGAGGTCGGTACGGAGGGGTTCATCCAAAAGGTCATGGGCGTACTGGACTGTCTTGACAGGCTTCCATGGTTGAGTAGAGGTGGTCTCAAAATCAGCACCGCCAGGAAGGTAGTCCATGCGGATCAACTCGTGAGTGAGACCGTCAAACACTGGTGAGAATTTACAAGGCAGAGAGTAGTGATTGTTCTGGGGGTGATCGACCTCAACCATGTACATAAAGCATTGGAAAAGTCGACGGTCCTCGTTGTCATTGTCCGTGCCATACATCCAAGGATCGTTGCAGACGGTGACGCCCGCGGGCAATTGCAATTTCTCAATCTCAGCCAATACCGCGGGGTGCTTCATGCACATTTCTTCAATTGCAGCGATTTCGTCGACATCAATAGGACCCTATGAGACACAAGTGTTAGTAAGCTCCTGGCATATATTTGGGAGAGGGCTGTGTTCACCTGAACTTCCTTCGGAAGCTCCTTAGCATAGACGACGATGCGCTTATCAGCATTGAGAATGGCCTTGTAGAATGCACCGGTATCAAGACGGTGGAAGAGCACGTAGAGAAGACGGGCTGGGGGTGTGGGCAAAGGCCGCCGTAACCGCTCCGCTTCAATGTATGCGATCACATCGTTCTTAATAGGTTCATTGACATCAATGCGCTTATAGCGCAGAGAGACGCCGGGGAAGGTCGCCTCGAGGATGCGCACTGCGAGCTTGATCTCCTCTGGCCTGATAGGGTCAAAAGGGTGAGGGCCGTGGTTGGCTACCATATTGGCGGCGTGAGGTAGGTAAATATACCTAGGTAGTTGCAAGAGATAATTGTCCGGGCTGTTTGGGAGACTTAATGATAAGGACGTATTGTGGGCGATACTTAAGGCGAAATTCCACAATCCACAGAGAAGTGAGGACAGTTAAGTGAAGATGCGAAGAGAGATGGTCAACTGATAAAACCAGGCCCAATGACTGCAGTTAAGTATCTCGTCGCAACATGGGAGACCCTGGGAGACCCTGGCGGCCCATCTTATCTGGTTACCTAAGGTCCCTGCTTGTACCTGCCTGATTAGGAAAGGCTCCAGGCCAGGAAAAGTGGAGTCTTGGAGAAAATCAGTGGAGTCTTGGCGCTGGACAATTGGGGGCAAAATGCATGGCTCATCGTTGTAGGGCATGAGGTTGGAAGAAAGCACTTCGTCAGATAATTTTAAGAATTACCTTGTACCCAGTTCAGTCAAATAAACACATAATGCCTCAATTGTTAGGAGTACAGGTTGGAGAGGATCATTTAGAGTATGATCTCACGTGATTTCAAATCCACCGGTAGCAGATCACGTGGATGCGGGGGACAGCGTGATATTGCCCCGATCTGGTCTAGTGCAATTGGCTATCGATAACGCCTTGATAAATTGATCGGTTCATTGTGTAGCGGCGTAGGCTTGTCTGAATTTGTGCAAGATCGCGATAAGCATGCTGTCATTAGTCCTTACCCCAGCATACCCATCCTCCCCAGTGGCTCCTTGACACTATGAATGCTTTCCCTCTGGATGGCGCGGGGCAGTTTTCTTCCTTCGCACCAGGCCAGCCCACTTCAGCCCCAAAGAAGGGTAGGACACGACAGTCCGGTACGGCATGGACTCGCTCAGGATGTATAACTTGCAAGAAGCGACGCAAGGCCTGTGATAAGGCCAAGCCAAGGTCCGTGCAGAAATTTGATTACAAGTTCCGTAACTAACCTGATAAGTTGCAACAACTGTTTTAAGCAAGGCCGGGCATGCGAGGGCTATGGCTCTATGTGGGTAGAGCCACTTGGTCCATCAGCGCCGATATTTGTACAAACCGAATCATCTAAACGTCGGAGACTTAGTGGGACGTCCCCGTCTCAGTTGCCTTCGCCTGCGCCGTCACCATCCTCAGATACTTGGCTTGAGACCCGTCCATCTCCTAGGTCAGAGAATTTCTTGAGTTGGACTGGATCCAATTCTCCTCAGGATCATAGACTTCTTGAATCTTCCCATAGTCCTGCCGGGGAACCCGAAGAACACCGTTCTAGCCAGGATCTTGATCTGTGTGACTCTGTCGAGGTGACCCCGCAGCCTCAAGGATACATCAGTCATCTCTCAACCCATGAGACTCACTACCTTCAATATCACATGGAGCAAGGATCCCGGCTGCTAGCAAACCTCGAGAGCGATGATAATCCCCTGCGATCAATGTTGATTCCTAGGGCGATGTCGTCGCCTCTACTGATGAAGGCTTTATGCGCCATCTCTGCCCTTCACTTAGCGAATCGCTCCCAAGGGTTTGGAGCACAGACAGCTGCTATGAAGTATTATACTGGAACACTCAACGGGCTCCGTGCAGCATTGGACCAGTGTTCAATGGAGGTACTCCCTGATGATGCTTTGCTAACAGTCGGTCTACTATGCAAATACGAGGTAGTGCGTGGCAGTGTTCAACAATGGGTTGTTCATCTTAACGCGCTGCAATGCTTGATCGTTTCCCGCGGAGGATTTGCTTCAATGGATCGAGATGCCGCCGAGTTCCTGCGTGGATTGTAAGTGTTATGGCCCATAACCCATATCATCAAACGCTTACATTTTATCGCGTATTATAGATTCGTCTATGCCTACAACATGGCCCGAATCATCAAGCGTAATCGCATTTCTGCGGATATCGTTGTCGACAGTGATATTGGTATCCCCAAACTTGATATATATATCGGGTATACTGAGGAAATCCTTAAGCTCTGTGTACGGATCGCAGAACTGCCTTCCATTCAAAGCGATACATTGGCTCTCCGACTCAGTGTTGCATCCATGTATGTCTCTCCTTTTAGGAAGTTACCAAGTCGAATATTAGCACTAACACCTCCCAGAAACGAGTCGCTCGTCACTTGGTCTCACACTTTCACTCCTCACATAATCCCACCAGGGACATCGCCAACAACCCTAACCCGGCTGCGACTTGTAGCAGAATGTTTCCGCGATGCAGGATTTATCTATCTTCACTCAATCATGGAACGCATCAGCAGAAACTATTCGGATGCCTCTCTGTCTACCAACTCTGGTACCATCGCCAATTCCCAGACAGCAGAGTATCCTTCTCTCTCAACGTCCGATTGGCTTCCGCTGATCTCCACGCCGAAGAGCACCGCCTTATACCGCTGTCTTTCCCGCATTGGAGCCTTTCCGCTGGGCGAGCATTGCGAGTACTCGGCGCTCACGTTCCCGCTGTTTATCGCGGGATGTGAGACTGACAACGTGACACATAGAGAAGTTGTACTTCAATCTCTGGGCAAGCTACAAGATAACTTTGGGATTGGAAATGTTCGACGGGCGAAGGAATTGTTGAGGATTTTGTGGGCGAGGCAGGACGCCAGTCTTGAAGCCAAGATTCTTGGGGGAAATCGTCGGGAAAAGGTACATTGGTTGGACATCATCGAGGAGCTGGGTTGGGAATTGATCCTTGCATAGCTGGCCCCTGGCTATTTTCTATCGAAACACTGTTTTGTTATTATGATATTGGTTGTATATACTAGATGGGGAAAGGAGCTCTGTGAAATAGATAGACATGTATATTTATATCCTGCGCGGCATCTAATATCAAATATCACACATGTAGAAAATGCGTAGCTACATCTACCATTCACCACAGTCGCACGTATGTCCCTAGTCACCAAAGAGGACACTCACAATAAACATACAGCTGCTGTATCGCCTTGGTTATCCATTCTCGACGGCCAGTAATCGAATCGGCCGTTGCCGGGATGATGGTTTCTTATCGAGGGGTCGTCTCACCAGCTGGTATTGATCCAAACACTAGATCTGTGAACTGAGCGTAGGTGTGCATCGCATTATTCAATCCCATGCTCACGGAGAAGAGGGTTTCCAGGTGTCAAGGTAGGACCAATCACTCGAGCTGACAGCTCCAGATCGACAACGCTCTAAAACGGGACCAAAGATGCCACGACATTCGTACACAGCCAACGGTCGATTCATCTGCTTTATAGACATCCACTAAATTCATCGGAAATCTTGGGAAAGCTGTTCAACCAAACTAACGGAGTCTCTTGTTGTTTGCTCCGTAGAACCGTAAGAGTGAAACAATTACCTCCGTTTCTTTCCTTTGCGGCCCAACGTCTGTAGATGATTACGAAGGAACGAGTGTTGGCCGACCTTCTTACAGCGAGATAATGATTGGTCTCGTCTATCCTAGTGCGACAAAATGATGAATTGGCACTTTTGGCACCTTCATTGCTATCATATTTTGAACAATCTCGTCAAAAGAATCTCCAGTGCTCCATCGCCTTTGTTGGGACTGTAAAACACAACAGAATCGTCATATAAATGAGATGTAGGCGGTGCCTCGGCCTTTAACGGTCATTTGGTCTGCAAGGTGCAAGTACCTGTAGATTGTACTTGGTGCGAACGTACTGCACCTGGATAGCAGCAATCAAGGAACACGAAGGCATCCGTATCCGAGGCAATGATGCTGTTGTTGAGATTGGACAGAGTACTTCTCAGCGTGGCCTAGCCAAATCATCTGTGCTTCATATTCGCCATGTGCGTTGATTGCACTATGGCTGATGTAGGCCAAATGGGTCGAGGTCGGCCGTTCTGTGTCGTGGTAATCATCAACCTGCTTCATGCTGGTACGAACGATTGTTCAGCCGGGAGTCTGATCGCTTGTTCTAATCTCAATTGGAATGGGTGTGGTTTGGATCGGTCAGTCAGTGGGCGAGCTAGTGCGGTTGCATCATTCGATGCTCTCGTGTTGTCGCCTTCCCACCAGACAATACAAGCTGTTGTATGGGCATACACAAAATTCTGGCTCTCGGATGCTTCTTTGAGAGCTGTCCATAGTATAGAACCGGGATCATTGGCTTAGAAGATCAAAACCGGATGGGTAATTGAGGCTGGGATGTTGGAGATGATGAAATAGTTGGACTCGTCATTTCAAACAAGTTCTTGGGTGGATTGTAGAACCTTGAAAACGGCTCAGTGTTGGAGAGGAAGATCTCGAGCTTTGGAGGAAGGAAAGTATCAAAGCGAGGATGAAAACTAAAGGAGAAGAGTAAGGCAGAGGGGAAAGGTTGCTTCCAAAAAGTGGTGTCGGCCACACTTCGACAAAACAAAACCCAGACGATACCTAAAATGGACGAGTAGAAGCCACATATTGGAAGAAAAAAGGTTAGATCTGAGATTCTAGATATAGAGAAGCCTTCAAAAAGTCTAGAATTGCCTTGCTCGTTTTATACTTCAAACAATAAGAATATTGACGCTCTTAAAGAATAATATGTAGCCATGTGCCTTAGGTAGTCGCGAAGCCAAACGGGAATAATCTCATAGTTCATGGAAAATGCACACACATCAGCTCAGCCCCATGTTCATGTCATCGCTGAGCCCCCATTCCCTTTCTGCTCTTTCCGTGCCACCCGCAGCCCGTGTGGACCACCGGTCGACATGATCTTGCGAATTCGCTATCTCTTTCTCCCGCAGACTGGCACTATCACTGGTTGCTATACTTCCTTCGCGTACATGATACGGTTTGCGGGAGTTCTTTATGCTGATAGGCTGCGAGGTGCCTGATGCATCGCCTGCACCAGAAAATCCCGTGGCACGCCCACTGTCAGTGGGCGACCCGCCGTTGGCAACCTCTTTGTCCAAATCCTTGCCACCGCTGAACCAGCGGCGTCGTCGGGAGTTGGAAGAGGAAGAGGGGACAATGCTCTGTGCGTCGGCATCATCGGCATTTCGTTGTGCCCTTTGCCTCTCCAGGGCCTGGGTGAGGCCCGATATGGTTTCTTCGGAGCCATTTTCAGTTTCTGGGGGTGAGAGATCCGCTAATTCAGCGTCACGGTACCACTTGCGTCGGCGGGTATAACGATCCCATCCATCTTGGCCGCGGCGCCCATCGTTCCACTGAGGATCTGTTAGCGAGAAGCACAAAAAAAAACATCGGAACCCTTGAAGAGAAGATAACCAACCTTGTTGTCGTAGTAGATCCATCCCTCACCGGTTGACCCCTTCGAGTCTGATTTTCCATTGAAGTTGTCCGCTCCTTCGACACGCCACTCGCTTCCCTCTACCCAGCGCCATTTAGCATCTCCTGTTCGAACATCTGGTAGTTCGAATGTCTCCTTCGGCGCCACATTGTTCATATGCTCGTCTGTCCAAGGACCACGTTCCGCCGGGAACAATGAATAGGTCCACCCGACGCCCAGCCAACGGCGCTGATTCTCGTATACAACGAAAGTAAACCGCACACCCTCGTTGTTTCGTCGTCGGGTAGATATGTTCAAGCCCTGGCTTTGGCCCTGGGCCTGGGCTGAGACCTTTTGTTGGTGGCTCGGGATGTCAGCGAGTGGAAGACCGGTCGCTGCGGCGCAGAGTCGTCGTACGGCTCGAGATCGCCACAGAATGACACGCGAGACCCTGGAGGGTCGGGAATGGTAGGTGAGAAATGCGGTGCCGAGGGTCATGATGATGCGACGTGTAGTGAGTAAATAGAATGGAGGTAGAGTTAACACAATCCACACAGGAGTTACTAAGATGATGCGGATGAACAAGGCTGTCAATGCAGGTCTAGTGGTCGCTGATGTGGGAGTGCGCTGGGTAGATAGGAAATCGGTGAGGTCGAGTAATGGTTCAAGGAGGATATTGCATCTTGTTGTGAAGATGCGGAGCGTATCAACAATTTCGTCTAGGCTCTTTTGATGACGCAGTGAGCTATCTTGGGTAACTTTAGTCTTGTGCTTTTCCCCCGTTGATGTGGTCGATGATAGTGGCGAGTAACGACGTGCGTACATGCCGAGGATCAAGGCAACCACGACCAGAATCGGCCCTGCCCAAAGGATAATGACATCGCTATACAGCACGATCATCCAAAATGTGGCCAGGAGCAAGAAGCTCTGCCAGGGGTCTCCAGAGGTCCATGTTATGAGCCCGGCGAGTTTATTTAAGGGGAGAAGGAATGGGTGCGAGTAAGCTAGGGCTCGGGTGATGGCAGGTGGTGTAGCCACGAGGAGAGGTGATTTGCGATGCACAATGACACTAGAGCGTTGGCGTGAGGTTAAAGCCGAGCCGGTAATTGTCGAGGGGGAGAAGGCAGCAACAGTCGGTGGTTGAAAATCCGACTGGGCATGTTCTTGTACGTGCGATGGGGGTGCCATGGAATCTATCCACGGAAGATCGTCTGGCTTCATCAGTGACCGGAGTTCTGAGGGCAGTATCGTGATACACCATACCAAGAGCTGCCATTCAATTATGAGCACGTCATAGGGAGATAATCAACTCATCCTCTGGGACGAGTGAGGTTTTTATGATCGTTCGTCATGGTCGGTCCAAGATCTGCGGGGAGATCAGGTTGGGCATGTGACTCTCGGTACGGAGGTCACGGCTGTAGAGTGAAGAGTTGAATATTCTAGTGTTTCGGAGGCATCTTCGGATGGAATTTGGATAAAAGATAGTGATTTCGGAGTCTAGAATTCGACCGAAAACCATCATCAATTCACATCTTATAGTCCTTATAGCCCGTATACTCTTTCTCCTCACGCCCGTGCCTGGAGCTCTCTCCCGACGCTAAAAACCCGCCGAAATTTTCCCCTTCCCTTCTTTTCCCTCCACCTATATCTCCGTGATCGCCACCCCCCGACGGCAATTCCTCACCATGGTATGTTCATTGATCTAATGAATTCCGACTTGCAAAGATGAACATCTAATATTCTCCCTGTTAGGCTCATCGCATCGTGTCCCAAGTCATCGTGACCGGAGCCCGGGTCTTCGGCCGCGCCTTCGCCGAAGCCTACAAGCAAGCCCAGGCATCCGGCAAATACGCTCACCAACAAAAGAAAGCCGGTGTATCATCTACAACCTCCAGCGTGACCATCGATGAGGCCTGCAAAATCCTGAACGTCAAGGCCCCGGCCTCCGGCGAACACAACCTCGAACATGTCATGGCCCGATTCAAGAAGCTGTTTGATACGAACAACCCCGAGAAGGGCGGCAGCTTCTACCTGCAGAGCAAGATCTTGCGTGCGCGTGAGCGCTTAGAGATGGAGTTCCGCGAGATTGAGCGCAAAGCTGCGCACGACAAGGAATTGAAGGAAGGCTGGAACCCCAAAGTCTACAAGGACAAATGATCACGACAATAAGTGCGATCCTCCGGGTTTCCGGTTTTCCCTACGAGCACGTTCCACGCTTTCTGCGACAGAAGCCTTCGCCTTCGACTGGCTCCATTTTTCCGATCGGCTCGTCCTTTCTTTGTTTGGCATAGCATGGCGTTTGGGTTATTGTTGGGGAAAGACGCCTTGATTTCTAGATCGGGGTCTATCTCTCTGATACTTATAGATGGTCCCCGAATCCCTTTCTCGGGCATCTTCTCCGGTCGGATGTGGAAGTGTTGCCTCCATCTCCGACCCTCTCATTGACCTTTCGGTCTGTGTATATCATCTGTGATGCGCCGCGTTCCGTCAACCCCCTTCTCCACTCTCTCCCGGAAAGGATTCATGTACAATAGCTATATACTTGCATTGACTTGTGTACAACATAAAGTCCGGTCTAGACTTATTTGGTGTCACGCATGAACCTGTAGACATGTACGGAGTCCTTGTACTCGACTTTTTTTCGCCACCGCCGCCTCGAGATCAGGAACGACTTCCGAGGTTATCTTCATCTTTGGGCTCACACAAGGAGTGTGGCTTTTTTCATTTCTTTCGAGTGTACAGCCCTCGCAGCTATTTGCTCAGTAGAACTAAGCATTCGCAAATGATATCTCATCTCCCCCTTGACCAATTGCCTCGCCAGGCATACCCTGGGATATTGCTACAGTTATCGGAGAATGGCTCATCGACTCTTACCACAGGGCAAATAAGGAAGCGGGAGAGGTCGGCCCGATGGGATCAAACCGTCAAGCTTTTGGACTACATAGCATTGCGGCAAAGTTCAGCTTAAGTGTCTGCACTCCTGAGGTCGCTATACAAGCTTTTGCCTGTTAAAATAGGATTTAACTGCTAGATAGAGTCAACAAAATAAGATCTTAGTGGATGCCTAACCATGAAGTATATACTAGCACAAAGCCTGCAAGACGTTGATTTCGAAAGAAAGAAGCAATTTTGGCCCCGAATCGCAAATACCATTGCCCACCTAGCATCACCCAAAAGTCCGATTGCTAGGCCGGCCATAGACAGTGGACCGATTGGTTATATATCGGAGGATTACAGTGTTAGCATGATCTTTGGGTCTACTCAAGATATGAATGTGCATATAAACAGTTATTATATCTGAGAGAGGGGTGGAGATTGCCAATACCGTCATTTATCCCTCTGGCCATCAAATTATTTCGTCTGTCTGAAAAGACTTGCTATTTAGCGTCCAGATCACCTTAAGAAGAAGTCGTGCCTATTTTGTCCCGCGAGCCCTGCTTGTATAACATAGGGCGTCAGGCGAGTTATCTGAAAAAGCTCCCCAAGTAGAACCGTGGACCTCGCCGTCTAGGTAACAAGTTGGAATGGGCTCTAATGAACTGAAGGTATTACGGTCGAACGAACCATCTAGCCCGGTCAGTCATTTGCTACGTGGTACCTATGCATCAACTGAACTCATAGTCTGTAGATGTCTAGATAGTCTCACAGTGAACCTTCTAAGGTTTATATACTCCACCACGGGCCGCCCCCACAACTGACCCTGTGCAACGTACTCTGTGTCCATGCTGAACCAAGACTTCAATATGTTTGGGGGCAGTAAGTTGCTACTCCGGGCTAGCATTCCGTTGAATAGGGCTGAAGCTGCAGCAGATTGAATATTTCCCGGAGGGACTACAGGCTTGTTAGTGAACTCTACGAAGTTTATACGTTAAAGAACCGACTTCGATGCCAATTTTGGGGATTCTCAAGCTCATTGGGTGAAATGACCTCTCCTATACTACAATATAAGATATAAATTGAGTGGGTCGATATCCGCGAAATGGCTAGATAATGCAGTGCATGAAGGACTTCTCATATCCGGTGGTGGACTACGAGAAGAACTTGGTAGATCATTTCTTCTTTCTCAGATATTTTAGTCTCAAAGAGTACATTGCCTGGCTTGTCTAAGGACTCCCCCGGTCGCCTTGACGGGAAATTGCGCAGAACTTCACCCAAGTCGTCGGCCTTCAACATAATCCCTCCGTCACCTTCTATGAGACATGCGGATCTGAAGGTATATCACAGCCTGTATTAGAATCACTCTTTTGCACTTTTCGCTATTTGGACTCGGTTTCTAAAACTTGTCTCAACTAGATCCCTCCTCTTCGCGCGTCAACACATCCCCTTTCCCCCAGCGCACGGAAGCCAATCAACCGAAACCATGGCAACTCACACTTTGAACTCCTTTCAGCGGTTAGAAAAGGTATGTACCCTTCCTTACGGCGTAGTCCCATATCATGACATGATGGTCGTGATACTGGAGCAAGTAAAGGGTTGCGTTGACCCGGCTTACTTTGATCCCAGCTGGGCGAAGGCACCTATGCAACGGTTGGTATTCCCATCGGCTTGGGGCCCGAGGAAAGCTCCAGGATTTGTTTCAAGAATGTCTGTTCACGATAAGACTAGGTCTACAAAGGCCGGAACAACAAAACCAATGAGTTGGTGGCCTTGAAAGAGATTCACCTTGACGCCGAAGAAGGGACACCGTCCACTGCGATCCGAGAGATCTCCCTGATGAAGGAGCTCCGCCACGAGAACATCCTAGCCCTATACGACGTGATCCACACCGGTGAGAAGCTCGTCTTGGTATCAGAATACATGGACAAGGACCTGAAGCGCTTCATGGACGCCCGAGATGGCGCTCTCGATCTCCCCACGATCAAGTCCTTTGCATATCAAATGCTGCGAGGCATCGCCCATTGTCACGAGAATCGCGTCTTGCACCGGGATCTTAAACCTCAGAATCTGCTCGTTAACCTAGAGGGAGGGTTGAGATTAGCAGATTTCGGCCTCGCTCGCGCCTTTGGCATCCCCGTCAATACCTTCTCGAATGAGGTGGTCACTCTCTGGTACCGACCGCCGGATGTGCTCCTGGGGAGCCACTCCTACAATACCAGCATTGATATCTGGTCTGCAGGCTGCATCATCGCCGAAATGTACGCCGGTCGACCTTTGTTTCCAGGCAACACCAATGCCGATCAACTACTCAGGATCTTTCGTACCCTGGGAACCCCATCCGAACGTACTTGGCCGGGTATCACTCAGTTGCCGGGATTCAAGCCTACATTTCCTGTGTATCCGACGCAAGACCTGCGACGCCTGATTCCCTGGCTGGATCATCTCGGGGGCGATCTGTTAGATCGCATGCTACAGTTGCGACCAGAGCTGCGAGTCAGTGCTGCCAATGCGCTACACCATCCATGGTTTCATAGTCTCTTTTCTGAGACGGGGTAGTCGACAAAGAACATGCCTAGTCTTACTTAGATTTTCCATGCTAACTCAAATGCTCATACGGATGCGCTCTTCAAGCTTTCACGTAGGTATTTCTTAGCTGGTAGTAAGTTACGGAGATCAAAAAGTAGCTCATAAAATAGCCAGTCTGAGTGGTTCCTTTAGGTATGAAGTGTCGGTTGAGTGCTCGATGGATGACTCAGGGTTGATGACCAATCATTTGCCAGGAGACAACGTGACCTCATAACTCATAGGACAGCCCCACCTACACGAGGCTGCAAAGACACCTCTCAAAGGATATCGCATCTGAACAAAGTGACTGCAAATGGAAAGATGTAACCCAAAGGCAGATGTTGGCCCCATTTCCCGATCTGGAGGAAATGCAATCCTCCCCGCCATGGCGCCATCCGGAGCGGAGCCTACGGAGGGACGGCACTTTTCCTGACAAAAAAAATCGGCCCTAAACCGTTGTATACCTCTTCAAAGAATTTTACCAATTGACCAATTGACCAATTTCCATAAGATACTCGAACATTCATAGCCATCTTCCCTCTATTAACAGAATTAAAAACCGCAAAACCATGCGCCCCTCCACCCCACTGTCCGCGGCCCTCCCGCCGCTCATTATGGGCACCGCAACATTCAATTCCCAATACAACGCCGATCCCTACGCCCTCCCAACAACAGAACTCGTGCAGCGCGCACTATCGCGCGGTATTCGCGCTTTCGATACATCCCCCTACTACGGCCCCGCCGAAGAACTCCTCGGCCGCGCACTCGCAACAGAAACCGTGCAAACCAACTTCCCCCGCGAGACATACCACATCCTCACAAAAGTCGGACGTATAGCAGGCGCTTCATTCGACTACTCCCCCCAATGGATCAGACACAGCGTGCGCCGCAGTCTACGCCGTCTACACACAGACTACCTGGACGTAGTGTACTGCCACGATGTGGAGTTCGTGACGCCCGCAGAAGTCGTCACAGCCGTACGGGAGTTGCGCCGTCTGCGCGATGAAGAGGGCGTTCTGCGCTACGTAGGTATCTCTGGATATCCGGTCGACACACTCAGCGAGCTGGCGGAGACGGTGTTGCGCGAGACGGGCGAGCCGCTGGATATCGTCATGTCGTATGCCAACTTCACGCTGCAGAACACCCGGCTACACTCGCACGCCCTGCCCAGGCTTCTTGCCGCGGGCGTAGATGTTGTTCCTAACGCTTCACCGCTGGGAATGGGGTTGCTTCGTCGTGACGGCGTGCCGATTGGCTCAATGGGCGATTTCCATCCTGCGCCGAACGCCCTGCGCACTGCTATCCGCAATGTTTCAGACTGTGCGTCGCGACACGGCGAGAAGCTCGAGGTTGTGGCGATTCGGTTTGCGCTGGAATCGTGGATGCGCGTTGGCGCACGGGCCGGCGGTCTCGGTGCGCCGCTTGCGCGTGCTGCGGACGCCGATCCAGGGTTTTTGTCAGTTGCGAATATGGGCACGGGGAGGAGACTGGGTGTCAGCGTTATGGGTGTTAGCAACGTTGCGGAGTTGGATGAGACTTTGCGCGTGTGGCACAGTATCGTTGATGGATTGGAGAATTGGAACGAGGATGATGAAGGCTCGTATTTCGATACTGGGTTGAAATCAACTGGCCCGTCGACTCCTAGCCTTGTTCCAGCGAGCGCTGTTCCAACGGCTGCGAACGCTAGTATCCTCACGCCCCAGGAAGGTCTCGTCACGGACCGTGCCTGGTCTCGCGCGCGTGGCGCTCATATCTTGCAACTTGCACGAGAGATTCGGGATATATTGGGCGCAGAGTGGGTTGATTATGTCTGGGCTAGTCCGTCGCCGGACTTTGTGAATTCGTTGTCCGAGGAGCATATCGCCGCTATGCAGAAGATTGCAGCTGAAGAGAAAGCAGGACGGAAGATGGAGATTTCTATGCCCGGGGGTGCTGTTAACGAAGATCCTATGCTGACACCACCATCTGATGTGGAGAAGCAGCTTGCTTAAACATAGAAATGGTTCATGAATGTATTGAAAGAGCCTTCCCAATTTCGGCGCATCTCACTCATACTACCTTCCGTGTATTCATAGGCCTGCATCCGCAAAAAGCGAAGATTCGCAAGTAGAAACCACCGACTTGGGCACCAACACGTGGAAACGAGCCCACCTTCCAACTCTCAAAGGGTAACCTCGGAATGTAGCTTCCAGGTCAATTAACGTGATGCGATCAAAATGGTTGCCTGAATATCCCTGGATGTCTCCCTGAGCATGTATAATCATCCAGCGAAGCGGGACTGGAAAATAAGTGCACAGCAGATAGTGCATACCACTCCACAGCTCAAATAGATTGGCCTTCCGAGGTAAACAATCCCGAGCAAAAATCCAATGCCCCAGTCGTCTCTCAAAACTCGCATATAGCGCGCCCGGAGTGAGAAGAGAGGCATGGAAAAGGGAGAACGGAAGGCACGAGGTAAACCCGCTTTGGATGCAAATCCAGGATTGTCAGTAAGTTGCATTGTATTCACTAGCAGCATCCCACGTAGGGACCGAGGAACTGTAAGAACTAGGTGCTTGTCGAGGTGGTCACGAGAGTAGAAATTGGACAGCGAGACGCCGAACCGACTTTGAACAGAGAATGGAAACCTATGTCATCAAGGCTTTGATATTGCGTAAACTTAGCATAAATGGAACTAGCTCTCAATTCAAAAATCGAAAGCCGAATTCAACATTCAGGCAGTAACTCTAATCAATTGCCATAGATACACGGGTTAACACACTCTGACAAAGTCGAGGTCCAGGAGAGAATCCTAAAAAAATAAGTTATTTTTTCTCGTCTCAGGCTCGAAGAAGAATGCCTATTCTCGATGTTCCACCAAGCAAACGCTTCTCGCTGTCGAGAAGTGGAGGCAAATCGTTTTGCCTAAAGAAAAGCGAAGATATCACAGACCCCACCATACTGTCAATGCACACATCCCTCCTCTTCTTCCCCGTGCAAATCACTAAACCAGTCGAAGCAAGGGGGTATCATACAAACAAACCGTAGAATAGAAACCAAATGAAAGTCGTCGCGGGCGTCGAAATAGAGGCTGGAGCGGCCAGGCTTAACCAGAGGCGAGAAGCCTTTTCTCTCTGGCATCCAGATCCGCGTTCATCTCCGCATCGGTCTCGTAGCCTGCATGACGGCGGGCTTGTCTAAGACTGAGGGTATTGGGGATTTTCTTGAGATCGGGCCTCAGGCGTTTAAGTCTGGCAGCACGTTCCTGACACATGATACGCCTTGCCTCACCCTTTCGAGCTTTAGCTGCCTTTGTTTCTCCCTGTTCCGGTGATTCATCAGAAGAAATGTCAACTGGTTCAGATTTAGTGCCCGTCGACTTAGATTTGGTCTTTTTGGCGCGCTTTTTAGGGGGCTGGGTATCCGCGGACGCTGAGGAGGAAGGAGAGCTGGTCCCGTCAAAAGGAGGGGGTCCAGCAGGCAGCGGCGGGGGAGGCGGACAGGCTTCATCGGCCGGAGGAGGTCCTGCGGGCGGAGGCGGAGGCGGCGGAGGCACCCTGTAAGAAGCGAATCTCTGTTCGGTCATAAACACCTGACGTAGTTGGAAGCGTTGTTCAAGATATTCGTCAAAGTTCGCCCCAATGATGGGTCCGAGAATGCTCTTGTTCGGTCCTTGGACAAGGGCAAGATATTCCATGCGATTCTTCAGAGTATCGAACGCCTTTGAAAATGTCCGGAAGATCAATTGAATTTCCTTCGTGCCACCTGAAATGTCGTTATCACGGTTATTGGGATCTTCGATTGTGAGACGATCGGGATTTCCGAAATAGTACTGTTTCAAACGGTCAGCCAACGATTTAATATCCAGGCAAACAAGAATAAACTTACCTTGCTGAAATAGCCAGGTGGGTCCATCCTGATTGCCATTTTGTCATAGCTGAATTTATTTCCGAAGAAATTGAGGAAATTCAGCAAAATGGTTCCTAGGTTGGGCTGGACATTGCCGTGGGGCATGTGTTGCAGAATATTTGTGACCAAACAGGTGATGGAAAAACCTCCTAGTCCACCAGTCGGAACTTCATTGAGCCCACGGATCAGTAAGAACTGCTTGATCACCGCCAGAATGACCGGCAGCTCTGGAAACTGGGCTTTCCACATCTGGAATGTGTCGTTGGCAAGCAAGCCACTGTCATTGTCGAAAGACAGATCCACTCGTAGTCCAGTTAGCTTGTCCACCCACTTGAGAATTGGCACGCGGGCGGATGCAATGCACTCGATGGAGTTGGGGACAGCAATGTTCAAGCTCTTGACGAAAGCCGAAAAGGCATAGATTTGACCCTTTCTCTCTCCGAACGTTCGAATCTTCCTGTGTAGGAATGTATGGGAAAGCAGCACCAGATCAATATCAGCCGTGGGAAGATAGAGACCCGAGGCGAAAGACCCAAAGGCCTTGATTTTAATACCATTGTATCGGTTTCGGAATGCAGTCTCCAAGCGGTTGACAAGATCTGCGCGGACGATGTGTTCGAATTCCTGTGGCTTGGCCCAGTTATAGAAGCTGAGAATCTCATTATGCAGCCTAATTTGGATGTTAGAATGGAGATGAAGAGAGAAAGAAAGATAGTACTGACTGGGTTCCCACATGCAGGGCAGCTGGTGTGCTCTCGAACCATGGTGTGCCTGTCTCATGAGATAATGCTCTCCATTGATCGATGACTGAACCATCGTAGCTGTACCTGCTGGCGGGCTTGCCGGTCTTTCTAGAGTAACCTTTAATTTCATCGTCACGGGTTCGCTTGCGACTCGTGATAGCGGGATCGATAGTTTCCTGGGCCTTTGGTCCTCTGGGGGCATTCTCGGGAGCCTTGGTCTGGGCGGTTTCCGGTTCAGGTTCCATGCCGAGAGAAATGAAGTCTGAGTTCTGCTTGACTGCATCTGTCTCATCCACCTTTTGGGTGATATCAAGTCTCGCTTTGCGAATCAGTTTGACAACATCAATCCTTTTATTTGTGGTTTCAGACGGAGGCGGCAGTGCGGTGTATGGATCGGGGTTCGACCATTTCGGAACAGGAGAGGGAGTTGGTATAGTGTCTTGGGACCCATCGACACCCAGCACGCGTTTCTTGCGCGGTCGGTCGTCGGAGTCATCAGACATATCCATTTCTGCCTCTTCGCTGTCGCTCAAGCTGGCAAGTGATGCAAATTTGAATCCAGGCATTGTGTCTCCCTGAAGCAATTCCGGTGCGCTTTCCATCTTCGTCGATAGCAACGGTCGATCCGAGGTGGCAGGTTTCTGGTATCGGAAAGTGAACTCGTGTTTTGGACGCGAGCCACGGTAGTTTGAGTTTCCTCTGAACTGGAATGGAGCTGGCGGAGGCATTGTCGCTCGGAAAAGCTGCGATTAAGCAGCAAATTTGCACACAAGTACACTGGGACAGGATATAATATAAACCAAGTGCGTGAACGCGAAAAAAAGATTCGGGAAAGGTATTGCCGGATGATGAGGGCGGTGACGAGTGTTGGTCGTTCCTTCCGATTTATCTACTGACTGAGGACATCGTGGACTGTATATGTGTCTCTATGTGTGTCTATGTGTGGATTAATTCATGATGCCTAGTCTCCGTCATTGTTATTCAATTTCCCCTCCATGGGTTGTGAGTCCGTCCTCCAGACGATGAATCAAGTCCGGTTGCACTGCCATTTCAGCGAAACTAACGCGACTCGTCGCCCATGCGAGCCAGTCCTCAGCTCTGGCACCATTTGCCTGGAGCAAGCCAACGCTCACATCAATCAATAATGGTCGTTCTTCACAGTGCCAGAGGACAGTTGCACCGCAGCACCGGCAGAACTCTCTAAAAACATCTGGTGAGCTTTTATGCCGCTGCATAGTACCTGCATTGAACGCGAGCGGCGACCCGTCCGCATTTAAGATGTTGGATCTGGGTACAAAAGCCCAAGTTTGGATAGGAAATCCACTGCTCATTCGACAAGTATTACAGACACAGGTTCCTGCAAGATACTTTGTATCCTTGTCTCGAAGCCACCATTTGATATCGTCTGGGTTCGCCCCAGATCCGGTGTAATATGGCACTAACAGATCTGCCCATGGTGACGACGCTTGTGAGGACGAGTCATCGGGTCTGGTGATATAAAACTCAATACCTCCACAGAGGCAACTTGCTCGCAAATGCTGGGTTGGTAGGTATCTCGCCGGGTTTACTGGTTGGACACTGGAGTTTTCGGGACTGGTCGAGGCTTTTATCCTGCAGCCGGGGATAGCGGACTCTGTTCCAAGAAGAAATTTACTGAGTCCACTGTCGCCAGTATCACTGCATTGCCAGTGCTCCACCGCTCGGACCGAAGGAACATCTTTTGCTACTATCAACCCCGAGGCGACCAAAAAGTGTCCGCTAGGTTGCAGACGAGCGAAGACGTGGGCACCACATATCTTACAGAAGAAACGGCTAACGTGGTCAGGCTGCTGGTATTCTTGAAGCCCATCTAGATTCAGTGGCTCATGCTGGAGGAGATAATATGACGAAGATAACTGCCCAGTCACCGCGCGACAGCTGTTGCAATGACATAGTTGTAGTTTGGAATGATCGATACTCGTGTCCAGCTGGATCGAGGTTGATATGCTCCCGCATATGCAAACTATAGAGGTAGCCATGATTTTCAATGCGTATTAGCCCCTTTTCCAGAAAGATAGAATACTGGCAAGTCGTAAGCCCACGGCGGCCCTCGAAAGCAGTGCGTTGGTTATGTGCGCAAGCGGGGATTACAGAAATGCACTCGCCAGTGTAACGAACAGAATTTCCAGGTTATTGTGAGCAATGACAATTCACTCAAATCTGACCCTCCGACTTGACTTATCCCGGAAAGTCACGAGTATATAAGATCCCGGTCGGCCCCTTCCCTTTCTTTCCCCCACTCCTTCACAACCCTTCAACTATCCTCCAAACTTCACCAGTTTTCACCACTTCCAACATACAAAATGAGTAAGTGCTTCCTGTTATCTGTGACTTCATGACTTCATGCCTCTGGAAGCTCGCGCTTCGCCCTGGCCTGATCCGAGTGCGGAATGGTGGGGTCATAGCGGGGTACTCGACAGAGTCAATCGTCGTATTTCACCCTCGCTTTTTCGATTCCGATGCTGACGAGAATAGGTGACCACGGATGCAGCTGCGGCTCTACTTGCCAGTGCCCTGCCGGCTCTTGCAACTGCCCTGTACGTGATATCATTCCCTTTCCGCTTCCCCTCTTCGATGACGTCTGGCTGACCCCGCAATCTGTTTAGAAGAAATAAATTACCCATATGGGCCACGGCATTCACGATGATTTGACCGCAATCACCTCGACAACATTGGCATGCAGTGAGACGGAAGATATCTGGGGTGGATAGCCCCCGACCGGGTTATGCCATGGGGTTACAGCAGTGGGCTGCACGTCATGTCAAAAGAAAAAGAGAAAAAGAAGAAATTGCCATAGTCAATGACATGCGGTTGCTGGAACACTTTTATTCTTTGTAGAGCAAGTACCTTGTGGGCATCAGATCCAATATTTGGGTCTTTGAGATCGGGGGATCAACACTGGGCGCTCAGCACGCTGTACGACATATGTAGATACCTGCAGCACTCGCTAGCGGGCATGGACAGTAGAGATGTTCGATATACATCTACATTCTAGGCGCACGGTACCTGGCAACTTCCATATCGTAGTGGCAACAATGGCCACAGTATCTGGAAGACAGTACTCCGTACTCCGTACACATACCCTCGGGGAGCTGTGCGGGTGAGTGGTCACCGATAATCTCATTTCACACCATATCAGGCATCGTTCCGAACCCAACCACATTCACCACGCGGCGATCATTTGAAGTATCGTCAGAATGACCCGAAGAGGAAATACCCTCCCGCCCTTTCGATCTACAACGTATTTGACTCGGCTTTCGCGGCTGTGTTTTGCCGATGCGTCTTTTTTTTCTACGTAGACCGCCGATATCAAACCTTTTCGATGAGACCCCCAACACCTGGAACCGCGCAGAGTTGGCTCTAATAAAACATAAAAAGCGGAACCTGATGCTGGGTTCGAGAAGAGTAACATCGGATCGGGGCCAATCATAACTGGCATCATGCACCTCGGAGAGGGTCTGTGATATGCTTTAGTAGCGTCCAAGATGCAGCCTCTCCACTTTGTTGGTGCCTTGTTGGTTTCTCGCGCTCACTCAGATTCGAAAGGCTCTGTGCTCCCATACAGAACAGGGCCTGAATGTATTTTATGTTTTGAACCAAGTACGGACACAGCGGAGATGCCTCTCAAAGCCCGTTATCAGATCTCGCCTCTTGATAATACACAGCATCAACCCACAGGTGTGATTACTTGGGGTTGATTTTACCTAATGCAATATGCGTGGGCGTTTCCAATTTACCATGATATAATGCCAATCTCGAATCCCAGCTAAGAGGACCCCGATAATGCAGATGCCAATCCCAACCGGGTTGTCTCGCCGTCACGCACCGAGTACAACTCAGATACGCCGAAAGCAAGAAAAAAAAAACACGAAACTTGAAACCACTTGGCACTCCACTGGGTGGACATGAATTTGCATATCAGGTAAGCTAGGGCTACCAATGGGGCCTGACAGCACCCCTCCTCCAAGGTCCCCAATCCGTGCAAACACTTGCCGCACCATAGGCCACGGCGATAATCCAACCCTGTCGCCGCTCCAGGCGCTGGAAATTTCATTCCGGACCCCTTCCCCACTGGACACAAGGTATATCCCAGGCCGTCTTAGTCGTTACAGTTCTCCATCCGCATGTTGCACATATGACTGTACCCATGAGATAATATGAGGCCCGTCCCGAAGACAGTGGATCAAACCAGTGCAGATCTACGTCGTACCCGAGACGTGGCCATCGTCGTGGCATGATTATAGAAGGGCTTAATTTCAATCATCCCACTAATGTGCTTGGGACGGTGCTCAGGGGGTACGCAATATCGTGCTATACTGAAGGTCGATGTCAACATCCACGGATCATGACCAGATTACCATCATACATATGAAGTATCCAGATGCAGTTGGAATTCAAAGGCAAACAACCTTCACCTATAGTTGAGGCATAAATGACCGCATTGAGCAAAGCGTCAACAACGCATGCAATGAATAGCAGCTCCACAGAACCCTTTCTTAGTTCGAGTCTAAGGAAATAGACCAACCATGTTGTTTGCATACGTCCGGCCCGAGCACAAGGTAATCAGATCTACAGGCCTGATTAACTTGGCTACTTTGGAGGGACTATTCGCATATACCGAGCAAACACCGAAACAAGAGGCTAAACTCTACGAGAAAATAGATCCGAAATCCGAGCCCCTCTGTGTATGTCGTATGCGCTATATTTGCCCCGGGAATTTAGTGTTTGGAAAGTTCGCATAGCCAAAGCCCGATAGGCTCCGCTTTATTGACGAGCGGTAGAGCTGATTCTACAGCGCATAGCGCGTGAGAAAAGAATGAAACAAATGATAGGTGGGACGTTGGAAGTGGGTTGTTTGCTTGTGAGGGGGCCGAAGTGGGATGCAGGAAGCTCATTTGACTCGACCACGCGATACGATGGACGGTGAACGGGGCACCCCGACGATGTCACTGCTGTTTAGACTGTTTGGATTGGATGGAGGTGCATAATACGTGGAAAAATGGAATATTCGCTCGACTATTCCGTAGCATGGATCGGGATGTCATAGGAGTGTCGAGGACTCCAGAAGAGGTATAAAGTTGCCCTCATATCCGGCCCTGGATACCCTTTTTTTTTCTTTCTCTATCCACGCCATCTACATCCAAAGCCACTTATCTCAAGCTTTTTTCAAGGTTTCTTACCTATCACATCTATATTCATCATGTCTCCCTGCTCCTGCAACTGCTGCTCTGGCGAGTGCCAGTCCTGCTCATGCAGCTCCTGCAAGGTATGCTGCCCTGGCTTGAGCGATCTGTGTCTTGGACCTCTGGATTCAGTGGAATGAGACCCTGGGCGAGAGATATACTAACTATTTTCTTAGCACTAAGTCAGCCTGCAGGCCATCCTCACCGCCATCTTCCTCCAATATAACCCATACGAGACCCGGACTCCCACTGCTAGCAAACTAGCGGGGATACGGTGCCGTCCTTGTCGAACTGAGATAATTCTGTTGTGATCGTCCATCGAGATGGTTGTGTGCTAGGATTTGGGGAGAACAGGGCCTGGAGCCTTGAGGATGGGGTGTTTTCATTTTATAGGTTCAGATCGGACCTTGTCTATGTTCATGTGATTTAGTATTGAGCCAAGTGCCATACAGCTATATGCTACTTTTTTTTTCTCTGTGATCTTTCATCTCTCTCGTATCTGTTTGCTCCAAAGTAATTGTGATCTGAGTTTATTCTAAGTTTTATCATCGAGCCCTATCACGTATATATATATATCAAACCCCCGATGACCGAGAAACATGCATCTATATCTGATGGCGAGAGATAAGAACAGAAGGGCACATAAACGCTCAAATTGCAGTGAATTCCAACTACTGTAATGTATGTGAAAATAGAACTCAAATGCAGATGCAACATCAGATATTTGAATTGTACATAGATATCACAGCTCGTCTTTCGAGCGAGGAGCAGCGTTGCCTGCCTCCTCACCACCGGCACAAGCAGCTGGCGAGGTAACAAGCATCGAGTACACGCACTTTTCCTCTTCTGCTGTTTTCAGGATCTTATTCTCCTCACCACACTCTAAAATGACCTTGGTAGACCGGCTAGGTCCATTCCAGCAAGACTGGCCGCGATCGTACTCGATCACGGTCTTCTCGATGTTGATGACATCGCCAGCCTCATTAACCTCTTCCACGCTCGTAGTTCCAACTTTGGAGAATCGACCCATAGACACGGAATTGCCTCCCTTCCGCTGGTTCTGTTTCGTTGACTCGAGGAAGCAATGCTCATAGGTGTACTCACCCGCATCCAGAGAGATGCACACCCCTTTAAGTGCGCGGAAGATGGAAGCAGGACCGTAGTCCTGCTCAAGGTCGGCACGCTGATCGCGCAGCTTGTTTTTGAGACTTGAAACAGAGTCTTGGGCGGCCTTGAGTGCGTCCCGTGCCTGGGTCACAGCCTTGGATTCCGAGGAAGAGTCCCCGTTGGCTTTGGGCAAAATGCCCTGATCCTCAAGGAAGCTCCTAGCAGAGACGATCTTGTCTTCAATAAAGCTAACAAGCGAAGGCGGGAGATAAGCAGCCAGTTTGTACACTGTTGCTCGTTAGCCAGCTGTACTTAGTGTCACAAAAATATCAAACGATAGCTTACCTAGATCCGCATCATTGCAACCATCCTCCTCATTTTCCCAGTGCTCCCAGTTAACACCATTATCTGCGCCATCGGCCTTGAGAATCTCGTCCAAGTCACGCTCCACAGCACCATTTCCGCCCTCAGAGGTTTGTTCACGAGCAGCATAGTCCTCATAGCTGCGGACAGCGCGCTTGACACCTTCATCATTGAAGTTGGGGTTATATTCCACCTTGAACTTGGCCAGAATATCCTCAAGCTCCTTTGCCTGCCCGCGGATTTCATCCCGCTGGCGGCGCACATCAACCAACGCATTGCGTAGCTCATCAACACGACCCTTGGCAAGATTTGCAAGGGCACTGACCTTGCCTTTACCCTTCCCAGTACGGACCACTTTGCGGTCCTGCTCCTGGGCGAGCTTCAGTTCAGCCTCGAGATTTTGTTCCTTGACCTCTGCGCCTTGAATTTCAGCCTCTAGCCGGACGATATGGTCCTCAATCTCCTGCTGCTGGCGAGCTGCATCAACGAGAAGATCCTTCTTCTTCCTCAGCGCAGCAGTCATAGACTTTTGGTTCTGCTCCTCCTGCTTCCGCCATTGCTTGCCGATTTCCTTGCAACGGTCTTCACACTTCGTGCCCCCAACGCGAGCCCACTCGTCGCTACAATCACAACACTGCTCATAATCACAGACACCATCGTTGATACGCTGGAACGGGATGTATGATGGCCGGTGGCCCTTATTTTTGCAGTAGAATCCCGGGAGGGCAAGTGCGATGTCCAAATCGTTGTTCCCAGGGCGGTCGGCCACCGTCGGCGGGGAATTGCGCGAGATATGTGAGCAGGCAGCCGTCCCCGGCTCGTCACTTCCATCGGGACAGTCACAGAAGTCATCGTTGACGGCCGAGAAGGGGATTTTGACCGAGGGATTCGAGATACAGGTGAATGTGGTGGCGTCCTGGTAGAATTTGGCAACTAGGTATGTTCTATTAGTATAATATCCGACAGAAAAAGGATCAATTGCCTATCGTAGATCCCCGGTTGCACGAACCCGCTACGGAAACACTACCTAAAGGTGGATCTAGTCAGGGTCCAGGTACTCACATTCGGGGCCCACGCCACGGGGACGCGCAGGCTTGTCACTACTAGCCTGGGCCGCCGACCCAGCGGCGGCCATCAACAATAACGACTGAGGAAGTCTCATGCTTGAGGCATTGAGCTTTGTTTGTGGTGCGGAGAGAGCTTCTGGCCAGCTGTTGATAGCGGGCCCGGGCTGGATCTAATCGGAGCTGAGTCAGCACGCTATCTTTCCAATGCGCCTTTATCGTGGCGAGTGAGAGCATATGCATAGTAGTATGTAGGATGGAAACGAAGTTGAATTGTTTTACTGCTAATCAACAGGAGCTAAGAATAAATGAGGAGTCACCTGACGATGGGGTGATCGCAGGAGCCATAACAATGCCTACCGAAGAAAGACGTCGATGTCCTTGGCGACATGAAGCCGAACCATGTCAAATTCCCCCTCCATACTATGTATGTCCTAATGAAAGTCCGTTCCCGAGGCCGCATGACGTTGGATGAGGCTGCTTCTTCTGAGTCTGTGGAGGGCTGGTCGAAGATTATTGCAAGTACAGCCGACTGACAAGCAAATACAGTGTATAAGCTGGCTGCTTATATCCGGCCTTCACTTGTGAACTTCCTATACTGAAGGCAAGATCTGGTAAGAAGAACTTGTGTTCTCTTCTTCCCAGTGAACACCCAGAAATACGCACTCAAGCTTTCACCGCAGAGCAAGTAGAACCCACTGTAGACAGGGATGAAGGGCAAACCGTGAGCCTACAGAACGACTGGACTGCCACAAGGCTGCCTATACGGTTTGATATCACCTTGGGAGTCGGAGTCGGCTAGCCACTCCGTACCGAGGCCCCGAGATAGCTTTGATAGTCAGAAGTAAGAAGACAAGCGCATTAGACTGGGCAGTATGCTCAGGAGGGATATGGTAATCATCGTCTTGTAATAGATGAGGCTCCAAGTGCTTGGCAACCCTGGGGAAATGACAGGATGAATAGCCCATGCAGGCGATAATGCCAATTCATAGGCATTTATATAAGCCGCGACCATTTTGAATGGACTGACAGGTTGATTGCCAAATTTATGGTGCGTTCATGAAGGCATGTTGTAACTTTTGTGCAGACGAACATGAACAAGGCCTCTCACATTCGTTCATGACGGCCAATTTATGCCAGTCGTTTAGTGAACAGCCCACAAGTAGAAAAAATAAAGAGCGGGCAGCGTCAACAAATTTAGCACCATTTACGAATCGAAGAATGTCTTGCAAGATTGATCGTGATGATGGATTGTGGTTCTGATGAGGTGGAACAATTCCGATGGCAACTACGAAATGAGTAGTCACCTGACGACCAACTAATCACGGCCGCAACAGAGCATCTCGCCCCAACTACATCGCAAACATGGGTAATGACGGTGGAAGGTAGGTGGACTTCATATTGGTATTCTGTATACCAGATATTCCTAACATAAGGCTTTCTAGTATCCCGACACGCCGCGAGCTCGTCCGCGAGGCAGCTCGTGCCCCAAGCACGGCGCAAGTAAAAGAGACTCAGCGCGAGCAGCAAGAACATTGCTGGACTACCTGTCCACTCTCACACAAGTCCCTAGCCCGACCAATTGTATCAGATTCTGTAGGGAATCTGTATAACAAAGACGCCATACTCGAATTTCTGCTTCCCGGCGACGATGTCGAAGGAATCAGCTCCAAGGCTGATTGCGAAGAGATCCTATGCGGGCGCGTGAAGTCGCTGCGCGATGTGGTCGAAATAAAGTTCGAAGTCGACACAGAGCTCACCGAGCACCCTTCAGGCCGACCTTTTGCGCCTCGTGAGCGTCGCGAGGGCTGGATTTGCCCCATCACTGCGAAGCCGTTGGGCCCAAGCGTTAAGTCTGTATACCTTGTACCGTGCGGACATGTATTCGCAGAGGAGGCTATCCGACAACTTAAGGGAGATAAGTGCCTACAGGTAAGACCGGCTTGTGATTAAATATGTGGTGGAGATAGCGACTGACTTTGATATATCTAGTGCAACGAATCCTACACCGAAGATAACATCATTAACATCCTCACCACCAAAAAAGAAGATAAGGAACGTCTGATCGCACGAGGTCATAAACTTGCCGAGCAGGGTCTCACGCACTCTCTCAAAAAAGCCCCCGGCTCAAAGAAGCGCAAGAAGCATGCCACCACCGAGAGTGCGACTGATGCTCCTAGCACCACCGAACCTGCTGCGTCGGAAGTGTCAAAGCAACCCTCTGACCCTAAAAGTCGAAGCAACACTTCCACACCGGTACCTACTAATGCTTCCAGTATGGGAATCAAGAACGCTGCTACTTCCTCGCTCACTGCCCGTGTGTTGGCGGAGCAGGACGAGAAGAATAAGCGCCGGAAGATGATGGGCCGGAATGAGAATGTTGACAGTCTTTTCTCCAAGAAGGACTCAGCATCGAAGAATCGCGACTTTATGACCAGAGGGTTCTCCTTTTCATGACCTGGTGTTTTCCCTCTGCTTCGCATTAGTCACTTGCAGTCATTGGGGAGTTTTATGGAGTTTATGGGGCGGCCGTGAGGTTTGTTCGAGGATTCACCGTGACCACAACGCTTTTAGGTATGCTAGACAGAAAATCTAGTAAACATACTGTACATTACAAAATTAACATATACAATTCTCGGAACCCATTCGGCCGTATGAAATGTAACGGGGGAAAATAATGCAATTCAACAATCCTAATATACAGAAGATTTGCTCTCATATAATAAGGGGGGTTGTCCCCCAACGTTCTACACAACACGAAGAAAGATCTAGGCAGCCGCAGACTCGGCCTCATCCCAGCGCCGCGCCCGCTTCTGGCCCAGACTCTTGGTAATGAGACCGTTCTCGAAGAGAGCAGTCACAATGGCCTTCTTACGGCCAAGATCCTCATCGTTGTGGTGGCGAGTCTGGCGGACATCAGAGATCTTAACATTAGGCAATGCAGCGGTGCCGTTCTTGTCCATCAACTCATGGAGAAGCACAGGGGTCAGTCTCTTTGTCTTTTTGCGAAGGGCTTCCTGTGCGGTGAAGACCTTTCCGACAGTAGCAGAGGCGGTAACGACGGAGTTGGAAATGTGGCGGGCAGTCAGTTGAGAGAAGTGGGTGAAGAACTAGTACAGAATTAGCCAGACCCACAAGTATAAGAATCACGGAGGAATACTAACAGCAAGCTTGACGTTTCCATTATCAAGCGGCAACGACCTGAGGCTCTCGCTAATCGGCTCGGTGGCATTCGCGTCGTACAGGCGGTTCTCCAGCTTGCCAGAGCTCTTCAATTGCTCTAGGATTTGGTTGGAATCGACCTTTTTGGAACTGTCGTTTGCTACATGGCGCAAAAGATTTTCCATGGTTGTGGTGTCGGGGAAGCGGAGACGATCGCCCCATTGCTCAGCCTGGCCTTCGATCTTGCAGGACTTGATCTGGGCAAGAATCTCTGGATCGTGCTCTTTAATAGTTGAGTTGGTGACTTGTACCCCGACAATCTGCTTCAAAGCAATCTCCACAGCGGCCTGGTGGGCTGCCTCCCTGGTTGTAAGAGGATTTTCGTTGGCGTACCATCTAGATAAGAGGGACCAGGGTCAGTGAATTCACCGAGGAAGTGGTATGCACGGGCATCAAATCGCCAATTTGGATCAAACATACGCCTTGACGGTATCAGCCTCAGGGTTCTCGCCCTTGTAGCGCCATTCATGCTCCATCAGGTAGCCGAGTCTGGGCATTTCCTCCCAGTTCAGGTTCTCAATATCTTCAACCTTGCCCTCAGTACCCTGGGAAAGGCTGAACTGTTCGTCTGGGTTCGACTCTTCGGGAGCGGCATTGGGATCGGGCATAATCTGGCTTCCAGAGTACGGATCTGCCGGGCCTGGGGGCTTATCTGTGCCCCAAAGGCTGCGCCGAGTGCGCTCGAGGATTCCGGGGGAGTCGGAGGCATAACGGCGGAATTGACCGAATGGTGAGATACGGGGAGTGGCTTCAATTCTGCAGCTGGAGCAAATGAAGTTTACCTCCCGCAGAGGGAGGCGCATTGATGGCCGCATTGTTAAAGTGGGCGCGAATTCTGTTTGAGAACGTCGAGCTGGCGGAGTTTGGCTCGGACGGAGAAACAAATTCGAGAGAGACAGGTCACGTGAGCATGGTCTGGATGCTTGGCATTTTGGTCTTCCGTTCCTGAAAACTACAACTATGTGCATCCCAGGGACATTGGTCCTGCAGATCAATAATTTCTCACAAATCCGATTGCATTAACTACTGGAAATGAGGCCAGCCTGGTCTATGTTTTAGCGAAGTAATCTTGATCACACTAGATGTTGAAGTTGAAGCACGGTTCTACAACACATCCAAGCTCTTGGAGAGTCGATCCAATAACATATACAAGTCCCCAGGGCGTCCACTCGCCAATGTTGGATGAAAAGTCCAATTTCTGGGCTTACCTTCATTACCTCACCCACGCACCGATTTGGTTATGAAGCTACGATCATCTTACACAATGCTATCTGTTCTGATATCAATCCACGTGGGTTGAGAAGTATCCTGCCTGGTTCACCTCACAGCAGTGGCTTCAGAACCAACAAGTTGGGGCATGCCATTGACTCAGTTCATGGCCTCGGGCTGCGACTTTGCCTCTCACTCCGAAAGTAACGACATTATATTCAACACGAATCTGTGTGGTTGGACGCAAGACACAAGACCCTCAGATGCAAAAATGGGAATACTGACAAACACTCCCCGGCCCCGGCCAGTGGAAGCGCTTGGTCATCAACGCCCAAGTGTAGTACCTAGGCCATGAATATGCGCTTGACGGAGAATAGCTTGTACATCTTGCCAAACATAAATTGAAAGGCGCAGGCGCAGAGTCTAAAATCCCGACGAGTACCAGACAACATCAGCCACGGTGTGAAATTCATCGGTAATAATAGAAGCCAAAGCGTGATCAGATTATGGAGCATTGAATATCATATTCGCATTCAAGCCCGTAACTGGGCACAGCAGTTGCAACGATATTGGTGTCAAGTCCACCTAGGATAAGCAAGGCTGTCATGGTGAGCATGATGAGCCAGAACTTCGAATCAGTGGGATATCCTTTAGTTTCTTCAGTTCCCCCAACTGAGCGAGTTTCATAATCCCTAGTATTCTCTTCGTGTATACTTGGATCATGGCCTTCCCCCGCCTTGATACCATCGTTCGCTTTGCTATCAGCGACCGCCATGACGTTCTCCCCGAGGCAACACAGTTGGACACCTATCATCGCCCAGGACACTCATCGTTTGCGTGGTCATTTTGAATGAAGAGAACACAAGAGGCAGTGCTTTACAAATCAACTTTGGGAATGACCTCGGGACCTTCGATGATGCGATAGCCTAGTCACCTGGGAACAAAAGGAATGCCCCAATGTTCCCCTGTTCATCATTACAAAGATGGTAACGCGCTGGATCGCCAAAGCCAGTCAGACCACCTGGACGGTTCTTACTGAATCCCACTTTGGAATCGATCTGCCTACTACAGTACCATACAAACACACGACTCAATATTCTTTTTCAGATCATACATACAGCGGCGTTTCATTGGTATTTGCACTTCAATGCGTGTACTTCTACGGAGTACCCTTGACCGGTCGATTTATTATAGGTACATAACGTATATACTGGGCACTTTGGTATCTTCACCAATGTTTCACTTTATATCGTTCTTCCTGGGCATCTATATGCTTCGCCTGCTCAATTTGAATCGTCTTTTCAGCATAAAGCCATACACAGCAATCATAACACCAACTCATCAAGCATCTACCATGGCCAGAGAGCATGCCGCTGCCATTCTCCCCCAGCAGGGGCGGTCCCTTGTCACTTGACAAGTGTCCCACCCCGAGCCCGGTCTAGATCATTGACTTGAAACAAGCGATCATTTTCAACCTGACTACGGCATGCCTCCTGTGCCCAATCACCCCGCCATCGTGGGATGCGATACTGCGGGCATTGTCAACAAGCTGGGGTCAAATGTCACCACAGGCTCTGGTCCACGAACCTGAATCATTTGCCTTTGCCTCATCATTCTACTATAACGGCTCTCCTAGCCACGGTTCCTTCCAAAAGTACACTTTGGTACAATCTGAAGTTGCCATCCTACTTCCAGACAATCTCTCCTTTGATGAAGGCTCGGTCTTCCCCTTGGCCGTCTTAACTGCCTGGGCCCTGGACCATCATCGGCATTCCGCTCCCAAGTACACACCCGAGGACAAACAAGCGGACCTGATCTGGGCGGCGCCAAATTCTATTTTGAGGAAGGAATTTTGCAAGTACTACCGGGTACATCTCAAAAGAAAAGAGGAACCAAGAACATTACTTAGTCCTCACCATTATTGTCGCAGTAGACGATGTATCTTGAAAAGCCTCTTGGACCATACCTACATACATATTTAGGGAGAACCGCCGGTCTTCAAGCCACTCGTCATAAAAAGGGAGGAATCATTTATAGTATGCGAAATGTATATACATGCGACGCTGATATCATACTATTAAGCAGAAAAAGAATAAAACAAAAGGCATTTTGCACAAATCAAGTCCAATGATTTACTCACGGACAAACATGCCCGCCATACCCATACCGGTACCAATGCACATGCTGATGACACCAATCTCCTGGCCACTGCGCTCCAACTCAGGCAGCAGAGTAGCCAGCTGACGGGCACCGGTAGCACCAAGCGGGTGACCGATAGCAATAGCACCACCGTTGGGGTTAACCTTCGCCTGGTCGATGCCAAGCTTGCGAACGCTGTACAGAGCCTGCGAGGCGAAAGCCTCGTTAATCTCCCAGACTCCAACCTCAGGGACCTTGATGTCAACAGCCTGCAGAAGCTTGGGGATGGCAACGGCAGGGCCAACGCCCATCTCGTCGGGGGCACAGCCCGCAACGGCAGACGCGACCCAGCGCGCCTTGATGGAGCCAGACAGACCGAGCTCCTCGGCGGTGGAGCGGCGCATCAGCAGAGCGGCGGCCGCACCGTCGCTGACCTGCGAGCTGTTGCCGGCCGTGCTGGCGCCGGTGGGCGAGAAAGCGGGCTTGAGAGCGCTGACTTTCTCGAGGGTCAGGCCGTGGCGGATACCGTCGTCCTGGGTCACGGTCACTTCCTTGGCTGGGGCATCGGGGTTGGCGGGGTCGAGGGTCTTGGTGGTGACGGAGATGATCTCGGAGTCGAAGCGGCCGGCCTTTTGCGCCGCGGAGGCCTTGGCGTGGGACTCGACGGCGAAGGCGTCTTGGTCGGCGCGGGACACGCCGTACCGAGATGCGACGTTCTCCGAGGTAATGCCCATGGGCATGATGCAGTCTTGGGCATCCTGGGAGTGGGATTCCTTCAGTTCGGGCCAGAGGACTGTGGGGATGGCGCGGGAGCCGTAGTTGCGAGTCATGGACTCCATGCCACCGCCGATACCGACGTTAATGGCGCCGGCGCGGATACCGTTGGCGATGGTTGTGATGGCTGCCAGGCCGGATGAGCACTGGCGGTTGATTGTGTTGAAGGGCACTGAGTGAGGGAAGCCGGCGTGGATCTGGCCCATGCGGCCTGCTTTGGCGCCGCCTAGCTCTTGCAGGACGGATCCGATAAGCACATCGTCGATTTGGGCGGGGTCCAGGTTAGGGTTGGCCTTCAGTGTGGCCTGCAGCACGCTGGCGAGTAGCTCTTCTGGGTAGGCATCCTTGAAACCACCCTTCTTGGCGCGGGTGACAGGTGTGCGCAATGAGGAGAGAATGACAATATCGTTGGGAGATTTCTGGAGCACCTGGCGGAGGCCGCGGGGAATTGGAGAAGCCATGGTTGTGTAGCTGTTTTTGTTTTTTGGGGTTGCTCGGATTCAATTGAAGCTGTATACCAAGGGTATTTCCGGTCTTTTTCGGCGATGTCAGTTTGGATGCATATGTTACGCTCTGGGGGTATTTACTTACACCTCAAATGTCTGTACAAAGTAGAAGAGAGAGAGAAAAAGGGAGAGTAACAACTCCTCCAAATATGGGGCGCCAGAATTACTTATAGACTGCCGGACAGGATTCCGGGGTCGGAAGTAGTGTGGCCAGTACCGTTGCTAAGTGGCTCCGGCACTGGAGATCGGCTAAGCGGTTTCCCGCCAGTGTGGGGAAGGGGCTGTTGGACCTGGACGTTTGAACATCTCGTTTCTCAGCCCCTGCTACGGAGTACTCCCTACTGATGGACTATACAAGATACCTTTTACCATCTACAATCCCAAACAGATAATCCCAAACACAGCTCAATGGTCTCTAGAACTTAGCTCCGATAGCAATATACCAGCTCTGCCCCCAGCCCCGGGCCCGGGCCACATCGGGTGCTTATGTCAGCCAGTTCGGATCGGAACCTTGGAGCCGGCAACCGACAAAGACAGTCATTCCCAAATTTGATATGCATTAGCATTCTGATATTGTGAGATAAACCTGTAGATAATTCTCTTTGGTGTGATGTAGCTGGTGTTCCCTGCTCAATATTCCACGAGAGCCCGCTTTGCCAGCAAACTAGCCTCCATATTGTCCTCCTTGGGTACAAGCCAGAACTTGACGTTGACCATCACCTCAAGCATCGCAATACCAGTTTCAATCAGCTGAAATTTGTCAGCATTGGCCACTGGAACTCCCTTGCAAGTCTTCCATCCATTTGCCTTCCACTTGGGTAGCCACTCCGTCAGGCTGCGAACGAGATACTCCGAGTCGGACTTGATCACAAAAGTGTTCAATGGCGTGAGACTCTTGCCCTTGCGCATAATGCTGCGCCGCTTCTCCAGGATGGAAGTGGCATTGCGCAATGCTCGCAGACAGGCGGTCAATTCGGCGACCTGCTTGGTCTGGCTGTCCTTGCTCGGAATCTCCCAGGAGACATTTCCGTTATTCCCGTAGCCCCAGTATAGTCCAATCGCCGAACGCATTCCCATCTTGCCATTGACACACTCTCCATGAATACCGATAATCAGAGAATCTTCATGACCTTCGTGTTGTTTGCAGTCTTTGCATTTGCTAACGGATGAGGGACACGCAAGACAGACCCACAAGCCGATGTTGACTTGTATTTCCTTCACGGTGAAGCGGGCAGGGTATTCATTCTGGGAACTGAAGCGGCGGTCTTCGGCGGTTATCTCTCCTTTCTTCCTCCCGGAAGAGTCAGCTACATGGTGGACGTTGCCCTTTGTGCTTGGACCATGTGAAGTTGAGCTATGCGTGCAACTATTGGGTTTCTGTCCATTCAATTAGCATGCAAAGATGACGCAGATATATAAGAGGGTCCAATGTTGTACCGCCGTGAGATCAGGACAATTGCTTACTTCAGATGGATGGGCTTTCTGGGGCGTCTGTGACACCTTGGACACTTGGCCCATTTCAGACACCCAAGATGCCTTGCTTGTCCTCCTTTTTCCCTTCATGTGGGAGGGAGCTGTGCCTGCAGTGAGAGATGGCATCGTGACTCGAAATGCTTGTTTGAAGTGAGAAGATGAAATGTGTAGATGAGGACTTAACCCGAGAGATGAAGGAAGCTCGAGGCAAGTGACCTGAGGAGGGAGCAATAAGCCAAGAGGCGAAAGAGAAAACAAAGGTGAGAAGAAAAGAGACGGAAAGGAACGAGAAGCACGGGTTGCAATCAGAGCAAACCAGGCAGCGTTCGGACGAGAAGGTGAAAGAGGAGACTGCAACTGCCATTTTGTTCACATCGATGACAATACCTCAGGTGGCATACCCAACACGAAAGATAATGATGCTCCATATGTATGCCGAGAAATACTGGTACTATCAGCCCACAGATATTACAGCATCCAAAGGATCAAGGAGGCGAATTGAGTGTAAGTTTAAGAATAACACCAGTTTGAAGCCCAGAACAAAGAAAAATGACTGTATGGCCACGGACAGACAGATCGCTAACAAAGAGGGGCATCTAGCAAAAGAAAAAAGGGCCGTAGGTAAATCGAAGAATATCAATACACACAGATGGTATCTAATAAGCATCGATGAAAGGACGGTGCTACTATCACACTAAGTAATATCGTAAATCGCTACTATGTAGAAAGCAGGATGACCACACCGGGGATTGAGGCTTCCCGGCCGCCTTCCGACGCCTTTGAGTGTGCATCTTCATGTGAACAGCCCATTTCCGTTTCCCGTTGAAGGGAATCTTGGTCTTCTTGGATATCAGTAGTGATTTGCTAGCCTATATTCCTCTATAGTCGCCATAAACTTGTTGCTGACATTCTTCTAGTACTTCGAGTCCAATTCTAGATTGATGACACGAGGACCATTGATTGCGAGATAATACGAGGCCTAAATTGACGATGACGAGATGTTCCATCGCTAGCTACATGTAGAGTGTAAAGCAAGTTGCTCTAACTGACCACTCCACGTCTTCCATTCGAGTTGTATCTTTACCACGGGACTGTAGAATAGTACCTAAATCAAAGGGTCCAGCTCAACTGTTCCTTAGTATTGGGGAAATTACCACCAACAAAATTCGCAAATACGGTTTCTCGACTCTTAGAGAGGTTGGGACCTACCTAGGCAATTGGGCCCTATTGTGAGTGTTGAGGAAGGGGGAACAAATTCAAGTGGGCCTGGCCTCTACATATGCTTTTTATATCTAGCAAGTTGCCGGAATGGGAAGGCTTGTTGAGAACCAATCATTCTTAGGAATATGAGCAACGGCATATCACCCATTAGCCAATTAGGTCAGGATTACGTTCCTCAAGGTGCAGTCATGACAGCAGTTCACTTTGTTTGCTTTGTTGTTACTTCTTTTGAGTGTCAGTGACGGGGCAGGTGCGTTGATTCGTTGCTTACCGGCGGGCATAAGGGTCTCGATGAATATCTTGAAGATGATACACGAAGGGGGAAAAAAGTTACAGGTCAAGATTCATGGAAGAGCATGGCAATGTCACCCTAGAAGTGCAGAGATGAAAATGCATGTTGAATGCTCCTGCAATGACATGATATTATAAGAGAACGAGGTGCAACCTAAGACAGCAGATAGGCAATGACAGTGCTTAACTTTTTGGATTTTCTCTTGCCATCGTCTTCTGCAACACATAATGTGGGTCTGATGCTTGACCTCCAGCCTTTGATGCTCTTCATCCAATCAGGTCTCTTGTATAGTGTACCATGTACTTCGCCCTCTGTACAACCCGGAAGAATGCCAGATGAGAAGAATGTGAGATTGTCTCGAACATGACAGCTGAGAAGTACATGACATGACCTGCAGGTAAGCAAGCAGAACAGCCCTCGGGGTGTTGAGCGAAATCCCAATGTCGTCTTTTGGTGTGGCCATTTCCGGCCCGGTGATTGGGTCTGCGTATATGCAATAAGATAGCCAGATGACTAGATTCAACCCTGACGATCGAAGAGGCCCGAATGCCCAAAGATTGTGGTTTGAGACGAAATTAAAAAAAAAATCCAGCGCATCTCCGTGATCGGTCAACCAGTTCCACACAGCGACGAGTATAAAAGGTCCGTAGACCCGTGAGTCAATCGGCCCACTTTTGCCTCTTATTTTTTGTCGACTTTTTCCCCCCTCGACATCCCCCCCAGACCTGTGAGTCATTCCTCTGATTTAAATCCCTACCTTTTGTTTGGCTCTAGAGTCCTTCATATACTCTTCATAATATTAATTGCTGCCAATTAGAGCATCGCAATGCCTCTCATTAACACCACCGAAGTCAACGAGGACACTCGTGGTATGTGGAATTGGTAACTCAGCACCAATTGTCGATACTAACGAAATGGATTTTTAGTCCTTGGATACGACCCATTGCTGTCGCCCTACTTCTTGCAGAACGAGCTCCCCGCGGTGAGTCCATTTTGTTCCCTTTCACCCCGCTCTTTGCGGGGATCGCCACTCGGAAAATCCCTAAGCACCAACTGACCGCAATTGCCTGTATAGCCCGCTCGTGCCATTGAGACCGTCCGCGCTGGTCGTAACCAAGCAGTCGAGATTATCGAGCAGCGCGATGACCGCCTCCTGGTTGTCGTCGGACCCTGCTCCATCCACGACCCCGATACCGCTCTTGAGTATGCCCGCCGCCTCAAGGAGCTCTCCTCAAAGCTGGAGAAGGACCTCTGCGTGATCATGCGCGCCTACCTCGAGAAGCCCCGCACAACTGTCGGCTGGAAGGGTCTGATCAACGACCCCGATATCGACGAGACCTACAACATCAACAAGGGTCTCCGCGTGTCCCGCAAGCTTTACATCGACCTGACCAGCACCGGTCTCCCCATCGCCTCCGAGATGCTGGACACCATCTCACCACAGTACCTGGCCGACCTGATCTCATTGGGTGCCATCGGCGCCCGCACCACCGAGTCCCAGCTGCACCGCGAGCTGGCCTCAGGTCTCTCCTTCCCCATTGGTTTCAAGAACGGCACAGACGGTAACCTGACCGTCGCCGTGGACGCCATTGGCGCCGCCTCGCACCCCCACCGCTTCCTCGGTGTCACAAAGCAGGGTCTGGCTGCCATCACCAAGACCGCCGGTAACGAGCACGGCTTCGTCATTCTGCGCGGCGGCAACCGTGGCACCAACTATGACCGTGACAACATCCGTCTTACCCGCGAGTCTCTCCGCTCCAAGAAGCAGCGCGAGGTCGTCATGGTCGACTGCTCGCACGGTAACTCCAACAAGAACCACCTCAACCAGCCCGTTGTCGCCAAGTCGGTCTCCGATCAGCTCCGTGAGGGCGAGTCTTCTATCATCGGTGTCATGATCGAGTCCAACATCTACGAGGGTAACCAGAAGGTTCCCCCCGAGGGACCTGAGGCTCTCCTCCGCGGTGTCAGCATCACTGATGCTTGCATCAACTGGGAGATGACTGTTGAGGTGCTTGAGGATCTGGCCGATGGTGTTCGTGCCCGTCGTGCTGCCCAGAAGGCCTCGCAGTAGAGAAATTTTTTTCCCTTTTTTCTCTTTTTCTAGATGATTCTCCTTTTTATCTCTGATTTTCACAGCCCTTCTTCCGCAGAGGGGAGGGAGAACGGGTCTGGCATAGATACCTAGTTTCGGTGCCTGTTGTTTCTTTTTCTCGGGTTTTCAGCGGTTTCCTTTGTAACTTTTTTTTCTGCTCATCCCTGGGGGAACACCCCCTGGGATTCATGTGTGAATGTGTTGGTGTCAAAAAATATGAGGGTTTTGTGTTTCGCTGGGACTTGTGTTGGGGATTTCATTTTAGTGGGAGAGCCCACGCAAAAAAAAGTTCAGCAGTGTGAAGAACGGCTGAATTGGCGCTCTTATATATTTTCTTTCTAAGAATTCTTTCTCGGCTTATAAGATCGGTTTTTTCCTCCCTGTAGCTCCACTACATGCATGGACCATGTACGGAGTAGGCCTCCCAAGTCCCGCGGCAAAGCGCTTCTCCGGGGCTGGGAGGGTCCTCCTTCTTTGGGGCTTAGTGCGCAGATCTAGGTCGGAAGGATCTTGGCTCGGTGATATCACAGTGGCTCTTAGGAGTGGTATAGAATCCTATGTATACGGTGTATCTCTGTTGTGGTGGACGGTATACAACATGTCAGTGCAAATGAGATACCAGGATGAAGAAATAAGAACAGATAGAAGACATCTATGTACTATACACGATTTACATGGAAGCCACCCATCCAACCTATCAGGATGTCAGGGAAAGCTATACTGACTAGGAACACATTCCAAGAATGAATATGGAGAAAAATGATAACGCCGTGAACCCCCTGGGAGAATGGAAGCAGGCCACGAGTAAATGTCGTAGCGTGCCATGCAAGAGAAAAAGGTATTCCAGAAGGCGAGGAGTGAAGGTCAGCGGAGAAAAAGGGATGGGCCCAAATAGGTGTCTGTCTGTTGGTGATTGATGAGATCAGACCCGATCAAGACCAATCCAAGGACAGGCCAAGGCGATCGACCCATCTATTCTGTTTCTTGCTTTTTGTTTGCTTTGAAGACCAAGTGTCGCACTGATCTACCGCCCGGTCAACCAGCTAGTCCAGCTCTTTGTTGTGGTCTTCGTGGCATCTTCCACATTCGCGGCCATCACGTCCAACTGACCGGGGAGAGGAGCTCCGGTCTTCGCCGAAGCAGCATCCATAGCTTGCTTGGCCTGCACGGCCTCCATGACACTGCCCTGGGTCTTATCGGCACCCTCTACAGCCAGTACAGCTGCGGGTGCAGCAGAAACACTGCTGTCTTCCATGTTCAGCTTCTCGAAGAGGAATCGCTTTGCCTTGGCCCAGGGCTTCTGTGCCTTATCCTCCTCGCGCTTCTTCTTCATAATTTCACCGATCTTCTCCTTCTTCAAAAGCTCCTCCTGCTCGATAGTTGCAGTACCGTTGGCGACGGCGATCTCGGCCTGCTTCAAAGTCGCGAGTTCCTTTTCAATCCAAAGTTCGCGTTGGCGGCGGTTATACATCGTGAGCGAGACCATCGAGTAGACTGTAAGAACACCACAGATACCTAGTAGAATCAATAAAAGTCAGCATAAGACTTGGGCATCAATCGAAAAATCCGTTGCTTGGCATTGCCGATGCGGACTTCGAGGATCGTATGTTGTTTTGATGATGTCTGTTGCGCATCACCTCGACAGGGCAGGGACATACCCGACGCAGCAATCAATGAGTAGACCATTCCCTTGTGTGCCTTATTCGCAAATTTCCGCCCAGACTCAATCCATCGATCCGCACCGCTGCCAGCTGCCTGTGCCTTCCGAGCAGCCCGTGCCTGCGCTCGCAGTCGCTCGACCTTCTCCCTGGGTGTCTCCGGTTGGCCATTAGGACCAAGCTGCTGTGGTGATGACTTCGTGGGGTTCTTATTGGCGACTTCGGAGCCCTGGAACGCGCCGCCGGTTTTAGAGCTGGCGTAGGGCCCTGTGGCCGTGAACCGCGTTGCGTCTGCGGCGGATCGGGACATGACGGAGAATACCGGTTTCGGTGGGCAACCTCAAGATAGAAATTGAAAATCAAAAGAAAGTCAACTGAACTCTGCCGAAGGTAATTGGAGGGCGGTGGTGGAGTGATGGGGCTGATGGCAGTTGAAAAGCCGGGGATTTGCGAGTTGAAGGTAAATTTTCAGCACGGGAGATCCGCCAAGACATTCAACAGCTTCAACTGATATGCCCTTGGTCCTCCATTCACTGTGTTTCTGCATAGTTGAGAGAATACCGTAATTCGCATGCTATAATTAAATCCTATCATTCAATACTTACATTTTGATTCGAGACTTTACTTGTCGCTTTAAACAACACCGTTCTCCAAACTGCTTGGTCCTTTATCGTCCCATCCCTCGGAACACTTCTCATCTACAAGACTACAACCTACATCGACATCAATTTGCACTCTATCTCCCGTCTTTATTTATCAACTAAGCTTATTTGGGATCTCATCTTGCACTTGCAAGCCTGATATCACGATTCTATAATGGCAGGCAGTTCATACAATCCTGCGGACTTGAATTCAATCCTCAGCACATTATCCAGTCTATCTTCTCAACCTCAGGGCAGCTCCAATCCGCACAGTGTCAGAACCACTGTCCCGCAAAATACTACACCTGTGCAATCAACACGCTCTGAGGATCCACGTCCGCAGCGACCTAGCACAAGGCCATCCGGTCCTTCGACTCCTGGTGTCGATCCATCAACGATCACGACTTGGCCCGGAGCACTACGTTATGTGATGCGCACTGTGGGTCAAAACGAAGAAACCCAAGCACGTATCCGTGGTATGATTCGAAGCCAGCACTCACATGAGAAGCAATGGTTTCAAGGCCGTGAGGCATTATTGAAGCAGCAGCAAAGTCGCCCCCAGAAACAGAGGGAGCTAGATGCAGTTCTGTAGGTTTTCGGCTCTATCATATGGCTTTGCTATTATCTACTATGGACAAGTCACTAATATTAGAATAGCCGTTCGATCGGTGCCCCTGTGAAAGAAGATGATGGCTCGGTATGTTTATACCTTCAATTCTAGTTACAAGCTTGGTCTCAACCTATATGTGATGCTCCCATCCTTTTTATCACTCGACCTGATTGATTACCATTAGACCGAAAAGGAATTTGCTGCAGAAATTGCAGTCTACGATGGAAAGGTTCATAGGGCAGCTACGCAGATGACGAATGCTCTCATTGCTGAGTTGCGCGGTCTGGGCATTCCGTTCTTCACGCTCCGAAAAGACTTGATTCAAGATACCTCATCTGCTCCAGAGAATTCCGATCCTCGGCGTCTCTCTGACATCGGACCGTCTGTTTCATCGCCAATCTCGAAGACCGAGCTTGTGAAGTTGCAGCGACGCATGTTGGAATTGCTAGAAGATCTTTGTAAGGAGTGAGACCTTTCATCGCCGCTTTTGTTCCCACGTCCATTTCCAACTCTTCTTGAGATTACTGGAAGTTTTCATGAGAATTGTCAACATGATATAAAACAAGAATGATATCATGGTTCCCTGGCCCTGGGTTCAAGTACAATTCGAGGAAATCTTGCATGCTTTTTTTTTTTTTCTTTAGCTAGCTATGGGTATAATTAGCGTCTTTATTGGATCGAAGCCAGTTTGGGATCCATCACATAATACTAATTGGCCAGATCATTAAGGTTACATCCCCATGCATATATACCTACTTTAGCCCGGTTACTCCGTACAAAGCTATAGATTGGAAGGTCTCCCTTGAGGTATGTGATAGCCGGGCTTTGTAAGATCTACGTGGCGATGAGCCCCTGAATCAGTGTGATCAAGCCAAAAAGAAACATCACAGTACATTTTGCCAATCAAAACAATTCTTCATAACTCCGTACAGATCTCTGTAATATCATCGACTTTCCTCCGAAAAACTCCCAGCAAACGAGTGACCGGAAGGGGGTTGGCCGACCGCCCGCCAAACGCCGAGAGCCCGGGGATCCAACGTCACTCTTCATTTTACTGGACAATGTCTCAGCATGACTTCCAGATTAACAAAAACAAGTGGTCTAGCATCACTGGCATGTACTGAGTGCAGGAAGCAGCATCTCAAATGTGATGCCGACAAACCATCATGTTCGCGGTGCGTACAGAACGGGCTTCCCTGCCAATATCTACCCTCCCGACGAGGCGGACGTAGAAAATCACGGCATGAGACTCCATATCAACGCCACTCGACGCAAACCCCTGTCAATGTCAGTGATTATTGTGTCCCATCAAAGGCTCTTGCTAAAATGAGTATAGACCAGATATCAGTCTACTACGGTCCCTGTTCTGCCACTAGCCCCTGCGCAGACCACACCGACCAATACTCCAGCACAGGCAGGTAGCCAGGCAGTGCTCAATCCTTCCGCTGAGCCAGTTTCTTGGCCGGTGATGATACCAAGTGACGCTACTGTCCCACAGAATGTGGAACCAGCAAGCAAAGCTTCGCTCTTTGACGAGCGTCTGCCTCGGTTATACTATGAGAATTTCCATGTCGCCCATCCGATCTTAGTGCCCAGCTCCTTGTATCATGACCGCAACTACCCTCATTTCCTACAACTAACGGTGCATTTTGTCGGTTCCCACTATATCGCGTCTATTCCGAGTCAGCCGTACAAGGACCAAGTTGTTGCGGAGCTGAAGACTAACCCTGACCGATCGGCTTCCATGGTCCAGGCTTGGCTACTTTATTCCATTGCTTTGTATGCCCGTGATGAATGGGCAGAGGCACAGGATGCCCTCTCTCATAGCATTGATATTGCTTTGGAGCTTGGGATGAACCGTTGGTCATTCGCTTCAGCGGCAAACCCCGAAAGATCTCTTGAAGCCGAGAGCATGAGACGAACATGGTGGGAACTCTATGTCACTGATATATTCATGGCAGTGCCGCTCAAAACCACGACATTTCGATGCAGCACTGTGGCGCCGGAGGTGGCCTTGCCATGTGAAGAGTCGACGTATAATAGTGGTGATGATGTTCCGAAGCCACGGATGATCCTTGAATTCAAGCGCAGAATTCTCGCCGCAGAGGATACTGTTTTCTCGTCTTTCAGCTATCGCATCGAAGCCACCACAATATTATGCCGAGTTCTTGTCCTGAACCGAATGCGCGACTGCCATCGTGATCATTTGCAGGCTGTCGAGAATGCACTGGTGAGCTGGATCAACCACCTACCACCCAAAAAGCTCGATATCGTCGATTCATACGGCAATGTCGATGAAATGATGTTCCAAGCACACCTGACAATAGCCTATGCCGCCATGCTCCTCCACTTACCCCGAAGCGATCTTCCATCCATCTTGTCCCAGTCCCAGTCCCAGCCAGATGACCGATTCTGGCCTGGTCTGACCGGCCAGCTCTCCTCAACATTCACCCGTCTCGTTCACAGCATCAAAGCAACAGAGGCCTCGAGGCGGATTTCAGATTCCATATCTGTCTGTCCAAATGTCTCAAAACACACACCCTTCATCATCCCCGCGTTGACTCTCTGCGGACTCATTCAACTCGCGACGTCAACGAACCATTCCGAGGAGTGCTTCGATCATCACTGTAACCGCGTCACGCTTATCTTAGGATGTCTCAAGAGCACCCAACGGACATGGAAACTGGCCGAATCCCTTTATCATGGCCTTCGATCCTCTGCGGCGGATGTCTTGTCAGATTCTATGGAAAGGTGGAATGCACAACCACTACAACGATTCACCCCAACAGCCACCATACCGAATGATCCGGAACGTCCTAGCTCCGGTGCGAATCCCGCCCTGGCCATGTCAGATGGCCATGACTTCATGCCGCCGGAGTTCTCCCCGGCGTTCATCGATCCAACCTGTTACAATGCCTCTTTTTTCAGTGCGATTCCTGATTTTGACATTAATTAGATCGGTTATACCCGGGAGCCAACGGAGTATTCTAATTCATTTTGCTACAAAAGGACAAAGGATTCGTTATGCTCAACGCCAATGTTTACCCAAGGGGTTTCCGGAACAAGCATCAGCTGTCCTCGCCATGCAGCAAGCTGAGCATTGGCCTCAACGAAGTAAATGATGGCGATACGTAATAATAAAGGGGGTCCAAACATGGATTCTTGGATGGCACTTGCGGATGTATCAAACGCCGATTGAGGATACTTGAGTCGCCGATGGTGCTATAGAATTTAATTGGCTCTTGAGATTTCCCTCGGCGACCCACCGGAGAGCCACAATCTATACAACAATCCGGTATAGATAGGAAGTGCTCCGTACAGAATACCTGGGTATGACCAGATCATTTGTACTGCGTAGATAAAGTCAAGTCTCCCAGTCAGAGCAGGGCCGGTGGTGCAATCGATTCGATGGTTTGTTTTCTCTCCGGCATTATACAGTTCCCAGGCCCCGGTGCATCTCTTCACTGATGTTGTACACGGTCATACATATCATACTCCAAAAGATACCACTCTGAAAGGGAAGCTCTCACCGACTATTTCCCCTATGGATCTGCCATGGATCAGATATCCGAAGGTAGCCACCTGTGCGTTGATATCCGCAGATAAAGACACAGGGATCTACTTCATGCTTGCAGCAAACCGTTCGCCGATGAGCCGATATGCGAAGTCACATTGTCGGTATGTACATCTGCTGGGCGCCCTGGGCAAGCTCACCTCTTACATCATGATTCACACGAGAATACAAAGTCCCAGGCGGTTGAACTGCAGCTGCATGTTCATTGCGTTAGGTGGTTTCATTATGGCGTTATATGTGCTAATCTTTTTTTCCGTGGTTGAGTGTCTGTAGGCCGGCAATTTATCAGATCAAGGGAGGTTATCTGATTCAAGGAAACATGGACGAAAAGATTAGATTGTTTCAAGATCCCAATTCGAAGCCAGGAGGGCCAAGCAGACCCGGATTCTAAAGATTGTGACATTCATACAGCCTAACAAAATGATTTAACACATATTACTCGTCATTGATAACATGTTCAGGCCTCTAGGCACTCTTGGTTGAGACTATAATCGGTCTGGGGCGCTGGAATGCAAGGCATTGGATCAATCGGCGATTGAGATTCTATTTTTTGGGATTGAGATCGCACGGGGAATTAAGGGGAGAGACCCATATACATCATTTCAGAGCTATAACTAATCCGACAATCTTCCTACAAGTCTTAATCTATCCTCTACAATCATTCCAAACAATCGGACATCAACCATCCACAATGCCCGTTGTCGCTCCCCTGCTCCCGCTCGGCACCAGCCTATCACTAGGCAACAAGCACTACACCCCCCAATACAGCCTAGATAATCTCGTTCAAGATATCAAGACCCACCTCGGAGAGAGCGGTGGTATTTCCTCGGCCGACGTGGATAACGAATACCTCATCTCGCTAGCGCAGAAGTATATCTCTGATCCGAACGACTGGGCCCGCTATTTCTACAACGACACCAGCAAGAACTACACTCGCAATGCCATTGAGAATATCAACCAAAAAGCAAATATCGTGAGTAGCAGCATTATTTACATCGTCGACGTCGAAATTCATAATTAACACATCCTAGCTCCTCCTCGTATGGAACCCCGGGAAGGGATCCCCCATCCACGACCATGCCAATGCGCACTGCATCATGAAGATCTTGGCTGGTACCCTGCAAGAGACCGTTTACAGAGTTCCTGATCAGGGCTCGAAGGATCACGGGCCTCTGGAGATCAAGTCTGATACGAGGCATTCCATGAACGATGTTGCCTACATCTCCGATGATATCGGGCTACATCGTGTTCACAACCCGAGCAGTGACCAAGTTGCTGTCTCTCTTCACCGTGAGTACTGATTTGGAAACTGCTACGCGCAATTTCTGGAGTTCAAGACTGATGAGTCTCTTCTGTTTAGTCTATACGCCGCCCAATGCCGCTGACTATGGGTATAACGTCTACAACGAGGCTACCGGCAAGGCAAGCTTTGTGCCCCAGGCCAAAGCTGTCCCCCAGAAAGAATGAGGAATAAAGGGTTGAAACGGGAAGATTGACTTGATGGGATTTATTCGGGGGTTCTTTTATTTCTTTTTGCATGAGCCATTAGCCTGTCAGATACCACGATTTACTTTGCTCGGCGTCGGGGTGTGAGTTGTTCTGCCGATCTACTTAACGAGATAATGAAGTCTTTTCACATGTTTTCTAAATACACGTTTGGAATTTTGATGGTATTCTGATATAGCTAACCTGCGTTCGCCAAGTTTCTTGAATCCGCCGTGACGATAAATATATCTTGAGTAGAAGCCTCTTTCGTGGCGTCTCAAATTGCGACAAAAGCAAATTAGCCTATAGAGGATACGATCGTGGATCTAATAATGACGCTCCGAGTCAGCCAATACGTAGTCGAATATCGTTTCGTATTCAACGGCTTGTACGGATCGTGTCGTCAAAAAGGTATTTTGGGTCGGCTTGGGTTTAAGAAGGATCAAATTGTGAAGTTTTAGGATAAGTTCTGTTGATTTTCATGTATTATAGTCATGCTCGTTTGGGCTTTACATAAAATTATTGCAAGATATGTAAAAAGAAGAAAATCGGACCTTTATATGGAAATAATGACGCGGCCTTCCTAATCTAGGAACATTCGTCGTCAGCCTCATTCCGCGTCGCGTCCATGACGTTTCATTGTGGGGAATAATTATTTTCTCTGCCAGATAAGGCTGGTAATATATGCATGTGTATAGACCTAGTCAATCTTGGGTTAACCCCCGAAGTCGGGCTCCATATAAGCCGGGATATCAGGATGATATTAAATCCGAAGTTAGTTCACACTATATACAGAGACATGGATTTCGTAAACGAAATGGACCCGAGAGGTGGATCACAGCTGGAGAATACTACACAAGACGAAGAAAGGAAAATGTACAGAGGTCGACGCGCGGCCTCAAGAGCAGAAAAAGAAACCCAAAAACACAGAAAGACAACTCAAGCAAAGCCTGAGGATATACAGGGTATGAAGAAGGAAACGGAGTGTAACGCCAGATTTGGGGGGGTATTGTTATGCATGGAACAAGCATGAAGGTGGTATATACCAAATGGCCTCAGCTAACCCTCGATATGGCTGGCTTTTCCTGTTCCTTTCGTAGTTGTTGCGGTCCTCGGGTGTGCAGTGTTGCACGCCCGGTTTGGTAGTGTTCGCGGGGGATATTTCTAAACAATGCAAATGTAAAACGAGGCAAGGATGAAGTGCTAATCATGCAAGATTGAAAGTGAAACAAAATCAGAACATTCAGGGGCGCGGAGTGGAGGCCAGATGGATCTCTTCCACGGGGACGCCCTCCTCGGAGGGAACATGCTGGTAGCGACTGATGCGCCGAGCGCGGATGACCTTCCAGAGGCCATATCCAGCACCACCTAGGGTGAGCCCGACCAGCAGGAAGACAAGGAAACCGCCAATCCCGCGCATGACCTCGTAGGCCTTGTAAACGGCCTGGGCGACTTCCTTTGCATCGGCATACTGGGCGCTCGAGTGGTCGCCCGAGCCAGAGGAAGTGCTGTTGGCCAAATTAGTTGCTTTATCGCCGTTGGCAACGTTGCCGCTCTGAGACGAACTTGACCCCGTGTTTTCGTTGGCCGCAACTATGATGGAGGGATCGTCGGGGTTGGGACCGGAGTCAGAGCCGGCCCAGCCGGCGGCTTTCCAGTCAGATGGGGAGGCTGTGCGCGTAATCTCAGAAGTATGCATAACATTGCCGTCGGCGTCAATAGCCTCAGCAGAAACGAAATCCATGAAACCGTCGGCGATGAACATGGTCTCGAAGTCGGTTTTGTTAGTGGTGCCAATGAGGACGGACTGGCCATTGTCATACGCCTGCGCATAGAACTTCCACTGGACAACATCGGTTGCGCCATTCCAGCTGACGTGGATGACGGTCGTCATATCATCATCCTTTGTACCGTAGACGGATGCGACCAGGTCTGGGGGCGCAGCCGGACGACCAGTGAACTCGCCCTTGTAGGAGCGGTAGGTCGACCATCGCTCCGAGGCAAATCGGGCAGTCATGAGAAGATCTCCGTTCGGTGCGTGTTCGCTTGAGTAGCCAAACTCGCTCCATCCGACAAAGACGTTGCCGTTAGGAAGAACACGGGCGTTTCCACGAAGCTTGGTGAGCATGCTATCAGGGCGGTTAATCCGCTGGATAACCTTGGCGGTCATAGGGTCGACACCTGTGTCCAGCTCGACAATTAAGGCGGAAGAAGTCTTTTCATCACTGCCACGTTCATCGGATGCGTTGTTCAGCATCGAAATAACATGATGGGTGCCATTAGACGAGACGAACTTGACATCGTGTTGCTTGGAGAAAGTGAAATTTTGTTGAAAATCGCTCTCCAATCCACCCAAGCGCCACACGATGTTTCCATCCAGACCGGAAATCAGGTAGATGGTGTTAGTGAATCGCAACGAGATCAGGTAATCACCAGCCTCATTCTTGTCAACCGAATTGATATGCACGTAGTCCCAACCGGGCGAGTCGATGGCTGGACGATCCCAAGCATGGAACATGTTGGACTCGTGCAAAGCAATCTTGTCAAAAGTATCCCACTGGACCAGAACCTCGTTGGTCTCGATATCCAATTCGACGAACCCACCAACTGTGATCCAACTCTCTTCCTTTGAGCGTCCGAAATCAGTCATGTTAATGCGCTGGGCACGGTAGGTGCATGCCAGGACAGTTTTTCCCCCGTCCATGATATTGAATTCGTGCATGTTGAAATCATGGACATCACTGGTCGCCTGGACTTCTTTCTTCACCTCGTAACGGTTGTTCACAATTGCGCCATGGCCCTTCTTTGACTCGTCGTATTCCCATCCTACAATAAACGATAAGTACGGATTCTCGTCGATGTTGTGCACTGGTTTGAAATCAAAGACATTGTGATTGTCGTACAAGGGAGCTCCGGCCCAGATAAGAACCTGTTTCGCCAGAAGCGAGTCAGCTAATGCCTCTTGACCGGGTGTGAGGGCCAAGACATACGCCATTATCGTCGTAGATGTAAGGTCCGACTTGATATTGCTGGTATTTGAGAGTGGGTTCATCTGGTGCGATCTTCCCATAAGGCGCAACGAACCAATACCCGGGGGCTAATCGTTCGCGGTCGTAGTGTTTAATATCCCATTTTAAAGCTCGGACTTCCGGAAGCTGGGTATGACGATTAGAAACGAAACAAGTTCAACGTCGAGAGTTCAACATACCGTCACAAAAGACATCAAATCCGCGTCATTGCGCTCTGCGACAACATTGCCCGCAAGCAGGAGCAACGCAGCAGCGCGTAGCATCATGATTGGCTTTGAAAGAATGGCTAGGAAGTGTATATCTTCCTGAATGTACTCTGTACTAAGTATGTAGAAAAAGAAGGAATGAAGGAGCAGAGGTCGCTACACCAGAGCGGACTCTGGACACCAGACCATTGGGACGTCGGCAGTGACATCAGGTAAGAGGGGGGGGCCAACGACGACGCTAGGCTATTATGAGGATGAATAAGTAATCAAAATCTCTTAGAAAAAGGCCCAAGAGCAAGCAGAGCTGTGCCGAGCAACGTAATGGGCATCTTGGCGCTGTTTCGAGTGGAGAACGAGACCCTCCCAAGTGGCCCTACGAGTCCACAGTGGAGTTCCTCTCCTCTCGTATACATATTTTCCCCGTATGCGACGACCACCGTCTACCTAGGTACGTATGTGGGACGCGTTCCATTCAGCCCTTGGTGTCGGCAATAAACAACGTGGCCTTTCGCATCTTTTTGACATACGATTGGTCTGTCAGCCTTATATGGCGAGGTTAGAGAACAGGGGAAACGGTCTTGGCACTATATCCGAACCGAATGGAGTCAGGGGCACTTTCTCCTGTTCCGCTGTATCGGACTTGAATGATGATCGGCAGAAGATCTTTGCTATGATGATCCCTGCTCACATTGTTTTCTAGAAGAAACTCAGTCAGAAGTGTCGGTGATCCACGGCTTTGACGTGCAACAGCTACGAAGTATAACCTACTCCGTAAGGCAATGATACATGCACAATTGTATCTACAACGTGTCATATCGCGTTGGGGAGATTTTAGCACCCTACAAGGATGATCATGTCAATCCTGGCATCGCCATTTAGCCTTACTAGCTACGGCGAACCGTTGAAAATGGATCCAAGCCACCGATCGCGTAGTATGTAGCTTAAACCCACGAACCATTTTTTAATTTAAGTTCTGCATATAGATATCTTGTTATACTCTGGCTCCGAGGACGGGTATTCTTTAATTGGAGGTTCCAAAAAGGTATGAGGCTTGTAGACCAACACTTCAGCAGCCGCGACAAGGAACAAACCCTCGGTGCCCAAACAGTTATCAACTCCGGCCCTGGTGGCAGAGCCCGCTGTCACATCATTTTAAGATAGATGCGGGCAAAGCACGGAGTGCGCAGGTCCGTCATACGTGATAGCGTGCACATCCCCGACGACAGTCCGGGGCACACAAGGGAGCCCTCTAGCGTGCCGTGGAAATATGAACTAATGGCGATGAAGTCTCTTACGACCGTGTTGATGGCCAGTATTTCAGTGCCCATTGGGTGTCTAGGCCGCTATGTGACCACGAGATCACAACAACATTTTGTCCTGTGTAGAGCAAATAGAACCTGCCCAGTCAAGTTGTGACAAGGTCATGGAAGGCGTTTGCGGTGTCCTTGTCTATTTCCGGGCTGTCGTTGGCACCTAGAAACAACGTGTTGATGAGGTTTGTCTCTGCCCTAGCAGAGGACTGACGACCACCGGTTAGTCTAGAGCCAGGCACATTATGTAAAAGGTTGGTGGAAGCAAGGGTTGCCTTCATGGCTGATCAGATATATGACCGAGGCTGGTGTACATCTCGACCTCCTCAAGCCAGGGGATGGCACCGAATCACATACTGGCCTTTCCGGGTTCACAAAACCCTTCTTGTGAAAGTGAGCTTCCTCGATCGCGGGTATCAGGGGTTCGCTTTTGGAGATCGATGTCCAATCATGGTCCTGTCCTGTGTGGACTGCCTGTTTCCGCGGGGGATCGCCAGGAGTAGTAGGGCGAAGGCAAAGACATCCTTGAAACCAACCATATAGCCATCTCGAACCAATGTCAACTGTTCACCTTCATATACGTTTGCAATTCCTGACACTCTGATGTGTAAGGTCTTAGCCAAATTGATTTGAGGAGCCATTCATATCAAGGTTTGCAGCAGGAAGTTGTTGAAGATCGAATTCGCAGCCGAAACAAAGTAAGCTCCGCTGATAGGTTGACTGAGAGAGCAGATTAGTGGAAATGACCAATGTCAAGGGGATGTGCTAGTGCTCACTGAAAGTTCCTACCATCGTCGCTGTCACGCTTTCTGGCATCGCGAACCTCCGTAAGAAGAAATGGAAGGCGCTATCTCTGTGCGCAGTCTTGAAGCTCGCTTTCAAGAGCTATATCCTGGTATAATCAAGTTCGAGATTGGGTGAATAGCTAGGTATCCTTTGGGAAGGGAGAGGCGTAAAAAGAAAAAGAAATGAAACCCGGAGGGGAATTGAACCTTGAGCATTGTTTGCCTGTCCGAAAGAGGAAATGGTTCCCTTATAGGAAGCCGGAAAGAGGTCCTACCTGCAAATCCACCTCGATTAGCTCATTAGCTGGGTCTAGGGGTATTTGGTACTTGAAGCCTGGATGCGCAGTCCCAGTAGATCTTCGGGAGTCATGACCCCGGGTGATACTTTGCGTGGCCTTAGGGTGGATCTATAACAAATACCTTGTAGCAATACCGTGTAGATTCCACACCTATAGAGTATGCGAGTCCCGATCCGAGGGGGTGGCGGTTCTGAGGTGAGTGGTTCGTGGATTTGCACCTTTCCTTTTTTTTTCTTCTTTATTATTGGCATGACTATATCCCAGATCTATACAGTTATGTCATCTGGTGATCTCAGGGATATCTCCTCCTCATACCCCATCTTCCACCCAGTATCATCCAAATTGTGTCTGCTACTGGACAGTTTATCCAAAAGCACCACCTCCGTGTGACCTCATTCGTGAACACGCTGCCTATCAGAGGGCCGGTGGTCGTGGCAATCACACAGACGCCCATCCATAGGCCGATGAGCATAGGGCGAGTCTTCGGCTGTGCCGTGAAGTTGATAATTAGGACAGACCTGCTGAGCATACTCGCACGTTTCCAGTCCTCCAGAGCTCATCCCACGACCCGCACAATGCTGTTAGGTGCGGCGGCAGCCACGATACTCCCAATCAGGTACAATCATAATAATAAGAAAATAGACAGCAGCAACAACGACGCAGCTGCTTTATTCGCGCCGCTGCTCTTGGAAGTTCTCCCAGAAGATCATTTGCAGCAGTTAAAATACTCCGGGACGACAACTGGAATTGAATGATCCTTTCTAACATCTCGACAGTTGACTCTTTCCCTGATTTACTCGTCAGCAAAGAGACCAAGAGTCAACAACCCGACCAACAACCACAATACAACACACAATTATGTACACAACATTGTCTACTTGGGTTACAGCAAGGTGACATTCTAGACCGTGGCTGCCTTAATGTCACGCTCCATCAACATGATCAGAGTGAAGCTGATATGAGGTATCATATCAAACCAAAGAATCAAGGTACCATCTCTACTGGAAAGGCAACTTGACAAAAACCTTGATCGAAACAGTCCACTCTTTGGAACATGCGGCTCATATAGCACGCCCATCGAAATAATTTGTGCCACATACGGATACACCGTGATGCGGAAGGGAATGATGTCGGGGCTCTGGAACACAGTATCCCGTGAAGCACGGGTAGCTCAGGCCCCTCAAACAAGCCCAAGGCTCAGCGGTACCTGGTCTCCTTGGCTGAATCGACTTGGAAAACCCGTGTTTCCATGGTGCTGGGCAGATTCGCCATGTGTGAGTTATGGCTTGGGGAGGTGGAAGGACAGTAGAGCATGAGGCATACTTGTCCCTTCATCGGAAAACCAGCAATCTAGGAGGAAAATCCAGGGTTTAGGCAACATCCACAGAGACATTCGGCCGGAGGATATCTTGGGAATGAAGAACTTAGCCGGACCTTAACCATCGACTTTCACCGCTTCAGAATGGAGGTAATGGAGTCTCGACTGCTGAAGAGGCGGTCAGGGATCATAGAAAAGTCACTTGTTCGGAGACACGAGACGGAAAGCCTTTACGTGTTGATTAATGGAAAAACCAGATTTACTGAGACAACTATAATCAATTAGTCTTGACCGACGTTTGCGTTCAACTATTAAAAGATGTCACTTTCAATCTAGCCAGTGATGAATGTACGGCATTCGTATAGCGACAGGCATTAGTCCCTGTCCTATATCCTCTTCATATGACCTTATCTTTGTATGGACAAAACACGATCTTTCGTGATATGACTCACTTGAGTACAAAGACTGCCAAGCCTAGCTCAACCCTTCTTAATAGCATATCATATCTGTAACAAGGGGATATAACAATCTTGAACCGTCTCTATCAAACCCCAACAAGGGTCATGGTTCCTCGAGGAAAAGCTCCCGAAATGGGATAGGTACGCCACACCGTTAGTGAGCTCTGTACCCAACAAAGCCTGATACTCAGCAATGACATCCTCCCATACATGTATCCTATGATTAGGCCAGCCAAGACTGAGCTGCAATGTAGAGGCTCTACTTCACACCTAGCATATGTAGTTTCAGATTTAATGATGTCGTCCTGGAAGGCATACGCCAGGTCCTGGACAGGATGTTAGGATACTGCCTGCGCCAATTGTGGGTCCAATGCACCTCAGGCTGGGTCCTATCCATGGAGAAGACCAAACCTGGTCCGGTCTGCATCGTGCAGCGCCATTTCGAACATGTCGATAGTAAGAAACCATATGGTACATCCGTTCTCCTGGACGACCTAGTCCAACGAGTCGCTAGATCTGGCGCAGGGAGAAGTGCCGGGTTTGAAGCCAAAATCCCCCGCCTCTGCCCTATGGTTTATTGGGAGCCACGGGGGTTGCAATTGGACAGCTTGGAGTGGGGACTTCTTATCCATGTAGCTCTCCAGGTTGCTTGGATGATACCATATTTGAATTGCGGGGGTTGTCTCGCCGGTGATTGGGCAGGGATAGGGGTGAATATGGCCAATAAAGGGAAAGGATCTGGGGATAATCGGCTGAAGTCTGGGCTTCTAGCTCCTTTTTTATTACATTGGCATTTGCCGCTAAGCACGGGAAGGGAAGGTGGGAGGGTGGAGTATTAGATCTTTGATAGACTTTCGGCATCTCAGCCCAGAACAGAGCTATACTATACTATACTATACTGTAGCACTCACATCCAAACATGATCCGAGAGGAAGGTAGCTATGGGCCACCGTGGAAGCTTCCAGGGGGATTACGAAAGCCATACGTAGAAGGGCAAGATAAGCGAGACAGTGTTGGGCGTAAAGATAATGTTGGAGATACCTGTGACTGTAATATTATGAATGTTCTGTTAGGGAACGCTCTACAACACACGGCATAGAGAATGGTGTGGTTCTCTACAACGTAAACAGAAATAACTAAATTATGGATCATCTCTTAAGACATGGTGGGCCTCACTGTGGTTACAGGCGCCAGCCATCAACTATCACATTCCGGTATAATCCCTCAGTTGGATCGAGTATACCGATGTGACTTGTTTCTACTCCGTACACAGGCTGAATATCTCTGGTACCTCGGCTTTCCTTCTGTTTTGCTGCCTGAAACTGCTTGGATTGTGAGCGACTCGATGTCCGTGCTGATCGGTGTCTATGACCTGTACGGAGTGGGGTCAGTCCGGCATTCTGCAGCTCTGAAACCTGTAGAGAAGATCGGAGGAATGTAGATGATCTCAGAACATCATAGCATTGCATTGCTGAGGTTGGAGTTGGGTTGGAGTAGCTAGCGACACCCTCCTGTTGGGCACTGGCTTGATCCTTGACGATCGTTCTGACCTGCTGACGGTGAATATGTGCCGTCGGACTGTAGGCCAGACGAAGGATTTGCCGTCGATGCAAGCCAATCCTACCTTACCCTCTTGCGGCCCGCCGCTGGACTTGGTGTAGACCCAAGTCACCTTAGTGGATGCTCTTGCTTTGCTGAGCCGTTTGCTCGGGGCTTAGAAGCAAAACCTGCTGTGGCACAGTTCCTTCGACAGATCACCTCTTGCTTTGGTTCGTTTCGATGGATCTATATGATGTGGTCCTTGCACACGGATGATATCATGGGACTGCGCGGGAACATTGCTACGACAGAACTTGGAGAGATGAAACACGATGGAATGTAGATCTGTGAAGGGTATTATCCGTCTTCGTTGCAATAACACGGCGATTGACAGGGCATGATGGGACCCAACACTGTGCGGATAATGAGGCTCAACAGGAGCCCGCAACCTGGCACTTATTTGGTATATTATTTTGTATACAGCCGAACCGGGGAAATTCTACTAAAATGGATGCCATCATGTACAGTATCAAATACAATAACCCCCAATGATTGACAGTCCTAGCGGCATTTGATAGGTCAACCCCCAGGAGACAAGCGAAATGTGGTTACAGCGCAGCCAAGAACCGAATAGGGCATTGGTCCGGACAACATGAATGTTTCAGATTCCGATTGCGCCGGGGAGTTCAGGTGCAGGCGATAACAAGCGAGAGAGGGAAACAGAATAAAAAACCCCCCAAACCAATAGGTCTTAAGTAGAAGAGGCCGTTTCCACATGTAACCGTCCCGACTACCACCGTTGCACTCAAGGGGGTCATTGAGTATGTACGGGTACATCGGGAATGTGGTATTCTATTTATTCTATGGACATTGGGAATTACTCGTATACTGGGAGGTTAGACTCTTCTCTACTATATCAGCTTTTGACTCCATTGACTACCTCTATGTAGGTATGGTTATAGTTATACCGATATGCTCTTCCCTCGCCCTTGTAAGTAACTGACTGGTACGGTACGGTCCAATGTGACGCTGGGAGCTGCTACATACATAACGTCGGACAAAATACATTACCGGTACAGTACGGTACCCTGGGCATTGCGACACCGCAAGGGCTTCTCCAGTTGCACTCGCGGTGACACTGTCAACTCAAGAATGGGCCAATGTTGATCCATGCTTAGGGTGTTGGACCCTTTCGTTCCTTTCTGCTCTTCTTTCCTGTCTCTCCTTTCCACTTATCAGGGTGGGGATAATTGCTTCTGCTACACTCCCACCGATCCACTCAGACACAACTCCAGTGGGAGTGTCACATCAGCTTGCCCCAACCCTTATAACTTCAGATATTTCCTCTTTAGTCGTTGGTCCCATTTACATGGTCTCCCCTTGATCCCATCAACTTCGATCCTTCGCTGTCCCCTGGGTTTCCGACTTCGCCTCCCCTCTACCTTCCTCCCCCCCAAGTCGACCATGTCGACCATGTCGGCCCCACTGGTCAAGGTCCTGCACCGACTGCAAGAATTGTTCCATAATGTGGTTGCTGCTTTAGAAAACATGATTCTGTTCCCCTCGCTGTTCGGCGGGCTTTCGCGACACCGCCGCAAGCCTTTCCTCGGCGCCCACTGGAAGCGCCGCACGCTCGAGAATTTCGCCGAAGAAGTAGAAGCCTCGTTTTCAAAGCCGCTGTCGACGCGCAACATGGCGGAGATGTCCGAGAAGATCCGCGCACAATTCCGCGAATGTCTACAAAATAGCCCGTGCTGTATGCTTCCATCCTACGATACTGTACTTCCGGCTGGGTCGGAAAAGGGCACGTACCTGGCATTGGACGTGGGTGGATCAACTTTTCGCGTAGCTTTGATTGAATTGAATGGCCGCAATGAGGAAGTGCGCATTTTGAAGGAGTTCTCGACGCGCATCGACGAAACAATCAAGGTGCTGGAAGGAACGAAATTCTTTGATTGGATGGCCGGGCACATTGAGACTACACTGAAGGATCTTGGGCCGGATTATGGGCGCGGCGATGTACCGCTGGGGATGGGACTATCCTGGTCTTTCCCCATCGACCAAACGTCGCACAGCAGCGGGAAGTTGATCCACATGGGCAAGGGCTTCAAGGCGTCAGAAGGCACGGTAGGCCAGGAACTCGGCGGTCTCATTGTCGAGTCATGCCGCAAGCGCAATTTGAACGTAGTGGTCGCTGCTATTGTGAACGACGGGTCTGCCGCTTTGCTTTCTAGTGCCTATGACGACCCCAAAACCCGCATGTCTCTCATTCTGGGTACCGGTACCAACGTGGCGATTCACTTCCCAGTACGCGAGATTGGAAAGGCCAAGTTTGGAGTTCGTCCGGAGGGCTGGTTCGAGCGCTCCAAGCACGTTATCATTAACACTGAGATGAGCATGTTTGGTGGTGGTGTGTTGCCCATGACACGGTGGGACGACTACCTGAACCGCACTCACCTGCGTCCTGACTACCAGCCGCTCGAGTACATGATCACAGGTCGGTACTTGGGTGAGATCGTGCGTCTGATCATCGTCGAGGCAGTTGAGACCGCCCGTCTCTTCAACGGCGAGCTGCCCCACTCCATGCGTGAACCCTACTCCTTCGACACAAGCATCGTCGCTTTCATTGAAGAAGACTCCTCCACCTCATTTTCCGCCTCCGCCGCCCTCCTGCGAAAACAACACATCTTCCCCGACCTCCCGTCCGTCGAAGACCTGCGATTCTTGCGCCGCGTCTGTCAGACAGTCTCCCGTCGCGGCGCTGGATACCTAGCCACAGCCATCCACAGCATGTGGTGCCTCCGCAACGAGGTTGAATTCCCCCAATCCTCATCTGTCACCGAGTCTCTCGATAAGGCATTACACGAAGTCACCGTCGTCGAGAGCGAAGAATCTGACAAGAGCCTTACCATCGCCTGCGACGGTACCGTTATCAACAAGTATCCTGGCTTCCGCGATGCATGCCAGAATTATTTGAACCAATTGGCCGACGAAACACACCCTGGCACCACATCTCGCATTCGCCTGAACCCTGCTCACGAAAGCGCCATTCTCGGCGCTGCAGTCGCAGTGGCCGTGTCTGTGGCTGGGAAATCCCAGTGAAACTGCGCTTCGACATGAGTGATGCATCCCCCGCTGAGCATAGATCTCTAGCTGTCTTTTCATTGTGATTTTATTTTTACCATGTGCAGCGGTCATCGGCGTATGATATTATCATGAGGTTTCCCAATCCAGGACCTTTTTGTTTCATCTGCATGCGCATCCCTGGATGGGAATCATGGAGAGAGCATCATCACTCCCTTTGTCATCTTTCACCTCTCCTACCTCTCTTACCTTTCCTACCTCTTTCCTCGTCATCAGTCAGCATTTTCAAGGAGTTTTATTTGGTTATTCTTACAACCGCACTGGGGTTATCAGCACGGGTCTTTGTTGGTTTTTTGATCGGTGGAGTCCGGTTTAGTTCTTCAAGATCCTCTATTCATAACGGATTTCATTATTTTCTTCCCTCAAATTCAAGGATGCACTTTGATTTGTCTATTCCTTTTCTCCCTAATATCCCTCCCGATCTGTCTTTCCGAGTGGAATCAAGTCTAGAACGTGTCTCTACCTCATCCCACCGTTTTATACCCTCTCGTTCCTTGCACACTCTTCTCATGCCTGTGACAAAGTCCAAGTATATAGTTCCCTACCATCGCTGGAGTTTCTTTAGTCTCACGTCGTCTATAATACTCTAATTGCTCCGATCATCCAGTATCCCAACCGCAACAACGGGATCAACACTCATTTTTGATACCCTGGACAGATCCCCTTCCATACCAGCCCAAGCTACCCATGTAGTAAGTGATCTGCACACTGCCGTATCAAAATAGACTTCGCATGCACCCAGGTTATACAGCATAATCTGGTGAGAACCTTGATCTTATTTGAATCTTCTTCCATCATTCCGTTGACCACTGTATACCCTCCAAACCGGTAAAAGCCTTGGGGAAAACTCCCAGTCATTATCCACATCAATGACTCGAGTTGTATTACCACCGAGGCGCTCTGATAACGTCCCCTTTGCGGCATCATCTATAAAAACATGTAGAGAGGATAATGTCTATCTTATCTTCAATGAAGGGAATATAGCTCAGTGGTAGAGCGCTGTACTCGTAATTTACGTGTATCTCGCCCGTATGGAAATACAGAGGTCGGTGGTTCAATCCCGCCTATTCCCTGAGTTTTTATTCTTTTTGGCCTCAACTTGGGTTTGCCCCTTTTTGTCGCCTCGAACGCTCGCAAGGGTGCTATTTTAGGCAGCCGGTTGGTGGGCCTCGGTTTGTATATTATTTTGAGTCGGAAGATAAATGCAGAGTATCCAATGATGTGACTACGGACATAAGACGAACATTCGGTTGGAGCTTTTATGACTTGTGTACAGGGATAGGATGGCACGTCTAATCTGCCGGTACCTGGACCCCCTGATCATCGGCTTCGGGGGATTGTCGGGAACAGGGTATCGAATCCTGTAGAGCAATGTAGAATTGGAAATAATCGGAAGATAAACAGTGTAATTGTTGATGCATCAATAGTAATAAATGAAAAGGAGTTGCAGGTAATCAAAACATTATAGACAGAAACTCGAGATCTACTCCGTACCGGCTCGTATATTGCCGCATCACTTCCGCATATCAACATCTTACTCGGTACGAGTGTAGGCCTGAGACTTGTTCACAATAATCTCCGCCAAAGCCGTTAAAGTGCCACTGGACAATAATTCCAAAACCTGCACATTGGCGTTGGCCTCACGGGCAATCCAGTTACGGATCTCTATAGCCACCAGCGAGTCAAGACCCAATGAAGCCACTGTGATCGATGGATCCATATCCTCCGGGGATAGAACGAGTACTTGGGCTAATTTGGCGGCCAGCGCCTCGTAGCACACCTGCAAGGCCTCCTCTTTGGATGATGCAGCCGACAAAGTCACTTGCAAGGGCACCGACGGGCCGTCGCGCTGCGAGCTGCTTCCCAGCTTGTCCTTGGCAGCCTCGTACAGCACAGTGAACTTGGCATCCTGGATCCAGAAGTTGTTTTCTATCGTTTCCGTTTCCAGTCCTGTGATGCATTGCCCAGAACAGGATCGGTCGAGGTCACCCGTGAGTGCGGCAGCGACCAATGCCAGGACCTCCGATTCATCGATGGTCTGGCCGCCGATATTTTTCAGTACTTCTTGGCGCCGCTGAGCGTCAGTATCTGCAAGGTAGCCGACATCGCTGACTGCAGCAAGGTCGATGGATGTTCCAGGGAGACCTAGGGATTTTCGGTATTCTATGAATCCATCTAGGAACACGTTTGCTGCGGAGTATGCTGCTTGTCCACGATTGCCAACGAGACCAGCCACGGACGAAAGGGCAATGAAAAAGTCCAGTTGGGCATCGATCAATGCATTGTGCAGGTTCCAGGCTCCTTCTACCTTGTTGCATACCACAGCCGTGAAGTCTTCAAGGGACATGTTTTCGAACAGCATATCCTAGACGAAGTTAGTGATTGAATACAGAAGTCCGGGGTAGTAATTTTAATCGAACACTTACCCGAAGCACCATCGAACCGTGGATAACACCACGCACAGGAGGGAGATCTTTCATTTCTTCCTTGATCAGAGCCTCGACTGATTGCCGACTGCTGACATCGCAAGCCTTGACGAGAACCTTGACCCCCAAAGGAGTCAGGCTATCGATCAAAGCTTGAACCTTGTCATTAATCACAGCCCGACGAGACACAAGGACAATGTGCCTTGCGCCCTTAGAGGACATCCACTTCGCTATGCTTCGGCCAAGACCACCAGTACCACCAATCAATATGTATGAAGCATCAGACCGAAGAGTAAGGCTAGTCTTAGGGGATACAGCCTGGATTGGGTCGGTTAGACTTGCGGATATCATTCGGGGGGATCTGTCCCACTGACCTGGACTTGGTCACCTTCATGAGGAACAACCACAATCTTACCCATACTCTTACCCGTCTGCAGAGTACGGAATGCTTTCTCAATATCAGAAATCCGATAGATCGAAAGTGGCAAGATTGGGTGCACTGATCCATCTTTAATCAACCGACAAATGTCACCCATCAAACGCTGCATCAGCTGCGGCTTGAACTTGGCAATCTTGGTAAGATCGACTGATGAGAATGTGACGTTGTTCTCGAAAGGCTGCATATCAAGACGGGTATTCTTCGTAATATCAGCCTTTCCAATCTCGATAAATCGACCAAATGGAGCAAGACATTCCCAAGTCTCACGCAGAAGATCTCCCGCCAGAGAGTTGATAACCACGTCCACTCCAGCTTCGCGAGTCGCTTTGCGAATACCCCCAGAAAAGGAGGAGTCACGGCTGTAGAAGACGTGATTCTCGGGGATACCGTACTGGCTCATCAAGAACTGTTTCTTTTCAAGGCTTCCGACTGTGACGAATATATCTGCTCCAATCATCTGCGCCACCATGATAGCGGCTTGACCAACGCCACCAGCACCGGCATGGATCAGGACTCGTTCGCCGGCTTGCAGTTTACCCAAATCAACTAGACTGTAGTATGCAGTGCAAAAGACGACTGGGATCGTGGCTGCGACCTCGAACGACATGTCGACTGGAATTAACGCAACGCTAGTCGCAGAACATCGTGCATGAGTTGAGAAACCGCCTTCTGGGAAGGCCATAACTCTTTGACCAATCTTGAAATCCTTCACCTGTGACCCTACACTGGAAATAATGCCACTACATTCTATCCCAATATATGGCTGTGCAAGCTGGCCCATGGAGACAACAATGTCTTTGAAATTGAGACCAGTCGCCTTCACTTCCAATTCGATTTGGTCCACACCCAGTGGTGGAGGATTGTCGTCGACAAAATAGAGTGAGTCAAAGGGAACCTGGGCTGCCAACTTGGATCTTAAACCGGCGCCCGGGTTGACTGAATGGTTGGGTGGAGATTGTCATGTCGTGGGTCTCGTTGTGGACAAAGCTATTGGCAGCATCATCTTTCACGACACGTTGGACGAAGAGCTCCGATCCTCTGGCCTTGAATTCAAAGTCTTGACAAGGCTCAGTTCCATCGATGGGCCATAAAGCATTGATCGCCGCCTGTATTGGCTTCTCGGGATTACCGATGTGCTCAGGAGCCAACCCCAGGGTAGCTATCTTGGCCAAAGTCTCTGAGCGTAATGTACGGGTCAAGCCGACTGTCATTTGAGCATCAGGATAATCAGTGCGGTAGACCCAAAGCACAGCTCGAGCATTGAGCAACGCCTTCTTGAGATTCTCAAATACATCCGCGGTGGGATTCCGGAGGGAGCTACTTCCAGTTTGAAGCAGAACAATATGTTTCAAAGTGTAGTCTGTTTCGCCGAATGTTTGCACAGAAACATCCCAACCGGATGCCTCAGAAAGTGCAATGCTCAGTCTATCACCAATGCCATCAGAACTTCCAAAGTGTGAAATGAAGAGATCAGGTCTCGATGTGGCATCATTACCCGTTACACGCGTGTGACCCTTGACTTTGACGGTTCGGTTTGAGTTTCCGGCTCCATTGGTACATGCATTGCCGCCGTCGAAGTCTGCAGCATCGTCACGCTGGTCGCCATCTCCTTCCACGATGTTTTCGATTCCCGCAAGGGGGTGCCAATTGATCTTATAGCACAGTTTTCGAGTGTCTTCACGGTGAGTTTCTGGATTTCTGAGTGGAGTCATTACCAGACGCTCCATTGAAATTACGGGCTCTGTCGAGCCATCCCGCACAGCGAATAGATCGAATTTGGTCGGTTCTGGTGAAGGCAAGCTAGGATTACCATTGCAGTAGGCCTTCAAATATTCGCCAGCGTCAGTCGGCACGTTGAGACTGACTGTCACCCGTTTAATCATTGTTGGCATGTAAAGTGTGTCCAGGTCCATTCGACCTAGGCCCTGGCCAAGGATGGGCCAAACAAGATGCAAAAGTCCATCAAGGAATGATGGATGGACGGTCAAGGGTGGCTCAAACCCCTTCGGCATAATTTTTCTAGTATCTCTAACATGCAAATCAGCAAGTGAGTGAGTAGGGCTGGAATAGCAGTTATCGATGTCCTGGAAGGTAGGGCCATATCCGGCCCCTAGATCGCTGAGCACCTGATACATGTGGGTCACATCAAGATAGTTCGTAGCCGATCTCTCGATTTGAGCAATTTGGGCTTTCGTGTGTTTGTTTCGAATCTTGGAAGCGCTCGAGATCGCAGCCGCCTGCTGTTTGGGGTCGGAGCGAACCCGCACTTGACCAGTACAGTGCTCTGTCCATCCTCGTTTCGAGGTCCATGAGCAAACACGGAATTCATCCCAGACATCAGATGATCCACGAGTACCTTCAGTGTAAGGACGAAGAGTAATGTTGGTTTCTGCGTCCGTATCGTCGCTGAGCACAAGTGCTGAACCAACAATCACTTCCCGTAGCTCAAATTGGGATATCTGAATATCAAGTTGCGCTGCACGTCTTCGAGCGGCTTCGATTGCCATGACCAACTACTAAACAGTCAGTTCATAGGCTTCGCATGATTGATGATTTATCAAACCCACATAGCCCGCCAAAGGATAAACAGCCAATCCCTGCATTTTGTGATCCCGGAGGTAGGGAACCTCATCCAGGCGGACAATATTTCGCCAGGTTGGCTCCAAATCATTGGAATAGCTCGCCAAAACTCCCAAAACATCGTTCCTGGCACCATCCCTGACCATATGCTTTTGCGAGATACGGGAAGCGTACCAGTACCGAGTTCCATGTTGCCAAGGATAACGAGGCAAATTAGACAAGAACCAGCGGTTTACCGCACCGGTCTTAGGGAAATTCACATTCGTCATATTGAGTGTGGCACCTCGCACATATGCAGCTGCTGCAGCATCCAATACAGATTGTGCTGCATCCGCGTTGCGGACAATTGTAGGAGTATAACCGATTTTGGCAGCACTTGTACCTAGACTCTTCAGGGTATCCATGATAGGGCCTTTCATTGCAGAGTGCGCACCAACCTCAACAAGAAGATTAGGTCGTGTTTCATCATCCGACACAATCTTGGAAAGTGCGTCAGGGAACAACACCGGCAAGGTTAAGTTCGCGACCCAGTATGCCGAGCGAAGCTCAAAAGGTTCCACAAGGCGACCGAACACAGTTGAGCAGAATAAAGCCGTTGGCGATGGAAGACGCTGAATAGACTCAATTGCAGCCAGATAGGCCTTGGCAACCTTCTTCATATGGTCGGAATGGTAGGCAACGTCAACCTTCAATTTCCGGTTGAACAGCTGCTTGTTCTCGAGAATCTTTTCAAGCTCATCAATTGCGGCTACGTCTCCCGATACAGTAATGCTAGAAGGGCTATTCACACAGGCTATAGTGGCATATCCAGGCAGGGTTCTCAGCATAGGCTGAACAGCCTCCCGGGTAGCACCGACGGCAATCATAGCCCCCTCCAGGGAAGGGAACGATGACTTGAGCAAAGAGATTATTTGTCCACGGTGATACGCCAGAGCCATGGTGCCTTCCAGGTCATAGATTCCCGCAGCATAGGCAGCACTAATCTCCCCGGAACTGTGCCCAATGACTGAAGCAGGACGGATCCCCCAGGACCCAAGGAGATCAACCAGTGCAATCTGAAGCGCTGTACAGGCTGGTTGGCTCAGATGAGGAGAATTAATGTCAGAGACTTTCTCGTCTCTTTCCAGCTCTTCGATGAGAGAGAATTCAGCACCAAGTCTTCGTAGACATTGATCAGCTCGTTTGATAGCCGATTCATACACTGGGTATTGGTTCATAAGAGAAACACCCATCTGTGGCCACTGCACCCCTTGTCCAGTGAAGACGAATGATACTATTGGGGGACCCAGGACCCGAGATGGGTTAATGTTCAATCGAGCAAGACATATCCCAAGGTCATCTAGAGAGGTAGCTGAAACACCAACACGATACGAGAGTTGCGACATTTTATTGCCGAGGGTATAAGCGACGTTGCTGCATAAAGCCCTTTCAAAAACTTCGGGATGTTGTTCGAAATAGATGCCGAGGTCTTTGATCCTAGTACGCAGAGATTCTTTGTCGTTGGCAGATATCAGGAACAGCTTGCGTTTGGGGTCCACTTCAACATCCTCAACAGCTTCATCTGGGGCTTTGGATTCTAGAGGCGCCTTTCCAAGAACAGCATGTGCATTGGTTCCCCCAAACCCGTAATTGGAAACACTCAAGTACTTCATGCGAGGGGGCCAGGGTCGTGTTGTTGTCAAGACCTTCATATTCCACTCACTCAAGGGAATATTGGGGTTCGGGTTCTTGAACTCAGCTGTTGGAAGCATCAACCCTCTGTCAAGCATCATTGCTGCTTTGATAATAGCAATGAGACCACTGGCACCCTCTAGGTGGCCAACGTTAGATTTGACAGACCCAATATAAAGCGGGTTCCTCGGTGTTCGATTCTTTCCTAATGCTGCATGAACAGCTGCAGCCTCGATTGGATCACCGATCTTTGTTCCAGTTCCATGCAGTTCTGCAAAGCCGCAATCGTCGGGGTTGAGGTTGGCTTCTTGGTACACACGCCGGATTAGCTCCTCCTGGGCAAGCCCATTAGGTAAAGTTATACCCTTAGTGCGTCCATCTTGATTGACTCCGGAGTGGAGAATTACGGCTCGAACGGGATCTTTGTCACGTATTGCGGCATCGAGTGGTTTCAAAATCACAACACCTGAGCCCTCACCTCGTGCGAAACCGGACGTGGCTCTCTCATCGAAGCAGAATGTTTTCCCCTCACCGTTAAATAACCTAATGAGTGCCAATAATTCAGATCGGATCGTTCCAAGGTCACTTATAGGGAGCATAAACGAGACTTACTGTGACATGGACATGGAAACCCATACATCCGGGATAATGTTGAGGTGACAGCTAACAACGAGGGCTACCTTAGACTCTCCACTTCGTAAGCTCTGTACTGCATAGTGAATTGCAACGAGGGAAGAAGAACAAGCTGAATCTAATGTGACACTGGGCCCTTGAAGATCGAAGAAGTACGAGATGCGATTGGAGTAAAGTGAGGATGAGCACCCGGTGGCTTGGTACATGGGGATAGTCTCCATATCGCGAATATTATTGAGCTCGTAATCAGGGAAATTGCTACCAGCAAAGACACCCACGTTCTGGCGTGCAAGACTTTCTTTGGGAATTCCAGCACTCTCCAAAGCTTCGAATGTGCACTCCAGCAACAAGCGCTGCTGGGGATCCATGGATGTAGCTTCTTGAAGAGTGATATTAAAGAATGGAGCATCGAAACAAGCAATATCCCCATCCAAAAAGTAGCCTCCCTTCGGATTGAAGGAACCAACCTTGGACGGGTTAGGGTGATGGAATGCATCGACGGAGAAACGGTCTTTGGGGATAGGTGACCAGCCACTTCGAGCTCGTGTGCATAGCTCCCACAAGTCATTGGGAGAGGTCACTTGTCCCGGCAGTCGACAAGCATATCCGATGATGGCGATGGGCTGAAAACCACTCTTCTCACCAGGAGGTGGCCCCGCAGAATCAGCACCATTTGTATTTGTCATGGTGAAAAGTGCAGAAGTTGCAGCTTTAACGTGGCTCTAAAGAAGTTCGTGGATCTCACGTAAACATCGAGAAAACTGGCTGGCTGTGGCGGGTTATATAGGGTTGGAAATACCTCAACCCCTCGGCTCTTCGGATTGGGGGTGTACAAAGCACAACTCGATGGAGGTGTCTCTACTCCGAGGACATCGACCAGGCGAGAACAAGTGGAAGAGATCATCGCTGTCCCCTCCTGTCAAGTAGACGAAGAATGTTTCACTGGCATTGGATGGTCGGCGGTTATTCCCTGTGAATTTGAGCATTGACTGAAATGTCGTCCTGTCCCACATGGTTTGAGATACCAAATTCAGGCACCCTTTCACATGTACCCACGGGCGTTAGAGGAATCTGAGCTACCGGACCGAGGTGATCTAGTCTCTTTGATCTAGATGTAGGTCAGGGATATTCCTAGGGGGTTTCAAAGTTGGAGTCGTTGCAGTGTTTTGAGTGGAATTTATAGTTCGACGGAAAGGGCGATCCTTCGGCGGAAATCCCGTGCTTTCGGTGTTTGTTTTTCACGATTTGTACAGCCCGAGCGGTAATTTATTTCACGGCTCTATAACTCGAGCATATTTGCTTGTTGCCTCTCCCTCGTCATTCTTCAATGGACTCAGATCATATCCCTCCCCGGTATCAGATCGTTACAGATATCTAAAATGAGGTTCCTCTGTCTTCACGGTGCTATTGGCAATATTGACGTAGGTAATTGGAGACCATCTGAAGATGTATACTAACCATTCTCCAGAATATTAGCATCCAGCTCGGTAACTATCATTCCAGATGCTCAATTTGAATTGAGCCTCTGCTGAAAATAGTCCAGCTCCATTGGTGAAGGAGATGGCCATTGATGGCTTTGCTTCATTCCACTATATCAACGGTCCTGTTCCTGTGTCCCCCCCGTCAGGTACGATTACCTCCGAGCCAAAACATTGATAGAAATGCACGGTCTGATCCCACAGTCTCATAGGCTTCGCAGAGTATTTCGGAATGGGGCCACATTATCGCTGGTTAGAGGATGGAGGAGCGGCAGAGGAATCAATGATATCCCGTGTCCGAAAGGCTCCGCATGGATCATGTCCCGAAGATGTCATGAGAGCTTTGGGCAAGGACTGGGATGGCCATTGGAACAACCACCAACAAGTTATGGATTATCTCTATGAAACACTGGAGAAAAACCCCGACATCGAAGGGATCATCGGATATAGTGAGGGTGCCACTATGGCTGCCAGTCTCATCATGGACGAAGAAAGAAAGGCCCAAGAAACCGGGCGTCCCCGTCGCATCAAATGTGCAGTTTTCTTTACCGGTTGGCCTCCTCTGTCGCCAGAGGAAGATATGGTCTTGGCAGATGAGAGTGACTATATTCTGGACGTTCCGACGCTTCATGTGGTCGGTGCAAATGGTAATTTTGATATCTACTTTCTTTGTTTGAACAAGCCCCTCAGTTTTGATTTTGATACAGATCCCTACCGATACGGTGCACTAGCCTTGTTCAACGTTTGTGACCCTGATACCGCCGCTATGTTTGATACCGGACGTGGCCATACCATCCCTCGCTCCGGTCCAGTTATCACAGAATTGGGAAATGCCGTGCGAGACTTGATTGACAGGGCACATCAAGCCTAGTCAATATCAGCGTGTTCATGGGATGAAGCCCTTTGGTGTGCGGTGAGACAGCATAAGGCCCGTTGAAGAATACACAAACTCGGGCCCAGTGGGGTTCCAGATTCTCAACAGCCATATGCAAGAAGATAATTAGATTTTGACCTTGATATACATACAACGTAGTTATTCTTCCTTGTTTTATCATAATGTCAGCGTTGCCTCTTGTCTTCTTGGTGAAGTGAAGCCCAACCTGAGTATCGCCCAATTGGGATAATGTGCTACACTCCATGATTATAGCTTTCCCGGGTGATAACATCTCTTAAAAACAGCTCATCTCGCAATCGTAAAATTACCCACTACAATTTCCCCTTCCCAAAGCAATGGTATGGTTTCTCCGGTGTGTTACTGTTCTGGAAACTCGTACATAGAGCTCCAGGTCAAACCCCGAGCCCCATATGCGGCCGAGCTAACCGTCTCAAAGGTTGAACGGCGAATACGCCAAGATACGACAAGCCCAGTCGTAGATTCCAATCTCAGAGAGACTGTATGCATATCCTACCTAAGACTCGGTATCTTATTTTTCATTCCAGCCTAACCTAGGCGAAAGAAATGCCGAGATGACTGTTCATCAGATTATCGCCTACATTTCAAATCTAAAACAATCAGATAGATTTTCATTACATATGAACATCACTTAATAGACCGAGGGCTAGCCATCCCCTGAAGTAACGGTACTACATAGGCTCGGGAGGTTAGTAAAGCAACGGTTAGCAAAGCGAGGCTTTTCCTCTTCAACAGAGACACCGTAAAACAAATAACAACAAGTAACGGCGCTCAAACGGTGGCGCTGATTGTTTGGCAAATCATCAATGATTCTCCGATCTAGAGTGCAGCTTCAAATGCAAGAAGATGCATGACGTGATTGTCGGGATCGTTTGGGCATTATTGACTGCCATCTCGGTACTGATCCAAACCAATGCCCAGTCAGTATCGGAGCGTGAATGCGCAACTGGCGTTCATGCCATTATCGCGAGAGGTCAGGGCGGAGGCGATCATCTAAATGTCCTGAGCACTCTATCAGATCTGATTCTGCAACAAATACCCGGATCGACAACCCTCGGCTTACCCTATGATCACGAAAACGTCTTAACGGATGACCAGAAGCGGCATACGGTCTTTGAGGGGGCAGTGTTGATGCAGGAATACGTGGAGGAGTACGTGGAAAGCTGTCCCCGGTCTAAGATTGCGGTGGTTGGATATTCAATGGTGCGCCACTGTCAACTGACATGTGAAGTTTTACTTCGTATTATGGCAACTAGATACGCACATTGCTAACCCTTGTCACTACTTAGGGTGCAATCATTATGATGGATTCCTTGTGCGGCACCAGTCAGATTGGATTCATCTTTGTCGGCCCTCTTTCGCCAATCTACACCTCCATTAGTATATTATCACGATGACAGGTGTCAAAATAACCCAAATCTGACCAAATCCTTAGTCGTAGCTGCGATTGCGTATGGCGATGAGTCGTATGTTCCTGGAATGCCATGGAATGTGGGGAACTGCACATTGGGTATAGGCGTGAGTAACTTGAAATTCCGTTTCAGATCAATGAATCACTATCTCAAATGGACCAGATCACGCCCCGGATGAACTCGGCCTTGTGTGAGCCATTTGCTAGCTCAATACACAGCTATTGTGATTACGGTGACAATCAATGCTGCTCGCCATACCCAGACGATGGCAATGCTGCACACCATGCCTACGTATCAAAATACAATCAGAACGTTGTGGACTTCATCAAACACCGTTTGGCCACAGTTGCGAAATAGTGATACCTGCAAATCACCTAACTTGGTATAGGATTAATTTTGATTGGGAGCGTTGGCATTCATCTATGAATAAATATACCTTGGTATGGCTCGGCTGCTCTCCGGGCTCCCAGCTTGGGGACTGCCTTCCGGAATGATGGCATTTTGTTAGGAAGATAAATTACATAGATACCAATTAACGATTGAGTGACTAAATTGTACTTTCTTTTTTGGCTTATGCACTCCGTATAGATGGGCGACTTGTTGTGATCGGCACTGACAAGCTTGTCCCTAAACGAGAATAAGCTCTAACGTGCGGAGTACATATAACGATGCAGGATTGAAACGTGGAGATATCTCGGCGGATTTCTTGAGCTTACAATATAGTTGAATTAATGTAGCCGTTCGTCCGTGATCCAATCATATTATTGGACAGATGTCTCTATGCTGTACATACTCCGTAGGTAGGATTGTCATTAGTACTCCCCCAGTGAGCAGTCAACGCTACACCCACTTGGGCGAAACTGTACCTTGGCAAACTACTATACGGCCATATATGGCCCTATTCCGAGCGGATCTAGTCACCAATTTTGAGGGTGATCGAGGATGCTACAGCGGCCATAGAGGAAGGAAAGCTAGAAAACAAGCCCCCCAACTCAAGCGAGGTCAATGCTGATATTTTACCTATAACCCTATTGTATGCGCTTGAAATAAATACAACATCCATAGATGTGAACTAGCTTGCAAACCGGTGGCTGGTTCATCGGAGCACTCCCTGTTACCCTGAATACATGGCTTGAGCCGTCCTCCGCTGTTGTTGCTGGGAGAGATGAAGGCGATGCTGTCTTGAGCTCCCTCCGGACACCCCGAGGTCAGGTTTGAGACTTGGTGAGGACTACGAATGCTGCACATGTTCTGTAATGATCGAGGGCTTCCGTTAGAGAGAAATATACAGATGTGGTGATTCAAAGAACGAAGGACTGCTGTCTTGGATGCCATTCTAGTATTAATCGCGCTGAAGGGAGGCTGAATGGATCCGAAGTCCAATCTCTGGTTTTCAGTTCTATAGGAGATAAGAAAAGCGCCAAAGGGTTTATGAATGAGAGATACTCAATCCAGGAGCCTTATGTTAGACTCGAATAGAGACAAATACATATTAACGGAGTCGTTTCTTCTTGAGAACTGCATCTCCAAAGGCATGACCGGTAAATGAGATGCATGGGATGGTGCCACGAATAAAGAGAATATAGATATGTCATGAATATTCCAAGTTCCGTTGAGAGCATCCATACTGGGCCATTGGAGGTACTCCTTCTCCATTTGTATGATGAGTACTGTGACTGCTATAATAGTAAGTGGGGGTTTTAGGGATACCACGCTGTGCACAGGAATTTATGCGCATTCATATCATTTCTTACCGAAGTAGGCGGGAGGTTCGGAACCTCGGCGACTTGTGCTGAACGCAATATGGTCTGATACCTCGCAGCCGGTGCAAGATGGGATTTGTCGTCCTTCCATAAGTGATAGCTGTCAGAGAATGATTGTAAAGCGGTGGTCGCCTCACCCTTCCATCTTGGTGCCAGTGTTGAACTAGCCAAACTTATGATCCACGAGCCAAGTCCCGAGGTCAGTATGTCCGCACTAGACTCCGTAGATGTCGGTTAGTTTTGAGCAGTGCGGAGGACCATTCCTATGCTTCTTCGAGCAGGCAATATCGGATGCTACCACAAACTGCGGGTTCATTATCCGGAGGAAATTACCCTTGTAGCTGATCAGGGATCTTGAACGGTTCTCCGAAACAATGTACAGAGTACGGAGTATACCAAGCATCATCTTTCATGTGATGTATTATTTTCATTCCGTTCGACCGACCTCTCAGATCATACAATGGCTTTCAATTGGCCATCTCAAATCGGATCGAGCGGAAATTGACGATCAAACATCGTGTAATCGGGCCATCTAAAGCCTGAGGTTATGTTCATCCTGGGCAAGGATATATGGTCACAATCTTGCTTGTGGAAGGAAGCAAACAAGTTTGGCCCTCAATTCACCCTTGTATTGTACTGCCTGCGTACAAGTGGCTCTGCTTGTTAGCTATAGGAGAAAACAGCCATGAAGCATATAACCAGGGCTGCAGTCTCACGAAATCACAATGACACGGCGATGAGGTTCCAACATTCTATACTCCGTACATCGTAGATAAGTCAAGAGGGAAAAGGGGTATGATCCAGTCATTGAACATGTCTAATAATATTAATAGCACCAATATCAACTCATTCTTAGCTAATAATCCCCGCCACCGACCTCAATCTGAAGTTGGAGGCGCAAACGTAAGTTGCGAATATCCGCATCGAGGTATAGAAGATCCGCAGCTAATCCCGTTTAGGCCATCCCAACTCCTTTTTTCATTTTTGCCTCTTCAACAACCCCGAACATCCCATCTCTATGTCCTCTCTAGCGCGTCAATTGACCGGAGTCCTCTCCAAGCCCCGAGTCCTCGCTACCCAGCAACTCACCCGATCGACCCAGGTACCCCGCCGCCTGTACTCGAGTCCTCCAAGATCTTCGCCGCCACGCGCACCCCCGCCCCCCAACGCAGCCGCTCCGATTTCCCAATTATCCCCATCATTCTGATGACCGCCATTAGCTCCGGCGCCTACGTCTTCCTCGTCAAGTCCCGCGTCGGCAACAACCCCTCCCGCTCAAACTAAGTGACCGTACGTTGCAGGACCCGGAAAAAAGAAACAACGCAAGCTAACGTTCCGTTTCAAGTCAAGTGCTGCCCCTCCACCTACACACCGACCACCCCACAAAACACCTCGAAACCCAATCCCGAAGCCCCTTTAACTTCACTTCTTCACTTCCTCACTCCCCCAACCACCACCACCACCCACACACAATGGCCACCCCCCGCTTCTCCACAAACGACGTAACCGTCGTCTTCTTCCTGGGCGGCCCAGGCAGCGGAAAGGGCACCCAATCCGCCAACCTCGTCAAATCCTACGGCTTCGTGCACCTCTCCGCCGGCGATCTCCTGCGCGCCGAACAAATCCGCGAGGGCAGCCAGTACGGCGACCTGATCCGCGAATACATTCGCGAGGGCAAGATCGTGCCTATGGAAGTGACCGTTGCGCTGCTGTCGAACGCAATGGCCGATTCGCTGGCCACCTCGCCGCCCGCTGCTGGCACCAAGGCGCGCTTCCTGATCGATGGATTCCCGCGCAAGCTCGACCAGGCCGTTTTCTTCGAGGAGACTGTTTGCCCGTCTGAGCTGGTCCTGTTCCTCGATTGCCCTGAGGATGTGATGGAGACTAGACTGCTGAAGCGTGGCGAGACTAGTGGTCGTGATGATGATAATGCGGCGTCGATTCGCAAGCGTTTCCACACTTTTGTTGAGACTTCTATGCCCGTTGTTGAGGACTTCCGGAAGAAGGATAAGGTTGTTTCGGTTTCGGCGGATAGCTCTGTTGAGGAGGTCTATGAGGAGGTCAAGAAGGGTATTGAGGCTCGTGGTTTGCACGCTCGTTAAGTGTGGGTTCTTGTGTTTGTATATATAAGTTGGTGCGAATGTAGAGCGCCGAGTTTTCATTTCGTCTCTTGACTTGCAAATAGAGTATAAAGATTTTTAAGCATTTTTAGACTCCAATGCTTATTCTAGAGGGATGCTTGACACCGAGCTTCGGATGGAATGCATGTTACTTAAGAGTCCGCGGGTCAGTCGACTACATGTATGAGTGAGGTCCAGGTTGAAGAAGTATGATATTCTTTAAACCGGTGTTAAAAAAAAATAGAACAAAAGAAAAGTCATCCCTCCGGGAAACAAAAATAAGACTAAGAATGACATGACATGACTCGTGGGGTCCCAGAACATCCAACGGAGGGTAGTAAATTCAACCCTACAATTGGCCAGGGAAAAAGAAATGCATGAGGAAAAGACAGCGAAATTTCCCCATCTATTAACTGAAAGAATTTTGTGTTCTGTGAGCTTTTCTATTCATAAAAAACAAGGCATCTGTTCCATAGAGCGTCACATTTACTCGGCACTAGCTTCAACCTCACGCGTCTGCGCGGGCTGAATGCGTCGGCCGCCGCGGTTGGCGTTGGTATCCTGATCAGCAGCGGCCTGGAGACCCTCACGGGCGAAACGCTCGCGCTCGGAGCGGATAACGCTCAGAACGCTCTCGAGGGAACGGCGCCAGACCATCAGGCGGCCCTGAACCTCGGACCATTGCTTCTCACCGAAAACGCGGTAGGTAGCACGGTGAACGAGGAACTCAGACTTCAGCTGGGACAGCTTGCCCTCGACAAGACCGGCACGGATGGTGTCGATAACCCACATCTCGGCATCGGAAGCGGGGACGCGCAGGGCGGAGGCGATGGTGGCGTAGGGGATCGAGCGCGAAGGGGTGGAGGAAGCCAGCGAGGTGAGAGTGAGGAGACGCATCTTGGTCTGCAGAGCATCGGCGGACTCGGCGAGCACACCGCCAGAGATGGAAGCGAGGGGAGAGGCAGAGATGAAGGTCTCGTAGGCGTCGAGGGTGTCCGAAGTGAAGATCTCGAGCAGCTCGAAAAGAGTGCTGTCGCTGGAGCGCAGGGCCTGGACGGCGTCTGATGCAGTCAAAGGTGTGAAGTCGAAGACAGAGGGGCGACGCAGAGCGGTAGCGAGGGCGCGCACGGCCAGCTCGCGGGATTCGGGCTTGCTAACATCGGCAGAGCTGATGGTCTCGAGAGCCTGCAAAGTGTGGGTCTGGGCCAAACCCTCATCACCGGCAGCGGTGGCGGCCTCCGCAATGGCGAGGTGCAACTTCCGGGCATCGTCGTTGTCCAACTCCCACGCTGAGAGCCATGTGGGAAGCTGGGCAGAGAGTTGGGGCTTGAGGGCCTCGAAAGCGATTCCAGAACCAGACTGGCGGATCACGGCAACAATGGCCAAAAGGACGTGGTAGCGGCTGGGGTCAGTGGAGGACAAAGTGTTGAAGATGGTGGTGAGGATAGAGATAGCGAGCGTAGGGCCGAATTGAGGCGAGGTGGAGATGGGCTTAGCGAGATAGGTGCAGATACGAGGAAGGAACACATCGGCATCGGAAGACTGGTGAACAAGGTGGACCAACAGGTTGTAGGCCGAGGTGATCTCTGCATTTTGCAAATCTATGTTAGTGATTTTTTTTCTCCCCTTCGGTACATCCAGATCGAAGTGCAGCCAGATTCCGACTATCGTGCAGATCGTCGGTTCTTTGTCCACATTGTCACCACTCACCCTTCTCGGGGGCACTGTTCAGAGCGGTCGCAGAGGAAACGAGCTTCTTCAGGACTTCATCGCGCTGCTTGAGGTCGGCCTCGCCTTCGGACTGTTCCTGCTGGCGGAGAGGTTCGAGGAGCGGGGCGATCTCGGACTGGAGGCCACCCTCTTTGCGGAGGGCATCGATATACTGGGCAAACTCGTCGGCGAGCTCGGTGAAGGAACCCTCAATGAGGAGGGTATTGGTAGGGGCGGGCATGATGTTGGATGTGGGAAAAGGAGAGGAAGAGCGAACGTGAAGTTCTTGATGGTGGAGTCTATCGATAAGTTGAGAAATTTCAGTGTGTGCCAAAAAAGTCTTGGCGCGAGGAACACCACGGTGAACATCCCAAAACGTTGACTTTGACTCCTATTCTACTGGACATTACTCGCGCTCCCTCTAATTTGACCGCTATCTATTCTATGAGGAGGGATTTTTTTGTTCAACTGTTCGCCAATAATTGGTGATATTACTTTTAATGTAATGGCTCATGCGCGTAATCGCTGCGCAGAGGAAAAAATAACTCCAGCCCGAGTCAAATCAAAAAAGGACAGGCGTCACGTTCAGAGACATGTGGAAAATCATGACTCAAGACTATTCACGGGGGAATCGAAGGTCTTGAAAAAATAAAGCAAGTGGAATCGCGATGAGTTAAGGGAATACAAACAAAGAGGACGCTATGCGACCCGACCATAAGACGGTAATTAATTGTCCGAAGCAGATCCATGGGCCCTTTACAGGATCATGCGGGCAGCGACGAACATGAGACCAGCCATCAGACCAGTAGAGTACTGAGTCAGATCACCGAGAGCGACAGCGGCGTTGGTGGTGGTGCTCGCAGCAGCCACGGAAGAAGTAGCCGAGGCAGAAGACTCGGTCGCGGTGGCAGTGGCCAGGGTGGTGGTGGAGGCCGAAGTGGTAGTAGAAGAGGTGGTAGTCTCTGCGCTGGCGTTCTTGGAGCCACAGACAGCGCTCTTCTTGCAGGCGCGCTGACCCTCAGCGTCGTTGGGGTGCGAGTTGATGCACTGGCCGAAATTGGCTTGGCAGACGTAGAACGGAACGGTCTGCTTGTAAGGAGACACGTCGGGAGTAGAGTCATCGCTGCAGACACAGCTGAAGATCAAAGTGTTCTGTGCAAACAGTCAATTTCCGTCGCACCCAGATATGATACACAGCAACGTACCGGGTCGCACGAGTTGAGCTTAGTGCCCTTCTGGCAGATGTCGGGGCAAGTGTTACGTTGGGCAGAGCACCAAGCGCCTACTTCGTTAGCGTGGTCAAGTCAACACACTGTCGGGGTACATACTGCGCTCGCCAGCTTCCACCAAGGCCAGATTGAAGTCGGCGGGCAAAGTGTATGCGGTGGAATTGGCACCCATGACCGAGGTGGCCAGGGCCGACAGGAAGACAATGGAAGAACGCATGATGAATAGATAGAAAATAGAGGATGTGGGTGGAGTACAGAGATGTGAGGGAAGAGGAGAGGTGGAAGAGGAAAAAGGAAGCTAGAGAAATCAAAGAATGGGCAGGTGCTCCTCCGTACTTGTAAGGTTGGCAAGGTTTATTTTGGTTTCCAATTCAACGGGCGTTTTACGTGTGTTGACCCGGGTAACACTATCCCCTATTAGCATGCCGGGTGGGGAGTTATTATTGCCTGGAAATTTCACTATTGCATCTGGGCTGGGAATTAGTACATTTCCAGCTAATTATTTTGCACAGGCCCTGTTTTGATCATTTGCGACTTTGGCGAAGAACCTGCACCGATAGCCAAGATTGCATTCATTGGATTCAGGGTCCTTGGCTGCTTGCAACTAAGCCCAGTCTGGCGATTTTGCCCCTGCCGCTTGAATCCGCACGAATCACACGACGGAAGGGGAGATTGATGGGTGCGCTATACTGTGATACAGGCTATTCTTGTCTTGGTTCCTGTTTACTCTCGCATTCTTGTCTGAATTCCAGATTCCCCCCTATCACCGTATCCCCTGACGGTCAACCGCCGATTACATGCCGGGAGGTGAGACAATCCATTGTCTGTGCTGCCAGCATGATTGGCCTATCGATTCAAGAAGCACATGTAGCACCTCGAGTATGAGAAAGCTTCTTCGGTTCACCCCACCGCGCATCGGTGTGTTGGGCCAATTCATTGGACCGTGCCACGGGTCCTGACCAGTGGGTGCACGTGACTGTCTATCATGCCCTACCTAGGTAATCGGTCAGAGCTGGGGCCGAGGTTAAATGACGCCGTTGAGACTGTGAACATCCTTCCATATAGTTGACTCCCCTGCAATTCACAATTGACCACAATCAAGGTCGTACAAAATACAAGAACTCGGAAAAGCAAGAGAGGAAACAAAAATGGCTGACCCGGCCCCCGCAATCGCCCATCTGAGCAACAACTCATGGGCAAGGAACCTCATTGCCTCGCCCGATTATAAAGCGATCGAGACCGACTCGAGGCGCTTGAAGCCTACAACTGGTGAAGATGGCTATTTTGCCCAAACCCTCAACACACCCTCCACAATCCCGTACTGCCTAACCCTGCAACGTCGCAACCTCGCACCCGTGCCTGCCGAAGTTCCCACATGGCTCCCCGCGACGAAACAAGATGCCGCCGCTGCTGTAAAGCCTACACCGAATGTCAACCCAGCTGATGTTGTGATGATCTTGGATCTCAGCAGCCCCGGTCTCTCGGGCCACGCATTTACCGTGCACGGTGGGATCATCGCTACGCTGATCGACGAGACCATGTCCCTGGCTATAGCGGCCCATACCAATGCGCCGAGCACTGCTGGCGCCTTTGACGATAACCCGCGCGGAGAGATCTTTACCGCGCAGCTGGACATACGTTATAAAAAGCGGGTCGTCACGCCGGCATTGCTCGTTATTAAGGCACGAGTCGTTGGGAGGGCCGGGAAGAAATTCTGGGTGCGGGCCCAGGCGATACAGGAGGATGAAGAGAGCGCCGGGGGACATTTGGAGTGGGCGAAGAAGAAGGTTGTCAAGGCTGAGGGTATGGCGTTCTGGATCGTGACGTCGGACTCGAAGTTGTGAGCGCCATCCTCTTCTTTTCGGGCGTAAGGGTCGTAGCATAGAAAAATATATACCAGCTAAATCCTACATAGAGCGTACAATATAGACATGCAATATCTATTCTTCAAATCTATATCTATGAACACAGTACTGTCTACAACTTATCCAACTTCCTCGTTCCGATATTCCGACTAGCACTCACAACTAACCCAACCTGGGTACTCAACGCAATAACATCCCCTGCCTCGTCAAGAATCGTAACCTCCAAATCCGTCCGGCCATCTCGAACAACCTTTGTAACAATGCGACTATAAAGCCACTCCACACCCTCCGCAGGAAGATGCTTCTTCATATCCACATTAAGCGTAACCGTCGGATACCAAAACTTGGCCTTCTGCGCCGCCGATCCGCCCTCCTTCGCCGCCGCAGTCGCAGACATAGCATCAAACCCATCCAACGCCATGGGAAACATATCAATCAGATACGCCACCGCAGCATCCGTCCAGCGACCATTGGTATCACCATCGGGTCTAAACCGCGCCCACTGTTCAATGCCCATCTGCCCCGAGCGCTTCTGCTGCGCCTCACCAGCACCAGGCCCATACAGCTCGAGCTGCCCAGCAGCCTTGCGGAACTCAAGGAAAGGCGCTGCAAGCTTCACCCAAGCGCCGTCGGCGCCCGTGCGACCCAATCCCGCAAGATCAACGGAGCCGTCTGCGCGCGAGCCCGGCGCTGGAGCAGGGTAGGGCTTCCAGCCGGTCTTCGCGCTGATCCCGACCTCGGCGTCTGGAGGACTGACAGTCACATAGCCGGCGAGCATGGTGTCCACCTGACCGGGTCGTTTCTCGGAGGGCTGGAGGAGCCTGATGTGGACTGTGCTTGTGCGTGCGCCCAGCTTGACGTCTTCGACTTCGAAGGTTGCGGGACCTGAGGCTGTGCGCCGGAGGAAAGAGAGTTGCAGGGAGATTGGGGATGCGGGGCTTTTGTATTGATTTGGGTGGGCGTGCGCGAAATGCGTGAGGGCCAGTTTGTAGATTACTGCGGTGGTATAGCCGCCATGGGGAACTAGGGAGGTGTTAGCTTTGTTCGTATTGAGTTGGGGGTCGAATTGGGTCTGCTGTACCGGTTCCAATACACCATTCGGGTCGGAGATAGGCGCTGTATTTGTTCTGGCCTTGTGGAGTGACCTTAATGGCCTCCTCAAAGGATGGATTGACGGTAGACATGATCGCTGGTGTTAGTGATTTGTGTAGGTACTAGAGGGAGGAAGAGTGAAGCGTGTAGACCAGAATTGTATATTGTTGATATAGAGACCTTCCCCACAGACTTGCCCTGGGAACCGCCCGAAAAGCGCCGAGGTCCCCAGACGGGGCCGGGGTTATTCCCTGGAAAGGTTGGTCATTTGAAGTAGCCGTCTTCGAGCCACGACCATTCCCCAAAGGGAATGGTCTGTCTCCCTCAAAGTACATGGACCACCCCGTCTCACCTAGATGCTGAGTAATCGGGTCACTTTTGTACTGCGTCGCCATACTACGCAGTCCCATAGCGCTCAGGGTTCCAAAACCCCCTTTGAGGGGTTGGTTAATGCCCGAATGCCTTATTTAGTTCCGCTCTCTACACCGTCCTTTATAGTGTATGGTAAATTTATTAATACATCAAGTGTCAAAAATGAAGCTTTTGACAGAGATCTCTCCATTTGTATGGGACCAAAAGTTTCATTTTGACAGTTGTAAACCTTCCAAAAACACGGAGAGATCTGTATTAGTATGGGGCCAAAAGCTTCATTTTTAGAACCCTCTCATGCCCGCAGAACCACCTGGACACGCTACTTTAATTATTACGTAAGGAATGTGTAATAGCAATTCAGCCCTGTATCTTAATTTTCTGCCGTTCTAAAATAAGGCATTCAAATTTCAGGCACGCAGTCCCCCCAAAAGGGGGTTTGAACCCTGAGCGCTATAGGACTGCGTAGCCATACCAAAGGTACCTCGATTGAACATATCTACATGTACGGAGTACTCCGTAGATTCCCAGGTTTCTGGTTCCTCGAACTAGCTAGTAGAGAGATAACAGTTTCAACATAGCACCAAAAAACTCTTCAATTTATATATGGATCTTAAATGTATCAAACTTCGAGTAAAATAGTAGGAGGGTCGCTGAAAATTTTACATTTTCCCATAATCAGTATTAGTATCTGGAAATTCCAATGGCCTATATTATTTGACTCGGGCCCTCTTGTATATTAAAAACTACATGTAGTCAGGCAAAAGGTTCATTTTTCGCAAGTGGACTTTCCTAAGTATAACCTTTGAGATTAAGATTAGGGTAATATAAAGTTAATTAAATATCTCTGCATTCTTACGTACATGCTCCGTACTCCGTACTCCGTACAGAGTATAGGTGTGTCTCTCGAATGAAATGGGTGTTCCGAACGATCAGTCAATCGACATCTCCAATCGAGGGACCTTTGGTATGGCGACGCAGTACGGAATACATACAACCTTGGAACCTTGGCTGGGAACCTTCGGGCAAGAGTGACCTGATTACTCAGCATCTACGGCGGGAATCTACATACTTGGGCGGGGAGAGACCCATCCCTTCTCTGGAGAGTGGGCTGGACTCGAAGACGGCCAATTGTTATATATCCATGGATCGGTGTAGATTCACTGTGAAAATGTGTATTGATTCCAGCAATTCCCGCCGATGATATGGGGTTTTACAAATGATCAAAACAGAAACCAAATGAACCGAAAAGAAAAAAGAGATCGAGGTTCGATCGAGGTTCCCAAACGTCGATGACATAGGTGAGACCTTCCAAGGTTGTGATCGGTCTTAAAGCGGGCTCGCCTCTTCAAGAGGCGTTCGTCCCACGGGTTGATGAGGTATGGAATACTCCGTACTTTGTATCAATACCCGTAATCCGTGGCAAAATTCCGTAAGGAGTAGGTCCTCCGTACGGAGCACATACGTGTAGTCCATACGCGGAAATACTTGGCGTCGCTTGGCGCCTCGCGTAGGCAGTTTAATTAATTTCTCCTGAATACGAAAACGGGGCTAAATTCCAAGGCGATTAGCCTGCCCACGCGATAGATATAAGATCTGCCCCATGTCTGCGACGGGTTTGGAAGATGTAGATATAAGATGGGTCACCATATCGCAGGTAGGTACCCCGTCTATTCCGTGTACCACGTGGTAGTTATAATTATCCCTCAGGGACTAACGAGACAAATAGCACGAGCTTATGGTTACGTGGACCCTAATTTCCCCAGTCCTGGCGGAAAAAATGATACCTATTCGATCATCTATGGCTATACGCCTTCCATAGAGGTTGCCGCTTTTGCGGCGACCTGGTTCTTTCTTCATTTCGTCTGCCACACGGTGCGAACGATTAGAGTCCGCAGCTGGTGGTGGATCCCCTTTTCTGTGGGCTTGATCTTCGAGGTGATTGGATACATCGCGCGATCGCTCTCGGCGAAGAAGAACCCCTACAATCTCATTTACTTCATCCTCAACTATTTCTTTATCGTTGTTGCGCCCGTGTTTCTCGCCGCTGGAATCTACACGGTTCTGTCGGCTTTGATACCACGAGTGGGAAGGAAATACTCATTGTTGCCCCCGAAGGTCATCCTGGGTTTCTTCATCACTTCGGATGTCATCTCGACAGTAGTTCAAATCGCTGGTGCCGTTCTTATCGGTGTTAAATCGTCCCGTCGGCAAGATCCCACGACGGCGAATAACATCCTCCTAGGCGGCCTCGCATACCAAGTCTTCGTGATGACCGTCTTCGTCATCCTGGCAGCGATATTCCAGCTTCGAGCACGGCGTGCTCTCAAAGAACAGGGACTTGGGATCTTCTGTCTTGCCTTCTCCGTTTCGACCCTCATGCTTTATCTCAGAACCGTTTTCCGTCTTGCTGAAACTGCGCAGGGGTTGATGGGGGAGCTGCAATCTAACGAGGTCTATTTCGCATGCCTTGAATTCGCACCTGTTGCGCTGTTGGTTCTTCTCCTGGCTATCTGGCATCCTGGCCACTGTGTGGGCGTGGAGCTGCGACATTCTGAGAAAGCATAGCTTTTGAATTTCAAGCGAATATAACGATTAATATACCCCGGCTGTTAGTCGCCCTTTCCAAAGAACAAAACTGTGATGCTCCTTCCCCATAAAACCGGCTAAAGTAGGAAAGTGCTACCCATGGGGGACCTGCCTGTTTTGGTAAATGGGCACCGTTATAAAGAAAGAGGAGCGCGCGTGAGTGAATTCCTCCTCAGCACTTCAGCCATGTTGGCTTGCGTTCACTTCCATCTTTTCGTCAACTTCCTGTTCTAATCACACTTCCCATCCCACTCATCACTGCCCGTATCACATTTTCTGAGCTGGTCATCAACAGAACCCAGTCATGGTGACATCCAACCTGAGACCCGTGTCCCACATCTCGGTCACCTCAACACAATTACCTATCCGATTGAGTGATCAATCCCCGAGGAATCCCAAATAGTGCTAAATTTTTGATGGCGTGGTGGACAGACGGTACGAAGCAAACCTAAGCTTGGAAAACAGGACAATTGTTTCCTGTCTCACACTGCCCGCATCGTTGAAGGAAGCACTAGTGGCAAGCAGACAACAGAAAACGGTCTGAAACAAATGGTTTCACGCAACATCAAACAGAAAAAATTCTTTCTGCGGTGCTCAATCATGAGCTCCTTCCAGCGATACTGGTTCGGGCAGACGGGAATCTGGCACAGCATACCCTTGCAATGACGACGCCAAAGAAAACAACCCTTTTTGCTCTTTTTGGATGCGTTTCTACATGCTGAAACTACAGAAGAATCTCGAAAATTCGGTTGTCATGTGCCTATCTCCATAGCGGCAAGGCCCAATATGTGCTGTGAGGTCTATACCTTGGCCCCTCCCATGCCGAAACCGGGATCACGGTAAATACAAAGCCTACGCTGGTGGGCCTGCAGGATATGTGTCAATCCAAGGTACATACTCCATCAATAGGGAATACACCGCTATCCTTGTCCACAAAAATAGTTCTCATCAGTGTTGAATCCAATCGAGGCTGAAGACTCGAAGACGTTGATAAACATCCGCTGGGGCTGAGCTACGACCCTTGCCTGGAAACAGCCGCCAGCTTCACTCTCTTTGGTCCTATCCTCGTCTTCAACAAACAACTCCATGCTTGTTTCTGTTCGCTCTGTCACCGTCTATCCATTGGCGAGATTGGGTCATGCGGATTCTGCAGACCTCGGTGGATTTCTCATTCAAAGCCAAAATCTGTTTCGAGACATACGCTTTGCAAAATTATGCGCGTCTGGTATCCAAGGCACACTCAAGGATCAGAAGGGGTTGAACTTACATCTTTGTCGTCGATCTCAAGTTGAAACAAAATCAATGTGGTACTAGCAACCACAAACGATGATTGAGCCGCCACCAACATAACTTGCTACAATGGGATAGTGAAGAGACTCAATTGGAACTCAAGTTCCCCAACGCATAACTACGATTACATTGAGCGCGAGGTGCAAGAATGAGTTTCCCATGTGTTGGGGCCCAGAGCATGAACAACCACCTAATAGACGTGCAGTATCCCCTCCATGACGGCTTCGCATTGTTTATACTGGCCTCAACACAAACTGCGGGACATGCTTAACTATAGCCTGAGGTTTTTAATGCTATTGTCCCTGCGTTTGTGACCGCTGAATCTTATCGACGAGGTCACTGAGTCTTCAATTATGCCAGTATTCCAACAGACCTTCTGTTATCAGCCAGCTCTCTGAGTCCTCAAACCTTTGCACGCCTGGGAGCATGACAACTGGGTGTCAAGCCAGGGATTTCACCTTGAGCAGTCTGTGGGCTCACTTCAGAGACCCTGGTTGTTGGGTTCGTCATTCACATACGTCGAGCTTCTTCTATAATCTGGTGAAGGTTGCAAAATTTGATAGAATCCACTTCCATCACATCACAATCTCGGGTATATACACTGGCGAGCTTCTCATATTGCATCCACCCTGCAATCCACTTGCACCACTTCGTATTTTTTAAAATATGAACCACAGAACTTGATGGGAAGAATTCGGTGATGGGGGAGCAGAGATGCGAAGGGCGGTGACGAAGTATTATTAGGCAGAATCGCGCAAACCGCCTACCCGCGGATTCAACTCGGCGGGAACTTTTCAGTCCTTACATCCATCAGGCAAGAACCACAGATTGAGAAATATCATTTTGTTATTCCAATTTCCATCAAGATCATTCTGTATTGAAGAGTTATCTGCAGGCGAGAGTCCCCCGGATTCAAATTTCGAGCGGAAGAGGCCTGAGAATCCGAGAGTAGACCGGATTGGCCAGATTTTCCGTTGTCAGGCTGGATCTAAAAGAAATACCAAAACATGTCTAGTTTTTAGTATATTTTTTCCTCCTGCTCTTCTTTGACCCGAAATCATTTGTGAATCAGAATTAAGATGCAATGCAAATATATCTTCCTGTAGAGCCTCCATGTATGTGTCGCATCAACATGATCAAAAATGTACCGCAAGAAATGTATGCCAGCATCATATAATAGTTTCCAAAGAAAAAAAAAAAAAAAAGAAAACTCCGATCCATTTGGATATCATGTATTCGTCTTCGCATGTTCGCATATTGGAAAATTTTTGTAGATAAATCAATTTGCCCAGTAAATCACTCTTGTAATGGTATTTTGGTTTGGCCTTGAGGGGCAGCCAATTGCTGCAAACAAGACAAGACACCTAGAACAAATTAGCTGATTTGAGAGGGAAAAAAACATTGGATATGGTCTTAAACGTACCGGTAACTCCTTGAGTTAGAGTCGCTTTGGCCTCTGTGCTGCGCGAGCCCAATGTAACGGTCATAGCATAGTCAACAGCCTTGAGCTTCTGCAGTTTATTGGCCCAACGGAAGACCGGCTCATCGTCGCGATTGTCACCGACAACGAGCAAGAAATCGGGTTTGATGACATCCTCCTTTTTTTCTGCGTTCGCCGAGAACCATTTCCAGACGAGTTCGGCGGCGGATGCTTTGTTGGTATTGGTGGTTTCCACAATCAAGGCGCCTTCGACGGGGATAGCATGTACACCTTGATCAGCGCAGGCGTCGTTGATATTGCCTGCACATTCAGCGGCAGACCGAGCTGCGACGTGGCGGTCTTCCGCTGATCCGTGGTGGAAGACGAGTGAGCAGTGGCGCTCTTCAATCCAGCTACCCTCCACGCGCGCGTGGAAATATGCTAGGATGTTAGATACAGCTGCTTTCCACGCTTTGACGTGCACTTTGTCTGCGAGGTGGGTCCATGTATCGCCGTTTGGCTCGCGCACGAAGCATCCGTTCTCGGCGATCAACCCCAAATTGTTGACCTGTCGGAACAGCCGTTCCATTTCCTCGGGCATGCGCGAGCTCATCACGTAGACAACATTGGCGGGATCTTCGGTTATTTCGTTTAGTGCTGTGATGGCACGCTGCGGTGTGGTTAGGATAATACTGCGCGGTGACCCCCAAGAAGCCAATGTGCCTTCGTAATCCACAATCATGAGTCGCTTTTTGGACTGGCGATACCGCTCGGTGAGCCGTGATACAGATAGCCGGGGTACTGCCATGATCTCTCGCGAGGATTGCTCATTCCAGACTCGAGTGAGGGTTTCATCGAATGATTTGACCCAGTTGCCAGTTGAATTTTTCAGCACAGCACGGAATAGCTCCTCCCAAACTTGCTTCCGCTCCGTTTCATCACGAGTCAGAGCTGTGTGTATTGCCTCGCAGCACTGGCGATAATCCCATGGGTTGACCAAAAGAGCATGGTTCCCAAAAACAGATGCGCTGCCAGTGAACTCGCTAAGAATCAGTGAGCCATAGGCTTTGTCGCCACAGCGACCATCCTGGCAGTAGACAAACTCGTGACTAGTCAGGTTCATGCCCTCTCGTAGACTAGTAATCATCAAGGCATCTGCCACAGTGATAAGAGCGAGGTATTGGGAGAAAGCCAAGTCTTGCTTGAGGAAGACCAAAGGCTGATGAGCGAGGGTCGAGTGTGTAGAGTTGATGCGCATGGCAATATCAGAGATGGTTGCTTCTAATTCGGGTTGTTCCGTAGTGCTGGTTGCGACTTGAATCAACACGACTTTATCCGCCCATTCCGGGTAGGTGTTCAAAAACAGCTCGTAGCTAAGAAGCTTCTGACGAATACCCCGTACAGAATCAATCTTGTCGCGCGACACAATGAGGCGCTTTCCCTGATAGCGTTCTGAGATTGTGCCGACCCATCGCTCCACGTCCGTCGCCTTACGGCGCTTATCCCAAGATGTCGGATCGATGCCAATAGGGAATGTGCCCACGTTAACAAACCGATCTTCCAACTGAATTCCCTCGGGTGTCGCTTCCACACACAAAATCCGACTGCATGTCTGCAGGAAATGTCGGCAGTATTCATCCGTCTGGAAACCAATGAGGTTGGCGCCGAGAATTCCTTCTAAAAGCTCCTTGCGTGGTGCCAAGCACTTAAAAACTTCCGACGACGGGAACGCAATGTGCAGGAAAAACCCAATTTTTGCATCTGGCACGAGCTTGCGAAGCATAGCTGGAACCAGTAGAAGATGATAATCCTGAACCCAGATCGCATCACCGCGCTTCCAGTGCTTAGCAATGCGCTCTGCAAAAGCCTGGTTCAGCTTAACATAGTAGATCCACGAATGATCCTCATAAGCTTTGCTCTTCGGGTTATCTGGGATCTGGTAATGAAATACAGGCCATAGAATGGTCTTGCAAAAATGGGTGTAGTGACCGTCGAAATCACCGTCATTTACAAAAACCGTCAACGAACCATACTCATCTTCCAATTTCTCCGCAATATCTCGCCGGGTGTGTTGTGCCAAGGCATCAGTGGGCATTCCCAAGGTGCCCACCCACATCATGTTATCCAAAAATCCGGCGTCTGTTGCGGATCGCACCGCGTTGCGCAGGCCACCATTGCCCTGCTCCGCAGTTTCGATGGTCCATTCCGCTTTGGAGAACGACAAATTGCGGCTCGCTGTGCTACCCTTTCTTAGTCTTGGATATGCGACGAGCTGGGCCGCAGGAGGCCGGTGCGACACAGATTCCTTGACTGGGCGAGGATCTTGGTGCTTAAGAATAGATGGGGACGGCGATACCACTGTCTGCGGCTTTGGCTGATTGAGCGAAGTGGTCGCACCCCATATAGGGGAGTGGCCTTCACTTTCCGTGAGAAGCCGGTTGTCCTGCTCTGCGGCTGAAGGGAACGGATACCCTTTTTTCCTTTCTTCTGCCTTGGCTACACGGGAAGCAAAGATGCGCTCATGATCTGTTGTAGCTCCCGGTGTAAGACCCGGTACTGTTCCTGCATTGTTCTTCTCGAACAAGCTCGCAGCAGCATTGGGTATGGGAGTAATACCCTCAACGGTGGGGTTCGCGGATGGAGGGCCAGAAGGGGGAGAGCGGGTGCGCAAGTTGTTAATGTGAAAGTTAACTGTGTAGGGCAGAAACCTAGATGGTTATGATTTAGCCATGGTTCAAAAAGGGTAATCCGACAGTCACCTACAAAGATGCTATGAAGACCGTCATAGTATTTGGCTTGCGCCCGAGCTTAGGCGGATAAGCTGGATTTCGAGACAGAGCAAGCGGAAAAATGAAGGTCTAAGTTGAGCGCTAACAAGAAATAGGCGGGTAAATGGATAGCTGGAGTCCTCGTAATCGGGCTAAGCTGAAGGAAAAAGAGAGGCCAGTTACACGATGCGTTTCTCATGACTACGTCATGTGGAAGTGCCAAGTGGGCTGCAGAAGCAAGTTTGCCTTGAGAATACCACTGAGAGAAGATGGCCAGAACCAGATGTCGCATTCAGGCCCAACATCAAGGAAACTCCTTTTCAACAAAAAGAAGAGTTGCGGAACCAAGGAAGAGACGGAGCCAGCTCCATGAAGTTGCCTGGCAGCTGACTGCGTCGTACCAGGTTCACCCCACGTTGGCGCGGGCGGGCGGGTTAAATACGGTATTTGGCGTATTGGGGTTACCGAAGTATGGCAGCTGGTCTCTGATTGGCGGAATCTCTTACGCCCAGTCACCTGATGTGAGGCAATATTGCGCCGATGTCATCTTCATCCTGGGAGCAATCTATCTACTCATGCCATGACCTTGCGTCTCACGTCTGCTCCCGTGTCAGGCATCAAGAAAAGAAAGGCCTCTGCTCCGAAACCTCGCGCTTCGCCTTTTGCTGCTCATGCGCGCCGCAAGCCTACATCCGGCGGAGCCAACAGCTTAAAATCGACCGCAGATCTGGGGTATGATGATCCGCTTCCAGACATAGGCGGGTCGCATTTCATATCGGAGACCGCACCAGTCCAGAATGTGCTACAGGCCATTCAATACATCCGCGATGGCATGTTCGAGGACCTGCCCGCGCGCGCGGGCATGAACAGCACACGCATCGCAGAAGTCCTCAATCTCCGTCGATCGCTACCCCCACTCGCCTCCGTGGCTCATGTTCATACCCTGCTGGAGGCACCAACACAAGTGGAACGGGAGATTGTCGAACAGATCCAGGCAGGTCGAATTCGGCGACTAATCATCCCAGGTCGAGGCAATGATGCGGCAGGCTTGGGTGATTGTTTGGTGCTAGCAGAGGACTGGGAGAAACTAGTTCAGGACAGTCCTTCCTTGGAGCAACCAGTCAAGGGTATATATTACAGTCGGGATTTTTCGGAGGTGTGAAGTTGACGATTTTACAGAGAAATTCCTTGATATTCTGAAACGTATGGGAACCTCCTCTGCGATATCGCACGGGGTCTTCACCACTGATGAGTACAGGGCCCTGCTCCGTGCCGGATTTGTCGTTTCTTCGTCATCATATACGCAAGGCACACTAAGCATAGCATCCCTCCCCAACTTACCTCAAATGGCAGTTTCTTCGGCAAGTCGAAGCGAGTCTATCTCGCACACTGAGCGCCCGGTGCAATCAGCTGCTCAAGCCCGTGCTGCCACTCTTTTCCTGTCCCTTCCTAACACGGGCACGTATCTCCGCTTGTTGGGGTCAGGTCGGGCACATATGCTTGCTCTTCTCCGGCGGTCCGCCTCTGCAGAAGTCCCTTTGAGTCTGCTCAAAGATCGATGGGAGGGAGCTGTTGAGTCCGAAAAGAATATAGGCAAACGAGCCCGTGGTGAGTTTGCCGGAGTACTTCCGGGTAAAACCAGGAAGTGGAAAGAGCTTTATGGGATGCGCTTTCGATGGGCCGTGGAAGAAGCACTAGGCGCAGGACTGGTGGAAATATTTGAAACTGGCAGCGTGGGGCCTGGTATTCGGTGTCTATAAGCCATATATCCGCAGACTTGTTGGCTCGAATATGACTTATTCTTTCTATATCAAGATGGCTAGTTGATTAGCTCAAAACCAGCAAGCATATAAACTCAAGCACCTCTTTGAAAAACATCCTCAGCCAATTTCATGTTCCAAGGCCCCGGAAAAGACGTTGGACAGGTCGAGGTAACATAAGTCAGGCCCATACATGTGTCTACAATGCTCAAAGCCAACTGGGAATACCTACATAAAGAGGTATTAAACAAACCCAAAGAAAAATTCACACTTCCTCATTTTGGACGAATACAATTTGCTCAATTGAAATCCGTGCTCTAGAAGAACGCCTAAGAAAGATACATGTGCCTACCTCAGTTCTTAGCAACTCTGTTATGGTCCCTCTAAACACACATTCATCCAGACAACGAAGTCCATTTGCTGGCAAATGGATTCAAATGAAGGGACAATTTACTTAAATTCGATCTGCTGTCCAACCTTACAAGTCTTCTTTTTCCACATCTCACTATTGACGATTTTGCCGACTTCGCTTCAAACTTCCACTCCGCGACTCCTTCCTACTTTCTGAAGCGCACCAAAACATCCTTAGATCCATCATGCCAATCATTCAACTTGAACCACACATGTTCACCAGCCTGCCCCATCATCTAGATCTTCCAGGAGAAGCCAACACCATTGACCTACAGGGGTTCATTCGCGCGACCCTGGAGGAAGCTCGGCCTCTTCTAAACAACTTCCCATCATCATTAAAAGCAGACCGCAAGCTTCGCTCTTCTCCCCCCTCCAAAGCAAAAGTAAAAGTCTCACAGGGATGGCGAACTCTCCCAGCCTTCGAGCAAGGCTCGCTGCCCAAAAGAGAGTTCTGGGTATGTCGCCAAAGCGAGCACCAAGACTCGAACCATGAGGATGGGACAGTCTCCTGGTGGGAATTCCACGATGGATTGCGAAACAACCACGCCGAACACGAGATGGAGTATACGCCTAGCGTGTCAAGCGTACATCAACTACTGACATGGAGCGAATCCGATGAATGGAATCCCAACAGAGCGATCCACATTGCGGACAGAAGTTACAATCAGTTCACAGTCGAACGTAAGTATAAAATCAAAATAGAACAAAGCGCCCCAAAGATATCTACCTAACATCATTTCTAGTCAACCTCATAGTCCATGCATTCCACCCACAGGCGCTCATCCGGCCCCGAGCTTTCATATCCTGGACCATGTCAGCAACCTTCATCGACGCATATTCACTAACCAGGGTTGAACAAGACCCCGAAGAAGCCACTCGGGCAGCAGAAGGCTTTATTACCATACAGGTCCCATTCTATTTGACTAAGCCTGCCGCCCCGGGAACTCGATATGAGGGGCTCTATGCACAAATCATGAACGCCGTCCCGCCGCGGACAATCTTCGCTTCCTATGCAAGTGTCGAACAGGCTGAGCTTGTCGCTCCTGCTCCACCTGAGTCTACAAAGCCTTCTTCTTCAACTAATCTGAATGCACCTGTTACGCTTCCTGGTCGTTACATCCGGTGGACCATGGCAACCACTTCTGAAGCAGGTGGGAGCATCCCAAAGTGGGTTCAGCGGAGTTGGTCCCTTGGCGGAGTGCCGCGGGCTGTTGTTGCTGATGTGGGGCTGTTCATCGACTGGACCATCAAACGGAGAGAAGAGAGGAGACTAGAAGACGATGCTCAAGTGGAAGAGATCTAGCTTGTCTCGGTTGCCACTACGGATTTTCTTTCTCTCGGTTTGAACTCCACAGTCTGACTTCGGATGGGTTCAACATTCAAGCACTATGATAGACATACATAAGACATGAGATATCAATACTAGATGTTCAAAGCCAGGGTGCAGTTCTATGCGAAGCACTCGAATTGATCGGATTTTCCCGGCAGGTATCTTCATCATTCAACACTATCTACTCCGTACGGAGTACTGCGTGGTAATCTCACAGGCAAGCCTTAACCACACTAAAAGCCTGCAATGCAGCAGAGAGACCCACAGCAAAGGCGCTTTCATTAATACCATGCTTGACATACCAGACCGAGCTAGCCCAGAGCAAGGCATTGACAATCCCGGCCATACCCTTGTTCAATGGGTCTTGGAGGAGGCTAGGGTCGCGCGCCCATTGCCAGTGAAGAAGACCTAGTCATGTTTAGAAATTGACTGGAAGAGATCAAGCTTAGAACATACTGGTCAACATGAAGAATGCGCTGCCCTATTCATCGGAGCATCATGTTCCATGGTCAATATAGTTCACCTTGAAACTCAACAGGTTCAACGCACCTGGTACCAGCCCACAGTCCCACTAGCCCATGGCTTAGTCTTTGCGATAGATTTGAATCTCGGGTCGGCAGTCCATTCCCTGCCTGCGGCCTACTCAATTAACCCCATTGTTCTTTGACTGCACTTTCGAGCTTGGGACAATACCGTGTGACCAAGGGAAAGCAACACGAAGGATGCGGCTGATGCTTGCAGGAGAGAGGGAGACATTTTGATTCTCGTTATATGAAGGAGTGAGATGTTGCGAGGGTTGTCAATATCTCATATTTTCTACAGACAGCTCTGGGGGGGGATATGATGAGGCTATCAAGGTGCCTCGGCTCAGTTGGACCGTGTGCAGCGGGGGTGTCCGAGGTAAGCTTGTTCAGTGTGAACGCATATTTGACTATTCAATATTCTACCCCATCCTACTTTAAATTACTCTATATCCAAGTCATTGGCTTAGCAGATGAAGTGTGGGGAAGTACTTATGTTCAAAAGCAGTGGTTGCAACTTGCAACGCCCAAGTGCCCAGGTGGACATGTCCAACATGTGTAAAGCAAAGCATCTTTCCAAATCGGCAGGAATCCTGGGAATCCAAGTATCACACATATTTCACATATTTCACCTGTCTCTACAAGAAAAACAAAACAGTCATCAGCAATGGCCATCAGCTGTGGAAGTTCCGCTTCATCCTCATCCTGACCCAGTGACAGTCTCATTTCAAACGACCTTTCTATCCTAACATACTTGAAGACATTGCTTTGATCCCTGAAATCATCGGGCAGCCTTCTACTCCAGATGTCTTGACTAAATCGCATAGGGTCTATAACGTTGAAGTTTCACGAATCGGCTGACCAAAACACCTATTCAGGGCTGTCGCGACACGCCCACTCATATCCGCTATCAAGAAGGTATTCGAACCGAAACCAGGACCACAACGACGCCATATTCTATGTTATATATTCAAAATACTCGGTGGAGTACGGAGTATTATTGTGTATCTTACGAACGAAAGATCGACATGTGGAGTGGATGCTACAAGCCCCCTCGTGGGCGCTAACACAGTCTTTTCAGCCCTTTCTGTCCAAACTTGGCCTTTCCGTTTGGCTTTTTTGGGCGTTCAGGCCGAGAAGAACTGTTTCCATATCTCTGAAAATAAAAAGGAAGAAAACGAGATATCCTTGTTAGTTCGAAGGTAATAAGTACTCGTTGCTGGTCGGACGACATAGCGTGATCTCAGGGTCAAAGACCCATTTCGGGGGTCTCGGCATGGCCCCAAATTACATGAGGCCAAGACAACTGGATCAAATAAGATGAGTAGTTTGATACTGGCCCCTCACAGGTCCGAGATGAGGCATGCGCCACCGGGCAAGGCTCGCACTAGGCGTTCTTGAAGCCCCGCTGTGCCTAACTAAGGCTGAAAGACGCATGGTGTCCGCCGTCCGCGGGTTTGTGTCTTCGTTTCGATCAAAATGCAGGTAAACACTGTCTAGATCATTTATTTCAGGTCTCACATGGTTCTGCCTTGAAAATGCACCCAGTTGACGGCCTCGTGGCGAGTTGTCGACATCTAGTGCGGATTTCCGCAAGACGCGGTCTTGTTACGATCGCCCTTGGTCTTGTTTTCACAATCTTTCTGCTCCTGTTTTGGCCGAAAGATCGAGCTTTAAAAGTGCAGCCCGATCCGACATTCTATTCTTCGAGGTACATATTTTCTAGTCACCTGGGTGGACATGTTTAATGACATCTCAGAATCATATAATGCAGCGGGTTTCATTCAATAACTAACACTGCTCATCTCTTTATAGTAAAAGGAATGCCTTTTTTCTAGGCTCGGGCGCCACCAATGACGGCGATGGTCTTGGGCAACTCGTTTTGGAAACATCACAAGAGTCGCAATCCATACCGTACGATCCATATCCCGAATATAACAGCGAGGCATGGAAAAATACATGGCGAGGAACACACCGACAATGCGCCGGCCCAAATGGCACACCCTTAGACCGTAGAAATACTGAAACAGCCATGAGAGGGTTTTACTGGAACCAATCAGGTATAGTGAGACCAGCTCATCCTGACCTGTTGGGTTTCAGCGAACACTGACAGTAGCCCAGACTTTCCGGCGCCAATATTTGGATCTTACAAGGCGTGGAAGTTGGATGCGAGTATCTGCACCGATCGATATTCTCGATATGCGGCATACGGCTACGCGGAAGAAGACAAAGAGTCTGATAACTCAACTGAAGTGCAGTGGGAGGATGTGAACTGGGCCACTCTGCAACAAGGCTGCTTGCAGCGCAATGCAGATCGGTATCAACCTTCAAGTATTCGCCAAAAGACGTTGACTCTGCATAAAGAGCTCGATAGAGAGCCCGATAATGGAACTCACCCACATGTCTTGAGAGAAGAAAAGATACAGATGGATCAAAATACCACTGGTATTTTCAAACCACGGACGGCGGTGGTTCTGCGCACATGGCTCGATATGAAATATACGGAGAACGATCTCCACTATATACGATCTATCATCATGGAGCTGTCGCTATTATCGGGCGCGGAATACGAGGTGGTCCTTATGGTTGATGCGAAAGACGCTGAATTGCCTAATCCAGCCGATAAAGAGGGCTTAAACAATCTGAGACAATCGCTTCCGCGGGAGCTCCAGGATTTGGCAGTGTTTTTCAATTCGAAAATACTAGAAGACTGGTACCCGAAGATCGATGTTCATGTGTAAGACTGATTGCTTTCTATCCAATCTGGATGAGTCGTTAATCCTTATTCCCAGCGCCATCCTCCAATACTTCCAGCCAATGCAGGTATTCTCTCGACTAAATCCACAGTACGACTTCTTCTGGCAGTTTGAAATGGACTCACGATATACGGGACACTTCTACAATTTCCTCGAGCAAGCAACCTCGTTCGCAAAACAACAACCTCGCAAGAACCTATGGGAGCGCAACTCTTACTTCTACATCCCCGCCGTCCACGGAACCTGGGACGATTTCATCGACCATGTAGACCAGAGCATGGTCGGCGTTGATAGCATCTGGGGCCCACAGCCAGCAAAAGATATCGATGTTGGTGACGAAGCACCAAAGCCCCCGCATCCAGACTCAGACGATGATGCTTGGAACTGGGGCGTAGGCGAAGAAGCCGACGTGATCACCTGGCTACCTCACTTCAACCCCCAGGAGACCGGTTGGCCCTTCTCAGACCGGATATTCAATTTCCGCCAGAAGGGAGATACGCCGCGCCGGGCATCCGTCGTCGCAATGTCCCGTGTCTCCACCCGACTACTACGGATAATGCACGCGGATAAGGTTGAAAAAGGCCTTGGACTAGCGTCTGAGATGTCGCTAGTCTCTTGGTCTCTGTATTATGGATTGAAGGCAGTCCAGGTCCCTCATCCTATCTACCATGCGCACGAAACGAACCCTGATCAGCTCAATCGCCGAGCTAATTCGGGTAAACCGGGGAAGATCAGCGCTGAGAATGATAGTATCTGGACTTGGGACCGGCATAATGATATCGTGCTGAAAATGTCCTATATGTTTTCGTCGGAATTCCCGGAAAGGATTTATCGAGCTTGGTTGGGTTATGATGATGCAGAGAAGGTGAGTGGCTTTTTGCTAGTCCTTCGGCTTGCTCTCGTCTGCCAGGACTACGAGTTGATCTTCGCTAACAATACACAAGGAGGGTCGTCGTCGTCTTTGCTTGCCTCCAATGTTTTTACATCCGGTCAAGAATACGAGACGATAACCATTGAATGGAGATCATATATTTTATCAACGTTCCCAGGTTGTTTATTTCGACTCAGATCGTCTTGTAGCATACATAGGCATGTGTAGCAAAAGCAATTTATTGAACCAATACGCCAAACCAGGAAGTCTGAATACAGAACCCCCATAGTGTGGGGAAATGGGCCACTGGCTACATCCTGTACAGAAAGAGCATCGGTGATTGTTATGTGAGGTCGCCTATGACATACCCTTGAGCTGTATTTTCTTAATCGTAGAACGAAAGAAGCAAAACAATCAAGTACTATGCTCGTTGCGTCTAAGCTGCAAGAAAAACATCATATTGCGTTTTCACAACCCATAAATTCCAAGGGCTGGACTACCTAGGTGAGAGGTTTGTATCACTTGAAGGCGTAGAATGATCCAGTGACTATTATTTCATGCCCATTCAACATAGAGGTTAACAGTAAATTATCACGACCTAGGTTGGGAATAGCAGCATAAAGAAAAACTCCAAATCCAGCGTAACCCATGCACATACTCCAACGCAAATAGACTCCATCCTAAGGGGGATGGAATCGATAACAGGACATAGGGATCTGGAATTTCGAGGCGCATTCCAGAGGAAATCAATGTTCTCCTTTCCATGGCACTGTCGGCCAATTTCTTGCACAAAGTGCTTCGGTTGCTCAAGGGATAGGAGAGAGCATGGAAAACACATTTTGCAGATCACTCCAGATATGAATAAGATAGAGGCTAGAACGGAAAAAGGTCCTAAATTATATGACTTCGGGGAGAAGAAGAAGAAAAAGAGACGAAAAGAAAAGAAATAAGGATATGACAGGGAATAGAAAACACCAACGCCGGCGACTGTCGGTATGGTGATCATGAGGGCATCAATTTGATCCCAAAGGAGAATGGGACAATCAAAACGTATCAACAAAGTGGAGGAGAGGGACATAACAGCTCGCATGGCTGCCGGCCAAGCATATCGTACAGACTAAGGACCAGACCTCGGGACAAATCACCGGGGAGCGGTATTGTTCATATTGACTTCCACTGGAGCCGGTGGCACCGAGTTGGACGACGCAATATGCGCCCGCAAGGCGGCAACCTCCGTGCGCAAGCCGGTCAATTCCTCGTGCATCGTCCGTACATATGCCCAAAGCTTATCGATTTGGTTGGCATCACCGCCATTGTTATCAGGTCCATCGAATCCTTTGACATGGGATAGACTGTGAGTACTGGAGTGGCTGTGTGAAGGGGTGTGCTTGGTTGCAGCCTGGATGCCAAATCGAGCATCCGGTGAAGTCATGCCCGGCGGCGGCGGCAGCTGGGGGGCGCCTGGCTGCGGCAGGGGTAAACCTAGTGTAGGGGGTGCATGGTTTGAAGACTGATTGGTGCGCCCAAAAGAGGACTGTGGGTGCGGTAAAGACTGGCCTATACCAGGAGAGTGTGCACGGTGTGGCGGTGCACTATCATGCTGCGATGACAGAGCGTTCGGGGACAGTGGTTTAGGGCTGTCATTGAGATTGTTGGAAGGGAAAATAGACGAGCCTGACGCAAGTCCCGCAGGCGGGAAAGTCATGTGTGTAGATTGCGAGGCTGATGTTGACACACTTGATCCTCCATGGTTGGGGGGAGGTGGGAAGAGGTGGCTGGGACGACCAGCGGCGATTGGTGGATAAGTGTTTGACTGGCGTGAATGAATCGAATCAGACCGGGGAACTGTGTCTGCTTCATGCTTGCGGATGCTCGGCATCGTCAATCGTCGCTCGTCCTCCTCGTCCATGCGCTCAGGCTCTGCTGTGTACATCAACCCGTCCATATCGTCGGGTGCCCCAGTTGCACCATCGCCGTATTCATCATCTGCGGCAAAGCTGCCCATACTCGCGCGCCGACCCGCGCAGCCTCCTTGGCCTTTGTTGTGCCGAGCTAGCGCATCACCTCGGGCAAAACGACGTCCACATTTCGGACAGATATGCGGTCGCTCGCCCGTGTGCAGCTTTGTGTGACGCTTCAAATCATGCAGTCTTCGGAAACGTGATTGGCAGGTTTGGCAAACGAAAGGCTTCTCCTGACTGTGAGTGAGCAGATGGCTCTTGAGATTATGTTGCCGGGTGAATTCTGTCGCGCAATAGGGGCAACGGTGTTTCTTCGCCGATGGAGAGCGAGGGCTACCTCGATTGTAACCTGCAGTTGGTAGGCTTAGTCCGCGACGCGGATCATTAATATTGCCGGAGGGCATTGGGTATGAGAATGATTTGCCATCGTGGTCGATCTCGGAGTTACCGCGCGACCGTCGATCACCATCCTGAGAAGTGGTTTCCTCGATGGGACCAGGGCTCGCGACCGTCGAGGCATGCATTAATGAGTTGTGGTGATGATCGTTTGATCCGTATGGGTCCGAGGGCGATTCGGTCGCGTGTGAGTCGATCTGCATCTGCTCGGGGGAGGCATGGACGGAAGGCTCATGGATGGGGGCAGCTGGCGACTTTTCACTTGCGCCTAAGGCCTCCCGAGCCACTTGCGAACTGTTTCTTTCAGCGTCCTTCTCATGCTCCGGCCTATCCGCCGGTACAGCTGTTGGGCTCGTCATGGGGGAAGTTGATCTCTCGATCGCGAAACGTGTAGACCGGCGCTAGCAATCGAGCTCAGGCTGTCAGGTTTTGAGGGCTTAAACAAAGAATGAGGTTCTGAACTGGTCAGAGAGTTTGCAGATAATGGATTAGAGACGGCGACTGGCTCATTCGACATCAACGCCGCCATGGAGAAAGAGGGTTTCGCGCCAGCCTCAAAAGGTGGACGAGCAAAGGCGACAGCTACTTTGGATGCCATGTTAGAACCATGCAAGGAGAATTGAGAGGGCAAAAGATAAGAACTAACTTTCATCAACAGAGATCTCAACAGATGTACGGAGTCAAGCAGACGAGGTTGGGGGGGGGGAAAGAGAGCGAAGACCAGGGCGTGTGGGGCGTTTCTCACGAGTGTGGCGCAAGCTGACGAGTGGTTTCAGCTTCGAACTTGTCCCAAGATCCACCCGAATTGATCCCAGGGGCTTAGACCTCTAGGATAGCAAGGAATGAGTGGGCGAGATTCAATGGAAAGTTTGGAATAGGAGCGAATAGGGCTCAGAATGGGAGAGGATTGAGGAGGAGGATAATAAACCACCTAGGTACGGAGTAGTTCTGACAGACTCAAAGACAGAAAAAGAAAAAAGCGTGAACGTGTGAACCAAAACAGGGCAGGGGAAAGGATACGTTTGGGAGAGTCGAGGCTCTAAGAGAAAGGAAGAGGCAACCATGTACTAGGTACGTGGCTTGTGGCGGTATTGACCTGTAACGAAAAGGTACTGAAGACTTGGTTAAGATTGAGGCTGTGTAGACCGCTAACGCCGTGTGGCTGGTCCGTGGGGCACACTCTCTGTCTTTTACGACACGTCGCCTTACATTTCACGTATGCAGCGTCCATGTACGGAGTACTCCGTACGCCGTACGGAGCATACGGAGTACATATGTTGTGTATTGCCGGAGATCTACCAGTTATGATCAATCTGGGAGCCTCATCGGGTCTTTAATCCCATACTGTTGCGCTCCCCACTACGGAGTTCTCCGTACAAGATGCACATGGGATGATACCGGGATTCCTCCAGATAATACAGAGTCGACTTACTCCGTGGACAGCCGTCAAGCAAACAGGTATTCTTAAATACCCGGTGCGGAGCAAATACAGAGTGTCAGTGGAGAGACGCTGGTCTCGGGGTCTTCGCCACATATGCAGAATGTACCTACATATACGCAACATATGGACTCATTGGACCATAGAATCCTAAAGACTACGCCACCATTCGAATGGGTCACTTACATTACTGTATAATCTGGTCCCTCCAGAAAAATACCAGATGAATACAAGGCGCACGATATTGCTGCGCCATGTTTCAGGGTACACCTCAGGCGGCTCGGAGGATCGACATCCACGCGGAGAGCCCCATACACCAAAGGCAGTGCCACACTGGTCCATGCTACATCTCTAACCACAGGTATAAAATCTTGCTCTATGCACTCCGTAGCAAGATCCTACTCATGTTTTCTCGTTCAACCCATCGGTATAGTCAAGAGCCATTCTTCGAAGACTGTGATTGTACCCCGGGACATGCGGAACGTGGAGTACATATCCTCTTCCAACATTCCAATATCCAACCCTTTACTTGCTCCACTCCCAAAAATAGCCCCGGAGCCTGTGTGGCTGATACTATTCGTTCTCTATATAACACTCTATCCTCGATGGAAAATTCTCCATAACCCCGACTCGATGAGACAGTTTGTGTCGACCCACGTTCCCGAGATTGAGCATGCCACACACACAATAGTATTGATGCCCAGCTCCACTCTTTACCAATCCTTGACTGTTGTAGGTGTTTTCTATACCATGGCCAACTGGCTTTAATATTCTCAAATCACTTCCAGCATTGGGCACTCCTTGCAGCCTAAATACGTCAACAATAAATGTTCAACATGCAGTTGACATACCATAAACCCACAACTAGCCCCATTATATTTATGATCAACCTCTACTAAGCCAGTCTAATAGCGCCATTATGACCTTACTGCGACTTATTTATCGTTTCTCATCCGATTCATCACGACTGTGACCAGAATATTCGAGTGATTCCGTTGGCTTATCGCCCTAGTCATCATTGCAAGGACAACTTGGATCCTGGAACTTGAAGACGGTCTAACTGCTCTTGATAATGGCGTGGAGCTTCAAACCCCTGCTAGAAAACGTCTCAAAAGTCTATATATATTCCTTCCAGACTGTTGGAAGCTCGACACTCATACCAGGTGTCATGTTGCGCGCAACACGCCGCTCAATCTAGAGATATACTTATAATTCGAGTCGGTCTATTATTCGAGCGCAATTATAGATGTCCGCAAGTCAGCTACGGAGTACAGGATCGGGTTCAATTCGGACCTGGATCATTTTAGGGGTCAGGGTCTCTTCTGGTACCCACAGCGAACGGATGATTGAGCGATGAAGATTCTGGTGATTCTAACAGCTACCAAGTGGATGTTCTCCTAGCTGGCGGCTTATCGGTCCCTGAAGAAGTACATAGATACATCTTATGGCTTCACCAGAAATACTAACCGTCGAACAAAATGCAAGGATAATGGTCTGATTCTAGGGCAATGGACTCATTAGCTTCGATACGAAGCTAACAGGGGCTTCAACGATAGCAGTAATGAACAACACGAGAAGAGAAGAGAAGAGAAGAGAAGGTCAAGGGGATTAAGAGATATTTACATCGAAGTCGGTACAGAGTGCTTGTTAACAAGATTGACATGCTATGCATATCTGCAGGCTCGGTGGCGTTCCTATTTAGTCTGCTCACATCTACTCCGTACAATCTAGAATATGAAATGGACACTCTACATGAATTCCTCTACTCCGTACAAAGTATTCAGATCAGTGGAATTTGGGGCAAAACTCCCGTTCCCAGTGAACTAGAGTAAGATGGTGTGGGAATGGGGGGCAGCGAGACATCGATGTCAAGGCCGGAGTATAACTGAACCGGTTACTCAAAATAAAACGGAATCCCCAGGATATCCTCGCCTAAAATAAACCCCGTCATGATTCATGGACCTCCACCGTCCCAAGAGGTGAACATGCGTGTGCTCGGCACTATCACGGGTGTGACCGGTCTCTGCCTTCACACATAATTCCCGCACGAGGAACCCTGCAGTAAAAATAACTTCACTTCGTTGGGCACAGACCTTTCCATCGTTACCTCTCTGCCCCGAATCTTCAGTCTTTAAATCTCAAACATCTAGTCTTCCAGGGTGCTTAATCCTGTTAGATGACTGGGTCTTATATTTAGGTCGGCGGGTATGATGACCCAGTCATTCCCATTTTGCCTCCGATTGCCCGTCTATGCCACACAGTCGAGCGGTTCAGCACTGCGTTTGGTTGGCCAGACGATCGGCGGATTAGCGCCGGGTTGGAGTGACGGAGGTGCATCGTGAGGAGCAAGCATGGCTGCTTCTCACTCTCACTGGTCTGTTCTCCACTGTGACAAGCTTGGCCGATCACCCCCGCCGCCCAGTCGCATTCCCCTCTTCACTCCTCGAGGTAAAATGCACTCGCAACCAGAGGGCTTGACAGCCTCTGTATCTTCCAATCATGGCCCTGATCGCTGCTGCAAATATCCCCTCGGCGCTTAGTTTGACCCGGCATAAGGTGATGAGAAACAAAAGTCTGCATTTTGATCCCCGCCTCTCGGACCATGCCAGCACCCGGACAATTATTGATATTCAAGGTGTCCAGGCTGGTTCCTGTCAATTTCTGAATATCTTTCTTTTCGTCTTTCATCATCTGCTGGCTATACTCGTGTACGCAGGCTTCGCACACGGTATTGGTGATCTATTACCCATCTGACATACTTCAGCTGTTGTCACACCTATACTTGTGATTTTGGTATAAATCCAACTCAATTCCCGCCTTGTGCTGTTCCCAGCAGCTAGTCCTGTGGGCGCTTTGCTTCAAGAGCTGGTTCTCTTGATCTGAAATTTCTATTATTCTTTGCATAAGTTACCGCTACAATGGTCGCCTTCAACGACAGCCGGGACAACTCTCCTCAATCGTACGGGCCCGTTGTGCCCGTGGACCTTACTCGTAGCTCATATCACAGCGCCATGGGTCCCCTACCACAGCACACCGTACGAGAGACTCGCAGCGGTTCCGAGACGAGTGGTGCCTCGCTCAAGAGTCCGCGCACTGCTCGATTCGCCGAGGCCACATCAATTCACTCTCCCATCGAACGCACAGAAGCTGGGAGATCACCTTTTGCCGACCCTCCCACATCCCAAGCACAGGGAGACGTTGCAGATGTGGGATTCGGCTATGTGGCAGCGAACAATCCCAGCCAACATGCGGATGATCAAGTGCCGATGTCGCCTTTCAGACCTGACTTGAAGGTGCCACAGACAGCCAAGTCATTGAACCCGCTCAGCCCAACCTTCCGCGAAGAGTACATGCTTGAGAAGCAAGAGAAGAAAGCCGAAGTCGAGAATGCTCGAGATCTGGTAAGAAAAGCACCCCGAAAAACCCACCACCGCAATGTACTAATCATCAACAGAGAATTAAACTCCGCGTCCGTATCGCAAAGGTGTTCTTACGTTTTGTCAACTTCGGTTGCAGTCTGATCATATTAAGTCTGCTGGCCGTGACATTGACCGTCTTCAATGCCACCAAGCACCTGCCTACTCGTAACGGTCTTCCTGCCTGGGCAGAAGGCACCAACCCGTGGGCCCAGTATCTCCTTCTATCCATGGCTTGCGTCTCACTATTTGCCTGTCTAATTGTGTTCTGGGCCTACCGAAAAGGCGGCCACGGCCGTGCTGAGAAAGCCGCCGTGTACTACACTGGCTTCTCAATCGCCTTCTTCGCCCTCAACCTGATCATGTGGATCGTCGGCGCGGCAGTTTACCAGCACTCAAAATCCTCAGGAGAGAACAAGGACATGTGGGGCTGGTCTTGCGCGCAGAACACCCGCGAGCAGATCTACCACAACACAGTCGACTATGCGCTCCTCTGCCGTCTCCAAGACTGGGGTCTGGTCTGCGCCATCATCGAAGTCGTCATCGAAGTCCTCGTCATCCTGATCTACGTGGTAGTCTTCTACCGCGTCTGGAGCAAGCGCAAGCTGATGAAGTCCATGGATACCCGCGACACCGCTCGCTCAGATCTATACCTCGCCCAGCTGCGCCTGCAATCCGCCCCAAACACCCCGGGCTTCGCAGGGTTTGCCTCTTATCCTCCCAAATCCCCCTTCTACGCCGCAACCTCTGTGGACCCCTACTCATCCGCTGAGAAGGGCATGGCTCAGCCCCAAACTCAGTACGCCTCACCGCGCTCGCCTACCCGCCCTATCCCATCCTTCCAGCTCCAGCCGCCTCCTATCAAGGTCCAACAGCCGACACCACAGACTGCCCAGCAGGAGTTCGCCCCTCCCGCTCAGTACTCGCATTCACCATCCCCACCTCCACAGAACCATCGCCAGAGCTCGCCGGTAAATGGAGATAGCGCTCCAGGTGAGCGCACCTACGACGCCGTGCCAATTCCCGGCGCTTATGGGAGTCCCATGGCGCCAGCGTTCCCGGCTCCTGTACGCAAGTAAACAGGAATAACGACAAGCATTTATTTTGTTTCTTTCTTCTGGGCTAATTCCATTTCCCCATTCGTGGAAATGAAAGCGCTTGAAAACAGCCTGAAAAACAAAAGCCTGAAAAAAAAATCCGAAAATCTATAAAACCCCAATCCAGGCCCTCGCATTCGAGCGGCCTGCTTGAAAATCGGACACATGTTCGACCTGTTTATTGCTTTTACCTTCCTGGTTATGGAGTCTAATGTATACCTTGGGGGGGCATGTGGGAGTTTCGGTGTGAAATACAGATACCTATTTGGATTTTGGGTACACTGTTGGTGTAATTAGTTTCTTTATCTTGGGTTTCAGTCCAATGAATATATTGCAACTATACATACGGAGTACAAACTCCTTACTTCGATTGCGGTCCGAGCACAGGCTACACAATTGTGGCGAGCATTCTTGTTGGTCGTGTCAGTATCTCAGGGGCCTAGAATAACTAAGAATTAAGATCACTGACAGAGGTTCAGAGGAAAAATGTATGTGTAAGATTGTGTGGATTCATCAAAATGAGTAATCCAAAGAACATAATAACACCCAGCGCCGTTCACTGCGAACAGGAAAAAAGCAAAACCACAACGCCGCAAGGATCTACCAAGTCACACTGTCCTGTCCATCACTCGTGACCAACATGCATATCGTAGTGCTTCTACCCGTATCAACTGTACATGCAACTAGAAAAAAAAAATAACAAGGCTCTCACATCCCACCCTCCTCGATGATTGCATGCGCATCCTTGCTTACGAAGATCTCTTCCAAGGTAGCAGCATCAGCGCCCATCTTGCTGAGATCACTCTCAAGCACGAGGCCTTGTTCGTTGGCAAGATGAAGCAAACAGATAAACCCGAATGATGTGCTGATATCGCGTAAGGTCTCTGTGGGGTAGACTGTCTTGAGGTTGTTCATAATTTGTGTGAACCGTAACCGGCCATTTTCCTTGCCGTCGGCAGGTTGTTGTGGGCTATCGCTCTTGGGTGTGGGCGGAACAGGAGCGTCCCCTTCACTCTCAGGCTCGGTCGGAGTTTCACTGGACACAGCTCCTGGTTGTGAAGCCGATGCAAAGTCAACAGCATCGACAAGACGTTCGCCCATGCCTTTCCACATCTCTGTTTTGAGGCGTCGGACGTCAACCTTCTTTGCCACGCGTGCATATGCCACGTAGTCTGGTCGTGCACGGCGACCACCTTGTGTCACTAGTTGTGAGCCGTAGCCACCAGCTCCAGGTCGGCCAGGCGTGGCACCAACCATGTTCAATAGCGCACTCAGTCCAGTTGCTCCACCTGCTTCGCCCGCTGCAGTACCTGGACCTCCATCTGCTGCCGGAGACAGCATCTCTCGGGCATCCGCGAATGGAAGGTTATCATCGTCATCATCGAGATCCATGCCATTCGAGAAAGGAAGCCCATCGTCGTCAGCAAAGAAGTTGGCATCATAGGCACCAGCGGCACCCTCCTCGCCGGCGTTTTCTTCTGGCTTGCGGTTTGCCCAGAATGCCTCATCCATATCACCATTGCCAGCGGTCAGATCTTGCCGATGGCGTTTGCCTAGAATCTTCTTCGAGCCCATTCTTGCCTTTGGCTTGAGGAACAATGTGAGGAGATTGCGGGAGTTAAAGTGTTTATCGTCTGGAAGCAGATTACGACCCTTCGTCTTCCATTGCGTTTTTGGTAATGAAACTGCGGAGTTCGAGCTGGCCGGAGTATAGATTAATTCAGCGATGGCAGGGTCCAGAGGAGCTGCAAAATCAATTTCAAACGGTTCCTTCTCCTTGCGCTGCTTGGGCGCCGAAGTAGCAGGCGTTGAATGCTCTTTGATTCTTCGAATCTTCCAGTGTTCTGGGCCAGCCCAGTTCTTTTGTAGCGCATTGTCAAAGTAGCTTAGAATGTTTTCGTGATCGTGACTGTTGGTTTGATGAGACATAGAGATGGCATAGGCGTCTTCGTCTCCATCATCACCTTCCCCATCATTTTCTCCATCGTGAGCAACCCGGTGAACATTTAACATCGGTTCCAAGGCTGCTTCCCGAGCCCAGGCCTCTCCGCCATCACCAAACCCAGTGTCGCCGCTGAGATCAAAGCCGGCCAGGGTCGCATCATCGTCGTCGAATCCGACAGCGTTGTCGTCATCAAGCATAATACCAGATGGGTCATCAGTTCGTCCATCTTCGTCCATCTTGTCCTGGCGCCAATCCTCAGGCGCTTTGAGGAGGGGAAGATCCAGCGATCCGCTGGGATCACCCAAGTCGAGGTTCTTGAGTGACGGGCAAATATCTTGTTCATCGAGACGATCCAAATCTGGGAAGAATTGGCTCGCGAGTGAACCAAGGTCAATCTCTGTGTTGTCTTCGAATATATCGCTTGCAGGTTGGGCTGGTTTCTTTTCTTCCTCATTCTGTTGGTCAGGGTCCACAGACTCTTGGCGATCGTCTTCAGCAGTCTTTGCACTGTCGTCAACAGCATCATCGCTGCTGTCAAAGACAATTCTTCCGTGGCTATCAATAGCAAGGTGGTTCAGAAGCAATCCCTTGGCGCCTCCCTCATCAAAGTCTGCCGACGCTTTCTTGAATAACGGGTCCACGGCAAACTCTAGCTCGAATTTCTTAAGTTGTAATGACGCGAACGACGGGGCAAGGGTGGCCTCATGGGAACGTGTCTAAACATCGCCCAGTTAGTTTAGTTCCAGAGATTAGAAATTGCAGAGATCGTACCTTCTTCCGAGACTTGCGAGGCTGACCATCCTCGCCTTCCTCATCCTCATCACCATCTTCTGCCTCCTCTCCGCGACCTCTCTTGTCACGGCTATCAGCCAGTCCACTCAGAAGTTTTCCGGTCTCTGTTGCGACACTATCCACTCGGCTGGTGTAAATTTTGACACAACCATCCAGAGTACAACTAGCTTTTTGGAAGTTCACACTGTCTCCGTCCTTCAGCAATGACATGTCATGGAAGTAATCGATAAGGGCAAAGTTCCAGGAGTTATTCGCATTGATCTTGTTATCAGTCGCCATCTTCATCCACTCCTCGAAATTGGCCAGAATCGGCACGCGCTTCATCGGCGTTACTGCGCGACCATTGACATCGCTGGTGCGACTGCGATGACCCGAGGGCCGGGGAGTCGCGGGGCTGTCGCTGTCTTCACGGTCGTAGTTGGTGTACCGACGCGGGGGCATAGGAGTCTTGACTGCAGCTTTGATCTGACTCATTTGGCGATCGTGAAGCGCCTGACGAGCTTCCATGCGCGCTGCCTTCTCGCCTTCATCATCGTTAAGGGGTATCCTAGACGAATTAGTTACATGCCATAAGCGAAAGATACGCAGATACACACTTGACCGGGGAATTCTTGTGGGGAGTCGAGTGGCCGTTGGAACGGCGATGCACCTTGTTTGCGACACGGGGCATGGTTGCGATTGCCCCCGATAGGGGATAGCGATAAAACCGTTGAAATGGAAGGTTTGATGGAGAGGGGTCAATGGCCGACGACAAAACAAATGGGGAAGTCAACAAACATACGGCGGACCGAGAAGACCAGTGACGTCCTCCGTCACGTAATCAGGCCTGGTGCCTGAGGGTTCAGGTGTCGACTTTCCCAGTCATTTATGTAGGTTGGGCCTCCCTTGGGTCTCACCTGTTCTTTCGATCTTCCAATCGCCAATCTTCCAATGTCGAGTTCAGTGAATGCTATTTGAGCATCTCATCTTGTATAAGTTACATTTCAATTTTTATATCTGCGATCACCCCTCTAGCCTATCTCCTCGGTGCAACAACGATCGGCAGGCTAAGCGCATTGGCCCACTTCCGCGGTAGCCACAGCTCCCCCCCAGTTGACATCACCGTACTCACCGCACTGCGTTGGCCCAAACAATCATTGACTGTGCAGGGGATCTACATGGATTAGGTCTCTTATATTGATTCCTCTGGTATAGGTTGGTCTACAACATATAATATCTTCATTCGGCCCACGATGCCGCCGTACTTCTCGTCATAATGAACCAGCTGCCGTCCTTCCTGCAGCCTGCCGCGCGCAAGCAACCTCGATATTCAACCCGACCATTTTACACCACGTTGTTGGTGTTCACATTTATCGCAGCAGCGAGTTGGGTTTTAACTGGTGCTGAAAATGAACATATAAAGTCTGCACAACCGGGTACAGCAACGGGTATAGATCTATTCAAGCGAGATGTTGAACTAGAGGTACTTCTCTCCCCTTCCCAGATCCTGTCCTGTGAGATGGCACTGAAGGCTAAATCTTTTGTGCCACATTGCTATAGTGCCGTTTGGTCCGCAACGTCAAAGATCAGTGTGCCTATGTCCGCGCCAACTGCCCAGATCACGAGGATGGCTTAATCTCTTATCTTCAGTTTTACTATTGCGGGCTGTCCAATGCCAAGCCAGTAGCGTTCATAATATTGATACTCTGGTTATCGCTTCTCTTCAGTACCATCGGAATTGCGGCAAGTGATTTCTTGTGTATTGATCTAAGCACATTGGCCAGCATTCTGGGATTAAGCGAGAGTCTCACAGGCGTGACCTTCCTTGCATTTGGCAATGGAAGTCCTGATGTTTTTTCCACCTTCGCCGCCATGCGGTCGAATAGCGGGAGTTTGGCAATTGGCGAGTTGATCGGAGCTGCCACTTTCATCACTTCCGTTGTCGCAGGCTCTATGGCCCTGGTTCGACCGTTCAAGGTCGCGCGAAGGAGCTTCGTCCGAGACGTGGGTTACTTCATTGTGGCCGTCGCTTTCAGTATGGTTTTGCTTGCCGATGGAAAACTTCATACCTGGGAGTCAGCCGCCATGGTATGTTTGTATGCCTTCTATGTCGTAATGGTGGTAACCTGGCATTGGTATTTGGTACAAAAACGTCGAAAGAATGAGAGAGATCTCGCAGCGCGAGCTCACTTCCATATTCCGGAAAACCAAGAATTGGAGATTGAAGACGTTGCCGAGGACGATGACCCAGGTGTAGGGTCAGAGTCACGAAGTCTTCTCCGCGGAGCTTCGACCGAGGATTTTGATCTTTTGGAACGCGCCGAGGCTATGCCTTTGTGGAAAGAAGAGGAGGAAGAGGATGATGAAACTCGCAATCGTTATTTGGCCGAGATTCGTGACAACATGCACGTCTATCGGCCCATGCGATCAAGGCGCAATACGATGAACCCCATTCGACCAAGTTTGGTCGGTGCACTGGAGTTCCAGTCTGTGCTTCACTCACTTCGGAAATCCAGAAATTCCCATCGCAATCCAACAATAAGTTTGAATGGTTATTCAGATGATGTTGGGTCTGATTTTGACACGCGCTCGGTGGCGTCGCATCCCCGCGCCAGTCGACCATCTGGCAACGACCGCCTGTCGCCGTCTAGTGCAGCAGGCTCCTCGCGAGTACGAGCTGTATCGGCCAATGATGTCGATGGCTTGAAGTTAGACTCCAGCGTCTTGGATCACCGGCCAAAACAAGGTCCATTGCTCACAGTGAGCAAGCCTTCTTTTGAAGATACTTCGGGCCAAGAAGCGATGAGGTCACGCCAGCTTCCTCGAATCGAAACTGGTTTGGCGCTGACTGTGTCGTCTTCGCCTTCTTTATCGCCAAAGTTGAGCCCAGTGGACACAGCGCCTCAATCCCCTGACCGGCTTTCTCCATCAGATGCGCTCAACTCTCCCAACTTTTATAGCGCCGGCATGCATGAGCGTTCCCCGATGTCGGTATCTCCTCGGGGTACCACAACCCGCCGCTCCTCAGGTCTCAGCGCAGAGAGTCCTTCAATCCCCTTCCCATCATATACTGATCTACCATCCGCGGCAATTTCTCGACCACCTAGCATTCGACTTCCAAACGTAACTAGTCCGTTAGAACGGCTTCAAATTCACGATGGATACGATGATGTTGCTCATGTAGGCCTTTCTTTCCGGAAATTCTTGAGGAACTGGTGGCCTGACTCGATCCCCCTCCCCAGCAGATTGGTTGCACACTGTTCCCGACTTTGGCAGGCTGGAAATCCAAGAACGTCTGGGAACGACTTCTTGGTATTATTGCAGCTCCGAGTGTGCTGCTTCTTACTATAACAGTTCCAGTTGTTGAGCCGCAGGCCCCAGAGTCTACAGAATTAGATCCCATCCCTTCAGTGATCATCCAGGATGTCGGCAATGGAGACAATCCAACCCCAAGAGTCAGACTTCCAGCCGACAGTCCAGTGATTGCGGCTCAAGTATATGACCAAGCCGGATCAGTTTCTAACGTGCCATCAACCCACCCTCATCGAAAGTCATCATATGAACATACCGGTCGCCCGCGCTGGGACTCTGAATTACCTGCTGTCCCGGTGGCAGTGTCAACTCCCGTGGATCCTGTGTCGACAAAAGACTGGAATCGTTGGCTGGTTTCCATTCAGCTCTTCACGGGACCCTTCTTTGCCGTGCTTATCGCCTGGACGACAATGGACGAAGATCGTAATCCACGCAACCTCATTCTTCCCTCCCTCATCTCTCTCCTATCCTCCTCCATCTGTCTCATAGCCCTGACAACAAGTACCCGTCGCCAACGAAGCCACCGACGACCCAGTACAGACCTCTCACTGCCTCTGCTCCCAGATGAATCTCAATCCCACAAACACAACATGCCATCTCAATGGCGGCCCTTCCTCTCCCTTCTCGGCTTCCTAGTCGCCATCTCGTGGATTGCCACAATTGCCACAGAGGTTGTCTCCCTACTCAAGACTGTCGGCGTCATCCTTAACATCTCCGACTCCCTGCTTGGCCTAACCATCTTCGCCGTCGGTAATTCGCTAGGCGATCTAGTTGCCGACATCACCGTCGCCAGACTCGGGTACCCGGTCATGGCTCTGAGTGCCTGTTTCGGTGGCCCCATGCTTAACATTCTCCTCGGCATCGGGCTGGGTGGTCTGTACATGACTCTCAATGGCGGGAATAACAGACACGATGAGGCAGTGCAGGGTGTCGGCACCCTACAAGTCCCCTATGAGATTGTCATCTCCAAGGTGCTGGTCATCAGCGGGGTGACGCTTTTGATTATATTGGTTGGCCTGTTGATAATTGTTCCCATGAACAATTGGAGAATGGACCGCAAGATTGGTTGGGGTCTTATTGTCGTTTGGTGTGTGAGTACCTTAGGAAATGTGATTGCGGAGGTTGTCTCTTGAATTTGGAATATTGTGGTATGAATTGGAAATGACGGTCCGGGCTTTTGGTTCTGGTGTTGGTTTTGGCGTTGGTTTTGGCGTTGGAACTGTGGTGGTTCTTTTCGCTTCCCTGTTTACAATGTACAGCTAAACGCATTCCGCACATAGTTTGAGTATAGTCTTTTTGCATGTGGAATTCTTCAAGCATTTTACCTATAGACGCCAGCGGTCCTCGCAGACTTGCCCGCAACACTGTAAGACATCAATAATGCGGACATAGACTTAGGGCTCTGACACTCACCTTCCTAGGGGAGCTTGCTGGCGGCAGTTAGAAATCGGGGTTGGCGACGGTTATGATCGTATAAGTGATACTCTGATTGTGGCCAGAAAAGCAATATATGAAGTGGCTCAATGTACTTTTATACGCGTGCTGCACGATGGTAACCACATGGGCAGCAGTCGCACCCATCTATGTGAGGTATCAGTTCAGCCAACATAGGATTATCAGCTTCATCCTCGCCAGCTATCAGCATTACAGTGGCGATTGAGCTTACCCCGATAAAGTAGACGAGAAGGAGCAAGATTCTAGTCCACCTACATTGCTAAGAGTCCGGCCTCGAACTGAGTCTTGGATCTGATGTTGTCATGGTTTCCTAAATGGGACTAGTATCCTCTTTTGAAGTACATCCCCCCAGAACACTCGCACCTACCTATCTTGTAATCCTGCAACTACTCAGATCCATTCATCTAACAGTGGCCATGGATGATCATAGACAGACAATGAAAGCTGAATGGGTTTACGTTCCCCGAAATCCCTGTCAGCGAACGGGACGCGAACCATTTCAACCATCGTTTTGGTCGTTATATCAATACACGGAACTTCCTCGGAGCTACAGATCTTGATAACCTTCAAGAATTGTTCCTAGAGGCTATCGACGTGGGTGTTCCCATTTCTGGCTTCCTGGTAGTTCTGTTTCTGGATGTACAACATGTCAAGCACGCGTACAGCGACCTTTAGCCATTGGAATCCGCCGGTCTTCATACATTCTCCGATGTTACACGCTATCATTTGACAACGATACCCATCGATTCAGGCCTGGGTGTGAGCGCGGACCCAAGAGGGGAGCATCATGCTCGTGCAGGGTGTCCCGGGCTCAAGGTCCACCTGCAGACCAGGGCCCATGGCCATCACTACAGGCACCTATGGATTTGTTCACTGTCTGGGGGTTTCACCGCTGGTCAAACCCTTTCGACATTTTTATTTTTCAAATAATGGTCCTGGAAGCAAAGCGTTCATTGAAACGATACCTGCCAGCTAGGCTCGAGGACGATGGTGCTTTCGTCATGTCTGAAGAAAAAGAAAAGGTAACGAATAAGCCCATCGGGAGAGAGGTATGGCTTGCGTCTCAAAGAAGAGTAAGTTTATCAATTCATCTACACTTCACTTTGCTTTTATTTTCACTTCACTTCTGACTCTGCTAGATTAGGGCTATCACTCGCACATATGACCACCCAGATCGCGTTTACCTATCCCAAGAAGGATATGACCACGGTCTATCCCTTATATCCGACATAGCGCTGCCGAGTGTGAGTAGCCCTCCTGGCTATCCGTCAGTAACTGAGTGGGGAGAACATTCAGCGGCTCTAGATGACCAAGAAGTTTATGGTCGTCAGTCACCAGGTTACATCAAAGATAAAGTGGACTTCGATCCTCTTTGAGAGAACAGCAGTTCTCAGAACCACGTATACATGGGGCAACAACAGATGTGGACATGGATATGGAACAACGAGTGAGAGTTGCCTTCAGACAAGTTGCGTGCATGCCCGATGAAGAGGAGCCCTGACGGCCCTATCATACACAGGAAAAACCGGGAAAACCCGAGAGGGATCGGATTGGTCAGATGTTCTGCTGCCAGTGGAGGAATACATGGGGTAACAAGAGAAAGTCGGAGAACTCATCCCTGCTGTGGTACGCTGGTGCACAGCTCGCACCAGCAGATGGATGGTCCGGGGACACTTCTATGTCTCATCCGATACGGCCGCCAAAGCCGTCATTTTCCAAAACTTTCCACGACCTTGCCTCCTTGCCCGCCAGTCTTTGGATGGAGAGAACCACGCGCTTTTTGAAGTGGGGTTCCTCCTTCCAGCCGACATGGAAAGTTCTACTATTGTTCGACCGCGGATCTCAGCGACTGGACAAAAGCAAAAGCCCACTATGTTTGTCATGCGACGTTACCAACTTGGATACCAACTCCATGCAGGACCGCAACATACCCCCCATGGCTTGGGCCATGATAGCTTAGAAGATCACGAATGATGATGCAAGGATCCTTTTCCCTACACTTCTAGTAAAAATATCACTAGATCTTCCGATTCGGATTCGAGCTCAGATTTGGACAGCTCTTTCGTGAGACTCTAACACTTTCATGCTGGGCCACGCAAAAGTAAATGTACAAAAGTAACATCCATTAACCATGCCCCATGGTGATCATGTAGTATGGAGCACACTGCCTACAATGATTTACGAATCAAGATTAGAACTGCGCCAAGAGTATAAATTATAATAGACGAAACTGATGAGTATTCCAAAAGTACAAAAACACAGCTAAACTATTCTCCCGCTCTCGCCATTATCCATTGACCTCGTCACCTTGCTCTGCAAACATAGAGGTACGGGTCATATCTCTCCCCTCGCTTCTGCATCTGTACAGTATGTACTCCTAATCGAGACCAAAATCTCCGGTCTTCTCCTTACAGCACGCGTCCAGCAGATGAACTCGTGCTGCGGTCGTTGACCTGGGTCTTCCTCAGGGACATGCCTTGTTGGATGGACGCGAGGAGAGCTCCGCGGCCGCCAGGAGCGGCGGCGGGGGCAGGTGGAGGGGGGATGCCGGCGGGAGGGGGAGGGGGAGGAGCAGAGGGGGCTCCGCCAGGAGGAGGGGGCGGGGGAATAGAGGGAGCACCAGCCCCTGCGGGAGGAGGAGGAGGAGGGGGGAGGGGGAGGTACTGCGGATGGAGGGGCTGGTGGGATGGAACCATCGGCGCTTGGGATGGCAGGGACAGGAGGCAAAACGGTTGGGGGTGGAGGTGGGGGTGCAGCAGGGGTGTCTTGCACTGGGGTAGCGGATTTGGAGGCAGGTTTGTCTTCGTCCATGGCGCTCAGGGGACGCGGGGGCGCCATAGTGCCGAACAGGATGCTGGCAAGTTGCTTGGCGCTACCGCCGGTTGGTCGGTCGTCGTCTTCATCGTCTGATGAGTCGAAGTCGGAGCCGGCGACAGACCAGTCGTCGTCTGCCTCGGGGCGAGCACGAGTCTTACGCTCCAAGGGAGCTGCGCCGGTGAAGGTGGGCTTGATAGGCTCTTGCTGCGTCAGGCGGTGGAAGGGGTTCGTAGACTGGGCTGTAGGTGGCGAGACTGCTTGGGCGGGATCGGCCGACTGGCCCATGTTCTTGAAGTATGGGTTCTTGGACTCGGCATCGGGCGTAGCAGCAGGAATGCTACGGGTGCTCTCAGGCGAGCTAGGTACGCTTTCGAGCACTGGGATCGGGGCAGGAGGCTCAGGAAGAGCGATCGTGGGCACGGGAGGCGGGGTAGGGAGAATCTGGCTCTGCGTGGGAGTGCTGTACTGAGGCGTAGCATCGGCAGGGCCTTCATCGTCGGAGGAGGATTCATCAAGTCCCTCGAGTTCACGCTGCAGCTGTCGCTCACGTTCCTTCGCGGCCTCCAATTCTGCGCGCTGGGCTGCAAGGCTAGCTTCCTGTTCCTTAGACTGTCGGCTGGCTTCTTCCCTACGGCGCTTCTCTTCCTGCTTCTTGATCTTGCCCTGGCGGACCTGTTCCTCAAGAGCGCGAAGTCGAGCGGCTTGGGCATCCTTCTCCTGTTGGAATTCCAACTCGCGCTGGTGTGCCTCGGCCCTGTAGATAAATGCGTTAGCTAAAATTGTTATCGTTTTCCTGTGAACTGGAGTTTACTCACTCAAGACGCTGAGTCTCAATTTCCTGCGCTTCTTGCTCCTCTCTAATGGCCTGCTCACGGGCAGCAGATTCCTCTGCCTTCTTGGCATCAGCTTGGCCAGCACTATCTGTGCGAACTCTGCGGGACGGGGGTGCTGGTGGTGGCTTCTTGCCTGCGGCCTTCGGAGACGCAGCAACACTAGGACCACCCCTCTCATCGGCCAGGCGACGCTGTCTCTCCTGTTCCCGCTTGGCGTCCTCTTCTTCGGCGCGTCTAACACGCTCTTCACGCTCCTTCTTCTCACGCTCCTGTCGTTGCGCCAGAGTCTCACTGGAGTCACTTGGCTTCAGACCAGCAGCTGCCATGCGCTCAGCAATACGCTTCTGTGCACGTTCGCGGGCGGCCGCCACACGGTCTTCATGCGTGTTTCCAGGAAGTGAGCTGGATGAGCCGACGGAGGGAGGCATCGAAGGGCGTGCAGCGTGAGAATCAGGCGCTGGAGATGCTCGAGAGCTGATTTCCGCAGGTCTCTCTCGCCTATGAATTGTTAGCATTGGGTACTTTTCAGAATTGACAAAAATAACATACTCTTCTTTGCGGATATTTGCGGTGCGGGCATTACGACCGAGGTCGTAGATAAAGTCACGAATGATATCCTCAACTCCCAAGGCATCTTCCCAACGACGCTTCTCGTGTTCACGTGTAGAATTGTGGCCCTCCTCGCGGAGGCTGTCTTCCAAACTGCGAGCGAAATCGCGGACACTTTCCTCGACATCGCGAGTCATAGTATCATTGCGCTCTCGCTCGGCCTTCACGTTGCTGCTCTCAGCTTCCAGACGACGGGCAGCTTGCCCATCATCATCGTGAGTTGCCGGGGCAGGGCGCCCAGAAAGCTCGGCAGCCCGGGCTTGCATACGCGCACGAGCACGGGCCTTGATACGGTCTGCCTCAGTCACAGTGCCACCAGGACCAGTACCAATGATGCTAGGGGCACCACCGGGATGGGCCTTGGCGTCCTTGAGACGGAAAAGCTCTAACTTCGCGTCCGCAATCTCGCGCTCGAGACGACGCACGTCAGACGCAACTTGAGGTACTTGATCTTCAAACGCCTGCAATTGGCGACGAAGGGGCCCTACGGTCTGCTCCGCTGTCCACCTTGCGGAATGCAGCATTCGGGTGGGTGTCGAGGTCGTCCTGCACGCGGCGGATACGGTCCATGAGACTCTCCGCCTCGCGACGATCCTGGCGGTCTAGGGCATCATCATCCTCGGCTCGGTTCTCATCCTGGAAGTCGACAGCATCCAACATGATCTTGGCCTCGCGGATCTTCTTTTGCAGCTGTTCGACGGTGTATTCCTCCTCTGAGGCACCAGAGGCGGCCGGTGATGGGGTGCGCGCCTCACCACCAACACGACGGCGTGCACTCGAGCGGTAGCCACCAGCGGAGTCATTGTTCTTAAACACAGTCGCATCCTTCCGGCTGCCACCGGCAGCGCCTCCTGCGCCACCACGGAAGGAGTGATCTTTAAGGTAGCTAACACCGGTCTTTTGCGGCTGCAGGAATGCCCCAGTAGCCTTGCGAGTTTCGGCATCTTGGGTAAGAAGATGCTTCATTGTACCAATAGAGTCATTCAAGTGCCTCGTAGAAGGGGGCACAAGCTCAGGAGGCAGACGGCTAGGGACTGGATAACCGTTCAAAGCACGATAAATCAGGTGCATAGCCACCGCAAACTCATCCATGTTTAGTCTGCCACGGTTGTGGGGATCGGCCAAAGTCCAAATCCGTTCCAGGTCTTGCCGGTTCAGACCACTTTGGCCCATGATCTCGATAGAAGTCTCGCCACCGATGAAACCCTTGCGGAAGCCATCCCACGCGCGGAAAAGCTCATCGTAAATCTTCTTCTCTTCCTTGGTAATTGCCCAAGCAACCTTGGCATTTCCTGAAAGGCCGACAGCACTGAACCCACCTTCACGCCCGGGTTGCGGCATGAGCTGTTGCTTCATAGCATCGATATTAGGCAAGCCCTGAGACGGTGTGTTAATGAATCCCCATTGACCCGGCAAGCCGGTAGGCTGCGCAGTCAGGCCCGTGGGTTGCACACCCAAACCCTGCATTCCACCAGTCTGGGCGGGGCTAAGGTTCGACCCGTAGCCAGTAGGCATAGGTGGCATGGGAGGCCGAGGGCCGGTATATCCAGTGGCTTGTGGGTTGGTCATGAATCCGGTTTGTTGGGGTTGAAGGAATTGAGACTGGTTCTGGCCAGGGAAGCCAGTCGGGTTGGGCTGCTGGATACTCGGCTGTTGGGGGAAGAATCCAGTAGGCTGTGCTGTCAGCTGCGTCAGGAGCTGCGCATTGTTTGGTTGCTGGGGGATGGGCTGTTGAACAATTGGGGGTGTTGACTTGTTCTCCAAGAGGGGCGCTTCGAAGTTGGGGACATTAGTGCGCTGCTGTGGCGCCGGTGCGGTGTCGGGGACATCGAAGGAGATAATATCCACCATGCTGGAAACCTCGTTCCTGATTTTGTCGGGTAGAGAAGAGGGCAGCTCGCGGCCGGTGAGGCGAATATTGCAGAGGTACATAGCCAATGCGAATTCGGGGAAGAACAACTGTCCGGATTTGGTGGAATCACAAAGAACCCAGATCTTAGAAAGATCAGCCCCTGCTAGCTTTGATCGCAGCAAAAGGTCTCGCGCCTTGTCGCCTATTAATTCCAGTTAGAATTGTGATGCAAGCCACAACTTGTGGTCCATTAGAGCCCTGAGAACCTACCTTCCATAGTCTTGCTCTCCCCGACGGCAGACTTAAAGAGCTGCTCAAACTTCGCCTGATCCTGCGCCGTAATAAAAGAGAGTCGGATGCTTGGGATTCTCGACCCCGTCTTCGGGGGCACCTGAGGAGGCGTCCCTGATCCACCAGCGGTTTGGAAGGAGTTCGCGACATCGGTGGAGGTCTTGAATTGAGCAGGTATTTGTGGTACAGGGGGCGGTTGCTGTGCCTGGTTCTGAGGAGGATATCCAGTGTATTGTTGTTGGAAGCTCTGCGCTTGCTGCTGGGGTGCGCCGCCGGGGAAGCCAGTGAATTGCGGCTGGAGCTGCCCTGAGTTGAATCCGGTGGCTTGAGGCTGTAGCTGCGAGTTACCGAACGGCGAGGGTTGACCGGCAAATCCGGTTGGCTGCGGGACAAGTCCAGTAGGTTGCTGGGCAAAACCAGTTGGCTGAGGTTGCTGAATTGATGGTGGTTGTTGGCCTTGGGGGAATTGCGAATAGGGGGGTTGCTGTTGCTGCTGCATGAATGGTGCCTGGCCGGGACGGCCAGTGGCACCACCCCCGAGGAAGTTATTCGACGAGGAAAACATCACAGAAATCACACTCGCATGAGCAAAATGAATGCAGAGAAACCAACAAGAAATATATGAGAAGGAACGAATGGAGAATGGTAGGTGAGTTGGATCTCAGGAGGATACGAATGACGCCGCTGGACGCGGAGACACCCGCACTAACCCCGATTGGGCGCTTAGTAAGTATCCTGCTGCAGCGTGAGATATTTTTGGATCTATGAGCGGAATACTGGATTTAAGAGATGCAAAGATCTTAAAAAGCCTTAACTTTGTGTTATTGTTGTAATCAGCTAGCCCTCCCCAAGCTGAATCATGCCTGCACCTTGCTAGGCCTTGGAAATGTGTAGAAAGCAAATGTCAAGAAACACGCCGCAAAAAATGGGCGACTCATAGATCCCCAGATCGAAAACGAAAGCGAAAACAAACGCAAGGCATTAAAGATCGTAACTGCTCCATGCGCCAGATTTTCAGACCCAAGAAAAGAAGAACGGTGGCGATTTACTCGGCAGTGTTCTGCTGCTGGTTCGCAGCGTTGGCAGCCTTGCGAAGCTCGTACTCCTTGGTGAACTCCTGAGACAAGATACCTAAGTCCTTGATCAGAGCCTGGCAGGCGTTGATAACAGCCTGGCGAGGAGTGATATCGCCATCGGTCTGCACGCGCAGCTGGAACTCAGGAGTGAGCGGGTGAGGGACCTAGTGGATCATTGTCAATACCTGTCAAACAATAGGCTGTCCGGATTCGAGGAGGTTGCTTACGCGGTAGGCGGCGAAAACGACGTGGGCAGTCTTCAAGAGACGAGTGCGCAGCATGTTGCCAAGGGTGTGGTCTTCCTTGCGAAAGGTGAAAATGGCGGCAGAAGGCAGGCCTGAAACACAGTCAGTGAAGCTGCGCAATTTCAATCCGATCAACGGGACTTACGAGTGTCAGGCTCGACGTCGATCTTGCTCTCACCAGGAGCGAGCAGGATGGCTTCATAACTATTATCATAATCCAAGTCAGCGTATGGCCTCCACAGTTAGAAAAACAAGCCATGATGTGAAGGTGGGGCAACAAAAGGTCTGGGCACAGATTCCATCCCCAGCGTCTCGATTCCCATTGAACTATCCTACTAACACGTCGGGGGCATCGTCAGGCTGAACAGGGCGAGGGTGGCGTGAAGCAGGACTTCCACCACGGCGTCCAGCACGCTCTCTGGCAATAGCCGCAGTGGCCGTGATGATTCTGTTGGGTGAAGGCATGGTGTTGCGTAACACAACAGAAACAAGCAAAGATGTTGACGACGGGAAAGATGTTGAGAGTGCAAACATAAACAGCAATAAAAAGACATCATTGGGACGGGGACCAGGGCAAGTGCGACGGTGCAAGACCATCCAACTTGGAAGGCGCAACCATCACCATTGTGCTCCTGCCAGATCTCGGGAGTCACCTCTTGGTTCGTTTGAGGAAGGTACGATCATCTCATGATTCCAAAGATATCTGTGGGAGATACCACATCCACCGGAAATTGAAGAAGCCATATCAACCCCCCAAGCATCTCACTGGGGCAGCACAAAACGAACAAGAAAAGAGTCAGACTCAGTCATCCACTTACCGATCTGGGGCGTTCATATTGTCTAGGCACCAAAATAATAGAACGAAAGAGGGTTGAAGAAGAGATGTCTATCAGTCTAGTGGGAGTGATAGAGGAGATGGAGGGTTGAAGAAGAAAGAAAGCGAAGTGAAAAGATTCACGGATATTCCAAAAAGTCAAGCTCCAGGCAATCACCAAAAAGCTTATTGGAGGAGGACAGGTCTGTGTCCAATTACACCGTTCAGGCAATCAAACAATGTGTGCTTCAGGCCGTGTCCTTCGAGGAGGTCTTATAGATAGCAAACAAACTCAGACAAAGAAGCTCAGTCAGGTGACACACTTTAAAACGTTATTTGGATCCTGACAGCGCACCGCCCTTTTTGTTCAATGTCAGGCGCGGAGTGATGAAGATATCGCGATACATATCGATATCAGTCATGTGACTGTCTTGATATATGGGTCACACGTGACCCTACTTGACCTACTTGGGATGTGATGTGTCCCTGGGCCTGGAACATGGTGATCCATGGGTCAGGTACTTATTTATTCGACTTGCTTATTTTGATGTTTTGGCATTTTATATACACGTTGTGAGGTTTTGAACAGAGTGTTCGAAATCGTTATAAGTCATGATAAGTTTCACGCATTGTATACACCGATGTATGGAATGCATATCAGGCCATCTCAACTTGGAAATTATAGGGCATTGATCCCAGTTACAGGTTTAATCCTGCACCAACGTCTTCATGACCTCATACAGGGCTCACCATCTATAAAAACCAAGACATCCATCCTCCAATCACAAGCACCAGTCATCGCATGCAGCCAACGGCATTCCCACGATCAGATTTGATAAGATATACGCACAGGAAAAGCTATCTTGATATAAAGACGCATCTCAAATTAAATCTACAGTCTGTTAGACATACACCATCGCAACAGAAGACAACTTAAAGGTAAAAGTGGAGAGGAGCAGAGAACAGAGCCGATATAACGGCCACAAGGCCCGAAATGTATTAAGGGAGTCAAGTAGACGCAAGCGCTCTGGCGAGGAGACAATGCAAAACGAAAGATCAGGAGGAAAAAAAGAGAAATAAAAAAGACAAAGATAGAAAAGACTATCACATAAATAACGCATAACGCCATGTTTCTTCCCGCACCGCTGTCATGAAAAGCAAAAAAATAAGAAGCGGAATCGGATCGAACGGGAGAAAAATCAAAACTAGACTAAAAACACAAGGGGAGCATATGTATTCATACTTGTGAGATGTCGAGCCCCTCTTCCCATAACGGTGGTGACCATGAAATGAGACATGGAAACCTGGACCAGGGAACGAGAGGGGACACACAAGATGTGAGACAAGGGCTGGGGATGCATTATTCGAGCCGACATATCCAAATGGCATGGTGAAACCCCTCTCTCTCTGAGTTGATGGTATGTGCGTGATGATTCATGTCGTGGAAGCAGCGGTAGATTATTAAAAAGAAACGGGAAGGTGATATGGGAATGCAAAGTAGAAAAAGGGACGGGCTATACAGCGTAATGCGGACAGAATTCTGTTCAGATGCAATGCAAGGAGGTTTTCGGTCGAGGGGAAGGACGAAAGAAACAAGGTGAAACTGGAACCAGGGATCTTAGTGCACGGCACTCAGCAGATCCCCGAATGAGGATGTTCCGCGCTTCAGCTTCCAGCTGCTCTTCTTCTTGTCGCGCTTCTTCACCATGTCAGCCCAGGCCTCCTCGTCATCCTCTTCGTCATCAGACCCGGCCTTTCGACCTCCGATACCAGTGCCTGGACGGCTGCTCCGTGACATGGGGCGGACGGTCACTGTGGCAAGATGCGATTTGGGAATGTTGGATTGAGAGATCGCCATGGATGGGTGAAGGTTTTCGTCGCCGAAAGGTTTGTTCGTCGGGGATGCGGTTGCGTAATTAGATTCCGGTTGCATGACTGACACGGGTCGGTATCTCGGTGCCAAGCCCGCATTGCTACGCTCTGACGGAGCAATCGAGGAGGCATATCCGGTGTGTGGGCGGAATGTGTTCCCGGACAGATTCGGCATCGGCGAGCCAGTCCGACGGGCCGAGACGTTGGGGTCCAGCATGCTAAGCGTACGCTGGTCGATGTGGGGTGGCACTGAGGGGGGCATATTGAGGATAGATGCAGCAGGCATGGACATCGGTCGCATATTCGGGTTGCTGGACATGGACGGAGGTCCGGTCATTGAAGGAGGGCCCATGGGGGGCATGCCCATCAGTCCCCCTGGCATCATCATGGGAGGCATTGGCATGCCTTGCATCATAGGTTGACCGGGCATGCCTTGAACTTGCATCATTTGCTGCATCCATTGCATCTGCATCTGCATCATGCTATTCATTTGCTGAGAGAGCTGAATTGAAGCTTGTTCCCCGGGCGTCACGCTTTGTTGCTGCGGCGACATCATCGAGTACGGGCGGGGGAGAGTTCCCATGTCGTGCATCGCCTGTGTGTTCGGGCTGCCTCTGCGCATCGCCCGCGCCCGCTCCTCATTCGCGATCACGCCAACAAGGCCTCCAGGGGGAGGCGCGGGAGACGAGGATCCTCCATATACCGACCCACCTCCGAGAGCCAGTGATTCACGGTTTGGATTATTGACAATACCCGCACCGAAATATGGGTCTCGCGGCAAGTTCCTGGCAAACGGAGGCAAGCTGACCCGGCTGCCATTGGCATCGACACCCGAAACGGAGCTGGCAGAGGATATATACGGTGGTTGCATGGATGCGCGAAGGTTGGGATTCGAGCTAATGTTAGTGAGGCGGGTGGGTGGACGATTCTGACTGGGGAAGCCATGCGCGGCCAGAATACCGAGCGGCACATCGTCATCCTCTTCCTCGCTGCTCTTGCCGCTATTAGACTTATCGCCCAGGACAGACAGCCGACTGGGGAGTAAATTAGGTGTGCTAGTGCTACCTCCACTCATCACCGGACGCAGCGATTGGAGAGGGGCTTGCTGGCCTGTGATCTTCATCATCTGCTGACGATACACCGAGAGGTGCGCCTCCTGCTTCCGTCGCTGGCGTTCCGTCTCACGTTGCTTCTCCACTTCATCTTCTTCGTCCTCGAATTCTTCATGATCAGACTCCTGCTCGCTCTTGGTCGCACTACTGTTAGAACGTCGGAGTTCTTGTTGCTGGCGATAGTGCTCGAACTGAGATGGAGTCATCACTTTGTTACCCGGAGAAGTCGACTTGGGTGTGCTATCTGCATACTGCACAGCCAAACGTGCATGAGCTGCAATGGAAGGGTCCAATCTCTCGGGCGGAGGAGGCGAAGGACGATATTGAAACATATTATCAGACTCCGGGTTGATGTAACCCGAGTGATTCGGCGCTTTGCCTTTATCAAGCAACGGAGTTCCACCAGAGGGGCTATCCTCTGAGCCTGGTGACATGCTATCTTTCGTCCAAATGAGGGATTGTCGGACCAGTTTGGCATCTTCGTCATCAAAGGGTGCAGATTCACGCGGAGTTGAGTACATCACACTCCTCCGCAGTCCTCCTCTCTCCATTTTCTGGGGGCGCTCCAGGGAACGGTGGGCTGTAGTGGCTTCCCCAATATTATTGGGAGACGGCGAAAGCCTGCGGAAACCAACAACTGCCTCGAGGGTGGAGTGGCTTTGGCTCAGCGGGGCAGAATCGGGATCACGTAGCAAGCCCTCCTCGGACGGGCGACGATCCCAAGAATAAGGGGGAGACTCGACAACGGCCGATCGGTCTGTTTTGATAGCAGCAGGTGCGGCAGCCCTGCCGTTCTGAAACTCGGGGAGAGCATGCAATGGTGGAGACGAGGGGTACTGCGATTGCATCAGTGTCACGTCCGTGCTCGGAATAGCGATTGCATGTCTTACCTTTGCGGGCGGGTAGGATGAGCCCTGGGCTGCCGAAGCCTCCCTTGTGCTCATATTCTCGAACATCTTGTTAAAGTCATCGTGTGAATCAAGGGTGAAATTGGTATCCGGCAGCTTGGGCGGCGTGGCGGTACTATCAGTGCTACCTGTCACCGGGCGGTGCTTCGACGCGTCTGGGGTCTGTTGCCGAGGGACAATCGGACTAGACTTGCTGAAGCGACCTCCGAACGAAAAGGTTCGCCCTGCGGCGCGCAGTGCATTCGTGAGAGGTGGAGCGGGCACATCGTGGATTCTGGAATGTGGAGATTGGGGGTGGTCGGACGGAGGCACCTCGGTGGATGATGGGAGAGTGGACGACGAGCTTTGCCTGGTTGACGTAGAGCTTTCGTAGTTGCCACTATCGCGGTTCCCGGTCAGCCGCCTCCTGAGGGAATCCCTGGTTGAGGGGCGGTCATACCGATTCTTATCCAGGGGTCGCTCCCGCTGCGCAAAGATGTTATCGGGATCCTCCATCGGTACGGCATTGCCCTCACTCAGCGGCTTGGTCAGTGCAGCACCATCCGTCATCGATCGGTGAGCCCCTGGGCGCTCAAAGACTCGAAAGGAGGATTGGTGAGGTGTCTCCACGTCGTCCAAAACGTTGCCGGACGATTTTCGCCGGGTAAAGCTCTTGGGCAATTTCATTGGCAAGGAGGCGTTTGTTCTGAGAGAGCAGCCAGGTACTTCAGTAACCGGCTAGTGATATTACTACCCTTGACACCGCCAGTACACAGCTCTCATTAAGGTTCGGGCGATCCTGGGTGTGTCTGTAGGAAGTCGGCTTCAAAGCCCGACGTGTCGAATGCAAGTGATCCCGAAGAAGCGACAAGTCCAAATAGATAGGTATAACGATCGACCGAGGGTAAAGCAACGATCAGGGGTTGAGCTGGAAGAAAGAATTAGAAGTCAGTCCACGAAGAAGCTTCTGGCAGGGGAGACAACAGCCGAAGCGCAAGACGGTTTGTCTAGCGGCCGATCAAAGCCCGGCAGGAATCCACAGAGTGGGTTGTCTTGCGTCTGTCCGATCTGATGGCACCTCACAACAAATTGGATAATCCGAATTCCTTGCAGAGCGGCTTTATCGCATGAGGGGAGTTATGCTTGTTTTTTAGCCTCCCCCTGGGGAGAGGCTAGAATTGAACTCACCATGGGGGCCGGGGTGAAACCCACGTCTTGGTCGTTTTGGGCTGAGATTTTCAAAGGAACTCCTTTCCAAAGATAAAACTGGAGACGCGGGGAGTGGAGAGGTTCCTGGGAAACCACCAAGGAGAGCAAAGAATGAGAAGAAAGAAAAGAAATTGAGAATGTGTCGGAAAGAATGGACATGCAGAAAAAAGAGGCCCAAAAAAGAGACGCTACTGACAGTCTAGTCCCTTGCTATCCGGAGTGTCCCAATGTGGTCTGAGGTATTATTATTTCCCAGCGTACTTTTGAGGATTATCTGCATGGTCTTCAGGTTTTTAATGATCTCATTCTGTCAGGGAGAATGTGAAACCTCGTACTATACATAGTACCAACTCCGTCCACCGTCCTGCGTACTGCGTACATGTCCGGAGTAGGGAAGTGGGAGGTTCCCTTTGTAGTGGGTTCGCTCGATTTTTCGTCTAAAAATAACCGTACAATCCAGATGGCGAAAAAAAAAACAATAGGAATGTGTGGATAGGGAATGTCCAAGCCTCGGTCTAGACAGATGCAGGAAAAAGCAACAGGCCCATGTAATAAACATAAAATAAACAGCCAGAAACAGCCAGAAACAGCCCCGAAAACAGCCCCGACAACAAAAAAAAAAATAAACAAAAGGGAAACCCGAATCGAAGGCCCCCGATCGCAGATCACGTGGTCCGGGGTCCCGATCGACAGTAGGCAATCTTATTACGCGGTCAGGATTCACCTCCACATGGGCTGTCAGATCTCGGCTCGATTCCGTATTTATACATCATCTTCGGGAAGACGGCCAAGTTGACACGCAACCATATCCGAGGGAAACGAGGAATGTGGGGGGAACTGCCAATGAAGCCATGGACGGATTCGAAGGAGGAATCCAGCACTGGACAAGACGGAGGACAGCGGAGAAGGAGAGACGGTACGACATCAAGAGAATCTACTCTCCTTCTACCTCTACTTCCATCGCCAACATATCGCCGGGTGAACACAAATTCCAAAATTCCACGAAGACAAACGGGAGGGGAGCACTGCACCGGAGACTACCTGTCATGGTCGGCTGATGGCCCTGTACCACAGTGACACAGGACTCGATGAAATATGGACATGGAAGATGTACTACATCGGGATGGACATGAAAAAAGAAAAAAAAGCTGAAAGACTCAATTGACCGCTCATACATACAGGAGGAGATTTCAAAAGAAGCCAACGGCTGGATATCAGCGCTCCGCCATGCTCCCAATCACAAAAACACCTTCTGCACCCGTTCTATCACGGGATTATCAGTTATCATACAAAATTGCGGGCAATTTCAGTTTGGCCCATCGTCCCAGATGGGTCTGTTCTCAGGTTGGGCCGAAGCCACGGGAGAGCTTATTTGGCAAAGTGCAGGTCGTAGTTGAGCCACTTGCGGGCATTGACGCCCGCCACATCAAGACCGGGGGTACCGTAGGTCAGAGGCGCGTAGAAGATGAAGCCCCAGATGGTGGCGCCCAGGATGACAAGAGTGGCAATCCAGCATGCAATGAGGGACTTGCAGCCCATGCGCTCCTTTGCCGTGACGAAACGACGCAGGCTGCTGACCGATCGGGCCTTGGACTTGCCGGAGGGGTCATCAACGTGGGGAAGTGCAGTGCGGGGGTCGAGCGGCTGCAGGTTGAAAATGAACTCAACCAGCGCGCCACACACCAAGGTGGAGGCCAGGTGCGAGGGTAGGTAGTGATGAAGGAAACGCTGACGACCCATCAACCAGAAGGGGAAGTAGTGCGCAGCCCAGCACAGGAACAAGAAACCAGTGCTATTATACAGACGTGAGCGGGTACCGGGGCCCCAGACTAGAGAATAGAGGTTAGTGCCTGGGGTAATGGAACGGAGGATAATTGTAGCTGTTCGACTTACTTTCTTCCAATGCATCAACACCGCGACGAAGCGAGAGCTGGTCAGCACCAACAATACCGGCGAATACTGCCAGAATACTGCTGGCAATCCACCATCCAATGGGGTTACCCAGGAAGTAGATCTGCTCACGAGTGTCGTTCTTGGTCCAGAAGCTGACACCGCGCAGCAGGAACGGCCACTGGAAGGGCTCGGTGGCATAGGGATGGCTGCTGGTCAGAGCGTTGTTGTGGTGGAACATGGCACCCTGCAGCTCAAAGTACTTGCGCAGGAAAGGCAGAGTCTTGACCTTGCGCTCCTCCTTGACCAGACGTGGGCTGTCCTCCTCGAGGTTTTCGATAGTCTCAACGTACCAAGCGTTACTGGCCTGGAGAATGTTCTTGTTACCGTTGATCTCAGCCTGCTTGTAACCCCACTCAGGCAGTGGAGTAGTGTGCGTCCACATAGCGACCCGAGTTGGGACGTGAACCAGCTTGAACAGACTAGCAAGAGTTCGGAAGTCCTGACCAGCCTTGCCGGACTCGATCTTGAGCTCGAACAAAGTCTCGTTGTGGCGCTCGCCATCAGCCAGTTCTTGAGAGACCGTGGTGAACTCCTGGTTGGTTGGGAAGAATGGAGATGCAACATCATGGGTCAAGAGATAACTATCGGTCCCGATATGGCGGAGTTGAACAATATCGCCGTTCCGCACGCCCTGGGGCTGGGATGGATCGGCCAAAGGCTGGCCGGGCAAGATCTGCCACTGGTTGTTGGTGTCATTGTGAGGGTATCCAGTGACCTGCTGGCCCTGGCTGGAAATACGGCCATCATCATAACGCAGGGGGTATTTGTCCCAATGGCTGTGGAGGAAGACCTTGGTGTCCTTGTGGCGCATGGTAATGGCATCGAAGTATTGGATGCCAACGGACTGCGCGGTCATCTGGTTGTCACTCAGAGTCTCCTGGAACTCAGGAGTCATGAAGTCGTCACCGGGGCCAGACCGATTGAGAATAGTGAAGTGGACCTGGAACCAGAACAGGTAGAACATGAAGGGGATGATGACCAATCCCACAGCGCGAGCCATAAAGTGCTTAGCCCAGTTAACCATGCTGAGAGCTCCCTGCTCGCGGTTGATGTCCAGGAGGTTCCACAGGTCAATGAGGACGGCGGCGCCGATGGTCACGAAAGTGAAGAAACCGACGTACTTGGTGGAGATGACACAGCTCATGCAGAAACCGGTCAAGAGGAGCCACTTCCACCACTTTCGGCCAAAGGGTTGGTGACGCAACTTGTAGAATCGGACGTAGCATAAGATACTCAGCGCCATTGACAGCACGAGGGTGGAGTCCAAGAGGATCAGTCGGTCCTCACCCACGTGGGCGTTATCAAACACCATTAAACCGGCGGACAACACACAGGCTGGTAGAGAATAGCCAGACTCCCACATGATGAGGAACACCACGGGAATGGTCAGGGCACCAAGTGTAGCCGGCATAGCACGGAGGGCTAAGTACGGCACATTGTTCTCGATGTAAGAGTCGCCGATGTTTTCGAACAGGAAACTTCCATCGAAGCCGATGAGCCAGCCCATGAGGGCAAAGAGTAGCTTTCCAAAAGGCGGGTGCACATCGAAGAAATAGGTACGTTGAAGGTAGTAAGAAGCGAACTAGTCGGGTAAGATTGGTGTTAGCCCAAAAGCCCCCTTTTCGTGGTGGTTCTGTTGCCAAAGAAACATTGGACCCCATACCTTGCCGAAATGGACCTCATCGAAAACGACCTCGTTGGGGTAATCGATGCGGTAGAATCGTGTCGCGAAAGCTAGGACGGTGAGAATAACTATGGCCAGCCAATAGTCCCATTCCGACTTCTGCTTGACCGGCGCCGACACGGGAGTCACTGAGCCATCATCTGAAGGCAATGCGGTGTAAGTCTCCTTCTTTCCGCCTCTCTTCCGCAGAGAGGGCGAAGGGGACGACATGTTTAAAATAAGGAAATGTAGAGAGCGACCGAGAAACTACCTATAACTAAATAGACTTTCGAGGTCGCGTTAGTGAGGCTCAACCAAACAGAAAAGGATAGATGTTAGAGAACAAGATGAAGCTTACCAGAATCACCAAAAAAGCATGACACCCAACGATTGAGGCCAAGAAAACTAGGAGAAAGGAAAGGAGATGTGGAGGGGGCTGTAGAACGTTGCGTGTCTTCTTGGTTGCAGGGCGGTGGCCCAGGCGGATCTACGTAGACGCTCCACCTCGAGTATAACTCTGAGACACCCTCTCCTTGTTTATTGTAACGAGTCTGTCAAGTACGGAGTCCATCACATTTCTTGTTCCAAACTATCTTATTGACTTACAGTGTCCTATTGAATCTGCTATGCAGCCACATTCATGCAATTGCTTTGGAACACCCGTGTGACCTCTCCTTTGACCACATTTTCGGTCGTTTAGTTCGCGTCTCATTGCGTCTCATTGGGTAAATATTCTACATAGAGTTCTGGCATGTTCGCTCCAAATTGGTTTGTCCAAAGTGTTGTCAGTCTAACCGAGACAATGAAAAGTATGCACAAAAGCCCACCTATTAACGCTTTTCATCTGTCTCGACCTCTCGAATGACCAGCCACAAGGCTTTCCGAAGAGAAGCTTCCTGCGCATCAGCCTCATCAGTATAAGCATCACATCGTTTTCCATCATCCCTAGTTTCCTGATCCTTCGGGTCATTCCGCTTTCTCAGGGCGGCATTGAAACGCGTCAATTTAGACTTGGAAGACCAAGGCAGGATCTCAAACTCGAGCTCAGCAATCCAAGGCTGTAGAGTCCGAATCCTCTGTGGAGAGATGTCCTGCTCCTTTCTGTCATTGTTCTCGGCGTAGGCCGTGGACGGCTCATTCCAAAGCTGTCGAGACAAAGGCGCCTCTCGGTTGATCTTCCCTTGAGCATCCAATATCGGGATCTTAGCAATATGCGCCAGGGCATCTAGCTTTGCAATCTCAACTTTTAAGCCACGTGGGCCAAAAATGTCCTTATTGGCTTGTTTGATAGAGGAGTCCGTACGACTTTTGGACACGCCTTGGCTGCCTAGATTCGCGAGTCCACTGACAGCGGACCCAATCCAGTGTAGAGGAAACAGAATCGGGACGGAGCTTAAGATCCCACCCGTTGCATCGAGGACTTGGAGGGGCGGACTAGCGGCTATCTCTTTGTTCAGTTGGTCGATGAAAGCGAGGAAGGATTCCTTGGGTAGTTGATGCTTTTTTAGCACTGGTGGGTAGGCACGGATGAAGGGAGAGTCAAACAAGGAGGCGATGGCTGGGATTGCGATTGGCTTGTTGCTTGTTTGAGAGACATAGGATACTGCGGCTGGTATCGATGGGCCTGGTGTGGACGGTCCTGCAGCTGTGTATGCTGGAGGGTGGTCTGGTGTCTCTTCTTCATAAGAGGGTCCCATGTTCTCAAAGGGATTTTGTTTCTTTTCATCGGCCATTATGTCTGAGCAGAAGAAAACTATGCTGTGCTTTTTTTCGTGGGCCAAAGTATATGGGGCCCAACATGCTTTTTAAGTCTGGAATTGGGGGGAATGAGCTCAGCCTCAAATCCTTCCTTTGGTGACTTGGATTGGTTAGAATGCTAGATCGTAAATTAAGCATTGACTTGGCCACCAAATCCCTGCCCAGTGGTCTTCACTGGGATATACTTGGAACTTTGATGCCAAGATGGCTGTGCTATGCCTTATCGGGCATGCTGTGCGAGACCGCGTCACCCTTTTTATAGTATGTCCCTCACAGCCTGGAAATTATACGGTTTGAAAGATATAAATGTTATTATCTTTTTGCCTTTGCATTTGTTTGGTGTCCTAGGGGGTCGAACAAAAACCGAATAACCAAAATAAGCCGTACACTCCCAGTAATGCTATCAACATATGCAAAACGGATTCGCCCCGAAAATATCAACCCGAAATTTCAAGCCAAACCTAGGATTCATGGGTATCACTGAATTAGACGACTTCAATCGTCATCGGTAACATTCAAAAGTTCCAACTCTGTCGAGACTAGTTCCTGGAACTCTGCACGGGGCATTCCCGTGGCCTTCGCCAGACGGAACAAACTCTTGATGCTTGTACCGATGTGTTGTTTCACTCCCACCTCAAAGTTGGACTGAATCTCCGCCTCTTGTTCCAATCTGGAAACGGCAATCGAGCTAGCAGAGGAGGTGGAGGCCGGGCGCGGATGATTTAAAGCCTGCGCAGCCTTATCACTGGGAATATGTTCTGGAGAATATCCGTTGGTGCGTGGCTCATCATCTGGATTGAGGCTGTCCACCTGTCGCCGTAAGAGATTGGCCAGCAAATCTCCGTTGAGCGATGTCGGTCCAACCTCAGGTTGCTCCTCCGCCGGATCATGATTATCCATGGCTGGCTGCACGTCACCGTACTGTGAGAAATATGACTGCTCGGATAAACCAGACGGTCCCAGCTTCGATGAAGCAGCACGCGGCGCAGGGGTCTTGGCCCCAGGTGTAGAGTCATACTGAGCCCAATAATCGTCATCTTCATCGTTCTCCATGTCATTCCGCTGGAGACTCTCTTCCGCGGCAGTGCCCAAGACATCAGCCATGAGCTTATCTTTTGCTTTGGTATTCGCCTCTCCAATAGACGAATCCCAGGTACTGTCGTCCTCAGCAGGTCCCTCCCGCGGCAGCAGCTCTGCAACTCGCCAACCACGGCCACCTCCCTCTTCGTCTGTCGGGCACCACAGATAGACCACTGTCAAGCTGTATTCAGTGAGTGGAACTTGTGCTTTAAGGGTCTCATCGTCGACCCGTTTGTATGTCACTGGAAGCTGATCTGGAAGCTCGATCTCGCCCGATACGGGGTGTGGTTCAAAAGTGGCTCCATCAATGATCCTCTGCAGACGCTCTGCTTTCCCAGCATCCCAGCACAGGAGTTGTAACCATGACTCAGTGGAGGATGTAGATAAGGAGCTAAGGACTCCCACTCTTTGGCGCAGAATAGGGGAGAGCAGAGGTAGCAGGGCTGGGGGAGCTCGCGGCGAGACGAAAGCGAGCGGGAGGCAGGCGAGGAGAGGGGGAAGCAGTTCACGAGTTTCGGGGGGGTTAATGAGTTCGACCATGATTGAAGCTTGGGGAAGTAATGACGGAGAATGTGGAGAGAGAAATAAGGAGAAATCGTGGGGGGATCGAAATGAACCCAGGCTCTCCATTTGCCCGAACGTGGGGCAACAAACAGAGCAATCACCCTGAAAAGCTTCCCGCGCTCCATGGTTTCCGCCCCGAGTCAATCGCTTTGTGTCTGTGGACGTTCACCACCACACGTACAAGCACTGGCAGTCGATACGGAGTCCAGTCTATGCTCTCTGTCCCTTCTGTCCCTTCAGTCCCTCTTTTGTGTTTGGGTTTTTCTATTCCCGATCATATCTGGATGATCCGCTGCAGAGGCTCGAATCTAAATCTGCCTCTTCCTATTGGCCCTGGCGGATCTTATTCCGAACATGACGATGACCTTGGAAGTTCGTCTCAGTTGCGCGCGAAAAAGACCGTCTTTCATTCCAGCCCCCACATTCCACGTCTGTACTGTCCGGGACATATTCGGAGTAAAATCAGACCCGGCTGATTTGATATCGAGACGGAGTTCGGAGTACGGAGTACTCCGTAGCAATATGCATGATGGAGCAGCATCTCTCCAAGGTAAAAAGATAGGAAAGTACGAGTTCAGATGAATCACATGTACACGTATGCATCCATACCTAATACCTGGAGCACGCGGGATGAGAGAACAATATATGGCAATTCAGAAAAACATCGTTCGTCGCGCCGAGCTGTTTGCGAGTGGAAGTTCTGATAGAGAAGCTTAAGGCTCAGAATATACTTGGGATGTCACGATTGAAGTAGGTCCTGGGTTAATCGTTGGGAGGGGTTGGCAGGGTCCACGGGTATCTCATTTGGCAGCGTCATTCGCCGAGCAATTAGTCTAAGACGATGTGCTCAATCACACAGTCTCATACAATAAACTGATCATTCAAGAGACATCTATAGAGATCTCGCAAGTTTCTCCCTTCCACTCCGCACATCATGAGATTTTGTCTCGAAAGCCGTCCAATCTCTGGATTGATAATCCTCCGAGGTCCGATATGCGCGCTAGGGGCACGCACTACTCGACGGGCTTCTATCCCGTTCTTATCCTAGCATTCCTAAGTAAAGCGAAGAGCGTCTCCACAACCCAACTCGTGGCATCTCTGACGAAAATCGAGGATTGGGTTGAATGTTGACACAATCCAAATGGCCGACTCGGAAAAGGGCCAGTTCTTGGTTTCCCTGCCAACGGTGGCCTTTGGGCCACCTACCCCAGACTCAATCCCCGAAAGAACGAATGCTCTCGATCAAACTCCCCTGGAAGAAAATCTGAGAAATGAACACCTAACGGATGAGAATCAGGGGCGTGGGGAAGAGTGGGCCGATCTGGAGAAGCGGGTACGATGGAAAGTCGATCTTCGTCTCTGTAGCATCGGCGGGCTCTTGTGCAGCCTCAATTTGTTGGACTCGGGCATTTTGTCCTCTGCCTCGGTGACGACTATGCTCGATGATCTCCAATTGAACCAGGGGAACCGGTACTCCGTTTCCATCTTCATTTTCACGATCGCTAGTGTGGTTTTCCAATTACCGTGCACGGTGGCAGTTCGCCTGATCGGCCCACGTATTTGGTTTTCGACGATCACGTTCACCTTTGGGCTGCTGACGCTATGCACTGGGTTTGTCCAGACTTGGCAGCAGATGATTGTTCTGCGTGTGCTACTCGGCATATCCATGTCCGGCATCTACCCTGGTCTGACCTACCTGGTGAGCGCCTGGTACCCCCGACGAGAACAGCAGCTCCGATTTGCCTTCTTGCAGTCCGGGGAAGTTGTGATCCTAGCGACTGGTAATCTTGTCAATTTTGGTCTCAATCATCTGAACGGCGTGGCCGGGCTGGCGGGCTGGCGCTGGATGTATGTTGTCCAGGGACTCATTACTTGCGTTTTGGGCATCATCACCTACTGGTGGATGGTCGACTTCCCTGAGAACTCTCACCGCAGCTTTTTCTTTCTCACAGAGCGGGAATCACGTCTCGCAACACGCCGGATCCAAGATGATCGAGCCGATGTTATCCCGGAGCCGTTTTCCTGGGGCACGCTTATCGCTAACTTTAAAGATCCAAATATTTATGGCTTTGCGTGCATGTTCTTTTTGCTCAACCTCATATCAACTGCCTTATCTTACTTCCTACCCATTATCCTGCAATCTGGTATGGGCTTCAGCTCAAACAAAGCCATTCTGCTCTCCACTCCGGTAAGTCAACGCAAAGTATACTGCGCCTCGTATTCTGACCCTTATATTAGCCCTACTATTATGCTGTAATACCGGTCATTATCACGTCGTTTATTGGAGACTATTACCGCGTTCGTGGACCATTGATCGTTTTCAATGCCCTCGTTCTCATAGCTGGGTTCCTAATGTTCGGTCTGCCCATCTCCACCCAGGTGGCAGTGCGATACATCGGTACCTTCTTGGCGACCGGTGCTTACATTTCGAACTGGGCAGCTCTCAATGCTTTCCAGGCCAACAACGTTGTCGGGCAATGGAAACGAGTAGCTACTGCGGCAGCGGTCACTGCTTGTAACGGTCTTGGAGGCGTGGCGGGCAGCTATATTGTCCGCCAGCAAGAGGCTCCACAATATCAGACCGCAGTTTGGGTCTCAGTTGGGTATGTTCAAGCCTTAATGAGGTATTCCGAAATTGCTCTCTAACATTATAGCCAGTTCCCACGTACTTCTCATTGCGATTGTGGGCGCATTCACGATTTACTTTCATATCGCCAATCGGCGACAACAGCGAGGATTAAAGGTCCTCGAAGGTGTGGTAAGTTTGTATATTGATGGTCTTCAAGTTTATGGCTTTGCTAATACATCACGTACAGCAAGGCTTCAGATACACTTATTGACCAAATGCAAATACGAAAACTCGCCTATCCCATCCATGGATGTTCAATCCAAAGTTACATACTAATACAGATACTCCCTTTCGAAGCCGCGTGATGTACCTAGCTATACATGTATTTAAGACTTAGACTTACGATAAGACGAAGTACATGTCTCAGGGATTATTACGGTATACCTACCTAGCTCAGCTCTAATGTTTACTTGATATGACATTCAGAGTTTGTTTCATTTCGTTCCCTTAGAACAGACAGATTTGCAAGATTTGCACGATTTGCAACACAATCGGGATGATATACCCATGTTGTAAGATACATTACACAATAAGACTTAATTATTTTAAACCAACCGAGGCCGTCTTCTTAAGTATTAAGGAGATAGAGAGAAAATGCCGGGCAGAAAGACAGAAGAAAGCGCGGACAGTAGTGAGTCTCCCGAGGTCCATGATCCACCCCGGGCCGCCGGCTCCAGCCATAGTGGGGGCTGTCTGGGCATCCACCAATAAAAGGCCGCTGTTCTCTATAAATTCTGGAATGTTCAATATTCATACATTGTTCACTGATCAGAATGAATCCAGATGAAAAAAAAAAGATAACTCGTGCGAGATCGACCGGAGTCGAACCGGACAGCAAGGTAGTGGAAGATCTTAGGCACTTCCCTCGTGGTACACATACGAAGCATGTTACCACTAGGCCACCCGCTGTGGTGAGTTACTGTGTCTGTTTCACTCTTCCTTTTCACTTGCTCTTGCCAGCCTCTTGAGTACATACCTACATGTTCAGGGGCATATACCCATCGGGGTCCTTTGTTCTCTGACTCAGACTTGTGATTGTTTACATCTGGTTTTCACAGTTGTCCTACAGTGAAGCTATTCATCACTAGCCTTAGGCCGACATCCATCTGAATGTTTGCTTTCCCATTGACTATAAATCTAGAAACAACTTTGGTCTATGTTTGAGTGTACACAACAGTTTCATAATGCAGACTGGTGACACTCTCATCTACAAGAATCGACAATCTCTGATCTTCCAAATCCGCCAACGAGCAAGGCAAGGATGGTGAGCTACTCCAACGTTCCTCTCTGAGTGATCTCCCATCTCCACAGCATGCTATATCTTTCTGACTTTGAGTTTTTGGATGTGATCCTTCCCGATACCAAGACCGGTGCTGACTTCGGCGATCCATGTGCTGCAAAAATGTTCTTTGGAAAAACTGAGGCATAATCTGAGTGAAGAGGGGCCAGATACTGATGAGACAAGCAGCAATGATGATCATGCCGCCTTCGATGACTGCCAAAACACACAACTTGGCCGAGATCCCTGTTAGGATATGTATATAAGTGTCTGGTTTGGACACAACTCTGGGATCAGATCTTACACGTTGGGTCCTTCCGAACCATGTCCTGCTCAGCAAAGTAACTCGCCATTCGCAGAATACTGGCCACAGTTCCTCTGAGATATCCCTCATCAGTACTATATCTTATTTTTTTGGCTTTTTTAAAGCATGTATAAAGACAAAGATCGGATAACTCACAGTCCACCTAGGAGGAAAACACCCGTCAAAGCAAGTTTCTGCCCTCGAGGTGCCTGCAACTTCCACACCACCGGGATGGGCATCACAAGGATCAAGATTCCGGTGAGAGCGTTGAGTGGAGCAAATACTCGGTAGGATTCCAGTAGACGAACACAGGTCCCACCGGGGATGCTTCGATCCCATGCATATACGAAGGGTCGACATTGGAAAAAATCTTGGAGAAGAGCACCAATTCCCACTACAAGTACCAACGACCCCACTATATAGACGAGGATGCGAAACTTGCGGGTGGTGAAAATGCGCAGATAGAACACTAGTAGGGCCAATTTGGTGGGTGTTGCGGTGAGGGGGTAATCGAGAGCTTGAAGGGCCACAATGCACTGGTTGTTGTTAGTCTGGTCAAAGCTAGCAGGTGAGGGAATTGAAAAATACCTTCCTCATGAGCAGCACTTTATCGGGCATCTGAGTGATGTAGTCGATGTGATATCCGATGCTGCCGGCTTTGGTCACTGCGTGATATATAAGTTCTGTGATTCTTGGCTCGAATGTAGGCATATTGCCAGAGGTTGACGCTTACAGACAATATAAATAACTGATCTTGCTAGGCTTGCAGTCTGAATAGCGGCATGTTAGTAATGCTAGTAACACTGGATTGGAGGACCGAGTATATATAGATCGGATACATACCAGGGCAAGTAAAATCAGGTAATCGTCCACGCCAAACTTTATCCGCTGCATGAACCGAGTGTAGAATCTCGCGGCAACAAAGACAATTTGAATGGCTCCAATCGCTGCAGAAACTCCAACTAAGGTATGAATACCATAATGCGGTTGCACCCCCGAGACCCCGGCAGCGCCCATGATGATGAAGGAAAGAGATATATAAATCACCCCATTAGTAGCGCACGTTTCTAAGAACGCATTTTGAAACGAGAAGCAGTGAGCGAGCTCATATATTAAAACAAAAAGGATCGCATCGTGAAAAACACTCAAAGGCCCGAAAGTATATCGGGACCGCGGAAACCCTCGATCAGATATTTACCTCCTACCTAAAGTCTCCAACAAAGACTATAGCCGGTCGGGACGAACCCTCCGTAGGTAGATCCGAGGCCGCCTAAATGCAAGAATAACCATGGCCCCGGGATTTCCAAAATGAGGTCTGGGTATTGGTAGCGTGAACGTTAGAAGTCTATTATTTTAGAGTTGACTATTCCCATGGAACTGCCTCCGGAAACCCCATTGTCTTTGGATCGAAAATTCCCCCGAAGACTGCTTGCCTCGCCCACCTACAGTAGACCCCAGGTGATTGACATCATGACATGTCGGCCGTAATCGGGTTTTGCTCTTCTCCCACGCTAACACAGCCTCTGAGGCTATATGCACAAGAGGATGTAGCTTCCGACGTGGAGCTGGTGGGTTCCCCTGAAGCATAATTGACCTCCGGTGTAGGAACACTCATTGTCTACATGTCGTCGCGTGCGTGTGGTTCTCCACGTTGCTTTTTTTTTTTCTTTTCCTCCGGGTCCAGACTTGAGGGGTTTCTTTGTTCGTGGAGCTGATTTGGAGATTTGCCTGAGCTGGATGGTTCACCTGGAGATTATCATTACCGATCTCGGCGATCGACTCCATTCAACTGGATGTGATCGTCGGTGTCGATGAGGACATATTGTCTGTTTTTTGACACCCGGTCTATCGATATTGAATAGCAGGGGGCCAAGGTAGACAAGCTTTGCGTGTTATATATTTCTTAGTACACCATTGGTGAGTTCTTGTCAGTTGACACCATTGAGGCATAATGTGGCTAGTTATAGATAATTCCTTAGTTCACTGTGGCTTTTGAGGTATGTCGGTTGACTTTAGATGCAAAGTTTGCGGACTTGATTGTCTGTAGTGGTGTGTTCAGGGCTCTCGGTGCTACGGAGTACTTAGGGTAGATATTGGAGACGCACCCTTGGCAATGAGCTATTTCGGGCCTCGGCCTGATTCGATTTCTGCATTTGCCTTGATTTTACTTGATTTTTTTTCCCTTCCGGGTCGTTTCTAGTATCTGTTCTCGGCAGTCAGAAAGCATAATGAAGAGATGGCATTTTTCCATTGCAATAGGCGATGAGATACATACACATGCACAAATTATGCGATTAAAGAGAAGGGGGTATATGGCAAGCAAGACGGAAGACCTCGCAAGGAAAAAGATAGACGGGGAAAGTCAGCCCGCTCAAGAAAACTACACCGATCACTGGAAAAGACAAAAAAGCTATTAGACAGGTAACCTCAAGCCACCCGATCTTTATCCTTCTGTTCCAGCTTTCCTACAAGCCGCTTCATCCCCGTCCACTCGTCCGCGGGCACCTCTTCCGGCAGCCCACAAAGACCCTTGCCAACCTCGTAGACGGTAACAACACCGTTGAGGCCTCCCGTTGCCAGACGGCGTCCTTCACGCTCGTCCCACGCAACTTTATTAAGACTGCGGGACATAATGTTGCCATGGGTATTGTCAACCACTTCACGTGCGACAGGTACCTCAGTATCTGAAGCAAGATCCCAGACTTCGACGTTGCCGGCACCGTCGACAAGTGAGAAGACGCCGGGCCGAGTTGGGTGCCAGCGAGCATCGTAAACCACATCGTCGCGGGTAATGTCGAGAATGGGTGCGACGACTTGGGACTGGGCCAGTCCGGATGTGGCAGAGGCGGTTGTCGCAGGTGGGCGCACACGCCAGAGCTTTACACTCCAGTCCAGACTGGAGCTCAGCATGAGATCTCCGAGATCGACGGGTCCACGCCCGGGATGGAATGCGGTAGACATGATTGGTGCCGTATGTCCCTTGTAGGCTAGTCGGTGGTCTGTGCCAGACTTGGCTCCGGCCCGATCGTACCGGTGGCAGGGGTAGATGACGCCTTCTTCGGTGCCGACGATGAAGAAAGTAGGATCTGTGTGAGGGAATGACATGGTGGTTGGAGCAAGATCCTCCGTCTTGGATGGAGGAGGTGTGGTAAGCTCCACACGATCCTGTGGGTAAGAAAGCATGTCCATCGTCCAGCCGCAAACCACACCGTCCGTAGAAGCGGTCATGATATTGTGCGCATTTTGTGTACCAACGATGGAGATGCTATAAACGGGATGGGCGTGTCCGCCGCCAGAGAGTGGAGTCTTCTGTACAGGTGACCCTCCACCAGCACGCGACGAACGAGTGTCCCACACAAGCACCTGTCCTGAATACGAGCCTCCAACTACAAGATTTGGATGATAGGGAGAGAATTTTGCGGTGAGGATATCGGAGGTGGAGTGGAACACATATTCCGGACGAGATTGTAAGTGCTGGTTCCAGATCTGGACAAGACCATCGGGTTCGTGAGGAGCGGAAGTATTCTTAGTGTATGATGCAAGCAATAATTCAGGGAACTAGCGTTAAGGTCAGCATGGGAGATAGGAACTATAATGGAACAGCAAAATTCCTACCTTGGGAGAGAAGCCTAGATCACTGATGATACGATTCTTGCTCCATCGTTCATCCCAGAAATGGCATACTTCCTGTATTCCCCTCCTCTTCTTGCCGGTCTCCTCATCTTCGTGCAGATGTCCGTCTGTTCCACCTAGCTCATAATCTGCTAGCACATCGTAGTCCTCATCTAACGCTCTTTCAATGACCTTCGAAGAGCGCTCCACAAAGTCCAAGAAATCGTCAGACGATGTGACTGCCTTCAGCTCATCGTCATCGAGTGTGCGAAGAGGGTACCGCAGCTTTGCCGATTGCGCAGCCGAATCATCATTATTATCTTCCTGCTTCGTAGCTTGCAGCTCGTCCTCAATTTCTTTGCGGATCTTCTGCCGGATTTCCTCGTCGCGCTCCCGGTCTCGTCGACTGTGACGCTTGTTCGACCGAGCACTGCCAGGTTCTTCTTCATTATCCGAAGTAACAGATCCCTCAGGGGTTTCAGGCTGAAACTCTAGTCCCTCTGTCTGTACAGCCTTGCTATAGGTGACAACTTCTGGCTTAGGTTCGGGCTTGGATTCGGTTTCAAGTTCAGGGGGACGCGGGGCTTCCGTTGCGTAGGGGGGTAAGGCCCATCTGTCGTTTGGACGGCAATAGACTGGGACTGTGGTCGCAATGGAGCTGGATATACTTCGGCATTTTCCCCGCTCAATTGGCTGGCACTCAACACAGAGGTCGGTCGACTTCCTCTCCGCGACTGGTTATCGGCGCCGTGGCTGAGGGATGCCGACCCTGGGCGATCGACCAAGCGAGAGATCAAGTCATCGAGGTCATGTCTGCTCTCTGCACGGCTAGGTACTGGCGAGACAATCTGGCAATGTTGTTAGACTCGGACGAGCTCCGTAACTCATTGATATGCCGCATTTACCTCTGAAGTATCCCCGGCACTGTTTCGGGAGGTGAACTCCTTTTGGCGGAGCTCGCGCTGCTTTTTCAGCTCGGCAAGCTTAGCCCGCTTGGCAAGGATCTCATCCTTGCGCTGCTGTATCGACGACATATTGTACAATCATGAAAAGACTAAACTAGATGCGTTCGCGTCCAAGTGTAGTATCACCACGGTTTATTTACTGTGATGACTAAGCGCTCCGTCCTCGGGAACTCTGGACCGGTCCGGAAAAACTCGCGCGCGCAGAACATGAACTGAACCTCGCCATTGACTAACCCGGAGATTCATTGCCATTGACGGTAGACACCTGTTGAACGGTCCCTAGTTCTTACGCAGTTCATTCCCTCATTTACTTCCCCTCTTCCGGAAATCTTGCAGAAATGGCCAGCACACAGGGTGTCAATGTGAGTACCGGCTAAGGGTTACAGTCACCCTCTTTCCCGACGGTTATTGACCACATCTTCAAAACAACAGGTCCTCCGTTACTCGGCTCTCGTTGCCGGTCTCTTCTACGGTGCCTACCACCAGTCCTCCCTTAACTCTGTGACCAAGCGCGCAGAGATCGAGCACGAGTATGCCCGCAAGGAGCGTTTGATCGAGCAGGCCAAGGCCGAATACAAGAAGAAGACCCAGCCCCAGCAGGAGACCCAAACACAGACCAGCGGACGTACGTTTCAATTCTTCTCATGACACGATTCAAATAGCTGCATCGATACCCGGAGCCGCCGCACATTCCCAGCAACCCCAGTGCTAACCGAATTTCCACAGTTATCACGAATTTCGAGGACCCCAAGTTCGACCTGGAGGCATTCTTGTTGGCCAAGGCTAAGGAGTAAAGATAGCGGATGATATAGAGGAGGAATGATACGCAATGATCTCTTTGCGGGAACCGCACCTCCCCCAGGGTATTAGACGCGATTTGCTCGACTCCGCTCCATTTTTTTGTACGATTGTTTGGGCTTAATATGCTTCCGAGCTGTGGCATTGCGAGCGCAAGATGGAATGATTTTTGTTTCTCATTTTTAGACGTTTTATCTGGGTCTTGTACATACCCTGGGCTGTCGTGCGCCTGTATACTACAGTTGGACCACAACCAAGAGCAAAAGATCGTGTTATGCATTCCGGCGCTACCAGTGGCCTTAGTACGTACGTGTATACCGGATCGTTCTGAGCTCTGGTCCTCCTCCGTTTCCGCATCTAAGCAACCCGGAAACAGGATGTAGACGTACAAAATAGTCGTTAGAGAGATAATAGTCCTCATTAACCAACAGATTTCGCTCAATATTTCCCACTATTTCAACTTCCACGAGTTCCCAGCATTTCCATCGCTTCCCGAATGCCATTGGAGGATACATCGTCCGCGGGTGATACAACAATAGGTTTGGGGTACAGCAGCTTTGCTTCCGGTTCCCATGTCCATCCACACTTGGTGAAATTCGATATGATGTCCGGGTCTTCCCGCTCGGCGAGGTGTTGGTCGAGGCCAAGGTAATTTGCTGCTGTGGCTAGCCGTATAGCTTCGTAAGACCTGCTCACTGCGATCAAGGTCTTGTCTTGGAAGAAGCCTAATGATAGGCGATTGGCCCAAGTAAGCTTTTGCTCAAAGAAAAAATATTCTCGACGAATAACACATACTTTCATATCTCCCTACCAGTGGTCGCAAGGTCTTCGGCCAGGGTAGGTCTCGAAGGATTTGGTAGACCGGGCCATGTTGATTCTGCCATACCGCTCGTAGTAAAGCCAGACAGTTTTTTAGGGAAGGATCCTGTTGCAGCAGAGCTTCCGGCATTCGTTTCGTTAGAGCGCGAGCTTCAGGTCTATGATTCAAGCTTCAGTTAGCAGTGTGGCATCATCAAGAACACTCTCAACAATTTACTAACACTTGATCGGTAAGAAGATGCACCAGGAAGAAGCTCGAGTAGAACAAGCATAATAATTCAGAGTCACCCCCACCTAGCTCAGGGCTGCCACTTCCTGCACACATAATACAGGCTTCTAGTTCATATCGCGACAAGGCCGCGAAGAGCTGTGATGGTGGAGTACTGGAGCCCACCAGCTGCGAGAGCTGCCCCAGGGTCAGCGGAGGAAGCTCCATAGGATATATGGATAAAAGGAAAAGGTCAGTTGAAATTGGCTTGATTTGCTGTAGAGATGCCGGTGTATTGAGTAACGATAGATATTTCGCGATACGAGACAGAAAAGAAAGCTCTAGTCAAGGTGAAGTGGTGAATCACAGTAGTATTGCGGGGAGCAATCGGAGGTGGCGCCTCTCGCCGACGCCAAGACCTTCAGAAGTGACCACCTTGCGCAGCTCTTGTCCTTACCATCTCTCTTCACGGCCCTCACCATTGGCATTTCAGCCCAATTCATTCTTTGATTTCATGTTTCTAATTTGAGTTCTGACTCTGGACTTTGCTCCTTTTTCAAGGCCATTATGGCCCCGTCTTCGCTTGATTTTGTGTTGAAGGGCAGCTCCGGCCGGAGCACGCGCGGTCTATTGCGGGTTATCATCCTCTGTACCATTGCCGCCGCCGCAGTTTCCAGCCGACTGTTCAGTGTTATTAGTATGCTTCACTTGAGATCCTTTATGATAACCTTATTGACTTTCTGTTAGGATTTGAAAGTATCATCCACGAATGTATGATTTTCTTGCGCCGTTGTAGATGCGACGGCTACCTCGATAACCCCCCGAACACACGAACGAGATATTGATACTATTTCACTTTAGTCGATCCCTGGTTTAACTTCCGTGCAACAAAATACTTGGTCGAAAATGGCTTCTACAGCTTCTGGGATTGGTTCGATGACCGTATGGCCCCTTTCCTTGTGATTGCGCATCATTCAAATGGTTATATAAATCGCATGATGCTGATGGAAACGTTCGCTCTATAGGAACATGGCACCCTCTGGGTCGTGTCACTGGTGGCACATTGTACCCTGGATTGATGGTGACCAGCGGCGTGATCTACCACATCCTCCGTTTCCTCACTATCCCTGTTGACATTAGAAACATCTGTGTCTTGCTCGCCCCCGGTTTCTCTGGACTAACGGCCCTGGCCATGTATCTTCTCACCTCCGAGATGTCCACTTCTCCTTCCGCAGGTCTCCTGGCCGCCGCCTTCATAGGTATCACCCCGGGTTACATCTCTCGATCCGTGGCGGGCAGTTATGACAATGAAGCGATTGCAATTTTCCTATTGGTCTTCACATTCTACCTCTGGATCAAGGCCGTGAAGAACGGTTCGATCATGTGGGGAGCCCTGACCGCATTGTTCTACGGATACATGGTCTCGGCTTGGGGTGGATACGTTTTCATCACCAACCTGATTCCCCTTCACGTTTTTGTCCTTCTCTGCATGGGCCGATATAGTACCCGTGTTTATATCAGCTATACCACCTGGTATGCCTTGGGGACATTGGGAAGCATGCAGATTCCCTTCGTCGGTTTCTTGCCTATCCGCAACAGTGATCACATGTCTGCACTTGGTAAGATTCTTGGATTATTGTGTTGTACTACTCTTATTCTGACTACTCGATAGGTGTCTTTGGACTGATTCAATTGGTGGCTTTCGCCGAGTTCATCCGAGCCTATCTCCCAGGCAAGCAGTTCCAGAAGCTCCTCACTTCCATGGTTTTACTCACCTTTGGCCTTGGATTTGGTGGCCTCGTTCTGCTGTCAGTCACTGGGGTCATTGCTCCCTGGAGTGGCCGTTTCTACTCTCTGTGGGATACTGGCTACGCCAAGATCCATATTCCGATTATTGCCTCCGTCTCTGAACACCAGCCTACCGCCTGGCCTGCCTTCTTCTTTGACCTGAACTTCCTTATCTGGCTCTTCCCAGCCGGTGTATTCATGTGCTTCCAGAAACTTAAGGATGAGCATGTATTTGTGGTCATCTACTCGGTCCTTGCCAGCTACTTCGCTGGCGTCATGGTCCGTCTGATGCTCACCCTGACACCCATTGTTTGTGTTGCAGCTGCTCTTGTCTTGTCGTGTATCCTCGATAACTTCGTGGTTGCATCGACCCCGAAGCCTGAAGCTAAAGCCGCGGTAAATACCGATGATAAGTCGCTTCGGTCGACCCGGAACCCCGTCATCGGTATCTACTCGTACTTCTCCAAGTCTGTCGTGGTAGGCTCAGTCACCCTTTACCTGCTCCTGTTCGTCGCACACTGCACCTGGGTTACTTCCAACGCATACTCCTCGCCATCCGTGGTGCTGGCTAGTAAGCTACCTGACGGTAGCCAGTTCATCATCGATGACTACCGCGAGGCCTACTATTGGCTTCGTCAGAATACCCCTGACAATGCCAAGATCATGGCCTGGTGGGATTATGGATACCAGATTGGTGGCATGGCTGACCGTCCTACCCTGGTTGACAACAACACTTGGAACAATACCCACATTGCCACTGTTGGCAAGGCTATGAGCTCCCGCGAGGAAGTCAGCTACCCCATTCTACGCCAGCATGACGTCGACTATGTCCTGGTCGTGTTCGGTGGACTGCTTGGCTACTCCGGCGACGATCTGAACAAGTTCCTCTGGATGGTTCGTATCGCCGAGGGGATTTGGCCAGACGAGGTGAAGGAGCGCGACTACTTCACCGCCCGTGGTGAGTACCGCGTGGATGAGGAGGCCACCCCAGCCATGAAGAACAGCTTGATGTAAGAAACCTCATTTATTGACGCCCCCAAGACATTACTGACTTCATCAACAGGTACAAGATGTCATACCATAACTATCAGTCCCTCTTCCCGGCCGGTCAGGCCATGGACCGTGTTCGTGGTGCAAAGCTCCCCAAGGAAAGCCCTCAGCTCAACACACTGGAGGAGGCTTTCACTAGCGAGAACTGGATCGTCCGTCTCTACAAGGTCAAGGACCTGGATAACCTCGGTCGTGATCACAGCAACGCCGTTGCCTTTGACAAGGGGCTTAAGCGCAAGCGTGCTACAAAACGCAAGGGTCCTCGTGTTCTGCGAACCGAGTAGAGGTTTTGTTTCTATATTCATCTTGCATTTTCTGGTCTTGGCCGTTATGATTCACTCCGACATAACCGCCCCTTCTTCTTGTGTGTTAAAACCCCGCCGAGTAGGTATACACTAGGCTTAGTTAACTAGAATTACATCCCAATTTCTCTCTCATGAGAGGTTTTTACGTCACTTTTCTGTAATTTCCATCTACCTTCTTTGCAATTCAGTGGTGAGCAGATGGGCAGGCCTCATCTTGAAGGCTCTGGGGCATGTGAAGGTCCCCAAAAGGCGTGACAGCCTGCCAAGGAGAAATGGTGAACATCTGTTGCCTGAATTGGTAGTACAGCTTATATTCCAAGCCAATTCTTTCTGTAAACGGCAGCACAGATGCTGATATTATCGCTAAACCTGCAGATCCGAAAAACAAGGTCTTCCTGAAGACTCCGAAACCCCAATGTGCACACTGTTTCTTTTCCCACTGCTCGCCGCTCTTTGTTCATCTGGCCGAGGCAGGTACATGGTGAAAACCGAGCATAAACCGATGCTCAGTTACATCGTCAACCCAGCACTGAGCAGTACGAGTGGGTGTTGACGGTGCTTTATTTCTTGTCCACGGGGGCATCGGGGACCTTGACGTCGGAGAACTCTTCTTGGCCGACGGCCTTGATGGTATAAGAATCTAGAAATTGGTTCCACATTAGCACAGGGCCCTATCTCTGGTGAATATCGAACCCGGGTGGGGACCTCTCCGCGGGCAAGTTCAAGTGGCATGATCGTTTGCGGTTCGGGTATAGGAACATGGGATCACAACTGTGAGATGGGCCGTGGGATACACTCACAGACGGCGATTGTGAAAGCGAACAGTCCGAAGCCTGTGAGGGCGTTCTTGAACAGATATGGGCGGCGGGCGCGCAGAAGGGCGGCACCGGCGCGGTAGTCCTTGTCGTAGTAGGTAGAGTTGAAACTATCGCAGAGGCACAATATTAGCAAGATGAGGTCTCTCGAAATCCAGAAAAGTAACACCTACATTCCAGTAGCCATGGTGAGAGTGTTGGTGGGCGGAAATGTGAGAAGCAAGAAAGTTGAGGCCATACACAGGCAGAGCCGGAGGAAAAGTCTTGGCAGTCAAGGCCCAGACAACCTGATACGAGTTGAGATGTGATGATTGCGCTTATATAGAGCTTTTTATTGTCGTTCCTAGATTGAGTCTATTTCAATTGCTAGTTCTCTATATATACAGCATCTATCAGCTTGTCTATTTGAGTGGACGAGGTGTGTAGAGATAGGCAGTCCACATACATCGGGGTCTTTGTCGGCCGCCCTGTTAGGCTCCGCAGCTTTTGTCGCATCCTCGACGGCTGTCACCTCACTTTTCAATCATCTTGCCTTGACCCCCATCGCGTAACGCAGATACCTTTTCAAACATAGGCGTTGCTTCGCCGCTAATTCCGTCTTCTGCGATCGTAACCCCAAGCTTATGCGCGTTGCTTTTGCAACTGCACCCGTGTCCCCCGTCCGGTTAGCCATCAACGTCCTCCCTTTCCCCAACGCCTGATCTCCCAACTCGAGCTCGGCAACCCCATCGCACACTGGATACCTTCCCCTAGAAGCTACAATGGCTCAGCCAACGGACAATGTCGTGGACCAAGTCGCGCAGCTCAACGCCGCCCGCAGCCTCGTTCTCGGTGATGCTGCCTTCTACCCGCAGATCGTGAATGGTATCTTGCCCATCGTCGGAGCTAGCACTCGGCTGGAACTTCGGAGATGGGGCGCAAGTTTTCTGGCAGAAACCTTTGCTAGTCCGATGCTAGCTGTAGCACAAAAGGAACAGCTGGCGCCGAATGTCTTGCAGACAATCCGTGAGATCTTAGAGTTGCCGGAGACCGACATCGCAGTCCTACAGAGCTTAGTGCAAACTTCAGCTAGCTTGTATCCCCTCGTCTTCAGACATGTGTAGGTTATTGTCACGCTCTTGCGGCTACGGCGCAGCAGCGTGCTCCGAAATGAAACTCGGGACAGGGCTGACAATATCCGCAGAGTGAACCACCCACAGGACGGCAAATCATGGGAGGTAATGAGTGCGATCAAGCAGGACATTCTTAGGAGAATGGACTCATTTCCGTGTCCGGTTAAGCTTTGCTGCGCCAAGTTCATCCAGCGCGTGGTTCAAGTCCAGACGCCTGGATTGATTTCGGACCCGAGGGTATGTTATTCGAACTACGTAGGCCTGTAGATATCGTTACTAAATTTGCTTTAGCGTCCCGAGCAAAACGAGACATCTTTGGCCGTCGTTCCCCGAAACCATGCTGTTCTGTCAATCCCCAATTTGGAAGCTGAATCATCAGGTCTCCTTGATCGACTACTAGGTGTTTTCCAAGAGGAGACTAGGTATGTGGATTGGATACTTTGTTCTACAAAACCAGGATGATGCTAACCCAAGCCAGTGATGCTCTTCTTGTAAATGCGACTTTGAACTGCCTTCCTCCTCTCATCCGGACGCGCCAGTCCATCGCAAACAAGATCGTCAACACAGTTCTGGAGTTCTATCCCGCCAAACATGTCCGCCCCCCATTCACTCCGACTGTTCGAGTCAGCGTTAAGTCCATGGAGCGGACAGCTCGGGCTCTGGTCATCAACATTTTGAAGAAGTATGTCGTTGTCGTGGTCGTTGTTGTACAAGTTGGGGTATGATCTGACATTGATAGGAATCCGAACCACCCTCTGGCTGGTCGAATGCAGATGTATATTGAGCGTCTCATGCAATCACGCCTTGAGGTCACTGATGACGCATCGCGCAAACGTGGATTGCCAAACGAACCTACCGACGGGCTTGACAACGCTAAGCGGGCACGTCTTAATGCTTTGACTCCACCCATACTTAAGATTCCCCCGATGGCACCGGGGCCCGCAAGCTTCGATCGACTATTCACTTTGACTGAGGACACCGGACTGTCTTCCTTCGACGTGAAACAACTTCCAATTGATCTAGTCCTTAAGATTGTTGTACCTCTATTGTCGCAGGTACATGACTCGACACTCACACAGGCTGTCGATGTAAGTACCACCGTGAGAATGAAGAGGATCATTTTGCTAACATGGTCTTAGGCTGTTCGCACTCGGTATCAGACAATCACCAAAGACCAAAATTTGCAACGGCAGCAGCAACTGAAAGCAGCAGTCCCAGACGACGATGACGACTATGAGCCTGAATACCAGCCTATGGATGTAGCGTCTGTCGTTTCAGAAGAAGCCAGTGCAGTTGCCGCAGAGGTAGCAGATCTCCAACCAGAACTGGTCTCTCTGGGTCCGTTCGTCCTGCCACAGCCTCCTCCATTGAGTGAAGAAGAAGCTGGAGAAATCGGACGGAGTGCCGTTGCACGCGTGTTCGGTATGCTCAACGCAGCTGAATCGTCCCCACCACCTGCCAAGGCTCAGAGCCAACAGAAGCTCGGATTTGCCCGGTTAGCAGGCAGCACATTCGATCGAGATGCGTGGTCTGTTCTTCTTGCTCGGCTAGCTACAAGGGCTCCAGCCGGTTTAGAACCTGGCCAGCAAGGCAAAGGAGATTCTGTCGCACGTAAGCAAACCACCATTGCTGACTCGATCCGCGAGACGCTGTATCGATTCATCTTGGAAGATTTCCGAGGACGCCTCAACATTGCTATTATCTGGCTCAATGAAGAATGGTATAATGACCGAATGCAAATGAAAAATGCTGCCAGTCAGCGGGACGAACCCGATGGAGAGTCGGAGCCGACTGTGGCTCTTAATTACGATACTTGGGCTACCCGTCTTTTGGATGGCTTCTTGGCTTACTTGGACTCACGAGATATCAAGGTTCTGGTCCGATTCCTCAGTGAAGTTCCTGAGATCACAATCCCCCCTCACCCAACGGGTGGCTAGCTTGGCTAAAGATCCGGAACGTGTCAACCTCTGTGTTCAATCATTGATGTACGTTATCAGCTACCTTTTCACCATCACTTTCATCTTACTGATAATCATCTAGGTACCTGATCATGTTCCGACCCCCGGCTCGAGAGATGTGTCTGAACACAGTCGAGGATGTTTACCAGACTTGTACGAATACCCCCAGTTTTGATATTCATTGGCCGGGCTCATCTAACATTTTACTCACAGACGAGGAATCTCGACCTGCTGCTGGAAAAGTCCTCACCAAGTGGCGCCCGCAAAGCAAAGTTCTGGGGAGTACTGCAAACGGAGCTTCAGACCCATCGGCAGCACCTCCCCAGCCGGAAGCGCAGCCTGCCACTTCAGAACAATAATGATTTGTTTCGTTTTAGTTGATGAAAAGAAGATGATACCATGAGATGAGAATCTCCCATCTTCCACAATATTGAATGGTCATCCGAGATCAACCGCTTCAGTCTTCGGGTATTATGTTTCTATTGCACATGTCCTCAGTTTCGTGGCATTCAGCCCTTGTTTCATCATACCTTCTATTGTATTGAGTTTATGGGTACGGAGTAATCTTTGTGACAATCACAGCTTTTATCTTGAGTGATTTCTGTCTGAGAGGATGTTGATTATTTTCACGGCCTACCTCCAGTACGTCGCATTACCCATGTGGGTTTTGTGATATGGCAAGGACGGGTACCCCGTCTATGAGACCGCGAACATGAACAGTAACATTTTCAAGCTCTGGGGATGGCATGTAAAGGATATTTGACGATAAGTTGCTCTCTTCACAACGGTCTATTCCTACTCCACCGAGTAGTCGTGCATTGTTTCTAGCATTAAACCATACTTAGTGATGAAGTTGATACGACGCAGGATATATATTGGGTGATGGTGTAGAGCCACCTCCCCTCATGATAAGCCCCTCTCCCCTTGCCTGAATCTTCAGTGTTTGCCATATGACTCCCTAAAATCATGTTTTCTGCTATCCTAGATATCATATATGCATAGGTGTATAGCACGGCCAGGGGTCGGAAACTAATATTTGAAATGTTGATGCCTGAATATGCATTCAGTTGCCTGAATATTTACCAGTGGAGAATATGACTACCTGAATTACTATAACAGAGCCCTTAGTAAATAAAGCACTTGCGTTCTTCTAAGGTTAAATTTTTCCCAATGTCGATAATGTTGATACCTTAGAAAGTAGGCATTAAGTATGACGCTATTCGCACTTGTATGAATACCAGAACTCCCTTCTTCTAGGCGTTGAAACTTCTACTATACAATCGTTATCCTCTCTTCTCCTTCACCACTCCTATACGCGTACCCGTTAGCGATAGCGGAATAGGTGGGATTAGAAAGTCATATGGCAAACCGTGAAAATCGAGGCAGAAGGGGTGGTCTGCACCATCACCCAATATATTATCCCCAGGATCTCACTCTGAGCTCCTTTCAACATGGATTTGGTTTAAGTTACCTCTCGTTTTTATTTATCTGCTGTTCACTTGTCAAGAAAAAAAATCAAACAGTTTATTTGGTACTCTGTACATGAAAGTCTATAAAAATCTATGTTGTATAATACATGCTGTAAATCACTCAGTTCTCCGCGGCAGCCTCGGACCTGGGAGGCCACTTCACGCGGCGCTCAGCGCGGACGTAGAGGTTATTGGGGCGAATCAACTGGAACATAGGATCGTACTGGATAGGATCGTCGCCCTCACGAGTGAACTTATAGCGGTAAAGAAGCTTGGGCAGGAAGACCTTGATCTCCTGCAAGGCAAAGTTGAAACCGATGCACATGCGGGAGCCCATAGCGAAGGGAATATAAGCGGCCTTGTGGCGGTTCTTGACTGCCTCGGTGTCCCAACGGTCGGGGTTGAAGATGGCGGGGTTATCCCAGATATCGGGGTTGTTGTGAATGTGGTGGAGAGCCGGGATGATGACGGAATCCTTGGCGATCTTGTATCCTCCGGGAAGGATGAGGTCGACCTTGGCTGTGCGGCCGGGCTGGAAACTGGGGTTGTGGCGGCGCTGGGTCTCCTTGATGTACTTGTCGAGGAAGTCGAGCTGGTCGGTGAGATCGGCAGTCATTTCGGTGTTCTCGTCGAAACCGTGGTCGATGAGTTCTTGGAGGAGACGGTCTTGCATGCCGGGGTAAGTGACGAAACCGTAGATGAGCCATGAAAGGAGGGAGCTGGTGGTGGTGAAGCCGGCGGCGGTGGCGACGATCAATGACCAGACCAAGCTTTCCTTGGGGAGCTTCTCGCCCTTGTTATCGGTAGCACGAATGGCGTAGTCTGGAGAGTTAATTAGTATATTGATAGAAGGTGAAAGGGTAGGTGATGTTAACTTACCGACCATGTTTGATGCGATCAGAGCAGCATCTTGTAGAGGAAGATCCTCGATACCACCACGAGCGGCCTTCTGGATAGATTCATCGACCATCTCCACGATTCTGGCCTTAATATCCTTAAGGTGCTTGGGATCACCGAAGGGCAGATTGGCATACCAATCTCCCTTAGATGTGACCTTCTTGTTAAGAGAAAGCATCTCGGCGATCAACTCGACCATCTCGTGTAGTGGTTGATCGGGGGAGTTGAAGTGTTCGAAATCAAGACCCAGAGTGAGCTTGCCAACGGCTTGGGAGCCGAGCTTCAGCATGTGCTGGTAAACGTTCCATGCCTCACCCTCCTCATCGAAGTGATCGAAAACCTTGAAGGCATCCTCGACGGACTTTTGCATGGTAGGAGCATAGTGACGGACAGCCTTGGGGCCAAGAGCGGGGGCAAGAACTTGTGTGCCTGTCTCCACTCGGGAGTATCAGTATCAGCAAGGAAGATACCGGCCTCAGTCTGCTTCAAGGCAGCAAGAGGGTGAGCGGCGTTGATCTCCTTTGTGAAAAAGTCGGACTCGGTCAAGGCGATGGCGGAAATCTCGGGGTCATTGGTCTGGTAGATGGTTCGGCCCAGGTTGGTAGTCTTGATGACGGGACCGTATTGCTCGAAGAGACGCTGGTGGTTGCCAAGGTGGTCAGGGTAGACCTCGAAGAAACTTCCGACCATAGGAAGACCCGTGGGACCGGGAGCCTCACGAACGGCGCGGCCATCAATGGCGATGGCTACGGGAGCGGTAGCAGCAACGATATCTGAAACCTCGCTGACCTCGGCATCTTGAACCTGGAAAGAGATACCTATCGAGTGTTAGTGTTCAAGGTCTCTTAAGGCAGAAAAAAATATCTCAAAACATACCTGTGGGCTCGACGATAGCGAAGTGAGCAGCGATCAAGTCCTTGAGTGAAACCAAATCAGAGCTGGGATCGACATCAATGTTCTTGACGGTGGAGAGGGGCTCTCCGAGAAGGTAAAATTGCTTAGCAGACATTGTGATTTAGTTGAGTTAATTTTGAAAGTCCATACAGGAACACAACCCTTTATATCAACTGTGCAATGGCCACATCGAGACAAAATGCCCGTTTCATACTTGTTTCCTCGGCTTGTGGGTTCTGAGCCGTGTTTCCGATTGGCCGCCACTACCTCGGGAGGGCCTTCCTTCGACTCCCGATGATCGACGTCCGCAGCTGGATGCGGCATTATTTCAAATTCCTAAATTAAACCTCCGCTGTGGGTCCAAAGTAACGAGATAGCGCTGCCGTGTTACGAATCTCCGAAAACATGCCGTTCGTGCCATTCTCCGGGTCTGCCTTTCACCCGGACAAGCTGTCCAAATTAGGAAAAATAAAAATTGTGTTTTAGAGTTATGACGCCACAGAAGATCCTAAATGGAAGCATCTGGATTGGCCACGTGCGATTCGTGATTAACGGGTGGAAATCTCCGATCTACGGTTATAGTGACAAAGGTACTATCAATTCTCTACCTTCTTTGTACGTCACTACACACTAGTCATAAACAGTAAGTCTAGAACAAAGGGGTAGTGGATGGGAAATTTCTTCTCAACCTTGGAAAAGGACAGATCTTAGATTTACTCAGGTCTAGACTAAGAGAATTGAGCCACCGAGTAGCTCCCATATGTGAACGATTACTCCCCTCAAGCGCTTAAGACCAATAAACCCGCCGTAAGAGAATTGAGCCAAGTTGAAGCAATATGAACAGTGATGATGATTGTATTACTTCTGTACACAAAAATAGAGATTGCCATGATTCATGAAATTGAAACTGATTTCAAAAGCTCAAGACCAATGAACTGCCGTAAGAGAATCAAGTCAAGTTGAAGCAATATGAAGAGTAATGATGATTATATTACTTGTGTATGTACTTAAAAATAGAAATTCTCAAAATTTGGAACTCTGTTAAAGAAAACTCAAGACTGATAATAAGCCGCCGTAAGAGAATTGAGCCAAGTTGAAGCAATATGAAGAGTAATGATGATTGTATTACTTGTGTACTCAAAAATAGAAATTCTCATGATTCATGAAATTGAAACTCTTTTAATTCACAAACTCCTCTATGATACCGCACAACCTAGCACAAAAATATAATGACAAGAATATATATACAGAACCGATCTAGAAGCAGAAGATCTGGTCGGTCATTTTGCCAACGGCTCCGGGGGCCTGGAAGCCGGCAGCCACTAAGCTCTTCTTGGAGGCATTGACCATGCCGGGAGGTCCACAGAGCATGATCTTGGTGTCAGGGGCAGGTCCAGGGAGTCGTGCGGCCATGACATCGGGTGTGACGTAGCCCTTGCCGTAAGCCCAGTCTTCGGAAGGCTGATCCAACATGTACCAGAGCTTGAGGTTCTTGGGGTATCCGCGGGCGAAAGCCTCCAACTCCTTGCGGAGAAGGATATCCTCTTCGGTGCGGTTGGCGTAGATCAGGCTGATCTCGGTGGTATCACGATCATCCTCGCAAATCGCGCGGATGAGCTGGTACATAGGGGTGATTCCAGTTCCACCGGCGATCATGCCAATCTTCTTGCAAAGACCGTTGTGGTACTTCATGCCACCCTTGGGGCCGCGGAACTCGACCTTGTCGCCGATCTCGAGATGCTCGAGGTATTGACCGGTGAGAAGACCATCGGGGTAGCACTTAATGACCAACTCCAAACGTCCAAGATCCAAGTTGTTAGATGTAGGGGTGTAGGAGCGGGAGACGGAGGCACCGTTGACCATAGCCTTGATGGCAACGTGCTGGCCAATGGGGAGACCGATCACATCCTTCGCATTGGGCAGCTGGAAGACGAAGCGGTACACATTGGAGGATAGTTGATCCTTCTGGACGAGGGGGAGCTTCTTGTAGGTCTTGGGCTCAAGGAAGCCCTTGATAAGGTGTGGGTTTTGCTTCTTGAGAGTTGAGGCCTTCTTGTGGGCAGGGAACTTGGAGAAACCAGACTCAACCTTGGTGAATTTGGAGAGTTGGTTGGCGACAGCACCGCCAATAACTGCGCTGGCCAGAGTAGCAGCGGCGAATCCACCGACGAATCCACCACGCAGGGCGCTGGGGTAGGGGATACGAGCATCGGGCAACTGTAGGGAGCTCAGGGAGCAGTTGGCGAGCAAGTCGGTCAACACACGCTGGTGCTTGGAGGAAGCGTAGATCAAGGCACCGGCAGCAAGGGTGGCAGTGATGGCAGTTGTGGCTTTGGCGACCGATGTTGACTTTGTGGACTTCTCTGGAACGACAACGGTGGGCTTGATAACACGAACGACCTTGGGCTGGACAAACGCGTGTGCATCCTTGACTGTGCCGATGAGGTAGGTCTCCAAAATCTCAGAAGCGTCCTCTGAGTGACCGACATCTTCGTATGCAGCGGTGGCATCTGAGCCGGCGACATCGATCAAGACATCAGCACCACCGGGGTGGTCGCGGACATAGGTTGTGATGTCGTAGACTAGACAAGTCAGAATATTGAACAAAGTAGTATGAGTAAGGAAGAATTACCTTTGCCATGGATGATGACCCAACAATCATCTCTGGTCTTGTGGGTAGCGACTTCGCTGGACTCGAATACTTTGGATGCCATTGTGTGTTATTGTGGGAGGAGATTGATCGATGACCTTTTAGCGCGATACGAAGACACAAATGGCTTTATAGTCTCCGAAGGCACCTGCGCCATTTTAATTCTTATATCCTATAAGGATTTTCTTTTTACCAAACAGGGGCATTGCCATGTCAGGACTTCCCGAGGTAGGCTACCTCGGCAAGCGGCTCCACCGAAGAATGGAGTCCACGCCAAGCTTTTGGCTAAGTGATGACTCTAATTGAACGATGATGCAGTCGGGATGGTTTGTGGAATCCATCGGAGGCGACCGAGACTCCCGAGTGGCCCGTTTAAAAAAAGAAATTGCCTCTTCGGGCTAGTTGATACGGCCCGATAACGGAAATGTGATCGACCACGGGCAATCCTCGGCCCTGCTCCTCTGAACGGGGCCGATTCTCTGAATATTGGTTCTGATCTCTTTAGCATGCCGAGGGAAGTTCGGGATACCACTGGAAGTTGCAATGGCGCATAAAAGGAGCTCCTCCGCCGCTTGGGTTGAGCCGATATAACAAATACCTGAACATATCTGGGTATCTACATCTATATCACTTACTTTACAATATGTCTTCTGCTTGGCAACCACCCCGCGACTACCGCAACCGCCCCGTTACCATTCTGGGTGCTGGTGTTCTCGGCCGACGAGTTGGTCAGTATCCCTATTTCCGACATGTCACCTTGGAGAGAACATCGCTGACAAGAATCTGATATTAGGATGTATCTGGGCTTCCGCCGGTTACGATGTTCGTCTTCGTGACCCCAACGCGCAACAGCGTGAAGATGGAATTGCCTACATTCGCGATAACGTCAACGCCTACGCTGCCAAGACCAACAAGACTCCTGGCTCCTTCGAGGCCTTTGAGGATATGAAGCTAGCCGTTGACAACGCTTGGCTCGTCATCGAGGCCGTTCCCGAGAAGATCGAGCTCAAGATCGCCACTTTCGCAGAATTGGAGGCTCTCACCAAAGATGACTGCATCCTGGCTTCCAACTCTTCCTCATACAAGACCTCCGAGATGCTCGGCCGCGTCTCAGATGCTACCAAGACCCGTATTCTGAACATGCACTACTACATGCCCCCCATGTGTATGATTGTGGAGCTTATGACCGATGGACACACCACCGAGGATATCATCCCCTTCATTGCTGAGCGCTCCCGGGAGGCTGGCACTAACCCATATATCGCTCGCAAGGAGTCCACTGGCTTCATTTTCAACCGTTTGTGGGCTGCCGTGAAGCGCGAGACTTTGACCATTCTGGCCGAGGGCGTTTCCGTGCCCGAGGAGATCGATGCTATGTGGGAAGAGATGTTTGTCAAGGGAAAGAGTCTTCCTTGCCGCATGATGGACAGTAAGCTCTTCCGCTTCCCTGCACTTATTGGAGACTTTTATTGACAGATGTGTTACAGACGTTGGCCTTGACACCGTTGCTTTCATCGAGCAGCACTACGTGGATGAGCGTGGTTTCTCCCCCGAGAAGACCGTCGACTTCTTGAAGGAGAAGTACCTGAGTGAGGGCAAGCTTGGAAACAAGTGCTCCAAGGGTGGTCTCTACGCTCCCGTTGACAAGGCTGTTGCTGCCAAGCAGCCCGAAATTCTGGTTCTGGACATCGGTCTGTCAGCCACTCCTGTCAGCCTGACCGCTGGAGAGATCCTCAAGTTTTCCGCCGATGGAAAGCAGCAAAAGGCCATCTTGACTAACCAAGCTTTGCCTGATGGACTCGCTGTGGAGCCTACCTCCGGCCGCATGTTCTGGACTTGCATGGGTGTCCCCGGAAAGTCTGACGGCGCCGTTTACTCCGCCAACTTGGATGGAACCGATATCAAGACCATCATTGCCCCCGGACCTCTCAACACCCCCAAGCAGCTGGTTATCGATTCCGTTGCCCAGATGCTCTACTTCTCTGACCGTGAAGGCTGCCGCGTCTGGCGTTGCGCTTTCGACGGCTCCGCCCTCGAGATCTTGATTGACAACTTCCGCCCCGATCTTACCCCAGAGGAGGCTCTCACCAAGTGGTGCGTCGGAATTGCTGTGGACCCCAAGCGGGGTAAGTTCTACTGGACTCAGAAGGGTGCCCCCAAGAGCAACAAGGGTCTCATCCTTTCCGCCAACATCGCCACCCCCAAGGGCCAGTCCGCAGATTCTCGCGATGATATCAAGGTCGTTGTCGCTAACCTCCCTGAGCCCATTGATCTTGAGATTCACGAGCCTTCCCGCACTCTGTACTGGACTGATCGTGGCGAGCTCCCCTTCGGTAACTCGTTGAACTGCATCAAGTTGAACGAGGAAGGTCTCACCGAGTCCACCGAGAAGCACCAGATTATCACCCGTAACCTCAACGAGGCCATCGGTCTCGTCTTGGATCACGTCAACTCCCACATCTACATCACCGATTTGGGTGGTTCTCTTTACCGCTGCGATCTGGACGGCAACAACAAGGTGAAGCTTTACACCAACGATGACCGTGCCCTTACCGGAATTGCCCTTGTCTGGTCTTAAAGCCCTCTAGTGGCTTTATGTTCCGATCCTGGAAACATGTGAAAGGATTGTAACAATGGAGCCTATGTGGGCCCTATTTGAGGCCTCAGGCTGCAATATTTTTCTCCGGCGTCAACGAGAAGCCTTTGTACATACTAAATCCCTCTCTACCATCTTTTAGTTTATTTCCTATCTATCTGCATGCTCTATAGCCAATACAGCCTTGTTTTCTCATGATCCCTTATAATAGATCTCCTAAAAAGTAAAAAAAAAGTCGTGTCTCAGACGGGTCGGGAAGAGATGCCGGGCGGTGTCGGCTACCTCGGCTCCATTTTTGATACTTGACTCCCGCCGATGCGACTTTCTCGGCAGACCAATACGTTGATGTATAATACCAATCAGCAGCTATATTGGCCATGTCCACACGCCGCTATCGATCGGCTGCTGCTTGCCAAAATTGCCGGCAGCGCAAAGTCCGATGTAGCGTGACAGTGACTGGAATCCCGTGTATAGGCTGTACGCAAGATGGCAGAGAATGTAATCTTCTGCCGACGAAGACTCAAGCGTGAGGTCTCCTTTCGGGCCGATGAAAGCTCATTACTGATAGATACAGAATACGGGAGAGACATACACGCCGGACTGCGTCAGCCATCAACAGCCCGGTCACCAATTCTAATGAGTTGATTCCTCGATCTTCAATTCAGCCTCAGTCTTCAGTTCAGCCTCAATCTTCAGTTCAGCCTCAATCTTCAGTTCAACCTCAATCTTCTATTCAGCCCCAGTCTTCAATTCAGCCCCAACCTGAATTATTTCAAAATGCATCTCTCGCGCGTGATCTGAATCGCCCTGAGATGGGCATGAGAAGTGTATCCCATCCCCCAGATTATGCTCGGCGTCAAGACGAAGAGCAAACAGGTGTTGAAATTGCAACTAAAGTCCTTGGGAAAAATAGCAAACCTGGCCAAGCACCATTCTACACTGGTTTGTAGCCACCATTTAATTGGTATTATATGTGACGCTAAACTGAGATTATAGGTGACTCCCCTGGGTTTGGTGCCATTCTTGACATATGCTCGCCCTCCGAGCAGCCTGCGCCGAGGCATATTCTCCTTGCTTCTAAAACAGCAGTGTCGTTATCTCCCGAGGATAAAGCATACTTGCAGTACAAAGGAGTCTTCAATATGCCCCGTAAGGAAACCTGCGATGCCCTTTTGCGGGCATACTTCCATCACGTGCATCCCATTGTGCCGGTGGTTGACGCTACTACGCTCCCGCATCTTTATCCCAGTGGAGACAGCCAACAGTACAATTTGATACTATTATGGAGCATATTCTATGTCGCAGCGAACGTAAAGTCTACTTGTTCTCTATGTGGAACCGGAAAATAGCTAACACGAACATAGCATGTTTCGGCCGATACTTGGAAATCAGAGGGCTACTCATCTAGGAAAGGAATGAAGGATTCCATGTACTCCCGTGCAACGGTAAATCATTCACAACTCGATAAAAATCCCAAATGGAGCCTGGCTAATCGTTTAATCTTAGTGCTTGCATCATAATGGAGGAGAAACAGATCACACTGTCCTCCTTCAATCAGCACTGCTCTTGGGATTTTACCACTCAGAAGCTGATACACACACCCAGCCATGGTATTGGCTCGGCGTTGCCATTAGCCTGTGTCAGACGATAGGCTTGCATCGTTGTTCAGCTGCAGTCTGCGCCAATTCACCTATACCTGTGCAACAACAGCGCCTTTGGCGTCGTCTTTGGTGGACTTGCTTCTACAGAGACCGCTGGCTAAGTCTCACGATGGGCCGTCCTCTGAGGATTAACATAAACGACTGTAATACTGCAATGCCATCTGCGGATGACATGTTGGGTGATTTTACCGGATTACCCGAATCTATAGTAGCAGCATATATCCCAAAAGACCTGCCACAACTGGCAGAATATTGGGTGATGACGATCCAACTCACTCAGCTTCTAGGGGACACTCTCACCCTCAGCTATCAACCCTTTGGGGCACCTTCGTCTCTACAAAAGGTTGAAGCTCTTGAGAACCGTATCTTACAGTTTCAACTCCCCGAAAGTCAGGAGGCGGGACAGAGCCCACTTGCAACCTTCTACTTATATCATTTGCAGCTTCATTACCAGTGAGTACCAGTACAATATCCTTCTAAAATGCTTCTAACGCCCAAAAGAGCATTCATCATTACTTTTTATCGTCCTTTCATTACAAAGGCACCGGAAGGGCTGCCCGACTCTCGCCAGACCCGATGGCAAGCCCATGTTCGACACCAAATGGACATGGGCGCGCTCCAGACCAATGCCGTTCTTGACAGCCTAGTACGCGAGAAACTACTGGGATTTTCAGGTCCAATGACGTGCGTATAGACCTCCCTTCTTTGAACGATATCTCATCTGACAATCAAAATCCAGACCACCTCTACTAGTCCCAGCAATGCACGTCCACCTCCTCAACTGCAAATCCCCTGATCCCCTTTCCCGCCGTTTGGGCCTCAACAAACTCGAGCTGTGCATGATAGTCCTGGAACAGATGAAAGATACCCACCCTTCGTCTTCAGTTTTCCGAGGTATCTTCCTAGAAGCCATCCGTTATATTTTTCCTAGCTATGTGGCCCAATCGACCATCCCCGAGCTGTCTACATCCGAGTCCTCCATGCCGCAGGATATCACGTTGGACGATCCTCTGGCAGGATTCACAATCGGCGAGGATGCCATCGATGCGCTGATGGATGAAGTGTCGATTTTCAATTTCTGGGAGTCACTCAACAGTATGCAGACATGATCAGAAGCCAGCTATAAGCATATGGACTATGCGAATATAATTTGCTGGAGGAAATGGGGAATCATGATTGAATCATGTGTCTTCCATAACCCTGTGTACATAATATCATTTTGGAGATAATACCTGGCAACTTGAAATACATACTCAACTCAACAGAAAAAGGCGCAGTAGCAAGGATACTCTCATCGCAAGGTCTCTAGAAGCATCAAATAAGCTCCGCCTAAGAACGGAAGCTAGAGGCTCAGTCAGATGTGGCGCCATGGTTCCGCCCCACTATGTGTTAAGGTTATTACAACTCACAGTCTCGTCTTTGAGCTTCTTTTTGGTCTTCTCTAAATTACTCTTTCTTTAATAAAATCCATTCATGGCACAGGATGTTGCAAGCACCATAGTGAGGGCAAGTACAAAGCTAAATTTTTGCGCATTGAGTTGTAGATTGAGGGTATTACTATCGATCTCGACATTTTCCTTGATGTTTGTTGGTCATATTTGATTGTATCACCTATGACGAGGTCTAGAATAATGTTGCAATGGCTGTGCCCGTTGCAGGGTAAAGAATGAAATGGGTAGGTAGTAGGACTGTAATTATTTGAATACTTTGTCTATGAAGGGACATAGGAGAATTTGAGTATTTACACACAGAGCGAAAGCAAAGATGCTCAAACACCGCACGGTTGTCAAATAACAACGGGGCATGTACATCAAGACATAACAAATTCTCGTGGCAGAGCGTGATACACCAGGAGAATAAAAGAGTAAAGCAACCTCGACAGTAGGATATCGTCCTTTGCCAGAAATGGACACAGCCGAGCAAGAATTTACCATAACCATACCATACGATAACAAGATAGTGACAGCTTTAATCACATTCCGTTCCATTTAAATAAAATCTTCGAACCCAAAGTTGGAAGTAATGACAACGGGAGTATCCCAGATGTAAACGCTGTAGAAAACCCAAGACCAAAGCCCCAAATCGGTATTCCATCAATGCAAAACAAACATCTGTCTCTTCATGTGGTACATGTGGTACAGAGAAAATGACAGTCAAAAAACATTTGCTCATGTAGCAAGAGCAAGAGAGGGGGAAAGTAGGGTTTATCATGGGAGAAGAGAAGTGCACAAGGTGCATGAAAGAAGGGGGGTAGAAGAACCTGGGGTATTAGAAGGGGTTGTGTTGGCCAATCATTTCAATCAAATGGTGCAAACCAATCGATTATCGATTGGGCATGTGATTTGAACTAGACCCAGCTGAAATCCCTGACTGCTGAGGGCGGTAATGTACCGCATCAACAGGCTTTGACGGGAGGGATGGCGAAGTCTCCCGTTGGAGAGCCGCTGAAGGCTGGAACAGGCTTTGTCGCGCAGAAGGCGGAGAGAAGATGTGATTGTGGGAAGGGGCGTCAGTGATAGGAGAGCGATGCTCGATGGCATGAGTGAGGTGTGGCTGTGTTTTCCGTACATCCAATGGAGATGAGCTTAGTGACCGAAAGCCAGATTTGCGATGATCAGCATCATAATCTGGGTTACGGAAAGGCCCTTGCGTTTGGTGCCTTGGATCTTGCTCCATGCCGTAAGGGGTGTTGTTAGCTGATGAGTTGGCAGCAGAGGCATTCTCGGGAATTGTAGATGCGGATCCATTGGGCGCATTGATGTCTACTACACGCTTTTGTGCGGCTGGGGTGGCATATGACGACGGTTGCGGGTACTCAAATGCATGGCCTGGCGGGCGAGGTTGCTGCGAGTACTGCGAGTGATGTTGCTGGTGCTGATGCTGATGGCTGGGATGTTGCGGGTTTGCCCAAGGGGTTTGTTCCAGGAATGCTTCTTCGGCGGCCGTGCGGAAGGCGTTGGAAGACATGGTAGACATGGTAGTTCGCGGTGGCATCGCGGATGAATGCCGGGGTGCCGAAGCGCGAGATTCGATAGGGATCTGTGTCGATATCAGCAGCTGACGAAATACAGGGGAATTGCAATACTTACACCCATCTTCTCAAGATCATCATCAAGTTCGTTGGGACGTGCACCCATCAACGACGGGGCAGCAGGGAAACCGACGTACTTGGCAACACCAGCCATAATTGAAACCTCATGGTTGTAAGCGGCCTGGTGTGCGATTTGCTGCGAGCGACGAGTGGGAAATGTGATGATATGATGTGGGCTAAGCTCGTCCGTCTTAAAGCGATCATGCTGAATGGCATAGAACTGCTTGCTGATTGCACTTGAATGCCGTTCGCGCGCATCTCGCATGCGCTGGAAGTATGTGCTATGCGCTTGTGCTCGCTCAGCCAAAGCCCTGTGCATGAGTGACTTCATGCGGTATCGATACAAGTTTTCCTCGTATTTGACCTTGGCGTCCCGGTGACGTTGCACACACTCGATCTGCCGTAAATACTCGGGATGTGTCGGGTTTGGTCCGGTAAGCAACTCCAACTCGCGGTTAAGTTTGGATATCCTTTCATCATAAATCCTGTGACTGTAAGTAATCAAAACGTTGAGCGAATGGGCGACCTCTTACTTGTCACGTAAAGTTGCAAACTCTCTCTCTAATGTCGCTAGTGAATCCATAGCAGACATCTTTTTCACGGCTGTACAGTGAATGAGTATCTCCTGTGGCTAGAAGGGACGGCAAGGCAAACTTACATTCTTCAGCTCGAAGAATCGCTTCGGCGTCATCGGGCTCATCACCTCGTTCCGTAGGCTCATCGTCTTCTCCGAGAATCTCATCAGCGACATCTTCTACTGTGGCATCGACACCGACTTCTGCCTCCTCGTCGGCATCTTGGGCTCTTCTTCCTTTCCGCTTACCCTTTTTGCCCTTCTTGCCTTTCGACGGTGGGGCCGGAAGGTCTGTTTCAGGAACGTCCTCAACCAGTATCCCGTCTTCAGTGACATCCATGGGGATATCGAGCGGCTCGGGGGAGAGAGGAGTCCCATCGTCCATTGGGTCACTCAAGTCACTTTTGATTGAGCTCCGGCGTTTCTTAATAGGCTCTTCGTCGCCCAACTCGGTGCCAGTTTCGTCACCACCCTCGACACGTTTTCGTTTGTTGCCGATGCCGTCTGGAAGTTCAGAATCGCCAAGGTCGCCAAGGTCTGGGATATCCTCGGTCAAGCCGTTATTTTTTGAGGAGCGGCGAGGTTTACTGGGGGATTCATCCACAAGTGTTTCATCCTCAACATCGTCGAGGGTCGTAGATTGGTGAAGCTTGCTGGGACTTGGTCCGGCACTGGCGGCGCTCAACACAATGTCTCGTTTCCGAATATTGTGGGGAGAATCCTCAATGCGCTCGGTTTCGGCCTCCGAGTCGTTTTCCATTGGCTTGTCTGACTTGATGGGATCTTCGAAGTCTGACGGCTCGTTGTCCGAGACATCGTCAATCTCACTCAGGCTACTTGAGCGGCCATCGTCATCTATGAGCGGGTCATCTAGAAAAGGATTCCGCTCGCCATTGGGAATGGTGGACTCTGCCCCCGTTGAGGGACCAACGGAGGCTTGTTCTCTACTCTCGATTACCTCCATCGACAACGACGCAGCCGATAGAGCTGGCGCAACGCGATATGAGTGGGGCCAAGAAAGGTTGGAGAGTATTGGATGGTTGGTTGCTCGTAGCGAAGGTGGGATTCGCTACAGGCGTGAGGAGAGGAAGAAGGAAGGTCACCGATTCACCAGATAGTGTTTCGATCGGAAATCTGGACAAACCATAAATCGGATTAGCCCAATTGCCATGTCAACTCAACCAAATCAGTCAAAGACGGAGTTGGTGGGCAAAAAGTGTTTGGTGGGTGCGAGAGATAGGTCAGCGCCTTCTGGAGGCGGTGGTGCGGAGATTGATCATCGAACGCCCCCAAAGTCGGTAACAATCGCTCAGTGTAGGGACTGCAGGCCGCGCAAAGCAAGTATACCGACCACCGACGTTCCAGAAGACGTGAGGTCACCCCCTCCTCATAAAAATGACCAAATGAAAGCCTGGGATTGATGCAGAGCCTCAAGCGACGTACCGTTTCAACAATGCGCCGGGAGCGACGCTGGTAATGACCACAGCTGCTCGCGACCGAACACGATTCTCAGAACCACCGCGTTCCTGAGACGTAAAATGTGTCTTAGCTTTAAGCCCACGCGTATCACCAGGTTCGTGAACTGTAAAAACTTTCGGTCCGACGAATCCTGCGTAGACCAACTCTGGAGGGCGAGGGGAGATTGGCTAGGAAGCGGACAAGACGAGGGTACCGAGTCGCAGAGAGGTTGACGGCATGAAGAAGTGTCCAGGGACCGGGATCAAGATCAAATTAATGATCAAGGATGAGAAAGCAGAGTCGAAAGAGGAGGTTTCAGCAGAGAAAAGCAGCAGATCGCTATGATGGGGTGCAGCAACAGAAGCGAGTGACCGTTGATTCTGCCGCGTTGCGTTCCGGCGAGGGCACATCTCACCGCCCGAAGAAAAAACCGAATCACGTGCTGCCGTGTCTGACGTAGCTGGGCAGAGATAGGTCATCCTGAATGTTGATGGTATACTTGTCGCCCAAACAAATGTAAGAAGAAACAGACCAAATTAGATTTCCCTTGGTCTCTAGATACCAGATGACCTATATCGACAGTGCACTGCCAAATTCAAACAAAATGCTACCAGCCTGGGGAATTTCTACGTAAAGAGAAGGCCTTTTTTGTACACATAGGAAGAGAAATGCCATATTAATAGAACCTGCATAGATGATCCTCGTGTACCTGAATCACATCCAGCGTACAATAGAACAGCCTTAAATTATGTATGTAATGTACATAATGTACATCGTCTTACCCGACTCGACCACTTACTCCTAGTCATGTGATAAGCAGCTTTCCGCGCCAAGACCCGATAAGCAGAAATGCCAGGAAAAAAAAAGTCGGAGCTATAATCGGCGCCGTGTCCATCGCAACAGAACCACATCTTGATTATTCGCTTTTTGATCTGTAACTCAGATCAGCCACACACTTATCAAAATGGGCAAGAAGACAAAGTCCTCGCCCAAGACCGAGGAAAAGTCCAGCAAGTCTGCTGGCACTCTTCCTTTCGGCGGTGCATCTCTGGACCCAACACTGTCCTCGCTCTTTGCGCAAAGTGTACGTCTGTTTTGGCATAAACTCGATGAACTTTGGACTGATAATATGTAGGCTGGTCCTGTGCAAGCCCCCACAATCAAATACGTCGAGCCCGTCGCTAGGGCGAAAAAGAACGAAGACGATGATGCCAAAGACGAGGAATCGTCCGAGTCAGGTGATGAATCAATGGAGGATGCTGCCGAAGAGAGTGATTCTGAATCTGCAGAGGAAGACGCACAACCTACGGAACCCCAAAATCGGAAGCGCAAGCGTGGAAATGCCGGTGAGGATGTCGAAGAGACCTACATGCGTCGCATTGCCAAGGAGGAGGAGAAGGACGAGGAAAAGAGGAAGTCCGAGCAAGCAAAACGCCAAAAGCAAACCGAAAAAGAAGGCAGTGAAGATGATGAAGGCGAGGACTCCGACAAAGAATCGGCCTCAGCAGATAGCGACGAAGAGGAGAGCGCTCCTGCTCCTGTGCACGAAAGTGTGGCTGGTACAGCCAAAACCGATGAGCTCGAGAAGTCCAACCGCACTGTCTTCCTGGGCAACGTCTCCTCGGAGGCTATCAAGTCTAAGACTGCCAAGAAGACCCTTCTCAAGCACCTGGCCTCTTTCTGCTCAACGCTCCCTGAATCCAGCGGCCCCCACAAGATTGAGTCCCTCCGCTTCCGTTCTGTTGCATTTGCTAGCGGTGGTGGTATCCCCAAGCGTGCTTCTTTTGCTAAGCGTGAGCTTCTCGATGAGACCACACCTAGCACCAACGCATATGCCGTCTACACCACACTTCAAGCTGCGCGCAAGGCCCCCGCCGCTTTGAACGGCACCATGGTTCTGGACCGCCACTTGCGAGTCGACAGCCTTGCTCACCCCTCAGAAATCGATCACAAGCGCTGTGTCTTCGTGGGCAACCTGTCTTTCATCGACAGTGAGACCCCCGAAGAGGACGAGAAGACCGGTAAGAAGAAGAAGGCTCGTGCCCCCGCCGATATCGAGGAGGGTCTCTGGCGAATTTTCAATGCCCACACCGGAGGCAAGGACAAGAAGGCCATCAAGAAGAACGTCGAGTTCGTGCGTGTGATCCGTGACAGCACCACTCGCGTTGGAAAAGGATTCGCTTATGTCCAATTCTACGATGGAAATGGTGTGGAGGAGGCTCTTCCTCTCAACGGAAAGAATTTCCCTCCGATGCTGCCCCGCAAGCTGCGTGTCACTCGAGCCCGCAAGGTCGCCAAGAAGCGCGAGTCATCCGCTCCCGATGCCAAGAGGTCTCGCGTAGATGAGGCCCAGAAGACGATGCAAGGACGTGCCAACAGGCTGCTCGGCCGAGCTGGTGCGGCTAAGGCGAAGGCTGATGCAAACAGTACCATTGCGGGCAACTCGATGGTGTTTGAGGGTCACCGTGCTACTGAGGGATCGTCGTCTATCAAGATGAAGCAAAAGAGCCGTGGCTCGAAGGCCAAGCGAGAAAGCAGGAGCAGCAAGCGCGCTGCTGCATACAAAGCTGCATATGGCAGAAAGGGTTAAATTCAAAAGAAGTCATATTGTATCTTTTATGGGCGTTAAGAAGGGCATTTGAATATATTGTATGCAGATCACAAAATTCGAGACGAATATGTATAGTTTGAGTCTCTATTCTACCTTCACTGGCGTATGCAACTGCAAATTCGAGAAGAGTTATCAGGGGCGGTCTACACTTAAACCTGGGGATCTTGACGTCATTGTCAACAATCAATGGTTTACCGTATACGGTCCCGAAGTTTGAAATCTGTTGAGTGAGTAATCCCATCTTCTCGTCCTTCAATCACCTACCTGGTATTTCTATGGATCACCTAGAGTTAACTTCGCTTTCATCTATTTGATGAACGGAGATTGAAAGCTCCAAAGGTCCGAAGTGAGGCGTTCGAGTTCCAACCTTGTCCTCCCCATGTGGTATGAGGGGTGAGGTGTTCGTCAAGAGCAAAGGCTAGAGCCAACTCGGGAGGTACAAAAAAGAGTTCCATCAAACGGGCCATATCTGACCGATGTTCTCATTTAGCTTCCAGTGATTCAACTACCTAGCCTCAGACGCGGTGGCGCCGTTGCCTACCCCCGAACACATCAATATCAACGCTTGACCGCAAGACCCCTACACCTGAGATCTTGACACGCCCAGGTGCCACCAAAGCTTGGCTCTCTTTCCAAGCCAACAGCTGAAATATCATTACTACCATCATGTTGCCATTCGGTCTTCGCCCGGGAAGACTGGCTCGGGTTCATGGCGCACCGGAATCTGAAGACGCGAACGACCCAGATTCCGGTGGATCGGATGAGAACATCCCAGGCTCAGAATCTCGGGTGTTCTACCCCAGCTTATTGGACGTACTCAAAGTTCGATATTTGTTGCAATGGAAGCTTCCACGCAGTCTACCCGAGGAGCTTATCGATATGATGATCGATGCGGCGGAATACTGGCCTTCAATAGAACAGAGAATACAAGATCAGCGAACCATTCAGAAAGATTGTGATCAAGTTCTACTAAAGACAGTTCCGCTCTGCTATGATCGAAACGTTCGTCTGCCTATTCCCAAATTCGTTGATGAGCCCACACTGATAACAGTGCAGAGTCTAGAGCAAGATGCAAGCCCTATCCCCCTTCCTCACCGCGGTGCTCATCCTTGCCGCAAGATAGTCTTCAGTCTCTCATCCCACGACCAAGGCGGCGGGCGACGCCGCGAGAACATGTATGAATTCTCGTGGACGTGGTTTGACACTGAGGTCATCCACGGTGCTCACACAAGAAACATGTACGCCAACGGAACCGAGCAAGAAATTCTCGATAACGAGCGTGGGCAAGTCCGGAAGCACTACACCGAGGCAGATGCGCTACTACTCCCGCGCGAGAACAAACTCCAAGTCAACGGAGCCCACGTGAGTGAGATGCAGCACATTACAATCGTTTGGGATTACCGAGACGATGTCCAGGCAGATTCTCCTGAGGCCCATGAGATTGAGAAGACCCAGGGCCGTGGCCGACTTACCCTAGATGGGCATGGAGTGCGTGAGTTAGAGGTCGGGGACTCGATTGCCCTTTGGGCCCGAGCACGGTTCCCTGGATGGTCAAACCACGTTTATCGAGCCAGCGTGAGAATGTACTGGGCTGTATGATGAAACAGCTTTTAGATTGAGAACGACTACAGCCATGTAGATATGGATTAGGTCTGCTATAATTTCTTTCCTGTACACGAGCAACTGCGTAAAGAAAGCATCCGATCATGATTCTTGACTTCTTGATGAATAACTTACACCATAGCATCTCAATCATGCCAATAACAGACATGAGGTACTATTGTATACAACTCAATGCTTGTCCATTGTATAGTTGCTCAATGCTGATTGGGGCTTCGAGGCCAAAAATTGATCACGCCATTCTGCCAAGACCGACCGATCGACGCCAGAACAGCACAATATAAAGCCAACGGCCTCCTCCAGCTACGCTTGTGGTTTATTTCTCCCCTAGGGGTGATATAAACCGCTATGCAGCCCACATTTGAACCCACATCACCGCCTACATGGTGTGTACCATGAACGTGGTGTTATCTCAGAACGAGTCCATGTACCAATTCCCCTGCGGAACCACACGGGGGAGGCCGACGGGAAGCGCACAGTGGGGCAGTCGCCGACTGAAAAGCCCGAATGAGGTCGCCGTTTGAAGGGAAATCTCGGGCATCACAGACCGCTAAATGCACATATCCAGATAACCCGTCTGCGGGGTCATAATGGATTGGCCAGCATTGGTCAATAGGACGCCGACTGGTCTCGTCCGAGAGTTGGAGATGTGTCATGGGGGATGGACATGGTTCCCGCTCTATAGCGATAGCCCGACTGGATGCTGGTTGCGTTATATGCACGAAGATACTCGCGATACAGCGCCCACACATTCCATCGGCGATGATATCGTCCCTTGGGTCTTGGCCGACGGCTCACTCCCTCCCTTTTTAAATAACACCGACGAGATCCCCGGCGCGATATATTTGTCTTACGGTGAATTCTGTTTAGCTATTTGAATGAACCTTGTTTCCACACACTCTCTCTGTCCATATTCTTGATCACATTCGATCCAACTTCCAGTTCTTTATTTTGCTTTCATCTTCCGATCACCACAATCACAACATGGCTACCCGGAAATGCGCAGCGGTTGTCGTGGGAGCTGGTCCGGCTGGAGTCGCCGTCATGGGGAATCTGCTAGAGCGTCAACTGGGTACAATCGCATGGATTGACCCTTCGTTCGAGGCCGGGAGAGTCCACAGCAAGTACCGCGAGGTTCCCAGGTGTGTATCGGAATTTTGGCATGTAAACAAACCCCCGGAAATACTAACCGGATATCCAGCAACACAAAGGTTTCACTATTTCAAGCGTTTTCAAAAGCCACCCAACCTTTCCAGAAAGTAATCGACAACACCAAATCACCTAATGCGTTCTCCACATTGGCCAAACTCGACCAGGAATCCACCTGCAGCCTCGGGTTTGCAGCAGATATGGTCCGCAGCCTGACCACCGGGCTAATGAAGATGGAGGAAGTATACGCATGCCATGGTATGGTCAAATCGGCCAACCTGAACGAAGCGGTTAGTTCGCGCCCATCTATTTCTCTATCAGGCATGGAAAAACTAACAATAACATCATCTTCCAGACCTCCAACTGGACCATTCGCATCAAGCAGAATTCATCCGAAGATCTCGAGATCGAAGCTGCCCGTCTGATCCTCTGCACCGGCTCCTTCCCCACAGCAGCTCCCATTCCGGTCTCGGGACTGAACATCCAGCGCCTGGACCTTGACCTAGTCCTCAAGCCCAGCGATCTAGCAAAGGCCCTTCCAACGGACAATTCCACCACCGTCGCTATCGTCGGAGCATCCCACAGCGCCATTCTCGCCATCCTCAACCTCACCAAGCTCGCCCAAACTTCTCACCCTCTTTTGCGCATTCAGTGGTTCACCCGCCACCCGCTCCGCTACGCAGAATTCAAGGACGGCTGGATCCTACGCGACAACACAGGTCTCAAGGGCCTGGCTGCCGACTTTGCCCGCTCCGAGTTAGAAGACGACAAGCTTCCCACTTCGCTCGCAGGCCAGGTGTTGACCAAGATCGACTGCGCCGGTGGTCAGGATGCCGAGGCTAGCCAGTACGAGAAGTACTTGCCCGGATGTGACTATCTTGTTCAGGCCGTTGGGTACACCCGTGGCTCGCTCCCTGATCTCTCGAAGAATGGCAATCCCATCGCCGTCGGCTTTGACCATGACAGTGGCAGGTTCCATGAGCCCGGTCAGACCTCTGATATCCCCGGTCTCTTTGGTGCCGGTATTGCGTTCCCTGAGCGCGTCGTGGACCCCCATGGCAATGAGGAGTATGCGGTTGGGTTCTGGAAGTTCATGAAGTTCCTGAAGCGGGTCGTGCCGTCGTGGACTGCTTGATTCTTCCACTCGTGAATCTTTTTGCTTTTTCGTCCTAGTGGACACTCGTGTTGGTGTCTGGGCATTGAACTAGCGGGGCGCTATTGTTTCAAGGATTGATACCGATATCCGTGCAGTAAATGGCGTTTTAGGGCGGTTTCGGGTGGGATTCGGGCTATTCATAGCTGGTTTTATAGGCTACAGTTGGGAATAATATCTTTCTTCGATTCTTCTTATCTTATTACATATGCAGCGTCGTTTATCCTTAGGTCTTGGGTCATTGCTATACTTATGCTTCCGTTGTTTTATCCTTCCTCTTTTGATAGCTTCATCGACAACCTTGTATCGACATATTTCTGCATAGACTATGCTTATTTACTCTAGCACTTATCATTCCACGACCTCGATTTCTAGGATAACCTCTTCCTGCTGCCCAGAAGTGTACTAGGTATCCTGGAGTAGTTGCTTCCTCATAAGTTACCTACCAGCCATTGAGATACCGAGAGATAGGTCTATAGTTTGCATTTAAAATCGTATCTATGTCGTATCACTTGAAGAATAAGATATTAACACATATGATCGCACACTTGAAGATTGTAAGTTCAAGATATCAGTCGCTAACTAACATGTTGAAGCCGATATCAAACCTGGCAGACTCTTTATTCGAAGAACGAACAATTTCATCTAGATGCTTTCCCCTGAAAGATATGTACGGCCCAGAGCTCGAGTTTATCAATCCTCCAATTAAGTCCTCAACGAATCCTTGCAACATGACCCTATGAGCAGGCCAAAAAAAAAGAGAAAAAAAGAGAAAAAAAAGAAAAAAAAAAAAAAAAAGAATTCTGAGAACCTTTGCACGAAAGCATGGTACATGTAGCAAATCAACCACCAAGTGCTAGCGTTATGGCAACAGCTCCCTCAACGAGTCCTAAGATCATCAAATCGATCACACCTCGGATCTCATGAGTCTGGTGTATATCTTCGCCATGACTGACGATTGAGAGATCCGCGCAGCCAGCAAAGCCTATCCCCGCCACAGAAACCGCCAGCCACCCTCCCTATATTGGCTTCGAATGGTTACCTCTATCTGAAAGGAATTGGTCTAGCTCATCACAAGACCAAGCTACCTAGGTAGCTATTCGCGTCCTGGGCAGGAACCCCAAACTAAAGGCTTGTCTTGAAGAGTACTTCCAGGACAAACTTGTACGAAAGTATAGACTTGTTCAGTTTCAACTACCCTCGGGGAACAATCAAACACATTGGTTTGTATGACTTGATACATTCCAACCTCGGCCTACTCCTTCTATCCACACTGATCGCTTCCGTCTCATCTTCCCATAGAGCATTTCATCAACAATTCTTATAAGCCTGAATGAGTTAAGTGTGATTCCTCTCAAAAAGATCATTATTTGAGTATATCCACATTCTGCATCGCAAGTCGCCCTGCAACACAGTCATCACCACGAGATCTCAGATCCCCCTAGTCATAGGTCATATCACATAAAAACCAAACCCCAAAAAAGCCACCATCCAACTTCCCTCCACCACTCTACCCCCCAAATCAAAACATAACAACCGCAAAAGCCGCCCCAACAACAGCCCCAACGATACCAACCCCCCTCCCACCCGCACCCCCACTCTCCGAAGTCTGCGTCGCAAAAGCCCCAGTTCCCGTAGCCGTAGCCCGGTACTCATCCTGGCTAACCACCGCCTCGCGGTCATACCCCGTCGCGGTAACGGTATAAGTCGCCGAAGCCTGCGACCAAGTGAGCACCGTACCGCTGGGCGGCGCGGTAACAGTCCCGCCGACATTATACAGCGTCGAGGTACCGTTATCCGGGAACTCGCCCGGCTTGTAGAACTTGCCTGCGTCCTTGAATCCGAGGTCTTGACATTTCGTGTCCTTCATGTTCGCGTCGCAGGATGACCAGGCCCAGTTCGGGAGGGAGGTGTAGAGGTTGGGTAGGTTGGGGGGAAGAAGAGTCCCCACATGTCTGCGCCTGCGAGCGTGGGCTCGGTTTTTGGGCAGATATCCCAGGATCTGCGTGGTGTTAGATGGGTTTGAGGAGATGGGTATAGTTTGGGGATGGGTTGGGCTTACGCTGAGATACTGGCGCTGGCGCCACAGCAGGCGCAGTCGGAGGCGCGGTTGGCGATGTCCAAACCGTTGCTGAGGTTCGATAGGTCAGGGCCTTTGCTGATGTCGTCGCTGATGTTGTTGGTGACGTTGTTCATGCATTTTATTTGTTCGTTTCGGGAGGAGAGGGTTCTTTGGGTGATTTTGGCTAGATCGCAGGAACAGCGGTTTGGGGCGTTGTTGGGGGCTGGCCAGAATGGGATTGGTTCTTTGGCGCTGGGGCAGACGGCGAAGTATTGCTGTACGAAGAGCTGGTATTTACAGGAATAGACCTGGGATTGTGGTTAGTGGTGATTTTTTTTTCATCAGGATTAGTGATATATCAGGTTCAGTGCCGTACCTGGTTCCAGCATGACTCGGCCATACAGTTGATATATTTCTGGTGGGATTCACAGCCGCAGTCCACGATACAGTTACCATCTCCTCTGCAGTCCTTGATGCAGGAGCTCCACTTGTCTGCAACATCCCTGTTACACTTTGAGTATTCGGATGTGGAGGCGCAATCTTTCTCGGTGATGTTTGTTTGGGCATTGGCTAGACCGGAGAGGGTGAGGGCGGCAGCCGACGCCAAAAGGAAATTGGTGGATAGCATGGTGGATCTTGTATTGTTTCGATCAAATTAAATGAATATTGATATATAGGAATCTGAGAATAGTCACCCAGATATATTCCGGGCTTCCAATGGCACGATTGATCAAGCAAGGGAACAAGAGAAAGTCCCACGATGAAGGGCAGATGGGATAGCACCTTTATATGATTCAGATTATGCAGAATCGCCCAAATTCCAACGAGGGGAAAAAAAATCATCCATCTTTCTCGCGGATCCTCAGGCCCTTCAATGGAGTCTACTGCAAGTTAGGGGGCCGATCATTGCAAACCGAGCCGTCATGTCATCGTTCGTGCCAACCAATAGCGAATGGCATAGCGAAGCAATGGGGCACAAAAGAGCAAGCTGGGCCATTCACACTTCGAAGAAGAGCGGGAGACACCGACCCCGGCTTCTGCATCCGCTATGCAACTATTGCATATAGGCAATCACATTCCGTCCAACACGTCGGCCTCGTTGGATAGATCAGAGGGCCGAATCCAGCTCCCAGCCTCCGACTTGACCGGATGAACCAAATCACCCGGGATTGACAGCAATCAGCTGCATCAGGTCCAGGAGCCTTGCTCGACGCAGACACGAGGTGGACAGCATCGTTCGATCGTGCACTCCCTTGCGTTGGAATTGAGTCTGGATAACGATCTCGAAGTCGGGGGGCCTCGTTACTTGGGCAATGAGGCTGGGATTGTGAATGAAATTTGCTTTTTTTGTCTTTGCCTTGAGGTTCTCATTTTATGCCTCGTGCGTGCTGAGAGACATGCATGCATTGGGAGGGTTCGTTGTTATGCCAGGGTTGGTTCGCCGTGCGGGTGCGTAGCATAGCCCGAGGAAAAAGAAAACCTGGGAACCACATGGGGCGGAGAAGGTGGTCTAGATGATAATGACATCGTTCGAGACTTGAAATGTCGAGTCGTTCAGCAGATTGACATTTCATCGTTGGATGCGGAGTACTCAGACTCTGTGGGCTAGCGATCACGAGTCAGGCACACCGGGCTTTTCAGCCTCGGAGATGAGGCCGTGGCCAGACATGTACGTAAGCAAGTTTGGGTGACTCTTGATGAATAAGATATATATGAAGTTCATCCAGAATACTTTTCCACGAACAGTGTACTCCGAACTCCGTACTGTAGTATGGAGTACAACATGCTGTAGTATGGAGAACAGAGTATATCGCATCCACGCGAGAGATCGGCATTTGAATATCAATCGCAAAATTGAGCAGGAATCCAGAACCCTGCAAAAATACTGCACCAAGTTACTAGCTGTTTACTAGCCAATTACCAGCCGCCAGAGGTAGCCTAGTCCATTGCGCCCAAATCCTTTCTCATCGCGATCCCTGGCGCTAGATGGGGCCAATCTAAAGGAGATAACGAGAGAGGGGATTGTGGAGCAGGGCGACTCTGCAGGGAATCTTGATTTTTTTTTGGTTGACACTAAGACTGACAGCCCTGGAGTATCCACCAATTCCGGACGATCACTATTTGGAAAAACCCAGAGACAAAGAAATGCCCCTTGCACCGAGGGCTCTTTGTGATCTCAGGGGAAGAACTACGGAGTACGGAGTAGTAGGTGATGGCGCACATACATTAGCCCCGGTCTAAGTGAATGGCGCGTAAATGGCGTGTCAACGGGGTCAAAGGATTTGCTCAGCCAAAGTGCGGGATTTTAAATTAATTTCCCCGACTCTCCACTCTCCCCATTCGACGCACAGTCCCTTGGACTATGGGAAATGAGAAAAGTGGAAGAGACCATGGGAATGTATGGAGTAAATAGGGGCAAAATTGCAGGTATATTCATTAGCGCTCAAGAAATAAGATGAAAGAGAAATGGAAAACCAGAAGAAAAAGAAAAAAAAGCCACAATCCAGCCAAAAAAACACGGGAAGTTTTGTACAGCCCCCAAGGGAAAAAAGGGAAAATACTGGGCCGTAAGGTCCAACCAATTAGAGAAGAGAAAACATCAATAAAGCATGTCAACGTGACTCTGAGGTCTTCGTGACAACGTACGGATGCGTAATTTACAGCATGAAAGCACCGGCAACCAGGGCCAACATGCCACCAGAGACCCGGGTTGCGATACCGGCGTTGGTGGTGGGCACCGCGTTCGGGGTCTCCGAGGGGGTAGCGCTGGAGCTAGCACTGGCGGAGGTGGAAATGGCAGTGCTGGAGGTCTCGGTGGTAGAGGTCTTGGTAGCGGAGCTGCTGGAAGGAGTGCTGGAAGCAGTGGTGGCAGTGGTCAGGGTCGTGGGGGTGCTGGTGCTGGTGCTGGTGGTGCTGGCACTGATCGAGGAGCTCGACTCCGTGGTCTGGGTGGCCGAGACCGAGGTGGAAGACTCAGTGGAAGTGGAGGATGCAGAGGTCGAGCTGGAGCTGGAGGAAGAGACAGAGACAGTAGAACCCTCAACAGTGAAGCGGCCGATGAAGTTGTAGTCGTTGGCGTCGGTGTCCGAAACAATCTCAATGGTGTAGTCGGGCTGAGCAGCCAGGCTGGAAGGCACTTCCCACGTGAAGCTACCGTCGTTGGTGATGCCCGCTGCGGTGCATAGTCAGTATGCTGGATATGGACTATTGAGTCATTCTGATGTATGATATATCACTTACTGGCGATGGCAGTACCCGAGGCTGCAGTGGTCACTGCACCCCACTTCAAGTACAGACTGACAGTGCCGCTGGTGGTAGGCTGCCAGGACAAGGTGGTGGGCTCACCAACTTTGAAGGTGTAGCCTTCAATGGGGATCTTGAAAGGGTTGGCTTTGCTGTCGGCCGAGGCGATGGCGGCCAGAGCGGCGACGGCGAAGGAGGTGAAGAAGCGCATTATGATAATATAGCAAGTATATATTCGGAAAAAAAAAATGAATGTTCAAGAGATACAAGAATATAAAGGAGTGGAATCACAGGAAATAAATGGGCCTCAAAGGAGTGGAAGGCGATCTGTAAAGAGGCGAAATGGAAGAAAGGACCGGACACCAACGGAGTCTAGTGGAGGTTACGGAGTAGATTTATACCTAAGAGAGCAAGTGTGGTATTGAACGAGGAGCTAGGCAGGGACCGGCGAAGTCAAAGCAGAGGAAAAAAACAAATACATCAGGAAGCAAGGTGAATGATTGGCCCTCGGCATGGGCTCAAATGAGGAGGATGACTGCCCGTGGCGATCCACGAGCTTCGGGGGACATATGGGCCATTGGCCTAACGGGCGTATTTTCCTCGCTTGGCAGGGAATCTCCTCCGTTGACTGGTTTGGGCCTCGACCTTAAATGACTGCTCCACTGCTCGGCTAGAATGTATGTACATTCCTGTATCATCTCTCGTTGGCTCAAGGAGGGATAAATTTAGATGCGAGAACCATGGTTTCTTCTCTGGTTGACAGCTACGAGGGAAAAATTAGACCTTGGATACATAATATTCAAACACATCGACTTGGACAGCCGGTTCACCCGAGGCCCAGAGGCCTTGGGGCCATTTTGTTTGGGGGTTTTCTTTGTTTTTTGCCGCTGATCACTCTCACGTATCGGAGCCACGCGACTACAGTTCGGTTATTCATACAAGTTCTCAATCCAACCAAAGCCCCCTGCGCCCCGGAGCTATGACCTTTTTCAATCCATCCTTGCGCAGTGTTTCGTACATTGGTCCTGGCGCTAATTCATTCGGGGTATCGTAGCCGTTTAGCTTCCTTGATTCAGGGCCAACACGTTGTTTTGACCCAGCCAAAGGATCACTTCCATTGCTCGGCGATCATCATCCTCTTGTTGTCGGTCCAGCAACTAATGCATGTTAGAATTTCAATGAGAGCCGCAAACAAAACAAATTGGGGACACTCACAGCTTGGTAAAGTCCCTTGCGTCTGGGGTCTTTGTCCTTCTTTTCTGGCTGTTTGGTCTTTGCCTTGGAGCTACGTTCAGAGTCATTATCGTGTGAGAATTTGCATTGATCGCCACGGTTGCAATGGCCATTGCGCGCAAAATAACGGCAGACGGTCTTTTTGCCTTCGCGTGGCGGGGGCGGCACCCGCTCCGGCCCCGTGCGGCGTGAGCTTACTTGCTCTGGTGCAGAACCGTCGCTGTCCGAGTTAGAGTCGGAATCCGAGTCGGAGCCGCTGGAGGAAGTCCAGTCACTTGCCCCATCATCGATATCGGGATCAAGGTCCATAGGACCATCCAAGCTAGAGTGGGACAAGTGCTCGACTTTGATTGGGTTCTCAGGAATCGAGGTATCTGGTATCGTGGCGTGAGGTTCAGGTTTGATGACTGGCCCAAGCATAGGGGCTTCGAGTTCGACTTTAGTCGCTGGCTCTGACGTAGCATCATCGGGCTCAGTTTTGACGGCCGGGGTAATAGATTGGTCTTGCTGCACGCCTCCATTTAGGCTCAATGCCTCCCTTCGTAGGGCCTCCACTCGGAGACGAGCAGCGTTGGTCTCAGCCATGGCATCGAGGATTCGTTGTTCCTCACGTGCAAGATCGCGCTGAATAGTCTCCCTGCGTTGTTCATCATTCATAGCCAGATCAGGAGCGGAATTTGCGTTGGATCCACTTTGCTTTTGGCCATGGTCCTTTCGCTTTTTGTGCTCCTTTTTGTTCTTTTGTGGACGTGCTGCGTCACGGGCTGCCTTTGCCTCCTCTACAGCCTTCTTTTTCTCTTCAATTCGAGCTTGGGTGGGGAATTTCTTCTTTCGTTCTGCAATCCAAGCAGCGATATCTGAGGGCGTTGCTAGTTTAGATGTTTGGCCTTTGTAAGATACCTGAAGTGGTGCTGTTTCAGATACACTTTGCGCCAGCTTGGATTCTTCGTCTTCGGCTACTTCATCTTCACTGGACTCGTCATTGGCTTGGGGAGTTAGGCCAAGTTGATTATGCTTGCGCCTTCTTCTCTTTGCCTTTCCGGCTGTGAGGTCTGTAGCAAGTGGTGGTTTCGACGGCAGAGGATTCCCGAAGCTTGGTACTGCAGGCGCCGCGGGAGTTCGGGGTACGGTAGGTTGCTTTTTGAACGCAGAAGAGTGATCCCGTTTATGGGATTGAGGAGGGATTAGGCCCTGATTGCCATGAGGAGGTCGTGGCCCTAGTGCTTGTCCTGGTTGAGCTCCCATGTATGATCCCGCACCTTGCATCCTGTTGTGCCAGGGTACGGAGCCCATCACTGCGTGATTGTTCGGCTGGTGACCATGATGAGGTGCTGGTAGACCTTTCATGTAGTCTGGGGGAGGGTAGCCGGGAGTAGTGTTGTGTGGGTAGCTTCCCGTCGCCGCCAACTGGGGAAACTGATGAGGTTGATATGGCGTCGGATTTTGAGGATTGTGGGGGTGCAAGTAGTTCCCTTGCGCTACTGGTTGGGGAAATGACTGAGGCTGAAATGGGATTGTTTGCCCAGGATGATAAGGCGAAGGGGTCATGTATGGTGCTGGGGGAAGAGCTTGAGGGTATCCGCCATAGTTTGGCTGTGTAAAGTTGAAGCCTCCAGCTGCAGGGTATGATGGTGCTCGTCCACCGCGTGCATGATTACCTCCACGGCCTCGACTGCCCTGCCCTCTGCCACGGCCTCTTGTATCTAGATCGCGTCCACCTCGGTTCTGTCCATGTCGAGCCTGGGGGTCGGCCGGTGCTTGCTGCGCTGGCAACGGGGGCGGAGGCGGCGGAGGCGGCGGAAAAGAGAAACCCTGAGAGCTCATTACTAGATCCTGCGGGTCTTTTGAAAGACGCCAGCACAATCACAGTAATAAACTCGTGACTTCCACTTCTCAGCTGAGATCAAAGCTTGCGTCCAGTGAATATCACGTGATGATGCGATAACAGAGCGGGCAGAATTTCCGTGATAGCACGTGATCTGGGAGGATTCAAGAGATAATGCGACAAACTCGCACGTGATATTGATTATCAGCACGTGACCTCTAAAAATTGCACGGGAATGGAAGAGTGGGATTTGGGCGGGGAGTGAAGAAAGTAGAAAAGTTTGCATTCTCAGGCGAAAAAAAAGTGCAATAGCCATTCTCAAACGGGGAAAGAGCTACCAACCGTCTCTTCCATCTTCCTTCTTCATCCCATGTTCCTTCCTCTTGGGTCGTCACCACCATGTTCATCCTAGTAAGTTTGACGCTGATATCAAAAGACCGCTAGCTGACAAAGGTAGACAACTATCTCAGATCTGATTCAGATATCGCCTGAAGATTTCTCAAAATTCAGCGCAGTGGCTATTGAAGACAATATCAATGCGAAATATGCCAACAAAGTGCGTCATCTCGGCTTGTTGCCAATGTCTTAACGCTTATTCTAAGTATCCAGGTTATTCAAAAAATCGGCCTGTGCATTAGCTTCTATGATTTGCTAGAGTCTTCTGATGGTCTAATTGGCCATGGAACTGGGCTGGTCAATGTTAACGGTGGGTTCAACGGTTGAACCATATTATTCAAGTTGGACTCAATGCTGATCATGACATAGTTAAATTCCGTATGATTGTGTTCCGGCCTTTCAAGGGAGAGATCATGCTGGGGAAGATCTCCAGTGGTACAGAGCATGGAATCAAAAGTGCGTCCCACATCTAAACTCTCAGTGTGCGTCATATACTAACAATTTCAAGTTGGCCTGGAATTTTTCAATGACATTTTGATCCCGCCACAAATGCTCATGGAGAAGTCCCGATTGTAAGCCATTCCCCGCCTAGTGCGGAATCAAACCATACTAATGTAGATCACAGTGACTATGCCGAGCAGGTATGGATCTGGGAAAGTGAAGGCGGAACGGAATTCTTCTTCGATGTGGGAGAAGTTGTTCGATTCCGGGTTGAATCAGAAGAATGGCACGATCAGATTCCTAATGCACCAGAGCTTGGTGACGAAACTCCACAGGAACGGCGGCCTCCGTATTCCATTCTTGTTAGTATCTCTATCTCTAACTTTCTTTTGCTCTCACTGACCATTCCCCAGGGATCGATGCAGATGGGTGGAACTGGACCTATCACTTGGTGGTAGTTTGCTTTTGCTGGTGCACTATCACCTATTAGACTGTCTTCTTGTCGCTTGGTCTATCGTGGCCCGTTCTCAGCGCCCATACAATTTCCTTCCTAGTTAGATCAGATACCCATACGAATCAATGCAAATGAATACATTAATAGAGAAGTGACTTGTTATTATGAAGAGATGTAGTTGCTCGCCGAGTCCCTGCAGACACGCTTGGACTATTTAAGAAGGGCCTTGTTCACGGTGGATATACTACAACATGGTATCTGAATGTAGGTAAGAACGAGGAACTAAAGTGGTATTCATCCCCGCAAATCCGCTCATCCATATCTATTTTTAAATAGCCCAAGTAACACAAACATATAGGTAACACATACCCCAAGATATTAACCCCAAGGGCTTGGATATAGTTCAGATGGACAAATAACATGGCTGACAGATGATCCGGCAAGTGCCGAACACTCCGAGACTCCGACTGATCGGAGTGTCCGGCCGATTCTCCGAGCAGATTTGGCGGCGACCGGTGGAGCTCCGGTGGCATTTCGTCCAGTCGCATCAACGCGATCCATCGCCATATGCCACCCAGAGGTTGGCAGTACCTAAAAGATTCTTTTCCAGTCGAATTTTTTTTCCAGTTGAATTTTTCAGCACAAAAACATCCGAAAGCAGACATTCCTCCTGGTTTTCGCCATCCTCGCCCTTGATTAGCAATCGGATTCGCAATTTGGGTCTAAATTAAGATTTCGCAGTACAAAGAGCGGTAATCTCATCTTATCTATAAACATATAACCCACCTTTCGCATCCTTCCGGTACTCTCCAACCAACTTCTCTATACACAATGGGCTCTACGGAAAACGGACACACTACCGACCGCCGGTTCGGAACACTGGCTGTTCACGCCGGTGCACCTCACGACCCTGTGACCGGCGCTGTCATTGCACCGGTAAGCGGCTCTATCTATAACAGATATAGAACAATATTAACAATGCCCTGTCAAGATCTCCCTGTCGACCACATATGCTCAGACCAGTGTTGGAAACCCTGTTGGTCTGTACGAGTACACACGAAGCTCTAACCCCAACCGGTTAGTTTACCTCATTGGAACCATGACAAATTGATCAGGCGGACTAATATTCCCCGAAGTGATAACTTCGAGCAAGCTGTTGCAGCCCTCGAGCACGCCAAGTACGCTCTTGCTTACTCTTCTGGCTCCGCTGCCACTGCCAACGTCCTCCAGTCCCTTGCCGCTGGCTCGCACGTCGTTTCGGTCTCCGACGTTTATGGCGGTACTCACCGTTACTTCACCAAGGTTGCCTCGGCACACGGTGTCGAGGTCTCCTTCTCCCCCTCCATTGAGACCGAGCTGGAGAAAATGATCCGTCCCGAGACTAAGCTCATTTGGATCGAGACTCCCTCCAACCCCACTCTTGGCTTGGTGGATATCCGGGCTGTTGCCGACATTGCCCACCAGCATGGCATCCAGGTCGTCGTCGATAACACTTTCATGAGCCCCTACGTCCAGAACCCTCTGGATCACGGTGCTGATATTGTTGTTCACTCCGTGACCAAGTACATTAACGGTCACTCGGTGAGTCCTATACCTCTTTCATCGATTTCTTTTTGTCCCATAGCTAACTAAATTCTAGGATGTCCTCATGGGTGTTGCTGCCTTTAACTCCGAGAGCCTCAAGGAGCGCCTCGGCTTCCTCCAGAACGCCATTGGCGCTGTTCCCTCCGCCTTTGACTGCTGGCTCGCTCACCGTGGTCTCAAGACCCTGCACCTGCGCGCCCGCGAGGCTTCCAAGAACGCCACCGTCATTGCCAAGGCTCTGGAGGCCTCTCCCCACGTCATCTCCGTTAACTACCCCGGTATTGACTCCCACCCCCAGCGCGCTATTGCTCTCAAGCAGCACCGCGACGGTCTCGGCGGTGGTATGCTCAGCTTCCGCATCAAGGGTGGCCAACAGGCTGCACACGATTTCTGCAAGTACACCAAGGTCTTTACGCTGGCCGAGAGTCTGGGTGGCATTGAGAGTCTGTGCGAAGTGCCTTCCAGCATGACCCACGCTGGTATCCCCAAGGACCAGCGCGAGGCTGCCGGTGTCTATGATGATCTTGTGCGCATGAGCTGTGGTATTGAGGACTCTATTGACCTTCACGCCGATGTGATGCAAGCTTTGGCTCTTGTGTCTAAGGCTTAAACGCAGCTCTCTAATTGCGGCTTGTAATTTTGGCATTCATTAGAATAGAATAGATTGCATTAGTGACTAAGCATCTGGAAATGACATTATGAGTTACAGATTCCCCAAATTGGTTCTACTTTGTACCTCTGTAGGATTTACATGTGTCTTTTGTATCCCGGATTATTGCCTAAGGCCCGGGGCTGTAATTCGCTTAGTCATACACCCACTGCGGGCAATTTTTTGTATGGAAATCAGGTCGCAAAATCCGTAAGAAGATAACCTTGAAACAGCAATCGAGCTGATCATCTAGTTCATCTGCCGTGAGAAACAAGCGTCTGTGTCAATATTCGTCCGAGTGTCTTAGGTAGGAAACTCGAATCTGACATATTCCCACAATTTGCATCATCCGCTTTGAACAGCTCACCTGCAAAGTACTAGGTAACTTGCAAGAAGGGAAACAGAAATCTTATCCACCTGAAAATGGCATTCAGCTTCGGCTTCTCGGGGGAGGATATCGATATTGACGATTCTGAGATCAATAATGACTTCTCTGATGTGCCCTCCCAACAAGCTGTGAGCAATTCTCTTCCTGAGCTCGTGAAAGCGAATAAGCATGATATGAATGAATGGGTAAGTCGCAAGTCAGTATATTTCTTCATTGTTTATGTATGGCATGCAATCGCTTTTGTTGTTGATCATTTGGGCTGGCCAGTATACTCCGAATCCCATCCAATCCAGGCCTATGAGATATCGTCCTCTAGCAGGCATGATTTGATTACTTTACTATGCATCTGCTTTGGATAGAGCCAATATCTAACCAGGATGACAGCTCTCAATTCTTCCTTCTCAAATTTTCTACAATAAGCTTCAAATCAGCAATACGCCTTTAGCCGTTGCTCGTCGCGAGATCTTTGATATCCGCACCCAGCTTATGGCCGAAGACAGCGCAGGACACGATAATGAACAGCTGATTGCCGGCATCGAGAAAGGCGACATCACGCCCAATTTCTATGAAGGCGGTTTCAAGACCTGGGAATGTGCCCTGGATCTAGCCAAGCTTTCTCTCGACGAGGACATTCTTGATGAATCGTCTGATAGCCCAGTGGACATTCATATAATTGAGGTTCGTCGTAGTTTCATCTTTGAACACGCCTAGGATTTGCTGACATGATAAAATAGCTTGGTGCAGGCACAGCAGTCCCGTCATTGACACTGTTCGCCCGTCTTCTTAGCCAGGCCGAGCCAGGCCAGAGTCAACGAAAGACATTCTTCACTTTCGCGGACTACAACTCAGATGTGCTCCGTCTTGTCACGCTCCCAAATCTTCTTTTGACATGGCACAATAGCCGCCCCCAGGTGGCTGTAGCAGCTACTCCAACTGCGCGAGACCAGGATGAAGAGCTGGATATCACGCCTGAGGTGATCGAAGAATTCAAGAATGACCTTGTCCAGCGTGGGATTTTTGTTGATTTTGTTTCCGGTGCTTGGTCGCCCGAGTTTGTGGATTTGGTCTTCTCATCTGGTGATGCTGCTCGCAAGACCTTGGTTCTTGCCAGTGAGACTATCTACTCGCCCGGATCGCTGAAGTCTTTCTCCGAGACGCTTTTGGCACTGCTGCGCCGCTCGAACACTGCATCGGCGAGAAGCCGAGCTCTTGTGGCGGCGAAGAAGGTTTATTTCGGAGTTGGTGGTGGTGTTGATGAATTCCTTGCTGTGTTGGATCATGTCTGTGCTAATGAGCTGGATGTGCAGCAGAAGTTGAATGTCCAATCTGAGGGCGTGGGAAGAGTGGTGTTGGAGGTGGTGCCAACAAATGCGTCCTAGAGCAATTTTGATCATGAAATGAATATCTCATCTCTGCATTCATCCCAGATTGATCGAGGCTCCCGGCGAAATGCTCAAAACAAAAGAAAATCCAATTATCAAGTGCTGGATTGAACGTCAAGTCCCAACGTATATGTACATAATTTTTCCTCCACACATGGCTAGTTCAGACAGCCGGCTAAAGAGAAAAGATACCACCAATTTACTCGTAGAGCGAAACAACCTTACCGTCCTTCATCCGCGCAACCCGAGCATCCTCCATCTCCTGGTTCTTGCGCTGATAGTGAGCCACGACATGGCTCAGGTCGGCCTGCGAACCGGGCGAAACATTGTAGGGCGAACCGGAGTTCATCATCCTAGAAGTGAGAATGACGATTAGAATGACAGGTAAGAAAAGCATTGCCTCAGCAGCGGCGTCACATACTCGGTCTGTCTGAGGGCGTAGGCCTCGGGGGCTGCCTGACTGCCGAGCAAGTGGCGGTCAGCGGCAGCCTTCTCCATAATAGCGGTGTGGATGGCATTGCGCTGCTCGAAGACTTCCTGGGAAGGCGACCACTTGCTGATGAGGCTGGAGATCCAAGACGGCGAGCCAGATTCCTCGTTGGACTTGGTGACGCGGTAGAGCACGTAGGCGGAAGCGATGGATCCAACGGTGACGTAGAAGCTGCGCTGTTAAGTGGACATGTCAAGGTTAGTCAGGTGGTTGGGAGGCTGGTGATGCATTTCTAGCTCTGCTTCCAGATTCGGGTCTGGTCGCGGTCGGCGGGGGAGAAGAGCTTACGCCGAAGGACTCATTGACGGGCTCGTGGGCGGCATGAGAGCCCCAGCGGCGCTGGGAGCGCAGCAATTGCCGCGTCGAGGGAACAGATCGTCTAGCAGCAAACATTGTGTGGAAGGAAGCAATTGGTGGTGATCGATGACCCTTTGCAGGGCGATGATAGGGCGAGGTGGAAAGTGAAAGTCGATGGCACGTGATGTCCGTATTGGGCTTAGGGCGGTTTACGGTATCCCGTCGAGTGAAGTGTCGGTGCATCGGAGGGACAGCATCACTTCTCCATTGTTCTAATAATAGTCTGATCTTCCAGTTCTATCCTATTCTATGAAGCATCGTTGGGCGATCCTCGGTGTTTCAACTGGAATCTTCCGATTCTTTGTATCATGATCGGGCCAGGAACCTCGAGTCAACCCATGCTTGCATACTATCGCAGTCACACCGTGCAAGTGTAGCACCCCCATGTATTGGGTAGAATTGGACTCCGCAATAAGAATAAACCCCCCAAAAATTAACCTGCACGCAGCCTGATGTACGGTTCCACATCGCATCGACAATCATATTATGTCCAACATGCATGGCGCATACGTTCCCAACCTCATGAAGTCATGGAGGTGTGTTGTCCGATGCCAGCCTCACTATTTACCTTTGTCACACTTCTGGCCCCTCCGCCTCAACACTCATTGGACGATATCCAACCATTGGGAATCTCGCCTTGTTCGAATCCACGCCTATGATTAATGTCTGGCTCTCGATTGAACATGTCAGGTTGTCGGTGTCGCTCCCCCCACTAACCTCGCCCTGTCGTTGGAGTCCTAACCCGAACCCACAGTTTGATGCCCAATGCCATGGCATCTTCCAACTGGTCTCGCTTCGGTTTAGAATGAAACGGTGGATTGGGATCTTCTTTGTGCCCTGAAATTCGCCCCGGCACGCGCGTCTATTCGCGGGTTTCAGGCCCTCTCGCACATTGGGGAGTGGATGGGTATCAATCCGCTAAGGCTCGGTCCGCTGTGTTGTGCCCCGACATCGTTGGGATGCCAATTGTCGAGTCTAGATATTTTTCTCCTTTCGGGTTCTGCTTTTCTTTTTCTTTTCCTTCTCTTTACATCTTTCAATAATAGAATTCATATTTCGATTTACCCAAACTGTCGATTCCTGCGGGTGTGAATATTTATTTGTGCCCACTCCTTCAGGTCTCTGCCCGATCAAAGCCATTCGGCTCACACTTCTAGATCTTCCGACTCTTAATTCTTTCTTATTTTAGCCATCCCCTTGGGCTATATCTTTGAGGCATCGCCAGCGCCCCTTGCAAATGTACAGTGCAGTCCAGTCATCCCACTAAACATATCATCGGACTATTACTCACGCTCGATTTAGCTCACCGATCTCATTGGTAACACGTTTTGCAGCAGCACGAATTTTTGGGCACGCATCCCCCTACCGCGATGGCCGCGGGCAGCAAGAAGACCAAGGCCAAGGATAAGAGTGGCAAGGCCGCCACCAAGCAGAAGAATAAGAAGGGAAAGACCCAAGAAGTCACAGAACCTCAACCACCTGCAACCGATACCCCTACTCCTGGCAGTCCTGTACTTCCGGCGCAGGAGCAAGAACAGGCCGAAGACCAACAAGAGCCTGCTGTTGACACACCTGTCGAAGCACCAACACCTCTGTCTGAATCAGCATACGAGGTATTCGACGACGACACCACACCACAAGACAATCCTACCCCTGTCGCAGATCAGGAAGAACCTTCAGTCGAACCCTCCGTATCTCCAGACGAGGTGGTCGACAACGATACTGCCCCCCAAGACATCTCCGACCCTGTCGAAGATCAATCATCACCTATAGTTGACATCCCTGCCGACGGGGAACAACCTGCAGACGAGCCAAGCTCCGCCGAGACTCCCGTGGAGGACATCGAGACCAAAGAGCCATCTGTGGAAGAGCCATCTGTGGAAGAGCCATCTGTGGAAGTACCCTCTGTGGAAGAACCCTCTGTCGAAGAGCCCTCTGTCGAAGAGCCCTCTGTGGAAGTACCATCTGTGGAAGAGCCATCTGTGGAAGAGCCATCTGTGGAAGAACCCTCTGTGGAAGTACCCTCTGTGGAAGAACCCTCTGTGGAAGAGCCCTCTGTCGAAGAGCCCTCTGTCGAAGAGCCCTCTGTGGAAGTACCCTCTGTGGAAGAGCCCTCTGTCGAAGAGCCCTCTGTCGAAGAGCCCTCTGTCGAAGAGCCCTCTGTGGAAGTACCCTCTGTGGAAGTACCCTCTGTGGAAGAGCCCTCTGTCGAAGAGCCCTCTGTCGAAGTACCATCTGTGGAAGAGCCCTCTGTCGAAGAGCCCTCTGTGGAAGTACCATCTGTGGAAGAGCCATCTGTGGAAGAGCCCTCTGTGGAAGTACCATCTGTGGAAGAGCCATCTGTGGAAGAGCCAATTACCGTTGAATCTCCCATCGAGGACACCGAGGTCAAGGAACCGTCTCCGGAAGAACCAATTGCAGTTGCATCTCCTGTCGAGGACACCGAGGTCAAAGAGCCGCCACTGGAAGACCCAACTCCTCCCGTCCAGCCTCCAACTGAGGACACAGAAGCAAAAGAGCCCTCGGACGACCAGAGCAAGCCAGACGAGACAAGCCAAGCCGATTATTTCCAAGAGACAACTGTTGCCCCATCACCGGCACCAGCTCATCCATTCTCCCCTGCGGCTGTCGGCGTAGCATTGCCTTCACCATCGTCCACTGAAGCACGGTTTATTTCAACTCCCTCTCAAGAGAGCCAGCTATATCACCCTGCACCATCCACATTTTCTGGTTACGCTTCACCCCCTCCCTTCTCGGCGCCAGCACCTTACACCTCAGCAAGCGCATACGCTACCTCACCGGTGGCAACTTCATACGCTTCACCTGCTGCCTACGCTGGATCCCCGGCACCTTACGCCTCACCAACGCCTTATAGCTTACCTGGACCTTACACCGGTATTCCGGCGTCCTACGCCTCACCAATAGGTTATAACGCCCCGCCGGTGCCCAAAGTCAGCAGCCCACTTGCACGTTCTCGCCGACGTCAAATGTCCCCATCACTGTCCCCTACTGCAACACCTCAAAACCAACCAGCTGCACCGATATCTCATCACCAAGCACCACCCGTCATGCCTCAAAGTATTCCACACCCTCTACACTCTCCTGTCATGAGTGGGGACAGAATGGTACCTCCTTATGGGTCTTACTCTCATCATGCACCGGATCCCCATTACATGCAGAGAAGCTACAGCATCGCCGACCCATCATATGCAGCATCATATGCTGCACTTCAAAGCCTGTCCATGGGTCAGGCCATGGGCCAGGGTCGTCCTCACGAGAGTGGGTCTCCCCCAGAGGGCGAGACTGAGCATATTGAGCTTCTTGGACGTATCCAATCGGCCATTCCAGACATCAATGCTCTGCTCAGTGGGTTCCGCAACACCCAGCATAGGCTTTCCCACCGAGAGGCTGAGATGAAACAAATTGGAACGCAGCATGAACAGGCGTTGCTACACAAGGACTACTACATTGAAGCCTTGCAATCACAAATGAAGAAGACTGCCAATGAAAGTGCCGAAGAAGCTTCCAAGCTAAAACACACCATCAGCGAGCTGCGTCTGGAACTCGGAGATCTTCAAGAGAAGCAGAAGGATCTTGAAGATAACGTGACTGCTCACCAGAAGACCACTGAGGAACTGACTGAAGCCAAGGCCGAGCTCGAAACCCAGCTCACCAAGCTGAACGAAGACATACAAGAGGCGAAGGAAGCCCACGAGAAGGAGCTTGAAGCCAGGAAAGAGGAGCAAGAGCAAGCTCTTGTGTCACAGAAACATGAGCTCACCGAGTTGTTCGAGGAGATCAAGAGCGAGGATGAGAAAGCAGCAGCCGAGACTCTGGAAGCTCGCGAGAAGGAGCTTCAAGATGAGCACGCAGCCAGAAAGGGCGAATGGGAGAAGGAGAAGTCCGAATTAGAAGATTCCCTCGAAGCCCACCGCACCGAGCTCGAGGCCACCAAGACAGAATTGGCTTCCCAGATCGCTGCTTTGGAATCCAAGGAGGCCGAATTACAAACCAAGCTCTCCGAACTCGCCTCGACAAGTGAAGAACTCGCCTCGACAAGCGAAGCACTCGCAGCGAAGCTCGAGGAACTGGAAGCGTCACGAATTGAATTGGAAGAAACCAACAAGAAGCACGCCCAGGAAACCGAAGAGCTTCAACAAAGTCATGCCGATGAATTGGAGTCCCTGCGACAATCTCACAGTGACGAACTCGCTGCTACGACCAAGGAGTTCGAAGACAAGATTGCGGCTCTGGAAGCTCAAATGAGTGAGAAGGAAGAGCTCTGGAATACAGAACGCGCCTCCATGGAGCAGCAAATCGCAGACAAGACTAGCGAACTCGCCAGTTCCGAGCGCGAGAAGGAGAAGTTGGAAGGAGAGGGAATTATCAAGGAGCAGCACCTTCAGCGTGCAGTTGAAGGGATGCGCACTACCATTGATAACTTGGGCGGAGATTGCGACAGGCTAAGAAAGACATTGCTTAGCCTGGGAGAAGCCACTGATCTCAGAAACACCAAGGGCGATCAATTCTTGTAAGTGATCTTTAAAGCCCTGAGGACTCCTTTCTTTCATGCTTCTTCCTCTTCTTCCTCTTCCGGTTTTTGCGTCTTTTTCAAGACAAGTCATTCATTTTATATTTCTTTTGTTATTTGTTTGAAGCCTGCATTGTTTTTGTTTTACCTGCATTATTTATGAACTGCACGAGCGCAAAGCGACCATACTCTTTCTTATAGACTCATGTTGATAACGATAAATGGACACGATCTAATAAACACTTCGCCATTTAGTTTGGAATGTTTCAACGAGCTCTCGCAGCTCATCCACGATCTCTCCAAAGAACATTTCGGATATCTTCCCATCGATCCCCCCAAAGACATCCTTTCCAAGATTCCCTCTGAACTCCCGCCTTTCCTTGATAACACCCCTGCCTCCCGCGAACTGCGCTGTGCATACATCCAACACATCATCTCTAAAACCCTAACTTTCCGAGTATTCCAGCCCTTCCTCTTCACTCTGGGCCGGAGATATGACAAAGCCGACACCTTCTTCCAAATGTTGTCCATGGACATTCGACGCAAGTCCGTCCGCCGCGAGGCATTCTGGAGACAGCAGACTCTCAAAGCAGCCTACACAACCTCCGACGCCAAGCAATCCATCAACGTCGCCGCTGCAGTCATTGTCGATGAGATTATCGATCACATCAAGCACTTTGCCGACCCCAAGCACCTGGATTCCCTCCTGACCGGCGTCCGAAGGATCGTCAAGCTCGCCGCCGAGACATGGCGACACGCACGCGTCGAGCGCGAGCTCGTCATCGCCAGCTTCCCCGCCCCAGACGCAGAGAGCATTTCCAATGAGAGTTGGTCCGAGTACGCCTCCAACAAGGAGCAGAAGCACAACCCGAAGAACGAGCCCAGTCGCCATGTCGTCCTGCGTACTTTCCCTCGTATTACCCGCGAGGCGGCACACGAGGACTTCGCTAGCGAGGAAGAGAAGGCCTCTCCCTGTATCTACTCGCACGGCATTGTCCTGTACTCCGATTCCCCTGTCATCATGGGTCGTCTCCAGGAGTTTGCAAAGCGGTCAACAGACACTCTCGTCGGTGATGACGGCCAGACCTCGCCTAGCAGGAGATCTACCGAGAAATTGTCCCCGATCGATGTGTCGTCACCAAAGGTGATGTCTGTAAGGTCTGCCCCTACAAGTCCTGGTGCGAAGGGTCAGTTTATGAGGATGTGAGTTTGGTCGCTTCGGTGACTTGATATAATGTGTTTTATAGCGCCAGGGTTATTTCCCTATACACTCCTTTATACTTTCTTTTGTTTTTCCTTTGTTTTTCTTTTATCGCATACCTGTTTTGAGGTTTTATTGCGCACGTTTCAGCGAATTTGCATCCGATAATTCTTACGTTGTGTTTGTACTTGAGCATTTTTGGGTTTGTTGGGAGATTGTATGTAAGAGCAGATAGATTAACGAGTGAGTGAATTGAACGACCATTATATACCTGCAACATTGTCAGGTCAAATATATATCTCGCGTCTAGTCATATTAAACGCATATAATCCGACTTTTAGAGACTCAAGTTACCAGAAAATCAAATTGTGCCTCTTCGCTTGTATCTGTCTTCCAAGACATATATGTTGCCTGCCGCTGGAGGAATCCTAAAATGTTGAGCCTTCCACATCGTCCTTCACAGGGACCTAAACAAGTAGGATTGAAAATAAGGTAACTCTGAAAATCCATGGTTTGGGGTACCTCGCTTCTCCTAATGAGTTCAATATATGTGTATCCAACTCAGCAGGACGATCTATATAAGACGCACGTGTTTGGCAAAATTGGAAATTCACCACACATTTAGTCAATATATCTCTACACATATACAACGTTCTAAAAACCTCTGATTAAACCCACTTATCACTTACCTGAAGTTCAGCATGGCAGAGCCTCAAGCACTCGTGCTAGAGTTGACAATTGTCGAACTTGGGATGACGACTGCCCAGTCCCAGGTCGGCCCAGTGCTATATGCGAGGCCCGTATGCAAGTCCGAGGCACAGCCGTCGGATGAAAGTGTCGGATTCATCTTCAGAAAGAGAGAGTACTCAATCTTACCCTGAATGCAGATCGCAGCACAACTATCTTCATCGGCATCACTGCGCATTATGGAGGCCTTGGGGAGTTGGACCAACAATGCCCAATTCCGCATGTTGGCAAGCAAATTGAACGGCTTAAAGGCATCGGTAAGCCAGAATTCCAACGGCTCAATTTTATTTTCATCTTTTTATACAGAACCTGACTAATAAATGATAGCTACCTATTGCGTTTCGCCGCCCCTCGAGCGGAAGATGTATGGATGGAAAGTGTTGCAAATAAGGTTCCTATTGAAGCGCTCACGATGCTCAAGCTAGTGTGGCTATCATCAAATATTCACTATATCCACTGGTCAGGATCCTCTAGAAATCCTGAGGCTCTATCGGGGAACGAGGTGGTGGGTTCATTCTATTAAGGCGACACAGGGAAAAGGTCACAGAACAGCGTATTAGCGGACTCGAATCAAAAAGGCAAAGCTGATCGGAAGTGGTAATTCACCACCGTTTACAAAATCAACGTGGAAATAGTCGCGGTATCATACAGCTACCTACTCTTACATACACGAGTTGCACACCATGGAACTGATGGCTTGATATTCGTCGAATTATTAATGATATAGCGTAAACAGGAAGTAGATCGAACAGCAGCCTGTACATTGCTGCATACAGGGGTATAAGAAAAGGATAGACTACAGTTTAGCCTCAGTTCCTAGTGCATTCCTACGCATTTGGCGCGACGAAACATCGGCATGCACTGGAGCTGCGGCGTTTTGGAATAGCTTTCGCCCAACAATATCAGACATGGTGAGAACGCGCGAGGAAACCGTTGCGCCGTCCCGACGGTTTTTTCTGCAAGAGGTCAGTTATAAGTCAAGAGAGATGGTGCGAGGGAAAGGGGACTCACCCTTCGCGGCGAGACTGTGCAATTAATTCGACAAACTCCCAGAGTCGACCACCGTCGAGAACTTTCCCAGTGCTTTCGTCGCGTTGGGGTGCCCATTCAGGAGCCAGCCTGAGAGACGAACCGGCCTTGGATTCTTTGTTCTTCGCAACCAGGATAATACCCTCTTCCTCAAATCGTTGATAGGAATTCTTGAGTGTTTCCTTGTTGACCGCCTCAAAGTACGAGAGATCGCCTTGATGATATAAAGTTTTACCAAGCTGCAAACGTTAGAAACAATAAATTTTGGATGAGATGGAGGATCTTACGATCTGAGCACTATCCTGTGCTTTCTTCATATCAATCCAAACTTCCGTCGGGCCGTCAAGAGGCGGTGTCAACCCAAGAAGAGACACTGCTCCAAGCCAGGAGGCTTCAATGAAAGGCCAAATCAGGAAGCAGTAGAAATCATAGTTCTCACGACCACATAGCCGTTCAGACTCACTCAGTTCCACGTAAAGCGGCGCGCCGGACTCATCACGGGTGATCATGATCACATCATCTTTCTCTAGCCCACCTAATGTGTGATCAAAATTGTGGGCCAAACCTTCGGGCGGGAAAATGAATTCACCCCGGAAGAGTTGCGACAGGAATGAGACGTGTTTTTTCAAAGCTTCATACGTGATTCTTTGGTTAGTGGGCCCACCGCCCTGCTTGATCTTGGTGTACATAGCCACAGAAACAAGCGCCTCAGTGATGAAAAGGTGGATTAGCATGTTACGGTAGAAGGAAAGTTGGAAGCGATCCACGGCATAGTACGTTGGCTCGACTAGGCCCGAGATCACACCGACGAGCTTGGGCCCCAGGACTTCCAGTGCACGGTCAACCACCGTCTCTGTGGGTGAGCGATAGAAGTGGGCGACCCTACCACCTTTGGCTCGCACCCTCTCGCAGAGCCAGTCCAATCGCCGTACTAGCTCACCTTTTCCGACTCCCCGACCGCGCAAGGTCAAGAGGACGGTTCCAACAAGGGCGGTTGGCATCATCACAGAAACATCGTTGATATTGGACAGAACCCGATAGCCAAATGTTCGCAGAATGCGGCCTCGATCAGTATAGCTAAGTTTGTCATTGATGTCCGTGCTGGGACGATCCAGTCGCGTAAGCTGTTGGCCAATGAAGTCTCGGAGACTCCATGGCTCGTGGAATCGGACATCAACTCGGCCTAGCTTCAAAGACAAAACTGAAGACGAAGAAAGAAAATCGGCCAGATTCTCCTTTGGCTTCGGCTGGCCAAGAAGCTCGCTGATGTATGATCTAGAGAATAAGTCAATATAAATGCTCACTTAGCAGGGCATTGTGCCAATGGGAAGTGCCATACTCAGTCTCGATGACCTTGTCGTACTGAGTACTAACAGGACAGATGATAAGATCCTCAGCCCGACCTGATAGTAAACTGTCCATGATAAAACTCAAGATGCCAAACTTAGGCGAGAGCAGCTTTCCAGTTCTTGAACGACCACCTTCGATAAAGCATTGGAAGTTAAAGCCCTGTTGAAGGAGAGTATCAATGTAGGCCTGTACGACGGTGTGATATAATGGATCGTTTCCAAAGCTTCGTCGGATCCACATAGCGCCTAGATTGTATTAGCAAAAAAGCTTAGAGTGAATCAGAGATAGCTTTGCAACCAACCTGCGTGTTGTAAGAAAGCGCCCAGCAACGGAATATTGAGATTGTCACCCGCGACAATAACTGGCAAAGAAATTCCGAGACGGTAGCAGATAAGTTGTAGTGACACATAATCCACATGAGACTTATGGCAAGGCAGGAAAACAATGGACTGTTTCTTCTTGGCCGCAGTTTCAGCCACGGAACGTAAACGCAAGATTTCCTCGCTAGATACATGGATTCCTAGTGTGAATAGCATTTAGCATTGGTATGAGATGGGACAGTCATGTGAAGTGAAGCATACCTTGATGATAAGCTCGAGTCAAGAGCTGTGTGCACATATAATAAGCGCTCCGAATAAATCTTTTGTTTTCCATCTTGCAAATCATGTTTTCCATCATTGTATCCACAACCTCCCGAAGGCTGTCTTCAATCTCAGTCCTGCGACGGGCGCGTTTTTCGTCTTGTGTTACGCCTTCTTTGATTGCCAGCAGTCCTTCCTTTTCTTCAACCGCAAGCCGACCATTGGCCAGTTCAGTGACCTTATTCTGCAGGAGAGGGCTGGCCAATATCATGTTCTTCATCCGTTCGGAGAAGCCAGGGTAGAAGATTGGTTGGCCGATAGGTTCATCATATGCGCGCCAGCCTGTACCGGACATGTACAAGCTTACTTCCCGCAGGAAATCGAGAGGGTTCTCACGGAATCGTACCATGTGGCGAACAAGATTGCGTTCCGTAATCTGTTCATCGTGGGATTCAGGGCCTCCAGTGAAGCCGGATGGATGAATTGTCAACTTCGAACTAGCGATCTCCAAATCTGGCGCAGAGTGGTCCTCAGGGATCGACGACTTGGGAGACGGCATTTTGCGGGGTGCTGACAGGGCAAGGGCTGTTATAGTTCAGAGCCAGTCATGAGAACGTGGCCTGGTCCACGGTGTATAGAAAGAATAAAGGATTCGACGAAAAGCTCGAAGGAGGAGAGGTGCGGGCACCAGACCATAGCTCGAGCCCCCAAGCTCTCAACAAATCGGCAATGACAAATGACACGGCTGATCGCCCCCGGATGTTTTTCGGTTTCCCCAGGAATCAGCCGAGGCAGGTCACGTGAGTGGCCTGAGATGTGCTCGCAGCTCTCGTCCCACCTGGTTTTTGACGTCTGCATTCTGCATTCTGCATTGAGCTTGTTTTGTGATTGATCATCGCAATGTCTCGTTTGATTAACGGCGTGAGGTCGTTCTCGAGTATGTCTCTATTATCGAAATTGTAGCTCCAGATAAGCTCACTGTATCCACCAGCCACGGCTTCATCCCTCATCGCTGACGCGACCGCCGCTTCACAATCTGTTCGCCAGCCATCCAGCTTCCAGGTCTTCCGCGATGCTTCCTCTATCCGGGGACTACGTCGCCAGTTGCTGCAGAAGGATCGGACTGTCGGATTCGTTCCCACTATGGGCGCACTCCATGAGGGGCATCTTTCGCTGATTCGACAAGCTGCCCGTGAGAATACAGACATTTTCGTCAGCATTTTCGTCAATCCCACACAATTCGGAGTCACGGAAGATCTGTCTAGCTATCCCCGCACCTGGGAGAGCGATGTCGAAAAATTGGAAAAGCTGAATGAGGAGCTCGAGCGGTTGGGAGAAAACAGTGCAAGCGCTGGGCGCATCACGGCCATTTTCGCACCGACATCCAAGGTCATGTATCCCGGTCTACCTCCTACATCAGAAGTTGATGGCCATGGCTCCTTCGTCACAATTACCCCTGTTTCAACCAAATTGGAGGGTGGCGCTCGGCCAGTATTCTTCCGCGGTGTGGCAACTGTCTGCATGAAGCTTTTCAACATCACAACTCCCGATCGCGTCTATTTTGGCCAGAAGGATGTGCAGCAGACTGTAGTTATCAAGCGCATGGTGGAGGATTTCCATATTGGCACCCAAGTGCGAATCATTGAAACCACCCGTGAAGCTGATGGCCTGGCATTGAGCTCGAGAAACGTCTACTTGGGAGACCGCCGACGAGCCGTTGGACTCACTATATATAGAGCGTTGAAGGCCGCCGAAGAAGCGTATCTGGCCGGCAAGACCAGCCGGACCGATATCCTTGACGCTGCCCGCATGATTTCGGATTCTGTCCTTTCTGAGCAAAAGGCGCTTTCACCAGCTGAAAGAGCACTTTACGAGGTCGACTACATCTCTCTCGCTGATCCCGATACTCTTGAGGAGTTGGAGACTGTCGATCTGGCTAAGGGTGCGATATTGAGTACCGCGTTCAAGATGGAACCACTGGAAGTCTCCAAGCCAGGTGAGGACTGTGGCTTGGGCGATGGAAAGGTCCCCGTACGCCTGATTGACAACCTCATTCTGCATCCCCGTGCTTGATATCATATCGAACACTCCATAATGAACATATAACATTGTAGTATAGCACGATTCGCAAGCACAAAATCATTTACATAGAATTCTCAAAAGCGATCACCTAGAAACTTGGAATCCAACGATATGACTCTCATATATCAGTCCAATGTAAACCAAGTAGGGCAAGTTCTTAGGGCGGAGAAAATTTGCGTGAGAGCCTGGAAGTCTTGGCGCCGAAAAAAAAGTCTCGAAAGCTTTTGGATCCGCGGTCAACGAAAACCTCACAACTCCCCGCTCTTTTCACCGGGGATCACCATCTTTCAAAATGGCCGACGATGGAATGCTTATGAACTTCGCCATTGGTGACGCTGTCATCAAGCCTGAAGCAAAGTTCAAGGGAGGAACATGGCGAGACCGATTGACCGCGAAGAAGCGCTCAGCCCACCGAGGCTCCGACAAAGCACCCGGCGATGCAGCTGCTCGCAACGCAGCATCCAAAAACCCCAATCAAATCCAGATCTCTGGTGACCGGCCGTTAAAAAGACAAAGGACAGAAGACTCATTCAACCGCCCCAGCGCCCCGCGATCTGGTGGTAAACGGCAGCAACACCCGCGAGACCCCACCCAGTTTGTTTCTTCGCTATTCAGCAGCAACCCTGAAGCGCGCAATCCTGAGGAACCTAAGGAGGAGAGAGAGGCGGAAGATTCGAAACCGACCAATGCGCCGCTGATCGACGGCCTCGATACCTTTACCAACCTGGGACTGTCGCCCAACCTCGCGGCGCATCTCCTCACAAAGCTGGAACTGAAGGCGCCGACGGCTATTCAGAAAAGCTCAATCACACAATTGCTGAAGGAAGAAAGCGATGCGTTCATCCAGGCCGAGACTGGTTCCGGAAAGACGCTGGCTTATCTTCTCCCGTTGGTCCAGCGCATTATCGATCTCTCAAAAGCGAAGAACGAACACACTGATAACCAAGTCCACCGAGACAGTGGATTGTTTGCTATCATCCTGGCACCCACTCGTGAGCTGTGCAAGCAGATTTCCGTCGTGTTGGAGAATATCCTGCGCTGTGCGAACTGGATTGTGTGTGGAACGGTTATTGGTGGAGAGAAGAAAAAATCAGAGAAGGCACGATTGAGGAAAGGATTAAATATTCTTGTCGCAACACCCGGTCGATTGGTAGATCACCTCGACAATACAGAAGCCCTGGAGGTCAGCAACGTGCGATGGCTCGTGCTTGATGAGGGAGATCGCTTGATGGACATGGGTTTCGAGGAGGAATTGCAGGGCATTGTCAAGAAGCTTGACGCTAGACAACGGCCCAGTCGTGTTCCTGGTGTACCTACACGCAGGACTACAATCCTGTGTTCTGCTACACTGAAGATGAATGTCCAAAAGCTGGGAGAAATTAGTTTGAAGGACGCAGTACACATCAAGGCCGATCCGGAGGACGAAGATGACACCAAGTCAAATGATGACGAGGAAGAGTCATTCCGTGTCCCAGCACAGCTCAAGCAATCTTACGCCATCGTTCCAGCCAAATTACGTCTGGTCTCATTAACAGCCTACTTGAAGAGGACGTTTATGCGAAAGGGATCAGTGATGAAAGCAATTGTTTTCATGTCTTGCGCCGATGTCGTCGATTTCCACTTCGAGCTATTCTCAAGGAACCAAGATCGCGAGCAGCAGAAAAAACTCGAGGAGGAAGGAAAAGAAGATACAACAGACGAGGAAAAAGACAAACTGTCACCACATGGCACCATTGCTCCTGGCAGAGCCTTCTCTACCCCAACAAATCCGGTCATCCTGCACCGACTGCACGGCTCACTTCCCCAGAATGTTCGAACAGCCACCCTCGGTTCTTTCTCGCGCAGTACTGAGGCTTGTGTCATGATCTGTACTGACGTGGCTTCCCGTGGTCTGGATCTGCCAAACGTTGATTTGGTTGTTGAATACGACCCTGCCTTCAGTTCTGATGACCACACTCACCGTATTGGTCGTACAGCCCGTGTGGGACGAGATGGTCGTGCTCTCATTTTCCTCCAGCCCGGCTGCGAGGAGAACTACGTTGAGGTCCTCAAGCGTGGCTACCGCGATGGAGGCAAGGCACTCACCCGCACTGACGCAAACGAGCTTCTCAAGCGCGGCTTTGGTGGAAACGAGACCGGAAAGAAGAATTGGGAGGAAAAGACAACTGATTGGCAAATGGACGTGGAGCGCTGGGCAATCGATAACCCAACCTATCTGGAAATGGCTCGCCGGGCATTCCAATCTCACGTCCGAGCCTACGCGACTCACATTGCAGCTGAGCGCAGCATGTTCAACATCAAGGAACTTCACTTGGGTCACCTTGCTAAGAGTTTCGCCCTGCGCGACCGACCGGGCAAAATCAACGTCCCTGGTCTGCGGCCCGGACAAGAAGACTCCAAGAAGGACTTCAAGGCGGCACGAAATGGTGCTGCAGGCAATAAGAGAAAGGCTGACGATGGTCCATCTTCCACGAATGTTACGGACGAAGCTGCTCGCAAGATGAGAGCCAAGATGAGGGAGCATATGTCTGGAGCCAACGAGTTCAACTTGGCTTGATTCTTTTTGCTTTGTGGACTCCTCAAAAAAAGCATGGTCGCATGGTTGTTTTATAGCATTAGCATTTATCTCAGTAGATATCCCATAATGAAATTTTCCCATCCTTGGATCCAGCCGCTAGCCAATGAGTTTGTTGTACTTTTTGATTCCGTTGTTGCTGCACTGCCGCAAGAGAATAGTCGCGTGTCTTGCCAGCTGTCTGCCCTGCTGCATCCTGGTCCGCGTAATTGCCGTCCTTTTCTGCAGGCTCACACGGCGAAGAGACTAATGAAGACGTGCTTTCGATGTTCCCGAACGCCACGGAATAACATCCATCTTTGTGCCACTTGAGCACGGCGAGCTCTTTCATCGTTTTCCCCGAGTACACCCGGATTCGGCTATCCCAGCCAGCAGTAGCGAATACCTTTCCATCGGAACGGATCTGTAGACCCTGCTGACCAGAATGCTTCGTGTTCACAACCTTCAGAGGAGATTCTTCCGTGTACCCTGCCGTAGGAATATACCCAGCAGAAGTTATGGTAGGAATAGGATGCTTGACGATCAAAGCATCGGCAGAAGAAGAGATGAAGTAGTCACGGGAAGCAGAGACATCAAGCGAAAGAACCGGCTGGGTATGAGGGCGGCCAGCGTAAAGCCTGTCCCATTTCACGGGGTTGCCAATGATATATTCACGCTCAAAGTGAGCTGTTCTGAGAGCCCCACGATGGACTAAGACCATTACATGACCATCCTCATATGCGGAAGCGACATAGAGGTCTCCCGAAGGTGACACGAACAGACTTACGGCCATTAGCATTCCCGTTTTGATGGATTGGTCAGAAGGAATAGTGCTAATCCGGCGCTCTGATGGTAAGTGGAAGATATCGACTCCGCCAGAGTCTAAAGCATTGGGGACTGCGAATAGAGTGTTCTCTGGTTTGGCGGACTGGGATGGAACTTTAGGAAGTCCATCCGAATCGATAAATGCCATTGAGAACGCACAGAAATTGAGTGCATTCACAGGCAACGAATGGAGTAACCATGGCTGGATCTTACTACCTGGCTGCAACAATTCGGTCGCATCCACCGGTAGCGTCTTATCAAGGATCGATTCATCCTCGGATCGAAGCTTCCACACACATAGTTTATGGTCGCGGCCATGGCTGTTGCAGATGTTAGTACAATGACCAATATAGGATGCTTGATGGAACTGATGGGGGTTTCATACGTATAGATCTCAGTAATACCCGAGCCAACAATGAAGCCCCTCGCTTCTAAAATGGCTCCCTCGTGGGCCTTCCAGGCCGTCACGGGCCGTTTGGTGACGAGGTCCCAAACAATAATCCAGCCATTGGCATCGCCGGATACGAGCCGCAGATTCTGGTTGTAGATGTGCAGTGCATGGATTGGGGAAGCATGTCCACGTAAAATGTATACTGGACTTGGAGCCTGAGTTACTGATTTGGTGTCCATCTCAGTCGACTGGTGGTTGTTGACATCTATGAACGGCGGCAAACTGCGTGGAGAACTGCCCGTCTACACCGCCACACTTGAGCCTCATTGCATAGAGATGGCTAGTTTCCAGGACTGAAGTTGGGTTTGATTCTGGGGGAGTATTGCTCATAGAGCTTAAAGTAAGGAGTATCGAACAATTTAACCCTGGGAAGGGAAAGAGATGACTTACCTTTATGAGTATGGTTGTCTGAGGGCACCGCCACTATTGACGTGATACATCGTGACATACTTCCAATGACATATTCTAATATCAGGTACTGTGTACTCCTTCGTTTCTTAGCCATCTTGCCCCCTTCAAGTCTAACATATAGACTCAGTTTTCACAAGCACGTTCAAATTCCTATCCCAATGCTTCGGTCCGTTACTCGTTTCTCGCGCGGCCTTGCCGGCATCAATTCATCGTCCCCTTGCCGTCGAGCCTTCACATACGCGGCCAAGCATACAATCTTTCCTGCGACCTTATATCGTACCGATATGCAGTTCGAGCGCATATCAGAGCTTTATGACCTATCCATGCAGATCGATGGCTGGGCAGACCGCGAAGGAGTGGAAATCTCCAAGGACGGCCTAGTACATCCAAACATCTGTCAACGTGGTAGGCACTCCCATTCAATGAGTGTTATTATGTGCTAATGATATTTATCTAGTATCAAATGGGGCACAGCTGACGCCCAATATACACTTAATGCACGAGATGACAGGTAATGCAGTCGACTACTATATCTACGCGTTGGAGAATGGTCACCCTCCGGCCGCCGATCCTCATTTCGTTTGTATCCCCAAAGGTATCTATTTGCACGTTTCTTATTAACTGATATAAACTAATTCCTCTATTGAGGGACTGTTATCCCGAAGCACTTGACGCTGTTCCATGAGAAAGCATGGCAATTCTCCCTACAGCCTACATATCCCATGTCGATAGACGGTACGCTATATTATATACTTGGCCTTGATACCGAGAGGATTGATACTAATAGGCGAACGGATAGAATTGAACAAGGCCATTGCTCGGTTCTATTACACATCTGGCCGCATCTATCCTCTCAAACTGGAAGGAGAGGATTTCATGTCTACGCCTTGGGGACCGGCGGTTTGGCAAGCAAAATGTGAAGATGAAGATGAGGAGGGATGGATGAAGCAATGATCTTGTAGGTAATGTCATGCAATCTGGAGATCTTGGATTCTGAAATGATCAATAATGTGTGTTCTACATCGACGGAGTGTCAAGATATTACCTGCCAAAAATGTAGGATAACCATGATTTCATTCAAGCACCAATTCTCAAACAGTATACTAGCCCAGCAGCGGGTATCAGAGACTGTACGCCAAGGAAAATATTCACAATAAGAGAACATATTATAAATAATTCATTATCCAAGAGTCCTTAGCTCATCCAATCAGATCAAATGCCCCATAATGATACTGATTAAGTGCATGGTGATGATGTGGCGGCACATAGTATCCTTGATACGGGTGGTGTTCCAAGGAGAAATCCCCTTTAGTCAATAACGGATTGTTAAGACTTGGGGCTGAGCCCGGGCGCTCAGGGATCAATAAAGATGGGTCTAACTCATAAAAATGATTATGCATCTGGGCTGGAATGACTGTGTGCGGATGAGCCTCAGCCCAGCTCCATATTTGTTTGAGATCATCTTTAGTTGATTCCGAATTGCTGCCAGTTACTTTGGTGATGGTGTCAATGATGCCGATCACCTCTTCTTGGGCTTCTCGGGTTTGTAAGCATTCTGCAGCGAATGCAAGGAATCGTAATGATATATCAGCAATTCCTCTGTTCAACTTGTTAGACACTGGAATTATATGCTATTTGGGAGATGATTCTTGACTTACCGGTCTTTGGAATGGGCAACGAGGCCACATATTTCGTTCGCATGGCTGCATTGCATTTTCCACATCTCCTCGTCGAATTCTGACTGGAAGGGGTGACTCTTGGCCAGCAGAATACGAGTGGCGTGATAAAACAATCGAGCGACAATTGCAGATCGCTGGTTCAGCCTGAATATATGAGTTAGTGGACAGACTAGGTGCAAGATAGACTAGAAACATACCAAACCTCAGGAAACCCGGATTTGGAACTTGTTTGCCACGGCTGCAAATAACCAAGAGGTGCTAAGGACCTCGGGATGGATTTCATCCATTGATCACACCACCTGTTGTAGAGCATCCATTCCTGCTCATTAAGCTGCATATTCGACGCCACATCTTCGTTCCCAAATTCGTAAGATGAACGCGAAGACGCTTGGAAGTTCAAGACTTTAGCAAACGTATATAGTATCCGATGATACCACAAATCTTGGTTGCCTCCATTTAGACCCTGCACATAATCTATGTCCATGTTGATCCCCCACGTGTGCGGGTCCCAAGATAATGTCCAATTATGTCGCAAACAGTTCAAAAGCTCTGCACTGAGGCTGATTCTGAAACATGCTCCACCTAACCCTGGGGTTTTTGCACTCCAACCACATTCCCGGATCAAAGCTCGTGACCCTGCAATGTGGTTTCGGCTGTTCTTCAATTGGATGGACATGGTTTCATAGAAGCCGAGGGCTAGGGCGACTGTTGCACATAGCACGGAGTCGCGATTTTCATCATGCATAGAATTCAAAAGATCCTGAGTAGCTTCGTTATAATAGCGCATGGCCTTCTCATCCCCATAAGAAGAATCAATAAGAGAAAGATGCCTTGCACCACATGCTAAAAATGCCTTTAACAATATCGGCTCACCAACGGAAAATCCTGGAAGAATCTGAGAAAACTGCACGTTATTAGCCAACTCAGATCAAAGCATCTAGTTCATTAGCTTACATGATTCATGTCATCCAATATATCCATTCGGGGTCCTACTTCCTCGGCAAAAGTTCTGAGAAGAGATATTTGCTCCGGATCAGTGAGAAAAGCATGGTACTCATGCCTTCCAGCCAATTTTCGTGCAAAATTAGATGTCCCATGCGGAAGAAGCTCATCTCCGGGTACCAAGTGAGACTGGGCCCACGTATCAGTTCCACCAAAATCTGCTGTAGTTGGATGTGAGACGTCAAAGCTCAATGGATCAAACGAATGTGCCACCGAATGGAACAGACTTGCCAAGTCATCAGGTCTCATGATGTCAAATCCATGTGGGGATGGATGATTCTCTTGAACAGGACTCTCCGGCTGGACGGGCGGGTATATCTCAAACCCTCCGACATATAAAGACGCAATCATCCGCGAGTCATCTCGAAATGTCACCTTCGAGCCGTCCGGATGAGCGACGATATGCGGAGGCGCTACAGTCTGTATATCGATGAAATTGAGGCGGATACCCCGCCGACACACGCGATCCGACTTGCGACAATTGAGACATCGCCCGACGCCCTCGTCGCATTTCAAATGCCTTTGGCGACATGTGAGGCAGCCCGTGCGCACTCTCCGAGCTTTGGTCTCTGAGGTATCCGTGGGTTTCTTGCGACCGGAGCGGGGGCGGGGTGTGCTTTGCGAATCGCTTGCCTGGCTTTTTGGAGTTGAGGTCCTTGTGCTGCCCGCGGGTGATGGCGAGGGTACGCGGGCTGCTTTTCGAAGCCTCATATCGCCGGAGTAAAATGTGCAAAGTGGTGGTTCTCAGCTCTTTGATACGGATACGTTTCTAGTCACCGGCGCCAACTGGAGTCCGGTTTGAGAGAGGTTGCCCGAATACACAAGTTGCCGCTGTTGGTTCTACCCGAATGGCCATGTTCGTTGTTGACGCTTGCAATCGGACAATCTCGAATATTTTATTCAGCTAGATGTTATCCAGCTGCGATTGTCCTTGGGATCGGTGTCTAAGGGTTTGAATCCGGCTGCTAGGCGGCACGGGAGGGGCAGGAAACAAGGGATCGGCAGATAATTCTGGGAGGCAAAAAAAAGGTCAGCTGAGGCTTATTGTCTGAATCAAGTACGTAGTCAACTCACTGGCCCCTTTCTGAGCCACGAAGATGCCTTGGGGTCGCGGAGAAGTGGATGCCAAGTCGAAGATCCAATCGACCAAAAAACGGTGGGCCCCGGTGCCAAGATCGCCGATGTATAGTGCGGAGTACAGACAGGCGCACCTTCTTGAGCGGTATACATCAGGCTACATACATATGTATGTATGTATACGATTGAAATGATAATTGAGAAAGGATTACCGATGACATCATGCCTAAACACATGTTGTATACAGAGATCTTTGCTCATTTAGGAAGTGATATGAACGCCCCTCGACCGTTCTCATGAAGGGCGAAGCCCGCCCCTAGAAAATGATATGGCTGTAGATATTTACACAGAAACAAGTATATACATTCACAACCAGGTAACAACGTGGTATATACCTTGTACTTTCTTTTTTTACAACGGGAGAGTTCTCGGATAGTCTGAGAACTCCACTCCAGTGCCAAACCGCGCACGGTTGAAGAGGCGCCATTTACGCCTTTCTTCCCAACCGGGGTAGTCGGACTCGACACAGCAACGTGAAGACAATGACTGCCCAGACAGCCGCAGATAAGAAGGTCAAGCGAAGAGCGGCAGAATATGAGGTGGTGACTAAGTAGTAATTAGCAACGTCAAACCGAAACGGCATTTACAAAAGAAAAGCACGCACCTTCTAACCGATGGAGTGGATCTAGTCCAGCGATAGTTTGGACAGACTTGCGGACAAGGGCAATGATATAGTCCTTTTCGTCACCGGTGACATTCTGGTCGAGTTGGTATATGAGGGTATTTTGGAAGATCCAGCTGCTGACAGCAACGCCCATCACGGAGCCCAGGTTTCTCCATAAGCCCAAGGTTGTGGTTGCAACAGCCTGATCCTTTTGCTCACTTGTGGCAAGGATCGATACCATCAAGCTGGGGAATGCGAAGCCTTGACCAAAACTGGACAATGAGATGCAAAGCATGGAGAGTGGTTGGGAGGTGTCAATGTCCATTGATGCAGCTGCACATCCTCCGATTATCATGAAGCATAAGCCGGTGATGACAAAAGGTTTGAGGCGTCTAGTCCAATTAATCAGGAATCCGGTGCTCACACTAGAGATAGTGACAGCGATAGAGGAAGCCACGAGGCGTAGACCAGAATCCGTTGGGCTCGTCAGCTTCACGGCCTGGAAATACAACGGAGCGTTAAACATCATAGTATGGACAGACATCGAGGCGAAAAAGTTGCCAAAGATAATGATGGCACGAGGATTCTTTGACATAAGCTCAATTGGCAGCACGGGCCGTGGGACGTGTCGCTCGTAGAATACCAATATCACGGCTAAAATAAGTGATGATACCAGGGAAGTGATGATTAGTGGATGACTCCAAGGATAAACATTTCCTCCTAAGTTCAGACCCATGATCAACAGAGTCACACAAAGAATCAAAATGACAGACCCCAGGATATCAATACTTCGAACTAGCTGTGACACTTTCATGCGCTCCGTTCCAACTTGTTTCACACCGAGATCGGATGGAACCGTCCAGGCGGCTGCAATCAAGTAAACAAAGATGAAAGGCAGTTGGATGAGAAAGGCACCACGCCAGCCGATATGATCACATAGATACCCACCAAAGGCAAGTCCGAGACTGCTGCCAATCCCGAGACATAGGTTAAGGTAGGACTGGTAGACACCGCGATACTCCAGATGAACCAAATCACTAGAGATGATCTGACCGATTGAAAAGATACCTCCAGCACCAAGCCCGCAAAGAGCTCGGGCAGCAATAAAACTGCCGATATCCTGCGCCAAGCCACAACCAGCTGTCGTGACGAAGAACATAGCGATAGAGAAGAGATAGACAGGTTTCCGGCCAAATGCGTCCGAGATCCGTCCAAACAGTGGCATAAATGCGGTTGAAGTCAACAAGAAGGCTGTCGATAGCCAGGAGGCTGAGTTCGCTGATTTGAAGTAGGAAGTGATCACTGGATGACTGGAGGCCATGAGGGTTGAATCGAAGAAGCCGATCAAGTAGCCCATCATGATACCGGCAAAGATGATCCAAAACCGCGCCGGTGATATATCAATGTATCTTGAGTCATGAGCTCCCTCATCTTGAGTTGAGAGGCTCGGATCTTTGCCGTCTGGCTTAGACGTATAAATTTCCAAGGGTGGTCCAACTTCAAGCCCTTCAGGTGCAGAGCTTGTCCCCGATGGCCAGCGAATTAAAGGTTCTTGTTCATCACTACCACGTGAGCAGGCCGTTTCAACATCGGTGGCGCACTGCGAGACATCATCGTAACTTGTATGGTGGCAAGCTGAAGATTGTCGCAGAAGCGGGGTGACCTCCGAGGGAGCAAAATGAACGGACTGCCCCTTATTGTCGTCGCTCGACATTGTAAAAAGAGTATCAACGAGTGAGGATATCCATATGTACTATTTCATGCGAAAGAAACTTATACTTCCAAGGTTCTGCAGATCGGGAGCACGAAAAATTAGCCCCGAAATCGCCATCAGCGACAAGTAGTGTTTGAAGGAAGTGACACTAAAGACCAATGCCGACGGACTAGGGGAGTTATATAGCAGCGCTAGGGCTGTAGTGAACGCAGCTACTCCATAACGCGACACAAAAAAGAAAAAAGTTCCGTGGCGGGGGTCCGACCTCGGGCCACGAGATCGGGAGCCGATAAGATAGGCGACTGGGATGCAGCTGAGTCCAGTGCCAGTCTCCTTGCAGTCTCTCAAGTGAATCTGATTTCATTTTTTTAATAATCTGTGCTTATAAGCCAGCATACCACCTGCAGTTCTATATGACCGTGATGCAATCCCCACTCCGAATCGCCGTGTTGGAATGCGACACCCCAATCGACAGCGTCAACCGCCGCTACAATGGATACGGCGGGGTATTTCGAAAGCTTCTAAAAGCCAGCGCCAATGCACTAAATCAGCCTGAAACGCTGAATCCAGAGACGGGTCTAGAAATCAAAGCCTGGGATATAGTGAACGACGACAAATATCCGAAGTTGGAAGACGTCGATGCCGTACTTCTCACAGGATCAAGTGTGTTGACTCAAGACACTCGGAGCATTTACTAGACACTAACATAGGGGGCATAAAACCAGAACATAATTCTTTTGAAGATATCCCCTGGATCAACCGCCTCGTGGAATTTACTCAGCAAGTCCTCGCACAGGATCGAGTCCGCCTACTCGGAATCTGTTTTGGACACCAAATCGTGGGCCGCGCATTAGGAAGCAAGGTTGGACGCAGCGATCAAGGGTGGGAAATTGCAGTTTGTGATATGGACTTGACAGAGAAAGGAAAAGACCTGTTCGGACGAGATAAAATTGTAAGTCTTTCGCAACCTACGCATGGTGTAACACGGCATTGCGTCAAATACGACAATCGAGCTAATTGCTTTTTCTTCCACTGCAAACAGCGCATTCAACAAATGCACCGGGACATTGTGTATAATTGTCCCCCCAACGTGATTTCGTTGGGCTCATCCCCGCTCTGCGCGGTGCAGGGTATGTATGCACCGCGCCGCTTTATCACTGTCCAGGGCCATCCTGAATTTACGGGGGATATCACCACGGAGGTTATCCAGGCTCGAGCGAAGCAGGGTATCTTTAAGGAGGATCAAGCTCGGGATGCTCTGAGCAGAGCTAATATTGAACATGATGGTGTTACCATTGGTGTGGCTTTCCTGAAGTTCCTACTGGAGAACTAAAAGCAGGAACATACCTCCGATGTGACACCGGTGAACTGCATTAGAATTGGTTTCGCTTCTGTCTGACCCTGCGGAGGGTCTGGTGGTGGCTGGCTGGATTGCTTTTAGCCTGATATCTAATAGATCTATTTATGTACATAGGCAGACAGCGGTATCTGGCGAATCATTAGATGCTGAGTGCATTTCAGTACTTCAAGTGCTGCTGGGAATGACGAACAAGTTCATGCAAGTATATGCAGTGTAACCCACCTATATTATCTACTTCTATTTGCCATTTATCACACCGAAGGAGACCAGAAACTACGAAATGCGTACAATTAACAGGGTCCAGTTGAAATTCGTTGTAACATTCAGGGAATCTATCTCAAAACCCAAGCCACCAACACCGGATCATGGCCCTAAGGGCGAGATAAAAGAAGAGTCAACAAGAGCCAGATGTAGTGACTCTGGTAAGCAAGGGGGGAATAAAGCCCCGGTATCTTCGCAGTCAATGTCATCGAGGACTGCTCCAGGCAATGTCCTCATTCAAGTTCATAATCAGAGAAAACGCCTCCCTAACATAGGGCGATGCAACATGAAAAACCTCAATCGCTTCGTCACTAACGCCGTTTTTGATGCATAAAAAAGCGCTCAAGATGGTCAAAGGTCGAGCCGGGGGCTGGACACAAAGAAACAGAAATCAAATCAAACCGGGCGAGGACGGGAAAGTCGGCGGCTGCGACGACATTGTTTTCCCTCCGCGTCCGATTGTTCCGGGGTAGTGTTCCCAGGAGGAGAACGGTCTGTGTCCTGACCGTCTTCTGCGTCGGAGTTCATCTATTCAACAAAGTGTTAGTCAATATCCCAATGGAAAAACAGTCATGGTTGGGGTGAACTAACTCGAAGATTCAAGGATACGACCTCATCGTGCTCATCCCTGAATGAGATCCCAACGCCCAAAGTGAGATTGGAAACAAGGCGTTTTTTGGGGCGGACATGTCGTGCGGGATGAGGGTCTTCTGAATCATCGCTATCATCTGCGGACCGCTTGCTGCCTGTGCTGAAAGGAGAGGAGGAGCGTGAGGCCTGCAAACTTGGTTTGATGGGCATTGTGGGGGCAGCTTTTTTATCGAATGGCGCATCGGGCCCCTCATCCAATAGAGCAGCAAATGCGCGGTCAATGTCACCACGACACCTCTGAAGCATGTCTACGATGGTCTCCCGGTCATATCGCCCGCCAAGTCCTTCTTGGATGGATTTTATATCCCAAGGGGGGGTAGAGGTCGACAGCAAGACTACCATCATTGGATGTATGATCGCCAGAGGATTTTGGCTCGGCCGGAACTCCCTGTTCACGGGAAACGGTATCAGCGTCATGAGCTGCATGGCCATCAACAGTCTCTCCTTGTGAGGGAGTGACACTTTGATGCTCATTGTCAGCTGCGGAATCTGCGATCGCAGGCTGGATCACGTCGGGTTGTTCCACGACCTTCAGTTTGGTAATAAGTCCTTCATGTGTGGCGTTGATGACCCGCACTGAGGAGTAATGTTTGAAGTCCTGCGATCGTTAATATGAGCATAAGATTCAGTGACATGAACAAAAGCAGATTACATACGTGAAAGGCTACATGCAGAACGCTCCGAGACTCATTTTCAATGGCATTGATATCCCGAAACACTGATACACCGTGCATGGTGTAGACGTTCAAGTCTACTTTGAAGACCTGACAAAATGCCTGCAGGTGCTCGGAACTACCCCACGCACCGTTCTTCCGGGAGGTGGCGATCATTTCTTGGAACCGAAGTTCCATGTCCGTCTGTGAGGGAGCGGAGACATTGGCCGAGCGGGTAGCATATGCAGATGCGGCCGCACGTTTGGGACGTCGACGCTCCCCACCTTCAGCAACGACAAATTGCATGAAGTAGTCTTTGTTTGCAGCCATATGATTGGCTAGCAATTGGCGGATTTCATCTGCATGGTGGGTGTCGCCATACAGTTGATCGGAGAGGGAATAGTAGAGACAATTACCTGGGATTGGACGCGTCAGAGTGGACGAAACAACGCGATGCAGCTTCCAAAGAGCAATATAGAGCTCATGAACGGCATGAGGTATCAGATTGACTTACCGTCTCCCTCGGTGGGAAGTGCAAAAAGGCCTCTTTCTTTGAGAGAGGGCATCTCCAAGCTCGCATGTTGCGCGGGTTTGGCTCGTTTGGCCTGCTGGTCCCGCAACAGGCTAGGCATGGTTGATGAAGGAGGGATTGAAGGAGGTAAGATTGGAGAGGGAGAGATAAGAGGAAGAGGTGCTTCTAATAATGTAGGCATCTTGAGAGTGGAATCGTGAGAATCGGTGCCTGTAAGTATGGGCACAATTCTGCCACCATTGGTGAATTGTGACATCTTAACAGGCTAGAGGGAGTCGGCATTGATGGGGGTGAATGAAAAGAAGACACAATCAGATCAAACCCCAGGTGAGGGAGAATTGAAAGAATGATCAGAATAAGGTACTTGATCTATGAATAAGAAAAGAAGAGCCCGCAGAATGAATTTACTTCTTCGGCTCTGCGGGTGATTTGAAAAAGGAAATTATTCATCCGCCGCCTAGTTGAGGGCCGGAACGAGGCGGTGAGCCCCAAGACTCGGTGATTGGGCGTGCGAGGGTCTTTGTCCACTATGACATCGTCCAACTTTCTTTTCTATTCAGGGTTTCAATGGGTATTCACCGGATCAATTGATTGTATATTTTATCAACAGCAATTGTGGCCAATTTCCTCAATCGAAAACCACATGGAGACGCAAGCTTCAACAAAGTTGAGCGCAAGTCGCAAGGGGATCAAATGTGATCGATAACGTTCAATTGGAGTGGAGTCCGGAGTGATGGAGCACGCGGGACTTTACGGAGTCTCCTTGCTGGGTCCAGGGCTGGCATACTCGAGAAATAGGCACTAGATCGAGGGACCAGCAGTTTGGCTCTACCATGGGCAGCATTGAGACCTCCGCAGCTGGATATGGAGGTAATTGCAGCTATACGGCCTGGAGACCGAAGTACACAACACCTCCGCACAATGCGGAGGTGTATTTTTAAAAGTTGACCGCGTATCCATTCACATCTCCACTGAAAAACTCTAGCGCGCTTATGTGTTTTTTCAAGCATCCCATTGGCCACAGCTCTACACCGCCTCGGTAGAACTGCCAGAATGAGTTAGCTGCCCAATGAGATAATCAGACCCTTACCAGCCACCTTACCAGTCCTTACGGCTAAATGTCCCCCTCACCCCGCTTGGCTGGACCTCGGACACATAAGCTCAGCGCTTCCTTTTGATCGGTGTGAGCCTCGTCTTTCTCACATTTCAGGTGGTCAAAGTGTCCAAGATGACGAATAACATTGTGGTTCTGGGGTAAGATCCTCGAGCTCCGACTCGAAGATTTTTTTTTTGTTTTTGAGCTCCACCCTGGCAGTATTTCCGTTGAACCTCCACTGACCAATGTAACAGTGCCGGTGTGTCTGGTTTGACAACAGCCTACCTTCTGTCGCAAGACCCCGCCAACAAGATCACCGTGCTGGCAAAGCACATGCCAGGAGACTATGATATTGAATATGCGTCTCCATGGGCCGGTGCCAACTACATGCCGTATGCTATAAAATCGGCTCCTCGCTAAGGCGGACTTCTAATCAAACAATTAATATGCAGGGTAGGAAAGGAGGGAAGTGATCACCAGAAATGGGAGCGCAACACCTGGCCAGCATTGAAAGAAATCACGGAGAAATACCCCGAGGCCGGTATCCACTTCCGAGGTAAATCTCTCCAGAATCTGCCCAGCATCCGCAGGCCCGCTTACAAGATCCAGGTACCTTGATCTACAACAGAAAGAAGGATCAGGAATCAGACACCGGAAAGTGGTTCTCGGAATTGGTCCAGCCAAACCCGTGGTATAAGGATGTCGTGCCTGATGTATGTCTGACCAGAAGATGCTTCCACAAATTATCCGCAGACTGACATCAAGATTCTAGTTCAAACCCGTTGCTGCCGATAAATTGGCCCCTGGAATAGATAACGGTCAGGAGTTCACATCTGTCTGCATCAACACCGCTGTCTACTTGCCATGGCTGGTGGGTCAATGTGTGAAGAACGGTGCCGTGTTCGAGCGAGCTGTCTGCAAGCACATCACCGACGCCGCCAACGCACACCACACCGGCCAGAAGGCTGACGTGGTGATCAACTGCACCGGTCTCTCGGCTAAGACCCTCGGCGGTGTCCTTGATGACACGATGTATCCCGCACGTGGTCAGATCGTCGTCGTCCGCAACGACCCCGGTCCCATGATGTCGCAATCTGGAACTGACGACGGTGAGGATGAAGCGTTGTATATCATGACTCGTGCTGCAGGTAAGATCTTACATACTCCATATAAAATTAGACCATTGGCTTATCAATCGCAGGTGGCGGTACAATCCTCGGTGGTTCCTACCAAAAGCACAACTGGGATCCCCTCCCAGATATGAACCTTGCCAACCGCATCATGAAGCGTTGCATTGAGATCAGCCCCAGTCTCGTTAAGAAGGGGCAGGGCATCGAGGGACTGGATATCATCCGGCACGGCGTCGGCCTGCGCCCCCTACGAAAGGATGGCACTCGCATTGAGAAGGACAATGTCGACGGTGTGGCAGTTGTCCACAACTACGGTCACGGCGGATTTGGTTACCAGGCTTCCTTCGGCTGCGCATATGACGCTGTAGCATTGGTCAAGGAGGTCCTGCAGAACAAGTCCCGCGCCAAGCTTTGAGCTGTGTTTCATGGGCGAAAAGCGTGTTGTACAAATTGGGGGTTTTTTTCACTCTTGCATAGCCGTCACAGAACAAAGCATTCTACGTGTATTTATTGCATATGTTTGGTTAGCCTATTTGGTCGGTCCGTATATGCCATCATGACGTCAATTGATAATCCTGTGGTGCATCCATCGCCGTTTGAAAATCACTAGGAAAATGATTCAACTATACTAGAATCCTCCAAGTAGCCCAATATGTCGAAAGAAACCACTCTGAAGATCGACAAAGTTCTGAATGAGTTCGGCAGGTCCCCTCTACACGGCACGGCACTTGCGAACCCCCGGAACTCAATGCTAGCCCTGAGATAGTGCTAGCGATGCTCATAGATGCCCTGATCAAGGCACGGCCGATCTCCCACGAGTTAACGCAGAAAACTATGAAGACACTGATTGAAGCTGGATATCATGATATCAACGTTCTCTCAAACAGCTCGTGGGAAGATCGAACAATGGTCTTGAGCGAGGGAGGTTACAACCGATATCGAGAGCAGTGTGCTACCAATCTCGGAGAGCTTGGAAAACTGGTTGTTCAGGAATACGGTAGGCTCTTGCTTCTTCCTCGGGACTTTAATGTTCAATACGGAAGAGAGTTCTGACATTATTTAATCATGGAAGATGGGGATTTGAACAATCTCCTCAAACAGGCCAACGGAAAACGAGAGAAAGCCAGGATTTTGTTGAAGGAGGTCAAGGGGATTGGTGACTTGGCAGTAGAGGTGTTCTTCAACAATGTCCAAAGCGTTTGGCCAAGCATTGCTCCCTCCGTGGATTCTCGAAGCTTGAAGACAGCAGCGGAGATGGGGATGGGGACTGATTTGGATCAAATATACGAGGTGCTAGGTGAGGACCCTGTGCGAATGAGTTGGTTTGCCAACGGCCTCGCTGAGGTTCGACTGGAGAAAAGGCAAGAAGTAATTGAAGAGGTTTGAGAAATACATGCCAGTTCCATGAACACATGTAGTGACTGGTAATAAATAGCGAATATAAAAATATTTTGACAAGCCAGCAGAGAAATGAGACTTTTCCCGACCTGAAAACGTTCCAGTTCTTGAATTAGGATTTTCATCTTTCGTCTTCACTCAGATCATTCGTCAGGAGCTCGTAGCAATATCGCCGATAGAGCTTCAGGAAATCAGACTCGGGAGCATTATTCTGATTATCTCCCGCCTGATCGCAATTTATCGGCTTTTGGGATGTGGGGTCAGATGGACCGTCTATTCAATTGGAAGTCAGCAACAGCCTTGAACGGGATTTTTGGGAGTGTACAGAGCCACTCACCACCGGAACTATCGCTGAGAGACTCAAGAATCCCAGGAAAGCGGTGCATCCCATCCAACCCAGATTGTGGAATACAAGTTCCGAGAGCAACGGTCCTATGACAGTACCAGCGCCAAATACGGCATCAAGTAGCATGTATCCCTCGGTAACCGCAGCCTTCTCGCCGTATATATCAGGGTGTTCCTCCTGGATGGTCTTCACAATCCGTGGTATCTCCGTAACCAATGGGGTCAACGATGTATTCAAACCTATCCCTATTGATTTTGTTAAAAGGTCCGTAGGTGTAACTGGGCGTTCATCAATAGCAGACTTTTACTTACCAACGAAGGATAGCAGTATGCAAGCCAGAACTTTATCTGTGATATCGTCGTGTTGTATAAAGGCAAGAAGAACAACTGCTACTGCTGAGAGTGTGAAACCAAGGGCCGAGATCAATCGTACACCATATTTGTCTGAGATCATCCCAATGAATGGGCCGATCAATGATGGAATGGTCAAGTTCAAGAACATGGCTCCTGTAGCACCGGACATCCAGTGGAAAGTCTGCTTGATGAAGATTGGCAGGACGGTGTCCATGGCACTAACCAGGATTGTGTTGATGAGGCATCCATAGAGTGCAGCAAATATACAATGGTTTCGAAGAAAGCCTCCAACAATAGTGCACCAAGAAGGATCTATTGCAACACTGGCAGAGGGTTCGCGGCAGTGTGAGAGTAGCGGTGTTGTCACATTGGGATCTCCATCTCCAACAGTCGATAGGCGCCGTTTGCCATTTGCAATGGCACTCTTTGTGCCATTTCCATTCGGAGCGGAACAGTATCCAGTGGTAGTATCCTCCACTCTATATTTCGCAGCAGTCTTTCTGTCAATCATGAGTAGAATAAGCACCAAGCTGACGAGGACCACGCCAAGCCCCATGATAAAGACAGGATAGAACCCTGCTTTCTCGTATACAATTCCTCCGAGAGTGGGTGATACGAGCACCCCAAAATTCATACCGGAGAGTCCAAAGCCAATCCAGGGCCCCAGCTCGTGCGACTCGATCGTGTCCACTAGCAGCGTCAAGCCAGCAGTGTAGACCACTCCCGCAGATAAACCCTGGAAAATCCTTGCCATTATAATGACCCATGGCTTGGCTCCAAGCATGAACAAAAGAGTGGCACCGAAGGCGCAAGAGAGGCCTCCCAGGAATGGCACCTGGCGTCTCTCGCATCTTCCGACGATCCATCCTGCTATCGGTGCGCCAAGTACCATGGCGAGTCCGAATACGGCCAAGGAGGTTGATGTCCAGAATGGAACGTCGGCTTCTGGCACCCCGTACCGAACGGTTAGAGAGAAAGGAAGCACGGATACGATCTAGAGAGGGCACAGGGTCAGCACTGCCATTAGACAGCTAGGTTTAGAATAACCTACGATCCCGTAAAGGAATCCATCAGTAAAGGTCGTTGAGAAGACAGCTAGTCCGATGAGCTGCTTTGATGAGCGGAGATCGAAAAGCCATGGTTTATCGAGCGAGGTATTCTCCATGCCCAGTAATTCGGAGACGCAATAAGAACAACAGACACCGGAATCAATTTGATTATATCTTCAGGGTCGTCACAATAAGCGACAATGATCTGTTCGGAAAATAGGGAGATTTTCAGAGGAAAGCCTAGTGCAAGCCAAAAATGTAAGGGGGAAGGTGCAGTCAAGACAGACGCCGCAAGTTCAAGTACTTTTGCATTGAGGCTATGGGAACGCTGTTTAAATTAAGTCGTACTATCGATTCCGGAAGCAAAATTGCAGCAAGGACTGTTCTCTTGGACTCTTGGCCAGCGAGAGGGAGATTGAACCAGTCACTCTCAGTATCTCGGGCTAGTTCGTAGATGAACTTGCATGGATGGAGAATACATGCAGGTCTATGCATGATCTATCGAAGATCACCACCAGCGATTGGGCCAATCACTCGGCAGTGTGTAAGATTCTCCGCCATCGAACAAGTTGCACCGGCTGAATGATTTGTCGCGGGGCAGCTGGAATCCCAAAGCATCTTCATAGTTCGCCCAAATGTATTCAAAAGGCTTCGGTGGCAACTTAGCCTTTCTATTCGGGCCCGACAGAGCAGAGAACAAGTAATATGTATTCTCGTGTGGCTGGCATCGGCTTCAATTGCCATTGCATTCCCGATCAACGTTGCTTTTTCGGTTTTGCTTTTGTTTTTGCGTGGGATCGAGTACATAGACCTTTGACAAAATTCCGGTACATTTTCTTTAATTGCAAGAAACTCCGACCTGGTCTCGATATATTCTACTAAATGTATTGCGTAGAGAAGAGGTCTGAAGTGCGAACCCTACATCGTGAGCGCTGAATGGAATTTTTCAAGGTCGAAAAGAAGACCTGTAGCCGGCGGGGCTGAGGTATATATCATTGTTCTCAATAATCGTGATGTGATAGCAGCATGAACGGATCTGCAACACTTTCAGGCAGGGATAAGACTACAATAAACCGTGGTGAGCAGCTGGGATGGGGTGGGAGGAGAAGAGCCTGAGGTATTTGACATCATCAACACCGTACACACTGTCTCTTCTGCTCTAGGTTACTTTCAGCATCATCTTCCGAATCTTAAAATTACTCGTCTTTTGGCTATCACCACAGTTTTAATTGATCAGCCGTTCCATGAGCCGAGAACATCAAAGATGCGGTTCATTGGCATTGTGGCTACAAAACAAATAGAGAAGAGAGATAAACCATTATATGAGTAAAGAGACGTTAGGATGATTTGGCCCCCCAATCCAAGCGAACGACGTCGAGTTTCAGCCAAGGATAGCTGGCCGAGCATCCCAACAGTTTGTTTATACTTCTTTTGTTGGTGGGAGTACCAATGGAAGACATGGAGATATTGAACTACAAGTATTGCGAAGAACAAGACCGATTCAAAAATGAAGCTTTGACTTAGACTGTAGGCCTGCTGTCTGATAGCTTGGATTAGATCTGTCGGACTGAACAGCCTGTGTCTATCATGTCCTACAAGGATTTCTGCAGATTTATAGCCTATGTACACTTCAAATGCAGATTTTATGTTGCCCCATCTCATTGTAGGTCGCCACATGGAGCCAATATATAAGTTTGCCTGCCCGAATCTTGTTTACGCCTGGCCTCTTTGTTATTATATATCGCGCTTTCCGTGAGTTGATTCACACCGAGAAATGCGTTCATAGATTCCATTATACTAAAATGCAACTGGGACCTACCCAAACTTTGATGATAATCGCATCAATCACACTGAATATGAGACCGAAGGCCTGAACTGAAGACATACCACATAGCCCTAAGTCAACCTTGGAAGGAAGCATAATGCGAAAGGCGGTATAGCGCTCGAGGTGGCTGCTCACGTGAGTGCTCAGCGGCCTTGGCAGACCCGCTGAGTGCGACAGCGCAGCAGCTGTCCAAGGCCTCATTTCCGCTTCGCCCCTGTTCAGCTTCTTTTAGACATCGACAAGCCGTGTGATCGAACGCGTGTTCTTCAACTCATATCAACCCAGATCTCCCATTCCAATTCCAGAGGTGCGTTTCCTTTGGGCCTAGACCCGGTAGACTGGGGTTCGGCCTGGCGAACCCCGGCGAACAGAGCCTCTGTCAGGCACCATCTTTTTTTTCGCATCATAAGCTGATTTGAAGCCATTAAAGATCAGGAACGCTCCTTCAATACGCATTCTCCCTCTAACGACGCTTCACGGCTTTGAAACGACCCGCACTTTGCAAGATTGATTTGCGACCACAACACCCTTAAGATCACTTCTATTGATTAGGTTCCATTCAAGAAAAGGTGCCATCATGGATTTCACGAATATCTTGTATGTTATACGTTGTCGAAATTGGGGATGAATGCTGATCGGAGGTAGCCGTCTTGTCAACATCGCCGTGGGTGTGTTTATGGTGCTTGGTGGTATCAGTAACTTCTTTACTGGCACCTGGAGCTCATTCATTCTGGGCGCATACGCCGTTGTCTTCGGTCTTGGTAGGTTTTGCGATCACCCGAATGAGAAACTTAGACGTTCCCCGCTAACATTCTTCTAGTCGTTGGTGGACTCGAGTTCCTTCCTCACGTCCCTGATTACGCCTACCGCTATGCGTCCTTCCTTTTCTCTTTCCTCGGCCGTGGTGTCTGTAAGTTCCTCAGCATTTGCCAGTCCTTATACGAAATGGAATTGGGTTGCTAATTGCTTTCGCCCGCAGTCTACATTTTCATCGGTTCCATCTTGTTGCACGACCACGTCATGCGGATCATCGATGGCTCTGTGATCGCCGTCATCGGTCTCGCCTACATTGCCCTCGAGTTCATTCCTTCCATCGAGCCCCCCTCCAACATGCGCGAGTCCGATCAGGGCTGGGGTGCAGAGCAGGTCTAAGTTGCTACATACATGTAAGCAACGATGATCGGTTCCTGTCACGTGATCATACGTGCACCGCGCGGGTGTCGTGACGGGTACTTTTTGTCTCGATGGGTTTCCTCCTAGGACATGTTCGATCCGCACAACCTTCAGAGGGACTGCATTTCGACCTAAACGGGGAAAGGGCAAGTGGAAGAAGTCAAGACGAGAATGGAGGATGATCTTGCTGGGTGTCCGAGGTTTTTGTTGATACCAGCTTGGAGGATGGAGCCATCTGTACTATATTTGGACGTGAGCTAGTGTTTTAGCAACATTATTGGCATGCTCTCATGATTTATTGAAACCTCGCTTATTGCAGAATCCGGTGAGACATCTGATAATTGTATGGTGGGACTATCGTTAATTTAATACCGCCTGGATGTGTATATTGTGCTGTGCAGTCCTCAAAGTACACCGTGGCGATATTACTTTCGGCTGGTTCCATCCCGAGGAGCCAATCGGATCGTGCAGAGTCTTGATGACACCGTTTGTCAGCCCGAGCGGACCAATCAGAGGAGGCAGATATGGGATTTCCCAGCATCGCCCCACCATCGACTCACTCGGGAAGGTGCAATTCCCACTCTTTCCACTGATTTCCACCTTTTCGGCATTTTTGCTTCTGAAACTAAGCTTCATCAGGGAGTGGAGACTGCGATCTGGGGACATGATAGTCTCAAGATCAGAGATTTCGATGGTGATGCCTAGAAGAAAAGCAACAAAGATATCGAGTAGAAGTCGCTGATTAGATGAGATGCGATGCTCGGCAGTGTAGATTAGGGATAGATTGATACGCCGTCGATCCCCCAAAGGGGGTTCTTAGATCGATAAACCCCAATCCCTTTTACCTTTTACCTTAGATAAGGAAAATCGGTCTCGATTCCCTCTTTGTTTTAATTCTCCTTTTTCATCTTTTCATCTTTTCATCTTGGTCACCTTCCACCCTCCGTGGAATCTCACCATCTCTCTCTCACTCTCTCGCGATCTCGCTGTCATCCTTATCGCCCCCATCACATCTGGTGTGCCCACTTCGCCCAGTCCTAACGCGGAGTGATCACCAGCTTGCAGCTCCCTAGCCTCTCAACCAATCCCTGCTTTGCTGGTCGTCCTTTTGTATCAGCCCCCCCGAAACGAATCCCATTCCTCCACAAACGTTCGCTAGCCAGATCAGTACCTGTGGTGTGCTGTCAACTGTCGCAATCGCCATCACCTGACCATCTCACTTGGGTTGCCACTATTCCCTACAAATCGGTTAATATACTTGGTGGCGGATCGACTCATCCAATCCACTCGACCCTCGATTCACTGATCCCTCCGTGGCGCCATCCGAAATCCCTCCCCATCGACCTCGATCCCGATTTCATCGTCCGCTCTGCGATTCTCCGAGCCTGCAGCATCGTGGCTGCAGATCATCCTTCTGGCCTGCCTTTCTCATCTTTCTCCAACCGTCAGCTTGACCGACATTTGGTTTTCGAGTGATACGGTGCATTCTGCTCTCGACTGTGGTGCGACATCAGGATCCTAGGGTTTTCATCTATTCTTTTGTCGGCTTTTGTTGCGTTCATTTATAATTTCGTCGTCTATCGACCTCAGGCCCAAGGAGCCCCGCCCCTATAACGTATAGTAATGTTAGCGTCCGTTCCACAAATGGAAGCGCTTCATTCGCTGCCTCGGAACCCGGACGTTTCAATGCGACAACCCTCGGCGGAGGATCTGGATGCTGCACAGCAGTTGATCTCCTCAGCACAAGCAGGTCGTGAACATATGGCAGATAAACATCGGGAGGATCCCATGGCTCATGGACCTGGCCAATTTGCATCAAATCAATGGATGGGACAAAATGACATTAGCGAGAAGACATCGACATCCCCCTCGAGCCAAAAAGATACCACGTTCCTGGGGCATTCATGCAGGTGAGTCTTGTTTGGATGGTCTCGTTCGCACTGAAGGGGAAAAGCTAATTCTCTTCTATCATTTAGTAATTGCGGCACAAAAAGTACACCACTCTGGCGTCGTTCTCCAACGGGTGCGATGATCTGTAACGCCTGCGGTCTCTATCTCAAGGCTCGCAACGTCGCTCGTCCCACGAAACGAAATCGCATGCAAGCTGAGAGTGGTGAGAAGCCTCCTCCTTCAACTACTTCTCACTGCGGCGGCTCCTCAGGGGGCGGTGGTTGCAAGGGATCGTGTCCTGGCGGTGGAAGTTGTAATGGAACTGGTGGCGCAGAGGGATGCGACGGATGTCCAGCGTACAACAACCGGATCTACAAGTCTACTCCTCGAGGCGCGTCTGCCATACAATCTTCATGGGGGCGTCATCCAGCACAAGAAACTGACCCGGTGCCGCAAGAGGAGCCACCGACCAAGGCTCCTGCTCCTGCGGATGGAACTAATACGTTAGTCGCATGTCAAAATTGCGGTACAACCGTAACTCCCTTGTGGCGGCGCGACGAACAGGGCCATCCCATCTGCAATGCTTGTGGTGAGTTTCAGTCCCATGCAAAATCGATGATCGGGAGATATCTAACATTCCGCAGGATTGTACTATAAGCTCCACGGATGCTATCGCCCCACCAACATGAAAAAATCCATCATCAAACGTCGCAAACGTGTTGTTCCCGCTCTACGAGACCAGTCTCCTACTGCTGCTACGCTTTCTTCCAATGGATCGTCGGCATCCCCGGAAGCATCACCTGCTACTCTGGCACATGGCTATGAGGATCACCATAGATACATGAGCAGTGAGCCCCTGGACCACTACCACGTGCATGGAAAAACCGAAGACGCACCTCGCACCTTGCCTTTTGCTCCACCGCCCGTTGATTTCACTGGTTACAATGCCTTATCTGTTCCCCTTACACATGGCCTTCCTATCTCCCACGGCTTACCCAAGCCCTTGGGAGTGGAGCGGCTGGGACAATCGCCCGTGTCTCACTATGGGCGACGGTCTGCATCTCCAAATTCCATCAACCTCCCTAAAAAGCGGACTTTGGCCGAGACAGCAACGGAAGCTTTGCCGACTCCGTCCACATTGGAAGCCGGATCGAATCAACTGCCGCCGATTATGTCCTCGGTCAATCCTACTCCCCCCGGCCGTCTCAGCTCTATTTCGTCCATTCTAAACCAATCAGATGTTCGGGGCGAGCCGCGCCCAGATGCCAATCTGGGACGTCCTCAACCTATGCACCATTCCGTCTCCCCCTCGCCTCACCCGCCGCAGCCTTTGCCTAGCATTGCATCTCTTGGCGATTCGGTGGATCGCCGTGCCCGACTCGAACGGGAAGCCGAACAGATGCGCGAGATGCTCAGAGCGAAGGAGCGCGAACTGGCAGAGATGAGACGGTAGACTCGACCTCACGGTGACGAAGATAATGATATTCGTATAATGTTTTGCAAATTGGTGTTTTCCGTGAGATAAAAGGCGCACAAAGATACCAACTCACGTTTCCGGGATATGCTTTCCCTGGCTGTGTTATTACTTGAAAAAAAGGTCTCAATTGAATTGTATTCTATGATAGGGAATCGCCCTCCGTTTATTTTTAGGCAGTTCTTCAACCTCTCTTAGTCATTGATGTCTTAATCTACGCTTTTATGACCGATGTCATAATGACCCTGAACATCCAACCTCGATCCATTCGACCTCAACATCGGATCTGTATTCTCCAAACCTATACCTAGACACCGAGCCTATCAATTCCCACCATGGCCTCCCTTAAAACGTTCACAATATCGTTCACAGGCGATGTAATGCTCGGCCGCCTTGTCGACCAATTAATGCCCGAGCACGTCGATAACGAGCACGACCAACGCAAGGCGGCTTCCTTCATAAAAGCCAATCCAGCCCAGCTAGGAAAAGGAAATTACACCCCATCGTCGCCCTGGGGAACAGCCTTACCTCTCCTTCACGCCTCCACACTTACCTGCATCAACCTCGAAACTGCCGTAACAACAGCACCAACCCCATGGCCAGACAAGGTATTCAACTACCGCATGCACCCAGCCAATCTCGGCCCTATTCTGCACGCCGGTGGAGTCGACTACGCCAGCCTCGCCAACAACCATACCCTCGACTTCGGCGTCGACGGGCTCAAAGAGACCGTGCAGACACTGCAAGACGCGAAAATCGCCTACGCAGGCGCAGGCGAGAACACCGAGGAAGCACGTAGTCCTGCCGTGCTCCATATAGCCAGACCCGGAAAGGATGACTACACGGTACACGTGTACTCGGCATCCGACCACCCGCGCGTCTGGGCCAGCGTGCCGGGATTCCATCTCTTCGATTACTCGCGCGAAACTCGGACCCGTCTACGGAGCATGCTGAACAGTGCGGACAAACCCGCACTCAAGGTTTTCTCGGTGCATTGGGGACCGAACTATGCGTGGCAGCCTGACGGGCGGATTCGATCATTGGCCCATTTCGTGATTGACGAGTGTGGGGTGGATATTGTCCATGGACACTCGTCGCATCATGTGCAGGGAGTGGAGGTTTATCATGGCAAGCTTGTTATCTACGGATGTGGGGATTTTGTGGATGATTATGCGCTGAATGAGGAGTACCGCAATGATCTTGGGGCTTTGTGGAGGGTGGTTGTTCAGGAGGTGGATGGGGGAGTTGGGTTGGAGAGACTGGAGATCTTCCCTACGCGGGTTGAACAGTTCCGGGCCAATTTGTTGGATTCGCGTGATGCAGATCATGTATGGGTGAGGCGGAGGATTCGCTCGCTTAGTGCGGATTTAGGCACGAGTGTGAGGTTGCAACTTGGGGAGCATGGGGAGATTGTGGTTCAGTTGTCTTAGCGATTATGATATTGCGATTGTCACCGTGTTCGGTCAGCGCATCATACGATTATCTCGGTCCACTTATGTAGACCGCGCTATTGATGATGTGCATGTGGCCCAGAGATGGGCTCACTGTTCATAAATTGGCTATCCCAGATCGATCTCGTGGGAAGCAGAATGACAAATCTGATGTGCGATCTGAGAGATTGATCTCGAGCTTCGCTTGATCTGCCTTGCTCCCAATGTCAGGTAATCTAGCGTCATCAGATAAAACCGCGAAATCCAGACCAAAATAGACTGTCGATCAACTCGGCAACATGTCTTCCCAGACATTCCGAGGTAGCCATGCCGGTACACACCCTCGAGCTCTGTACTCGCACTTTTAGGCTGTATGGTCGCGGCAAGTTCCGTGCACTGGCCTTTTGTATGGCTGTTGTGGAGACCATCCACTGCATTATTGAAATATGACGATCATTTGGCTGTTTCATGGGGGCCTACGGAGTAGTGCAGGACATGATTTTGAGATGCCAACAGCCTATCCTATGAGGGATGGTCTACGTAGTAATCTCTAGGGGCCAAGGCAATCGCGAAGACCATGAAATTCAAATAGAAGAGCTCAAGTACGTAGAAGCGCGAGAGTCAAGGAGCAATAGCATTCGCATCAGGGGTGCCCATGCCCTAACCCAATAGAGAAGTGATGCGAGCGATCACTATTTCCCGTCGATCCTTTTCTTCAGTTCCCCCCGAAGACATTTACGGTGTATCGAGTCATGAATCATGGATCATGGAGGAGTTCCTTTCACATCTCCATACGGAGTACATAATCCACACGTTCAAAGTATGTGGATGGGCTAATTTGGAGAAGATGCAGTGGAAACCGTGCAGCGTACGGAGTATATACCTCCAACAACCAAGGCATTTGGCTGAAAAACCGACGGAAAACACCACCAAGGCTGGGCCTCAGAACAAATGCAACATCAAGGCACCGTGTATATTATTAGGATGACCGCAACGTGGCAATATCGCTCCACTTCGCAGTACCCTTTCTTGCGCAGGAGATCTACAGCCAGTGAAGCCGCCCAAAATTCTACGAAAGTGGGCCTTATCGAGACATCTACTGCATACCCAGAGGCCCGTTCTCAATTACCCACTCCGAACGAAGAAATTTGGAAAGAATAGCTCGGGTCTCCCACGAAAGACCTCCGCGGCGAGATGTCAATCTTAGCCTCATTCTGCGAGACCTCCGCCGAGCGGGATCCATTTCTGTTGTTCGCAGTGGAGAATCGGTGACTAAAAACCCAGCTAAACCGTTTCATAGAGGCTTTTCCTACATGTGGGCATGTCCACACGCCACATGGCGTGTATCCGAGAACCCTCTCAGCGAGCCAAGGTCTCCCACCAGGCTGGATGGGAACCTGGGATCGCCGCTGGCGAAGCGCTATTGAGCAGACTATTCGAAATCTGTGGGGAGTTCCCATGAGATGACCAACGAGGTCTGCTCGTGCGGCGCATGGAATATTTCTCCGCAGTTTGTGCAAACGTTGATCGACCTCGAGATCAAGTTCAAAAGAGCTTTTCTCCGCCCACCGGCTCCAAGACTTTCTGTTCTGAGCCCAGCCTTACATCCCCGGCACTCTGTTTTTCATAACGGAAGTGCTCAATGAAGTGAAGTGAATCGATTCGAGGTCTGCGTGCTGCCTCTGCTCCCGGCACGATTGACTGATCCTTCTACACTCGCACATACGCTCATTTTACGGCTTGCCTGTCTATATTCGTTCCGTGTCCTCGATGCACAAGATGGTCGCTGTACTTCACATCTTGCTTCCCCGTGAGGAGGACAATGGAGCTTCTCATGGCCGACGGGCATTGGTGGTGACTGCAGTGCTGACCGCTCTTTCCACTCTCGTCGTCGCAATGCGGTTTTATGCGCGGCTGGGATTGATGAAAATGACCGGCCGTGAGGATTGGGCAATTTTGATCTCTCTGGTATGTCCCTTGATCAGCGGCACACATGGATGTATGATCGGCGGTAGCTTATCTCATATGTGCAGGTCTTTTCTCTGATCTATCTTGCACTCGTTGCTGCCCGTAAGTTCAAGATGCACCGGTCAATTCAAGGACAAGCCGCTAACCCGAATGACAGAACTGCATTATAAAATGGGAGTTCACTCATACCTTCTCTCTAGCCATGTTTTACAGCAACAACTTAAGGTACACTTCATTCCTTTCCTCCAAACCAGTGCCTCGACAGCTTTGTCTTTCTGAGCAAAAGCTAACATGGCTTGTTCTTCAGTGCTTATGGGCTGCGATTCCCATGTACAATGCCAGCTTGGCCTTCACTAAATTCTCCATTCTTTTTCAATATCTGCGCATCTTCCCAGCTCGATCCTTCCGCTACGCCTGTTATATAATGATGGCAATAGTAGCCACCTACTCATCATGGGCCATCGTGAGCGGTTTCGTGAATTGCGTTCCCGTGGCCAAATTCTGGAACGACGATTTACCCGGAAACTGCCTTAGCTTCGAAGCCGTTTGGTTCTTCAATGCTTCCATGAACATCACAACCGATGTGGCACTGCTTCTCTTGCCGATGCCACTGCTTTCCAAACTCCAACTCCCCCGCAGCCAGAAGCTCGCTCTGATGGGCATTTTCGCCATTGGTCTCCTAGTCGTGGTCACCAGTATCCTGCGTCTATCCAGTCTACGTCAAGTCGCAACTAGCACCGACACATCCCGTACGTACTCGGTCCCGATCCGCGAAGATCAACAGCTAACCGCTGAACCAGACGACAACGTCGCAGCCTCCTACTGGACCGCAGCAGAATGCAACGTAGCCATCATCTGCTCCTGTCTCCCTTTCCTACGACCAATCATCAGTCGCATCTTCCCCAAGCTCTTCGTCGCAAGCAGCTACAATCACTACAACGGCACTGGCACCAAGGCCCAGGCGACTAACTTCACTGGAACCCGCACTATGACACGCCATACCCAATTATTCACTCAGAACCATGACAAAGACTACGATCTGTACTGGATAAATGTCAAACCGGGTCCTGGGAATAAATCCGGGAATCACTCCAACCACAGCTCACTTGGCGGTATCGAGGTCACTACTGAGATGACCATTATGCAAGAGACTAAGAAAGAGAGTACCAGTGAGCGGAGGCTGGTTATGGATGCTTGATGACGTTTTTCTTTTCATTTCTATGACTGTTTTACGATGGTATTTTTAGGTGGCTACTTCTCTTTCGCTTTGGGGGCTTGGATTTGGGTTTTTGGGGGATATGGGTGGTTTACTGACATTTCTGTCTCCTTTTCTTCATTTGAATTATTATACTAGATTTAGGTCGTTGTTACATTCGACGATCATGAGAATTTATTAGATCCATTTTGTACTGGTTCCATTTAACCATAATTGAGACCTTGCTTCCTCGGGATTGAGCTGATGCTTGATCCTTCAATCTCTGATTGAGACGATTACCCAAGAGAACAAGTGATAGGAATTTGTATATAACACTTTTTGTTAAAGATTTTAAACGAGGGCCATGTCATCATTATTGTCTTGTCAAGCCAGATAGATACAGCGTACAATATCTGACCTAGGAATCAACCCGTATGATGAGACACTACCCCATTTGGTCCTTGACTGATATATCGAAGCATACAACGCTCATGATCCACGGCAAACCAATCAAGTAACATGCTCCTTCTCCTCCTCCTTCGGAATCCTAACCCAAACAATCGTAATCAAAGCCGCACACAACTGCGCCGCAAGCGCAAACCACCAAATCGCACGCAACCCATCAAGCCCAATCTCCCCAGACGGCCCACTATCAACCCTCGTCCCAATCGTATCAGCAACACTGGTAATAATTGCCGCCGAAAGATTCTGATTCGTGACCAACAAAGCACCCGCACTGCCCTGATACGACCGTTCCACATTACTAGTAATGAAGATCGAAGCCGCGGCAAAGGCAAGATCAGGCCCGAATGTCACGAGTGAAACACCCGGGAATGAAAGCGCCCAGTAGCTCGTGTCGGCGGTTTGCGGTAGGAAGAATGCAGATCCGAGTGTGAACGCTAGCATTGAGACAGTGTAGATGTAGTGACCTGGGACGAGATGGAGGGTTCGTGCGACGATTAATGTTGCTAGAACGCCCACTAGCGCGTTGGGAATATGGTAGAGCGCGACGGTGATCGGACTGGCGTGTTGGATGCGAAGCCAGAATTGGATTGCGTAGAATTGCCAGCAGCCGAAGAAAGACCCGAAACCCAGGAAATACGCAACCATGAGCGGAGTGAAGCCTGGTGTGCGCCATAGACGGTTTGGGATGAGTGGGCGGACGGCGTTCCGTTCTGCGAAGAAAAGCCCTACGAAGAGTATGAAGCTGATGATGATCAGGACGTATGTGTATGGCGGCCAGGAGGCGACGGGGCCTTGCGTGAGTCCGAAAAGTAGACAGACGCAGCCGCCGGCTGCGCAGAAGCCGCCCGTATAGTCGAATTGTTTGATTGATGGGGCTTCGTTGCCGGCGATGTCGGCGGTGGGACGGAGAGGTGGGATTGCGACCCAGGCTGCGCTGCATAGTAGTGCGCAGAGAATTGCGTTTGAGCCGAAGATCCATGGTAGATGTTGGTACAGGGCTCCGCCTTGGATGGCGCCGAGGGAGAACCCGAATGGGGCGGTTGCCGCCATTGCTGAGAATACGCGGTTCTTGCGGATCCCGGGTGTGTAGACGCGGCCGAGAATGCTCATACTGCCTGATACGAGGATGCCGATGGAGAGACCTTACATGGCGCGCGTGATGAAGAATAGAACGTAGCGGGATGGGTGGAGGGTGAATGCGCCTATGACGTTCCACACGGCTAGCCAAGCGAATGCTCCAACCATGAGAAGCTTTGGGGGCATCAGGTCTGTGAGGGAGCCGGAGATGATGACTGATAGGCCGTTGGCTGTGTTGAAGGCGCCGACGACCCAGGGGAGCTCGGTGTTGGTGATTCCGAGGGCTTTCTTGATTTGCTCTTGCGGAGCTAGCATATCACCCAGTAGGAAGGAGAAAAGCATTAAGCTTGCTGAGCAGACGAAGATCAGGAGGAGTTCCGCTGTGAAGGTTGGGAGCTCGGACGGGATGCCTTGCTTGCTGCGGGTTGGAGATCCTGATTCTTCATCGGGGCTGTCGGCGTGACAGTGGGCTACCGAGATTGAGGGTCTTCGATTTCTCATATGGCTTGCTATATCCAAGCTGTAACTCTCGTTTATCTCATGGCCGATATCCTGGATGGGGATATCTTGAAGAGTGACTTTGCCGATGATCTTCCTGCTATCCATCAAAGGATCCGGGGCTTGTGCCAGCATTGCTGGGGTTGAGCAGGTGCTTGTATAAGAGATTGAGGAACGATTGGGAGTAGGTGATGAGTTTTCCTCCTGGCCTTCTTGGGGAAGGGGAGTTGGTTTAGTTCCATGCGAGGTGCGTTGGTGCGGGGGTCTGCACGCGCGTGTGATTTCTCATATGACATCCTTGTCAGCTAAGATAACTACTATACAAATGCGACAAGGAGTTAAAGCAAAGAAACGTAACCTAGAGAAACATTCAAACTGGCAAGACGGGAATCAATCAGGCCGTGGAGTGGAGTTGGTGGACCTTCTATTCTCCACGAAACGCAGTCAATATGTGCCCTATTTGTGTACTTTGTACATCATCTCCAATGCACCTATCTGCAGACATGGATCGATCAGAGTGATTGACCTCCGTTTGATTTGTCAGGATGTTTGGAAGCTTCCACCCTAACAAACCGAGGGAATATGGTTTCCGACGACGGTTATCTTCCACGGAAGATAAGTTTCCCATGAAGCATTGTGATTGATGGATGCCACAATGGAGCTATTGTCCCACCGAAACTTGCCTTGAGATATCCCAATGCACTCTTAGTTTAGAGGAGAAGCGGGGGAAGTGGGAATCAAACATGAGAATGATGGGTAAGATGCACGAGACTGGCGGGCATATGGAGTAGCTTCGACGGGGTTCTGCATCTCGGAATGCCAGATAACACAGTGCTTGTTCACTGTCTATCACTGTGGTCAGTTTCAAGCAGTTGAAAATCGATGATTTGATGACGCTTTGACTGTCTTCCAGCTTCGTATTCAATCGCATGCACGGGCTCAACATTGTAACGGAATTCGGATTCCGAGGCCAGAGACGGCGCAGGAGAACGACTTCTGGTCATGTCGGAGTTGTTTTAGTGCGTAATATTCCACATTTCCATTCTGTATTCCAGAGTAGTTGGAAATTTCCGAGGATAGAATGTATCTGCTAACTCGCACTCCCCCGGCCCTTCTCTAGATCAGTATGACCGAATGGAATTGCAATTCAATGATACTGTTCATCATTTTGATTTCAATGACCACCAGTTTCCTCTTTCGAGTGCTGCACCTATCAGGTATTAAATTTTCTTGATCATCTGTCGCACTGCATTTGTGCAACGTCAGATTAAGCATATCCTCCCCTTGCTTAGCAGGTACCACATGGATGATCTACTTAATTCTCACGCTTGCGCATTGGCTGAAATATGAAAATTATTATTCTTCATTCCTCATGCTCTATTCATATGCTTAAGTTATAATTATCTATTTACCAAAGACCTTAAGACGATCCTCAAGGGGAGCGAAAGTCTTCTCCTTGGGCTCAGAGGTAGGAACACCGAAGACCAGCTGGGCGTCCAACTTCCATGAGGCGGGGAGGTTCCAAGTCTTGGCAACCTCCTCATCGATCAGAGGGCTGTAGTGCTGCAGGTTAGCGCCGAAGCCCTCAGACTCAAGAGCAGTCCAGACTGGAGATGGTTAGTCGTCATGGTAATTGAAATCCGACAAACGGAAGGAAGTGCATACCGAGGAACTGAGACATAGCATTCGACTCCAAAGCGAAGGGGTTGAACTTGTCAGCGTAGAGAGCAAACTTCTCCTTGATAGGAGCGAGAGAGTCAAAGGCGACGAAGAAAAGGACCTGGATCAGTTAGCTCCCAATTCGCCAGTTCGGCGGTAGATAGAGTCATAATAGGACAAACGCACAGTTCCGTAAGCAGCGCGGAAGGACTCCAGCTTGGGCTTGGTGGAAGTCTCGAACATCTCCTTGGGGACGTGGCCGGCCGCAACCAGGCCCTCCATGATCTTAATAGTGATATCCCACACCTTCTGGTGCTCCTCCTTCAGCAGGAGGACGACGCGGGAGGTCTGGGTGTTGAAGGAGCTGGGAACGTGCAGAACGGAGTCCTGGACAATGCGCTCAATGACATCGTCAGAGACAGGGCTCTCAGCCTTGAGGCCATAGTATGAACGGCGGGACTTGACCAACTCCAGCAGAGTGGCGGTAGCCGGGTTCTTGAATTCGGGTTGAGTGGAGCCCATTGTGAAGGTAAAGGGTTGAAGCGTGGGGAGGTGGATGATTAGTAGTGGAGTGAAGTGGTATAGAATGATTCCAAGTAAAAGAAAGAGTAAATGGCTTGAGATGGGGTTCTTATACATTCTCGGAGCCATTGGATCCAATAATCGCGAGATCTCCTTGTTAACTCTTCCGAGGGGCAGTCCTTCCACCAAACTCCATTTTCGGAGAAAACGCAACTGGCAGCCAATCACAGAACCGGTTTACACCGGAGAGACGGAATTGACAGGCTCCGAGATCTATGTATAAGCAGGCTAGTGAATATCCACCGTCAAGTGCTGGAAGATCGCGAGGCAAATTAATCAGCCTGTGCATTTGTGATCGATGCCAAAGCATTTTCTCTTCACCACAGCCTTCTGATTGGTGCGCAGGTGGAGTGCGGAATTATTCCTGTCATTTGGCTGGATGTGATTTATTAATGTGCATTCATAAAAGATTTCAAAGCCAATCAAATTGTCAATTTCAGGGACTATCGCAATACAATTCAGGGTCCTATCTCACCATAGGTTCCAACTTCGATATGGTAGCTATCCAAGAGGCAAATCCCTTTCAAGATGTCAAAACAAAACAGTCAACTCTCAGTTGTCAGAACTAGATGGCGTATCGCACCTAATCGCAGTTCCAGAAGAAAGAACCAGCAACGAGTCCACCTAGTAGCGCCATAGGTAGCGCCATCTTGACTGCATGGCTTTTCTCCTTCGGGGAAGTATCCAGCGGTCTTGCGGGTAAAGTCTCGTTGCAGTTGCATTCACACCGGCAGGGAATAGGACTGGCGAGGACCGTCACCGTCACCGTCGAACCGTTCTTGTGGTCTGGTGAGGTCCTATTGTCGAAAGGGACTGGAAGATCGGTCGGAGTGATTGTTGTATTTACATATGCGACCATAAGCTCGGAAGTTGGGTTAATTGGTGTACCAGTTTCAATCGGAGTTGAACTTCCGTCACTAGTCGAGACATCGGAGTTGACGGAGGGCTCAGTCTGAGGCACGGTAGAAGTCGCAGCGAAGTCGCCAGCATCAGTCACGATCAAAGTGGCCGGGAAGATCCCCAGGCTGGACTGAGTGCCGGTAGCAGGAACAAGCACCGTGGCCGTGTCGACAGCATGTTTTTGATGAAACGACTTGGTTTCAGTGCAGGTGGCCATGGTAGGGGTCGGAGCCCCAATGAGCGTGCAACCTGAGGTGAAGTCGAATTTGTAGCCCTTGGCAACCATGTCATATGCTATATCAAACAGTCAAGACCAATATTATTTATGAGATCGCGTATATACTTACTGCTGGGTCCATAGATAAGAGTCATATCGGGGGTGAATCTGCGGCAGGCTGGGTGAGACGCGAGACAATTGATTCCATAGGTTGTTGTTCCACCCGTCTGGGGCTTTTGTCAGTACTGAACAGCAGCAAATGGAAAACATACATACCGCGCCGAGAGCCTGGCCACCATAGCCCTGGAAATAATCAGGGGCGTCGGTGACCCATGGGATAGTCTGTATGTTGTTAGATTCTGGATGAACGGTCCTGGCAGGTAAACATACAATTGTCTGGTCTTGGTCCGCGAGGCCAAGAGAAGCCCAGCATAGATGGATCGCTAGAGCGAGAAGATATCTGAACAGCATGCTTGCAGATTCCTAGCGCAATCTCCAGAGAGAGTTGTTGAACAAGAAACCTTGGAAGAATTGCAAGAAATGCAAGAGACGACGCGAGCTTTTAAGACGACGACCAAAGAATAAACAATCAACAATCAGGTTGAGATGGCCAGTGGCAAACAATCGAGAATGCGAAAGAACAATAGACAAAACGGTTGAGGAAAGAACGACCCGAGCTGGCTGACAAGAGCTTCTCGACTTGATATTGTCTTCTTTTGATCTGATTCTAATATTACTGTCCATGTCGCACTGCCCATTCCTGCTTCACTGAGATGGTCCCCCAGCCGCTGTTCTCCTCTAAATCCACATCTCTTGTCTTTCCACTTGCGATAGAATCTCCACTGCCCCAGTGTTGCTCTTCCGTCGGTTTGAATTTATGCACTGCGATACCAACCTCATGCTTTGGCCCAATGGGACACAAAGCTAAGTCATTCGAGTCATCCTGCAGTCGTTGGAACTCCTCATCGCCAGTGAACTTTGATCTTCTACTCGACGGCGAGGATTTGCTCGATGTATGAGCCGTAGGATCAGGTGTGCGCGATGATCGGGTGAGAAGTGGCCGCATTAGAGGGACCGAAGAGAGGATAACGGCGAGGCAGATCTCCAACCCACTGAAAACGTTCACAAGGGGAATGGAGTATGTAAGATCAGCAAAATCCATTGAGGAGAGAGAAGAAATACGGAGAATGCTGATGATGCAGGTCCTGGGCTTCGAGTTAGCGGCGACTCAGTTACGATTCGGTGTTTTGCCATGCAAGTCTTACACTGTTCCCAGCCCGAAGATAATCATCAAAGTCACTTTCTTATATATTGCCAACTGTAGCGTGTACAGTAAGGGCATGGGAATCACCAGAACGACAACGTCGGTGACGACATTGATCACCCCGGTCACCGTGAAGGAAGTGACTTGGTTTCCACATGATCCACCAGGAATAGTCTGGTCCCAATTATATGCAAAGGGTCGACATATCAGGCACCCAGCTAGGATTGTCCCAACAGTCCAGGTTAAGATCACAGCGATATTGACCCAGACCGTTCGCACGACCCACGTCACGGGGAAGATGGCAAGGTATAGGAGCAGGATGGATATCTTCGTACAGCTAAGACTCAGGACCCAAAGGAATTGCATCGGGATGGCCAGCTGCAGCAGCTTGGTGATGGGATCCGGTCCATAGACTTCTGCGATTGCAGTAACATGATCATACCCGACGCCTGTCTGCACCACGCCAACGATGATGACGGATTGCAGGCCGATGGCAAAGATCTGTGCTGTTTCAGCATGCATAGTTGATAGATTTGGTCTCGATCGGGACTACCCACACCGGCGGCAATGATGAAATAGTCACTCGGGGTCCATTTCTTCCGCGCAACATGATGCGCTAATAGGCGTAAACATATAGCGATCACCACCAGGATTGAGAACGTTATCGATATGCCCAAGACCTGCTTTTGGGCCTGAGTCTTTATGGGGAAGATGACAAGCATGTCGCATTCTCGTTGAACTAAAATCTAGCCAGGCAAGAGAGCGGCAGGGTTGAATATGTACTTTGACGCCAACTCAGCTAGCAGGGATGGTCGTATCCAGCGCCATGGTTCCAAGATCTGAACACGAGCAAGGCTCGATGTATCGGCCTTCGGCACTTGTTTCGAAAAGAACCTCGCTTCATCTTTTGGTAAAAGCACCGGCTGAACGGTTAAGTTCAATATATTGGGGTATCCCTGTGCGTATACCTAATCCATCCCGAGTGTTCCGTCCCAAAGAGCCATATACGAGTAATAGCAATTCCCATCAGAAGATCATGACCGAATGCGGGGGACACGCCTGTCAGGGTGACCACTAGCACAAAGCATAATTGTTTAAACAAAGAAACCACTGGGGGATCCGAGCATTGAACGGTGATGAGGACGACATTCATTGGCGGGCCACCTCCCGCTTGTCCACGGTCTGATAACTGGAAGCCCGGCTCTGTTCTGAGCGCGTCTAATCCTGAGCAGACAAAAGTACCTCAAATCGGGCGCAAAGCTAAAACATACGCACAACGACGATCTGGATTCTGGACCACCCCCTTTTTCTCCGCAATATGATATCAACCTCGTGCTTCCAATTGTGGCGTTTTCCAACCAGTCAATATGATCCTTCCATTGTGATCTTCACCATTATAGGGCTATTGACATCCCTTTATATTATTAAGCGGAAATACAAGGCTGGCGCAGGGAGGAAATCCCCTTGGAAGCTTCCCATCATTGGTGACCTGCATAGTTCCCCGATTGGCAGACCACTTTTGAACTGGGACACATGGAACAAAGAAAATGGTCCGATAGCGATCCCGAAGCTGTTCGGGATTATACCAATCGTCGTCTTGAACTCATACGAGGCTGTGACTGAATTGTTCAGTCGTCGCAGCCAATGGTATAGCAATCGCCCCCCCTCGGTGACTATGGAGATGATCACCGGTGCTGAGCCTGGGAAATCGAAGTTTACTCTTATGCACGACTACGATGATCATCTCAAGTTGCACCACCGCATTCTAGCACCTAGCCTCGGTGCTTTGGCCGCCCCGCAATATCAGCCCCTGATAGAACTTGAGTCCAAACAGCTGCTTTTGGATGTATCAAATGCCGCGCGGGAAGTGCCTCATGGGATTAGCACCGATGCCATCTATCCATTCCTGGAGCGCACTCAGTCGAGTGTCATACTAGCGCTGCATTATGGTATGCGTATCCCGAGCTTCGAAGAGGCTATCCTGCATGAGATCATCGATATCCAGACGCGGATAACCCACCTCGCCGCCAACCCGGCTCTGCCGGATATCATCCCGTCTCTGCGCCATCTCCCGTCCTTCCTGTCACCATGGAGGCGGGCAGCCGACAACCTATATGCCACGCAAGTAAAACTGTACATGCGCCTTTTCCAGCATGGGAGAGACGCGCCAGGCTGGAACGCGACCAAGCAGGCAATCTCCACAGCTCTAAAACACTCCGAAGCTGGAGTTCCGGACCTCGATCTTGCCTTCACACTTGCAACATCCATTCAGGGAGGAATGGAGACTTCGCCGCGGCAGCTCTTGTGGCTTTTCATTGCAGCGCTGCATGAACCATCCTTCGTAAGCCGGGCGCACGTCCTGCTTGACAAAGTCGTCGGGCGTAACCGTCTCCCCCAATTTTCCGACCGCCCAAAACTGGCTTTCATTGACGCCATCACCCACGAGCTTTTCCGTTGGCGGCCTATCGCGCCGGGATCTATTCCGCGTAGGGCAGATCGTGACGATGAGTTCGATGGCATCAAAATAAAAAAGGGCGTTACTATCGTGGCTAATGCGTGGGCGATCAGTCGAGACGAAGCAGTCTTTGATCCGGCACTGGGAGATACCCAGGACTTCGTGCCTGAGCGGTGGTTGCGACGGGTGGATTCTGGGGACGAACAATTGCGGACAGATCTCCCACTGCCGGTGTTCGGACAAGGTCGGCGGATATGCCAAGGGAAACGAGTTGCCACGGATGGAATGTTTATGCAGATTGCTTGTCTTTTGTGGGCGTTTGATTTCGAGCTCGCTGATGGGGAAGAGTTAGATCCGTGGGCTATGACTGTAGCAGGGTTTATGACAATCCCTAGCGAGGTCAAACTCAAGCTTCGGCCCCGGGGTGACTGGGTATGTGATGCTATAGGGAAAGAGTGGCAGATGGCAGAGAAAACACTTAACGAGGTTATGGGGACTGGCCTTGATGTTGAGGAACCGTAGAGTGTTAGACTCGCATCGAATTTCAAGTTGCGCTTCATCGCTTTTTTCTGGCGTCTTGTTACATTTCTCATACAACCTTTGGAGGCAGTGAAAATATCCATGCATGCAGGTGGATTCCATTCATTGATAATTTCTGGCTGAAGGATGTGACTGTCTCATACCTCCACAAGAATCATTGGGGGTGTGCAAATAGTATCTCTCATAATAATAGCTGTTCCCTTCGATCATAGCAGTTACTTTCTTGCGGTAATGGCTGTGTATTCTCACTCGGTGCCCTCGCTCTCCAGTCTGTAGCTAGCTTTTGCAGCAGTTCCTTGTGGGTGCTTTCTCTTGTCGCTTCGGCGAAGGCATCCATGGCTGCGGTGAGTCGTAGAGCGTTGTTTTCCTCCCCCCCCTCCTTTATCTGTCCAATAATATCAGATGTGCCTAGCAATGAACGTTCTGTAGTCAACACAAAGGTTTATATCAAGAGCTCTCAGCTCTCGGCTCTCTCTGTCCACCCTCTCCCTATTCATCCGCTGAACTTGGCGGCTTTCCTTGTATACCCTCAATGACAGTTCGAAAGTGATTCGATGCCGTCTTGTGTTCCCCTTGGTGTCGGGTTATGCTATCATCGTGGACTAGCTGCAGCTGCAGCCTTTCTATCCCATTCCCAGTTCCTCCTTTCCGTCCATTGTCGCTTTTTGATCACAGAGTAAAAAAGAAATAGCGCGTTTGTCTTTGGCTGGGTCGGGGAAGGCCTTCTGGACATGATCATTTCTCCCAATCATTGTGGCAGGAACCGAGTCGAGGAAGTTGGCGTTTGGGTAGATGTGTCGAAAGCAAGAAGAGGGATAGGATGGAGGATGATGGTGTGACTGCTTTGAGACTTCTCCAACACAGCCCTGACCAGTCATTTTTCGCACATCATGGTTATGCTCGGGCTCGATTGTGTTTTCTCCAAAATCATCGAACGGTAATTCCTTGAAGAAGACTGCGATAAAAGTGGACGGTGCCATCACTTGGATGGCAAGGTTGATTTTGTTTTCAACCAGGTCAAAGCATCTAGAGATGCTTTGAGTTAGAAAGGGGTAGATAGAGCAGATGAAACAGATGGACTCGGATTCCCTGAGCATGACATTGTGAAGAGCAGGGGTCAAACAACAAATGTTTTGAGAATATCGAAAAAGAAGCGAGAGAGGTGAATGGAGTTATTTGATGAAGACGAGAGCTCGATGAGCAAGTCGCTAGAAGTGCCCAGGAGAACATGGGAAGGTTTAATGCTCGTCGAAGGAAGCATTGTTCCCAAGTTGGAAATGAGGAAAGAGGCACGTGGTAGGAGTGAACGCCGGACAACAGTCTCAGGTCTGAGGAATATTGACGTACATTCTTCTTCTACTGTTCTCTTTGGGTTTGATTTGGAAATTCTATGTCGACTGTAAGCAGGCATTCATTCGGCTCTCTTTCTTTTGCTTTTGAATTGTCTTTACCCTCCTCGCACTGACATTGCAGAACCCTATAGAGGAATAATGAGTGATCCACCGAATGTTCCAATATTGAATCCAGCAGGCGAATATCGTCTGACTACACTCGATATATATCCATCACTATATGTTACAATGGAGCAATATAGGCCGTGAGGTGCCTTGAAAAATCTGCGGCAACTGACTTTTACTCCATTTTGGAATCCGATGCCTTTGGAGACATATACATTTTACCAGAACGATATCTGCGTATTTAGACCTCATGTGCGAAATTAATCATAAGAAGTTATGACTCGTGTCGTCAAACGAATCATGAGTATCCATGAATCATGCTCATGAATGACTCAGGTAAAACACAGCGTCCCAGCTGGGCTGAAGACCAAGGTACTTTCAGTATTGCGATTGCCGCAAGGCTGGCAACCAGAACCACCCGGTGTAGCCGTGGGGAATATCGTGGTCGGAAAATTTACTCTATCTGACACACTCCCAACCCAGACCTGTTCCTGCAGCCCGGCGACTATGAGAGGTTCCTTGTGTGGGGTCTCATTTCCCACTGATGTCAGCTTCTGGTCAATATGGCCAAAGTGGCAAGATTATACTCAAAGCCTTCCGGTTTGATGTTCCTTTGACTTTTAAGGGTCACATAGCTGACATAGACTTATCGCAACCCGGGGCGAGAAAAGAGTAGAGTGAGGGGGTGAACCTGAAGGACGGGGTCGGGTGTTCCTAGAAGAGAAGGTGATAATCTTCCAATGTTGGAAGAACTCAAAGGTGGGGACAGTATACGAGGGCAGCCTAAATACATACGGAGTCCCAAAGACTATGGATGGATGTAGTCTAAAGCTTTAACAATTTTGATGGCCTCTGACCTCCTATTCATTTTGACCTCCTTTAAAAGCGATGTCGCGGATCCGTACTCCGTATATGCGTGTGATATATCAAGTGTGTCGAATTTTTATCGATGTTGTATGGGACGTTGGCTCTTCGGCCGACAAAGGATCAGGCCAGAGGGATGGCTGGTTTGAGATTAGCGTAGCGTATGCAGGGCGCTAAAAATTGCTCTACACGATGTCTTAGATCTGTTTGTTTACGTTTACAAATCGCTCTTATGTGGAGCACGATGGTTCCTTATCTGACCGCTACTCAAGGCGTTACCCAAAGGCGTACCGATATCAACAGTCGAGAAGTTGAGAAGAATCATTATCGATCTGCTTTAGAAAGGAGTCACATACAGTAAAGCCATCAAGCATATCGCATCTCTTATCTTCGGTGTAGGGAGTGTGCACCAGGCAATCCTTATCGTGCATACAACATATGCAGCATCGGGATTAATTTGGACCTGCATACGAAGTACGCCTAGAACATACTAGACTCGTTTGCCACGTGCTTGGGCGTTGGACCTAAACTAGATTGAAATCTGACCATTTTTCCTGTGGAGAATCCCTGTTGACAAAACGCCTACACGTGCGACGTGCAGTAGTCGTGGATCTCTCGGGCCAAGTCTCCTGCATGGCTGAAAATTCATTATGTTCTCTTAAGTCGACTACATATACGGACTAATGGGCCGGTCATGGGGATCTCCGCGGAAAGCGGCCATGATTCGGCCCTAAAGTAGTATTGAAAAGCATGCGATATGAAGTCCAGGTGAAAATATCTGGATTGTCGCGGATTTTCCTATTCAGGATGCAACAATATAGGTAGGGTTCCTCATAGGGAACGATTTGATTGAACCGGGTGTGACTCCCTGATATCAATTAATTTACAAAATAAATAGAGCGTAAGCTGTTCCCAACACCGAGCGACTATAGAATATATTGCCAGACCGTTGACGCTCAAAGGCGAGAAAGATCGAGTGCCGAAAGGACCCAATAGGGATTCAGCCAAAAACATGATCGGAAGCGTCGGCTCACGAATATGCCCTCGTGGCGTTGTCTCACCAACTGCACGGGGGTTAGGCCATGTTGCACTTTATTTCAGCGTGAAGATAAATGAATTGCCGTGTCTGGGCACAGAGCCGTGGTTTGATTGGTCGAAAGAGCCATTTAGGGCTCCGCCTATTAGTTCCTGGAACTGCCCACTTAGAAGGGCGCCAAAGAAGGACCGGCTCATGAACTAAAGCCTCTAGTGAACTGAGTGGAGGTGAATACAGTTTTCGCTTGATCATCCAACAGAATGACCCCATGTTGCTGGGGACTGAACCGACCGGAGGCCGGTCGCATGTCCTAGCTAGGTTGTTCGGACTATAATAGTAAGTAGACGCCCCAGAAAACCGTTCTGACCGTCGGAACAAAATTTTCTGAAGGCCTAGTGGACATCAATTTCCCATCATGCATCTGAAATCTACCGCCACAGCCTTGTGCCTCGGTGCTTTGGCCGATGTCACTCTTGCGACCACTGACACCTGTGTAAGTGATCTCCGGGGAAAGCACGGAACAATAGGAAGCGACCAATGAGCTAACTGAGTCTTCTCGTCACAGTGCACAGCTCTGGAAGCCACTGCTCTCAAGAGCCAGGTCGTCTACCCCGATGCCGCTGCTTACAAGACTTCGATCAGCTCTTACTGGGCCACCAACGTCCAGCTCGAGCCTGTTTGCATTGTGCAGCCCCGTTCAACCTCCGAGGTTGCCCTTGCTGTGACCACACTTACCGGTGCTAACTCTGGTGCTTGCAAGTTTGCTGTCCGCGGCGGTGGTCACACCGTCTGGGCCGGTGCGAACAACATCATCGATGGCGTGACTATCGATCTGTCCTTGATGAACTCCACCACCTACAACGAGGCTGAGGGCACTGCTTCCATCCTTCCCGGTGCCCGTTGGGGAGGTGTTTATGAGACTCTCGCTGAGTACGGTGTCACCGTGCCTGGTGGCCGTTCCGGCGTTGTCGGTGTCTCCGGATTCTTGCTCGGCGGTAAGATACATTCCAATGGGTTGAAACTGTATTAGCGAGGGGACTGACAGATTTGAATGCAGGTGGAAACACTTTCCACACTTCCCGTGTCGGATTCGGTTGCGACAACGTCCAGAACTATGAGGTCGTTCTGGCTGATGGAAGCATCGTGAATGCCAACTCTGCCACCAACCCCGATCTTTTCAAGGCCCTCAAGGGAGGATCTGGCAACTTCGGAATTGTCACCAAGTATGATCTGAAGATCATCGACAGTGACAAGATGTGGGGTGGAATTGTCACCTACGACAACTCCACCACTACGGAGCACATTGAGGCTGGTCACCACTTCATCAGCAACCTGCGCAACGATCCCTATGCTTCTTGGATTGGCATGTGGGAGTACCTCTCTGCTTCCGACCAGAACATGGTCGCCAATGCTTTGGAGTACACCAAGCCCGTTGCCTTCCCTGCTGCCTTTGACAACTTCACCAAGATTGCCAACACCAGCAGCTCCATGCGTACCACCAACATCTTCGATCTGACCACTGAGTTGGGTCAGGCAGCCGGATACCGGTAAGTGATTTCTTCCTGTCGTTTTCACTCTGTTGAGATCGATTCCTAACTCGTTACAGCGATGTTTTCGTCACCGGTTCATTTGTTAACAATGTCGATGTTATCGCACGCGCCGTCGATATCCACAACCGCATGATCGAGGAGGCTAAGGCCAACGCCGTGGGTGATGACTACACCATGTTCACCATGGTCCAGCCTTGGCCCAAGCTCTACACCGAGCACAGCGTTGCCAACGGTGGTAACATGCTCGGTCTTGACCGCTTCGATGATGACCTGTTCCGTAAGTTCCCCCGCCGATCGGATAATATTTTCCCGGTGTCTAACAGTCTCCTGCAGAGGTTCTGTACGATTACTCCTGGAAGAACACCGCCGACGATGCTCTGTTCCACCGTCTGGCCACCGGCGCCCTCGAGGAGTTGAACACCTACGCCAAGTCCATTGGTGCTGACAACGAGTTCATTTACCTGAACTACGCCGACAGCACCCAGGATCCCCCTGACTGGTTACGGCGCTGAGAACGTGGAGTACATCCGCACTGTTGCCGCCAAGTACGACGCCACTGGTGTTTTCCAAACCCAGGTGCCCGGTGGATTCAAGATCAGCGCTGTCTAAGCGAGAGAGCGCCCACGAATGACGTTTGTAAATTTTTATACATCATACATGACATGAGGTCCATTTTCAAGTTGCAGAACATTGTACGGAGTACAAAATACTCCGTACTCCTTACCGTCCTTTAATTCCCCATAAATGTAATGTGTGTGCACTTTGGTGGGAAATTGCCATCGATCCACTTCGATAGCCCGAAAATCCTCCAGCAAACCTTGAAACCTTCAACAGCCTGTGGCTTTGGAACAAGAACCCTACATGGGGTAATCCCTGTTGTCGATCATGCCTCGTCTCGCTTAAAGATTAATATTGCGGGGCCGAAGGATGAAGCAAGAAGGTGGCCGCATGCAATAGAAAGCGCCGAAATTGAGATGTGGAGCTTCTTTCGAGCTAACTACCGATGGCGTGTGTCGCAGATCCACCACCTATTCGAGGCCATCAAGCCTTGTGAGGTGCAGAAATCCCTCGATCGGGTCTCTCAGGCCATTTTTTAATCTATCTTGCACTTCTTCTGGAATCAGACAGGAGGGCCGAGGTAAAGATGTCGTCTGATGTACCAATCGCAGGCCTTACCGGATAGCCCCGTCCTGCAAGGTATGCGCTATTGACAAAAGGAGTCACTTTTTTTTTTATCATCGCGCCCAATTTCTTGTTGTAGACGATGCATATTGCACGAAAATAGGCTCGGCTCAGGAGTAGCTACCCAAAGACACCTCACTCTTGCGCTAAATGGCATTCTCTTCTCCCTTTTATCTTTGCCATCTGCTGCTGGTTGGCATCCTCAGTTGAGTTTGGTCTTTTTACAATGCCTGCGAATGTTGGCATTGTGCCCCCTCCACCGGGAGTGGTGGCTGACTTTGATTACTCGAATCCATGGCTATACACGACGAACATGTCGCTGATTGGTGTCGGGCTGGCCATGAGTTTCATATGTCTCGTTCTTCGTGTATATACCAAGACGAAAATCATGAACATATTTGGTTGGGAAGACAGTAAGAAGTCCTCGGAAAAAGAATCCGGAAGATAATTTACTTACCGAAAAATAGCATTCATTATTCTGGCCTGGGTAAGACCTTCTCGACAACAATGATGGGATTCCCTTCTTATGCGTTAGGATGTACAGATATTATCTCTAGGGACACAGGTCACGTCAATCTGTATGTGCACCAGCTATCCCTGGATATTCTCCCGTGTGACCTTTGTATTCTAGAAACTGACAGTCCCCCAGATAACTACCACTATAGCGGGGTGGGAATCCATACATGGAATGTCACTGCAGAGATGTTCTCCGCATACCAGAAGGTACGAAACGTTCCACACCTATCCCGATTCGAACAAATTGAGGTTGATCATTCTATTAGTGCACACTCGCCGCCGCCGTCATATACGTCCCTGCCCTCGCCTTCGCCAAGATCAGTCTCATCTTCCTCTATCGTCGCATCATGGAGAAGCAACCGGCTTATAGATGGGCGCTACGAATTATAACGGGTGTCGTGATCGGTTACAGCATTGCCATCCCATTCGCCTTGATCTTCGGGTGCAATCCTATCGCAAAGACCTGGGATTCAAGTATCACCGAGGGAAGTTGTATCAGCAGTCCGGGATTGTATATCGCTACCGCAGTGACCAACATCGTGACTGATTTGGCATTGATCTTGCTACCGATCCCGCTGGTTCTGGGACTCCAGATGCCCGCAATCCAAAAGTTCTACTTGCTCATCGTCTTCCTGATCGGTTGCGCGTAAGTTGGATAATATGCCTCTGAAATTCCAGCGACTGACATTATCACTAGTACCGTTGTGACTAGTATCCTCCGTCTCGCAACCCTAGTCCCCTTCCTCTCCGTGACGGATTTCACGTACGAATTGGCCTGGCCCCAGCTCTGGTGGTGAGTACAATCTCCGACTTGTTGACGAGATCCGCCGACCTAACCATCTCTTCTATCGCTCTAGTAACGTGGAAGCAAACCTCATTGTGATCTGTCCCTGTCTGCCAAACATGCGACAGTTCATTCGACACCACTTCCCCGGCTGGATGGGCGAGTCGACCAACGCACGCGGGTATTACACGCCCAACTCGGCCAGTGTATCCCGCAGCCGGTTCAAGTCTGGCACGTCTCGGGCTCCGGATGAGATCAGGCTCACAGAACAGGGTGGTAGTACGCATAGCCGGTCTCACATTGTCAAGGAGGTTGAATGGAACGTGACGGAGGAGCGGACGGAAGAAGACCATGGGGCTGTTACCAACCATTCCCATACTAAGTCGTTCCAGTATGAAAGCTGAAGAAATTTTGAGCCGAATAAAGTGTTTTTCCGGGGAAAGCTCTAGCAAGCTAGCTGTTCAGTACGGAGTAGTCTAGTGTATAGCCTGCATATGCGGGTCGATGGATCACAAGCGGCTATCGCTGCTAAGTGGGATCGGCGTGGGTTGATCGGCGTACACTAGGATATGATTCAGGGTGTTTTGATATTGGTAGTGGGTCATTGGAGTTTTTTTTAAATTCTTTTTTTTGATGCCAAATAGCTAAGATATAGCGTGTGAATAAAATAATCAAGATCGCCGAGGCGTGAATCGATCCACAGCTCTTGGCAGATCAGGTGTCGACCAGCTTGTCGTGCCTTCCCAAAATGGATTGTTCGAATAGCTTCATGGTCCGGTTCCAGATGGATGTATCCGATGATGAAAATCGATATCGTCCACCACCATCGGATCAAAGTTTTCCTTCAAACTTGGCATGCAGATAGCCAAGACGGTCTAGATGCTCTATTCCAAATTTGAAGCTCCTATAGTGTCTGGAAGGCTATCAAATTGAGGATCCAAATTCCTGATCGACATCGTCGCGAACCATTTGTTCCTATATGAGGACCTAAAGATAAACACCTTCAACGTCCCCCCCGAGTGGTCTAGTGGTAAATGGTCGATGGCCGGGGCACTTCTGCTGGGTGTGCTCCCCCGGAGATGTGTCGCAACGGGTCCTGTTCCACTCACCACTTCCGGCTGGACATCTGTATAGCAAAGTTCTTGCGAACACTACGCTAAGCAAGCCCTCCGCGGATTGGACCCCACCAGTTGGTCTGTCTTAGGACAATCGGGCCCCATGGGGATTCATCCTCCAGTTGGGCACCGGGCCTGAGGTTCAACGGACCTTCTGCGGGCACCTCGTTATGAGGAGGGAGGCTGTAGTTAGTACCAGGGGTGGCGATGTACGGGTGAAAGGTCGGAGAGATGCGCTCTGAGGTCTAAAGGTGACCTACCAACCGTGCACTCTGGGTCCCAATTCAAAGGACTACCTACTAGTAGGTAGGGCCGGGATTCATGGGGACTATCTTTTTTTTGATGCTATTCAGAGTTCATATTTCCCCTTCCAATTCGGGATTGTTGGTGTTTTGCCATCTAGGGTGATGCTATTCCCAGCCCATTCCTTGATGATGTCCTCCTTCCCGACTTGGTCCAACGTGATGCTATTCACAGTTACCCTTTCCCCTCCCAGTTTGACACTTCATGTTCCTTGCTCCCTATCCTGATTCTATCCACACCTCCTTTCCCCTTGAAGCTATTTTTCTTGCATCCTGTCTACCTTCCCATCTTCCTTCCCATCTTCCTTCCCATCTTCCTTCCCATCTTCCTTCCCATCTTCCTTCCCATCTTCCTCCTTCCCATTTTGATGCTATTCACAATTCCTTCTCCGTTGGACTTATTTACATTCCCTTCACCCTGATTTTGACGATTCATCTGACCTTCCAACCCGATCACGTTGGATCCCCCTTTAATACGTACTCGCTTGGCATCTTCATACCCCTAATATATTCAACACACATATTCAGGGTGGTTGAATATTTTATATTGCCCCTTACATTTTGTGGGTTCGACTCGACCTTCTCCACCTTCTGCCAATATGTGTGCGCTCACATTCTCATTCTATGACAGCTCTGGAGCTCTCACGGTTGCCTTGTTGTTTTGACATCCGATCCATCGAGCCATGGGAAACGCAGGCTCCGCTGTGGATCAGATTCGGCCGACGGGAACCTGACTGACATCTATGGTCGCAGGGCCGCTCTCGGTACCACCTTTAAGCGAAGGACGGGCCGGTTTAGTCTGTCAGATAATATTCATGTTTCGTGAAATCACTCGCTGGCAGCATGTCAATCATTGAGAATCCCCAGGAAGCAACTTTGGACACCATATCCACAATTCTAGGATTCTTCGTCCTAGTTGCACTAATCCTATTGCCTTCGTATGTCGATTATCTTTTGAATTTCCAATTACAGTTCAGGCAAGTGAAAAGCGTACCGGGCCTCATAGGATGGAGATAAGCTTTGACATCTTCCCACCTCCGTTGGAACCATGGAACCGTGGAAGGTTAAACTAACCTGACTCATCATACTCCGTACCTAGGTAGGTAGTTTCAGGAACAGACGGTCTTTACCTACGTGCCCAGGAAACTATTTTCCTTTCTGATTTCCTCGCCTTTTCAAACCCCGGCCTTCCTTTTCATCATGATCCCTTTCACCGATCATCCCCTCATGTCCGGGACCTATAGCAAAGATCTGCATGGGTTGGCATCTACCCTGATTCTGCTACCAGTCCTCTCCATATCCTTTCGGCCCCACATGCGCGCCCGAGCCTAGAAGATGGCAGGACCCTGGCGGGTGGAGGACAAGACACATGAATGACACAGCATCCGTTAATGCATGGGATGAAACCGGCCAAAGCTATCCTTCACCGAACAGAGAAGAATTTCAGTGGATTCGCAAAAGGTTTGGGAACAGCAAGATCTCGCTATCTCGATGGTTCACATGCATTGAGACCCACAATCCGCCAAAGCCGATTCCTCTTACCCTAGGACGCATGCCGGTGATGTCCGTGGAAGTCAATGAAAGCTTTATTGAGCCATTGCCCGAAGCACCTTATCCTAACCCACGATTACCAGACCCTTATCACCACTTGCGCTGTCCGCCGATGGAAGTTCCAACAGATACAGACAAAATTACTATCCTTGAAGCTTTGAAGCTGTTAGCAAATGTACGTGCCGTGGTGTATCTGCCTTCATGGACTGTCATTGAGCTTGAATACAGAGATTCACGGCTTTATGAACCCATGTCCCTTCCCGGAATTGTTGCTGGACGCACAAGCCTCTATCACTATGCAGAAATCCTCTCCTACAGGTGAATCAAGAATCTCGCACGAGCCCGAAAGCTTGATCCAGCTCAATTCGCGATCGGCTTTGAACTTTTACACCATGATAGTCATAACTAACTTCGTGAGTCATTTCTTCCCTGATGATCGTATTCTTAGTACTCCGTAGCAACTGCTATGCGAAGTCTATAGTACTCGGAGGTAGGTTTCAATTGAATTGAGTTGGCTGCCTGAATATACCTACTTTGAAGCTGACAGGAAGCACAATGCCCGGATTACTATAACAGAAAAACCTTGATAAGTGCATTTTAACCTTGAAAATCAAGCAAAAGGAAGCGTTTCATATAGTAAGCCGTGTTTGCAACCTTGATATGTCTGTTCAGTGGTCTTTTCAGTGGTCCTTTTTAACTGTGTTCTTGAAAATGACATTCGCACCGGTGGGACCTTTTATCGGGTTCTGGGCCGACTCCAAGCGTCCAACACTAAAACTCACAATCACCGCTTGTGCTTACCCTGTGTTATGAAGATGTGTAACAGCTTTGCCAAGGCCCACTATAACTATGATATATCTATGGATTGACATGGTACAAGCAGTAGGCTAGCGCGGTACACTGCTATTGATGCCCCATAACACGATATATATTTGTCAGACAAGGCCAAATAATGTCGATCCACACACTCATTGGCCCGTTCCTATATCGGTCCGAGCTTCAAATCTAGCAGGACTAGTCAAATTAGTTTGAATGTTCCCCTTCGACCTATACAACGGCCCGGATGGCAAGTCGACACCAAATCGAGCTTCCGATGTCATCAACAGGCATTTATGTGATGAAGTGGCTGGGCTTTGGGTCCAGATCTGGTTTTTGAAGTAGGAGCAATGACCAAATCGGAAGTCTTAGATATAAAGGTTGATCTTTTGGATCGGAACTGCCTTTTCTCTCAAGGTACCATAGCTTTACGATGAACACCAAGTATTCATAAGATGAATCAGAAATAAGATACAAGGTTGATGGGCTGTGTTTGGAATATGAATTAGTGCATCCGATAGATCGGGAACAGTGAGCCTGGGTGCGAATGCGTTATCTTCGGTCTTATTTATATTGGTAAAATTATTTATGTGGGTAGGCAAGAGTGAGCTCGTAGAGTGAGAGAGGCTATGTGCTTCGTTTTCAAATTGGTTTCCTTCCCTAATTAGTTTTGAGTAAATCATTGAAAGAGCCCAACGAGTGGATGCCATCATCGGTGATGACAAGGATGGCTGAATGGGGTAAAATATAAGATGATGTGTTTATATACAGCATGAGTCGAGCACATCCTCCTGGAATTATACACGGCTTCAGAAACCGAGGGCGATTGGTAGCAATCTTTTAAAACCCTTCCTTCAATGTCTAGTAAACATAGCGGAAAGAAGGGTTCTGCCTATCCGTGAGCCCAGCCCACTTGGTCTCATTGACCATGTTATCATCAACACGGCCCTTGGTCTGATCTCTGCGACGGTTCTGCCACATGTAGTAGCCGAAGAGAACAACCGACAGCATAGCAGCTGCGGCCTGTGTTGCGAGAACTGCAATCTTTGCGGGTCGATATTCCGGCGCATCCTTCGCCTGGAAGGTCTGGGGGCCAATGATATTTCCGACCGAGAACGATCCAGCAACCAGAGCACTAGAAAATGCACGCTTGGTGTGTCCTGCGCAGTTGGCCATGGTCCACTGATACAGAATTGGCAGCGTGGCTACAATCGCGTTCACGAGATAGATACCGATAAGCACACCGGCTTTGTTGCTCTTGGGCAGGAAGGATAGCAGGGCTCCCCCGATGATGCCGGGGATTGTGCAGAGGACATTCCATGCCCAACGATGCGAGGTCTTGCGGATGCCGAAGCCCACAAGAAGTGTGAAGAAGATACTGACAATGCCGGACGGCGTGTTGAGGAGGGCGGAGATTGGCCCAGAGAAACCAAATCCGCCAATCAACGTGGCCGAATATGTGGTGATAATACCACTTGATACGGAAATCTGGCGTGGCAATAATGGTTAGTACAGCGGTAGGGAGGCGGGGGATGAGGCAAGGGGTGAGACAGTGAGATGTGAGACATACCAAGATGGTGATCACCGTTAGGAACCAGAGTTGAATGTCACAGACGGCATCCCAGATTTGCTTGAAGTTAATTTCTGTGCTCCAGACTCCAGTCTGGTTCTCGCTGACATGCTCGATGAGCGCGACCTTCTCTTGCTCGGACAGCCAAGAGGCCTTCATCGGTGTGTCCGGAATGAAGAAGAATGTCAGGGCACCGACGATAGAGGTGATCAACCCCAGAACGATGAACATAATCCGCCATCCCTCGAGTGAGGCACCATGCACATGCTGGAAGCCAAAGGAAATGATTCCTCCAATAATCTGGGCCACACCAAGACCCACATACCAGATGGTAAAGCGGGGAGCTTGTTCACTTCTGGTATAATACTGACTGCTGATCAGCATCAAAGACGGTCCTACTGTCGCCTCGAAAATACCCAAGAAAATTCGTGCGACCAGCAGTCCTTTGTAGCCCTGGGCGCCGGCGCCAGCAGCAGCCGCGACTCCCCAGAGAACAACATTGATTCCAAGCCATTTTGCAGGTGGTGCTTTTTGTAAAAAGTATACTGCGAGTTTGGAGTTAGAAATATCGTAGTCATTATGCAAGGAGACGAAATGAACACACTAACCATTTGGTACCTCTGCGATCAAGTAGGCAATGAAGAACCATGTGGCGGTGTTGGAGAAGTCGTTTCCAAGGAGATTCAAATCTTTTTTAATTCCCATCACAGCCGCATACTTCGGACCAGTTAGTATTGGATGAACGTCATGCAAGAGCCAAGAATGAGGTGGTATCAGACTTACATTCAGCATAACTTTGTCCAAGAATTGCAGCACATAACAGCAAAACATGTAAGGCATTAAGTGCCAGTCAATTTTACGCCGCAGCGCAGAGAGGTCAATCTCTGGGTGTGACACCCCATCTGCATGGGCTTTGAGGTATACCACGGCATCATCGGCCTGGTCTGCATTCAGAGATGTCTGCACCGCCTGGGGTGATTTATCCATCGCAGCTGAGAATCGAGATGAAATGCACAAGAGAGAGTGGCAAGGCAAGGAAACCTAGGATTAAAAAGAAAAAAAAACAACGCAAAAGGAGGAAAACCTTGACGAAAATGCCCGAGTTAATTGGCAGAACTAGCTCGTGCGACTAAAGCATGAAAGCCGCCAGATGTCTAAGGTTGCAATCAACGTGAGACTGCGTGTGGCACTAAGAAACGGACTTTGACGAATCAGATATGCGATCGAAGTCCGGAGTACTGAATATCGTGGCTGCTTGGGGGCGAATGCAGAAAGTACCTTGTTAACCGCGTGTACTGCCCGTGGACAGGGATGTGAGAACGGAACTACGGAGTAAGCGACGCAGTAATAAATTATTACAAACAGGGATTACAAACCCTAGTCCCGAGTAGGTAAACAGAGTGCGATGTTTGTATTTTAATTGCGAGGTGCAGGTGAATCCCTGCGTCAATTTGCTCGGCATTGTAGAAGTGGAATCCATCGAGTTAAATGCCACTGTTTTCGTTCGTGCTCTACCTTACAGCTTCTTTGTTCCTCGACAATGGGCTGGGTATACAATGCCACGCCAGAGGTTGAGGCTGCATCGCAGTATCACCTCATTCTTGGGGTATGTTTGAGTCTAACTCTCTTGATGGTTTTCACCGTCTCCCTGCGCCTTTACATTCGAGCGCGAGCGGGTCGATTAGCAGCCCCAGACTATGTGATGGTTGTTAGCATGGTGAGTTCACTGGCGCAATATATAACGGATCAATGACTGATCCTGGAGCAGATTTTTAGTATCATTTATAGCGCACTATGTATTTCTCGTGAGCCCAACTACCTTCCCCAGCGCAGGAAATGTCCTTATTGTCGCAGAAAGTCGATACGGACTGGGACTTCCCCTGAAACTACGACCAGCAGCAGATTACTCGACATATACCAAGGTCAGTATTTCAACCAATTCTGTCCGCTTGATGAATATCGATGGGAAGACTGACAAGAAGCCAATTCACAGTTGAACTACGCAGGACGTCCCTTTTACCAGATCGGCATTGCAGGATTTAAGGCTTCTCTCTGCCTCAGCTATCTGCGACTCATCTCCGGAACATCTAAATCTGTTTATCGCACGATCATATGGGTTGTGATCGTCGTATCCACCTTAGGCCATATTGCTGGAGCTCTGGTCCTGATCTTTAACTGCACACCGGTACAGAAACCTCAGTATAGTCCACATTCATTTATCCAACAATATACTGACACAGATCCGGCGACAATAGGTCCAGCGAGCATGGAATGCCCGTGTACCGGGTACATGTCTTCCAGTGGGAGCAACGTTCTACGGCCTCGCTACCTTCACCATCATTGCCGATGTGACTATTATCGTGCTTCCCATTCCACTCCTTCTCGGGTTGAAAATCAGAACCGCCCAAAAGGCAGGTGTGGTATGCCTGTTCCTCCTTGGCCTCTTCACCACAATGTGCTCTGTAATGCGACTCACTCAGATCCAGCGGATCGCGTTTGGAGACGGGAATTCGACCATGCTCGTTCTGTGGGGCACAATCGAGTTCAACGTGGGAGTGAGTACTCCGTACCTGAAAAATGACCCGTCACCTGCGAACTATCGCTGATCTTCGCTAGAACATTATCACCTGTGCTCCATATCTGGCACCTCTGCTCAAGCGCTTCGTTCGCGGATTGGGTTCGACCAATGATAAAAAGACACGGTACATGTATTACTATGGAAGCCGTGCAAGGGCGTATGGGATGGACAACTTGTCCAAAGATCCACATTGTCACTTACAGGTAACTGCTTCCGGTCCAGCAATGCCTAGACGCACAGGAAGCGAGGAACGCATACTAGCCCGTCCAGAACCCGATCACGGAGGAATCGAGATGACGGTGGAGTATAGTGTCTCCTTAGAGGGCGGGCCCACCAAGTAGATGACCCGCCGGTGATTTAGCGCATTCGGGCTAGTGTTCCTCGTGTCTCGTATACTCATTCGTTAGAGACTTATAATTTAATTCCCTTTGTGATAGATAGAACTTGCAATCCAGCATCATCGACTTGTACTTTTTCATGGGCACTTCTTCTCCTCTTTTGCCCCTTGCCTGTTGTGGCATTTGCTTCCGTGGCAATAACAATAACATTGGAACAACTGGTCTACAACTTGGCAGGATTAAAGAAAAAAAACGAAAAGAAAGTAAAAGAAAGATAGACAAGAAAAGGCAAGAAGAAGTAAACATCCAAAACTAGCTAGCAAAGCCGACAAAAGCCGGTATCGCAACCGAGTCCTCAACAACCCTGCGGCCGACTGTTAGTTTTTAGTGGTTGGCCTATGCTCCTCATGGGACGGGATCTACAGGGATCATCCCGCACTACGGACGGCCGGGCGGCCCCAACGTCCGGACTTGGTTAAGATTTAATCTCTCAGACGGAATGAAATTGAACTAAACTGAAACTTGCTTTGGAGACCGAGGTCGTCATAAAACTAGACTCGAGTTTCCAGGCAATCTAGACGAAAATAAATTAAACGCACTTCAAAGAAATGCTTACACAATTTATTCATACTAGGTCGATTCAAGCCTTCTGGAAGCTACCTAGGATGGATATTACATGAATCCTACAGAGTACAGGAAGTCAATTGGATGAGGCAGAGAAAGAAGTCGATGTATTCAACCAAGTATGCAAACTTCGCTCTTTGATATGGCATTATGTAAACCGTGTGAGACTTCAACGTGGGACCGGTGAGGTTTTCATCCTATGAGACTTGATGTTCGATCTAGGTGAAACTAAGCAAGGTCAACAATGCTCTAGTCTCCGGTCTCTGGTCTATGTTGGCGATTAATTATCTCTCTCACTACTCCATATGAAGGTTAGCTACCAGGAGCTAAGTTGCGAATTATCCCGATGATGGACCTAGACCCTTACCAAGATCCACACGAATCCTCATAAAGGAAAATCCCAACACCTACAACTTCCAGTAAAGTCATTATCCAGGCAGCGATGTACGCAGTTCGTAATATAGTATCAAGCCGGTCAAGTTCAATAAATCTCACGGAGCGTACAGCTTTAGTGGGAGCAGTTCCGTGGTTCACTGAGCCCCCTATAAAATCTTATTTCCGCCCCCACTTCTGCGTTATGCGCATGAGGTACCTAACCCACATACATAGTAGGGGTATATCGGTACGGAGTACTCCGTATGGAGCACCCTGGATAAGATATTAATTTTTGTATCAGAAGCTCCACTGAAAACTCTACAAACCCTGCCATCGGTGGTGCCATGACTCGCTGTGCAACTAGAATACGAGTAGGGTGAGACAAGGATACCTACTAGGTACCTTCGTAGGGAGTAAACTCCAGCTGAGCAATAGTACTACGACTTCCCACAACACAATCCTCAACATGGCCGATCAACCTATTGTGATCATCGGGGCGGGAATCAGTGGCCTCGTCCTCGCACAGTACCTGAAGCACCGGGATATTTCGTTTGAGATCTTCGATCGTGACTCCGCTATTGATGCCCGCAGCGGAGGATGGGGTTTGACGCTGCATTGGTCACTCCCTGCCCTGCGCGAGCTTTTACCAGAGCACATTGTCAAGCGTTTTCCCGAGACTTTTGTTAACAAGGAAGCCTCGGCCCGCGGTGATACCGGTCGCTTCCAATTTTTCGATCTTAAGTCGGGTGAGGCATTGTACAACGTCCCCGCTGCTGAGCGCATTCGCGTCAGTCGGGTTCGCTTGCGTGAACTACTTTCTACAGGTGTGAACGTTCAGGTGAGTTGAAAATCAGTCGCTCCTCGGCGCTGATATTTCTGGATATAATTTCCCTCTTGATGAAGCCTGATAAGTTATTTTCAGTGGAACAAAACTCTTCTGAATATTGAGTCGTCTGCCGATACCATCACGGCGCATTTCAAGGATGGCGCGTCCCACACCGGGAAGCTACTGGTAGCATGTGATGGCGCCCGGTCGCACACACGCGAGATTCTTTACCCAGGCGTGCAGATGAATCCGCTACCAGTACAACTTCTCGGTGCATCGACCCTGTACACCGCGGAGGAATTGGGCGGTGTCGAATCTATCGATCCTTATATTTTCCAGGGTTCCCATCCCGACTCAAACGTCTTCCTATTCTTTAGCTGTGCGTCGCCAAATCTGCCGTGAGCTTGCTGTAGTCGCTGACACCTTCACAGTCCTAGATACACCGAGTAACTTCGAAACTAGCAGCAAGGACCGCTATGAGTGTCAAATCATCGTTTCTTGGGCTGACTCCAAAAACATCCCCGTCCCAGAAGCGAACGCCGAGCGCATCGCGCTGATGAAGAAGTTGACCGAGAACTGGTCCGAACCATTCCGATCACTGGTCCACAGACTCCCCGATGATGTTGAAGGGCGATCGATTCGTCTCGAGGACTGGATGTTCAAGCTCGGCAGGGAGCACGCGCATCCCCGGGCGGTGATGGTCGGAGATTCCGCTCACACAATGACGATGTGTATGTGACCCCGTTTATTTTGAATGGTCATATAATTCTAGCAATTAGTGCATCTACATCTCTAACTCCAAACAGTCCGCGGCGAAGGCGCGAACAATGCCATCGTTGATGTGTTGGATCTTGTGAAGCGTATTGATATGCAGAACGCAAGGTACGAAGATCTGACAACTTTCATTCTGTCGACTACCGAATAACTAACTTATCATCGCTTTTGTGCCAATTAGTGCTTTCGATTCCGAGTCTTTGCCATCCTCGCTCGCTGCATACGAGAACGATGTCTTCACACGAGCGGAGCCCAGCTACCGTAACTCCAGACAGGCGTGTCTCGATGCCCATGATTTTACGAAAATTGAAGGAAGTCCGCTCGTTGCCTTGCGCGAGTTGAAGTGAGTAGGCAAAAATGAAGGGGCTCTAGCATAATCCTTGGCATTCCCATGGGCCGTTTGCCATCGAGGGGAGCTCCAGGGGCCCGTTAGAAGTTAGAACCTGGGTAGGAATTCATGAAATATTCAAGTGAAGGTTTTCTACCTCGGGAGTCGACTTTGAGGCAACAAAGCTATAGAAAAACAAAAAGACTAGTGGCTTAACACATAGCTGGGGATCATATTGAAGTGTGGTGTTGATGGTCGCTCCTGGAGATGTGTATCAGTGCCAAGCCTCGGACAAATTCCTCCGAACCTCCACATATTCCGCTCCCTCTACCACCAGAACATGCGGGGGACTAATCAACTCTCGAATTCAAACGAATCGACGAATCTAATGCAAGGCTGACAAGAAATGAGCGCGACCGTGTCGAATCAACCGGCCACCGTGCGTGTCTCGCAGCGTCAGCCGCAGGCCTGCCGAGGTAAATGCCGTACATTTCCGCCGACATCCTGCAGGCGACTGACATGATGCAGAATGTACAAAGCGGAAGCGAAAATGTGACAAACAAAATCCCTGTTCAAGATGTAAACGCTTGAATTTGAAGTGCTCGATAGAAGTCGTTCAGCTCAGACGCAATGCCGTGCAACACGGATCCGAAATCCAGTTTCTAAACTCAATATTGGGAGATCTGGATTCGTTGCTATCTGATCAAATGTCGGTTGTTGCTCAAAAAATCAGGCATCGAATATTCCGGCTAGAGACTGGCCAGGATCCCCCGGAGCCAGAGGTATCCAACATCGCCTCGGCACAACAGGAATCAAATTCAACCGGGGATCGTACACCTGACATAGTGTCTCTTAACTCAAGTGAAAGTACCTCACACCAAATTGACTCCTCATATCTCACAGCGATTGAACATCTTGCCTGGGGTCGTAATTCAGCCGGCTGCTTCCCCCACAGAACCTGCGCGTGTCAGTATCGCAAAGACGGTCTACAAGCACTATCAGATAAAGGTTCTTTTCCAACTGACATCCCTAGTCTTGAAACGGCCTCGGCCTTTCCAAGAACTGCTGATGCCCGGAAGCTGATCAAATTCCATTTATGCCATCTCATCTGGCATCACAACTGCATTCATGGCCCAACGTTCCTTGAGCAGTGCGAGTTATTCTGGGAAACCGGAAAATTTGACGATCCTCTCTGGCAAGCCCTCTACTTTTCTGTACTGAGCTCCACCGTTAGTTCAATTCAAGATAGTGCGAGGGCAAGAGATCTTGTCGATGTCGACCTACAGGCAGTGCAATCTACTCACCAGCTGTTTTCTGCCATGGTACAGACTCTATACAAATCGCATTTCCTCGCCAATTTGTCTGTGTATTCTGTTCAAGCAATCGTCATTTCGACTGAAGTGGCGCATAATCTTGGCTTGAGTCAGCTAAATGCAACATTATTCAATGCAGCTGTCCGCATTGCTGAGTGTCTGGGAATCCATAAGATCCAAGACCACTCCACGAAGCTTGCTCGGAGCAAAGAAGAATGGGACGAGAAAGTGGAACAAGAAGTGGGGAAGAGGATCTGGTGTCAAATGATCATACAAGACCATTTCGCGATTCCTTTTACCGACACCTACAGTATCTCACCAATGCATTTCTCGACAGGTCGCCCCATGAATGCAAATGACTATGACTTGGTGGATATGCCGATTACTATCCCCACTACAAGCACTTACATCCGCGTGCTCGTGGATCTGGCTGAGTTAATGCCCGGTCTAATTGATGGATTCGGTCCAATGAAAGCCAGGAAGCCTACGCGAGAACAATACCAACACATTTTACATGTAGATCAGAGGATGCGAGGCATTGTCAAAAACATACCTCCTTTTCTCCTGCGCGCGGACAAAATAAAAGAACAACAAATACCATGGCTTGCTATTGCTCGACGAAGTCTGGCTATCACGGCAGCTGAGAAAATCATCATGATTCATCGACCATTTCTCTTCCGCTCCTTTAACGATCAGACGTACAGCTACACAAGACGTACATGTGTTGCAGCTGCAATGACCATTTTGCGGGAGCACGAGGTCATTGTCACAGAGGGAGATGTCTCCATATGGACCCACACTGCGTTTGCGATCACAGCTGCAGTCATCATGTGTTTTGAAGTAAATGCAACTTCGGAGAATCAAGTAGCGATTGCTGAGAGTCACAAGGACGCAATAGTCGCGGCCCGCGCCCGTCTTTCTGTCCGCGTCAATGACGTGCTGGCTCAACGAGGTGTGGCGTTGATCGATGCAATTTTTACCGATTCAGCCTTGGGCTCTACCAGCTCAGGTAACAGAACAACCGACTTCGGAGAGATACTGGCCAAGTTCTCAACTTTCACAAGAATGAATCTGGGCCCTGACACCCCTGACACATCTGTTGGGCGATTCTCAAATTCTGACTCCCAGGATGTGATCGGTGCCCATTTCACCGAGATGCAGCCCGCTTGGGATACGGCACAAGATATTGATTTCGATGCATGGTTCAGTGAAACATTCCATGCTCTACAAGATCCTCTCCAGTTCTGAGAACCGAAGGCTGAAAATTCATCGAAATCATTCTTCCATTGCATTTCCAGTCATTGATATATTTGATTTACGTCCTCACATAACCTGTGCCATTGACCCCCTCGTATTCCCGGAAGGGCTTGGGGGCAGTGGTGCTTGTCATTGTGCACTGCCACAACAATCTCCGCTTGTCCTCTTCTTCCTTGTATTTGGCCAATTGGCCAGTGATACTGTGCATGACACCCCGATTGTGGAAAATGACTACATCACCCTCTTGCCAATGGTGGGCATAAATGTTCTCAGCACCATATATCTTCCTTTGCATCTTATATACCACTTGTCTGACCTTTTCCACATCATCCATGACAGTGACATCACCAGTCGCTGGGTCTCGCGTTGTCAGCTTGTAAACGCAGCACCCATGTACCTGAAAAAAGGGTCGGTCGGGATTGAGAGGGTTCCGCCAGACCATCTAAGCAACGTCATCAGCCAATTTTCATTCGTGGACTCAGCACTTGCAGTTAAAATTTAACAAGGTGACTCACGGGATGCTCGGCTACTTTGTCCCATTCCCATTGCGATAATTTTTCAACTGGTACCTCTCGTCCGAAACTCGGGATCGTCAAACCATCTTCCGACGCTCTGCATTGACGGATATACTCATATGCTTGGGGAGCATAAGTGACTGTGGTGTTGAGGGCAAATTCCTGCTCCTGGGGGTCCAAGAGAGAGAAGACACGAGCGCCAGAAAAGACTATGGCTAGTCAGCTTTCTGCTCTATGGGTATAGATTCAGCTCACTCACAGGCTGTGGCCCCAGCCCCAATCGACTTTTCCTTTCCATCTGGGAACTTGATCTTCTGATCTGGAACGTTTGGAATGCGAATTGAGTGCAGAATGGTCACCTCACCAGGCAATCGCTCATAGAAAGGGGTATCCATGTGCCACCGGTATGGACGGGTGTACCCATTATCCAACTGCTCCTGGCTCAGAGGCTCTTCGTGGAACAATGTATGATCCTGTCTCACGAGTCAGCCAAATGAGCGATGGGTGAGTCGGACTAAGGGCACGAACAAGATGGACGACCTCCAACGCTTCCAGGCCCTCATAATTTTGGAACTTGCCAGAGCCAATGATTCCAACCTGCGGAGCTCTGGGGATCCTGCCTGCTTTGTATGCTGATAAAATGTTCCTGGGGTCGCTCACGGCTTTTTCTCCGGCGGAGTGAATGTCAGAGGCGTTGGGATCGAAAATCTTAGCAAGTTCGGGCAATACAGTCGGGTCAATGCCTTTTTGGTTTCTTATGACAACCACTTGGTTCTCAAAAAGAGCTTTTCGAAGGACATTCTTGTCATTATCAGTTAACTGGTCCAACTTCAGTGTCGACATTCCCGGAGGTAGTTGGATTTCCGCGCCGATGGCGGAGCTTTGCCTGATCTCATCTGGAAGAAGGTTGAAGGTCAAACCTGTTGCTTCGGACATCGTATGAACTAGGATAAAACGAGCTCAATTATGATTATTGTTTGATCTTTTATCATCACAGAGTATAGTACTGCCTTTAAACGGTCAAGTGAATCGACCGGAGCGGGCGAGTCCATTGATGTCTGCCACTATTTTCGATAACTACAATCTTTGAAATCCTTTTATTCTGAACGAATAATCTTCCTCCCTCTATCACTTTGATTCATTTACGATTGAGCTGATGCTATCTTTGTGGTCGGGTCAGCTATATAATCTGACCCGCGCCATTCTCATTGGTCCCCTGGGTACTATGAACAGCAGAACATTACAATATAATATAAAGCACAAGAAGCCGTCGACCTAAAGTATTCAATCCCATTCCATCTTTCAACTTCTTCCAGCAATACTTTCACAATGACTACCATCACTCTTACCTGCAAGCCTGTCGCCAAGCCCGGAGGGTCTCAGATAGACTTCGGAGCTGAGATCAACGGCTTTGACGTTGAAGCAATGACGGGTAAGCGATGTAAAATACAATATCTGTTACGATCATTTTCTAATTGGTCATAGATGAGGATTTTGAATTCCTTCGTCAAACTTTGTACGAGAATCAAGTTGTCGTTCTCAAGGGGCAAGGCAAGCTCTCTTCACGAGCACAGTACGAACTGACTCGACGCTTTGATCCTTCTGCTGGTATCTACAGCCATGGAAAATCAATCGATAAGCGCAGTGTCCTCCATGCCGATTTGACAAAGATCCCACACCAGCCTCAGGTTCAAGTCATCGGCAGCGGGTTTGTCGAAGAATACGAAGGGCTTTCCAATATCCACTTGAAACACCCGCATCACAAGACATTCCACAAAACCCCCATCTCTGATGAAGAAGACCATGATTACACGCACTTCTACCGCTGGCACATTGACTCGGCTATGTACAATCTTGACCCGCCTCTGGTCACAACGCTGCTGGCCGTCAAAGTCCCCAAGGGCCGCCGTCAGACTTGCCGCTACGATGACGGCACAAACACCACCCTCGACGTCCCTCTCGGAACAACCGCATTTTTCAGTGGCTACCGTCTCTATGATTTGCTTTCTGAGGAAGAGAAATATTTCGTGCGTACCAGTAAGGTGGAGTACGCACCTCATCCCTACATCTGGATGAGCCAGGCCAAATCCCGTTCCAACGGGTTGGGAATCATATCAGAAAGCCTAGAACTCCCAGAAGACCAGTTACCTCCCTTCGAAGATTGCAAAATCAAGGTCTATCCTATGGCCTGGAAGAACCCTGTGACTGGGAAGTTCGCAATGATGGTCTATCCCACGTGTGTGCGGAAGATCCATCTTGAGAATGGAGAGGTGCTTGACAATCTTGCTGATATTCGGGAAAGAATATACAACTTGCAAAGACGGGCTATTGATCCTTGCTATCTGTATACCCATGATTGGGAGGAGGGTGATCTGGTGCTGTTCAATAATCATGGTGTGATGCACTCTATTGTTGGTTCTTTTACGGAAGAAGAAGTGCGGGTATTTAGGCAGTGCAATATGGCTGCCAGTCGACCTCCGTTGGGCCCTGGAGATAGTGTGGCCGTTTGATTCTTTTACTGCCCTAAATTTTCTAATGTTTTTTGAAGCTCATCCTCGCCGGAGCCTGTCCAGGGAAAACTGATGAGGCTACTGAGAGTAGACCTGCGCAATGGGCCTGGTTGGGCCCGCACCTCAGGCCCATAGCCCAAGCAAGCCCATGACCCATTATGGGGCCCCATAAGGCCCCCATTAAGGCCCATTTGTATGAATAAATACAGTCTTGGCGCTCATAAACCTGCTGATTAATGACTGTTCTTTACGTATGTTTAAGTCTGTATGCTTACTGCGGAAGATCTCGGCGCCGGCCCTGATCTAGCCTAATCTAGGGGTTCAACAAGTGACAGAGTATCAAGATACAAATATATATATTTCACATAGAGAGAAGTGAGTGCATGTTTCTATTAATTTACAATTTTATCAAATTTCATAAATCTTACTTTTTATTAATCTCATCTACAGTCAATTTAGGGGATAATCTGAATACCTAGAAATACTAGAAAGATCTGCATTACTTATGTATCTGCCAAGCATTAGCATGTTTGTATTGTTTGAAGCCCATTGGGCCCCCATAAAAGCCCAGTGGGCTTCTACCCTAGGCCCATAGCCATCGATGGGCCCAGGGACCGGGCCCGAAGCCCATTTGCGGATTGGGGCGGGTTGGGCTTTGGGCTTTGCGGGCTGGTGCGGAGATCTAACTGAGAGAGGGAGGGAAAAAGGAAGAAGCTATGATTCTCTGAAGCTAGCAAAAACAAGGGACTATATAGTGCATGAAGACTAAGAAACTAGCAAACTAGCGACTGGAAGGATCTATCTGTCAAAGGAGCTCAGTCTGTCAAACCAAACTGCCTGAAAGGGCAGGCATCAGGACGTGATGTATCAACAAAAACAACAAGCATTCTATCAGCCAATCAGGTTAGGGCGTGGCCCCGAGCTGAGAATCTTGGAAACTTAAAGTGGTTATGTAATCTGGATCCGACCTTGGAACGGTCCAATGGCCCGTAGGTTCCCCAGACTCCTTAATTTTGACGTCTAATGAACAAGCTCGTGAAATCTGGCTGGATATTATGTTGAGCCTTCCATAACTCGCGGAACAGAAAGTTCGAACCATGATCGGGTAAAGTCCTCGGTTCAAGTTACCAAACTTTCACAAATCTTTAAGGAGGGTCGCTACCGTGCCAGGCGCAATAAATATCATGCAAGTGAGAGTGGATTCTTAAAGACAAGATTTCTACCAGAACAGGCTGGGTCTTCTTTTTCCCACTTTCTGGAGACACGGCCAATCTCCGGGTGACAAGATAATTATGCAAGCTCACTGGATGTGTGTTGCTCATAAACCCCAGTAAACGCGCAATTGCGGCCGTGATGTCGTGATCCCCGGATGACCCCACCGCCTTCGTTTGAACCACTCAACGCTCTCAGGCACATTGCCCCAACCAGTAACAGTGAGCTGGAATATAACAATAAACATGGAGTGTGTCATTCAAAACGCATGAATTGGCGGTTCTGGCGCCCAATGATGATTTGGGGTTGCCCCTGCTCGGACCGAGTATACTGCAGGATCATAGATATCGCTCGCATCGAGTTTAGTTTGAATCATTCCTCTCCACTTCATCAAGAGAACCTTCCCGTCTAGGACAGGTTGAGCCGTAGTTTCTATTGTGCAATCGCTCACGGGGACCGTGCCTATAGTGAAGAATGCATTCTTATAAGACTCTACGTCTGCCTCTGTTGTAGTCTCTCTTCAATCGGTTAGGATTGAAAGTCTGAACACATTTGACAAAATGGCCTTCGAGAAAGAAGTCGAGGGCACTATCTCCTCTTCCATTTCATCAACTGCTTCGTCAGAGAAAAACGAAAACTATGAGTTTTACAGACAGCACCGAGATCTCGAATATACGCCACAAGAAGCCAAAGATGTTCTTCGAAAAATCGACATTCGTTTGATTCCATTACTATTTTTAATTTATTTGCTCCAGGTATGGGATATTACCATCTTCCCCCACAAGAACAAAAATATACTTATGCCCCGCAGTATTTGGACAAGAACAGTATCAACTTTGCGTCGGTATACGGGCTGAAGGAGGCAACCCACTTGAAGGGACAAGAGTACTCATGGCTGAGTGAGTATTCTAATTTATGGTAATTTATATCTGGTGACTGACACGACTAGGCTCTATCTTCTACTTTGGATACCTCGTTGCACAATATCCTGCTGGATTAGCAATGCAAAAATTACCCGCCGGCAAGTTTCTTGCTATCACCACTTTAAGTAAGAGATAATCCATCTTAATTTACAGTCCACCCAGTATTGGAACTTTGCTAAGAGAAATATAGTATGGGGTGGTTTACTCATGACAACACCGGCGTGCAAAAACTTCGCTGGACTCGCGAGCAATCGTTTCCTTCTAGGTGCGCTCGAAGCTGTTGTGACTCCGGGATTTGTTCTTGTGACGGGTATGTGGTACACAACGGAGGAGCAACCATTCCGACTGGCTTGTTGGTACTGCACTAATGGTATCGCTACAATGTTTGGAGGGTAAGTGACGAGCAATATCCAGGATGATGGAATTGGAGAAAGGACGAAACTAATATGTTCCTAGTTTAATTGGCTATGCCGTAGGGCACATCACTACCGGGCTGCCACGCTGGATGTATGTCTTCCTCATTTTCGGCGCAGTCTCTGTCACAGTGGGAATTTTCGCCCTCATCTTCCTCCCGGATCTTCCATCGACAGCCAGATTTCTTACCGAGCGCGAGAGGGCCATTGCTATTGATCGTGTCGCAATCAATCGACAGGGTATCAAAGATCGTCGGTTCAAATGGTATCAGGACCGACAAGCAGCTCAAGATCCGAAGACTTGGCTTTTATTTGTGATGGCAATTGGAGCACAAGTTCCGAACTCGGCATTGACCAGCGTATGTTTTTCGGCTTTCGATTTGTACTATGTCAATGAAACTAACATCAACAACAGTTTACTTCAATCATCGTTGGAACGTTTGGATTCGATACTCTTGGAACACAGTACTTACAAATCCCTGGCGGTGCTGTCCAATTTGTCACTCTTCTTCTGGGAGGCTATATCGCAACAAAGTTCGATGGCAAGTTCCACTCGCGGTTTACCTGTATGATCTTTGCTTGCACAGTGTGCATTATCGGAGGCGGTCTCCTCGTCGGATTGCCCAACGAGAACAAGTGGGGCCGCCTTGTTGGGCTTTGGCTATGTTATTTCCAAGGACTGGGATTCAGCATGAGCTTGACAATGGTCAGCTCCAACATTGCTGGATACACCAAGAAGCAAGTCACCGGTGCTCTATTGTTCACTGGATACTGCGTGGGAAACATTATCGGACCACAGACGTTCAAGTCTAGTGAGGCTCCCGGATACCACAGTGCTTATATTGCGTATGTTGCAGTTTGATGTTGAACAAAAGATTCGAATCACTGACAATTGGCATAGGATGCTCGCAGGCTATACGATCAAGTTGGTCGCTATCGTTGCCTTGTATATTTACATGTATCTCGAGAACAAGCGTCGAGATCGTGCAGTAATCGATGGCCAAGAGGTCGAGACTGACGGGATTGAGAAGGGAATGCTGGTGAGTTCCATTCCGTATCTACCCTTGAACTAAGCTAATTTGAACCTTTCAAGGATCAAACGGAGATCGAGAACAAAGCATTCAGATACGTCTTATGAACATTCATTTTCCTGTTTGATTTGTTCTAGCAATTGATACCTCGTTTGAACCAAAATGGCGCAAGTAAAGATAGACACCGATAGACCGATTGGATAGACCATATTCAAAAGCAAGGCAAAAGAAAACTTAGCAGTCCCAAAGATCTAACCAAAAGCCAAGTGACCAACCCTGATCGCTACCAACAAATGAAACTGAGCCAAGGGACAGGAAGCCATCTCAATAAAGACCAAGCTGCATCAAATCGCAATTTAACAGTCTGCCCCACCGGATTTCCAAATTCCAAATCGTCGATGCTTGAAGGCATGCCAGACATTTTGGAGGACCTTTCTCAGCTTGCTCCCTTTCTTGCGGGGAGTCTAGTTAATAGATTCGATATCATACCCCATGAAATCAGCGAGAAGAGTAAGGTGAGTATCGGTTGAACTTGTTGTATCTGTAAAGCTGCCCGTAGTTGATGGGGATGATTCCGCGAACCCATTTGCGATAAGTTCCCTGAAGTTCTCGATGGCCCTCTGGCGTCGTAGTCTTCTGTGGGGAGTTCCTGGAAGTTGGCTATCGTTCATTTGATATTTGAAGACGTAGGGGCCCTCCTCTTCAATACTCGTAAGAGATGGTTTAAATACTGGGGGTCTTTTGCAGGGAATCTCGCTCATGAAAGCATCGGTATCAATGTCAATGATTGCCTTGGAAACCTCTCGAGTAATGGGATGGGCAGTCAGTCGGTGTGTGAAACTCGGGATTTGAGCACTCGATTTGAAATCCTTGGTTAGGCTCATAGGACGGAGTCGAGGAAGACGTTTCCCGAGTCTCTTCCATTTCTAAATAAACAAATCCACATGAGCATATGTGGATATAATGTTATTATGACTGCCAGGATGACTTACCAACATTGCGTTGGTGCTTTACTACCGGATCTGATGAATATCACAGATACAGGTCTGATAGAGATGATGATCAGAGATGGGACAGTCACTCGTAAGATTGAGGTATGTACCTGATGGAAATAGAAGATATTGATGATGGAACGTGTAGATAGTCAATCAATTCGAGGTAACGGGGAGAAAGGAGTCCAATGAACATGGAGCATAAAGGAATTGGCCCCCTGGGCTGTTACTGTCGGGGTCATGGATACTTGATGCAAAGGCAAACAGAGAAATTCAGATGAAAGGGAAAGAGTACAGCGAAAATACTGTGTTAAGATGTTCCAATGAGCCAGGACCATAATTCGCATGGGACATTGGAAGTCCCAGCAAAACTGTAGTAGAGAATGATATTATTGAGGTCCAAACGTTATAGCCGCAGATATGATATCTATAGGTCACAACTGCACAAGAATCCGTCGTCTGTAGATCATGATCATGCATTCTCACAACCTTGAATCTCCCAATCTGAATAGCATTGTGACCATAAGCGTTATGGATATAATGGAGGAGAGGCATGAGAGGTCGCTGGGGCAGCATGGTTTTCGTGTTTGCTAGTTACAAAGTTGTTTATACGAGTGCACCAGTGTTGCTTTGCTCCGATCTGGGGCGTTCCCTCGATATAAAAGCCCCTCCAAACAATTATTTCTTCTTGTCTCTCTCCTCATACGTCCTTTCTCATAGAACATCATCTATCATCGCAAAGGATTATCACCTCTTGGCTAGTTCGTCTTAGCCATCTTTATCCCAGCATCCATTACCGTCTTAAATTACGGATAGCATCATTTCTTGCTTCGTTAAGAAACATAACCTAGCGGGGGGATCCGAAATGGTAAGCCTACCACGTTCAATATTGATTGTTATTTCAACGCTTCAAGGATAACCGTGGTTACATTGTATAGGATCCCCGTGACGACAGCTTCTGGAGTCGTGAACCTATTGACTGGGCCGAGGAAGTCGAGGAATCGGTTGCACGTCAGAATCTCAACTCCGCCGGAACTACTTCTTTGGGCTCCCAAGTGTGGAGAGCTATTGGATCCATCAGGGTATCGTACCCAGGCGGGGTTCATTGATTACTTCCCAAAAGGAGACAAGCTAACATGGTACAACTTGTAGACAAATATCTCGAATTTCTTTAGTGTCCACTTTCTGTTTTCCAACGGAGAAAAGCAGCAGGAGACCGAGCCTATGCATGAAACGAATGCGATGGTCTCCCACCCCAGGGTGACACCCTCAGTCCTGGTACGAGATCCCAAACTCACGCCATCAAGTCATCTGAGAAGACGAGAAGCTGACAATCTATGTATAGGATCTCATTCCTCGGGACGTGTTCCATAATGAACACTTGAAGCTTGCTGAAGAGCAGCGTCGTTCTACAAACAATACAACTCAAGAGAAAATGTCCGGCTCCGAAGTCCACGTTTCGCACTCAGATCTGGTATGATATCCCATATAGCCCTACGAGTTGCCTTTCCTTGGGATTGGACACTGACGTTTATGATATGCAGGACTCCGTTCCTCAGAAAGGCTTCCACCATGACCACCCGACGCTTGTCGAAGAACAGCGTACTTCCCTCGAAGCAATGAACGCAAAAAACGCAATGAGCCTCCCAGTCCCTAGCTTGCTCTCGGTTCTCGTACGTATCCCACCATTAGCCTGTCGATTTAATTACAAAAGGTCGGTAACTAACAGCTGTTGATATACACAGGGTCTTGTTCCAAAGAAATTCATCCTGGACAAGCAGTTCACCTGCGTTAAAGAGCAGCGTGGTACCACCAGCGATGCACAGGAACCGAGCACAATGTATCCTGAAGCTGTCACTCAGGAGACAGTCATGGTATGATGATCTACGTTATGATTCTTGATTTCTTTATCATGCGAGATACTGATCTTGATTACGATCTCTAGATGCAGGTCGATGTTGACGTTCCACTCCATGAAACTGTTGCTCCATTGGATGAGGTCGAAGGCCCCGTTGCCACAAATACCCATCATGAAACGGAAGCCTCTGTTGAGTCCGCTCAAGAAAACATCGACTCCGCTCAAGAGACCGTCGACTCCGCTCGAGAGACCGTTGACTCTGCTCAACAGACGGATGAGTCTGATCAAGAGATGGATGAGTCTGATCAACAGACGGATGAGTCTGAAGCCCCGAGTGGACAGATCGAGTCCGCTAATGAAGATATGGAAGGCACCCCCGAGGAAGAATACGACGAGGAGGAGTTGTTAAAGCTCCGAGAATTCCAACAAACCAGCAATGAATACCGATCGCGTGAGCTGCGTGATGAGAGTGATCCCAATATTCATCACTGGAACTGGCTGGGCCACCCAGTCTACGAGCGCACTTCGACCCCACCCGCTGACTCGCTCGCCTTCATGCAAGCGTACCCGAAAGCTCCTACAGGCAGAGATGAGAAGCGGATCAACGCTATCTTGAAGAACGCCATGGAGCTGATTGATCCTGTGGCGCTGAAGCTCGATGAAGGAAACACTGATATTCTCGATATGCATGGCTCGGAGCTGATTCGGGCGTGCGAGGGCCGTGTATCCAAATTGTACACTCTGAATGGCCGCTGGGTATCTGATCCAGGTAACGATGCCATCTTGCCCGATCTCGGGGGAAGCTTGGCCCTAGACTCTTCTGGTTACGCAGTTGGCAATGGAATCTTTGGGCACTACCTGATCAACCGAAAAGACTGGCGACATTGGAAACGCCAGCTGAAGGCTAAGAACCGCAAATCTGGCCGTCTTCCTCGCAAAATTACCTGGCAGAAGCCGTCAGCTTCGGGACTCCAGAGGTCTGAAGTAGTCGACTCCCCCGATGAAACTTCAGAGCTAGGTGAGAGTCCAGAAACTGGTGATGGTCCATGGCCCGGTGAGATTCCAGACTACGACGAGATTCCAGACTACGGCGAGATTCCAGACAATGACGAGATTCCAGACAATGACGAGATTCCAGACTATGATGAGACTCCAGAACCTGGTCAGAGCCCGGAGCCCGATGAGATTCCAGACTACGACGAGACTCCACAACCCGGTGAGACTACAAAGTCTGATGAGACCTCAGAGCTCTCTGAGCACACCCTGGCGTGATTATCTCTTACATTCGAACCTTGGAGGCCATCTGTATGAGCCTCCGAAGGAGTATTCCGTGACTAGATTCGCCGAATATCCTGTTCGACTTGCCTGCGAGTTCTCCACGTTATGCCGAATGCTTTTCATTATGTTTTTTCATTTTTCATTTTTCTCCTCTCTTTTGATTACATTTGACAGCCATTTACGAAGTTGGGTGGTGAGAAACGTTGCTATGAACCTTTTGATGATATGACGAGATTGGTGTCTCACTGGAGGCTTGGTGGGAGTTTGAGATGAGGGCGTTGAGGTCTTGATGCTCACAAGCCATTTTGAGATTTTTTGCTTTTTCTTTTGCTGCTTTTATTGATTATCAGTCAATGCTCTCTGCATTGTTGCTTGAATTTGGTCTTTTGCTTTTGATTTTGCTTTTGCTGTTGCTTTTGCTGTTGCTTTTGATTTTGCTTTTGCTATTGCTTGTGCTCCAGGGCTGTCCTCATTGCTTATCAGTCAATGCTCTCTGCATTGTTGCTTGAATTTGGTCTTTTGCTTTTGCTGTTGCTTTTGATTTTGCTTTTGCTATTGCTTGTGCTCCAGGGCTGTCCTCATTGCTTATCAGTCAATGCTCTCTGCATTGTTGCTTGAATTTGGTCTTTTGCTTTTGATTTTGCTTTTGCTGTTGCTTTTGACTTTGCTTTTGCTGTTGCTTTTGATTTTGCTTTTGCTATTGCTTGTACTCCAGGGCTGTCCTCATTGCTTATCAGTCAATGCTCTCTGCATTGTTGCTTGAAGTTGACCTTTTGCTTACTTGCTGCTCAGCTGTCAACTCAGTCTACTATCAGTTTACTGGCACAATGTGCCAAATTTTGATTCAACATCCAGAATTTTCGTTTCTTTTGTAGACTGATACTGCGTGTCTCAAATCCCTTCATTCTCGCTCGAAGATGACAGGTATCTCATTATGGCAATTGGGCAAGGACTTTGTAGTTTATCATCCGCGGTTCCTTTGTATCTTTGGCGGCATCGCACTCCTCTTTAGTATAGACTCACCGTGGATCGTGAAACATGTTATTAGAGATAGGATATCTGTATACTTTCAGACATGTCCGTAAGTTAGCTTTGAGTCTCATGTAGCAGCATTTATGCAAGTGCTATGGGGTGCCTTCCTATTTGGGATTGAGAGCAATATAAAATGCCCTCGAAACGACAGTCTCTCGTTGTCTCTTCTTGCTTACACCCTTCTTGTCCATTGGATCTCCATCTATTCACCATCTGTTATTCATTGGCCATCTATCGTTCATCGGCTATCTGCCATCCATAGCAGTCTAGCATCCTTACTCATCATCCATCTCCATCTTGCTTCATCTACATCATTACCTGACCATTTCAAGGTATCTGAGCTGTTCAAAGTCTTTGATATGGTATGTTAGTCTGGTTGAAGTTCAGGTTCTACTTTGGAATAATGGTATTAATAGTAGTCCCATTTTATAGGGTCCCCATCACGATGAGTTCTGGAGCCAGGAGCCCATCGACTGGGCTGATGACGTCGAGGAGACATCTGGGAAGATATCCCATTCTGTCACCAATGTGCGGCCTGTATCTATCATGCAACCTTCTTTAGGTTCCCAGTTCTGGGCTGCCCTCGGGTCTGTTACGGTATTGTGTCTCTGTCTTAGTTCACATATAACTTCACAAAACATGATTGACTCATGGTTTTTACCACATATAGACCTATATTACAAACATGTTTACCGGCCAATATCTCCTTAATGAGGAAGAGGAGGTAACTCCACGAGATGTGGAGGAAACCAGTGTCATGGATTCCCATGTTCCTACATCCCGTTCAGTCTTGGTATGATACATCGAATCAGCTCATCATCTAGTTGTTTTATCAGAATAAGTCTCATAATCTTTGGAATATGTAGGACTTTGTCCCTGACGACGTGTTTCGCGGGTGTCTGATGATTGCTAGAGACCAGTCTGGTACACCTGAAGAAGTTGAAGGCCCGAATCCAATGACCGCCGAAGTCCTTGGTCAACCCCCACTCTCGGTAATATATCCCCATATCAGGGTCTTTGCTTCTTCACGTGATTGGATACTAACTTCTATTATGCTCCTCAGAACTATTCCGATGTTGGCGTGCCACTCACGACCGAGTCCCTTCTTGCTTCAGACGAACTAGATGGCACTGTTGGGATGAGCACCCACACCCAGCTAGACCAGCCTACAGAGTCCATTCAGCAAGACACTGATCGGCTCATCTCGACAACCTCCGGCAACTCTGATAATCGATGTATCGCCGAGGACGCTGACCTGGATGGCGAAGACATCAACGCCCAGCAATACTCACCGGTTGAGATGGAATACCGATGGCGCGATATTTGTGACCAAACTGACCCCGGGATTCATCACTGGAACTGGCTAGGGAACCCCGTGTATGAGCGGACCGCAACTCCACCCACTGATTCACTTGCGTTTATGCAAGCTGCACCTAAGGTCCCCACTGGTAGTGACGAGATGCGAATCAATGCGATCATGAACAGCGCAGTGGAATTGATCGACCCTGTGGCAATGCAGATTGAGAGCGGAGAAGAAGAACTCCTGGAGATGCATGGCTCGGAACTCATTCGAGTGTGTGAAGGTCGAGTTTCCAACCTGTACTCCCTCAATGGGAGCTGGATCTACGATGACAACAGCGACGACATTCTTCCTGATTTGTGGGGGATTTTGGCTTTGGAGCCATCTGACTACGTGGTGGGGAATGGCGTTGTGGGAAGAGGATTGATCGACCGGGATGAGTGGTTCCAGTGGAGAATGGAACTGCAAGCTCAAAACGGCGCATCTGCTCACGGCCCTCGGAATATGAAGGGGAATAAGTCTACTCCTTCAAGTCTTCGAAATGTCCAGCTGATCGGCGATGTGGAGACTCCGAACCCTTGGAAAACGACAAGCGTTATGCAATCTTTTCCCTCGCATCGAAGTTCATGGGTACTACTGCCGCAAAGGTGCGGTTTATCACGAGATCTACATTGTCCCCTCTTCGAATTGCACCATGTATTTGTACATGCTGCCGAGGATCATTGACAACTTTTGAATTTTCTTGCTTTTACGATTTTATTTGATGCGGAAGTTTGACGGGATTTGGAATTGGGAACTGGAATTGGGAATTGGGAATTGGGAATTGGGAATTGGGAATTGGGAATTGGGAATTGGGAATTGGGAATTGGGGTTTGGGATTGGTAGTTTGGTAGTTACTCGGAGCAATCTTTTGGCAGAGAAATGGGGCTTGGATTTGCTGGCTGGAGCTTGATTGGGCGTTTTCTTTGTCCTTTTTCCTTCCCAGTTATCTGGGTATTATGGCTTGAATTTATTGTTTTGCTGCATCAAACATCCCTGTGACTCCAGTTATGTCATTCTTTGGATGAATCTATATCCGTGTCTTGGCTAGGACACTCCAATATATCAGGCAACGAGAGTTCGTACCTTATGTGTTCGTGGTAACAAGCGCCATAAATACCAACAGCCTCGCCAGACACAGGCCTGCATCTGCTTTTTCGCATTTCATAGTTCAGAGTGATTGATCGTAACACCGTCTTCAGGCGAAGCCTACTATACGGACATTGGGATTGAATATGCCGGGAGAGTGCTGAGATCTATCGCATTGAACCTTTGTCTTTGTCTTGGGTGTTTCTTTAGAGTTCACCAACTGACAGCTCATCTACAGTCCCTCCGCAAAAGTTTCCGTACGGTCGGGGGTCCACACCCGCGTTTTTCGCGAATAATTACATTTTTGACCCGCGTCTTCTCCCAACCCATGGTTTTTAAAAATTCACCATGGTTCCCAGGACCCCTCTACGTCCTATTAATTCTAATAGGATAAAGGGAAATGAGCTATCTCCCTATCTCCGGGGTCAGATCTTTGGTCAAGCCCAGCTAGGCCTGTCAATCGCGAAAATTGCCCAGCACTTCAGTTTATCCAAATCCACAATTCAGTATACCCTCGAGAAAGAACCTCTCCGACACGAAGGCAATAATCAAAACCGCGTCGGTCGCCCCTCGATTTTATCAGCAGATGACCGTTCTATGGTTATTCGATTGATTCGAAACGATCCCTTTATTACCTATCAAGAAATCCGCGAACAAAGTGGCTTAACTGCTTCCGACGATACCCTTCTTCGAATGGTCAAAGCCTCGGGCTACGGACATTAGAAAGCGAAAAAAAGACTATATTTAAAACCGGAACACGCCGAGCTACGCCTTAATTGGGCTTTGGAGCGACGAAATTGGACGTGGGATGACTAGAAGAAGATTGTTTAGTCCGATGAATGCTCTATTAAAATCGGGAAAGGGAAGCGTTACCGTTAGGTCTTTTTCATCAACCACCGAAATAAAAAATGGAAAAAAGAACATATTACCACATACTCGAAGTCGAAAAATATCTCAATTATGATTTAGGGAGCAATATTCGGTGGTGGTTGCTCCGATTTATTCCAAATGAATCGTGACTCGGAGTCAGCACGCAACGGATACTCAAGGTTCTCGTATCGCGAGGTTCTCGAGGAGAATTTACCCCAAATTTGTATGGATTCGACGCGAATCTTTATGCACGATAATGCTCCAATCCATACTGCGCATATTATTCGTGATTGGTTGTGGGAGAATGGAATTGAGACGATGGTGTGGCCGCCGTACTCACCTGATTTGAACCCTATTGAACATGCATGGGCAAAACTTAAAGAAATGATCGACCGCCTTGATCCGGACCTTGATAAATTTGAAGGTCCCAAAGAAGATCTGATTCATCATTTCGAAGAGTTAATTCATGCTGCATGGGCGATGCTAGGCCAGGATTACTTTGATGGGTTGATTTCGAGCATGGGGCGCAGGGTTGAGGCAGTAATTGAGGCAAATGGGTGGTATACTAAATATTAAAAATATAAATTAAATACTATGTCCAATTGCCTATCTAATATATATTTTTATATAATTTTACTATATAAATTGGGGGTATAGTATTTAATTGAAGTTAGCAGGTTCGATTTGCTAAAATCAAAAATGGGAGATATATATTTGATGGGGTGCGGGTCGTACGGAAACTTTTGCGGTAGAACTGTAGGCCGATTTGCCATGGCCGAATCAAAAGAGTAGGGGCCATCGAGCATTGAAGATCTTGAAATGACGCTACGTTAGGCTCAGATTGGTTTCATCCCAAAGTTGAAGCTCCAAGTCCCTTTTAACCCTTTCAGCTGTCCCATCCACTCATAAAATCACTTGCTCCGCCATGAGAGAAGGGCTACATAAGGTGGGCTACCGCGCAGATGCGGGATACAGCCACTGATTGGTTGACTTTCGATCTATTTTGTCTTGTTTGCACTAACGGCGGCTTATGGCCTAAGATTTCAGGTGCGCAGCCCGCGAAGACATCTCGAGGTTATCTCGCGAATTCCGCGAGGATTAATCCACATACTATTGTGCACATTAGTTTTTGCCACAGCTGAACGCAATCCCGCATAGCAGCATCTATCTAAGTTGAGCTTCATCGGGTCAATGAGCCTATCACCACTGGCACAGATATATCAGACTAAAGCTCAAGTTATAAAAATAGGAAAAATCTCGCGAGCTCAGCATTCTCTTACGGTGCCATCATATGAGGATGGCTCTAAGTACAGAGCATGAAAGCAACAAAACACATAGCCTATTTGAATCTTGCTGTGAGGAATCCCCACCGTTGAACAATCAAAGAGCAATCGCAAGGCCCAAGATTCCAGCTGCACCAGCGAGACCCAAAAGAACATCGCCAGTCACAGCAGGGGCACCGCCGGTAGATGTAGAAGTTGCATCAGTACCCGAAGCAGAAGATGCAGTATTGGTCGACGTCGCAACAGTTGCAGAAGGGGTAGCAGTGGTTGGAGAGTCGGTAAATGTGATCCAATCCTGGGTGGCAGTTTGCGCGTATGCAGACAGTGCCTCCCTATGGGTGGTTTCATACTCTTGAACACTCTTGGGAAGATTGCTATACCAAGCAGGGAAAGTTCCGGCGTTATCCGCGGCCATCACAGAGGATGCGAACGCAAAATCGGATCTTAAGGATTCCTCCCATCCACTGGGCCTAGCACTGCTTTCCGCGTCTAAAACCCATGTGGGCACTGCCATGAGCGACATAAGAATGGGATCGTCTGTGAGCTTGTCGGCTGGGCTTGTCTCTGTCTCTGTCTCGGCCCACGCCGTGACGGCAAAGAGGAGAGCAATTGTCTTGTATTGCATTATTATTGTGTGGATATGGAGAGTGAAATTATGGACACGTGAAATCCAAGGAATGGGACAGCTTTTAGGGGTATTTGTAGTCTAAGGGGAAATACCACTGCCTAGGAATTCTAACAAGACACTGTATCACGGGCTTGTAATACCAAGAAAATAATACCACTACTTTGCTAGTGTATGCTTGAAGAGAAACTAATATCTTGGCAGCCTCGGCACAGTGATTTCATGATGGCTCTAGCTTCAATGCTAGAGGGATTAATCTTACTGATGAGTCCTGAATGGTCCTATTGCATGTCGGGTACAGAGTACGGAGTACTTGAAATCCATTTTAGGGGCCCTTGCGCAGCGAAGTCTTGTGCTAGTGTGGGTTAGCTTCGCAGTCCAGTCTTGATGCTAAAGAAAATCCCACTTTTGGCCCCCCGAGGCACAGCGGGGGAGAAAAATAAATCGTGTGTGTTATCTAAGGGTGCTTCAAGGCTTGCCTCGATTCGGAATGTAAGACCGGGGCTCGAAGACTGGCTTAATTTGCTTTAGTAAAATTTATATATTGAAATATTCTCTGATGATATCAAGATTTCCCACCGCGAGACACCTTGCGAGTTACGGATAGCGTCCTGCCCCCAGCACATATATGTAAGACTAGTCAGGTCGAGAAGTGAGAACAAAGTTATTATGATCATAACAAAGGCAATGATATCAGAATCTATTGTATCTCACACTGGAGTTGGTTGATCCACTCGCTGAAGCGAATCGCCTGGTGTTCTTTGTTATAACACCTTTTGGAAAAGTATGGCTGCGATCTTTCTGAATCATGGAAAGAATCGACTGAGAAATCTCGAAGTGTTACTAGACCCAGTGAAAGTGTACATTTACTAGATCAAGGCCGGTATTGTGTTTGCTGAGCCTATAATAATGCATACCGGGGATTCGTAGCGTGATCCTCAGATTCCCTATACTTGGAGGGCTAGGATATACTGGATTGAGCCCCAGTTGTCTTCGCAAGCCAGTGATCTGTCTGACTCTATAACACACCTACACAAATATAGGTATCAAGCCACAGGCTGGTACAGTCAGTGCCAATCGCCGGATTCCACTCCTCAATCTCAGCAACCGTGAGTTTCTGCGACGTCGCGATACTGGAACAACCATCACCCGAGACCACATAATAGAACTCATCACAGTTGGAAACCATGCCCGTCTGAATAGGCGTAGGGGTAGTAATACCATTGCCGGTGGGGGTGGGGGTGGCGGTCGCACCAAGAATACCAACACAGACATAATCCCCCAGACCAAGAGACGCACAGCTACTGCCAACAGCAGGGTTCCAGGCGTAGAAGTCGGCAAGCGGGATGTTTTCATTTTGTGCAATTGCGGAGCAGGTGTCGCCAGAAACAACCAAGTAAAACTTGTCGCAAGTAGCGACCATCCCGGTCTGAATCGGTGACGGAGTAGTGATGCCATTACCTATGCTAGTAGTAGAGGTGGTGGCAGTTACTACTGCTGAAGAGCTGGTAAAGCTTGTAGGACTTGGGGTTGGCACGACGGATACGCTTATTCCATATCCAAGGATTTTGATACAGACATAGTCCCCCGCAATCAAATTTGTGCAGTCGGTACCAACAGCAGGATTCCACTTGTAGAACTCGGTAAGGGCTATTTCGGCCTCAGAGGCAATCGCCCCGCAAGTTTCTCCGGATACAACAAAATGGTACACATAACAAATGTCGGTCATACCAGTCTGAATTGGGGATGGAGTGATCAGGCCATTCCCCCATGTGGTAGATGAGCTACCCGTGGCGGTAGTGCTTGTGACAAAGGTAGTCGAAGACAATGATGTTGTGCGGGGGATCGTCGATTTAAAGTCGACTTCTACACAGTAGTAGAATCCAGAAATCAGTGCACAGGTATTTGACAACTGGAAGAGGTCGGGATTCTGTTAAGACATCGATGTTAGAGCTCAGACCGCTGCAGAGACCGGAGGGGAGATTTACCCAAGTCGCAAATTGCTCGAGGGTGATCCCATTTTCCGACTGGATTGCACCACAAGTCAGACTGCTGGTTCCATAAACCCAACGACTGCAATCGGAGGAAGCTCCAGGAAATGCTGTTCCCGAGGGAGCAACCAGATAACTGGCTCCTATATGAGCAGTGGCAAGTGCAGACAAAAGGAGGCGCGAGAAACCCATGTTGGGAAGGGGATGATGGGGGATGGGGGATGGCTGGTGTCAGAGGGCTGGGTTAACTGCGCTTCATGGGCGTAGAGCATTGATACAGGACCTCCGAATATCCTCGTAACCCTAGCGACAATACCAATGTACAATGTGATTCCAACGGTATTAGTCAAGCCTAGTGGCGGCAATGTCTATGCATCTGCGGGCCACTCGGCAGACCACTCGGCGGAGTCTTTTCTTAATGAGGCATCCTTATTGTGGTCTAGCTCCCTGAGGGTCATTTAGTTGTTAACAGTTGATATGAATGAAACGGAGGTGTTCTTACGCCACGCGGGACTTGAGAGCTACTAAATTCGACCCTGTTCTTTTGAACCAAAAAGGAAAGCAAGAAGGATGATAGTGAAGGTGTGAAAATTGGCTTACAGTCAAGCAATCGGTGTGTTTTCCTTGGCGGTTGGCAACCATGGCGTCGGATGTTCCGGCCTCTCGTAAACAATCGGGGTACTAGTTCGTTACAACGCCTGTGTTCTTTGCTGAAACTAGTGCATCAATCCTTTCTGTTGATGAATTCTAGAGCGAATTAATGGCACTAGTCCCTTAGACCGGCATCGCTGTACCCCGTACGGAGTACGGACTACTCCGTAGTAATTCGGTTACTTTTTGTATTTTGCCACTTGCAAGACTAGTTGAGGGGGCCGAATAACAAATTTTGAAATCTCGAGGGATCCTGGAAGTATCCCGACGGTTTTTGTGCATATTCTCGTTTGGCTTCAGTGGACAGTTGTCAAGCTTCGATGTCTAGAAGCCGTTTATCGCCCTCGGGACATGATCTCAAATATACTTTTATATCTGTCATTCCACCATTTCCTCTGTAAATTACCCCTGCATAGTAGATATTAATACTGCACTGTGATGCCTAACTCCGCCAAGAGCCCTGGCACAATTATGCCCCGCCAATCTCGCGTATGGTCGCATGACTCATGAGTACCACTTCGCCCACGACAGCTGCGAAGTTGTCGTTATTTCTCGCTCGGTTCATGGCAATTTCCCCCCTGTTCTTTTTGGCCCCCAATGGTGGAAATCTGTGGATATCCAACAGGCTTTGTGTGGAAATTACGAAGGGTTAACGGAAGATCACCTTCCTCAAGGAGCTGGTATGGGTATCACAAGGCTGGCTTCCACGTTACCACATACAAACCAGCACTCTGGTGTATCCCAGCCTTATGGTTGATATCGATGCCGCAATGATAAAACATTTCCCTTTCGTCGGAATTGCATGCAATGTGATTCAGAAAAACACACTATTTCAAAGAACTATTTGGCTGGTAGAAACCAAAATACTGGTCAAACTAGAGCGTACAAGCCATCCGCTGTTCAGAGAAGAACAACCACCGCCCTTGTTCGATCAATTGATTGACTAGTGCGCCCTGTGGTGGGATTTCCCGAACCGACGGCTGTAATGGGGATTGCCCGACACGAAAGACCTCTTTGTGGACCCGGTATCAGAGCCCGTATCAGAGCCCGCATCAGAGCCCGCATCGGCCCCAGCAAAGAGATCAACATCCCAAGGCACAAGCACCCCTTCATAGAACGTATATTCGTTGCCTGTTGCTGTATAGTACCAATAAGCCCAAGCAAAAAAGGTGTAAGTGTGAGCGTTGCGAGAGGCATCTTCAGGGCCAAAAAACTTCTGCTCAAATGTTCCATCGTGCTGGGGAATTGACAGATAAACTCCTTGAAAGGCCATGTAGAGACATTCAGCTGCATCGTCTGTGCGTGGTTCAATATTAGCCCAAGGCTCCAACGGGAATACTTTAGCTGGGAAACTCACAGGTGTAGTCAGTGATATAATCAGGGCTCAATACATATTTGCCGCCTCCTGTCTCATCCCAGAATGAGACCATGTGGATCAATTCGTGGAATAAAGTAGTCGGTCCAATAGCTCGGAGGACCAGCGCAGAGAGCTGAGTAACACCCTCCTCATAGTTTACCGATCCGGTCAAGATGTCGTGTAGGCTCGTTGTCTCTAAAGCATATGGGCACATCACAACCAAAGGCTGGACACCGTCCATCTGCAAAGGCTGAGCCAAATAGGTCATAATGGTTTCAGCGCGACCAGGGAATGTCACGCCATAACCTATTGTTCCATCTGTCCTCAGGCACATATCCCTCTGAGTGTGACCAGCTATAGCGGCGTAGTAGTGGTGATTATTTTCAAGAAGATAGGGCCGGAAATCAGGGTTAAAGCCGTAAATATCTCCAATTGAAGGCTCTTCATCATCGATAACGTATATAAACGACTCGTGGGTTTCAGGATCCCATCTTTCAATAGAGTCGTCCCATTCAAATCCGGCGAAGCCGGTGCCATCGCAAAGAATCCCCGGGGGCTCTCGGGGGCGATCATCCGATCACCCTGGAGGAAGGATTGAAGCCGCTCATTGATATCTAAGACAGAGAAATTGTGAGAATTCGGGGCTAAAAATCGGAGATATTATTGCCCAGCATCCATACCCTTGACCCTCTCCCACTGCGCGACATTCGACAAAGCATTCCCATCTTCATCCAATGGAATACCAAGCCAAGTTTCAAATAGCTTTCGCGCCACTGTACCATCCTTCCCCGATGGATCATTGGTGACTTCCGTGATGGCGGTGCTGAAGGCTGTCGCTAAACTCCTCACATCGGTGAGATGTTGGTTCATCAAACCAACATGATCATCCTCGCAGGCTCCCGTGCCCTCGAGAAGAGTAAAAAGTTGCCCGATTGTCGGAACAGCTTGCACACCGAGGACGCTGACCGACAGGAGCACCGAGACGAGGCAATGCCACCACATTCTTGGTGCCGATGGGTAAATTAGCAAGGAAGGGAAGGAAAGAAATTTTCAATTTGAGACTTTGCGTTGGACAGCGACCTAGAATGGAGATCCACACCGATATATATCGGCATATTCCCTTCCTGCAGACAGATGTTTCCGGGGGTGCAAGTAGCATCGGATATTTCCGTAACTTACATGCACAATATAATAATACCATAGCAAGATGAACTAGGGGTGGAGCCGGATACGGAGCCGGACGCTAGCTGACGACTTGAATAATGGGGACTTTAGTGAAAAACCCATTGCCCTAAGCCCCTAGCAGACTAGGGAGGTGGCGTATAAACGGATTTGATTTTAATCCGCGATCAACTGCACTAATGGAGAGTAAAAATATTCAAATAGCTAATCTCCGGTGCATGAGTGTCGCACCATTTCAAGAGAATTGTCCTAGTATTACTGGTATTCACCATGTATTGGGGCCATTTATTGTTGCTATGGATTGCTGCATTGATAGAGAGTGGGTGAATCAAGACCAAAAAAGGAAAATAGGCTAGTTTAGTTAAGGCAAAGAGCCTGTCATTTTACTAGATAAACATGGGGCTCTCCAGCTCCAAGTTTCTTCTTCGGAATTTCTCTACTCGGCTTTCTCTTGATTTTTGTCCCTATTCACAGGACCAAATTGGGACCTTGTGAGAAGGACCGTCCTTCCCCAAAATGCAGCTTAGCACAATGACCGGGGCCCTTGTGGCCTTGGGTTTATTGCAAAACGCTGTAGCTGATACATCAAGCGCTCAGCGGGCAATGGAATCGTTTCTGAGCAATCATCCCATCAGTACTCGATCAGCACCCCAGTCCCAGAGTACTCCCCATCTGAGTAGCCTCAAAGCTGCCGCATTTTCCGGCGACATCCTACCTACTCGATCATGGCACTTCCTCCGTGAACCCTGCCCTGAAAGTTGCTCAAGCCTTGGCCTGAATTCCACCGCTTGGCCTGCATATAGTCATCTTGACCGCTTGGCTCTATGTGGTCAACCCATGCTTCTTGACTTTACGCTATATACTCCCATCAATGAGTCGAGTGGTCATGTCAGCATCCGTAGCTGTGCTGCAGATCTGGAAGCCCATAGCACCTGGACTCCAGCTGTCAATACGTGCTCTTCGAGGAACAATACCATCAACGTCACATCGTCATTGCAACTCACATGGGACACAGCCGGGGGCAAGGGTAATACCGTAGGTGCATTGAATGCATTGCAGCAGATTTACGCCTATGAGCTTGTGAACCCCGCCCCCTGCAATGAGACAATAAATTTTGCCTATTCGGAAGGCATTGCAGTGGGCCTTTACATGGGCTCTGGTCTGCACGGCCAAAGTATACTTGCCCCTGTCCTCAAGGATGTCATAAAGTATGTGCTAGAAAACGAGATGCCAGAAACTCTCGTTGCTCAGCTGTGCAGCAAGGCAGGTGCTCGATACACAACCGGCATCTACATCAGCAAGTCTGGGGGTCTGACAGGGGCTCAAATGGCAGTGCAGACCTGGCGCAACGGTACTTGCGTGGCATCCCTGGACAACACTGAGGCCTGGAAGAACATCGATTATTCTGTGGCGGTTCACGCTCGGCTCAATTCCAGCTCTACCAGTTTGGAGCGACGGCAACTTCGAGAATCCCACCTTCACGGCCGAAGATCACATACACATGGTCGGAAGTCACATCTGCATGGCCGAGATACCGAATGCACCACCACCCAAGTGGACTCAGGCGACACTTGCACCACCCTAGCTACCCAGTGCGGCATCACCCCCGCAGACTTCACCACCTACAACCCGAGCTCAACACTTTGTTCCAGTCTCACGGAGGGACAATATGTTTGCTGTTCAGCTGGTACACTGCCTGACTACTCACCTCAGCCTGACTCGGATAACAACTGCTTCAGTTATCTCGTTGAGACCGGTGATACATGTGCTTCCCTCGCGGCTTCTCATACTATTAAGGTCTCTGACATAGAGAGCTATAATAAAAACACTTGGGGCTGGATGGGTTGTGACAATCTTTTTGCCAAAGAATACATTTGTCTGAGTTCTGGATGGCCGCCTATGCCAGCCGTTATCCCCAACGCTGTATGCGGCCCGCAGGTCAACGACACGGCAACAGTGCCCCATGGAACTGATCTCACCACCCTGAACCCATGCCCACTGAACGCCTGCTGTGATATCTGGGGCCAATGTGGAACAACTGCCGAATTCTGTACCCCGACTAACTCCACTACTGGAGCCCCCGGGACCGCAGCCAAGGGTACCAATGGCTGTATCTCGAACTGCGGAACCGATCTTATCCAGAGTAATGCCCCCAGTGAGATCTTCAATATTGGATACTTTGAGGGTTATGATCTGTCACGACCATGCATGCGTACCTGGATTACCGATATGGACCTCAGTCCGTATACTCATATCCACATGTCTTTTGCCACCTTGAACAGCGACTTCTCGTTCAATATCGACAGTATCGAAAGCCAAATGACTGCGTTTGCCGGGCTGAGCGGAGTTAAAAGGATCATTGCTGTTGGCGGATGGGACTTCTCGGCCGATCCTAGCACCTACAATATCTTTCGGGAGTCTGTTGCGACTAGTACAAATCGCGCGGCCCTCGTTTCAAGCACCATTGCTTTCTTGAATAAGTATGATCTGGATGGCGTTGACTGGGACTGGGAATATCCCGGAGAACCGGATATCCCTGGTATACCCGCGGACACCACAGCCTCTGCCACCAACTTTTTCCTCTTCTTGTTGCAACTCTCCGTCGCGATGAAAGCGCAGACCCCGGGAAAGACGATCTCGACCACAGTCCCTTCTTCATACTGGTACCTCAAGGCCATCCCCATTGAGGCTATTAGTACTGTGGTGGATTATATTGTGATCATGACTTATGACCTGCACGGCCAGTGGGATTGGAATAATACCCACGCTGATCCCGGGTGTCCTGCTGGCGGTTGCCTGCGCTCCCACGTCAACCTTACTGAAACCATCAACTCCTTGTCAATGATCACCAAGGCAGGAGTCCCCTCCAATCAGATTGTGGTGGGTGTTTCTAGCTATGCTCGTTCGTTCCAGATGAGCGAAGCTGGGTGCTGGGCTGAAACCTGCAGCTTCGTCGGACCGGACTCCGGGGCGGTTCCTGGCGCGTGCACCAATACGCCTGGGTACATCTCTAACGCTGAACTAGCCTCCATTGTGGAAAATGAAGATGTCTACATGTACATCGACGAGAGTTCTAATTCAAACATCATGGTGTGGAATGACACTCAGTGGGCTGCGTGGATGGATGACGATGTCAAGGCCTTGCGCAAAGAGCTGTATGCTGATATGAACTTCCTCGGATCAGCCGATTGGGCCATTGACTTGCAGATCTCCGACGATGCTTTGGGATCAGGCCCTTCATCAGGGACCACTTCCTGTGAGATCTCCATCGATCCCTCCATTTGGAGTGATGACAGTCCAGTCGTTACTGCTAAGTCTGGATGCACGATCATCTGGCCTCCGATGCCGCTGAGCAGCACCACTACCATTTCTATTCCTGACTGGACGACGCGTCTTACATGGCACTCGACAGTGACCAAAACTATGACATTTGCGGATAGTTCGACCATGGTGTACCACGCCCACTCGCCCATTCTGGTGCCTACCATCCTCTCAATTCCTCCTGGTAAGAGCTTCCTTCCTCTTTTTGCTCTAAGTTGTCAGACAGGCCTAACGTGAGCTCGCAGTCATAACCGATGCTATTCCAGTTTGGCATCAGGTTCCTTCACCGGGACAGACTGTTCTATACCAGACAAGTTCGGTGCTTCCCAGTCCCTTCCCAGTTGTTATGACCCCGTAAGTGTTGTGATAACCACAATTTTTCCCATGGAGAGGGTCAGGCTAACGATACCTGCAATTAGTACTGTGGGTGGTACCACGACTGTGATTGGAGGAACTACAACTACTATCCCTGGGTTCACTTTCTCCTCTGGCAGTATCACCTACGCGACACCCTCATGGATAGACGTGCATGGAGGCTCAACCCATGTGAACAATGGCACAGTGCTGGCCCCTATAACCACAACTGTGACCCCCATCCTTACCCAACTACCACTGATACCACTACCGATCCCATTATCAACACACGGACCACCCATAGGTCTACGGCAACCAGCTCAGATAGCGATACCACATCTTCGACATGCGTACCGAGTTTGTTCAAGAAATGTGGCAAAGGCTGTATGTGCTCCCTTTTCTCGACTGTCATTCATTGTGAAAACGAAGGTCCATGAGCTAACGTAATGGACCGTAATATAGGTGCTCCATTCTGTATTAAGGGTTGCGCCATCTGCCCCCTGATCATGATGGCTCGTCAGGTGGAGATGGAGGTGGAGGTGGTGGCGGCAGTGGGAGTGGCAGTGGCAGTGACAACAGTAGCGATGATAATGATAGTACGACTTCGACAACGACATCGACTGAACCCAGCAGCTATCACCACTTACCCGGCATGGCCACCGAGATCGTTGAGGATTTACCCCCGTTCACCACCGACGCCCTCGCAGACCTCCAGGCACTTTCGAGAGCTGAGGCCGGAAGATTGGCGTCTCTCTTCGGCAATGAGAAGATCACTTCTTCGGGCACGGCGACCACAAAGGCCACTGGCACCGTCGGCACCGCCACGGCAACGGCGACAGCGACCGGCGGCAGCAACCCATTGGACTGCTACATCTTCCAGGACCCTGGCTCCGGTAGCACCGGCACCTACTGTCAATGCCCAGGGTATGATGGCACCTTGCCCACGCTCACTGGCTCTGCCAGTCCCTGCGACTACACATCCCTGCCGACTTCAACCACCCAGACCGCGACCACCACCAAGCCTACCGGTCCCTACCCATACACTTTCACCGATGTCTACGGTGTTGTGGTTGCTTGTGAATCAGAATCTTTCCTCAAAGTTGCGGGCTACTCCCTCACGGAGTGTGACGGCTCAAGCACCACGCTGAAGTCTGTAACTATCACCGTGACTGAGGTGGTCACTACCTCTGTCATGAACAAGATATGTTCTGGCGGTGACTATAATGCTTGTCTTCAGCAAACTGAGAACTTCGGGGTGGCCGCTTGTCCAAAAATGCCCATTGCTCAGATGAAATGTCAGCAACAGGTCTTCGTAAACGCACAGTCACTGTGTGCGGTTCGGTGTACCCATACGCCGTCCACATACACGACAACTTATGCCACGTTAGCGCCCTAATATGGAGGATGAAGGATGATGATAGTTTTCTTTTGCAGGCGCTGCTCATATTACATTAGATGTTAGATATCTGATGCCTTGTATCAACACACAATAACACGCACATTTGACAGAAATCTGGCGGTTTGACAATATCTGGTATGCACGATGATATTGATCCTTCAATTTATCTCTTCTTGGACAACATTCGAAGAGCTTCCTCCTCGGTAAAACAAACATAGCTATCTGCTCAGTCCTTGCAGTTCGACGCACGAAGTTCAGGAATGGCTTGTAAATTTTGTAAAATCAAAAAGCAGTCATAAATGCCCTCCAATCACATAGGTTTTTTCCTGGTAATTCCTAGTCTGTTTGCCCTGGGAGACCTCGTTATGAAGGAGCATTTTCTTCTTCAAAACCTGTAGACATAGGTACATTTATGGCTCTTTCTCTCTTCCTTTTGTTTGACTTGTATTTTTTGCTAGTACTCTCCCTATGTTCCTTACAATGCCGGACTCGTTATATTTAGAAATCGTGCTGTCTGGTAACTTTCCTAAACTTTTAGGGAACGGGACGAACTTACCGCTGTCGAATATATATAATTTCGAGTCTCTTTCCTTAGCACATCTGAATTGTCCTTGAGTCATGAATTCGAGATTTTCCTTTACTCTGTCGGCTTTGGTCAGACCGCTGAACGTATCAGCATCACTGGCCAAATTTTCTGAAAAGGAAGAGTCTGGCTATGAATGATTTTTCTACGCCCTAAGGTATTTCAGTGTTCTGTGAAAGCAATAACAATATGGAAATCATTTTATTGCAGTATAAAAAATACTTGAATTTAATATTGCATATGCATAGGGGGAGATCCTTGGTTTGTAGAATAAAACATGAATGCGTTTAACATAACCCTCATGTTAGATAGAGAACTATGGATGTGAATCAGACTATACAGTGTTTGGTATTGCGTATATCTACGTTACATTCCTAACAAACAATATCCTCTTGTTTGTTTCTTCTTCTTGTATAGAGGTTATATATTGCTAGTCTCTCCTCTCTCACAAAGATTGAAGTCGGCCATTATAATTATCAATATTCTCTATTCTCCATATTTTGTGATCTATAAACTCAGCAAGGCCCATGTAAGTGGTTACCTACGATGATCCTACCTCTTCTATATATCAAATTTTTATGGACTCATTTGGTTGAGAGACCTAAAATGGTATGATACACATTTTGAACATCGCAGCGATGGTTCTACCACTTGAAAACTTACACAAAGGAGAAAGAAAACGAAAGATGATCATGAGTATTCCTTATTACAATACAAAATATTCCCCGAAGAATACCTGCTGGACAAGAGAAAAAGCAAAGGAGATGGTATCGAAATTCCCGAACCCACGAACTCCGAATACCAACAACCAATAAGATAAGCAACAGGGGACATAGCAAAGTCCAGAGAAACTGGAACAGATTCAAAATGAACGTGAAGTCAATGTAAGCTCAAACCTGACATCATGTGAAAGAGATGCCACCCAAAGAGCAAAGCACAGCAGGATCAATAAAGTCAAAAAGATTCAAAAGCAAGCAAGAATTGATGGTAAGTTGATCCAGGTCACAAATGCCAGTAATTCATAAGGAAATTTCAACTGATAATGAGGAACGCCGAAGAAGAATGATAAGACAGCGGTGAATCCCCACTTTACTTTCGCTTCGAGTATGAGAAAAGGGAGGTGACCTTCCGCCGAGCCTTGTCTATGAATGCATTCAATGCACTGCGGCGACCAACGAGAGGGTTGGGGAAAGAGAAGTATTCCTCCGGGGGAGCTCCAGCGACACAAGTCGTGACCTTCGGACGCGGTCTCTTGGCTACCTTGACAGTATTGGCTTGTTCTGGCTCAGGTGTTTCTGGCTCAGGTGTTTCTGGCTCAGGTGTTTCTGGCTCAGGTGTTTCTGGCTCAGGTGTTTCTGGCTCGGGTGCTTCTGGCTCAGTTGGTTCAGGCTCAGATGTCTCTGGTGGAGGGATCGTTTCACATTGATGCAAAGGGGATGGCTTAGCAACCCATGTCGACTTCCGTGGAGGACCAGACACTCTGTCCAAGGTATCGCAGATCTTATTCCGGCACTTCATCCACTCCCAATAAGGACGGATGAGGCTCGACTGCACGAAGCCGTTTCCAATGGCCAAGTCTGCAGCCTCATAGTGTTCAATGTTCCCAAAGTCAGTGGTGGTTTCCTCGCTGGAGTCTCTTGAATCATCCAGCCATCTTCCATGCGGTGAATAATACTTGAAGACCTTTCCTGTCGACGCACGCACAAGCTCAGATCCTCGCAGTTCGAGCAAATCCTCGTCCGCATCGTCCAAAACTACGATAACAGGATCGATGTATGTGGATGCACGACTCAAAACAGACTGCGTTCGCAAAGACGCAGTGCCCCACGGGAACTTGGGCGTTGCTAAAATAAGTGCCAGTGAATCGGCTGGCGATGTCGCGCTGTAATTGTACACTCTCAGACCCATCCAGTTGAAATGGTGAACGCCTTCGTCGGCTTCCAACCACATTTCGCGGTCAGCGAAAATGTTATCAACGGCTTCTTGCGCAGCGGTACGTGGGTCGACATTGGAGTTGGATGGGCATGGACTCTGGGCTGATTCTTCATTTGTGACTGGTTCATCCAGACCCGATAGCTCACTGTTGGACTCATGGAACTCATTCGAGACTCCCTGGGAGCTTAGTTCTGCATCACTAAATTCTATTGGTGTTCCTAGGGGATCACTGATGGCATCATCCATCTCCATCCAGAAAACTTCATCGTTGGAATATTCTTGGTCATCGCCAGGTTCGTGCGACTCAATTGAGGTGGCGTCATATGGGCTCGGCTCTGGATTGCTGGATTCAATGGCTGATTCGGGGAGATTGCTGTTTTCTCTACTGGACTCTGACCACATTGCCGCATCGATGGGGGGTTCATGCGAGTCCGACAGATCATCGATAAAATCATTCAACTCGGTCCAGGCCACTCCATCGGTGGTAGTTTCATACCGATCCGAAGTATCGCTCGTGGATTCATGCGAGTCCTTTTGAACCATCTCAGAACTTGGCTCCGTATCGGTGGATACAAGTGGTGATCCTGATGAATCACTGGTAGCCTCGTTTGGCTCTGTCCAGATTGCCTTCTGGGTGGGGGATTCATGCAATTGCAGAGTTTCATGATTGCATTTTTTCATGTCCTTCCATTTTGTCTCCGAATCTGCATCTGTATCACTAGATCCATGTGCGGATCCTAGCAGTTCATCTTCGGTTTCTTCCACAATAGTTGAAATGGACGGCACGAATCGAACGCATCTCACGCGACGAGTGCCATGAAAGCCTTCATTGTAAGTGCTCAAGTAGCCAGTTTGGAGGATAGGAGGGTTAAGTGTAGTGTTAAGAGGGAGGTTCGCATTTTCCAGGGTCTCATCAACATCGTCTGCCCAGTTCATGTATTCCTGATAGAGCATAGCCTCGGGTGAGGTAGGCTGAGATATAGGAGATTCATGTGAGCTTCTGTCACTTCCATGTGTCTTATTATCCATCTGAGCCATAGCACTAACCTCAACAAAAGAAGACATCCTGATACTTGAGATAGATAGGAATGGTCTCCGGAAATATTGATGATTTGTATGATGAAGAACAATATCGGAGGCACGTTCTGTGGGAACCAATATTCACGTATGAAGCATAAGGAAGAAGAAGAAGTGTAAACAAGCTTGTATTTATGGGGTTGCTAGGTAGGATGTTTCTGTGCTCGATCTGGAAGGCACGCGGTGCTTGACTATTTTCTTGAGAACAGACGAATAGAAGATTCAAACAATGAGCCTCGAGGAAATATGCCAAAACGTTGGCTACATCTATTCCAAGGGCACCTTGAACACTATTTATTATACGCATAGGGGGCTATGGCTACATTTGAGGGCAGTGGAACGATGTTTTCTAAGGAAATATAGACAATGGTATTCATCTGACCTTTTTGTTGTCATACAACGAGGTCAATCCCGTTTGATTATAATCACGTAGTTGGCTCTTTGTTATGTTCAAGGCGATCATCCTAATTAAGTCATATGTCTTCAAAGAGTAACTAAGTCTTTGAGCAGCCTCAATGAGCCAAGGATCTTTGTCTCATACACTACACAATTTTGATAAGATACAAGCAAGAACATGCGATATATTCAAGCTCAACTAATCATACCTGCATCCCAAGGTCCTCCCCGACTACTCCATCGATCTATATCGACATGGGAGATCGGCCTTCTCTCCGGCCCGAGCCTGGCCGATGTATGTGCTTATGTAACCCCGATATGACGCCAGACCCCCCGCACTCGCTCGTGATTATTCAGTTTCTATTGTTTTCTGCGCTTCTTTTCCCCTATAAAAGCTAGCTTCCTTGATCCATGAACTCCATCAGAGCTTGCGTGCGATCAATTGGACAGTTCCGACGGCTCCCATACCCCCTCACAAACCCAGCCCTCTCCGCACACCCCAACCCCTTCGCTCTAACCGTTCAGCCGACTTCTCTCCGTCGCACCATGGCTTCCGCAATGGCAAAGCGCCTTGAGGGCAAAACTATTGTCGTGACTGGTGCTTCATCCGGTATTGGCAAGAGCACTGCCAAGGAGTTCGCCCGCACTTCGCCCAAGAACCTGAAGCTGATCATTACCGCGCGTCGCATTGATGCATTGAAGGAGGTCGCGGCAGAGATCAAGCAGGAGGTCGGCGATGGCGTTCAGGTTCTTCCCGTGAAACTGGATGTCAGCAACCCAGAGGAAGTCGCGAACTTCGTTTCCTCCTTGCCAGAGGAGTTCAGGGAGATTGATGTCTTGGTTAACAACGCGTGAGTCATGCGCATCAAGCTGGAGATTTATTCATTCGCGAGTTATGCTGACAGTATCGATGTAGTGGTTTGGTCAAGGGAGTCGCTCAAGCACCTGCGATCGCTGCCGAGGATCTGAAGATTATGTTCGACACCAACGTCACTGGTCTTATTAACATGACCCAGGCTATCCTGCCCATCTTCAAGAAGCGCTCCGATGGTGGCCGTGGTGACATTATTAATATTGGCAGTATTGCTGGCCGCGAGCCTTACGCTGGTGGTAGCATTTACTGTGCCACCAAGGCTGCTGTTCGCTCTTTCACGGATGCGCTGCGAAAGGAGCTGGTCGCTAGCCGAATCCGCATTATTGAAATTGACCCTGGTCAAGTCGAGACGGTATGATTATGATTATCACATATAATTATAGTATGCGATGGGGAACTAACACGTATCATTAGGAATTCTCTGTTGTGCGATTCTATGGAGACAAGTCGAAGGCCGATGCCGTTTACAAGTAAGCTATGCCAAGAAAGCTTGTGAAAAACAATGCAGCTAATCATCAGCAGGGGTGTCGAGCCATTGACTGGTGACGACATCGCCGAGGTTATCGTCTTTGCGGCCGGTCGTCGTGAGAATGTTGTTATCGCGGATACCCTGGTCTTCCCCAGCCACCAAGTAGGTTCTCTACTCTATCGAGATCACGTTGCGAGTTATCTAACCATTGCCTAGGCCTCGGCTGGTGTCATGCACCGCAAGTCTTGAGGACCATATCAAGAGACGAAATAGCGGTTTAAAGCAGGTTTACATAACGCCCACTGTAGATAGATTTAAGGTTACACTTTGTGTGACGCAAATACGAACCACACACATATCATATCGTCAGATACATAGACTCCAAACAGAGAGACTTACAAATCAGACATGTAGAAACATTCTCACGCTTCATATATTCCATGATATAAATGACAGAAGGAGGTATCTATTAATAAGACAAGGAGCGGTATATCAACAATTGTTGACATCCAAGCTCATTTCAGAAGTGACACAACGATCACAGAGCAGCAAGAGCCAGGGCAGCGGCAACACCGCCAGCAGCCCAGCGTGCGTTTCCAGTAATCATAGGCACAGCGGCGTTATCAGTCTCAGTACCCGTAGCGGTACCAGTGGCAGTGCTAGTACGGGCGGACTTAGTAACGTCGCCAGTGGCGGTGCCAGTGCTGGTGGAAGCGGAGGTGGACAGATTAACCTCGCCAGTGGAAGTAGCGGTCGAAGCCGCAGCGGAGGCACCGGTGGTGGCAGAAGCGGCGGCAGTCCCAGACCCGGTGATAGTCACGGGCATGAGGGCACCGGGAAATTCAGAACGGGACACGACTGTTTCTATGACAGAAGAGTACTCTCCGTCCTTTATGGTTGCACCGCACGAGACGGTGGAGGCATCATATGTGCAACTCTCTGTGATGGAGCTGTGGAATAAAATAATTAGCAATCGCTACAGAACATGATTCATCCGCTTGGGGTCGGATACGTACCCGATCTCGAAGCCGTATGACAGCCCGACGCTCGAAGAGCCCTGGACAACAGTGATGCCGTCGGCAGGGATGCCACACTGATCGGCGTCCATATTTGGGCAATTGATAAGATAAGTGGTCGTCTTGGGGCCGCTCTGGAACAAGATAAGTCAGCTTGCTTTGCTCGATTCAATGCAAGATAAGATTGCGCTTACTGAGCCAATGACCTTGCCGACGATGTCCTGGCTATCGAAACCGGGCAGGAAAAGAGTGACTGTGTCGGCCGCGATGGCCGTGGTGGCGCCGGCCAGGAGAGCGAGAGATTGGAAACGCATGTTGTTTAGAAGATTAAAGAGAGTGAATGCGATTCAAGAAACTGCCCGAATGGAATATGAATAAAGACACGGTAAAGTCAGGGATGGCTATGTCTCCCCATATATACGAGGCTGTCAGGGTCCAACACGATCCTGGCCAGCCGAACGTAAGCACACTTCCCAGAATCGGACGCTGATTCGGAGAGTTGGTCACGGCGATTTCTGATTGGCTGTTTAATTATATCCAGGGGCACTAACAGCTCGGCTAACCGCTTTGGGGGCTAGCTCCGAGCTAGTCTCTGAGAAAGTTTGCACGCTATACCCCATTGGGCCATCTCAACTCCGTCGTGGCCATCGGCTGAACAAAATCCAGACGCCTCCAGGGCATCCTGGGCCCCCGAGAAAAATGGATCTCTTTCACTCCGGGTTTTCAAGTCCTAATTTTAACCGGGGCAGATGTTGCCGAGGGTTCGGTTTTCTTCAGGGACATATATCATTGGATAATGGTTGAGATCGATGTGTGCACCAACAGTTGAGTACCCACAAAACAATAGTTAATACTCTAACAAATAACCATAAGCTAGAATCCAAAGCGCCATCAATACGGAGTACTCCGTACGGAGTACAGCAATATTGTGCGCTAGGAGGCTGTAGAAGTAATGTCTGCCTTGAGCGGTAAGAACGGCAATTTCCACTGTTCCAGGTGCCCCTTGGCTCTGGAGCTTCCGGAACCCCAGTTCCTTTTTCTGTTTTTTTTTCGCGTTTTTTCCCCTCACTTTTCCCTTGCGTTTCTCATCTTTTTTTTTCCTTTCCGGGTTTAACACTGGCCGGTTGTCCGAGCTGCCCTACCCATTTTACCGTTTTGGCGCCCCATAACACACCTCACCGGGCTCTACAGAGTATGTACGGAGTACTCCATACGGAGTTCTTCAGATCAAATTCTCTTTTCTTATGATTCAGGTAGAAATGAATATAATTCCCCAACTCATATCTATACGAATCACACTAAACCTGACTGACTCTAAGTCTTATATATCTTTGTTACTGTGTCTTTGTTACTGTGGATGTGTCTTGCGGTATACTATAGCTTTTCTCCTGTCTAACTATCCCCATCATTCCCATTGATCAAACATGCAAACATGCCTCCCTCAAATAACTCATTCAACCCCCTACGTTATACCCAAAAAGCTGATGGACTGCACACATTCCCACCACAGCCTCCTCAAATCAAGCCCAAGGCATATCTAATCATCACCACCTTTCGAAAATGGCTCACGGATCTTAAGCCACCACGTTCGAAGTGGGTTACTTGATACTCTTATTCAAAGCATGTACCCCAGCAATGCCCATTATCTACTGCATACCCGCTAAGTTCGCCGAGTGGTTGGTCGAAGCTTATTGCCAAGCTTCAAAGAGAGTAATGCTAAGCGATCCACTGGTGACCCTCTTTCTGTAGACCCAACCACTGTATCTCAACTAAAGCACATAAGAAGACAGATTACTAGCGCGGGCAGTGCTGTAGATGATCATTCCACACGAGATTTCCTTGATTCTGGACGTGACCTTGTTCACGCCGTCAGTTGATTCGTACCCGGTGCTTTGCGACAATCCCTACATGACCACATGTCTTCTTTGGGCTTGATTTTCTACATGGATATCACTTGGCAAGGCATAATCCTACCTTGGCATGGTCTCCGAAGAGCCGCTACTTTGCTAGATTGTTTATAAAGGAAGCTCATGGGAATCATATCCGCACTAATTCACTAACTCTCTAACACTTTCACATACTAACCCATCGTCGCAAGAGTGGATGGTATCACTGGTAACGCTAGATTCAAACACATAACCCCATTTTCAACGTGACTCGTGTTCTTTCTTCCCGCAGCAATGTCGGAACAGATCGACATCAACAATCAGGTGTATAAACTCGCCGCTATGCCCTTCATCTTAGAACGCAAAGGCGACTATGATGAAGCTATCGCAATCTACAAGAGCGCAGTCAAAATCTTGGATGAAGCAACCAAGACATTTAAAAAAGGAAATGTCCGCAAAATCAACAGAAAGATGTTCGAGAGACAGGTCCAAGTCCATCGTGAACGACTAGCCTACCTCGAAGACCTAAAACGCAGAGGCAGTTTTGAAGGCATAATCTTGCCGCCCACAATTCTAGATGCTATGGAGGAGTTAGAGGCGGAGGATAGTGGAAATATGTGCTTGAGCCAGGTGCGTCAACCCCTCCACGAGCTGAAACATTGACTAGCACATCGCTGACACCTGTCAACTGTCAGATCCGCAAAGGTCTGCACGAGTTGCAACAGAATAACGCCAACCAGAGCCTGGAGGATATCAGCACAGCTCCTGTTCATCTGCAGCCATTCCTCAACAAAGACGCGTCCCAGCGTCCTTTCTTCTCGCTCACTCTTCCTCCCTCGGCGCCCACGGTTACTTATCGAATCACACAGTCCTCGGAGCTTTTTGCCCTGGGTATGCGCTCATATTGGTTCTTCGTGAAAGACGCAACCAACACACATGTTATGTACGCCCTTCAATGCGTCTGGAGCAACGAGGCACCTATCGTCGATACAGTGCTCCGCCGCGCAGGGGAGTTCCTACCCCGGATTGGCTCGACAAGCGTGAGACTCCAGAAGATGAAAGGAGGTAGCTTCCGGATGATTACGCGGACGATCCCGGATATGGGTGCGATAACGGAGATCCCAGATGGGGAGCTACGGCGGAGGGATTGGTCCCCGCGACGATTCGAGTACGGGGGACGCAACTTTGTGTGGAAGAATGCTGCGGCGGAGGGTAAGAAGGGTGATGGTGGTATGTTTGGGAAGTGGGGGTTTGCTTGGGAGGCTTTGTATGAGACTAAGCGTGTGTGGGCTAAGGAGGGGAGTCGGACGGGCAAGATGGAAGACGAGACGGTTGGTCCTAGGTTGTGCTGGGGGAGAAGAAAGGAGGGAATGGAGCTGATCACAGTATCCATATGGTTGGTGGGTTGGATATGTATTTCAGGGAGCATTTGCTTGCAGTGCAACTGTCGAGACTGGCTCGTATCAGCTTCCCTCCGCAAAAGGATTCGGGGGGTATTGAGGCAGCAGCTACTGGTCTGGGATTGCTCTCGATTGCTACGGCAATGGCTTGACACTGGCTATGGCCTTCGGATGGCTGATCTGCGAGATGGTCTGCGCCTTTTTATGATATCCTAGTTTGACTTTTTAGCTGTAGCGAAGCTGTGAATCAATATTGTATCAATGTGTTAGAGCCCAGTGAAGCTTTCCATTTCGAGACGCCTTCCACTTCCATGACCGCTCTTGTCCGTAGACATTCACGGCAAGACCTAGGCGACGGACACCAGGATATTTGAGCACCGTGGCGAAGTTGTCATATTCTTCGCACGGAGTATCAAAGATCGTGCAGTTGAGCCCACGAGACATCGGGTAGTTGTACCCTTGGGGCAATGCACGAATCATCGAGGTCTGATACAAGGGGGCGAAAAGCGAACCGTGTGCTGGAGGAGGGATCGTGATCCTTTTAAGTGCAGGGAACCGCCTGAGTCTGTATAATAAGGCGTACTTGTCGCTCTCGGTTGCCAATACATCTCGTTGCTCTTTGAATAGGTGCTGGTAATGCCGCCAGTAGCTTTGAAAAGCAAGTAGCTTTTCAAGCTATTGTACTCGCGGAATGTGATCCGGGCCTTCGACATTCTTATACTTGCGTTCTTGTAACTGTTTGAGATTGCCCATACATGCCTTCACAAACCAATTAGGGCAATATTAGCCGTTGCAGTCCCTCAAATTCTCCACGGATTTCTCAAGGTAAGAGTTCCCTTTGGGGGATCCCAGCTGTGCTTCATCCCAGACAATCTCAGTCACTCTGTGGCGAAATATTCTGTGGTCTGCAATTGCGCGGAAGACTTCAAATGTTCAATGGATTGGTAGAGAGAAAGACCTGCTTGAGGTGAGTATTCTATTCTCCGAGGGCTCTAGAGGTGAGACTCAGAGATTTGGTGTCCTTGTTGGTCAAAAAGAATGAAATGAATAGCAATAGTTTGGTGGGGAGAAAGCTGAGTAGGTTGCTCCGAGAAGCCATTTTAACTTGGTCTAAATTACTGGGCAATAGAGGGGTGGGGAGTACAAGTGTATCTGTTGCTAGAATAACAAGATGATTTATGGGAAGAAGCTGTCTTTAAACGCTATGTGTTCTTGGGTTTGTGGCCTAAAACAACAGCCCTTCCTCTTTGTTTGAAGTCTCAACCCCCAATGTCTGCTGCACATGGAGCTCAAAGATGTTTCCCGTATAAGTTCCCATGGCTGAATGAAATGCTTGCCAACACACAGAACGAAAAAACAATCGCCTGCATGGTGACTGCTCACGGTGCCTCGGCATACGTACGAGACCATCCCTACTTCGGCTGAGACAGTTGACAAAGCTTGAGTTCGTCAATTTGCTAAACTTGTGTGAGCAAATCCAAAGACCCGAAAGACACTTTGAGACACCACAATTTCGTGCGCAAAGTATAGAAGCCCTTAGTCATTCGTGGAGGTTGTGACTCCGTACGCGAGACTTTGACCCGAGATCGACCCGAGATCGACCCGCATGGTATCTATAACTCCGGTGAGCCAGGCTTTGGAAAAGATATCACTATCACCAAGGGGTTTGTGACAATATCTGAATACCACGGTCGGCAACCACTTTTACCGGCCAGAAATCGCGAGTGGGTTGTCGCAGTGCAATGTATGCGAATGCTTCGGGGTGACACCATTGAGCGTCTCACTTTGGTGATCGGACCTTCTGGCGCACTAAGAGCCGCTCTGTACGCTCTACGTAAAGCATGAGACATATCTATTGCATAAAGCAAACCTTGACTACTGCCAAGAACGCCCGATTCGCTTTTCAGGCCATGTTCTAGGTCAGGGTTGTCGCCAGCCTTTTAGCTCTCTTGCAGAAACCTAGAGGGCGATCCTGGCAGTTTGACTGCAAATCACAGGAAGAATCTTTTCTCTCTGTTTGACGATCACGGCCTATCGATGGATATGTCGTACAAGCCGAGGCAGACGCTGCTCTTGACGGCAGCACAAAGAGATTGGGGGTAGGACACGGTCAGTGGTGTGGAAGTACTGATTGCAAAGACATTTGACCACCTTCTTCTTTGGATGAGAATGCAGCCGCCGATGAGGTTCAAGGTTTTTGGAGTGCTTGATGAAGAATGAGCTGCTATCACCCAAGGATGTGTTACGTTTCCAGTTCAGATAATAACTTTTCTTAGCATGATCCTTGGGTATAAGGCCAAATAACTAGATTTAAAGGATTAAATACAGGCATCAGGCAATTCTTTACTGCATAATACCCTTCGGGTCATTTTGTTGCGTAGATAGAGTAGTCGGCTATGTGTTCTATTGCTCTACGTCAATCGATATCCCCCCAGTAAATCAGATGACTCACGCTGTATCTTCCATTCGGGGAGTCCGCAGATCGTTGATGACCCGATTGGTTTGGGCGAGGGATAGTAGTTCCTACCCTGCCACATTCGATTCCCCCAATCACGAATCTCCTGCTCCAAGATCGGCAAGTAGTGACAGTTCACCGGAAGCCAGCCAGTGGCTGTTGGCTGGATCAGCAATGCAAGAACATTCAGAACCCAGAACCTGCTGTTACTGCTTCTTCCAGGGCAGTTCAGGCTACCATCGTAGGATCTTATTACCCTGTCGACGAATGGATGCAAGGGACGGGCAATATCCGCGATGCGGAATAGACCGGTGAGAAGAGGAAAGCTGAAGATCCCGCCCGTATATTCATGCTCGGGTCTCAGGCCAGATCCTGTGTCTATGACGCGGTATGCCATTCCTCCCACAGAGTCCGAGTGAAGATACAGACCCCAGTGGAATTCGTTGGGCTCGGGTGGTTCTTGGCGGGCTTGGAGGATGACATATAGTCCGCCGACTTTGAGGTCCGCTAGGGACATTTGGAGATGATTGGTTGGTTGTCGGGATCTTCAAGGTTGGCTTGGATGTTTGCGTGAGATTGGGGTTGTTAGGCGCTGGGCACGGGTTGGGTAGAGCTGAATCTATCTTTACGGATGCAGATCATTACGGTGGTTTTTCTTGCTGGGCACTTAAAACTCCGGTGAAATTGAACAGTGTGTGTTAGTTATAGTCAGCTCCTGTGCTCCCGGTACTTGTGATCATGGTCTGTTGCACACACAATGCCATTGATGCTCAAGGTACCAAGTTGAGTGCGACTCGTTGAATTTGCTTGGTAACCAGTAGTTTGCGGCTATATGAATCTCCCATTTATCTGCCAAGACAGACATCAACATGGGTTTATCTCACGTTGTCTACCATGGATATCGATTAGTTTCACAAAGATGCTCGGTATGGTGCTATGCACTCGGCCATCAATACAGAATATATATGCCAGTCCACGCGACGCAAGTGACGGGTTGGTTCGTTGGTTCTCAAGTGCTTATTGTGATATGTCCCACGCTTGTGCAACTCGTGGGGCATCTCGTTCATTGGATAGTGGACAGCCTCCGAACGACCAATAAGCTTTCCTGTCACATCTCGCGCGGCTCATTCTCGGTCCTCTGGCAATTATGCCGGTTTGGCACCTTCTAAGCGCTGCTTCAAACCACCGTCTCTTGTGCCACTTGCCTAATCGTGACATATGCATTGTCCGGATCATGATCAATCACAGCCCGTGCATCCATCTGATGTATCATACGGAGTACATCCTGATAAATCCGATGAATGCAGCCTTATTGATTCGCGAGTCGCAGCTTGCTAAGAATAATCCATGAACTATTGCATTAATTGACATTTCAATGTCTCAACGCGAAGTGGCCTTGGTCGTGGGTTATTTTTCCTGGAGTCAGTATGGAGGGAATTGAGTTCCGGACAACCATGGGAAGAGAGGCAATAGAGTGGCGCCAAGATCCAGACAGGCATCGCGCCCGGGGGAGAACCGTGGACGGAAGCCAATGGTGCTGGGATCCAAAGTCGATATACAAAGATCTTGTCAAATCAGCTCAGACGATCCTTACCAAGAGGATCCATACCCAAATGTGACTCTGCACACCCGATCAATTTTCCCTATGCGCTGGGAACCTTAGGCCGCTCTTTAAGGGTCCACGGCAACAGCCCTAACGGCGACACGGAAGGGTTCGAATTGATTCCGAGCTGCAGGCTTTGCATCTATCAAAAACGGCGGAACCCGAATCTTGGGGATGGAAAGGCCAGTCGATCGGCATGACTACTATGGGGAAGAGCGGGACGTTGACAAGAAGGATTTTCCCGACGTGTCCAATCACCAAAAGTGACAGATGTGATTGTGATTGCGGGATGATACAATGATGCAAGGTTTCTACCTGCAAGCCATCCAGGTGTACTCTGGACGGAGTAAAAGAAAGCCATTTGCGGGCTCGAGCCCTATGATTGCCCGATATGTTCCATTGCTATGGGGTACAATACGGAGTACGGAGTGTGGAATGATTGCTTCGTGGTCCAGCTACGTATGGGAGCTTTTCCAAGTCTCAAGAGGACCCCCATCTCCACCGGGACGGGCAGATCCACTTGGGAGGAACTGGGCTGAGTCTTGCAGACGCCGTACAGATTGCATGGAAACAGGTACGGAGTAGCAGATTGCCTTGACAGCATGGAGAAAAGGAGAACGCAATCTCCGCCGTATATTGTCGTTAATTGCACGTTCCTCAATGGGGCGTGGCTTAAGCCAATCAAGGACCTAGACGAGATTCCATCGAGTAGCGTACCAAAGCAATATATTCGCGCGAATTCCCAAGGTAATATCCCAGCGAGAGGATTCACAAAACCAATAAGGGGATTGTCTCTCCGGAGATCAACAATCGAGCAGGCCAAAGCAGCTTCAGCAGAAGCAGAGAAACAGGAAGCAAGTAAATATAAAAAAGCCCATCTAGCGCAGCGCAATGGCGCGCATGTCCCCTTTTTCTGACCCAATCACCTTTTGCTCCCCACTATCTCCTGAATTTCCCTTCGCCCCCTTCTTTCCCTTCCTTTTCTCTGCTTGAGAGAAAAAAAAAAGAAACCCTTTTCTATTTGGGTTGGAAATCAGTTTACCCCAGTCTCTGCCCTATTATCCACTTAAGAAAAACCGAAGCCGAACAGAAGCTCTTTCTTTTATTTCTTCCCGCCAATTCCAACCTCCGAACTCTCCCCCCCCTAATTCTCCCTTTTAAAGCTCGGTCTGCCTAGGTCGTTTTCGCTTTTCGATTCCCTTTTTTTTCCCTTATTTAATCTCTTCCCTTTTCTTTCTACTTGAGACAACCATAGATTCATAATGGCCTCAAAGGTGAGCCGTCCTCCCATCCCTCGCTCCCGAGTCGAGGGTGTTGTTTGGGCGTTTCCGAGGGCTAACCGGCGCTTACGGCTAAACAGTTCCTAAGAGAATACAAGCTGGTCGTGGTCGGTGGTGGTGGTGTTGGCAAGTCCTGCTTGACCATCCAGCTGATCCAGAGCCACTTCGTCGACGAGTACGATCCAACAATTGAAGGTGAGCACCTCCAATGGTCTATTTACACCCATCACGTTTCCCCCCCAACACTTTCTCCGAATACGCGCGTTCGACCAGCTTCAGATGAACACTGTCACTGACTCGGAATCTTCTTCCGCCCCCAGATTCCTACCGCAAGCAGTGTGTGATCGATGATGAGGTCGCTTTGTTGGATGTCCTGGACACAGCCGGCCAGGAGGAATACTCGGCAATGCGAGAACAATACATGCGGACCGGCGAGGGCTTCCTGCTCATCTACTCCATTACATCGCGTCAATCTTTCGAAGAAATCATGACCTTCCAACAGCAAATCCTGCGCGTCAAGGATAAGGATTACTTCCCCATCATCGTCGTTGCCAACAAGTGTGATTTGGAGAAGGAGCGTGTGGTCTCCGAGCAGGGTATGTTCCCATTCTTCACCATCCCAATCTTCCTTTCCCCCTTTCAATACCCGACTGGAACCTCCCGCGGAATCCTAATCCGGAAACCAACTCTGAACACCTTGACTAACAATCCGTCGCGTTCCAATAGAGGGTGAAGCGCTCGCCCGCCAATTCGGCTGCAAGTTCATCGAAACATCCGCCAAGTCCCGCATCAACGTCGAGAATGCCTTCTACGACCTGGTCCGCGAGATCCGCCGCTACAACAAGGAGATGTCCTCGTATCCCTCAGGCTCCGGCGCGTTCGGTGCCCGCGCACCAGAAGGCAAAATGGACGTGAGCGAGCCAGGCGAAGAGGCCGGCTGCTGCTCCAAGTGCGTCATCATGTAAAACCAACATACCCAGAATGAAAACCGAATCGCTGCGGACGCGAGTCTCGAGACATTACCCGCCTCTCCCCCGAAACCTGAAATACGCAGCACGGGAAAGAAATCACAGGGGGAAACTTATACGTCTCAAGGTGTTGAAATATATCAACCTACCCTTGGAAAGTTTGGAAATCTTGTCTTACCATTTGAATGGCTTTAATCTTTGCAAAACAAAAAACCTCCCCGCCACTCAGATTCATACACGGGAAAAATACGGAGACTGCAATATGCGATTGCGAACCCGACACAGAAAAACAAGAAAAAAAAAATCAACCCAAGAAGAAGTGGCCCCTTGTCGTTTGTGTTACGGATGTTTGCGGGTTTCTCTCGCATTCGCTTTGATGACTGCCGACCTTGACGCCAACCTCGTCTCACGAACCATTTTTGATTCCCCTTTTGTTGTCTGATTGCGTCTGTTTTTTTTTTCCTCTTTATTCTTTTTTATTATTATTACTGTTTCCCCGAAATCTTGGCGAAAGATCCCTGGTGTTTGTTAATCGCCTTTTTATTATCTTTTTTTTCCTGTCGATCCTGGGATACGAGACGACATGGCTGTCAATATATGTCTTTTTTCATAGCAAGGCGGATGCCTTGCTTTCCATTATCATGGCGTGTGCTTTTGTTTTCTGAGTATTGTTTATCTGGTCGTATCTTCTCTCTGCATGTACGGTTGAGTACTACGTGTATGGAGACACATGTCCCATCTATGTCTGGCAGCGCAATATAGCAATCCATTCGATCTTGCATTTAAGCCTCTGCTGGGATCTATAACATTGACGATAATTCTTCCACGCTACTGCGCTGACACCTCTTGATGCGGAGGTCTCGGTGATATACAGAGGTCAAGCTTGATATACTTTATATCTTAACTGAAGTATACATAACAGGTTGTTATGCTCTATATATGCTGCGGGTATCTAAAAGGCCAGAGTCCCACCCACGCATCATGACATCCAGTCCCAAAACATAATCTACTGGCTGTAAACACGCTCCGTGTCGGAGGGGTCATCCAACTCATCCTCCTTAGCAACCAGCTTACCTTGCACATTCTGCTCAACCTCGCTAGTCAACGTCTCCATATAAGCCTTATCCGTGCCAACCAGAGTAACAGTATTACGCGTCTTGCCCCAGCGCGGGTAGCTGCCAACCTTGATACCACGAGACTCGACCTTAGCCGCCAACTCGGTCAAGTACGGCGCCACGGCACTCTCAGGCAACGGCGTGCTGAACAACATGCGGAACGTCCCCTTGCCCTCGGGGTCGGTCAGACGGGGGATCAGAGTTGGCTTGAGGTTCTCGAGCAGACGCTCGAAGAGCCTCGGCACGCCGGGCAGGATGTGTACGTTGCCGTTGACCACTGCGATGGGCACCCACATGTCCTCGGTGACGAACACGGCTTGCAATTGGGCGGGGATCTTCGGATCGAAGGGTAGCTTGACCATGCGCAGCTTGGCCGTCAGGCCTGGGGAGGGTGTCTCCCAGTCGAAGTTCGGTTGCATGGGGTGGGGCTTGGAGAGGCGCTTCATGCGCTCGAAGGCTGGCTGGTGCAGTTCTAGCTTCAGGTTGAATGCCTTGGCAATTGAGGAGTAGGTGATATCATCGTGTCTGTTTGATTGAAATATGGTGTTAGTTGTTGGTTTTTCATGGGGGTCTTGAAGGGCGATTCTGTTCGGATGCGCGGAAGGGATGCGGGTGGTACGTACGTGGGCCCAATGCCGCCGCTGGTGACGACGAAATCGTAGCGGGAGCTCATGCGTCGCACGGCTTCGATGATATCTTCTTCGTCATCGGGGACGACCTCGACTCTCTTCAGTTGGATGCCGAGGGAGAAGCAGAACTTGGCGAGGTACGGCGAGTTGGTGTCGATGGTCTACGGGTGATTTGAGGTTATGTCAGAATCCCTGGTCTGCTCAATCAGGGGAGTCTGTGGAGTTTGCTTCAAATCACCTTTCCACCAAGAACCTCATCGCCGATGATGAGGCATGCTGCCGTGTGGATGGGCTTCGTGTGGGCGGCTGATGTCATCGCGGAGAGACCAAAGCGAGGAGCCAGTGATGGAGCTGAGAAGGCAGGGATGGTGGGACGGGATGGATTAAATGATCGCGAGAAGTGGCGGGTGAGGAGATTGAGTCGGTTAAGCATGAGGACAGAAGTATAGGTGCTGGGATGAGGGGTTTATGTATGGGCTGTTCAAGCGCGGAGGAGGTGAAGTGGGGGAAGAGGGAAACTCCGCCCGCAGTTGGTTCGTCCCGCTTCACATTCCGACAGCTTGATTCATCTTGAAGATATCACCATCCACTTTTTTTCAGCAGAAATAGCCTCTAGCTGAGCCCAGGACTCTCGCTAACGTCCATTCTTTGTGTGATACGCAACGTGCAAGATGGTGAGATCTTTTTCCCCACCAGGTTGGCAGACGCAACCCAGGCCTATTCGCAACTTTTCCTATCAGATGCTAACGTCTGATAGTCCGACTCACGACTATATTCCTTCTCTCCGGAGACCAAGGAGAAGCTGCGCAAGTTTCGCCTGGGCACATCACGAGCCAAGGATGCACAGGCTGTCATTTGTATGTCCCCCTTTATCTGCGATTTCCTTCCATACCCCATACATCTCAATTTCGAGACAGTGTGAACTCGATAGCACATGGCCATCCAGTACATATCATTCTCATGGCTAGTGCTAGCCATACCAGTCAACTTGCCTGAGCAACAACGCTGACAAGTGGTACGTAACAGATATCATTGATGCAAAGACCCAAGAGATCCGGCCTCAGGACGACGAGATCTACTCAAAGATGGAAGATTTAGCCGATGATCTTCCCGAGTCCTCTCCACGATTCATCCTTCTCAGCTACCCATTGACTACCGTAAGTCAGCGATCAACAATGTGGACATGACCCATGCGACCTAGGCACTAAATGAAACATCCCCTCACAGAAAGATGGACGCCCCTCAGTCCCTTACGTGCTCCTATACTGGCTCCCCGAGAACTGCAACCCGATGCAACGGATGTCGTATGCAAACGCAGTGGAGCTAATGCGCACCAGCGCACAAGTCAACCGAGTAATCGAGGTGGAGTCGGATGACGATATCATCGACATCAAGTCCAAGCTGACTGGCTCGGACTAAGCACGGTCTACGGAGTAAACGATGCATCATTTGGGGGAAATTCGCCAATGGGTCGGGCATGTATGTATACCCAAGGCATGGGATCTTGTATAGAGGGTGTTTTTCTGCGGATTGGCTGGTTCCTATTGGCTTGGAAATCCCGCCCATGCACACATACACACACAGGCACTTCATGCGGGTGTCGAGTGATAATTCTTGGAAATTTGAGACCTGGCTTGTACTTGGCTGCCCTGAGCAGATTCCTGGCATCTCGGGATGCTGTCGATCACACAGGAACGAACCTGATTCCTGACGCTGAGTTTGTGATCTATCCATGGATCAACCAGATGATCTATAACGGTTCGCAGTTCACAGCTAGCGGTAGATCTCACGAGTCATGTATTTTCTTCGGTTAGCGCCGGATTTCTTAGGCAGAGAGTGGTCAGCGCTTGTCATTTGGGGATGCTCAGATGCTCAGCTTGGTCGAAATCGCCAGCTGGCTTTGCATCGCACATGCTCTTCTGAAGGGGATGGTTATGTTTGCTTTTGAGCGTATCGCTCCATAAATAATCAGTCTGTGGAGATTGGATGTCGACATCTCCCCAGCTGAGCCATTGATCATCGCCAGCCACAGATGAATAGCTCATTATCCCAGTATTGACCTGAAAATCAGCCCCTCGACTGTCCACCAATATTTTGGGGGCTGATGATCAATGATCTCGTACAACATCGCCCCCGTCTGACCTTGCCGGTCCTATGTATCTGTCACCGAGATGGCTTCCGGGTCTTCTGATTGGTGATAGTCGAGTCCCTTTTTCTCTCTCGGTGGGATGATGGAAGTGGACATGCAATATACATGAGCGTTCTTCATTGGCCCTCATGCAAACGTGATCGCCCACTATGAAATCCCCTCCCCCGCTCGCTACACCATAGACCCTGTTTCTGGTATTTGCTTAGCCCGAGTGGGCGCTTCTATCAGGATCTGCTTACGTTCGAGACTGTATGATCTCGGACTTGACCATCCCGCTTGATGTATCTCGGTTCAACAAGGGTTGTGCATCTAGTCCCTTGATGAGGCGGTGGGACTCTCTCTCCAAGGTTCGGTTTCAAAAATCGAACAACGCATACAATACAGCAATACCAAGAGCTACAGTCCATTTTCCAATCCCGACAGAACGGTACCCAAGGGGTCCAGATTCCGAGAAAAGGGTGGTCTCGACAGACGAGAATGGCGGTGGCAAGGAGCTGCCGTCGATGTGTAGCTTTACCGTTGCGCCGGGTCAAGTATTCATGCACAATGTTTGGCTGCACATCCAGTAGAATCTGATATATCTGCTATGAAAGGGGGGGGGCAGTGTGTCTAGACATTTGGGCAGCTATGGAAGAATGCACGGGAAATGGAATGTCGCAGAGCATGTGGACTGATTCATATGGACGGGATGCTGGATACGGAGTACTCCGTATAGGACTGCCAATTGCCACGGCGGATGGCCAATCAGTGGCTAAAAGGTTGTAAACCTGATTTCTGGCCATCGATGATACCCGGTGTATACATCATACTTCCGCGTACGGAGTACAGAGGACTATACGGGATTCACCACTGCGCTGTACTGCATAGTCGCGTCGAGATTCCTGCCAAGTGCTACGGATGTCGACCGTCGTGCATAGGATAGGGAACGGGCCATTCATGCTTCCTGCATGTACGGAGTAGAGAAGAATTGGAATACAGGGGAAGGACAGGGAATATCATGGGAGAAAGGTATGATTTGTAGGAACTATGTGGTAACGCCCGCAGTGAATCGATCGAATGCGGAACGAGGTATATCGTAGATTGGCACTCCCAAAAAAGCACATATCTCCATTGAAACCAGCAGTGATCATCAAAATTAATATACTCAGGGCTCTGGAGGCGTATATTATACGAAATCCAGCTTTGTACGATACTCGTTCTCCAGGACTCGAGGACTAGCGATCCGACCGCCGAGCTCTCCACTCTTACGGGCAATAAGAAGCCCTCAAGAAGTCCACATCATACTCACGGCCCACTTGAAACCGGGTGTCAAAGCTAGGCAATCCGAGATGACCAGAATGCGTGTACAGGAAAAACAATTCCGGTCGACTGGGCACTGGCCACTTGGAGTTTCGGTACGAACCATTGCTCTTGTTGCTTTTTTCCCTTCCCGGGGAGTCGGGTCGCTGCAAGTGGTGAGATTTATGTAGTAGGATGATCTTCATTACGGAGTACGTTCTCGCCAAAGGGTTTCCTCTCCGTAGCGTCATTTGCAGGGGTTCTGACAGGACGACTTAGTGCAATTGGCGGAGACCGTTGGACAAGGGATGGAAATTCCAAAAATGGGGATGATCCGTGTCTTTTTTAGTCTGCAGTAGTGTCGAATGGGGCGGAAGTTTCTTCTTTCTTTTTTTTTTTTAGCAGTTTCTCTCGGTTGGCATCCCCGTGAAAAGTGGAATTCGGCCGAGTTGATCTCGCCCTTTGGATATCTCAGGTATCTTATTTCGCAGCCCAAGTATTTACTGGGGTTGGATTCTGGACTCTGGGCTCTGGACCCCGAATGGACGGACACATAGAGGATTGACAGGATTCCCCTCGTGTCATGCATCATGCATGATTCGTTCCCACCTAATAATGGCCGGCGGGATGCCCGTGTGGCTGTCGGAAGTTCCACGTCTCTTGCCCCCATTCGATACTAGACCGTTCGGGGACTCTGCATGTTCTTCAAAGGTCGTATTCCACTGGCAATCAATAATTCGGTCAGCACTATAAAGAACGTACATAAAGTACTGTGCATTGTGCAAAGGGCAATGATACAAAAAAATGATGAAAATAAGCCCAATTCCCTGCCGAGGTTGTTGATTCTCTCCGGGATCAGTCGAATATACTCCGAGGCCTCCTTATATATGCAACTTGTCCTACACACAGACCAGCAAAGGGGGAGAAACTCTACGGCTAAAATATACGAGTTGGCGATCTCGGTAGTTCAGGCCGTTCAAATCCCGGTTTCAAAAGAAATCACTCAACCCCCTAAGATAGGATGTTGTAGTACTCCGTAGAGACGCCTAAAAAAAATAAGGACAATCGCCCCTTGTCACCCGATGCTGATAGACCACTGTTTCGGACAGCGGGTGCTTCCGTATGAAGACCGTGTCATCCCAGGGTCTCGGGATCTGACTGCCATTCTATTGGAGGAGTTAGTCCGATGATCATTGCAATGCAACATAGATTGTACAAAGTATATTGATATTATTCCATATTACCTCCAAGGGTACGGAGTATATAGGGTACCTATCTGGATGTACTTTGGTACGCCATTAGCGGGCCTCTGTCCGCTAGATCGATTCTCAGATATGGGAGACTCCTGAAAAGGGTCTTTCGAAAGGTGCACAAGTGGATAAATTACGGACTTATAGGCTCTATCTTCTGTCATATCGCCGGGACCTGGCTGTCGGTACCTCCCTGCATGCCCTAATATGCAGAGATACTCCCCGATGTATCACACAGGCACGGAGAAATACTCTAACAGGGAATGAGATATAAGGAATTCCCAGGGGGGAAAAAACAAGAAAGAAAAAGAAAAAAAGAAAAAAGAAAGGTGAAAATAATAAATCCAAAGGCCAAATACTCGCTAGTCGCCCTCAATGCGAATCCACACAACCAGAGTACCGGAACACGTCTGAGCTTGGAGCTTGGAGCTTTTCGCTTATACTATTATTCCAACGTTATACAATTGTTATACAATACCTCGTCTGATACGGAGTATTATGGAGATTAGACTCTACTTCGTGTCTATAATAATTGGCCTTCCCTGTCATCCTGTCATCTTCTTCACGGAACTTCCTGTTCTCCATACTGGGTGTGGAATGAAGTTATCCCGACACCTTGGATAGCATATAGCCCAACCTTCACCATTCCATTTCTAAACTTCGATTCTTGAAACATGTCTTCCAACGACCATGAAGAAAAGCCCGAGGGCATCTCTAGATATCTCGAGCGCATGAAGAGCGTCCTTCGTTCTCGGTCAACCAGACGGCAATCTCTCGCTGCGGATGTCACTACAGCGGAATCTTCGTACGATATATCCTTTCCCAATTCAGTATATATACTTGAAAGTCCACTGACTCTGTCTTGGTATAGTGTATCGGTATCAAACCCGCCAGCAACAGCGACACCCAAAGCAAAGGCTCCAGCTCCAGCGCAAGAACCCAGCATCCCACAGCCAGTCATGATCGCCGATTACAGTACCACCCAGCACGAAAAGGCCCGCACTCTCTTCGCCAAATATGGCCTGGCGCTCAACCAAGCCGACTTGAAACCACACTCGGACCTGCAACTAATCCGAGTCACGAAACCCATCCGCATGCGAGTGCATCGCACCTGCCACCGCTGCGAAACCACCTTCGGCGCAGAGAAATTATGCATCAACTGCCAACACACCCGCTGCACAAAATGTCCCCGACACCCACTTGCCAAGATTGAATCCTCTCGCAAGCCCAAGCTTCCAGAGCCCAGCATCCCCCAGTCCCACAGTCTCTTCAAAGAACAGCACCTGGGTCTTGGCCGCAAGTTAGACCAGCCGTTGAAGATTCCCTCGCCCCCGAGCGGGCAGAACTACGTCCAGAAACCGATGCGCCAGCGCGTCCACCGCTACTGTCACTTCTGCACAATGGCCTTTGCTCCGGGCTCGAACGAGTGCTCTGATTGCAATCACACTCGCTGCAAGATCTGTCCGCGGGACCCGGCCAAGCTAGATAAACATCCTAATGGATATCCGGGCGATGCGGAACCGCCGAAAACGAGACCGAATCGTACGTTCCGGAAGACTCGTCGCAGGGTTCATTACGAATGTCATGTCTGTGCGACTAGGTATCAGGGACCATCGGGGATTTGTTCGAAATGTGGCCAGGTGAAGGGTACTGAGAGTATACGGATCCCGTATGTTATGTCTATCCGAAGTGATTTGAGATAAAACCAAACTAACAGTTTCTTCGCAGGCCTAAAAAGATCAAACCAGAACCTAACCCTGAGACTGTCCGGATTATTGAAGAGAAACTTGCAAGTCTGTTGATTTCACGAGCAGAAACTGCGAAATCAGTTGTGAAAGCAGGAGCTTGAGCTTGGAACATTCAGCATTGTCGGTCAGATCTATGTTATCCATCAACACATTTCTTGAAGATTTCCTCTGTATCTCCCAAATGGCTTTATTCTCTCAAATCCATAGTTCACTCGATCACTCTTCGTCCTGATTACATGCTATGCTTTGTTTTCTCAATTTCTAGGTTACACTCAGCAGACAGAGTATACGATACCTACGTATACATTGCACAGCATTGACTCCCAACGACACACCCCATTCCCTATTCAGGCTCACCACTGAAATCCGCATAACCGAACCCACCCCCCCTCCTCTCCCCCAAGGCCCCCTTCCCCCCTCCAGGTTACACACATATCCATGCACAGCTCCTGGACACCCAAACGTATGCACTCCCCAGACCCATGTGCATATCGTATAGATTACGAACTGCATATTCTACACACATAGCAACCATGCAACATCCTTTCCCGCTCAAGGTGAAACCAGGCGGCAATCCCCAAACCCACTTAACCCAAACAGGCCCGATGCCACGATAAAAACCCCATCGGGCCCAGTCTGGCGGGCCCAGAACGTCATACGGAGTAGCGATCATACAATATGTTCCAATACCGATGTACCCGTATGTACCTCTACCTCTCCGGACATGATTTCCGTTGCCAAAATAGAAACCACTAAGGCTTCCCCGCCCCGATCATGGGGGGGTCAATTAATTTCCAACGTCATATCTTCATTGTCATTATGCATGCGTATGTACATTCTACTGGACGCCGTACTCTGTCTACATGGCTACCTTTCCAGCTCTACATCATTCCAAGAGCCTTTGTCTCGACATGATGTGGGTGGCACCGCGCCACGTAGAGCCGGGGAACTCTTCCGCGGGGGGAAAGGGACTCGGCCGGTGGAAGGGTCAAAGTCCGCGGATACTCCGTTTCGATGTACCCAAGGTATAATACCCCTCCACACGGAGTACTCCGTCCATAAACAATAACAGCGTTGGGGCGAAACGGCGGGAAAGCGGGAAAGAGTCACCCGTGTGGTTCCGTTTGGACGGTCCGAGCCGCTTCCTCGGTGGATGGGACTTTAGTTGGCGATACTCCGTTGGAAGGGCATACCGTTCCAGGGATTGTTGCCCTAAGTACGGAGTACTTTTCACCAAAGTATGTAAAACAAGCGCATAGCGGGGAAAGAGGATACGTCAGCCAGTATGAACCACCGCTGGGTTGAAATCCGGCGCTTTGAGCTCTGGAGGGCTTCCCGTTGTAGTATGGATCGGTGGCGATGGAAAGGGATTTGCAGGAATTGGACATTAAGAAATCCCAAAATCCAGGATCGCAAAGTTCGGTATTGGGTAGACGGGGTAATCCCGTGGCACTAGGGAGATAATGCCCTTTTTGGCTCGTATTTCATCTATTTTACTTCCTTTTTTTTCTTTTTTAGAGAGCAATAGCTCATTCAAGTTAACTAGTTCTATATGGTCTCGGTTCGAGATCCCCCAGTTCCGCAGTTTGCTTTTCCGGAGAAAAAAGTACTTCTTCCCCCTGTTAGTGAAACGGGGATTCCTTCAATTAACCTATCTCTGGTAATCCACTCGACTACACCACGCCACTTCCTAGAGTTGTGACACCTGGAAACACCCGGATGCAAGGGTTACCCGCTGTCACATTGCTTTGTACGGAGTATGGTCCATAGGACCAAAGCGCTGGGTCGCGGGGATACAATAGCGTTCTTTTTTTCTTCCCAACCCCGAGACATGCACCATAATGATCTTGTCAAAAGTACGAATTATGGAATATCTCGGTCCGAATCGTTTTGCAAAGTCCACACAGGAGCGCAAGATATGGAAAATGGCCAATCAGTCAGGGGCCAAGGGGGCTCGCTTCGGGGCAAAGCCGTATAACCCGGTTCCAGAGCTCTGGGAAGTGAGCGTCTGGGTCTGGATGGGGCAACGGGTAAGGTATTGTGGGCTCGTTATTTCCCTTTGTTGTTCTTCATTTTAAAAAAAGAATGAAGTGGCTGGGGCTAGAAGAGAGGGGAGTCGGGGAATCGGGGAATCGGGTTCTCAACGGTCAACTAACCCGATTGGGAACGCTATTTCGGGCTTCGATTTTCATGACTCGACAACATATGCTGGACGATGTATACAGTAAGGGCGAAAAATACCTCTCATGAGATCTATTCACTCAACAATCTGGCCATACCTACGGAGTAGCCCATACTCAGATTCTAGTTCAATTGTCACGCTAGGCATGCGAGTCACCGGTTTCTATCTACTCGTAGAAAGCAACCCGAGTCATGACAATTCGATCATGCGATCCTGCATGAATAATCGACCGAGACGCTGTCATGCCCGGGCAAGCATTTTGTCTAGACTGCCCAGTGCCATCCTTGCCTCCAGAGGATCTCCATGACCATGTAACAGGTTCAATCCGGTTAGGCCTCCTTCTCTATCCGGGTCGTTGCATGGAACTATACGCTATCTACTCCGTACTCTGTACACCGGACTCCGTATCTTTTCGAATTTCACGGAATGTGCATATTACAAAGTACGAAATGAAGGTATCACAGATCAAACAAGACGTATTCATCCATCGAAAGCATGGAATATGACAGCTTCATCAGCAGGGGGGGTTTTCCGGGGTTTGCCGGGATTTGAGTCTAGTCTAGATTTCTCCCGGCATCGCCTGTCTTTACCGGATTCCCGGGTTGAATAATCGAGGCCGTCGAATTGGATGGACATCCTACCCGCGCGTAAGCTGGGATCTCCTTAATCTGATTAGAGTTTGTTTCGAGGGCAAGGGGGCTTATTTAGAGTAGATCCTCCTGTCAGGAGTGGAGTGGGATTCTTCCAGATGGAGTACAGCTTGAGCTTGGAGGGTGGATTCGGTGGTTTCTGCTAGTCTACGCGTGGCTGGTTGTTACTATTGGAGGGCAGGATCCGAAGTACGGAGTAAGCTCGGAACCCTTGACTTCAGGGGGTATAAACAAAGCCTACAGAGTACGTACGCAGTAATGTCTCAATTTAGAGAACCCCAGAGTGGGCCGTAGGGTTGCGTTGTACGGAGTACTCCGTACTCCGTACGAAGTGCGGACTACCTGGGTAGCAGTGATGAAGTTCCTGTTCAATTTGCCCATGCCTCTGCACTCTCCTACAGAACACTGACAACAGCGAGGCAGATCTAGCCATGGCCTATGACCCTTTACTCGCGAAAGCCTTCCACCTACAATCACCACCAGCTCCTATATCATGACTTCTGCAATGATCTCGGAAAGAAAGACTAAACCTTGATCCTCCGACTAATCTGCTCCGTCCCAGCAGATCTCTCAAAATCAATATCAGCTACCAAATCCACCCGACGTCCCAAAGCCCGCCGAATAATCCAGTCCTTGCTATTAATCTCCTCCTCGGTCTGACCATCCTCCATAGCCGGAATCCGATCAGATCCCTCCAACCGCCGCAACAACACACTATCCTCAGGCCGAGCAAAATACACAAGACTGTACCGCGTCAACTCCGCCTGTAGTCCTGGCGGGGCCACAACCCGGTGGATATTGGATCGAAACAACCCATTCGTAAACTTGACCATCGCATCACCAAGATTGACAATAGCATGGCCAGGAAGGGGTCTCACATAAACCCATTCGGCATCAGCGCCTGGTGGTAGCACTTGGAGTCCCCCAGTCGGTTGAAGAGGACTGTGACGCTGCCAAAGTCGGTGTGCTGACCCAATGCAGTCCGTCTATCGTCTGCTGGCTGTGGTGGAGCTTTGACGAATCGGACCTGGTCGCCACTTACAGATTGTTGTCGGTGTAGATTGGGGAGTGTGTCTTTTGGTAGGGCGAGTTGGTCGTTTAGGATGGTCAGAATTAGGGTTACGATTGCGTGGGACCCCCGCATGAAGCTTCCCAGTTGGGCCCGGCTTTGGTGCAGGATTTCTGGTGCCGGCAGGGGATCGCTAATGCCTAAGATATCGTCTTTGGAGACCTAGGCCTAACTGTCAGTTTACTGCAGAAATGGATGTGTGGCGGTGCAGACATACATTGTAGAACTCGTTCCGGTCCAGATTCCCCTCTTTGTCGACCACCGCCGCTCCCTGTGCTTTATATCCAAAGTACGAGTTCTGTCCACTGAAATCATACTGTTTCTTCTCCTCAAGATTCAGCTCGAAAAGCCCCGCTCCAACTTCGAACAGCTTGTCTGCATCGCCGAGGAGTGATGCGCCTTGCTCCGAGTCTGACAAATCGAGGTAGAAAAATCCGATATCTGTGGACGCTTGGAACAGTCTTCTGTACTCCCCAGGGTTCCCTGCGAGTAGCTTCCCCGATGACAGTCGAAGAAGGGGTGCCGTCGAGACATCATCGGGGAACGGAGGAATTCCGGGGAAGTTGTTGGGGATATCCTTTAGATCTGCCCGTGGCTGCATATTGATATGATGGGAATCACGGGGCTCAATAGCGCACTGCAGCTATTTTGTCTTCTTGATTATGATGTATCACTGAAAACGAGATGGGAGTGGTGGCTTTAGCACTATATTGATCTAAAATGATATATGCGGGGAAGCAGCAAAGAGCCGAGGGAATACCCATTATTGAAAGAGATTGATATCCGAGCATTAATCTCATCGGTAAGGTAATAAATTGGCTACATCCGTAGTCAGGTAATTGATACAGATGCGGGTTGTATATCATGGGTTTTTCTACGTATTATATGCAAACTGATGGTATATATCAACAGGCTTGTAGGCTCAGGCTGGGAGGTCTTCGAGGAAGCCTCTCAGACAAACTCGTGAATGATATCGACTAATTTCAAGATTTATACATAGACATCTTGATCCCACTTAATATGCTACTTCACAGAATAGTTTGTATATTTTGACTGAGAAGATAGGTGAGGTACCTTTGAATACATCAACACCAGGATTATAGGAATCACACCATCCAAGCTTGATTCAATGATGGAAGAACTTGAAGCTATAAAGAATCCAACGGGTATACAGGTCTTGCATTATACCTCGAAAGTAGTCATGAACATTGAATGCATCCCAGTAAACATTGCTTCGACATGGAAGGTGGTCTATGACATGGCCTATCTTATCGCGAGACCCAATAATTTTTCGCTCCAACAGCTCAACCTCCAATCCAAACACTCTACAAACACTCAACATCCGAGCCAATCGCCTCTAGACCTAATCAAAAAATCCATATCAAGACCATACGAAGGCCCCGAGCAACCCAAAATGGCCTCCGTCCCGGCCCCAAAGTCACACATCGCGCACACTCTCCTCTCCCGCGCCCACTCCCCAGACAGCGCAACCCAACAATTCACCGAGCGCATTAAACAAAAACCCCTCTTCCTCCGCCCAACATCCCCCTCAGCATCTGACAACCGCTCCCGGCGCCGCCTCCACCGTCTCCGCAAGAAAGACTACTTCCTCCGACACCAGAAGCCGCGACCGCTGTCAGCGCGCGAAAAGCGCACTTCGGGGCTCTACGATCTGCCAAAGGAGGAATGCAAACATGCCATATTCAAGGGCCTACATGAATTGTGGGTTGGGTATATGCAGGAAATCCTGGATATCAAGGGCGGGCCACATGGTCATATTACGCCGGCGTCGCATGGGAGCAAGCTTGTCAGTGCGGATTACCATGGTGCGGAGGTTGAGGTGGTGCGGAGTAGGTGTCCTGGAAGAGTTGGGATTAAGGGGATCGTAGTGCGGGATACGAAGTTTACGTTTGTGATTGTTACGGAGCAGGATGAGATGAAGAGTGAGTTTGGCTTGTGCGGGAAGTGCTATAGTGGTCGATTATGCTGACTTGGGACTTGTTATAGCCATACCGAAGGAACATACCGTTTTCCAGTTTACAGTCCCTGTGCCAACGCCGGCTGAGGGTGCGGATCGGCAGGAACAGTCTGCTGATGGTCCCATGCCGTTGGTTTTCGAGCTTCATGGAAACCAGTTCCAGAATCGGCCTGTGGATAGAGCTAATAAGAAGTTCAAGTGGAGGAATATTGACTACATTTGAAATGTTGGTCGTTCTGTTTGGCGCTCATCGGGTACTGCCGATGGAATCAAGTTCTCGATCTCAAAGCAGCCTCGAGCTGCGACTTCCCTCATGGAATGGAAGCTGATGCTGTGCTCCATACTCCATTTGGTACTTGGGATTTGAGGTTTATCTGCCTATACTTCTCAGACGTTATTCCACAAAAGTACAGTCGCTCTTCTTCCATAAAGCCCACGAACAACATGGACAGTTCGCCCATGACAATGGTCCATCCATGAGGAAACCTACAACAGGGCAAATGAAAGGAGGCCAAAGCCGGGCTTCCAGCCCGAAGAAACCACGAAGTCGCCGGGCAAAAAGTACGGTTGGAACATCGAGATTCCCGAGAGAAACTTATTCCCACCAATTGTCATCTATCTTCACAGCGAAGCTTACGCACACACCTTTTCTAACCCAAATATCACATATAAATGTCGTTTTATACATAATCTGTATCATCACATGTCAAAAGAACAGGCACGTCTGTGTCGGAGTGAACATCAATGAGCTGATCTAGGAGCCTAGGTGACTCGATATGGTAATAGACATGGTGTGCAGAAAAGGATATTCATCTATATACTTTCTGATATCGTATATGATTCTACAGTGTTGTAGGCAGCCAGAATGATGGAACTATGAGAGCACTAATCCTATACAAAGCAAGAAGCATGACCACTACAAAAGACCCTTGGTATGATGTGTAAATGGTAGTTCGATGGATATGTTCTGCAAATGGCATCGCTACCAAATGCAATGCTACTATGAATTGAGCAATGTATGAATACATGCATGTAGATTAGAGGCACAGCGAATCGATACATCCATGCATCGATGGATGTATTTGGTCCTTTGACACCTCGGTCGGAGGGCAAGCCCTAAACGTAGCTGTCTTCACTACCAAGATAGACCGCTATTGTGATGTGAGGTCAGGTTATCATCTGTCTCAATATTGATCGAAGACGACCCAGATCCTCAATGACCTTGTTCCTTTCATTTGGGAGACCATACACTGGTTCCATGAGGAAAATGTGCATCTGGGTTTCGGAATGGTACGATACGATGGAACATGAGCCATGTAATCGCTGCAAGTACAGACAGAAGCTACAAGCTTAATGTTTGGGAAAGAGGAATATTCGAAGGTGTGTGAAGACCTTCAAACCCTTCACCCCTCACATTCCAGCCCATTCAAGACTGAATGTCCGGACACTTTCAACACGCTCAGCCTCTGAGTCAGCCTCATCGATTGTCTTCTGTGATCCACCGATCAAGAATCCCTTCTTCACGCCAGTTCCCAGTCTGCCGCCGACAATGAGATGCATCAGATCGATATTCTCATCCCATTCGTAGGCCACCGCTAGGAAATGCGAGTGGAAGCGCAGCGGGTCACCTGGATAAGCCATGTATTGGCATCCGAAGCGCAGACCAGGGGAGAGGAAATAGCCATTGGAATGGAGGTGAGCGAAGAGAGGATAGGAAAGCGGCACCGCGGGTGCGGAGAGGTGACTCGACGATGGAGGTGTGCGAAGTGGCGGGTAAGATGTTGCAGGCGTGATGACCACTGCCGCCTGATTGGGTTTGTTCGAGACTTTGGTGGAAGGGGATGATATGCCGGAGTCTTCAGCAGCGAACAGATCGACGATGGCAGGGTTTATCTGTGACGGGGTTGGGGTGGAAGTGGCATCTGCGGGTACTGGAGGCGCCTGAGCTGCTGCGGCACTATCGCTGGCTTTCGCCTTCGCCTTGGCTTTCTTCTCGTCTAATTTCTTCATTGTCTGTTCACGGTTCCGTTCCTTGCGATCCGTCTGGATGCGCGACACATGCTGACCCTGGGATTCGAGGTCGCGGAGATACCGTCTTCGATCCTCTTCTAAGAGAGTGTTCATGCCTTCATGTGCCTTGGCTTCGTCTACAATGCAAGCTACACCCTTGTCCACCAACAGCCGTGCCTCCTCGGGCATCAGCTCCAGTGGGAGACCCAGGAAGACATTCTGCTGAGGAATCTGGGGCAGCGTTCCGATGAGGACCCCACAGATGTGATGCTCACGGCGCAGGTAGGTCACGGCATCGATTGAGAACAGTAGGTATCTACCGGATACATAGGAGATCGGGATAGGAAGGTCTGGTTGGAAATCCATTTCTTTGATTTTTTTTGTTCTGAAATTTTTGGAAATTTTTGGAAATTCTTCAAGGATTCTGTGGCAAGGACAGTTAGCGTTTGTCCAATATGCAGATATGCAGATGCCAGCAATATATATTTGAGATCGCGAATCATTTTCCAGTACGTTTCTCAGCAAGCGCTCAGTGACGTATCAAAGAGCTTCAGGGGATTGACAGATTGTATTTGAATAATCATGCGAAGTGGGAGGGACGAATTTGGGGAAAGCTTACCATTAAAAAAGTATTAGAGTGTCGAGAACATCATCAAACATAGGCTTGCCGTCGAATTAGACCAACAAAGCCACAGCTGATTGCATACAGAAGAGAAGAAGAGGAAAGCAAAAAAAAAAGTGGAAGAAAAGGAAAAGCTGAGCTTCCGAGCTAGTCCTGTTTAGGCATAGTCATCTTGGCAAGCGAACTGCTGTTGAGCATGGCTTCTGTTTAACATCATCATCATTGACATTCGTGAAGTATTCTAGTCTTCTTATATACTGAGGCATCATGGGTTTCCTACTACTGATGTTCCTGGTATTCTTTGCCCCCCTGATGCTCTTTGTTGGTCAGTATTACACAGCATCCATTGCCAGACAACTACCTAGGTAGCCAGTCCGCATTACTAACACCGAACAGCATGGCTTGTAGCGTCATCATGCCTAGGGAATCGTCTTCGTTCTGTTCGACCAGGGTGGGATGCGTACGGAGCGAGCTATCTCCGAACAATGGCTAATTCGGGTCCCGCCATGTCCGAACAAATCGAGATGGACGATATGCTCTCAGAACCAGGGACCCAACGACACTTCGAGGAGGACGATTGAGTCTGGGCAATCACGCCAATTGTCATGCCTCTCAAAATTCGAGATCCGATTTCTTGGGCATTCCGCTGGGAGCCGACGCGTCTTGTGCCTCGGTATCCCCCTCAGCTGGTGGCAGGCTGAACGGCTTAATCTCAAATCGCCGACGGCTCAAAATAAACGCCCAATCCTGTCCAACATTCTGATCGCTTCCACCACCGCGCTCATGCAACACTGGGAGGCGATGAGTCTTGAGCATACCCTGGGGTGGTTCTTCTTGGGAAGTCGCCGCTCCCGAGGTAGCCATCGCATCCGCGGAGTGTGGGAAGGGACAAAGCTCAATGACGCCATCACTGAGCAGCTCGATCCACCGAACCAGGCCTGATGATCGGGGATAGAGAGACAAAGGCATGGTGATCATTGCGGTCACACGGGTGGTGTGCGCACTCATCAGCGCTTTGAGAGCGTGGAAGAACTGGAGAACGTGCTGGGGTTGGCAGGCGTCAGGCGGGTACATTGTGGGGTTGAGAAGAGAAGGAATGACGATACGGTGAATGACACCGGGGCCGCTGGAAGCGATTGTGGTTTGGAGTCGTTTGAGGATAGCGAGGAATGGTGACTCTTTCGAGGGCATAAGTGGAATGAAGGACATGTTGGTGATAGATGGGTGGGTGAGACGTTTTGTGAGATCGAAGGCGTGACAGAAAGCGGGCGCTTCTTTTGCTGTTGCTGCATCCTGCTCCCCGGGATTAGAAGGGCCTATGTTCGTCAGCACGTGGAGCTAGAAGCAATATTTTGGTCTCAACACTCACCACCCCGCGAACCAGCGACAGCCCCAAACTCGCCCAAACGCTCGTATCGCCAGGCAATCTTCATACGATCATCCTTGCGCCTATCAGATCTCTTCTCGTCCAAGGATTCTGCTGAGCCGATCAGGCCAGGCAAACTTCGACCCCATTGCTCTGGCACTCCAATCACATGAACCTTCTGCTCTTGGATCACACCCTCCGCCGCATAGTATCGTAGCAATGCGCCCGCGAAATCCGTAGTTCCATTCTCCTCAATCAACAATAGCTTTCCCATCGGAAGTCCTGCATGGCCTGCAAGAAGATTATCTAGAGACCGAGTCCCTGTCGAGGTTGTTGGACGTCCATCATCGGGGGAGGGGCGGATGCCGGGCGTGCTCTCTGGCGCAGCGGGCTGTGCGGTAGCATTGGGAACAGCGTTGCGGTCCACTCCGGGAGAGAGACCGATATTGCGCTTGCGAAAGGACATGGTAGATCAAACGAAGCCTAGTCCAAACCAGTAAAAAGCTCAAAGCTAGAAGCTGATGTCAAACCAACGAAATCGTTATCGGCGGGGACCAAAAGCGGCAGAAAAAAAAAGCTTCAGTTCTCCGATCACCTCTCCACCTCCGACTCCAACTCTTCTCTTCACTCCACCAACCAATCATTGCGACCCTTTGAACCCACGATAATCTTTGTGCGATCAACTGCACATATCACTCCAAATCCTCCACGAGTAGACCGACAAGCCAGCGGTCGCAATCTTCATCATGTCCGACCCGCTCCTCTTCGAAGATACCTTCACGATCACCTCGATCAACGCCCAGAAATATGATCGTGTCTCCCGTCTTACTTGCAACTCGAACGATGCCTCCCTCACTTTCACCCTGGATGTGAACACCGAGCTGTACCCATGCGCGGTCGGCGAATCGCTGTCCCTCGCTCTGGCCTCGACTCTGTCTCTTGACGGCAAGGAGGACACTCGCGCCAGCTGGAGGGAGGTCAGCATGGGTGACCAGACCCTGGCAGATGACTACGACTATGTTTGCCACGGAAAGGTGTACCGCTTCGAGGAGGGTGCCACCAAGGATACTATGTGAGTTTTATCCTGGATGCGCTTTTAGTCGAATTGCCATCAATTGCAGAAACTAACATTCGAATCTCCAGGGCTGTCTTCGTGTCCTTTGGAGGTCTTCTTCTCTACCTGGAGGGTCCTTATAAGAAGCTTGCTCCTTTGAGAATTGATCACGTGTACCTGCTGCTTAAGAAATAGGCGCATCTCCGTCGGAATTCTTTTTTCTCTTTTGCTTATGACCTTGGCACAGGATGAGATTGATCTTGGATTGATCTCGGGGCGGAGCCCAATTGGGGCAAAAGTCAGTGTATTTAAGCCAGACCGATGTTCATATCGTTCTTATGGGGTGCAGCGCAGGCGTTTCTTTGCATTTTGATTTAGGAATACCAATAGATTATCATCTAACGAAACATGATTTTCGTGGATGCGATGATATGAATGTTGACCGCTCAACAATAGGACCTTTTTCTAGGGCTATTTGATTCGGTATCGCTCTAGAATGGCTGATGACAGCTACACGGTATGCCCAGTATATTTAGTCACTTATCTGGCCGCGTCTCCATGGCGCAACCTAGACTGAGCTCATGATTATGGCTCGCATTTGCAGGATCACGTAGATAGCATTGCATTCGTGATATGTGATTGAATCTTTGCGCGCGCTCGACTAGAAGTTTTCGCCGATGACAAGCCTCTACCCAAATGAAAACGAGATCCTATTTTATAACCCAGATTAGAAACCAAGTCCATGTATCTTATGTGCAGCGTACCTAGTATGTACATACTCTATACCCCAAACAACAAAACATTACAAATCTACCTAGCACAATGCGAAGCAGTGGGATATTCCAAGCGACGATGCAACCGAGCCACAATCTGCAAGAAATCCGGCTCATTCTCCGGCGTCAAAAGCCCATGGCGAACAAAGAAATCAATCATAATGTTCGCACAATTGGGCTTAAACTCACCCCGCGCCAACGCAGCCTGCACCTCAGCAATAGACAACAACTTAAACTCCTCAACCTCATTATCCCCGGGCCTCGGGATCGTCTCAGCATCAAGCTTCAAATCATAAACATACTCCACCTCAGGCTGAACAAGACCCGTCTCGCCGCCCGCCCGCACATCCCGCACATGCGAGTACGTAACACAGCCCCTGGAAACAGTAGCAGCGCGCACCACAGACTCCGGCAATGAAGCTTCCTCCATTGCTTCGCGGACAATACACTCGAATGGCGTTTCGCCGGTGCACATACCGCCTGCAACGGTGTTATCCAGCAAGCTTGGGTACGTCTGCTTGTTCTTTGCGCGACGCGGGACCCAGATTTTGAAACCGGTTGCGTCTTCAACGTAGCCTGTTAGATGGGCGCCGTAGGAGACGATGCCGAAGAGTGGGGATGCGGCGCGTTCCATCTCGAGGAGGAATTCTCCGCCTGGTCCGTAGACGGGGTAGTTCTCGTTTCGCCATCCCTTGAGGAGTTCGAAGTTGCCTTGCTTTACTGCGTTGGCGATGTCCTCGGCGACGAGCTTGCTGCGGTGTGCGGGGGTGGCATCCGCGGGTGTCACTAGCGTCACGGTGCGGGAGGTTGAGTCGATGGTCCAGCAGTTCTCGGACCAGGGGAATTTCTCTACGACTGCGTTCAGGATATATCCGAGCGTGCAGTCGTAGCCGGATACTTTGAATGCATGGTAATTGTTCAAGTTCTCAGTGTAGACGGCGCGATTGTCCTCGTAATAAGGGAAGCTGCGGGGGTGTCAGATGCACGTTTGAGGGAAACAAGAACGGGGGATCTTTACTTATCGCATTCACCGACGAGGTCAAGATTGGATTTCCCCATGATTCTTTCATAAACTCTAGCACAATGTCTCGATGTACGTCTGGAGGTTCGTATAGCCTTTGTCCGGGGCCAAGCCAAACCCTTATCGCAACGATAAGGGCAGCCCCTCTTATGTCACTTTCATCATCGAAAAAAGAGCAACAAAGAGAAGCTTGTAGAACTTGTACAAAGACCTCTAATTACATCTCACCTCTCTCCTCTAGTTACCCCCCAAAAACCTCACCCCCAAAACCTCCCTCCCACCCCGACCTCACCACCCACCATGTTCTCCGTCGTCATCCCCGGCCGCCCATGTCAAACCGACATCGTCGCAGTAGACAGCCAACCAAACGGCCAAGCAACCAAATTCGCCTTCACAATCCCTCTCAGCCCCTCCCTCAGCGAAATAGTCGTCTTCTTCCTCCCAGGAACAATCCTCCCCCCCAAACACCGGCGCCGCAATCTACGCCCAACTCCCAGACCCAACCACCGGCCAACCCTCCTCCTTCCGCTTCATCGGCGCCCTAGCAAACGAAAAGCCCTCGGGGATCTTCACCGTCCGCCCAGCAAACAGCGTCCGCTCCGAAGCCGAAGAAGAAGATGACATGCTCGACGAGGGCAGTGCCACAACAGGCGTGATGACACTCGGCATCTCAATCGAAGCAGCGCAAGACATCGCGCCGCAGCTTGCCGCGCTGGACGCGCAACCGAGCGCGACATCGACCGCTCTCGTCCCGCAAGCTGCGCAAAGACCTATTTCGACGAAGGCGCTTGCGCAGCGGATTATCGGTAGCGCGTTTAATTTCCTCGCTAGCTTTGCGACGTCGGATAAAGGTCAGGACGTGGTGCCGTTGAAGAGCTTCCATGATTGGTGGGCGAAGTTTGAGCATCGCATTGATCTTGATCCGACGTTTTTGGAGCGCGAGGATCCTAATGCTAATGCTTGAGCTCTTTTTTGGCTCTTCTCCTGGAGCATGTGGGCTCTGGGGTAGTAGGGCTTTTTGGGGATCGCCAGTCAATGCTTCCTTTTTGCGGACTGCATTTGGTGGACCCGCTTTGTTGTGGGTGTGCAGCAAGTAATGTTGTACATGACATCTCTTGCATGTAGTGGTTAGCGACTTTGTTTTGTGTTTTGGATTTGTCTTGATACGTGTGACGATATTCTGCTTTCTTTTTGTGATCTACTAGAGTTCAAGTTCATCTCGTGGATAGCCAAGTACTTGTCTCTTTTGTTTATAATATAACTTATAAAAGCTAAAAATGTACAACCACTTCAATCTAAATATCCGAATGCATGAGTTTTTGATATCAATTATGTTCTTGTCATAAAAAAATTATATACAATTTTCCTCCAGGGCTGGTATAATTAAAGAAATATCCGCCTGCGATATCCCAAGTCATCTATCCCATCGCTCATATACTCCACATCATTGCGCCAGCCATAACATGCATAAAAGTGAAAACAAAATGAAACAAGAAAGAAAAAAAGAATCAGTGAGGCCCACCGCGAGAAACATTCCTCAAGGTCGAATCAGGCCTCAACCGTATACCAGGCGAATAGCAAAGACTATACAGCTCATCGACATAAGTCGGAGGAGTGGTATCACCACCAGCAATGACAGTCACCTTCGCATCCCGATTACCCGGGTTATTCTGTGCAGCATTGTCATTGAGATGGGTAACGTCCACGCGGACCTCCTTGCGAACCGTAATATCCCGCAATGCCACAGCAGTCGACTCATTCAACGACTCCTGCGAGTATCGCGAGCCAGAGCTAGAATGCGAAGTCGGCACACTCTTGCGGGACGACCACAGACGCAGAATGGCCATTTTGGCCGAGGAGGCGAAGTCGCTTTCGCCGGCGCTCGAGCCTGAGCGCACGTCTGTGCAGAAGAGTTCCTGGCCTAGTTCGCGGGCGAAGTCGTCGCCGTCGCCGAAAGCTTCGTTGATTTGTTGCTGGACGCGGAAGAGACGGAAGGGGGTGAAGGTGTAGTCTGGGTTTGAGATTTGGGTGTCGAGCGTGCCGACGACGCAGAAGCTGAGGAGGGTGCAGTGGGTTTGGGTGGCGGTTTCTGGGTTTGCAGATCCGCTGCGGCAGGGTGCTGTTAATGGGCGGGCGGAGAGTTGTGCTGCTGTGCGCAGGTCTTCGGGCAGGGAGTTTGAGAGGGAGGTGATTGAGTTGGCGAGGTGGGAGCGGAATTCGACTAGATGTGGGAAGGCTTGTGAGGCGGCTTCGGATTTTAGGTATCGCATGCATGTTTCCATGGACCAGCCTTCCATGTGGGTGATGAGTTCGAGATGCTGGACTTGGAGGTATTTTATGGGGAGGGTTGAAGATGGGAGGGGGTTCCCCACGCCCTTTACAGTGAGGATTTCGAAGTGATCGTGGATGGTTGGGCGCATGACGAAGGAGATGAGATGAACGCCCTCGTCGAAGCCGCGATTGGAGGTTGCATAGTCGCGCATATCGCGGAGGGCATCGGTGAGGTTTGCTTCGGGGACGTGAATGCGCCGGGAAAGCATTCCTGTGATGTGCTCGATAGTTGCAAACCGGAATCCATACGATGCCAGTCGTCCTGCTTCTTGCTTGTTGAGCTGGCGGACAGTGAACATCAACTGACCCTTGCCAGTGCGGAGGGAGGAGCGGCCCATTGCTCGAGAAAATCGTGAAACGGGGATAGCGGTAGAAAGGACATCGTCGTATAGTGTGCCGAGTTCCTGGAGCGGCAAGTGAAGCTCATCCGAGAGCTCTTGCGCTGTAACACAGAAGAGTTGTTTGAACAAGGTATCAAAGTCAGTTTGCAACTCCGTGTCCTTGTCCATGTATACTCCACGCGAGAGCACATGTTTCTCGATGGCGCTTTCCTCGGAATTCAGACGATTTCGCATGAACGGCACCAGATCCTTCACGACGGGCCAATTCCGGGTTGCCCTGAATGCCCACAAGAAAGTAGGGTGAGTACGAGTAAGGTCGTCATCTTTGAACGTCTAATTCGGAATCGGTCAGTCAAGGCTCCCAGCACACTCTCTTTAGGAAGAACATACCCGTCCAATATAATGATCGACAATCTTCCTCGTAGGAAGCATAGCCTGCGACGTAACCATGATTCGCCCAGCGGGATCAAAGTAAGCACAAGCAAGAACAAGCTGATGGGCACGAGTTGTCGACTTCCTGAGGTTGCGTCCAGCCAAAATAGCACAGAACGACAAGATTAGACACGCAACACAAGCCTAAATCATTGTCAGTCTCCAACTCCAATACTCGCAAAGGACATCGAAAGCATACCAGCACAGCGCAGACAATAGCAACCTGACTCCTCGACAATTGAGTTGATTTCATTTCCTTGCGCTGGTGATCATGATACACCGTCCCGACAGCTGCAGTCCAATGCATACCGGAGACAGCGCAAGCCAATAGACACGCACAGATACCTCGTCTCCACCACATATCAGTCCAAGTTGCTCTCCATCGGAAAAAGATTCCGAGGGCACCAGTACTGGAGAAAATCGCAATGATCGCAGCACCCACCACGTTCCCGACATGGTAAGTGCAGCGGTAATTTGAGATTCCGAGTTGACCGATGTAGTGCATACCGCAGACGGAGCTACCGGTGAGCAGGCCTCCGACGAGAATGCGAAGATAGCCCGCCTTCTCCTGGACGCCCACGGCATAGAAGGCAATCAGGAGGACTACCACCGGAAGCACGAAAGACGTGCCCGTGAAGGCGACATTGTACATGACTTGTACGGCTGCCTCGCCGTCATCAAGGACGATCGCGCGGTTCCCGATAAAATGCATACACCAGATTCCAATGCCGCCCATTGTGATCGAAGAAGTAAGAAGCAGGTACCTGATCGTTTGCATCTGGTTAATATGACTCGGATTTGGTTGGTGCCATGGCATTTTCGAGCTTACCAGTTGTATAGTCCCGATCTTGATGTCCGCCTGTGGAGAAGCTCCAGTGTCGTTGTGCATCCCATGGCGCTGACCAGATAAGAGAGAACTATATACCCCGCCAGGTACGTAACCTGCACCAGCGGGTCATCGTGAGGGTTTGGAGTCGACATTATGGAAAATAAAAGAATAAGACAGGTTTTATTTGCGCATTGAAGACCGGTGTGCCGCGTATGGCCGAAGATGGGGTGCAGTCGAAGACCACTGTTCTAATCAATATAAATGTGACATAGAGATCTGACTGGTTAGTAGGAGGACGAAGATATCAAAACCGAAAATCCGAGTGTATGAACCCGGGCCCGACGTAAACATCTTATAATGCATATGGCCTTGCAACCACATGTACCGACTCCACGGTATGCCAGGATCATTAACGAATGAGTTGACGTGTACGACCACAATGGAGCCCTAATTCGATCTAGACGAGGTACACTCCACCATTCCAGCAAGCCATACACTGGGCCGAAGCCCACACCTCGCGTGGCAAGGGTGTGGTCTGGTCCCGGAGAAAACCCAGAGGGGAAAAACCCAACCCAAGACAAGCGAACCAAGTAAAGTCTCCATGCCGAGGCTCGTATAAAAAAAAAAAAAAAAAAGCACAAAACCAAAAGAAAACGCAAATTGATTAAGCTAAGCCAATAGTTGAGACCAAATGACAGGGATCCAAAGCCCCACGGACGTGGGAGCGGCATGTACAACCGAGGACAGGCAGCGTCTCAGATGCTGATTGGTTTCCAACGATCTAGATCGGATCGAGGGCATCTGAACCATGGGGCCGAAGAGTCGTATCAAAGGTCTGACTCGTGGCTGTGGGATTTTAGTCGATCTCCTTTGGGGACTTTTACTTTTTATGATCGATCGAGGGTCATGTAGGGGATGTTGGTACGGAGTATACTGTCTGATTCAGTGTGATTGTCCGTACGGAGTACATACTCCATACCCCAATATCGGGCAACCTGTCTCCCATTTCAAATAGATTAAATATTGGGCAAATGGAGTCGAGCTAACAAGCGAATTGAGCATTCAGCTGCGAGTGAGCCACACGGGTCCACAATGCATTCAGACCTCTCTGTCTTTGAAGTACAAACGCAATCCGGTTTGCCAGAATGCCCTTATCTCTTGGTTTGCAGATCCCAGATCAAACCTCTCCGATCGATCACATATCGCGCGAGTGGACGCCCAACACGAATGCCGTCAGACCAGCACGCACATAATATCATTCCACTCCATCCACTCTGTCTCTGCCCGGTACTGCGCGGAAATAGGTCCCCGAAACTTATCGGCGTTCGGAAATCAACATAATAAAATATATTATCTTAGGCCCGAGATCCGACCCTGGGAGATCTCTACCCCTGACTAAGACCTGACTAAGAGCTCGGGAGTCGCACGGCCTGCAAATCCCAGTTCAAAGAACAGAGAGCTGTTAATTAATGAGTCAAAGACAAGGGTACGAGAAATCTCTCATCAAGCGTGACACACAATCTAGATTCTGCACGGCGAACTCCGTCTCCCCCAAAAAAAAAAACCCCCCCTGCACAAATGTCGGAGATTTTTTTGTTTGACGGAGAACACTCTTGATGCATCGTAATCGCCGGTCCCAAGTTAAAGTCCGCCATGTTTCTGATCTGTCAGCCCGATCCAAATACCCCGTACATCCACTCCGATCGTAGCGTCGGCTCGACAAACCACTATTTAGGTCTCTTGGCGTGCGACTTTGTCCTTGTTTTCCCACACCTGAATGTGGGGGATAGGTTCGAACCAAAAAAAAAACGGCCCTGTGATACATCGGAACATGCAAGAAACGTGTATCTGCCCACGAACTGCCAATAGCTGTCAGTGTCAATCACATGGCAAATGAAGCGATAGCTCATGTTTGACCCATCCCTAGCGGGGGATGCATGGGCAGAGCCGGATGCAAGGTTTAGTATGGATCAGAATCTCTTACTTTTTTATATCTTCAAATCTGGGGAAGTCTATTTCAACAAACTCACTCTTACACCTCAATAGCTAATGCGATTCGACGTGGCAGCTTGCTCTCGGGGGGACGGACTACTCGTCTCACTCGTCCATTCGTTCTGCAGAATGCTCATACGCGCTTCGCTGTACCGTCCGCGGAAGCCGACGAAACACTCCCTCCTGGTTCCCTCTTTGGTGAACCCCATGGTCTCATACAGGAGGATTCGACTTTCGTGAGAATCCGAAAGATTCGCCTCCACGCGATACAGATCAGCGCCCTGGAATGCCCATGCAAGAGCCCAGTCGATTGTCTGGGGCTCGTAGATGGCTCGATGCTCGACTGGAAAAGTGATCTTCAACTCGGAGCACCGGTGATGGGCCATGTCTGGGCTTGAAGAGCTGAAGAACACCGTACCCAGCGGATAGTCCATGCCGTATGAATCAGGATCATAGATCACGGCGAATAAAAGGGCATTTTCGAGGAGCTCTTTGCTGAGGGCTGAGGTGAATTCGCGGTCTTCTGGTCGTGGAATCGATGGGCGTAAGGAGGTGGAGATATCGGGATCACTATGATAAAGAGTATGGAAGAACTCGTCATGTTCTGACGGGTTGTAGTTGCGGAATCGCAGAGGTCCGGTCTTGAATAAGTCATATTCGCTCATTGTGCTGGTGCAAACCACTGTTTTGATAGATATTGCACTGGAAAGATCCTCAAGTGATGGTATGTTATGATAGACAGATGAAGATGATAGATGATGGAGAAGATATACGAACAAGGAACAACTGACGGTTTATATGGGCACATGTGCGATTGTTTGCTACCATAAAGACGTGGTATCTTCTCTACTCCTAGATACTCTTTTTGTTTCCTTCACGTTTCTCAGAGCATTTCCTGTTGCGCATATCTACCTGTATGTACAACGTAGTATAGCGTTGAGATAGCCTCAGAGTTCAGGCCAATCTGGTTGTTTCGACCTGTTCCCCAGTCTATACATTGATGACTGGTTTTCCTTCATCCCACGTCTCATCATATAGAAATACCTAGAACCCATGAAAAGCGAGCTATTTGAATTAAGAGACAACATAGTATACTGTATACAAAATAGTAGGACTTAGTCTACCCATCTACACATCGAATATCAACCCTCTTACAGGGGTCTAACAGAGCTCTACAAGTAATAGTGGGGAATCCAACTGCAGGTTGACGCATGTCACAGCTGCCAATCAAGCTACATGCATAGTGCAAGATCTCTCCCGATCCATCACTTCCCCCCAACTGCGACACACCACATGAGAAACTTATGGAAGGGTATGTATTCAGTATCTAATTAAACCACCCAAAGCCCCCCAAGGGAAAAAAAACTCATGTATGAACAAGTCTAAATCTATGCAAGGATGGCCTTGAGACCAGCCTGGATGGCAGGGGGTTGGCACCCTTGACCTCCTGCTTGCGCTCGCCACCGTTGTAGAAGTGGAAGGTAGGCATGGCAGAGACGCCGTTGGCAGCAGCGACCTCGGCGAGATCGTCAACGTCGACCTTGTAGAACTGGACGTTGGGGTTGGCCTCGCTCATCTTCTCGAGGGCGGGGGCGATGGCCTTGCAGGGACCGCACCAGACGGCGTGGAAGTCGACGACGACGGGACCGGTGGCCTCGGTGACCTTGGTCTTGTATTCCTCGACGCTGGGAGGTGTTAACTGGGGGTTCTAGTTCTTTTTTTTTGCTTGGATGGCCGGAGACGGGAGATGGGATGTGGGGGTTTTTTTTCCCTCTCAGACGATGCGCACAGAGAGAATCAACTTTCCAGGCGCAGAGACTTACGTGGTGATAGCAGTGACACCCATTTTGAGAGAAGAAGGCGTGAAGCGCGTGGTAGGTGTAGAAGAGAAAGATCTGAAAGCGGGCTGGACGGTAGTCGAGCGATTGAGTAGCGAGGCTCCGGAGATGATTCTAGGAGTAAAGCGAAGAGATGCGACGACAGAAGGCTTGAACTGGAAGTGGATATGAGTATTTCAATTGGAGGGGTATGAGTGAGGGGCGCTAGGTTTTTATAGGGCCATGACGTTCGCAGCCAACGCGCTTAGGTAAGACGCTGAATAATAACGCAGGAAGTCGACTCCGGAAGTCTCTGGAGCTGAGATGGAGATTGCGATGCTTGCCTGAAGCTGGAATGCTGGTAATACTTACTGAACGCATGATGGGATTTGTCTTGTACTGGCAATGGTGGTCTTGCTTGGTCCAATGAAGAGAGGTGAAGCCGAGAAACAAGGGATGACGTGCCCGGCTGCTAGGTCGCTTACGAATAAGACGGAGTCTGGAACCACAATTGACCGGAGAGCGTGTCAAGGGCCAGCAACATACTCGGTTCAAACAAAGATGAGGTACCTAATCTGAAAGTCCAGGATCTCGTCTCAAATGCTTGCTTAGGATCAGATCAGATTATTTTTTTTTTTACTTCTTTCACATCCTGGTGGCATGGGTTCTAGCAAGCTCGGATTTGAACCAATGCCCTACGCACTATAAACACATACCCTTCCAATGTACAATATGTGACTGTCACAACAAGTGCCGAACTTGACTGATACACTCAATGATGACGATATCATATTCATAAGCATGACTCTAATCTGTTCGTAGCCAGAAAAGCGAAGACAAGCGGCCTAGATGTCTGCAAACCGTAGCATACCGAAGAACAGTACAGTATAACCCAAGTCTACGAAACGACTTTTCCATGTATATCCAGGAAGACAAAAGAAAAGAAGAGAAAAAGAAGAAGGAACATCCAAGGAAGAATATCGTATGAATATCACCAATGGAAGAAAGATAAGGCCAAAGGGCCAGAAGCCGCCAACTATGTGCAACGAAGAAAAGCGCTCGAAAGGAATAAGATTTGTCTCTTGGATATTCAACAGAAGGAATAAAATTTATGCAATAATCGATTCAAACATGGGGCGATGCGGGGGTATCAACAAATCGAATGGGCGAACTCACGGGGGTAATAATGGGATACAGAGCGACAAGGGATATCGGGATAATACAGATGGCCCGGGGGAGCAACTTCAAAACACACAGATGGATATTTTGAACAAAGGAAAATGACAAAGGAAACAAGGTCAAAGGAGTGCCAGTTGCATTTGTGTCAAGGTTATGGTCAGTGGACTATAGGACCAGTCCAACAAGTCACCAGAACCTAAATGTAAATAAGACGATTGTAAATGGCAGATCCAGTTTGACTGCTGAGATATGGCGATCTTCATCGTCATACCCATTCTATTCAGCATAACCAATCTCAGCTCGCGCGCTGGGGATACGGTGCAGTACCGAGGGAGTTGTCTCCTCCATGATATAATCCTCCTCGGCAGAGATGGGAGCCAGGGAGGAAAATCCTCGGAGCATTACTTGTGTTGACTTCGGGCGGACAGTCGGGTTGACCAGGACTGGGCGGCGACCGACTTCATGGTGCCATCTTTCGGCGCTTTTGCTGACAGAGCTGTCGGCGGTTTCCATTTCAAGCTCGGGCTCATCGAGGACAGTGCTGCTCGGACGGCGAGGCTCATCAAGTCGCTCCATCTCTTCTGGATGATCGGCCGAGGTGTCCACCGAGTCTCGGCCAAATGAATTCAGGTTCGATCGAACAGGGCTGCTGGGCTTCTGTGACATGCGGCGGAAATACTGGCCTGACATCCAAGATCCCTCGGAATCAATCGAGGCCAGAGATTGTGAAAGCGGCACGTTGTCGGCTTCTGTGTCAATACTGTCGGAACCCCATGACCGATGGTGACTTCTATTCGGATTTTTGATATCCATGCACGGACTCGGTGTTGGTACTGGCACAAAGGTCTCATGCTTCTCAAGAGAAGATTCCGGAAGTTCTTCCGGGATATCTGGTGACTGTAGACGGGAATCAGGAGGCGACAATGGCTCATCGCCGAAATGTTCAGTGAATTTAGATTGGGAGCGCGTCAGATTGACCGAGGGCATTCGGATCCTCGGTGGGATGACCGACGGTGGAGGGGGTGATGACTGCGTCTGGATTTTGTAGAAAGATTCATGCGAGGCGTTCGAAATCTCCGAGTTGTGGTCCTGGAATCTCTCCTTGTACGTCCGCTTGAGGCGAGAAGAACCACGTCGGAATAGAGATGTGATAGTATTTCCCCGGCGACTGCTAGAGTCGGAAAGGCGGCGTTCTGACTCGACTCCTCTGGAGATGTCCGATGTGGAGCCGGGTCCAAAAGTTTGTGAATGGGTCGGGCTATGCATGCCATGTCGGAGGGATGAATGGGATGGAGAGAGTGTGGTTCGGGACATAGTGACGTCGTTTGATGGGGCGAAGCTAGGACGTTGGTTTAATCTCCGCTCACGGAGTGAAATCTCATCGATGCTTCTGACGACACGAGAGCTTTCCAGTGATTCGCGTCCAATGTTCTCACAATCCTTGGAGCCTCCCTGCAGCCACGATTCGTTTTCCGGCACAGTGGGCATCGATTCTTCAACTTGTGAGAGGACAATGTCTTCGTTCTGGTGGACCTCGTCTGGTTCAGCGACCTCAGCAATGGAAGGCTCCGGTTGAGCGACTTCGAGCTCAGGCTCGGGCTTGAGCTCGGGCTCTGTGGCAGCTTGAGATTTTCGTTCTTCCTCTGCCTGCTGAACATCCGCCCTCTCTTGCAGCTTACGCCGAAGTCGTTCCTGCTCGTCGATCTGCTTTTTCTCCCTGCGGCGACGGTCTCGATCCAGCAACTCCCTCAGAGCCGCAGCATCTAACGAATCCGCCAATTCATTTACCCTTCGCTTGGAGTAATAGAGATCTTCCTCTGAGATGGTCAAGGCCGGAAGCCTCTCTCTGTCATGTCGACTCGAAGGGGGCGGGTTGTTGCTCCTTGCAGTCTGCAGGCGAGGTGCTTCCACATAACGAACGGCAGGACGCGGGGTCAAGGCGGCAAACGCATTGACTTTATAAGTGTATGGGTCTGAGACGTCAGACTTGGAAGAAGCAGCGGACTCCCGGATGGACAGGCTGATGTCAGACATATACCGGTCGGCACGTCTCCCACTCGCCTTCCGGCGGCGGCTTTCCATGGCATAATCCCCGCTGCCTGCAGTGGAACGAGGGATATCGATGGGGGTAGACGAGAGCATACGGATTTCCCGTTCACGCATGATCTCGTTGGCCTTGCGCTTGCTCAACCTCCGTCGTAGTTTGTTTGGGCCATTTTGGCTTGTTTTCCGCCTCAGTAACGACCCCGGTCTCGAAATTGAATGCTCGCGAGGCTGGTTCACTGAGTGATCGGCGAGCGAAGCAGGACGGTTGGTTCGATTTGAAGACAGGGTTGGACTACGTCGGCTATCTCCAATATCGGTACGTGTGCGGAGGATTTGACGTTTAGAAGACCTGCGGCCCAAGGTGGGCTCTTTCGCGATTTCAGCGTTTGCCAAGGATGACTGGAGGTCAGTAGCTTCGGCACCGGTCACCTGAATGGTGTGCCGCTTGCTCTTGCGACCAAAGGGCCATATCGCCATGGCGAGTGTGGGGGCACAAGCCCAGAGACCAGTGGGATCAGTTATCGGTATCGGTACGGTTGCGCAGCGGTTTGACTGAACTCATGGAGGGTAGAAAGTGGGAAGGAGAGTGAAGAATGAACAAGGTTGGGAAAGGTCAGGGTGGCAAGGGTCCCGGCGTCATATCAAGGAAAGGGGATAGGGAAAGGAGGAAGTAGAAAGTAGAAAGTCACGAAAAAGAAATCCCCCAAGGGAAAAAAATTGGGGAAAAAATGGGAAAAAAAGGACAATCAAAAATATGAAAATCCCAATGAAAATAGGGAATCGAAAATAGGAAATAGGAAATAGGGAATAGGGAATAGGGAATAAGAAATAAGAAATAAGAAATAAGAAAGGGAAAAAAAGGCCCAATCACTTTTTGTTTTTGCCCTAAAAATAAAATCTCCCCTTGGCATTCTTGCTTTCTTTTCTTTTTTTGCACGCGTTTATTGCCTATATACGGAGTACGGAGTACCTATAACACCTAATACTCATACCGTCGGTGGTATCACGTCCCTGGTACCTGATCCTCATGTCGGACAGAATTTCACTTGTCACACACATCTTCTAGACTGTTAGATTTGGAAATTGGCAGTTGGACCTGTGGGGGAATCCACTTGAGGGGCCCAGAATGACGCACTGGCCCAAATTTCTCAAATACAATCCCTTTATTGACAGATCGCGAGGTGTAAGTGCCTGGCCCATGGAGACCCATGGAGGCCCACGTTGGCGATGATCAGACAGGGATATACTATACCATCCTCACGACGCCGTCCCTGGTCATGGACAGAGGACATGAAGGCCCCTCGTGGGCACACGAGAGCCAAGCCACCGTTTAAACGCCCGGTGGAGCCCGAGCCGAGTCCAGGAGCCTTTTCGTTGGGTTGACACGCGGGACTGGAGTCGATCGGACTGCGTTGACCGTCTGACCGTGGTTACGATCGTGTTCCGGGTTCTGCACACTCGTTGGGTACGGAGTACATATGTACGTATGTTATACGGATGGACTACGGACGATGTAGAGATATGAAGGATCGGCTCCAATAGGTCGATGGGGCTGTCTTAGTTTCCGTTATAGTACGAAAGACATGTCGGAACTGTCCTTTATTATATTATTATGGACCTACGGTGCTCCGGACATTTTAATCTGCAGCCGGATCCTCTATATTGCATTGTTCGGGTATTGTCAGCGTCTGCCTTGGCTCTATTCAATATCACTGTGGACAAGGGCGCCTGGCAACCCAAACCTGGTACGACGTACGGAGTACGGAGTACGGGCATGCGGATTATAATTGAAAACTCGGCGGTTGCAAGGTGCCAGCACTATTGGGTCCCAGATAAGATCGACTGACGGTGCTATGTCGACTGCCCTTGCCTCTCCCCTAAGACTGTATTCTTCTCCTATATTGACGTTCCCTTTCCTCCATATGCCATTCTCCATGCTGTTTCAGCTCCCGTGTTCCATCTACACGCTGAATCGTGGCATTGCATACTCTTGCCACTTCACTGCCCCGTCTCAGAGTGTTCCACCGTGGTCCACCACGGTCCACCGTGGCCTGCATTTGGATCGGAACGGACCCCCTCGACATCCAGTATACAGCGGAGAAGGCTGTTCGGTGATGACAAGGACAGGCGACTCGACAACGGACCCCGGGGTCAGTCCTCCAAATCCGTGTTGGCAGGGGGTTTGACAAGCCACGAAATCTGCAAGGAGCAGCCGCCACAATCAAATCCCAGTACGGAGTATTGTACGGAGAACTCCCGTATTTTGGTTTTCACTAAGACATAAGCTCATCGCTGGGCGTTTGGAATATCCCACCGATCTCATTTCCGATCCCGTCCTTCACTGCGTCAGGCTCGGTATTATAGCATCGCCATTTACGGAGTATCTGATTCTCTGACCTCACTGACACATTCCGAACCACTCGTCCATTCGGGATAAATTACACACGGTGACAGACAGGAAGGATTGCGCCGTGGCAATCAACCCCCAAGCCATTGGGGGGTCGCCACGAACACAATCCCTACCGCAAGATGCCGAAGCCAAGGCTACCCAGCTCACGATAATTGACACACATCACCTCCCCCAATTGGATCAATCCAAAATAATAAATTGAGACCGCCAACGCACAATTCCCTAAACGCCCCGACATTTCTAAACCCCTACACCGAAAATCCAATATGCAGACCCGCATGCCATGTGCAGACAAATAACTTTCAAAAACCCCCAAACCCCCCCAACGGCCATGTTCGCTTGAACTGGTCCATGTGCGCGCCCGCAAAAAGTCAACCCAAAGTTGCGACCAGCACAAACGGGATGAACCTATTTTGCCCCCGGAAGGCTCGATCTCTCGGGAAAGAGGCCTCAGTGACTCATGCGTTTTCGTAGTCGATTCGGCTCTCGCTCCAAAATACTGTATCTGCGGCTCCCGCGGCGGCTCAGAAGTCGTCTGATAGACCAGCCACTGTGGCCGTGGGCATCGGGAGTAGACCGATACCCAGATCCTGTCTCGGGTCCAGAGTAGAGCTTCTGGCGAGACTGGGTGCCTGCTGGTTGGGCATCCATAGTTTTCCGGTTTGTGGGAGCGTAGACTAAGGTAAGGCGTACTCCGTATAGTATAGCTGGTATAGAGCGGGGGTGGCTGGTATCCGCTGACCGTTGGATCGCGTAGATGCAGCTGTAGTTTGTTTGAGAGCTAAATGGCTTAGGGGTGTATGTGTGTACTATCCTTCTCTGTTTGAGGAGGTGAGGTGCTAGGGTGTCTGGTCAGGGACCGGAGAGCGGGGTTGGATTCTGTGGGGGGCATGACGAGATACTTCTTTGTTGATCATCTTGGATCTGGGCGATGGAGACAAGTGATTTGAGGATTTCTTTTTGGTGTAGAGCTTTCGGGGATCGGTCGATCGGTGTTTAGGGAACGTGTGTCTGCGCTCATCTGCGCCCATTTGCGCCTAATATGGTTGGTCACTCGTGACTTCCGGTTGTTCCAGGCTGATTAGGCCTTCAGCGCGGTTTGCCTATGCTGTAGACTCTATTTTTACTTGAGATCAAGTGATACGATTGGGATGCAGGCCGATAGTGATCTGTGTCCACTGGGTTGGGATTTCAGGGTCTTGGTGCAGGTTTCTGTAGCTGTGGAATATATATTACGACCTAGTCACACTTAAGAATGAAACCCGCTTCCGTATGTCTGTATTTCTAGGGAATCCCTAACCCCATTGTACTCCGCATCCTATACGGAGTACAGAGTCCGACATACACTGGATTTGAGGCCGCTCGACATGGCTTTCCCTTCCCGTATGAGTGCTTACCCCTTGCCGCTTTTTGCTCACCGAGTAAAACCGAGCGCACCGGGTGCGGATCTGGGGTCTTTGCATTTGCATGGGATTAGATAGTCCATTTATCTTGGATAATACCAAGGTCTAGTCTTAAAATCACATGGTTCTAATGGGCACCGAGTTTTCCTTATAGACACCACACAGGAGAGCCACCTGACCTTAAGAGGTTATGAAGCTATTCGCAGAAAGCTTACGATCAATAATATGAACACAACAATTTTGATTTGACAAACATCTAATACAGAACATGCTGATGAAGTATATATAAAATCACCCAAGGATACGTCGACCGACCCTAACTGTGAGGTCAATAAAACGAATGACTGCATGTAAATACCCACACTCTTTGAAGTCTACAACCCGGTAGATACCAAAGTTCTGCCATTGAGATTATCCAATCCAGTGCAGAACGAAAAGAAGCAACCTGAAGTCAGGTTCTCCCCCTTCTTTTCTTCAAAATGTCCTATCACAGACGGATAAGAGTGTCGAAACCGGTGGTGCGACCAGGCTTGACGTTCGGGTCCTGATTGTCTTTCATCAGAAGACAAGTATTGACGCCGCCCCTCGATCTCCAGAGAGCGCGAGTGCAAGTGCCTTCGGGCTTAGCAGAACATAGCTGCCCGCAGGTATTCAGATCGGGGACATTGGTAAGGGTGATTGTTCCACTTGAGTGCGCGAGATCTGCAAGATGGTGATTAGTTCAAGTACATCGCAAGTGATCGTAAGTAACTCACTCGCTTTACACCAGACCCTGTATTGCTTTCCATGAATGACGGCAACTTTTCCATCTCCTGAATCGCCTTTTTTTATTATTCAGTAAGCAATCGTGACTTCAATTCAGCATGGCTGCGGGCGTCTCTTACAAACAGCGGCAACTTCCTTCAAGGTTGTTGCACTTTGCGCAGTTGTCAAATCCAGCTGACACTGAGCAAGGTCATCCTCGCACTTGGTCAAGTCATTTGGGCACGTTCCAACCGGCTGTTGAGGCGGAGCCGGATTATAAGGGTTGTATGGGTTGGCGGGGGGAGGTGGCGCGGGAACCTTCTTCATGTAGACGCTATCTTGGAATGATATGGACTGGCCGCCGCCAAGATCGAGGAGACACTTTTGATCGGTTGAACCCCAAGAGCTTCCGCCACATGATGTAGCAGAGTTGGCGCAAAGCTCGGCGCATTCTTGAGGCGAGTTGGCCAGGATGGCATTACCGCTGAATGGGCCAATGGTATCGCACTTGTACTCAACCCAGTACCCAGGGTTGATTTCATAGGCTTTGCCATCATCCTTGCCGGGGCAAACACTGGCAAAATTCGACTGGCCCAAGGCTAGGACGAAAAGAGAGGTGTTGATGGTAAGAGTTTGGAACCTCATCTTGGAGTGCGTTGAAAATCCTCAGAGTTGAATTGTTCTGTAGAGAGAATGGATAAAGATGATGGAGACACATCGGCTGGTTGATGAAGGCATATTTATATTGTTATGTGAACGTTCACAAAACAGATCTACACCCAAGTGATATGGGTAGATTCGACCTATGCACTCTACTTACAGATATTGTCGCTGATCAATGCGATCACCTGTTCATGGCTCTCTTAGAATTCGCTGTGTCATGATCAACAAAGCAGGGGCTAGCTAAAAGGTGGATCCTCGTATATCATCGTCGCATGCGGAGTATAGGTAGTCTGCAAGGAATACATCAAGAGCATAGGGAACCAGGACCTCGGGACCGTCATTAGGTTAGTAATATAGTCGTTCCATATAATAGTGAAAGAACAAAAGCAAAATTATGTGGTTATCGTGATGACCATGCGGGCTTTCTAAGCTTCTAAGGTTGGAAGATTCCAGCGTTGATACACTTTATATTTTTAGTTCCAAGGTTAGCTCTCACGCACCATGTTCCGTTGATAGCACCGAACCTTCAGTTGCGCCCTCGAGCCCCACTTTGTCTTCACGCTGTGTGACCTACCTAGGTACGCAACCAAGACGCTGTGTTTTCTTTTCTTTTTTTGTGTGCGCGATAGAGCCTATCTCCTAGTGCTATTTGCTGTTGTTGAGATGCCTCTCAGTGCCTCTTCCTCCAAGACTCTCGTTGTGCAGACTGCGCCTGATAGTTGTTTGCTACCTTAGAGGCTATAAAGTCCCAGCTTTCCCAGAGACAGACGAATAGGACTTTTTCCTTCTCTCTCTCTCTTCCCTAGTAGCCTCAAGAGCTATTACTCCGTAACTGTGAGATACTTAGACCCTGAGCCTCCTCATAAAGCGGCACCCCGATCGGGAAAATTCGTATTCGCGGCCTACAATCTGGTACATACTGCTATATTGTGTGTTATACACCGAGAATGTAGAATATGTCACGCACTTGAGCTAACCTTGAGAGATCGGGATACTTCATTTCAGATTGATTAAATCTCTCATAGTTTCAAACCATCCCTAACCCGGCCTCTCATTGGCGGAGCAAACCAATCCCACCCGTCTTTATGCCCAATGCCCGTGATTGATCTGGCGATCCATGACTCGAACTGGAAATTTCTGCTAGGGCATGTCGCACCAAGAGGTCTAGCATTGAAATGCCATGCGATATCAGACGGAGCAAGACCATGTGAAGTAATAATCTTCTCCCAACCCCGCATCGATGCTCAGACTCCGGGCTTTAATGGACGGAGACAATCCTAGCTCGCGTTCGTATTGGATGGAACAACTCGGAAGAAAAAGATGAGAGAAAAATAAATAAATTCTAGAACCCGTCAAGAGTCGGTCTGGTTGGGTTTAAAATGTCCGGACAGACATAACATCCCATCAAATGCACCCATAGTCCCTTCTCTCTGTTTCCTGCTGTACGGAGTATATCCCAACCCATAACCCTCCCGTTCTCCTACGTGTCTACCCGAGGTAGTTACGGAGACAGACTACTTCACTAGCCAAAACACTGGCTTCGTTTTACCTGCGGATCCTCCGGCTTCCTGATCGCCTGACACATTCTCCCAGTCCCACACATATCCACCCTGAACGCAGAACCATCTCACCGACTTTCTAACTGAAGTCCGTCTTCAAGTATGGCAGCGTTGTGGATATTTGTGGCCCTCGGTTACTTGCTGCTGTATGCCTTCGCCGTGACGCAAACCCAAAATTGGCGCGTTTTCGTCACAAATCGCATTGCCAATTGAGCTCTTCGAGTTTGGCGCGTTAGGCGCGTCAAGAGATTGGGGAATGGCGATGCCTTTTCTGGCTCTTGTGTTCTGATCGAACAATTCGCTTACCCGGCTGTGCATTTGGTATTGAGAGGCGAGGGTGCTCAAACCTGATCCAAGATTCACGACTGTCTTTTACGACTATTATAACAACTTATCTTTATCGATTCACCCGGGGGATGAGGGGAGATGACGATTGATATCCTATCGAGGCTGGTCCCTTTCGCGGAGGTCGATTCGAGACTGCAAAGGGGCTTCGCTACACCTAGACTCTTTTTACGATTATTGATGATTATGACGAGACATGATTTTGATGGATGGCGTTGGATACCATGGGAGACGAGACTACACTTTTGTATGTCGTTTAAAAGACTTGAGATTCACATTTTTTTTGGTGTTTGTGCCCTATCAGCCTTTTGACACGCAAAAAGAACCCTTCCAAAATGATTCCATATTCGTATCCCGGGGTGTAGAGGACAGTATATAAGAGGGGCGTGAATGACCGTCCCCGTCCCTGCAGCCGATACTTGTGCTGCACACTGGGGATCAGTTGACAGATGTTCACATTGAATTAAGACCCGAAGAAAGGGGCAATCCCCGTCTTGTTCTCCTTCCACATGGCAGGGTGCATTGAATATAGGGATTGCATCAAGCCCTTCTCCGCCTAGGACCTTTTTGTGGATTTTTGAAAATCAACTAGTCGAAGTACAGTAGTAAATCTTACAACTGAAACAGCGGTTGTTTTCTTCAGAACCAGATCTTGATCAACTCCTCACTGACAGCACTGGGCGTCAACACACCGCTATCTGTGATCAGGGCGGAGATCAGATGAGGCGGAGTGAAATCGACCGAATCGCAGAGGGGTAGCTTGATTGTGGCTTGTGCATTTGTCTGCTGCTTGCTCTCCTCTGCAAGGTCCTCCTCGGACTTGAACTCGAGCACGTGCTGCTCAATCGGCAGGTCATACTGACCAAGGGGATACAGGCGAACGAACTTGTGACTCTCAGCCACCACATAGAACGGCTTGCCAATAGCCTTGGCGAGGAGACCGATTTGGTATGTTCCCATGCGAGAGACAATACCTCCATTTTCAACCACACCTTCAGCACCCACGATGACCATATCTGCCTTGCCGAGAGAATATGCCACCGCGGACTCGGGAATAGTCGAGACGGGGACGCCCTTGGCTCTTAAAGCACGTACTGTTTCCATACCCTCTGGCTCTTCATTCGGGTGGCTGCAATCTTGGGAGGTGGAAGATAGAACGTAGATAACACGGAATCGCACAGCGGACGGACCACCTTCCTCATCCGCGGCCTTCTGCAATAGAGCTGCGACAGCTCGGGAGCCACCGTTTGTGAGGATAGTGCTGCCATCGCGAATGAAGCCGCGGCCGAATGCTGCGATTTTATCGCGGCTTTCCTTCGCGCGTCGGATGAACAGACGTCCATTCGACAAAAGATGTGTGCGGATGGCTTTGAAATCGCCTGCGGGACCCAGTTGTCCAGGGCGCTGTAGTGTGGTAATCAGGTATCGTTGGAAGAGATCGGTTCCAGCAGAGAGACCGATAGGGTTGGGGATGGATTGCTTCAGGTGGGCGGTGGATTTTTCGAGTAGGTCCAGGGTCTCTGATATCGTGGACGAGGCAGAATGTGTGAGTAGTAGGACCAGGGCTTCAATGGCCGCGATAGGCATAGTGATGTCGGCATCGGAGCGGAGGAGTTCATTGTAGGTTGCGACAATGCTGAGGGAACGGTAAGCCGATGCTAGAGCTTTGAGGGAGCCGGTGCTACTCACTCGAACGGTTTGGAATCAGCCGAAGCCATGTCTGATGTGTTAGTTGCCATGCTGTTTGAATGTCGAAGTCAAGAGGATGCGAACAAAGCGATATAGAGGAAACAAAAAGAGTCATGAATTCTATGTTTGTCTTGTTTGCTCCCTGCCCCTCCAGACGCTAGCCTCGATCGGGCGGTGTGCGGGATTGTCTCCAAGTAAACAATCAATCCGCATCAACAACAGTAGTTAGTCCACTAACGGCGTCAAGAAACCCCTTGCCTATTGATAGGTTTCCACGCTATCATGTCGCGTAACTCTATCGCGATGGGGTACAACAACCGTATGAGCCAGCAATTCCAAGGCACCCAGCACCATGGTCGAGGTCGCAAGAAGGAAGACGAGAATGACGCCCTCATGCGTCTGGTGAGCTCACTGTTTGCCCAAGTTTACGTCTGGAACTAACAAAACAAAAGCCCGATAAAGAGATTGCAGGATGTATCAACGACATTGGTATTCCGTTCAACCTCTCCGATCTGGCTAAACCAAACCCCCAGCAAATCCAGATGGTGTTCGAATGGTTTGCCGAGCTGCTCATGAACACAACCCGGGAGACGGTGGAGCCTGCAATGCATGCAGCCGCAGAAGATCTATGTGGCGACTATCCTGATATAGTTCCTAATGATACCCGTAATCTTATGGGTTTCTTTATCATGCTCCGAAAGCTGTTGGCTGAGGTATTTGCCCATCTCTTATTACGCCGCTGAGAAAAGAATGCTAACGCGTTTGGTACTAAATAGTGCGGTGTCAACGACTTCACCTTCACAGATTTGACTAAGCCGACACATGAGCGACTTGTTAAAATCTTATCGTATTTGATAAACTTTGTTCGATTCCGAGAATCGCAAACAGCCGTGATTGACGAACACTTCAACAAGACCGAGAAGACGAAATCGCGCATTGAGGAACTTCTTGCAGAAAACCAGGAAATGGAATTAAGGCTGAGGGAGATGCGCCAGGACCTCCAGTCCAATGAAGCGCATGTGAGGGAGAAAGTTTCCCGAAACGATGAGCTCAAGGCACGGTTATTGGAACTGAGCCGGGAGCAGTCGCGAGTTGCAGAAACACTTGATCGAGTTAAGACAGAAAGAGGTCGGCGGCAGCAGCAGTTGGAAGAGAAGACCGAACGAACCGTCCGTTCACGACAAGAAGCGGAGAAATTGCGGCCTTATGTGCTCGAATCTCCCGCTACTCTCCAGTCATCACTAGCTGAACTATCTGAGAACCTGATGCGTGAGAAAGCCTCTATTGACGCGATGGAGAGGCGAGCCCGCGCACTCCAGACATCGTCGGACACGTTCACAGTTGTCTCCAACGATGTACAGGGTTGCGTTAAATTGCTCGATGACATTTCGACCGAACTGCAAAAAGAGGACGAAGAAGAGTCCCGAGCTGCTAGAACTACAGAGGCTATCTCGGATAGAGGGAATAGCGTTCGCGAAGTGGAGCAAACCGAAAAGCTCTTGCAGCGTCAAATGGCGCGTTGGGTCGAACGGATTGAAACACTACAGAAGAATGCACAGGAGAAAGCCGAACTTGCGCAGGCTCGCATGGAGGAACTCCGTAGTGTTCAAAAACAACTTCGCGATGAGCGTGCAGAAAAGCAACGTGATATGGAGCGGAGACGTATTCGCATTGAACAGACAGAGAAGAAGGTATGTCTTATCATGTGTGTTACGGAAATGAACGATTGCTGACGCACCCTCCTAGATGGCTGACCTGAAGGAGAACATCGAGAGCGAGATTCAGTCGGCGCACGACCAGTACCTGAAACTCGAGTCACATATCAAGCTGTACATGACGGAGATGGAGAAGTCTTTGTGATCAACCAGTTGTCATTTATGTGCAAAACAGGAGTTCAGCGGTCAGCTATAGGATACCCGGATAATACAGATTCATCCACAGGAGTTTTATGTTACAATATCATGTCTGGTTTCAACAATAGCCTATCCCATTATTTAGCCTCAGTTCAATAGTTTTGGTCGAACTTGAACCAGCGTTCAGCCACCCGTTTCACTGTGACACCTCGTTTATTCCCTATACTTTCGTCGCCTCGCATTCGCACTGAACCATTTAGCAAGGGCACATTCACATCCCAGAGGTTTCTTCCCCAATCAGCACATGAAGGGTCTAGAGCATTGATACACTCATAAAGTCGGAGATCCATCCCCGCCCTAAAACCGGCTTCGACAGCAGAAGCAAGCGTTCTTGAAATTCCCTGGGCTGAGAACTCTGAAGTCGTAACATGCAAAGCTATCATGTCAAGGATCACAAGGAGATGTCGGTCATGGCACTGGGTTCTGTCTTCGGCAGCCACTCCGCCAACAGGACTGAAGACAGCCAGATATGCCCTGAGACTTTCTAAACTGGGACAAAACGTCAAACGTATTTTGCTGGATCTTGCAAGTAGCCCAATGGTTTTCGTAAGCAGGTCATGGCCGACGGCAGCGGTTGGATCGGCGCGTTGTGAACGAATGGCTGCTGTCAACTGTGCCAGGAACGCGGCTTTTGTCGCACAAACAATGAGATTCGTGTCTGAATTGCCTTCAAGAAGTTGCTGCAATAGATCGGACACCAAACCACAGTGAGCGATCGTGCGCGTTGGACCCATTGCTATAAATAGCTGTGTTGTAGCTCTTATTTATTGGGTCTTCGAGGTCATCAATGTGGAATGGAACATTTCGACCGTCGTATTATGATCCATCAACCGCAAAAATCCATAATTTGGAGAATATCGTGTTGGACGTGGTGTGTACTTAAGGGTTGCAGATCGAAGGCGGGCGAAGAATAGCATCATCCACCTTTCCACTTCCGCGGAGCAGCTCCGCCTTTTCTCCCCTCACCACGCACCCTCCTCCAACCCTTTCAACGCCCTTGGACTGGGCCCTCACAGTCTGGAAAGATGGAAACAATTTCCAGGATATCCTCGATGCTGGAGACAGGTATGTCGGTTTGCGTCGGTTGCAATCCGCTCTATTTGGCATGAACTGACCGTGGAACGTCACTGAGCGCACAGCTCGAGAGCTCACGATAGAGGCTGCCCAGTCCGCTACTATTCACCGGGCCTCTAGCACCGACTATAGTTCGCGAACATACAGTTCTGCGCATATCAAGAAACTCCTTGATAGCCGCCATGAGCGGGAAGTGTTGGATGGAATGCGGAAGGTCATCTCGGTATGGGGATTGTGAACAAGAGACTATGAAGTACAATGACTGACTCAATTCGCTGCCGCAGTTGATGTACCGGACCGAACCTACCCTTACGTTCTTTTCGGCAGTTGTCAAGAATGTGGCCAGCGCCAGCCTCGAAGTCAAGAAACTGGTTTACATTTACTTGGTCCATCATGCGGAGGCTGAGCCGGATATGGCACTACTATCCATCAACGCGATCCAGAAATCACTCACCGATTCAAACCCGCAGGTCCGGACAATGGCGCTTCGGACGATGTCGGGAATCCGGGTTCCGGTGATTAGCCAGATCGTGTCGCTGGCAATTAAGAGAGGATGTGGAGATATGAGTCCGCACGTGCGCAAGGCCGCTGCTTTGGCTATTCCCAAGTGCTATCGTCTGGATCCCAATACGCTGCCGCAGCTGATGGGATATCTCGAGACGCTCTTGGGCGATCCTCAATACTTTGTTGTCGGTCCCGCAATCGCTGCCTTTTTGGATCTGTGTCCGAATGAGATTGATCTAATTCATAAGCACTACCGCAGCCTCGTCAAGAAGCTGGTTGATATGGATGAATGGAGTCAGCTAGCAACATTGCGACTGCTAACAGTATATGCGCGAAAATGTTTCCCTCATCGAACCCAGAAAGTCAAACAGACAGCGCCGCAGGCATTCTACGACGATGAAAATCAGCAACAGGGGAACCAGAATGATGGCGAAGAGCTCGAAGTTGCAGTAATGGATCCGGATCTTGAGCTTTTACTCCGAGCTTGCAAGGTTCTACTACAGAGCCGAAACTCCGCCGTCATTGTCAGCGTCGTCCGTTGCTTCTTTTACCTTGCCCCGTCAGAATATATTGCTTTAGCGGCTGGTCCTCTAGTGGCTCTTTTACGAAGCCCGCAAGATATGCAACTGATCGCCCTGTACAACATCGTCGCAGTTGCCTTGAAGGCCCCGAAACCATTTGCTAAATACACCGCCCACTTCCTTGTCCATGCCAACGACCCTTCGCATATCTGGCGCCTTAAATTGGAAGTGCTGACCATTCTATTCCCGCACTGTGGGAAACACTGGAAAGGTGTGATAATCAACGAATTAGAGCACTTTTCTAAAGGCACCGACCCCGAGTTGGTACGAGAGAGTGTACAAGCCATTGGGCGCTGTGCCCAAGGGGATACAAGTACCACTGGATTGTGCCTACGAATTCTTCTCAGTCAGATATCCAGTTCGGATGACAACCTTGTGTCAGAGTCACTTACTGTCATTCGTCATTTGATTCAACAAGATCCATCCTCACATACAAGGACGGTTCTCCAACTCGTCAAGCATTTGGGTACAACAACACACCCAGATGCACGAGCTACCATTATATGGCTAGTCGGCGAATTCGCCGGTGTTAACCCAGAGAACAACATTGCACCTGACGTCCTCCGCATTTTGATCAAAGGGTTCGCAGATGAGATGGAAACTGTCAAACAGCAAATTGTGCTCCTTGGCGCTAAAGTGTATCTCCACCATCTGTTGCAAAACCCGCCGAAGGAACAACCTGAACAGACTGAAGTGTCATCACTGCCCGAGAAGCCCGCCAAAGCCCAGCAGGAGTTCCACAATGAATGGTCCGACAATCAGAACGATGACTCGCAAGATCCTGCCCAGCCCGAAGAGGCAGAAAGTACACAGGGAAATGACAATATTGAGTCAAAGGAAGAGGAATCCGAAGACCGCATTACCTTACTATGGAGGTACATCCTCCTTCTCGCACGCTACGACACTTCCTACGACCTGCGTGATCGGGCCCGTCTTTACAAGAATCTCTTAGAAACACCCTCTTCTACCCAACTTGCCAATCTCCTCCTCCTGGCACCTAAGCCAGTTCCCCATGCCCCTAGCCCATCCGAAACACGCAAAGATTTGCTCGTTGGCTCTGCCACCCTTGTCGTCGGCCCCGACGCTGGGTACCATGGACTGCGGGGATACATGAACCTTCCAGATTGGGTCGAGCTAGGCCAGGAACCCGATCCAAGCCTCCGTATCGATGATGTGAAACCAGACACATCCACCAACTCAGCCTCTATGACTGCAGGTGATCGTCTCGATAGAGCACTCCGTGAACATCAAACCACTTCCATGCCAAGTCGCAACCGAAATAACACGGTTATGCCGGTAGATCCGACTGGGAAGAAGACCCTTGACCAATGGCTACAGGAAGAGGACGAAGAAACCGAGACAGAGTCTGAAACGGATTCCGAGGAAGAAGAAACTGATTCCGAGGAAGAGGAGACGGACTCGGAAGAAGAGTCTGACTCGGAGGAAGATGATGATTCTGAAGAAGAGACTGATTCTGAGACCGAAGCCGTGCATAAAGAGGCCCAGCAATTACTCCGTTAAATATAGGTGATGGCTGCATTTATAGATGCTGGCTTGATTGGACATCATTTTTGAGTATATTGAAAATATGAGAAAATGAACTTGAATGAAAATATTAGACCGATGCTTCAAAGTCCGTAAACTGCTATATGTGACCACGGGAGAGGGCATGTCCTGTAACCTTTCGGTTTTGCTCAGGGGCTCGGTTTCTGTAGTCTTTTGCCCGATCAACAAGATCTTGAGAAACGCCTCGGATGAGAGCCCAGGGCTCCCCGGCTGACACAAAGGCCTACGCCATGGCAACGCCCTACATCAAACAACAATCACCAGAACGGCTCGTGCCGAGCTGTGACCCCATCTCTGCTGTGGCGTTTGATTGGCTGCGTCGGCATTGCTTTCAGGCATCGCCTAGACCGACCAACCACATCACAGGAGGGTATAAGACAATGAATCGGTGTAGAACTAGTTGGGATTGAAACAGTCCGAGATGAATCTGGTCGATCTAAAGATTCGGACTGCCCGGAATGCTCGCCAAAGGCCAAGATCTGTACTTTCATTGCTTTTTTTCCTGCAGTACAACCATCCAAAGTACTACCTCAGAGAGATCTGGTTGCCTACCTGATACCTACTTGTATGAGAAGCCTCAGAGACTAGGACAATCTACACTGCAAAGATGGACATCTCCCGCATCATCAAGCCCTGGAAGCTCGATCCTCAAAGAAACTTGGTCTTCGTGAACGCAACTATTGTTGATCCAGCCCAGGGCAAGTTGATCCATGATGCTACAGTCCGAATCTCAGAAGGCAAGATCCTTCAAATAGTCACAGATGGGTCATACGCAGCCACCAAAGACGGCTCAGAAGAGACCGTGATCGACCTGACCGGGAAATACCTATGTCCTGGACTGATCGACTGCCACGTCCACATCGCCGTGGTCCCAGGTGAAGCCGACCTCCGAGCCTACAAAGGCATGTCCGAGCGATTTAGTCTTCTACGACAGCCACATGTGCTCAAATCCATGCTCGACCGCGGCTTCACCTCAATCCGGGACTGCGGGGGCGCAGGCCTAGCAATGAAAGAGGCCATCGAGGACGGCGTCGTTCCAGGTCCCCGTCTCTTCATCGCCGGAAATGCACTCTCCCAAACTGGCGGCCACGGCGACATGCGCGGGCCCCATGACTCACAGCTCTGCTGTGGTGGCTCCATATCTGGAATCAGCAGGATCGTTGACGGTCCCGCGGAGTGCTATAAATATGCACGCGAGGAGCTGCGCCAGGGTGCAGACTTTATCAAGATCATGGGTGGCGGGGGTGTGGCTAGTCCCACAGACCATATTGATCATGTGCAGTTCTCGGATGAGGAGATCAGGGCTATTGTTACTGTTGCGCGGAACGCGGGCACGTATGTTACGAGCCATTGCTATACACCGCAGGCAATTCAACAGGCTATCAAGCTTGGAGTGCGTGGCATTGAGCATGGGAATCTGATTGATCTTGAGACGGCGAAGATGATGGCTGAGAGGGATGTATTCTTGACTCCGACGTTCATTGCACATGTCATGTGCAAGGAGATGAATTTCCTTCCGGCTGCCAGTGCTGCTAAGAATGATAAGCTGCTTGAGAAGGGATTGAAGGGGATAAAGATGGCTGTTGATGCTGGTGTCACTGTTTGCTTTGGGACTGATCTTCTTGGTCCGATGCATTTTGCTCAGAGCAAGGAGTTCGCAGTGCGTAGTTCTGTTTTGACTCCGTTGCAGATTCTGCGCAGTGCTACTGTCAATGCTGCCCGTCTTGTCATGCAGGAGGATACACTGGGTCAGGTTCGTGAGGGGTTTGTGGCGGATTTATTGATCCTAAACGAGAATCCTTTGGAGGATATCACGATTCTGGATAGAGTGGAGGAGCACATCCTGGCTGTGATTAAGGATGGGAGGGTCGCTACTTCACGATGGGACAGCATTCATGTGGATCTTTGAAAATTTGAGGGTAAAGAGTGCAACTTCTCTGTTACCTACCTGTACACAGCGATGGCTATTTGTAGTTGCCCCGGTTAGCCAGTTGGTGTAGGTTGACACCTTGCCCTTCAGGCATCCAGGGTCGAAAGCGGTGTCATAACCGAGCGCCGGAGGTGCCTGAGCTCATCCCGCAATTCGGCCTTTATGTCGCGGATATCAAACAACAGTCGAGCTTCCACCCCTGGAACGAGGATCGACTGTACGTCCAGGATGCTCGCCAGACCGACAAACATATCTCTTTCATTGTCTCTTCCAATCTTCCGTCTCGACATCGAATCCTCGAATATCACCCTCCTTTAGCTCTCTGCACTCGTCTAGGACCAGGTCCAGGGAGCTCCCCGCTTTTTTCCTTCGCGTTTTAGATTCGCCATACCACACCGAGAAGAGTACTTGTCCCTCGTTTGTCCTAGAGTTGTTGTATTTGCTTGGCGCCACAATGCCTGGTCTACCAAGTACGTGCATGCCCTTTAGTTCCATATGGCAATTTGCGTGGTTATACTGACCTGCCACCTCACAGCTAATATCGACCTCGATGAGTGCATCTCCCGGCTCTACAAGAAGGAGCTGCTTGCAGAATCGGTGATAGAAGCGATCTGTCTAAAAGCAAAAGAGTTATTGATGAAAGAAAGCAATGTCGTGCATATTGCTGCTCCGGTGACTGTGGTTGGAGACATCCATGGCCAATTCTTTGATATGATTGAGATCTTCAAGATCGGGGGTTACTGTCCAGATACAAACTACCTTTTCCTCGGTTAGTCGCACATGGCAATGCATTTGAATGACGGATGACAGCGAGCCTTGAGCTCCCGCATCATCGTTTACTTTTGCGTGGATTGTCGCTGACCATTTGACTGATAGGTGACTACGTCGACCGAGGCTTGTTCAGCGTGGAGACTATATCGCTTCTGGTCTGTCTCAAACTACGATACCCCCAAAGAGTACACCTCATCCGCGGCAACCACGAATCGCGCGGAGTCACTCAGTCATATGGCTTCTATACCGAGTGTGCCCGCAAATATGGCAACGCTAATGTCTGGCACTACTTCACCGACATGTTCGACTTCTTGACACTAAGTGTTGTGATTAACGACGAGATTTTCTGTGTGCATGGCGGCTTGTCACCTTCGATTCATTCCATTGATCAAATCAAGATCATTGATCGGTTCCGCGAGATCCCCCATGAAGGCCCCATGGCGGACCTTGTTTGGTCTGACCCCGACACGGAACGTGATGAATTCTCCCTTTCTCCCCGAGGTGCTGGTTATACATTTGGAGCGCAAGTTGTGCGGAAATTCTTAGACGTGAACAGCATGTCGCATATCCTGCGTGCACACCAGCTCTGCCAGGAGGGCTATCAAGTTTTATATGATGACCGTCTGAGCACGGTCTGGAGTGCGCCCAACTATTGCTACCGCTGTGGAAACTTGGCCAGTGTCCTCGAAGTGAGTGACTCTGGCGAGCGCTTCTTCAATATTTTCGATGCGGCACCGGAAAATGATGCCCATCGACTTGAACAGCTGGGCCAGCAACAGCAGCAGATGAAGGATGGCTCCACTGCAATGCCCGACTACTTCTTGTGAATCTCCCAATCTTGTTGTGATAGTGATACCCATTGGTTAATGTTTTGTTTGATGTTCATGTTGACGGCTTTTTTTGCATTTTCTATTTTTTTCTTTATTAAACCCGGCACACTAGACAGGAGTTCGGGATAAAGCTGTGCATTCACCAACAGCGGGATGTGCTATTTGGCTTTTTGAAATGAAAATATCATACACCAAGGATTGAGACTCAGTATGACGCATAAACAATAAAACTGGGAAACTGGGGTCCAAAGCATCGACCCAGTGGGACGCATCTCTGACAATTTTTTTGTCAAAGAAAGAAACTCATCACGCTTTGAAAACAAACAGCCGCTCAATAACTCAACGAGATAGCCCCTTCGATTCATGTTTACCAGTCCTTGGCAATGTCGAAGGACCACTCGAACAGCAGGTGGGTGTGGTCGTCGTCATCAATGAACTTGGAGACGGCGTTGTAGTGGCCACGGGCGATCATGCCTGTGGGGGCCTCCTCCTCGTTGACTAGATAGGGAAAGTGTCAGTCAACATTCAACTTGGAAGATTGAAACGTGAAGCCAAAGACTAGTAGCATCCATGATATACTTACATTCTTTTGAGTAGTCAACCTTGCTGGTGGTGTTGGGTGCGTAGCTGCCCAGCATCTCCTCGTCCTTGCTGACCCGGATACCCTTGCGCTTGACGACCTGCAGATACTTGAGACCGCTCAGGACCTCATGGTGGACCTGGAAGGTAACCTTGATGTGGAACTTGGCACCCTCCTTGATCTTGAAGGGCTTATCCTTGAGGCTATCGACCGAGCCGGGGAGGACAGATCAATGACGACATCCTCACGGCCGTCGACTTGCAAAGCCAAAGACTTGATGATGCACTTGCGAGGGTCATTGGGATCGGCGATGGGTTCACCAGTGTTGAGGCCCAACGAGGCCTTCCAGCGGTTCATGGCCTCATCATCCTTGTCTAATGCGGGGAAGAGCAACGACTGGTTAGCTGAGGAATCCCATTGAGAGCCAGATATGGCCCGTGGGGGGAACGATGATAGAAAAGAACCTACCGAGCTGGTTGTACTCATCGAGAGTCTTCTTCTCTCCAACCCTGAACCCCTCAGTGCGGGTGGCAGCAAGATCTTCCTCGTGGTCGGTCATTGTTTACAGATTTAGAAAGCGGGGGCACGGAACCAAGGATTGAATGGGGAAGATGGGGTCGAGGTAAACAAGAGGAAATTGAAAAGAAAAGGAGAGAGGAGATTCGAAATAAAAAAAAAAGCTAAGATCGAACCGTCTCCTGAGATTTGGTGGGGTGGAAAGGCGGTGGGAGAGGGGCGAGGCTATTCGGATTCCCACTTTTGTATGCACATGTCCACCTGCCGTTGATTCTGCATGGGGGTTGACCCTGCGTCGGTGCACTTCCTATGCGCCGTGCTGTGTGAGATATACTTCTTTCGCTAGAATGTGTCGATTGTGCTCTGGAGATGGAGATTGAGATGTTCTTACACTGGGCGATCCAGGCCCCCGACTTTGGGTATCCGGGGGCTGAGAGTCATGCAACTAAAATCCTACGCAGCCACGTTGATACCTAAGTGGGACATGCATCTCTCTGGACTACCGAGTATGGAGTATGGAGTACTCCGTACAAAGAACACACTCCGTACTGTGTGTATTGTATCAGCACCGTGAGGTTGATAGATCAGTCGAAGGTCTCAACAATTTATAATTAATATGTACCATATAGGGGGTGGGGGATTTTCGATTGCAAAGCACAGACTCCCACCGAAAAATCAGGTTGGAACGGCATCGGCTGAATGGCGGTCCAAGGTAGTTTGGATGGAGTACAGAGTACGGAGTATCCATGTTCATCTTGGGCATACGACGTAGGAGTCAACAACACGAATCAGAAGGATCGAGACTGGACAAACAAGTACCGTTGGCCAGGAATGTTGATGTCACGGGGCCATGGAATAGATTACATTGGGGGAGATCCGTGACGCGGTATTCGAGTCATTGGCCAATCAGAAACCGCAAATGCCCCATCTGACGAGGATCATACCGGACCTTACCGGAAGAAGTCAAGCTTCAGAACGACGCAACGATTATTCGCGACTCGCATCTCTCATTTCTCCTGATTGTCTCTCTTTATCTCGGCACTCCTCTTTTTTTTTTTTTTTTTTTGTTATCGTCTTGGTCACTTTGATCGCGTACTTCTGTTCGCCAAATTTCTGACCTATCGGTGGTAGTCGTTGACTCTTGATTTTCAACGCTTGACGCGCCTGCTACGTGGCCGACGCTGGCGCATCTTTCTCTCGAATAACCAGATTCTCATTTTCATCTCACCCGACATCGCCCACCATGTCGCGAACACTTCCTAAGAAGTTTAACCCGCTGATCCTCTCTGAGGTTGCTCCTACCTGTAAGTCCGAGTCTGGCGCGTGGTTGCGCGACTGACCAGGCGCATCGGCTAGCCACTCGCGTCGTACACCCTCGATTTTTGGAGAATGTCACCGCTAACACATCCGTGTTACTCGCTTTTGCAGATGAGGAGCTCCTTACGCGCCGTCGTCTTGGCAAGACCAATCTCTCTGTCAAGCCTGCTCAGATTGGCACCTCAAATGCAACCAAGCCTGAGAACTTGGGCGTCTTCGAGTACGCTCACCTCCGGGCTCCTCTGCCCAAGGATCTCAAGGGCTCCGAAATTTTCCCCTCCCACAGCCCTCAGCAGCACCCGGAGACTTACTTCCTGATGGTGAGACCCAGCACCTTATTCGAGCACGCAATGAACATGCACTAATCTTGGATCTGCTTACAGCGCCGCAGCAAGGATGGATATGTCAGTGCTACTGGAATGTTCAAGATTGCATTCCCATGGGCGAAGGCCGAGGAAGAGAAGAACGAACGCGAATACTTGAAGGCTCGCGAGTATACCAGTGAAGAGGAAGTTGCTGGTAATGTGTGGATTTCCCCCGCATTTGGTATGTTTTGCTCGGGTGTTCTATCCAAGATACGGATTCTAACTTAGTGACTAGCCCTTGAGCTTTCCAAGGAATACCTGATGTACGATTGGGTACGAGCATTGTTGGACCCAACAGACATTGTCCAGAGTCCCTCTAGCGCAAAGAAACAAATCACTCCCCCGCCCAAATTCGAGATCCCCTCCGATGAGCCGGTCATGCAGCGCAACCGCAGAGGTCGATCTGCTTCCCCGAGCAAGAAATTGGCGTCTCCTCGGAAGTCCCGCACCACCCGCATCACCAAGGATGTTACCAGCACTCCATCTACAACCGCTGCCAATGCCAACCTTCAGTCAGCATTGGATTTCACAGCTTCGAACCTGATCCCGGAGAGATTCCCTGAATTCGGAGTTGTGAATGGCGAAGTCGCGATTTCGTCAACCGGATCACCAGAAAAGAAGACCAGAATTCGCAAGTCAAAGAGATCCTCTACCGCGGAGCCCGAGGAAGAGGTCAAGGAGGAGACAAAGGAGAAGAAGAAGGAAAAGAAGAAGGCCGAGAAGGAAGAGAAGAAGAAGGACGAAATCAAGGAAGTGGAGGAGCCCGCAGCCGAAATTCCAGTGGCCACTGAAGCTGTTGTTGAACCTCCGACCACTCAAACTAATGTTTCTCTGGACATGCCTATCAGTCTGCCAGAAGTACCATCTGCCGCTGAGACCGCGGAGATGATTGCCCAGGCCAAGGGAATGGTCGAAGAGGCCATCAAGGCCGAAGCCGAGGGTACCAATGCAGAGTCGACATCTGTTAAGGTGACCAAGAAGCGCAAGCCCGAGGAGGACGACGATGAAGAGACATCGGCTGAATCTGCCCAACGCGCCAAGAAAGCCAAGGTGCTTGAGAATAAGCTCAAGCAGGAGCGTGTCCGCAACCGCTCCATCTTCGGTGTTTCTGTGGCCTTTGCACTTGCGTAAGTCATTCTGTGCTAATACCTCCCCGAGCCAACACTAACATATCTTATAGTGCTTCCATCCCATACTTCTTCTAAACAGCACAGGTTTGTACTTGATTCCGTCCATTTGAAACTCTGGTCCTTCATTTTCGGCTCTGTCGCAAGCGACAGCCTAGCTCCCCAAATCTTCGCTTCTGATGCCCAATTCCCCTTGTTGTTATCATAAATATATTCCTCGCCGGCGATCCTGAGCTGTACCTGTCATTGACATCATTTTCTAATATTTTGTCCCTTCTCCCTGTTTTTACACCGGATTTGGTTATTGGGGGAACCTCCCTAGCTCATCTCATGTCCCTTCCTCTTGCTCCCCTGATACCAGCCTCTCCCCCTCTCCCACCTTTGCCTACTGCACCATAACAGCATCCCAAGTAGTCAAGGACGAGTCGCTTAATGATAGTGATATGCTTTGATGTTATCAATCCGTGATTTTCATTTTGTAGGGTTGTGACACGTATATTGGACTGGTCGGGCTGTCGCCATGGATAACTGATAACATGACCAAACGCCTCAGGGTTGGCTTTTCATTTATTCTGAGGTCGATGAAAATAAAATGCAGGGGAAATGGATATAACAAGGGACTGTATCATGGAAATGGTCCAGAGCAGACTGGACTGAGGGATAACGCCTTGTGGATCCCTTGCACCGAGCCCCAGAATGGAGCCAATGGAAAGCGCCTGAGTCCAGATGCCAAGATGAAGACATTCACTTTATTACAACTCTCTCTTCTATAATATGCTCAATATATACTCCGTACACTTCTAGTAACCCAAAAACGGTGATCCCTCTCGCTGTAAAGCTTCTAGCGTGACCTAGACTTCTACCAGAGATTGCCCACATCAACATTATCCCACAAACTTATAGTCAATGCCCCCTAGACGTCGTCCCAAGATATCTCTCTGGGCCCGTTTCCGAACATGGCTACGCTTTGCAGAATCACCTCTCCGAATACGCAGTAGTCTCACACGCCTCAGCCACTACCATAAACACCCCCTCCTCACACTGCTGCGCATGTTCATCCCCTATCCATCCTGGTTCTTCCCTGTTCCAGAGCAACTTCCTCTCCGCACCCTCATCGAAGACACAAAGAACGAGACAGATATAATCACATCCCACTTTAAGGACATGCCGAATCTCCGCGCAATCCCTATCTGGCGTATGCGCGACACGCCCCTGCGCTCAGTCTACCGACTTTATGAAATTCACCTCGCGGACCACTACGCGCTGATGGGATGGGAGACTGAATATTTCTTTTTCCAGCCAGGCTGGACACTCAAAGATATACCGGATCCGAAGGATCCTGATCCACTTCGTTATGCGATTATCGCTTCCATTGTGGAGGAATTACATGCGGCAGTGAACTGGAGACTGGGTCTCGGTCTGCGGAGGAATCGAGAGCATGTGTATCGAGAAGAAGATGGAGACCCGTGGCCGCCGTTTACTCCGGAGGAACTTCCGAGCTGGGCGAAGGCCGTTGCTCCTATTGATAAAGATTTGCTTGGGAGATCGGTACCACCGGAATCGCTAGACGGGGAGGGGAATTTGGTGCTTGAAGCTAATGGTAAAGCTCTGAATTTTGCGAGACGGAATATACTCACGAATACGGGCTGGTTTTATACTATCTAGAGAGGTTGAATTGAATCTATCTTGGAGCACGTACGGTCAACCCTGTTTGGAAATCTCATAACACAACAGCTGATGTGCCACAGAGCGGATGGCAGTCTAAAAGACGGCTTTGTCTCCAGCAAATTTTGGCAAGTAATCAAGGTCTCCTGTGGTGTAGCGATTCTTGAAATAAGCCACTGCAATGAATCCTCCCGCTGTGACCAGTCGGATTGGGGCGAACGCAATACGCCAGGCATTTTGACCTATCGCTTTATCGAGTGTCACAAGATCTATCTAAAATCTGCTCGGGGCCTGCGAGCATCAATCATTTGTACATTAACGCTGGTGGTTGTTTTTCAAGGTGAGGCCACCAATGGGAAATTTTGAGGATCATCAGAGCTAGGAAAATTGCAAAAATCTTGTTACGCATGAAGATGTAGCTCAAACACGAGGACGCTTATCGAGATCCAATGTAAGAAGCTGAAATCATCCTATTAGGGACTGCCATCGTGTAAAGATGGAACAGCGCCCATATTACGACAATCTAATTTCTCAGCCCGACGCGCCCGAACTATAAGAAACACAACCCGTAATACGCTCCAACTCCTGGGTACTTTGGTAGTCCCTATCCGTCAGTTGAGAATCAGTCATAATCGGATGCTCTTAGGCTGCTCCGATTATCGGAATGGGAGGAAGAGTATATGACCAGATCCACCGACTTGCATCTACGATCGTATTAAGTGGCGAGTGACAGTCAATAACTGGGAGATGGCAAAGGATACCGAGGATGATCTCGATTTAGTCCCGATGTCGTTTTGGCAGCTGTTGGGGAAAAAGCTGGAAAAGGATCGACGTAAAGTTGCGCTGGCAGTAGCTTCCGCTAAATACCCCTCGCCAAGAAATCATTCCTTCATATCGACAGACATCAACTCGTATGAAAAGATTGAAGAAATATAAATCATAAAATCCCCTCCAAACCCCATTCGACTTCCTGAAAGCTACACTATGAGCCAAAAGGTTCGATCTTCCTAGAGCCCTCAAGTCCCGCCATTCTAAACAATACTGATCATTCATCTAGCCAGCAAGCATCCAATTCAGCGACCTGGATGCATGGAAGAACCAGAGAGAAAATGTCAACAAGTAAGCGCAAAATGACTAAAAAGATATTCTCGTTTCCATTGGCGGCTAACATAGCTCAAGCATTTTGGATAAATCCACTGGAACGTCAGAGTACCCTTCTACCAGATCTCTTCCCCCAATTGTATTTGGCGTAAAGTATGTGTGTTCCTTCGAAGTTGAGAGGATGACCTGACCTGAACGACGCAGACTTACTGCAGACGCTATAAACGAGTTGAATGCACTGGAAGGAGTAACAGTGGACGTTCAAGATGATGAATAGTGCATACCCCTCATCTGGAATGGGTTGTTAATAGCGTAGGTGTCGGAGTCAACTGAGGGAGACATCGGAATGCATGATGAACATTGTTGATAAAGCCAAGCTATAAACTGAGTAAAAAGTCCAACAATACGGAGTAGGTGAACACAGATAATGTTGGCGTTCAGCTATCCTGGCTACGTATATACATCAATTGAACCATACCAATCTTGGAAGGTTGCGAAGGTGTATAGCTGTTGCGAAGACACGTGACCTCCTAGTAGACTTCCGCAGAACCCAGAAAAAACCCAACCTAACCCGGACCCAACCTAACTTAGGTTGGGTTTTAGGGCCATACCTTCGTACCGGGGTTGGGTCCGGGTTATAGCCTTCGACCCGGCTAGGTCGTTAGGGCCCTAAGTTAGGTTATAAATAATATAAATACCTTAAATTATAGGATTTATAACTTATATAGATTTTCCCTATATATTTAAGTATTTACTTTATAATCCCTAATAGGTATAATTATTTTTTATATAGAATTATTTTTTTAGTAAGTCTAAGAATATTAATATTATAATACTAATAGATAAATAGTATACTAATAATTAATATGTTAAGGCAAGTGGGCCTGACACCACTGTGCAAAACGTAGGAAGTAATGGTAAGGTAGAGCGTTTACCAAAAGAGCCACTATGACGACTAACTAGTCGTCATGTCAGGTTACTAACCTAAATACCCGATATGTGCTATAAGATATACGCACTATATTCATACTCCGTATGTTAGGTTGTAACATTATCTCCCCTCTTTCTGATGCCTTGACCCCGAGGCATAGAATATCTATAGGTAGCTTAAACGGTATAGATACCGTGCTAGTAAGATATCGGTGTATGTATTTTAAGTTGTAGACCCCTAAGTGTATATCTAGATCTCTCTATAATATTCCTTGCAAAGACCGTAGATTCGAATTCGACATCTATATGTCTCGAACCTAGGGTCTCCGAAGTTAGTCGTCATATTGTTAAGGCAAGTGGGCCTGACACCACTGTGCAAAACGTAGGAAGTAATAGTAAGGTAGAGCGTTTACCAAAAGAGCCACTATGACGACTAACTAGTCGTTATGTCAGGTTACCAACCTAAATACCCGATATGTGCTATAAGATATACGCACCATATTCATACTCCGTATGTTAGGTTATAATATAATATCTAATTTAAATATATATAATTATTATCCTCTTAATTTTTCCGCTTTCTTCCTAAGCTCTATATCTAGGTTATCTTATATTACCTACTAGTCGACCTATAAGAGAATTGAGTATAAAAACGAGAAAACTAAAGATAGGGAAAGAAGAGAGAGAGATCTAGTAGAAGATAAAGCTTTTGTTACGGTATTTCTTTGTTATACTATTTTGCCTTAGGCTCCCTTTCTCTTAGACGGAGGAGACCCCTCCGAATACCCCACGATATCGGGATAGAACTAATATGATCCGGTTCCGAGAAGCGGGGAACCTAAATTATAAAAGGAAGACACCTAGAGGGATAGAGAAGGTAAGATTTAGTCTTATAACTAATATAGAATCGAATACCCTTCGCCCTAACTACGTATCTCTTTTATATTATTATTTACCTAGTTAATAAGTACTACCTTAATAAATAGTTACTTTAATAATTCTAAATCTTCTTCTTTAACTACCTAAAGAAATAATAACGAGATAGAGTTTACGATCCCGATAGGGTAATAAGGAGATACCTCTATAAGAAAAACCTACTATCTATAAGATAGAGAAAGGAGAGACCTAATCTTTATTAGGACTTTTAGAAATACCTACTACTACTAGTAGAGATAACTAATAACCCTCTAAAACTACCCTAAATCCTTAGCGAAATAAGGATAATTCTTAAGTAATCCTTAAGAAAGAAACCTTCTAAGCCCTTATAATAAGGATTAAATAGCTTAAAAAAGTAGCCGAAATACTTATATATCGTAGCCGGATCCGTAGTAATTCCCTAAACCTATATAGTTAGGAAATCCGTTTTAAGAACTCTAACTTTATAAAAGAATTCTCGATCTAAGAAAGAGAAGACTAGTTACTTAGACTATATTTAGAATTTAAAAAAGTAAGTAAAAAATATAATACTAAAAAATAAAAGATCTTTAGTACCTTATCTTATATAAATAGGAACTATTAATAACTTTAGTATAACTACCTAGATAAAATATCCTTAACTCTAAGCTAAATTATATAAGGTTTATAGGCTTACCTTAAGGAATAAACTTTATCCTTAATAAAAAATTCTATAAATATATAAGCTACTATTACTAACTAAATATAGAGAATAATCTAGTAAAATAATTAAGATCTAAAAGACTTTTACTATAAATTAAATCTTTTAAAAAAATATTTCCTAAAATAAAGTAAAGAATAAAAAGCTCTTATCTTCTTTTTAAAACTTAATTATAGACTCTAAGCCTATATCTATAAATATAATCTAACTCTTCTAAAAACTTAAGGGAAGATAGTTTCTATTATATTAAAATTTTAGGAGCTTTAAAACTAGAAAATAAAATCTAAACGAAAAGCGACCGAATTAGGGTAGGGAGATCTAGATACGAAGAAGAAAAAGAGAAAATTCGAAAAATATAATAAAAATAAAAACTCCTCTAAAAAAAGAAATCTAAAAGACTTAAGATTAAAAAGATAAGAAAACCCTATTAATAAAAAGATAGGGAAGAAACTTACCTATTATACCTATTAAAGTAAGGATTACCTTTTAAATAAATATCTAAATAACTCCCCGATAAAAAAAATAAAAATATAACTAGTAAAAGTAAAAGGATCCTCGATAAAATAATAAGGAAATAAGAGTAGGTCGGAGTAGATTTCTCTACTCCGACCCCTTAGATCGGAATAACGATACGCTTCTATACTCCGATCCTAATAGGAAAAATTAAAACTTATATAGACCTAGATAGTTATATAGAAGTTAACTTTATTAGTTATAAGTTTATAAAAACTTAAAAACTTTAAAAAGCGAAACTTATATCTCTTATTATTAAAGTAATAGAATATAAAGAAGTAACTACGTATAAGATATAGAATATCTCTATAACTATTATAAATAATAGAGGAATTATTAGAACGTTTATATAATCTTATATTATTATTAATAAAGATCTAAAGATTTTAGGTAGTCTAGTATTACTATTAATAATAATCTTAGTCAACTAAAAAATTAACCTCTCTCTACTAAACCGAAAATAGTAGTTTAATACCCTAAACTATAAAGCGATAACCCTATACCGGTTTATAAAAGAGTATAGGAACTATATATATATCTATACTATAGTAAAAATGTTGAAGATATAGAGGTATGATATAGTATGTAGGGTTTCAACAATAGGTTTAAATGATACTAGGAATAGGATCTCTTATAGAAGTATTAAATTGTCTAAAGATCTAGATAATATCTACCTTTTCCTACTATTTATGCCCCTTTATGTGCCGAGGATCGGAGTCCTTAATTTGGCCCCTAAAGGTGGGCTTTTCGGCAGAAAAGACAAAAAGGGCGTAGCGTTAATAATCCTACGGATAAGAGAATCCTGCCTTAGGTATAGTTCTTAATACGCCCCCTTAATATG